CGGGTTGTGCAGTTTTGCCCTAACGACTTTCTTGCTTTCTCTCATCAATCTAGGAACATTAAATGTGACAGATACCTCAATTATGATATCAGTTTGTTTTGGTTATGGAGGGCTGATGCAAATTCTTGCTGGAATGTGGGAAATGGCAGTTGGAAATACGTTCGGTGCGACTGTTTTTTCGTCTTACGGTGCATTTTGGGTTTCTTTCGGCATCCTTTTGACTCCTGGTGGCTTTCATATTGTAGAGAGCATGGTCAAAGCAGATGGAAAAACGGGATTACTCAATGCACAAGCGCTGTTTTTTGCTGGTTGGTTTGTTTTCACATCTATGATGCTCTTTTTAACCCTTAAATCAACCATTGCATTCTTCCTCTTATTTTTCTGTCTGGATTTCACTTTCCTGTTTTGCATGGTGGCACACATATTCAACGATGGCTCTTTACCTCATACTGGACTCCTGCGGGCGGGCGGGGCGTTTGGTATAGTTACTGCTTTTCTTTCTTGGTACAATGCATTTGCTGGTCTTGCAGACGACTCTAACTCATTCTTCATTGTACCTGCGGTGTATTTCCCCTGGACCGCAAAGACACAAACAAAAGAGCCGGAGCACGACCATATTGCTTAGTCTACAGCATTCCCGCCCTGTGTGCGCATCTCTGAGGTCTTGAACGGCTACAGTTAATTTTTGGCGCTTCAACGGAATTTAAGTCGAGTTCTTCTCTAATAGGTTGCGCTACATCATGATCTACCATTGATGGTACAACTCTTTCCATTTATCATGTGTATCCACCGCACACATAGTGCCAACAACGAAAGATGTCTGCATTCAAGCGAACACCCGGCTGTCCGGACATATAACAGTTCAGTTTCGTTTAGTCAATATACTCGATAACAATTCGCTTCGGGATACTTCAAAGCAACAGAGGGCCACTTCACGTATAATTGCGCGAATTAAGCGAGACCAAATTCTTATTTTTCCCTTTTTGTCCGTTCGCACGAATGATGGGATATTGTTCCTGTATCTTCATGCACGACACACATTTAGCGTGTGCGCTTGCAATCTGTTGGTCATCCAGCCAATCGCGTTTTTATGTTTTTGTAAAAGCACTTGCTCCGCGATACTGTACCCAACAAACTCAGTAATTGGCTTTCGTCGACTATCAATATAATATACACGAGCTATGAACAGACTGTTTCTCACCCATCCCCTCTACTTTGGGCCAAGCTAAGATGGCGGACGAAAACGTCACGGATCAAAAGTTCATGAACGATTTAGGGCATATTATTGATGTTCACAACCAATATGAAGATCAATACAAAGCGACTGTACAAAAGATCACATCTCGAATGTCCAAGAAGGAGCGAAATACCGCAGTTGATGCTGCGTCTTATGGATATGGACCCCTTGCATTTTTGAGATTTCCTCAAGGGACGGGTCATCTTGCCTTTGGTGGTGAGATGCAACCCGGTATGTTCAGAAGCATTCATGACCGAAAAATTGCGAACCCCGCGCCGCTTGGCTTTTGTGGCTTTGCTCTTTCCACTTTTGTGCTATCTCTTATTAACGTTGGTACTTTAAATCTTAAGAATCTCTCCATCCTGGTATGTCTTGGATTTGTCTACGGAGGGTTGATTCAAATTCTTTCGGGTATGTGGGAAATGGCGATTGGAAACACTTTCGGTGCCACAACATTCACGTCATATGGGGCATTCTGGATATCGTATGCGCTTCTCATCATGCCCTCGAAGAGTCTTAATATTATGGAAGCAATCAAAGTAGCCGAAGGTGGTTACGGTGAATTGCAAACCGTTGGGCTGTATTACATGGGCTGGTTTGTGTTCACCACATTGATGACCATGTTGACTCTCAAGTCAACGATCGCAATGTTTCTCTTGTTTTTCTCGTTGGATTTATGTTATCTGTTTTCTGGCGTTTCGTACTTGTATAACGATGGAAACGAACCTCAAGCGGCACTTTTAAGAGTCTCGGGCGCGTTCGGTTTAGTGGCTTCCTTTTCAGCCTGGTACAACGCTTTCTCAGGTGTTGCTGACAACACCAACTCCTTATTTGTTCTTCCTGCCCTCCACTTTCCTTGGACAAGTGGTTCCAGTATTAAGAAGCTTGACGAAAGCCACATCGCATAAATGTAAAATATAATTCAATTCCACTACAGTTAAAGTCGAGCAGCATTTTTTGCCCAAGTCATTAGAAAATCCCATACAACGCATACACTTAGAACGTTACAATTTATTTGGGGATAGGATACCATTACCCTAACTTTCATGGCCACAAGGTATGAAAAGGATATAATTAAGAAGATATATGCTATTTGTGAGACAAGAGTTGAAAGGTTTCATTCAAGAAATTTTGCAATTTGGTGGTGCCAAATGCGAATCATCGTCGTTTTTGCTTAGTTCACGTGGCAGAGATGCAATCCCTCCAGCTTGAACTTGTGGTAGTGAAATACAAAATATTGACACGGTAGATTACTATGAAATCTTGAGCGCTCATTTAAACGCACTCAATGTCATTTGGGTCCGACATCAGGGACTATTGCTGGGATAGATTTGTCGCTTCGTAGAATGTGATTGAACAGACCTATATCACCATTATAATATTTCGCAGCCTCGCAGCAAGATGAAATCGCTCTGTTCAGTCAAGAGTGTAAATTTCTTCAATTCAGTCGAGTCTTCCGAATATTAGGTTTCTCAGACATACAAAGCTGAAGCGAGATAAAGTTACATCAGCGTATAGTTCAGTAACTAAGAAAGTCTTGGAGTTAGAAGTCGTTTATGCGCCACTACAAATTATTAAATACAAAAAAACCTTAAACCGAATCGTAACACTGTTCACTTTGATTTTGTTTGACCCTGATTTTTTCATGGAAAGTGAACCATTCTTGTCCAGCATGAGCTGCAAGTTGAAGTGATTGTTGGCGATGAGGTGACTTCTGTCATTTCACAGGTTTATAATGGAAAAGTGAGCAGAGTCTTTTTTCTTTGATGAAGGTTCCAAGGCGACGTGATGTACATTCGATTGTACCTGTCTGCATATGAAATACGGTGTCAATTGTCCCTAGGGTTCTTTCCTTGCCATCAAAGAACATATCGAATGTGATTAGCACCAAACTCGGCGTGACGCCAAGGGTTGATTTCCTTCGTGTGGAAACCCTTACCGACAAGCTTGGGCCATTCTACTAGCTTGAAATGACGTCTATTTTTCCCAACTTCGGTAATGTAACTAAAGGGCGGATAACCGCCTCTGGTATGCTCCTGCCACCATCCATGGGGATTGTAGCTATCTGTGCCACTGCCGCACTGATTGCCTTAGGTGCCATTTGGGGCACATTGGCGCGGCTGGGTTTGGTAGCACTCAATTCATATGATGGACAAAGCGTAGCCCCCCTGATCTGGGCACAAGCTGTCGGATGCTTGGTGTTTGGGTATGCATCCCACAAACGTTCAAAAGCGGCCATTGAAGCGTGGTACGCCCCCGCCTTTCCAATGCTGACCGTCGGATTTGCCGGGTCTTGTACTTCATTTTCCACTTGGGCACTTGATGTGTTCCAAGCATTCTCTAATGGTCAGCATTATCACCGCGTCGGGCTCTACAGTGTCATGGACGCCCTAGCGCAGACAGGTTTGACTATTGGGATGGGTATCGCGGGATTGTGGGCTGGGCGCGCATTGGCTGACGCCTATCCACTAGATGCATTACCTGCTTTGCCTATGAAACGATTGAATCCTGCCATTTCGCATGCATGCGCAATTGCAATTGGTTCTCTCTCCTGGATTGGATCCGCCATCCTCTGTGGCTTGCATTCACCATTCCGACACGTCACATTCGCACTTGTTCTCTGTCCTCCCGGAGCCTGGATCCGCTGGCAGCTGTCACGCTTCAACCCTGCCCGAAAAGTTGACGACAGAGTGTTGGTGCGTCAGTGGATGCAGTGGCCTTTGGGCACGTTAGCTGCGAACATCCTAACAGCCATCATCTTGGTCAACGATTTACTCATATTTAGTCAGTATGGATGTCTAAAGTTTTTTTGCATTCTTCGCTCAGGTGTGCTGCTAATTTGCGTGGATTTTTGCAAATATTAGGACCAGGGTCTAGTTTCCCATACTTGTCGCTTCTACCATTGGTGACATGTCCTTTTATGTTTATGTGCGACACGCATTTAGCGTATGCGCACGCGCTCGGATAGAGACCGACCAATCACACGAACTGCATTTGTTCTAATCAATTTTAGTGGCCCGAGATCCTACGCCTAATCAACTTAGTCTTTGAATTTCGTATCTTTTATTTGGACCCTAGGTGTGAGAAGGCAGCGTGCCCTTATTGAGGCCGTGACACTCGAACATCAACGTACGATATTCACTGAACGACTGAGGACGGATCATTGACATGAAGAACCGATTTGAAAGTCAGCGAAAAAATAATGAAAAAAAGAAAAAGTCCAGCGCATCTAAGAAGAAACAAAGTACCAAAAATGATGCCTCGTCTGATAAGTATGGGCCTCTTGCCCATTTGGATTTCCCTAAGGGAAAGGGCCATCATGCTTTCGGCGGTGAGATGCAACCTGGTATGTTCGGAAGTGTCAAGGACCGAAAGGTCGCGAACCCAGCGCCGCTGGGTCTTTGCGGCGTTGCTTTTTCTACATTTATTGTCTCTCTCATTAATGTTGGCACTTTAGATCTAAAGAACTTCTCAGTATTGGTGTGTATTGGATTTGTGTACGGGGGGCTCATCCCAATTCTTGCTGGTATGTGGGAGATGGCAATTGGAAATACTTTTGGTGCTACAACCTTCACGTCGTACGGGGCATACTGGATATCATATGCACTTCTCGTCATGCCCTCGCAAAGTCTCAATATTATGGAGGCAATAAAAAAGGCTGAGGGTGGGCATGGTGAATTGCAGACCATTGGCCTATATTTCATGGGCTGGTTTATATTCACCACATTGATGATGATGCTAACTCTCAAGTCAACAGTTGCAATGTTTCTCATGTTCTTTTCTTTGGATTTAAGTTTCTTTTTTTCTGGCGTTTCGCACCTGTATAACGATGGAATCAGCCCTCATATTCCGCTATTGAGACTTGCAGGTGCATTTGGTCTAGTTTCTTCCTTTTCAGCCTGGTACAATGCTCTCTCAGGCGTTGCTGACAACACCAATTCGTTCTTTGTTGTTCCTGCTCTCCGCTTCCCATGGACAAGTGGTTACCGTCAAAAAAAGCTCGACAAGAGTCAAAACGCGTAAATTTAACTTGAATTACTCAGTAAGAAATTTATTGAGATGGCCGCCGTGGGACATCACAGACAGTAAATACTTTAAACCTCGCGGTATTATCGGTGCAGGGTCGAGAAGCGTCGTTTTTTATCATCATGTATGTGCAAAGTGAATAGCATGCACATTGAAAAAATCGATCTTTGTCAGCCGTGGACATGAAACAAGTCACCTGTAATGTTTTCATATGAGCTCTTGCTATTTCTTTTGTGGCAAGCGAATTGTCGTTGATATTGATAGTTATATCTGCGATAATGGCAGTTTTTCCAGCTTGAACTTCAAGTAATTTTGCTTATTAGGGTGAGGTAGGGTTATAATATTCTAGAAGTACAGTGTATCATCATGGCACCTGATCGCAACCTGTTGCAGGAATCAGTATGGCATTGACAAAGTCATACATGTACAAAACGCCGTCGTTATTATGATGTTCTACAAATAAACAGTAGCTCGGTGCAATGGTGCCAGATCTAGTGCTGATGCATCAGCGTAGTGCTCCATGCGACGGCCTACTTACTCACAGTGGTCTCTGGCGACCCTTATGTGCTCTTTCTCGAGCATTAAATAAGACTGTCCATGTTTTGCTTAGGCAAAGTTTTTATTGAACGAGTAAATTGGCCTTTTTTTGATGACTGGTGTTCGGCCCTATCAATTCAATTTTGTGAGTGTCAAGACTGATTCATTTTGGCACTCACATGACTCGAAGTGCCATGAAACTACGCGCTGCACTCCCACACATTCCTGTTCGATAGCACGCCTCGATGGCGCGAGTGTACTCCAACTGATTATGCTATGTCCATACCTGAAAGTCACACGTGTTTCCAATGAAATAAAACTTTCACCGGGCCAATATGCTATAGTCTAGGCAAATGAAATCGGACTCATTCTGGCATCGCATCCACAAATCAGTACAATGACATGCTAGAAAACTAAAACGTTACACTGTATACTTTAAACTCGTTCGACCCTGATTCTTTCATAGACACAGCACCATTCTTTTCCAGCGTGAGCTGCAAGTTGGAATGAGTATTGGTGATAAGGTGCCCTTTGCCGTTCCCTAAGTCCACGATCGAAAAGTGAGCAGCGTCTTTCTTCTTCGATGAAAGGTCCAAAGACGACGTGATGTACATTCGATTGTGCTTATCTGCGTTGGAAATAAGGAAGGAATTGTCCTTGGGGTTTTTTCCTTGCCACCACAGAACGAACCGCGTGTCCTCAGCATCATGGTCCTTATTCGCATCTGCGGAGCCGACTTTCTTTTGGTCCTTATGGCTGAGCGCCTTGCCGTTGGCTTCAAACGTGAGAAAATGACCCTCGCTTAGATTTCCACGTACTGGCTTGTAGCCAGTCTCTACACGAAGGCTTTGTGCCTCCGAATTGTTGTACGGCACTGTTGGCTGCACGTTGGTGCGGAACTTGAGTGCACATACATCAGCTCCATTGTATTCATGAGTGATTGGATCTTTCGATGCTTCAGGCACGTTACCCAGATCAAGAACACTTGAATCATGATAAGAAAAATCGAACATATTCACCAAGTTGCTAAACTGGGCGCGACGCCAAGGGTTGATTTCCTTCGTGTGGAAACCCTTACCGACAGCCTTGGACCATTCTTCCAGGAATAGAATCTGACTTTCATGCGCGGCATGCTCTGTGAACACACCACCGTTCCGTGTCCATGGCGAGACAGCATAAAATGGTACGCGGAAACCTGGACCTGTAGGGACCTTGCCTTTCGACTTATCGTACGGGTCAGTAATCCATTCACCCTTGGCATCTTTAGGTGGAAGGGGACCCACAACATGATCGGCTAGACCACCTGTCTCATCGTATGAGTAAAAGAGCACAGTAGAGTTCCAGTCTTTGCCATTCATGACTGCATTCGCGACCTTTGCTTGGATGTAAGCGCCATCCTTGGGCGTGTAAGGTGGATGTTCAGACAACTGCATAGGTCCCACAAGGTACGACACCTCAGGCAACGTCCCCTTCTTAGCATCCTCAACAAACCTGTCAATTCCAATGAAAGAAACAGAACGCTTGGCAAATTCAGTCTTATTCTTAGCTGCCTCCTTGTACTGCGTGAAGGCAACGAGTGTGTTGTCACCGAAATTGTCGAAGTCCTGATAAAATTGGAACGTGATATTCTTTTCGTACAAGTACTCAGGCACCGTTTTCCACTTGAGCGGTCGACATGAGAAAAAGTCCTTGTTGTCGGCTACAAGGCAACGAGGATCACCATTGTTGTCAATCACAGGGCCACCTACTTTGAGGCCGCCTCCACCAATCACACTGGTGTTGACATTGATGGACCCTGAGAAAAGTGAAATCCGGTTCGGATCTGTCGACGACATAATGGATTCGTAGTAGTGGTCAGCAATCGTGAAGTTGCCAGCAATCCCATAATGGATTGGAATGTCATCTCGACGGTAGTAACCCAAGCTGAAAGGGGTATTTGCCATCGCCCATCGGTCCATTTCACCCCCGTTCCAAGCATTGTGATTCTGTCGCCAATCATTTGTACCAGCCACCATGCACTGTGTACGTTCATGATAGTCACCTCCTTGGTACGGAATGTGCCAAGGCTTAAGCTCTGTAACATTCTTGGGTGGATAGTAGCTGGATGGCTGATCTGCGTCACCGTCCCACATGGAGCTATTCACAGGCTGATGAAATACATCCTTCCCAGTGTGTTTCGAGATGTGAACATTCGGATCTTGGAATCCGCGCACACCAGCCATCGTGCCGAAGTAGTGATCAAACGCGCGGTTCTCCTGCATGAAAATTACAATGTGCTTAATGTTCTTCAATTCATCGTGGACTGCGGTTGCGGGTGCCGCCCCAAAGCACAGAGCCGCAATAGAAAGAAAGAATTGAATGAAGCGAGCCATAAGATATTCAGGAGGAACCCCTTCCTTTACCTCACAATCTCATGCTACGTCCTGCTTATAATGCCAATGTGCTTCTAGCTTCGTTCTGTTAAATTGTACACACGTGCTTGACCCTGAATATCTTGAGCACAACGATTGGCGCTTGATTTCATTCGCTTACAAATTGACGCAGATCCAATATACACGTGCAACTTCGGTCCTCACGCATTTGGCCACTATAACACCAGAAAATAAACTCTTCAATATATTGAGGGCGGAGAGTTGTCAAAATACACAAAATTTCCTTAGGGGGATACGAAGTGAATACTGATTTATTCAGCTGAAACATCTTTGACAATCTTTTTGTTACTTGAACGATAAATAACTAAGGTAGGCTTTGGAAGATAGGAATTAGGCTAATTTATAAAGGGCTAATAGGCATACGCACACACACGCACACGTGCACACACATGCGCTTGTGCTCAAGTGCGTACGGACACAAGCATTCGAAATATTCATTGGAAGGTTCGCAAGACTAAGGCGTTGACGATTAAATAGTCACACTATAAATGTGGAATGTATTTTCTCCACCCAAATATACGGAACCATCCTGACCCAATTGCAATCGCTTGCCAGAGCTCAACTCCGTCACTGCGTATCCAGCGCCATTTCCAAGATCTTTCAACGAGAAAGTGGCGGCCTCATTTTCATTCTTCGAGAGCGATAGTGAATCCATTAAGTAGCGTTTGTCGGTGGTTGAGATCCAGAAACGGTTGTCTTTTGGCTCTGAGCCTTGCCAATGGACGATAAAGAGTTGATCCTTTCCATTATGCTCTTGTTTTGAAGAGCTAGACTTGAGCTTCGACTTTGAATGGCTCAGCGCATATCCATAGGCTTCAAATGTAAGGCGACGACCTTCCGTCACGTCACCACGTAGTCGTTTAAATCCTTTGGTTACTTCCATTGAATTGCTCGAATCTAATTTCTTGTAAGGCAGCTTCGGTTGCACATGCTTGAAAAACACGGCTTGACACACATCTGCGCCATTGTATTCGCCAGTGATAAGGTCCTTCGAAGGCGTGCGTACGTGTGGGACGGAAGGTACGTTTGTGTTTGAATCGCTGAAATCAAACGCCTTGACTAAATTACTTAGTTGGTTGCGACGCCATTGTGTGATTTCCTTCGATTTGAAAGGCTTGCCAATTGCCGCAGCCCATTGCTCCAAAAAGAGGATTTGACTTTCGTGCGAAGCGTGCTCAGTGAAAACGTGCCCGCCTCGAGTCCATGGTGATACAATGTAAAAGGGTACGCGGAAGCCAGGGCCAATAGGTGCCTTCCCGATAGATGCATCATACGGATCGTCGACCCATTCACTTTCGACGTTCTTCGGAGGGAGCGGAGCAACGATATGATCAGCCCAACCACCTGTCTCGTCGAACGAATATATTAAAACAGTGGAATCCCAATCTTTCCCTGTCATTACTGCATTTGCAATCTCTCCTTGCAACCATGCACCATCAATAGGCATATAAGGTGGATGTTCTGACAGTTCTGTAGGTCCAACAATGTATGATACCTCCGGCAGGTTGCCATTGCGAGCGTCCTCATAAAATTTCTCTAGACCGGGATGAGAAGTACCATGCTTAGCGAGTGACCCCTTCTTTTTCGCTGAAGTCTGGTACTGCGACCAAAATACCAGTGGATCATCACCGAAGTTGTCTTTATCCTGATAGACTTGCCACGAAATACCTGCTTCTTCAAAATATTCTGGCACAGTTTTCCAACGTAGAGGCATACAAGAGAAAACACCACCTGAGTCTGAATGTTGACATCCTGGACTTTCGCTATTGTCAAATGTTGGGCCTCCCATATGCTTGTTTGAACCATTGACACTACTGCCATGTGGCGGATTGATTGTCCCAGAAAACCAAGAGACACGGTTCGGATCCGTTGAGGACATGACTGATTCGTAATACATATCTCCAATCGTAAATGTATCAGCAAGCATGTACTGTACTGGGATTTCATCCTTCCGAACATATCCAATACTGTAGGGTGTGTTTGCAATAGCCCATTGATCCATTTCGCCTTTATTGTAGGCTTGATGATTCTGTCTCCAGTCATTGGTTCCAGCGACCATACATTGAGTGCGGTTCACCCAATCGCCACCTTGCCATGCCAAATAAAAAGGCTTTAGTTCGTTCACACCTTTGGGCGGGTAGTACCACAACGGCTGTAGGCTTCCACCGTTCCACATGGACTTACTCACAGGCTGATGAAACACGTCTTTCCCTGTATGTTTTGATATGTGAACATTGGGGTCTTGAAAACCACGTACACCTGGCATGGTTCCAAAATAATGATCAAATGCGCGGTTCTCTTGCATGAACAAGACGACGTGTTTAATTTTCTCTAGCCCATGTTTGTCACCATTGAAACTACGCGTTTGTTCGTTAGCGAGACAGGTTGCAGCCGTTGCAAGGCTTATTGCTATAGAAAGAAAAATTGCTAGCAACATGGTTGTAAACTTGCACAAATCTTGTGCGCCATGTCGACAGTGTTAAATTGAATTCGATCGCACACACGTGCGGAGTGCGGCATGTAATGGTACGAGGAAATTAAAGTGGAATGTTAACACCCATGCCTTTATCTGCCGCCAATCATATTGGCGATATAAAGCAGTCACGTCAAAATTTTGTCTAGCACTCGCTTGTAAGGTTTCTGTAAACATGAGCCGCGAGAGTCTGTGGTGGCTATTACAAAATTTCGAGTCGATATAAACGCATACGATGTGCATACAAGGAATCGTAGTTATTGCCTCGTCGAAAGCGACAAAGAGTGTGATTCTCACTGTCAAATCTACATCTTAAGCATGTTAACGAGTGACACTGTAAATCTTAAGGAAAGACGAGTCGCCAAATTCGGGGGAGCCATCTTTGCTGATGGTCACCTGCTTGCCTGCGTTGAGTTCCGTCACGTTGTATCCAGCACCATTGCCCACATCCCTGATAGAAAACACACCAGCGTCATTCTTGTTGTCACTAAGCGAGAGTTTCTTGGTGATGTAATCTCCTTTCTCAGTGGCAATGTGGAAGCGATTGTCCTTGGGCGCGCTGCCAAGCCAATGAAGTATGAAAAGCTGGTCACCACCGTCATGGTTCTTTTTCGTGGCGCTCGTGCCGAGTTTGCCGTTAGCGTGACTAAGGGCACGTCCATTGGCTTCAAATGCGAGTTTGCGACCCTCTGTCAAATCACCACGTACAGACTTATAGCCCTTGTTCACTTGCATGGAATTACTTGAGTCTTGCTTGCCGTAAGGAACAGGTGGGAACACCAATCCAGCATGTGAGATAAGGCACTTGATACCACCATTAAAGCGATGTGTCAAATGGTCTTGCGACGGCTTCCGGACACGAGGAATGTAAGGCACACTTGTGTCCTCTTTACTAAAGTCAAATGCGTTGACGAGATCACTCAATTGTTGACGGCGCCAAGTTGGAATTTCCTTTGATTGGAAACCCTTGCCATGAGCCTCTGCCCATTTTTCGAGGAACATCGTTTGGCTCTCGTGCGCAGCGTGCTCTGTGAAAACGTGTCCGCCACGAGTCCAAGGTGAGACAATGTAAAATGGCAGACGGTAACCAGGACCAATGGGTTGAATACCTTTGAAGTTCAAGAATGGATCAACCATCCACTCGCCCTTCTCAGACCTTGGTGGGTGCGGAGACATGACATGGTCCGCCCATCCACCTGTTTCATCATACGAATAGATCAAAGCTGTTGAATCCCAGTCCTTTCCATTCATAACAGCTTCAGCAACCTTTCGCTGGATCCATGCACCGTCTTTTGGCATAAACGGTGGGTGTTCTGAAAGGTTCTCGGGAGCCACAATATATGAAACTTCTGGGAGGTTGCCGTCACGGGCATCTTCGTAGAACTTCTTGAGTCCAACATAGGATGTACCGCGCTTTGCAAGCTCACCCTTGTGCTTGGATGATTCTTCGTATTGTGAGAAGAAAGCAAGTGGGTCATCACCGAAGTTGTCCTCATCTTGATACACCTGCCAGGAAATTCCAGCATCTTGGAGATATTCGGGAACCGTTTTCCAGCGAAGAGGCATACAAGAAAGCGGACCACCGTTCGCCGCAATTTGGCATCCATCTGAAGCGTGGTTGTTCAACACAGGACCACCCATATGCTTGTTAGAACCCTCCACAGTACTACCATGCTGGGGATTAATAGTGCTAGCAAAGAATGCAACACGGTTTGGATCGGTCGACGCGATAATCGACTCGTAGTACATATCACCGACGGTGAAAGAGTCGGCCAAGTTCCATTGAACCGGGATTTCATCTTCTTTGAAATAACCGAGACTGTAGACAGAGTTCCTAAGAGCCCAATGATCGTTCTCACCATTGTTCCATGCAGCATGATTGAAAACCCAGTCGTTTACACCAGCAAGCATGCACTGCGTTTTTTCATTCCAATCACCACCTTTCCAATTGAGATAAAAGGGCTGGAGTTCATGAACATCCTTCGGAGGAGCTGGAGACAAAATCGTTTTATCCACTGGTTGATGGAAGACAGACTGACCTGTGTTGTTTGATACCATGACATTTGGATCTTGGAAACCGCGAACACCGTGCATCGTACCGAAATAATGGTCAAACGCACGATTTTCTTGCATAAACAACACAATGTGCTTGATCTTTTTGAGATCCTTGCCAGGATTGCTCCATTTCTGTTCTCCCGATTCCGATGCGTGTGCTGATCCGGCCGACCCTAGCGCGACAGCAAACGCAACAGCAAGCGCACTTGCCCACGCCTGGTTGAAGAACATGACTTAGGACAAGCAAGGATATGAGACAATTAAGCTGTGGAATCCTAACGCTTTATTTATCAAACCATAGCTTCCATATTTCTCCACATGCTTCAAGTAACATTCTTGACCCTGTTCCATTAATATAGTCATCTCATCGCACGTGCTTCATTCGTCATGCAAGGAGCTTCCCTGAGCGAATTATAATTTGCAAACTCTTGGCACTGGCGGATTTTGTTGAAGCAGAGCAGGTTGCTCCACAATAGCCATGGCCATGCCAGAGGCCAGGTGGACCATCATGTGACAATGGAATGCCCACACGCCCGGGTTGTCGGCAACCCAACGAATAACGGCGTGTCCCATCATTGGAACGACTACGGTGTCGCGTTTCATGCGACGATCCAATGGGTAGACTTGACCAACATCCTCGTAGTAGTCGAAACCGCCAAATTGAGGATCCATTTCACCCGTTTCCATAACCCAAAACTTGTGTCCGTGAAGATGGAAAGGATGAGGTGAATCGTCCTGGTTGTTAATCACCAGCTCAAACACGACCGGCTTGCTAGGATGCGGACTAGCGACAAGTTCATGTAAGGGTTCAAGCACATCATAGTTGTACCAGTCCTCGACTTCAGTGCTGTTTGCATGTGAAATCCTGTGCAGAATGGGCTGGCGATCGCGGCCACGATGACCGTACGGTCGCCAGGTAGATCCGTTCATGAATCCCATAGGTACAATGCTGTATTTCTCTAGGATCGGCACTGTCACGTAGACGAACTCTCGCTTATCGCCCTGGTCAAGATGGAGTTCAGGCGCCGGGTCAGGAATGAGTGGTACTAACGTATCGGGCTCAAGATCATGGCAAGGCTCTGTTGGAATACCAACATCCGTGACATTTGGGCTCCATGCCTTGGACGTCGGTAATTTCAATGTTCGCTTATGTTGGAAAATGAATTCAGACACTTTCCGCCGGTAGCTCCGCAATCGAAGCGGGAACATATGATTCTGCGAGTCTTTCCAAGATGCTGTCTTTCCATCATACGCAACGACTGCCTTACTTTCCAGCTCCATGACCGGGTTCGTATACTGGAAACATTCATGCGACATTTCAGCTCGCATCCACATCCGATCCATCTTGGCGTCAGGCTCTCTGTGTAGGATCACCGAGTAGCGCTGACCGGGCGAAATAGGGATGCGGTGCACCTTCATTGGCTCAACTAGAGTGCCGTCGGCTTCAATAACCGTCATCGTGTGGCCATCGACGCTGAATGTGATATCAGCCAGCGAGCCGACATTCACAAGCCGCAGACGGTAGTTACGATCAGGCCGGAAGTGGAATGAAGTGTACTCGCCCACCTGATCCACATCACCAGCTGGACACGGAACACCAGAGAGCCGGCTGTGGTGGCAGCTGAAAATGTGCTTTCCATTGATCAGCGCATTTTCCGGAACCGGTTCAGCTTTTTGGAGCCAGCGCGAAACGTAACGGGCCAAGCTCTCAGGGCCCATATCATGAAAGTGATCGCCCACAGCAATGGCGACTTCCTCATCCCAGTGTGTTTCATGCGCTGGTGCACGTTCCTTCAGGACTTTACGCTCGTCCTCCCGGGCATGCACAATCAACATGCCCCACAAACCATCGGCGCGTGACGTACCCACATGTGAATGGTACCAATGCGTGCCGACGTCTTCTGGCTGCACGACAAAGCGGTATGTATGCTCGTCACCTGGTGTAAGTGCACATGATGTTACGGCAGATGTTCCGTCCATGACCTGCATACCCCGCATGGACAGGCCGTGCCAGTGGATAGATATTTTTCTGTCAGTACCCTCTGGGTGAACGTCGAGGAGTTTGGACGACATTGGAGGAGGCGGTACTTTGTAGTTGTCGAAAATGTGGTTACGGACCTTCACAATAAGAGTGTCGCCTTCGGTCACTTCCATCATGGGCCCCGGGAATTGCCCATTGATGGTATACATGAGGCGCTTCACACCATCGGGTGCCATGTCAGCACGCTCTACCGTCCAATCAAAGAACCTTTCTTGAGGAGGAGCACTTGCATTGTATGAGGGGTCCATGGCTAATGGACCTGTTGTCACTTCGGTGGCAGGAACCAGCTGCGTGTTTCGTCCCAGACGAAAGGCACCCGTACTAGCATCCCACGCACTGTGAACGGATCCATGCAGGTCAACATCTGCGTACAAAAGCCACAGAACTGCGCTAGTCAAAGCACAGCCCAGAAAGAACACAAGACCGTATCCCACGGTACGAGCTCTGCTTTGGGATCCCATAGAGTAGTTAGAAGGACCAACCTGAATGTGGCTGCATGTCCTCAATCAAATAGTGTCTGTTCGAGAGGGACACGTGCGTGTCCTGCGTGGCTTCTTCACGGATGTGTGGAGTTCGCCCTGAAGGGGAGATCCCATGAAGCGCTGATCGTTACTAATGGAATAAAAAACTGCTATTGACATGACTGTGGCACAAGAGGCTGGGTTTGTAGAACCGTTGGCTGTTCAACGATAGCCATTGCCATGCCGCTCGCGAGATGAACAAGCATATGGCAATGAAAAGCCCACACACCTGGGTTATCAGCGACCCAACGAATTATTGCATGTCCCAGCATAGGAACGACGACTGTGTCACGCTTCATAGCACGTTGCAAATCGAACTCTCGCTGCACTTCAGGCTTATAGCGATATGCGGGAATTTCCATCTCACCTGTATGTAAAACCCAGAACTTGTGGCCATGCAAATGGAAAGGATGCGGACCATCATCCAAGTTGATGAGAACGAGCTCATACACGACGGGATTGGTAGGGTGAGGACTCACGACCAATTCGTGCTCACGGTTGACTAGGCCATGCTGCTCCCAGTCCTCAACCGTCGAGTAATTTGTATGCGAGATACGATGTAGAAGTGGTTGTTGCGAGGGTCCACGCGCGCCGTAAGGACGCCAAGACGTCAAGTTCATATAGGCCATAGGCACGCGAAGTTTTTGACGCGTCAATACCTCAATGTTGATGAACTCGCGTCGATCACCTCGCTCAGGAATAAACTCTGGCGCTGGATCGGGAATAAGCGGCACAAGTGTACCAGGCTCCAGGTCGTGGCATGGCTCGGATGGGATCCCTTCGTCCTTAATATCTGGACTCCAAGCTTGGGTGGTAGGCCGCTTTGATGCCGACGTATACCGACGATGCTTTTCTGTCGCCTGTTGGCCAAAGAGCTGCCGAGCGCGGAGTGGCGACAGCCAGCCGCCCGATAGTGGCGGCATGTTAACGTCGTAAGTGACGATGGCCTTGAGGAATGGATCTAGAACGGGATTCATATACTTGAAGCATTCACCCTCAAGTTCTGCGCGCATCCAAACGCGCTCGTGCCGTTTGCTGCTCGGCTCACGGTGCAGAATCACTGAGTATCTCTGCCCCGGTGAAATGGGGATACGATGTACTTTCATAGGCTCGACAAGCACACCGTCCGCCTCAATGACTGTCATAGTGTGCTCGTCGACGCTAAACATGACGTCAGCTAGTGAGCCTACATTCACAAGACGCAGGCGATATTGCTGGTCATGACGCAAATGGAACTGTGCATATTCTCCCACTTCATCCTTATCACCTGCGGGACAAGGCACATCGGTTATGCGCGACATGTTACAGGAGAAAATGTGTTTACCATTAATGAGCCCGCTGTCGGGCACAGGCTCAGCGCTGGACAAGATAATGGAGACGTACTTCCCAAGACTCTGGGGGCTCATTTCATGAAAGTGATCGCCCACAGCAATGGCGACTTCCTCATCCCAGTGTGTTTCATGCGCTGGTGCACGTTCCTTCAGGACTTTACGCTCGTCCTCCCGGGCATGCACAATCAACATACCCCACAAACCATCGGCGCGTGACGTACCCACATGTGAATGGTACCAATGCGTGCCGACATCCTCCGGGTGCACAACAAAACGATATGTTGTTTCGTTGCCTGGTTTTAACGGACAGGATGTGAATGCGGCGGCACCATCCATTACTTGGGTTCCTCGCATTGACAGGCCATGCCAGTGGATAGCAAACTTGCGATCAGTGCCTTCGGGATGAACGTGGTCCAACTTAGAAGTAATAGGAGGCTCTGGAACTTGATAGTCATCCCAAATATGATTACGAACGTGGACAACAACTGTGTCACCCACTGTGGCTTGTATGGTAGGTCCTGGGAATTTTCCATTGATTGTGTACATGAGACGCGGCACGCCATCAGGTGCCTGGATCCGACGGTCCACAGTCCAGTCGTAGACACGCTCACGAGGAGCTTCATTTGGATTAAATGACGCATCCAGCGCCATGGGATCAGATTGCTGCTTGAGCGCAGTGTACACGCGCAACGCGCTCCAACTCTCGTCCCATGCATGTTGTAGCGTCTGTTGGAGGGTTACGTCCATCCAAACCAAACATGTGAACAGTCCAAACAGGCCCAGACCCACAACATAAAGTATCCAACGACGTGTACTCCATACGACGGCAGCTACCATCGTGGTCCAGCTGAAAGGCACCACATACAAAAGGTGCTCCGTTTGCACGTGAGAACGTTGAAGTGGCGCCCTGGATATCTTGACCCCTCCCCACCTTTCCCACGTGCGTCTGCATTCATTTTCTTTTTACTGTGCAATTGCTTGCAGTCGGTCCTTCTCTTTTCTTTCCGCACAGACCAACCAAATGTGGATGATTCGACGCGTATGGTGCTGCTGGGCTGCGACATCACTATATAGAAGTGTTAGAGGATAGTACTCGAAAAAGGCATCATTATTCTTTACAAGCATTGACCATTGAGCGTCGTATTCTACCAGCGAAATGTGTCCATTGTGGCCCGCCAGAGATCATGACATAGCCAGAGCGGAACTCTGCGTCAAGCGTTTCGTTTGACCATGCCACTGTGGAACTCTGGTTGACAGTGTCAAAAAGTGCATGAATGTAGTGTATATCGAGAGAGCGAGAGTTAATCACACAGTGTGGGCCCGCAGGTCCAGAGACATGAGACCCAGCGAGATTCAAAGGTATCGTTATCTTGGGTTGCTTTTAAAAGTCAAGAATCCTTCAATGGGCACCATATCAATATCGATTCGTTGCGCATGGGCGTGCTCATTCCAAAGTTCGTTTGCCTCGAAAGGGTTGATACCTTTAGCAGCTGTGCCGACAGTGACGTGGTGTTTTTCGCGGAAGCCAAGCGGCTTGTCTGAGCCCCATTCACCACAGTACATCGCTCCCACTTCGAATGCCATTACACGCTCGTTCCACAATAAAGCACTCAGTTTCACATCCACTGAAGGATGCAGCCCCTTGTGTTTCGTCGCAAACTTGAAGAGATTATCCCATGTGTCTTGGTCGGTTTTGCCAGACTCGACGTCCTGCCGGTGAATTAGTGTGATATGGGGGTCATGGATAACGCGGTTTCGCGCTTCAATGTTCTCAAGCATGCTGCGTGCTGACGCAGACAGCTCATTTGTAGCTGCTTTCTCCAGAACTTGCTTCGTCAACATGTGGACCTTCACCGGGAAGAAAACGCCCAAGTACGACGACGGATGAACCGCCAATGGATCACTTTCGGCTTCCATCTTTGGCAACGGCTTGCGCACAGATGGCTTATACGTGCATGCCACTTCTAACGCTTCTGAGATTTGTGGATCGCTTGGCATAGACACATCCATGATTGGGCACAAGTGATGCAGGATCTGTTCGAGTGTTTCGCGCATGGATTTGTGAATATCAAGCCAGACGGCTTCATCGAACTGATCGTCTGCCACTCCAAAGGATCCTTCTCCGGACTGAGCGCCTTGGAACGGCTCGCCTTCCTTGATGAACCGCGTTAGGATCGTATCATATTGGAAATGTCCCGGTGTCTCAATCCGAAGGCATTGATGTCGATCACCGCGCTCGACGATTCGGTTCGCGCACACCTGCTGAATCTCTGAGTGTGGCAAGCCATTGATACGCCAGACCAATGCGCACAGGCGGATCCTGCCAGTCTTGCCCTTCTCTGGCTCGCTGAGTCGCCGCACAATGTCGACCATCTCATTTCGATGCTTCAGAAGGTGATTGTTGCGATCTGCAAGGACCACGTTGTGTGCCAGGAGCTCTTTTTCAACATTCTTCAAGAAGCCTGGGCCTGTGCGCTTGGTTTGCACATCATCGCTCTGTGTGTGGGCCCAGCCAAATAGATGCCGAAGCGCCACACATATGGCCGTCTTACCACAGCCAGGTACAGCCATAGGTACAATGAGGGTTTTTTCATACGGGCGATCATCCTGCCGCAAATCGCGCGTTTGCGGCGTACGACATTGCGCTAGCGATTGCAAGGCCATCTGGCCTTGTTCTGACGCCTTGTACGCAAGGAAATGATCGCGAAGCGCGATAATTCCGCGACCCTCGTTGAAATGAGCAAACAATGCAGGCTCAGGTATGATGTTCTTATCGGAATTGCCATACAAGCGATCGTAGCACCATTGAATATACAGGAGCGTCTCTGGCCGCCTAGACCGCGGTGTGGGTGGATAAGGTTGACTGAGGCCAGCAGCACGATCAGCAGCAGCTTTAGCATCATCCTTACGCTTCATCTCTCGCTTCAGCTTTGCCTTGGCTCGCTTCAGCGCATTCTTACTCGGTGCATTCAAGAGAGAAGTCTCATCCGCTTGCGGTGATGTCTCTTTGTCTTGTTCTTCGTCCTTCTCAGCCTCGTGATCCTGACTCTCTTGATCATTGACATTCATGTTCTGCGCAGCAGAGCGCAAGGCGACAATCTGAGCTGCATCCCAATGGCTTTTGTCGCGAAGCATGGTGCGTGTTAACTCGCGCCAATCGCGGTACATAAGATATGGTTCGTCAAACTTGATTTTGTAGAACCAGGTTTGGCAGGGATGGTAAGGCGGCGCGACCATGCCATCGGGACAACTTGGCATCTCGCTTGGCATACTCGTGCGCACCACAAATCCTTCGATCGGCTCGTCATGCAAAGATCCCGTAGCAGCGACTTCTTTGGCAAAAGCTTCGACCTCAGCATACGTGTCAAACGTCAAGAAGCGCACAGGAATAAATCCCCATGACTTGGCAAATGCATTCACTTCCTCCATGGGCCGGGTCATAAAGTCAATCGAGTTTTTGTTAAGGCCATGTAAATGCAAGCCAGTGCGCTCCGGCGGATACGGCAGCACATGCTCTTCAAAGGAGTCATCGCAGAGCTCCAATACGGCAGTCTCGTCGCGATCCCAAAGCTCAGCGGCTAGATCCTCTTCAGTCCGCTGGCACTTGGCCAGGTGGCGTTGGACCCACGACCTTCCCATCTCGGCGTGACTTGGCTTGTCTTCCTCGAACTCGAGACCAAGCGAGTGCTTCGATGTAACAAGCAGCCGCTTCGGCGTAACAGCCGAGAGGAATATAATACATCCATTTTCCTTAAAGGACAAGACGTACGGCCCGGTCGAGAAGGTAGAAATCACTTCCGGCTTGGTCCAAGGCAGCTCACCTTGGTTGAAGAACTTGTCATAACCGCGGATCAAGATGCGCTCGTACTCGCCTACCTCATCACGCATGCGCTCTGTAAACAGGCCTCGCGCTAGCGTTGGCAAATCGTCAGGGTCCTGACTGAACTGACGGTATGCAAACTCCTGCGCCTTCCACGACACGATGTCATGTTCGTCAGGGTCTTCCGCGGACGGCGGGAGCGTGAAGTGCGTCAGACGCACAAGCGGCTTCTTGTCACGGTCCGCAGCTGTGTGCAACGCCTGAACAAACGCATCAACCCGCTCGTTGCGTTCGTGCATCTGAGCTAGCTGATCTGTCCTCTAGAGTCACTGTTCTATGAACGAGTGAAAGCTTGGGCCTTCTTATATTTTTGCATGCAAAGCCAAATTCTGCTGAGTCATCCTTTGGTCACCCACCATGACACATCAAGGTGAGTCAATTTCGCACGGCGGGGCGATAGCGAATGACTCACGGCACACACATGGCGGTAACACACGTCTTCGTGAGCAGTCTCCGCATCGACCCGTACGTGACGAACATATACGCGAGCGGTCCAGGTCGCCGCGGCATGATGAAGCTCGGCCGGCACGCCTTGCCGCTGAGCCAATCTTTGAGCGTTCTGGTTTGCTCGCAAAAGAAAGCAACAGTGTGAATGGCATAGCGCTTAAGTACCACGAACCGCCTGAGGCAAAGAAACCACGTCATCCATGGCGTCTGTTTGTGTTCAAAGATGGCAAGGAGATTGGTACGTTGGCAAAAGTGGTGCTCACCAGGTTTTAGACATGATTGTGCTTGGGCGCCAATCTTGTTACTTGTTGGGCCGAGATCGCGCCGTTGTCGACATACCAACAGAGCATCCTTCATGCTCGAAGCAGCACGCTGTGATTCAATTTCGGCAAGTCACAAAACGCAATGAATTTGGCGACACACGTCGACACGTGCAGTGCGTATTCTTTTATGTCTCCAAGAATGCACTTCCCGGTACTTATGCAGGCCCTTCCTACTTGATTTGGAGTCCGCGAACGGATCCACCGTAAATGGCGAAGACATTCCAACGTCTAGATACTACGAACTTCGCACAGGCGATACATGTCAGTTCGGCACAAGTAAACGCGAGTACGTTCTTCTAGACGAATCAGTTGCTCCGTAGATTCAGCCAGTACGAACCAAGCGGGGTTTAGTCATAACCTAGGAATCGAGCCTACTGGCACCGTACGCGCGCGCGCACTGCCTTGTGGCAGACATTGGATAGGGTGGCTTGTGCAAGGGACACGCCATGCCTTATCGTGTTGAATACGCGTCGACTTCACGCGCTACATGCAAAGGACCCCAGCCCTGTGCAGGTTCGAAAATTGAAAAGGGACAGCTTCGCCTTGGAACATTGACGGAGATTCAAGGACACCATGTACGTTCATTTGTGTACCCACTGTGAATTAACAGTGCCACGAAGGGTATGGCTTGGCGTCATTGGGGATGGTATGTATTATTCACGAGTACTAATCATATGAAGCACTACCTCACGCGTTTTGTCGAACATGAGAAAAGAATTGGAAGATGTGACGCAAGAACTCGACGGGTTTGAAGATTTGGACCCAGTTGATCAAGAAAAGGTCATGGCGGCTTTTGCTCTTGGTCATGTGCGTGAGAAAGACATGACGCCATGCTTGCGTGAAAATGAACATGAGCATGCGGAAGAGAGGAAGGAAGTAATAGACATGGGAGATGCAACGGCGACTAGTCACGATCATAGCAAGAATCGCGCATCGAAAAAAGCTGGCAAGAAACGCGGTCATCCGACTAACGAGGAAAACACGAGCGATGATAATGACGGCGCATCGCCACCCGCCTATATCGAAGATCTCCCACCCAAGCGGCAACGGAGACGCCCACAGTTTTATGATCCATCCCGTACAGATCTATCTCGAAGATCAACAAAGCAAGCCGACATGGGAGCTCATGCAGAGGGCAAAAAATATATGCATAGCGACGAGAATGCAACGCATGAGACAGCTGAGGACCAAGAAGAGGAAGATGATGAGGAGGACGAAGACGAGGACGAGGAAGACGAAGACTCTGACGATAGTGATATATTTGAAGGAGACGACGACGACGATGACGATGAAGACAACGACGTCGAGTCTTCCTAACCCCCGCCTGATGTACTAGAACAAATTGCCTACGTAAACTGATTGTTGTACGAGATCAATTCCGACATAAGCAGCTGCGGTCCTAGCAGAGGCGATGACCACCAGTGGCCTTTCATTGCGTCGAAACTTGTCACGCACGGCCCTTGATCACGTGGAGGGCTTTTCATCCTTTTACCCCAACCACCACCATGGGCGTACTTGGACTAACGCGATGGACGAATGATGTGGAAAGGATTATTTCTAGCGAGCTGACAATTCCTGTCCCTAGCGGAACAGGAAGTGTACTGGAGAATGGTGAACCTATCCAGCTGAATCCAGACGGAGACTGGCTTGTGATCGATGCGTGGGCATGGATCCACTATGTATGGCACTCAATGAACACGAATGTGTATCAAGGAGGCTCATTCCTGCAGTTCCGTATCGTTCTAAAGGGCTGGATCGATACTTTGCGAGCGGCCGGCTTCCACATTGTCGTGGTGTTTGACGGACCGCGTTTGCATCAAAAGATTGGCGCTATGTTGTCGCGCACCGAGAACTACGTGCGGCTTAATGCAAGACTTATGCGTGCAGGACGCAACTTGCGGAACGACCATGAATTTGCACACGCCCGTATGCTTCCACGTGGACTTACTGAATTTGTATGCGGTCTGCTTAAGTCGTACGACGTCGAGGTGATCATGGGAGCGGAAGAAGTTGATGGTGTCGTGGCTCAGCTCGCCGATGAACGTGCGGGATACGTACTGAGCCGTGACTCTGACTTTTTGATCCTATGCGCAAATTCGCCAAAGTGCAAGGGTTATATTTCACTCAACTCTATCGAGTTCATCGCGATGGAGACTGCTGCCCCCCAGCCGGAAGTAGCGCCAGCCGATGACGACGGTTTCACCACGGTCAACACTGGCAAAAGGAACAAGAAAGCAGCGCAGCAGGCCAAGAATGCGCACCTGCCACACACGATGCAGACGCCTGTTTTGCCTTCGCAAATGGAAAGCTTGCGTCCTACAGCCGTGCGCTTGCGCTGCTTCTCTTCGTACAAGTGCGCCGAGCAACTCAAGCTTCCGATGTCGCTGCTTCCCGCCTTCGCTGCTCTTGTGGGAACTGAAAATCGCACGGCAGCTCAGGCCGAGTTATTTAGCGGTCTGTTGCACGGCGTGTCAAACCGAATGAATGTGATTGCATCGCATCTTGCTGAGCAGTTTACAGCTATCAAGGAAGGCACGGCTCCGCCACCAGCGGCAGAAAACTCTGGCAGCAGTGCTCCTGATGGAGATGCCATTCGTGAAGAAGAGCAGGATGGTGACAAGGATGAGTCAGAGTCGGAGCAACTCGACATGTCGGACCCTGTAATCCGTCTGTTGGCACAGACATTCGACAGTCTAGTGCAGTTCGGACGTCAGCGCCGCGGTGCTCCATTGCCAGTATCATGGGCGAATCGCTCGACTATTGTCAAATCGATGCATGAGACCGCGCTATCGTACATGCCGGGCCAGGGCAGTGAGGCAATGGACCGATTCATGGCATCCACGGACTGTGAGGCCTTGAAGAAGTACCAGGATGCGTACTGGAAGGGCCACTTTGATCAGGCTCTGATCTCCGCAATGCTTGAGCGCGTTTACATTGCACGCGTGTACTTGGAAGAGCCAGAAGAGCCGGCATCACAACGTGTGATTGTGCGTCCCATGCGCCAGATTGTCTGGTCGATTCTTTTCTCCGCCTGGTTTACAGCTCACCCAGAAGAAAAGGCCAAAATCGAGGAGGCTTTGGAGCGGATGCGTTTGGAGGAAAAGGCGGCTGAAGAGGAAGCCAAGGTTCACGTGGAAAATGACAATCAGGAGGATGGCGATCAGCATACGCACGAGGAAGTCGATGTGGGTGAAGATGACGACGAGAACGATGACCATGAAGTCGATGACGAAAAGAATCATGAAGACGAGGGCGAGGGTGCCACGGAAGAAGAGCAGCCAGAGCCGGAGGAAACCGGTCCTGAGCCCCTGACGACGGTCACCGAATACACTCGTACGGAATATGCTTTACGCAAAGACGATGTGCCAGTGCATTTGCTTCCTGTGTATTTGAAGGGCATCGAAAAGATCACTCCCATGCCGCCATCTCTTGTACCGATGGTCGAGAAGTATGCTGAGGCACTTGAGGCCGTCAGTCAAGATGCGACCAAGCCGGCTCCTGCGCCTGTGTTTGCCGCCGAGCTTCCGGAGTCCGAGCGCCTGGATCTGTGGCGATACGTCCACCACTCATACATTCCTGAGCTGGACTTGCTGCCTGCTGATGTGCGCTCGTTTGCGGCTGGTCTGCGCTATACAATTGTGACGAACCATGAGCGTCTTGGCACGCTACGCACGCGCCACAACTGGACGCAGACGGAAATCGAGGCCGCTGTGTACTCTGCTTGTATTTCGCGTCGCGTGAGTAAGGAAGCGTCGCCGGAGGAAATGCAGGCTATTGTGGACGCTTACCCGTACGGCTCGCCGACGAACCGAGCCATCACGCTATGCACGACGCTTGGATTCGTTCTGCAAATGAGTGCCCTCTTCACGCAAACGCTGGCTCTGACTGAACAGATTCCAAACTCTCGCCCGATGTGGGAACCACCGCTGTTCCACGCGTGTCTCGGCATGATGTCAGACACCAATGCATCCAAAAAGACATCACCGCGCCATGAAGCGTGGACCAAGTTCGAAGATGCTCAGCTTTACGACACGCTCCTGTCAGTCGTACTGCATGGACTTGAGCGGCGCGTTGGTCGCACGCGCACTGCGCCGACACAGCAAAAGAAGCGCACCGATGGACCACGCCAGCGCCGACACTTGGGTCTACTGGAAGAGACGATGCTCTAGGTCTACTCTCACACGATGCGTGTGCTAAATTATAGCTTTTCCGGTTGGGACAAGACTCTCCATCGCTTTCGTCTGTCTGCCCTCGTAGCGTACATACAGCACGATTGTTAGCGCCATATTGGGAAATGTGGAGAATGCGCAGAAAGACAAGCGCGACAAAACAATGACGGTGGCGTCGACCCGATTGATGCGTCAATGTGCCCGATAAATGGAGATGGGGTCTGGCTTTAATCTACTGCTCTACAAGGTTTGAGACACGGCGACCGGGAAAAGAGCGACAAATTTTATTCTTCCAGAGCCCCAAAAAAGGGTGCGTCATTTGTGTGAGCATGTCGCGCTGGTACCGACCGCCCACACCGACACTATATGAAAGTTTGGACGAAGAACTGGATGCTCTAGACTTGGAAGGTGTGCGCGATGCAGAAGAGGGAGATAATGCTGGCTTGACGACCTGGTCGCCCGCTGTCTACGCAGCCCAAGATGAATCGGATGACGAGGATGAGGAGCACTTTGATGTGGACGAAGAAGACATGCATGCCTATGGTATTCCCGCAGCTCGAGGCTGGCGCCTAGATGCACGGTGCGTACACATGTGCTTGCGGAAAGAGCGCAAGAATTAGTACTAACACGTTTGGTGTTACTGTGTTTGTCTTTTGCAGCACGGCTGATACACTTGAGTTCAAACAGAAAGTTTTAACCATGTTCTCCGACGAACTGGGCCTGCAGGGATGGACGCAGGCGTCTGTTGCACCTGCGCTTTTCCCACTCCAGGCTGAACGTCTTACACTCAAGCGCATCAGTGGCGCATTCACCAACGCCGTCTTTTTTGTCGGGTACAATGCAGCTCCGGGCCAATCACCGTCACCGCCAACACTTCTCTTGCGTGTGTATGGTATAGGAAGTGAAGCGCTACTTTCAAGACGTAGCGAGCTGTTGATTCTACACACGTTATCGAGTCTTTACGAGATTGGGCCGCATATTCTCGGCACTTTTGCGAACGGGCGTGTCGAGGAGTTTTATGAGTGTGAACCGATAGGTCGCCTCGGTCTCCGCGACTTTGGCTCACCAGAGAATGAAGGTCCGGCATGCTGGGTCGCTCGCCGCATGCGCGAGATGCATGAAGTGCCGCTCGATGTCATGCGCACCGTGCTTGAGCAGGGTGACTTGAAGTCGCCTAGTGTTGGATTTGGACGCGGGATTGAGAACAACATCATGGCCTCGAGTCACCATCTCAGTCGCCGCCGACACCGTCCTACTGAAACAAGCTCGCCGGCGTGGCTCAGTTACAGCTACTTTGCGCATCCGTCGCCAGGCCTCTTTCCTAAGCAAGCGAATGCGTCAACGATGTCGTTTGACTCTTTGGCCACTAGCTACGACTCAATGGCAAGCCCAATCCGCTCCATACTTACGCCCAATGGCGTGCCAACTATGCCAGGCGACTCACACATGAGTCCACTCGCCCTTGGACCTTCCGACGCGCCACCACTGTCCACCTCGCCGGCATCACGAGCCCCTTACCCAGGTGTTTGGCGCCGCCTTAAGCGCTGGACGCGCGAAGCTAGCAAAGTTGTTGAATATGTGAATGCATTCGCCAATTCTCCCGAAGGCCATGCCGTCTGTGAAGCGTATGGTGTGGGTCCCCTTCCTGTGACTCTCGACACACCCCGGCCGTCGAAAGTGGCTCTTGCCGAGGAACTTCGTGCTACCCGATATCTCTTTCAAGATATGATGCGATGTCTTTTGGCTGTGGACTTGCCGATGCTGTGTTTCGAAATTTCCGCGTACAAGCAGTATGTGCGTGCTTGGGAACGTGCGGAAGGCAAGAGCCGCCGTGTATTTTGTCACAATGATTCCCAATATGGGAACTTACTTTTGCTGCGCTTGAACGAGCGCGGCGAACTACCAGCCATGGCTTCAGGTATGCCACGGGACGAACCTGTATCATTCGGCAAACCACCTAGGGATGCATCACCTTATCTCTCTTCTCGCTCTCGCTCGCGATCGCGATCTCGTTCACACACAAAGGAGCCGCATCAGCGGCTCGTAGTTATTGACTTTGAGTATTCAATGCCGAATCCTCGTGCGTTTGACATCGCGAATCATTTTCACGAATGGCGTGCCGACTACGTTCATCCAACGCTATCTTGGAGCCTTGCGCACCACGGTGCATATCCAACAAGAGAAGAACGTCAGCGATGGCTGCATGCATACGTGGATCAAGGTCGCCGCATGCATAAACGAGGCCACAGTCCATCGAAGCTTCTGACTCCTGAAATGTTACCTAGTGTGTCAGAAATGGCGCTGCCCCCTTCTGTAACATCAGAAACTCCCGGATCAACTCAGTGCTCGCCTAAAAGCTTGGCTTCGCCACGCTCCCCCCATTCTATTCAGGCACAAATTGATCGTCTTGAACAAGAGGTTAGTGTCTGGTCTCCTGCAGTGCATGCTGTATGGGGTCTATGGGGCGTTGTAATTGCTGGTGACGAAATTTCCATGTTGTTAGATCACATGAAAAAGTACGTGCAGTCCACGCCGCAGGGTCTGGTGGTGGACGTCAAAGCTTTGGACGACGACGCACATTCCAAAGCTGATCATTCGGAAGAGTTTGATAATTTGCGCTTTGCACTGGGGCGCTTTGAAATGTTCCGACAGGAGCTTGAAGAACGGGGTGTACGGCCACAGTCACAGGTACAGTTGCACAAAACATAGTCGTAAGGCCATTATTACCGCGGCCTTCATTGACTGACTTTCTCGTTACACTGGATCGAGGATAATTAATAGTAACATATGAGAGGAGAGGGAAAAGAGAGAGATTCAAGTGAGTCTACTGAGCTAAAGTCTATGGAAACATTAGGCTTTCTCAGCTTCTTTATCCGTATTCGCCTTACTAGACTGTTCTGACTTAGCTTCTTGCGATTGTGTGTTACCAGGTTTTTCTGCTGAAGTTTCGGCATTGTTCTCAGCCCTCGACAGTTTCTCTTCTTGAGACTGCACTTCTGGCTTCTTTTCAGGTGACGACTGATCAGCGGACTCGCTTCCACCCTCCTTGTTGTTCTTGTCGTTGCTGACTTTGTCGTCAACCTGGTCAAGGCCCGACGACTGGCTCGATGCGCCTGCACTATTCACAGCGGCATCGCGTGTCACCAACTTCATTATGAGGTCAAACACTTCCTTGGGCACTGCTTTTTGGTAGATCATCACAAGCTCCACAGGGGCGGGATACACTTTCAAAGCCTTAAAGAAAGCAATCGCGGCAGGAACATGGTAAGCTGCACCTTGGGCAAAGAGTGCTTCGCCCGTCGCGACCTGCTCCATGAAAAAGGCCTCTTTCTCTTGCACACCAGACGGCAACGCGCCTGGCTCGGCAGCATCGCGGACAGCCTTCTCAATCATCATTGTCTCTTGTTGAGCCGCTGCTTTGAGTTCTCTCTTTGCTTCCTTCATCGACTGTTTAGATTGCTTACGCAGCTTCTTACGGAACATAGGATCATTCCTACGCTTGTAATCAAAGTACACTGCGTAGCCAATAGCAGCCACGGCAAATGTTGACGCTGTCGCTGAAAGGACCGTCGTTAGCTTCATTGTATAAATAAGTCAATTCGACGCTCAGATCCGCCTGTATGGCGCCTTTCCAACGAACAAGCGACCGCTCTCGCACTGCTTGACCCCTTCTTGCCTCGTCATATTCCCACCCGATTTTTCCATGTAAAACCTTTCATTACCCATCCAGTTAGGCAATAAGTAGCTTGTGTGCATCCATCCCGGGATCACGTGATAGACGATCTACCCTTGACGTGCACGTAGGGCCCCAAATGTGGTGGTCTGGGCGTGCAGCAATGAAGGCGCTCCGCCACAACTGTCGATGCGCTCTGGGACAAACCCGTTTCGGCGCGCGCAGGTGCCGCCGAATACGTCAATCTCTACACCGGTCACCGCGCCGCACATTCAACCAATAGAGCTTGATTTGACACCGCTTCGTGCGCATTATCTCAAAAAGACGCTGGTTTCTCTTCAGTTGGAAGAAGAATTAAAGGCAATTCACCGCCCTGATGTGCTTGAACTACTTGGCCCGCCATTCCGTAGCTCAAAACGAATACAGAATGACGAGTTGCCTTTGTTTCGTCACATATTGCACCAATTTGTGCTCACGTTCCCATTTTTCCAGAGTGCATCACCAGACTTTTTCTCCAACAAAGTGCAGCTTTTTGTGGAACGCATGCTGGAGCGAAACCTTATTGTCCTGGATGAGTTTGACAACAGTCATCATTCATCGTCGATGGTGCAGAAAACAAAAGCGTACTTGACCATGCTCTTGAGTTCTGGTTTGCATGCACAGGGCGTCGAAGAAGATATTGTTCGCATCTGTGAAAATGACCGCCAACGCCTTTCATCTTTAGATGCTCGTCGACATGCCGCGCAAGATCCTGGACATGCATTCACGACAAAAGTCAACATTGTTTGTGTCCGACGAACGCTAAGTCGTGGTCGAATTCGCCACAAGACCCTTGATGACTTTATCATTGCCACTCATTTGAACAATGACGAAATTTACGTAGCAAGACGGTACAAGGATTTCCGTCAACTACACCAACAGCTCCGTGCTCTTTTTCCAACGGAGGATCTGCCAGATCTTCCTCCAAAAGATATGTCATCCACGGAAGTGCAAGGATCTCTCCAACCAGACTCGAATGAAGAGTGGACGGACCTGACGGCCGTCACACCGAACTCGCTCGTACGCGAGACAAATCGCTTGACGCTACGCGCGTTCCTGCGCAGCATTCTGGCGGTGCCATCTGTGGCTGATAGTGAAATATTTCAGGAGTTCTTGACGGGTGATCCGACATTCCTAACGAGTGAAGACAAGGCAGATGTCGAGATTAGAAGACGAGCTGATGCTGTTCGAGAGTCCCAGCATCGAGAATTTGCGGACAAAATGGCTGAGCGAGTTCGTGACTTGCAGCTGCATCTTGACTCGTTTAAGTCCATGCTGAAGCAACCGGATGGATTGAGCCATGTTTTCTCCACAATCCGAGAGTGCGCCCATGTCGATGAGCTCCCACCAGAATACAAGGTCCTAGTAGATTGGGCGACTGTATCCATGGCTTCAGGTCTTTTTTCGATGTTCGTCGGTCGCGACTCATCATCCCGCGCATTTGCCCACCTGAAGTACATGCACTCCATGATGCCTTATTTTGTGATTCGCAATATTCTTCGAATCTCCAATCCCGTCGCCATGTTGCGCTCTTTTCTAGACTTGTTCCTTGCGCAGCCCTTTGGTCAAAAAAGCCTTTTGCAAAGAATGTACACGGGTAAGCTGACTGAAGAATTAAATGAGATTAAAGACCTGTCAGCGACTGTACGTGCCAAGATACCCGATCCTCTATATGCCCGTAAAGTACAAGAATTTGTGGCTCTTCCCTACGACATGCAGTGTCTGTTCCACGAGCAAGCAAATGCCGAAAAAAATGACATACTTACGGTTCTTCTTCGCTCGCCTTTGACTGCCGAACTAAACACCCAGCAAATGGAACAAGTTAATCGAGCCAATATAGCGTACCGGCGTTTGAGGCGACAGAGGGCACATGCTCATTCACTCGGCGTTCCCGAGCCTGAGCCCAACTCAGATGATGCATGGCTGTTAGAGGACCTACATGTGTACCTTAACTTGTGTTCAGCTATGCACATTAAGGAACAACTCATTGGTTTGATCTACGATCACGCAACTACTGATTTACTTAAAGACATGGTGACGATCTTTTATGCGCCTCTCGCGCAGGTATATCGTGTAGCCAATATCAGTGACACGTTGGGCGAGATTCAAGTGTTCATTTCTGATCTGATTAAAACTGTCGATGACCACACAGCTCTGCAGGCTTCTAATCCTGATGCGATGGTAAGTGCGTTTGTTAACTTGGTCCAGCGACATCAACAAACATTTTACCATTTCGTGCATCAGGTCCACTCGAAGGGGTCCGATCTCTTCCAGCGTCTTATTCGATGGGTTGAGCTCTTTGTCAATTATGTGCGAGATCCGCGCGAGCCAGAATCTTGTGGTTTAGGATGGATCAATCTTGAGCAATGTCTTACTGACAGCCGCGTAGATCGTGCTCGTGTCATGGCCGAAGTCGATGAAGTGATCCGATTTGTATACCACCGCAAACTTCAGCGAGAAATCAAGCGCCGGCGCAAGATGGCTCGTAAGGTTGTTTCAGGTGCAGCTGACACTCCTCAAGAAGAGCAAGCATTTATGAATACCATGACAGAACAGTTTGGCTTTGGTACAGGCCTGCAGGATGAGATCGAAGAGCTTGACAAATCGGAATTAGAATCAGAATCAACCGACTCGTCAGACGATGATTCAGGGCCTGAAGATGCCGATGCTTCAGCCATTCGACGTGAACGAGTTGCTCATGCTCGCACGACACCATCAACACCTGACTTCTATTCGTCCGAACCGAGCACTCCGACGATTCGAGCTATGCTGCCGACACTACAGAGAGTTTTGCGAGACAAGATAAACTCTCGTACGAACCCCATTTGAAGGCTATGACAATGTATCTCCATCAATCATCCAAAAAAAACTTTTTGTAGACAATTCCATGTTTATCACCTACATACGGGTTTTAATAATTTAGTCCTTCTTTTCACCCTCGCCAGAGTTGTTGCCGCTGCTATTGTCCGCCTGGGAACGGCTCTCATATACCTTTTTGAAGAGACCCAGCGAGGCCTGTTGAGTCTCGTCGATCTTTGCCTTGATCTCATCCGCATTCACACCATCATCGCCTGTAACACCGCGGCTGGCAATGGCCTCAAGTTCCTCGACCAGCTTTTGAACCTTTTCAGCCTCTTCCTTGTCAATTTGGTCCTTGAACTCGCCCATTGCCTTGCTGGTCTCGCTGGCAACGCTCTGCGCACGGTTGGCTTCCTCAATCACAACACGACGGGCTTTATCGGCTTCAGCGTGCTGCTCAGCATCATTTACCATACGCTCAATTTCTTGGTCAGAGAGACCTGATCCAGCGGCGATAGTCATACTCTGGTCCTTGTTGGTGGCCTTGTCCTTGGCGCTTACGTTCACGATACCGTCAGCATCAATGTCAAACGTAACCTCGATCTGAGGCACGCCCTTTGGCGCTGGAGGAATACCAGTGAGCTGGAAGTTGCCCAGCAGCTTGTTATCCTTGACAAGCTCACGCTCACCCTGGTAAACCTGGATATCCACAGCCGTTTGCCCATCGGCTGCAGTCGAGAAGACTTGACTCTTTTTCGTGGGGATCGTTGTGTTGCGGTTAATCAAACGAGTGAACACACCACCCAAGGTTTGAATACCGAGCGAAAGCGGAGTCACATCGAGCAGCAGAATGTCTGTCACATGACCAGAAAGGACACCGCCTTGAATCGAAGCGCCAATAGCCACGGCCTCATCTGGGTTTACACCCTTCGATGGCTCGCGCTTAAAGATGCTCTTAACAGTCTCCAGTACCTTCGGCATGCGGCTCATACCACCAACCATAATGACGTCATTCACATCCGTTGGTTTGACGCCGGCATCACTGAGGGCCTTGTTGCATGGCTCAACTGTGCGTTGAATCAACTTTGAAATCATGCTCTCAAGCTGGGCACGTGTCATCTTGGTGTTGATGTGCTTAGGTCCCGAAGCATCCGCCGTGATATATGGCAGGCTAATGTCCGTCGATGAAGTGCTCGAGAGCTCGATCTTGGCCTTCTCGGCCGCTTCGCGAATACGCTGAATAGCCATGCGATCCTTGCTCAAGTCAATGCCATTTTCCTTCTGGAACTCCTTGACAAGGTGCTCAACCACTACAATATCAAAGTCTTCACCTCCCAGGTGCGTGTCACCGTTGGTCGACTTGACCTCGAACACACCCTTGGACATCTCAAGAATAGAAATATCGAATGTACCACCACCCAAGTCGAAAACGGCGATTGTGGCACTGTCCTGGCGGTCCAGACCGTATGCCAGAGCGGCAGCAGTCGGCTCGTTAATCACACGCAGTACTTCAAGACCAGCAATTGTACCAGCGTCCTTTGTGGCCTGACGCTGGGAGTCGTTGAAGTATGCAGGCACAGTGATCACAGCATGCTTAACAGACTTGCCGAGGTAGCCAGAAGCAGTATCCTTGAGCTTGCCGACAATGAAAGCACCAATCTGCGATGGGGAATACTTCTGACCACGAGCTTCGAGCCAAGCATCACCGTTTGTGTGAGCAACAATCTTGAATGGAACGTTGTCAATGTCCTTCTGCACTTCACGGTCAGTGAACTTCCGACCGATCAAACGCTTGGTAGCAAACAATGTGGCCTCTGGGTTCACGACGGCCTGGCGCTTGGCCGGCAGACCAACTAGGCGCTCACCATCTTTACTGAAGGCAACTACCGATGGTGTCGTACGACCTCCCTCCGAGTTCTCAATCACGCGGGCTTGTTGGCCTTCCATAATCGATACACACGAGTTCGTCGTACCCAAGTCAATGCCGATCACTGGGCCGGACACTTTGCCAGAGTTGAAACGCACACCACCAACACTGGAAGCACGAAGCGACTGCGAGAGCAGGCGGCCCGAAGTGGGCGCCATTCGAAGTCCACGAGTAAGTGCGCCAATCATGGTGTTTAAGGGTATACCTTCAGGATAGCGCTGTGTGGCAAACGAGGTGGCACTTTTTCGCTTCTTGTACGAACCAACGTGTACGCGCCTTCCGAAGCACTCCGCCTTCTTTGGCCTTCTGCGGCTTTCTGCCTCCACGTGGCTCTCACGTGGGAAAAAGTTGAATCGTTCTAGCTCGTCCAACCTTGTAAAGCATTTATCTTCGTCGTTATGAGTCGCAATACTCATGAAGCATTGTCATTCATGTTTCTAATGGTACTGAGAAAATTTTAGAGATCTGCACCTAACATCATTCAACCATGAGCTTTTTTCGCAGCAATAGTATGTGATTAATCAAGCTTTGCAACATATAACTGTCTAAAGTAGTTGACATGAAAGAGAAACATTGAGTGTCAAGCAATTTCCCCTCTTCGACAGAATAAAGTCAAGGTTGAAAGGATCTGTTATATCCTACAACCTCGGATGTGTGAGTGAGGATTTTTGTGTGTTTATGTTTGTCTATGTCTTCGGGTTGTGCTGAAACGAATCAAACCGAAAAGCGCCGAAAGATAAGGCGTCGTTGTCAGTCACAATGCAGGCCAACAGTGGGATGCTTTGTTACATATGTATCCGAACTAATGCGATTGCCAAAGACGAGAATAACCATGGAGTCTCTAGTGCGGACCAAAGACAGAAGTTTAGGTTGACAGCCTATCAGGATGTCTAACTTGCTCTGTATGAAAGTGCCCTTGTGGCGACAGATACTTCCGAGAGCAAATCGCATATGTTCAGGACCCATGTGACGTGGACATCGAGAAGAGAACACTCACAGCCATAGGTGAGTATTTACCTATCACAAATCCTGCTATGTATAAGATGCTTTCCCAATATGAACAAAAAGATTGAAGTGATATTATATTTGGTGAGCGAAGCCGGAGAAAAGTCAGCCTCGCTGCGTTTCTTTTTGAAGGTATGCCTGCCAGACGGAAATAAGCTGCTTTCCCACATTAGGCTCGAGTTCTGTTCCGTCACGAGAGACTTTGATGAGACGGTTATCACGCCATGGATTCCGCAGGTTGTGAATCTCAGAAAATGGCAAGGGGGTTGTTGTTTTCCATTCAATATAGAAAGGTTGTCCCACGTGCAAAGATCTTGACGCGTGTATTGGACTCAAGGGACTCGACTCATCAGCTGAGCCAGAACGTAATGGGGTAGAGGCATCTGATGGACCATTCGCTTGAGTACGATGGCGAAGTGATTGCGAGTCTAAATCAGAAGCAGTGGCTTCTGTGTCCAGACGAAGATTGTGCAGCTTGGCGCGCACAGCTAGGTCTTCTTGAACCTGATTATCAGCATCCATAGATGGTGTAAGAGACACATCAGAAGCGAAGGATGATGGCCTGTTATTCTCTGGAACAGAATCTTTGGCCTCATGGGCCACATGCGCCGATGAAATAGGGTGTGGCTCATTGTGACCGGGTTCTGGACCGCCTGAAACTTCCAGGGATTGCGAGACTTTATCTTTGTCTGACGAAAGATCACTCTGCGACAGGGATTCAGTTGTGGGAAGCGCCCGACCAGGGCGACTAGTCATAACAGCATAGCCGAAGAATTGACCGCTAAAATTTTCGCTGAAAAACAAAGTCACCTGCTCACTGTTGCGGAAAGCCTGGTCGAGCACGGGTTCATTATGTGGCTGCGTGCACCACACATTGGTTCGGAGGGCCGTCACCAACGCATCCGCAGATCTCGACTTAAGAATAAAGTAGCGGTTCGAGAAGTACGGATGCGCAAGTAGGGACGAGTTTGTCGAGGAGAACGAACGCTCTTCGGCATCTTCCAATACACATTCGCTTTGACCCAACTCGAGAAAACGTTCTTTCTCGAGCTTTCGCTGATGACGGAACCAGTTGGTATGCACACCTTTTCCACGCTGAGCAGCAACGCCTGCGTATTCTGCATCTTCCAGCTTTCGAGGACGACATACCATGCGTGGACAAGACGACTTTGTGCGCAGGGGACGTCCATGAAAATACGCGCATGCTCTTTCTAGGTGTTCTCGAGAAGCATAATTCACAAATGCACAGCTTGAACGAGAAATTATAAAGATTGACAAAATTCCGGCAGGGTTGTCTGTCTCATACACACATGCAGGTCCAGTTGCTTCATTGGGTTCATCAGCAGCTGTCCCGGAGGACACGACCGATGCACTAAAGTTTTCTGGAATACTGCTGAAAAACTCCCAAAGCTCTTCGAGAGTGGCATCAGAAGGCACATTGCCGCACCACATGACAAAAATAGAGCGTGTGCCATTTACCTGGTTATCAGAGGAAGCTCCGAGTATGTTCCGAGCAGCTGGGGCATTGCGTTCTTGTTTCTCAGAGGCACATGCGACCGTATCAGTCAGCTGTGAGGAAGTAGGGACAGAGGGTGGGGGGATTAGCACGGACTCGTTCGACACTGACGGTGTCACTGGCTCAGTTGAAACTTCTTTCACACGCTGCTTTTGTTTTTGCGTATTCGAACTCGGAGCAGGACGGTTGGAAACTTGCGGTTGGGTACTGCGACGACGACGAGCGGAATTAAAGCCATGCGACTTGTCAGAGTACGGTGCCCTTTCATATGATGGCACAGCATAGCCCGGTGATACGGGAACAGGTGGCTGAATCAAATGAGGGGGATGCATGGTGGCGCCAGAGGAGAAATTGTAAAAATGACGCGGGTCATGGTATACGTAACGACCATAAGCATTGCTAGCACTTGGGGATGGCAAGGCCGGATACATAGAAGAACTAGTGTTCAAATACATAGGGTCTGATGGCGAACGAGAGTCGAAACCCAATGGAACGGGAGACACGGCATCTGTAGCAGGATATGCTTGATGCTCGGGGTCATGTCCCATAGGAGTGGCCATAGTGCCTTGAATAGACGGCGAAGGAAATGTGTAACTAACCATGGGGACAGTTGATGGGTCAGGGAAGCATACAGATCTTTGATATACGGGCATAGAATAATACACTCCAATCGGATATGGTGCCATAATGGCAGACCCAGTCCCGAGAACTTCATTTGAAGTAGAATCGCGCTCAGGCACATTGGTACGTGCAACGTCCGCTTGTGAATAAGACGAAGGCTCTGAGGGCGGAAAGGCCGTCGAAAAACTAATAGATTGATCTTGTGGATAATATCCGAAGTACAAATAGCGGTTGAATGGGTACGGATCTGTTGCTTGAGTGGGAGAAATACACAATTGGCCGGGATATTTTTTTCCTGAGGACATTTGCAGGCTCGTGCGTTCGTCTGAGCCCACATGGCGCGGTTGATTATCAGATGGATTGCGAGTCGTGTGTAAGCCTGGCCTTGGTGTACTGTCAATTGTGGATTGATCAAGATTAAAAGATGCAAAGCGTCTCTGCTTCTCAGCGCTTGATCGAGAATCTACTTCAGTCTGAATAGAGGAGGTGGCACGCTCTCGAGGACCTTTTGAGTCAGTGTGGCAATTCAGGAACATACCTTGCGATAACTCGCGCGCAGCACGCGTGTATTGTGCTGAATTAGCAGAGTCATTTTCCTGTGAAGATCCCCCTTTACAGCTCCTTTCCATACAATACCAGCGAGAGCCACTGGTTTACCAAACGCGTAAAAAGCGCTAGCGTCACGATAAGTTCAGAACTTCGACAAGCTCTGATCACTCGCGTATAAAAGAGGGGCCGGAGACTAGCGCGACAAACCCAGTCAGGGCTTCGCTATCAGATCTCCGTGAACTTTCGAAGTCCGATGCAGACAAACGAGCTCTCTGGGTCTAACGCCTTCCCGGCAAACGTCTAAAGTGTTCAAAGACTTGGAACTAACGCGTCAGCCAACCTTTTGCCTTTAAGGCTTCCCGGGGTACAAATTCGTATATTCAAGAATTCATCCAATGACATTGTCGAGCAAGAATAGTCAGGTGTGAACCCTTCGTCTATGGCGATCTTTTTGGGTCCAGTCTCCTCCCGGCCTTTCGCCAAAATGTGGTCGCACAATTGGATCCTTCTCATTTGCTAGTATGCACTCATAATTGAAATACAAAGCGAAAAAATCCAATGAATGAGCATAAAGGCAGTGGTAATCATGAAATATTATTTTGTGATTTAATTAGATTTTCGTGTACAGCCAATATTTTGCTGCGTTTTCAATATTCGACGCTGGCATGTCCCCTGCTGCATAAGGGATCTAATGTATATGGCCGTTGAGGTGGTTTGCAAGTTTCCGAGACCCTGAAGAACGTCACGTTTTTTCATAGAGGGTCTAACTGATGCGTTTCATACATTGGCTCAATTATTCGCCGGATTTTATCGGCAAGCGCGGAACATGAAGTCTTGACGCCAAGGTGGAAATAAACATTCAACAAGACTTTTCCGTATGCCTCGCTAGATTCGGACGATCAAGGTGGGCTTAGAGCTCAATTCTGATAGAACGGTCATGGTGCCACCTGCATTCTTCTTGAGTTTATGAGATAAGAACATGATGAGATGCTTTATGCGATAACTTCTCAATTACATAAACTCCCGATGCTAGGGAAGCGTTTGCGACTTGATCTTCATGCTAGGAAAACGAATGAAAATGACTCGTTAAAATGACGAAATACTCCAGCACGAATTTGCGCTAGGAGACCGAAAGGCCCGAATGCAGCATACAAATTTCAATATGCTTCTTTGATACTACGAGAAAAGGTAACGTAGCATCCGCGAGGTCCCTCCGCGCGTGTACGATAAAATAAGTTACATGAGTAAAAAGAAGGTCCACGCGGGGCTCGAACCCGCAACCCTCAGCTCGCTCTACGCGAGGTATCAGCATAGAAGGCTGATACGCTACCATTGCGCCAGTAGACCTAGCTATCACAGGATAGCATTGACTTAACCGTTATATAGCCATGGAAAAATAATTTCATGTAATTCATTCGCATCGATGGCGCGTCATGTCCCTTCGCAGTTGTGACTTTTCTAGTATTGCGAAAAAGTATCCTTGACGTGCGAGCGCGACATGGTGTCGTCGGAAGAGCATGTGCAGGTACTATCCGAAGAGATGGAAGTTCTAGAGAGTATCTACATTGAGGAGCTAGAAAGTAAGCATGTCGTCAGAGTGCTCACTCAGAACTGTCGTCAACACACTTGCGGATCCGCGTCGTGCCTGAGGATTACGATGAAATGAAACAAGGTTTGTGACAATGCACTGAATATTTTTCTTACTCAAATGAAAGACCCTGTTTTAAGTCTTGACGTACAATATACAGAGCAGTACCCAGATGAAACACCAACGCTTAGTATCAAGGTTCTGGAAGATGAAAAACAGATACTTGGAGAGTCACTGCCACAGACATCACCTGAGGAAGAGCTTGAAAATAACCAGAGTGACCCACGGGAGGGAGTGCAATTTTTGCAAAAGGAACTTGAACAGGTAGCAAGCGAGTCGCTTGGAATGCCGATGGTCTTTACATTAGCATCGCATCTCCGCGAGGCACTAACAGACTACATGACTCGGCAGGCACAGCAAGCAGAAAAAGACGCACAGAAGAAGCGGGAAGCTGAGCTACGTGCAGAGGAAGAAAAGTTCCGAGGCACGGCCGTCACGTTGGAGCGCTTTAAGGTCTGGCGCGTTGAGTTCATGAAGAAACAGGCAGCGCTCAAAGCCGAAAAGGAAGAGGCACATATTGCATCACTCACGCCGAAAGAACGTGAAGAGTACCGTCGCATGAAAGCAAAACCTACGGGGCGAGAGATCTTCTCCAAACCCGATGCACGCGTGGAAGAAGAAAAGGTGACGGACGAAAGCGTCAAGGAAGTCGACTTTTCGTTGTACTCAAGAGAAGAACGCGAGAAGCTTGCGCGAGAGGGTGAGGAGCAACGAGGTGAAGAAGATCAAGGGTATGTAGAAGATATGGACGAATAAAATCATGGCAAGCCAGCTGAAGAGACGGTCAGGAGAGAATGTGCCGCGTCCAATTCATTCAAGGATGTAGAGATCCGCGAGTTCCACGCCGCATTCTTTGGTTCGTCGCCCAGATAGACAGCATATGTGACTTGATCAACTCTGCATTCAGTAGGAAGTTTTCCCTGAACAATAAGCCGAGCAACAGCCGATTCACACGCATCAGCATCATTACCTAGGCCCACGAGCTCAGCTAGAACCCGTAGAGAAACACGTGAAAACACTCTTGCCGCGGCACAAATATTGTGCTCGGCCCATACATGCAAACCGTCAGTCTGGAGGTGGTCATCAACATAGGGTGATACGGCCTTCACATCACACGCGCCTAAAAACCGGCCTTCGCTGGCCTTTCTCAAGACTTGTACAAACGGCCAAGTAGATGAACAAGGATCACGAAGAATTTGAGTAAGCATATGCGTACGCTGAATGCTTGGTGGCGCAAAGAGAGCATACAGGGACGCCAGCTGTACGGCAGATACGTCCGCACTGGATGATGCATACCAAAGGTCCATGTATCTGGCTGCTGCATCGTAGTAGCGGTGCTGTGCGGCAAAAACACGCGCCTGACAGATCCAGAGCTCCTGCACCAGAACTTCATTTTCCCGTTCTGCATGGATTGCAGTGTTTGCGCGCTTCAGCGCATGCTCGGCTTGAGATAGACAAGGCACCTGGAGCCACAAGCGCGCAATCCAAACGCTGAGTTGCGCCCATGACGTATCAGGAGCACGACGCGCGGCATCTGGCGTAATAGACTGTAAAACTTGAGCTGCATCCTTCCATTGAGATAGCGCCTCATGTTGCTTAGCAAGAAGCAAGCGGAACGCAACCAGTTCATCGTCCCACAAGGTGGCGGAAGATTCACAGGGTATGAGGATGCATTGGAGAGCTTGTACGAACATGCATGATGATGCTAGTGTGTGAGACGGCGTTTGATGTGCACGTAGCAGTTTCGCGCGCATGTCAGCCAGAACGTGACGACCGACCAGCAATCCTGCGCCTGTCGTGTTCACACGATCCAACACGGCATGGCGTACGAATGTGTCGATCGATTCGATCAATGCAGTATCATTATCTTGTGTCTCGCAAAGCAACTGTTCAAAAATGTCACTGTACTGCGCAGCACGTTCACTTGTGCCTACCACTTGCGCCACTGCTGCTAGCTGCGCTTCTCGTAATGCCATAACGCCAAGGAGCCGCACGAATTATATCGGCCGAAGAACAAGCCTGGGAGCACCTTCGCATAAATTAGATGATGACGCGCGTGCGCGTGGGGGCCCAAAAGTTGGAAGCACCTACCCTCAGCTCAAGGGAATTCAATTTCTTCTGGGCCGGCAGCGCTTTGAGCCACGTGTTTGTGCCTGGGCCATCCTCTATCACTATCGATATGGAAGGGGTCAGCGTTGTTGACGGCAGGGATATCGACCTCACGTCCATCGTAGACAAATCCTTGAGAGGATGGGCACGAGTGCGCCACCTCATGTATGTGGCAGACCATGTACCCGCGCTTCGTTGTACTGCCTCGGCTGAAGCGGCCCAATACCTACAGAAACACATGTGGGACGTGGCGACATTCCGACGATTGTGTAAACAGGCCGGTCCTGCTCTGTGCGTTGAAGACATAGAGGAATGGTGCACGTCAACGGAAACACATGTGCTTCGAGAGCGTGAGCGCCTCAGGACCGAGTTGAATGCGTATTCAACGAATCGTGTACAGGAAAGTGCTCGACTAGCACACCATGACCTGGGCGACCATTATCGCAAATGCGGAGCATGGAATCAGGCTTTAGAGCACTACGAAAGCGAGCGCGAGTTTGGTACTACGAATGAGCATGCGCTCGTGTCGTACATGAGTGTGATGCAAACGGCCTATGAGGCTGGCGAGCCTACTCGTGTTTTGGCATGCTACGATCAGGCAGACACCATATGGCAGGCACTAGAAGGGACGCTGGTGACACCCAGTGCATCAGATGCATGGAGGACAGTGCTAGCAGCTGGTTACGTGTCGGAAGCGCAGCCAACATCGCTAGCGACGCATCGTGACGTGCGTGCAAGGCTCATGGCCTGGCGAACTCTAGCTCAGTGGTCACTTTGCGATGTACGAGGGAGTCTGCCCGAGCCCCACATTGATACTCAGCAAGTGGAAGTTTACACTGACATTATTGGAGCTCTGCAGTATGCATGGTATTTGGTTCTATGGGCTCTGTGTACAAACACGCCATCTTTGCAACGAAAGCGTGTGATGCAGGTGCTCGAGGACCCTGTCTTTCTAAGCCATACCGAGACGGTGCCGGCTGCGAGGACCGTGTTAAATGCATACCTTGTATCTGACTGGGCACTGTGCGTCCACACACTGCGCAACGCTTTGCCTGTCTGGCAAAGTGATCCGACAATCGGCGTGCAGCGAGGTCGGGTTTTGTTGCACGCAGTGATCATGCGCCTGGTGAAATGTCACGTCCAGGCATATGAACGAGTATCGCTTTCTTCCCTTAAAGGCCTTTTTGGCTCGAATGTATCACACATGCTGATAGAGCTAATTCAGCACGGAGCGTTACATGCACGCATCGACTGGGCTTGTCAAGTGCTCGAGAAAGAGGCGCCGTGTCTTGCTCCGCGGCATATCTCTGATCTGACTGCGTTGCGCGAACGCATGGCGCTCGTCCAGCGCATGACCCTCGACAAGCAATGACGGTAGCACTGTTTCTCTTGTTTTGGCTTGTTTGGATGAGGTGCACCATGAAAATGTGCGAAAAGCATCACCAAGGACATATTTGCGCTCGCCTCGTCTCCTCTTGTGACAGACCCAAAGAATGGAAAGAAAGCTGAGAACAATAAACAAGAGTGAATAATATTTGGCAAAAGAATGATCAATCGATCGGCTAATGCCTGGCTCAACTTCTGCTCTGGCCAACACTAAGTGTTCATATATCACCAAATGGAGCCACCGGGCTTGGTAGTAGACGACCAAGTCATGTCACAAGTTCCTGGAGCGACTGCAGCGGCCCCATCAGACAAGGTCGACCATGCCCAAGGGCTCGTCCAAAGATGAGAAGGCCATCCTGTTCCTGCTGCGCCAGGACCTGTCTGTGGTGACATGCCCGAGGGCGCCGATGACACGTCAGCAGTGGCCGATGGCGCTGTAGAGTCACGCTTGCGGTGACGGCCTTGTACGATGAACCATGAGTCTTGGGTCCGTGATGCATCCATGGCACGCATGGCAAGATCCACAGGATCGTCCGTTTCGTCCGTCCCATGCGCACGCGAAACGAACATCGAGCGGCGATTGTCAAATGCAAGGCCACATAGATCCGACTCCGCCATGACTTTGACATCGACCATGATATCAATGACCCTGGCATAATCCGACCCAGCATCCACACAATCGTGTCGCTCCAACACAGGCAGTGCAAACTGAGAGTCATCCATGTGGTGCATGGAGCGGCGAATGGGGCCCAGATAGCGAAGATCGTCATCTTCAGCAACACGCACAGCCACGCGACCAGAATCGTCGACTTCTTTGGCATTCGGTAGCAAGTCAAATGGGTAGGCAGCTCGTAGCAGGTTGACAAAGTCAATGAGCGAACTCCAGAACGATGCAATTCGCGCATCAACACTGCGTTCTATGCAAGCAAAGCGGGCGATGGAATCCGTGGCAAGGCATGATGCAGACTCCTGTTGGTCCACAATGTTTTGAAGATCTTGGGCCGTAATCGCAGCAAACGTCCGGCACGATGCAATGTATTCAAGATGACCCTTGACCCACTTTAGCCCGATACGCACAGTCGGAAGCGTTCGTCGAAGAACACGGCCGATGTCTAAGAGCTTTTGCTCCTGATTCGATGGCAACGCACGCATCGAGTTCATTAGCTCGTGCCGATTCACAGAGAGCAACGCCGTGAGGATGCCCAGGACGTGACACACAAGCATAGTCTCCCATCCATGGCGCACAAACTCGTGGAGCAAATCTTGGTCGATGTATCGGGAATAAGGCGCACCGACAGAGAAGGGTAGGCGTTCATGCAATGGCGCCCGACACAGCCGTGCCGTCCATGATGCGCACATACCCGATACTAGCATACGTAAGTAGTCTACAGCACGCAGTTCGTGCAGATCGACAGTGAGGAGCAAGTGGCGCTGGATGGCATCGTTTAAAATGCATGCCGTGTCGAAGTCAGCTCGGAGAAAACACAAGCTGTGAAACTCGACAATTGACCACAAAAAATCTGCCGCCGATTCCCATCGTGCGCTAATCATTGGCATCGGCACACGAATCGCAGGGCTATCCTCCAGAGCCGCCTGACGCCAAGCCAGCAGGACATCATCGCGCCGTTGCGATGACGTCCACGTCTGAAGTGCTTTTTCAAAAAGACGCTGCAGATTAAAACGTGCGTTTTCAAACGGCGATCGCACACAAAGAGCGCGATAGTATTGGTACATCGCTCCAAATGTATCGCCCACGCAGATCGCTACAACAGCCAGCTGGTTCGATGGATTGCCATAGTCAGGGAGCAGAGTATGAGCCTCGTGATAGAACAAGACTGCGCGCGTGAAATTGTAGTGCACCTGGGTCGATGTGCGTGCCGCGGAGTGCAGCTCACGATACCGAAGCAGATCGCCCATGCAAGTCAGCATCCGCTGCAGGATCTCGAACAACTGATGCCGGTGAGCTGGTGTCTTGGCCGCTTCCGCCTTGACAGGATCCTCGACGTCAATTGTGGCCCGAATGCCTAGAGTGTCCAAGACATCCTGAGCTTCTTTCAATGCATACAGCTGTGCAAGGCGCACAATGGTATCTTGATAAAACTCAAGCTCTTCAGTGATGAAGCGTAAAAGCACCTGAGTCAGCCGTTTCTGGTCATTCGGCTTGCCTATGCTTTTTCCGCGTTCTTTCTTGCTTCTCTCACCTTTCCCGCTGCCTTGCTGGCAAGAAGTAGGATTTGTGGCCTCACCCGTTTCTTGCTGTGTCTTGGCAAGACGTCCCCGTAAGTACGAGACTACACTGTACGTGGTGTCGGACCAAATCATCGAATCGACCAGTTGTGCCGCACGAGTGAATGGATATGATAGGAGGAGTGCCACATACACGGCCCGAAGTGCTTGTCGTGCTTTCACAACCGGGCCATGGTAGGGGTCATAGACGCGACCTGATGTTATTGGCATTGAAGCATCGCGTATAGCCTCTTCTAACGCCTGCTTGCGGACGCGCGCCTCACGGCGCAAGGCCGTCGGTTCTACATTCATCACGGTACCTACTACAAAGACACACCGCGACGTAGTATGAGCCTGTTTTTCTCCTGAACGGGGACCGTGCTTACTAGTGAGATTGACCTCCTCTCAGCCCTCAGGCCTACACTTCATGAATGTAGATGGATGTCTAGCCCTCTTCAGTCGCTCGGTGTGCCTCATTGCTGCGCACGTGACTGCTGGACAAGCCCACCCTGCAAGTGTCATGTACTTCCACACCCTCTGCGCACCTTACTCAAATGCCGTGCGCGAAGTCAAGATCGGCGATCTCTTTCTCTCTCACCCTCTTTGTGGCAGCGCGCAAGTGTGGAGGGGTGAAGCTTTTGTAAACTCAGGAAAATACATAAAATCCTGATGCATGGGCAAACAAAAAGTTCATCGCTCCATCGTCTCACTTGACTAACACATTTTGGCGGATGTCGGATCCGTTCTTTCAGAAAAAGCGAAAACGTAGCAATGATGCCGGCAGTAAGCATCCAACTCAAACGCGACGTAAAGATGCGGACGAATACGAGGATGCCGGTGATATCGGTGCTGTGGAAGATATGAATTTGCAGCACACATACGACGACGGGGATGACGGCGCAGCAGCCGCGGATCGAGAGACTCCCGCCGAAGCTAAAGTACGCCTTGCCAAGCTGTACTTGGAGGGATTGCATGAAAAAGAAGACATTGACGGGATCGATGCGGCTGCAGTAGATCGAGAAAATATTGCTGCCCGGCTCCGTAAGGACGTTGAGGAAGGCAGCGGCCACATGCACATAGCTGTGGCAACACGCATATGTGCACCGAAGCCCGAAGACATCCTATGTGTGCGTGGGCATAGAGCAAGCATGACTTGCGCTCGAACTGGCGCAAGTGCAAAGCATCTCTTCACGTCAGACAAGGATGGGCGCATTTGGCAGTGGCGTCTTCGAGACGGCACCCAAGTCTGTATGATGCCCCGTGGATACGCCCGCGAGTCCGAGTATGTTGGAAGTGCACCAATGTCAAATACGAGTGGTGCTGCTCGACGTCGTGAACGTGCGCGCCGCAGCACGCAATCGCCTATGCCGTCTACATCATCTGCCCCGTACAAGGGCCACGTTACTTTGCAGCCGGGCGAGGGTCATACCAGCGCCATTCTTTCACTGTCTGTGAGTGATGATGGGCGTTTTTGTGCATCGGCAGGCTGCGATAAGCGCATTGGTATTTGGGAGACAACAACGACATCTGCATCGAGTCCGAACGTGCCGACGAGATGGGTCAAAGCCCTGTTGGGCCACAAAGATGCAGTATGCTCTGTTGCATTTCGTGGCGGCTCGACGGAACTATTCAGTGCGTCGTACGATCGCACAGTGAAGCTGTTTGATGCAGCACAGCTGAGTTACATCGAAACTTTGTTCGGACACCAGGAATCCATACAAGACCTTGCTTGCTTGCGTGCTGAACGAGCTGTGACTGCCGGCGGTCGTGAGCGTACATGCCGATTGTGGAAAATCCGCGAAGAGAGTCAGCTTGTGTTCCGTGGTGGCACACGAAGCAAGGTTCATGCGCTTCTTGAAGGTGGTGACCTCGTTGATACCCCAGGCGCAAAAAAGAATGAGGTCCACGAAGGTAGTGTCGATTGCGTATCAATGATCGATGACAATCATTTTGTGAGTGGCAGTGACAGTGGTACCCTGTCTCTCTGGTCCCTTGCGAAGAAGAAGCCCTTGTTTGTCGTGTACGCAGCACATGGCTACGACAGAGCGCATGGAAATACACAGCCTTTGCCCAGGTATATTACAAGCGTTGCGTGCTTACCATACGGCGATGTTTTTGCGTCTGGTTCCTGGGACGGTGTTATCCGCTTGTGGGCGCTGGATTCGAGCTTGCGCTCATTCCGCTTCCTTTTTGATGTGCCCGCGCCTGGCGTTGTCAACAGTCTTCAGTTACTTACACCATCGATCGAGCATATGGACGACTATCCTGTGGTTCCTTCACTTTGGCGTCGTCGCGGTGGTGCACAGGCTCGTTTGGATCCAGTGGCCAAAACGAACGGACATCACTCGAGTGAGCCGCACAAGTCTTCTTCGTCCTTGTCACTTCGCTCGGGACTACACATGTCAGCTGATGGACATGTACTTGGTCACAAGGAAAGTATTCCTCCTCTTCTCATTGCTGCACTTGCCCCTGAGCCGCGTGCAGACCGTTGGATCCGCATCCCAAATGCCGTATCAGCTGCATTGGTGATTCCAATGTGGCTCCTTACGTAGCCACGTGACTTGATGGTCATACGCTTTGGTCCCACTCTCCGCCTTTCTCGCTGTTGTAGCTAGTCCAGACGAGACTTTGCTCTATTGTGCGCCATCCGATAGACGAGCGCTCATCGTTCATGTCGCTGCGTATAGGATCAAGTCGAGATATTTTGACGGCAGATTTCAATCAAGACTGTAGCTGCATCGCGATTGGCACCCAGTCAGGCTACTCAATCACCAACTGCGAACCATTGGGGCAAATTTATGCCAAAGGTACGTCTGCATGTTGTTATGCGTGCGTCGATGCATTTGCATGTCGCATGAACTCATGCGTGTGCAATGCTTGAAGCTCCGCTTACACTGAAGTAGAGCAAGGGCCGACATGCATTGTAGGCATGCTGTTCTCGACCAGCCTGGTTGTCATTGTCGGACGAACGCCAGGTGGACAGAGAAAGCTACAGATCCTTAATACGAAGCGCCAGTCCACAATTTGCGAGCTCTCGTTTCCATCCGACATCTTGACCGTGCGCCTAAATCGCCGGCGTCTTGTCGTCGTGCTTGCGACGTCCATATACGTGTACGATATTAGCAATTTGAAGCTGTTACATACGATCGAAACAGGCGTAACGCAGGATGGCCTATGTGCGCTTGCCTCTGTGTCTGATGAATGCTACATGGTGTATGCGACGACGCATAAATTACACGATCACAATGCAGGTGCCAGCTCAAGTGTCGTTGTCTACAACCTGCACTCGCTCACTATGGTCAACGTGATTCCTGCACATCGCACACGTGTTGTGTGCCTCGCACTTAACTCGAACGGAACAATATTAGCCACTGCGAGCGAAAAAGGCACGGTAATTCGTGTGTTCTCTATCCCCGATGGGCGTCTCATGTACCAATTCCGTCGCGGCACGTACCCAGCCCGTATTTTCAGTATGACGTTCAATGCAGCAAGCACGCTCTTGTGCGTCACGTCGGACTCTGATACAATTCATGTATTTCGACTGTTTGTATCTATAAACAGGCCATTATCGTCCACCAGCGACCCGAAACATGCGCTAGAGCAGAAACGACGATCTTCATTGGCTTTAGCTTCGTCGTGGTCGCCTGTGTCGTCGACGCCGACGACATCATGGCGCCAACGCGGTTTTTCCATGGTACATGCTTTAGGCACATATCTCCCAACATCTCTGGCGGAAATGTGGGAGCCAACAAGAGATTTTGCTTGGCTCAAACTGCCAAAACCAGGCGTTCGGTCCGTTGCTGTGGTGTCGAACTCGCAGCCGGTCGTGCTTGTTCTCACTTATGAAGGCCTGCTATATACTTACGCACTCGACTTGGACTTGGGCGGTGAATGTCATTTGACAAAACGTACGTGCTACCTACATGTGCCTTTGTGCATCTGACATCCAGAACACTCCTTACTCACGACAAACACCTCCACGAGCTCTGTGGCAATCTAAAGCTTTCCCACCATCTGCTGGAGCTCACCGCTTTGCTGAGCACGCAGAAGGTCGTCGCAGCCACCAACGTGCTTGCCTGAAATAAAGATGTTTGGCACCGTACGCTGGCCGGTCTTCTCAGCAAGGTAATTCTGTATATTAGTTAGACACGCTCCCATTCTTCTCCCATAGTTCCGATTCCAACATACCTGGATCTCTGGTCCATCGTTGACCTCATCTAGCTCCAGAGTACCGATCTTGCTGGGTTCCACGCTCAAGCCGGAAATCACTTCCTTCGCACGCTTGCAGAATGGGCAGTAGGACTTGCTGAAGATCGCAATAGCGTTTTCAGAAATCAGTTTCTGTGCTTTGTAAGTGACCACACATAGATCTGCACGCGGGTACATACTTCAGCAATCTGCTTTGCCACCATGTCTGAAGTTCGACGAAACTAAGATTGATGACGAATGCCCCGACGTGGGGACGAGTCAATGAACCAGCACGTGATAGCCTGTCGCGCCCAGCCTTCGACTCCCGAAGGGCCCCGTGCACGGCCCCATCACCTGTCCGACGCGGGCAAATGAGAGGGGACCGGGGCGTTGGAATCGAGCTGTTTGATTCGGTACGCCGTTGAAGTAGGCACAAACCACTCAGGATGTGCATATGATGCTTAGACAAAACGTGGGCCTCAGACGTCGGACTGCTTGTAGGGTGTCTCTGTCTGCATCGAGAGTGCCGAGTTCTAGTCGACACTGTGCTTGGCACTCAGGCGACAGCGAGAATGATGTGAAATCGCTACTATATGGTTAATACATATGCTGTCATAGTACGGTTCATATGGTTCTATGAAAAATAGCTACCCTTTTCTCTCATATGCCAAGACTGTTGGGACTGCGCTATACTATTAGATATGTGATGAAAGATGTGTCTTCAACTGATAACGAGTACGCTCTAATTCTTGGGTCTTGAATCCTTGTATTGCCTGTGCCGCTTCCTCTGCAACAAGACTGCAAGAACTGCTGTCATGGTCGGATGTGGACATTCGAGCGGGGCTGTGTAAGCCATCGCACAGCTAGTGGAGATCTCGAACCAGAGTGGACATCTCAAAAATGGACACATTTGACGTATCTGACAAGCTATTCGAGAAGAAGAAGTAGGCATCAGTACAGCGATAGTCCTTGTATACAGCTTTATACACCCCACCACCAAACGAACGACACCCTACATACGAACTCTAGAACCATCAGGAAGCTGGCGCGTGATTGAACCGTCTTCATTACCGAAGTACGCTGCCTTACAAATGTTGGTAAAAATCCCCACTTCAACCACACCGGTCAAGAGTTTAATCTGCTTCAGCAAGTGATCAGGATTGCGCATGATGGACTCGGGAAAGACGGCATCAATACACAAATTCCCATTGTCCGTGACGACAGGTCCAGCCTTAGCCACAGCCATACGGAGTTTAGCGTCTGTGCTACCGAGCCTTTCCAGCGACTTGAGCACATGTTTCGCAGCGAACGGAGCGACTTCCACAGGCACTCCTTTTCTCCAATTCTCCCCGAGCACCATCGACATTTTCCGAAAGTCTGCAACGACGACAAACTCTTTTGCCGCTTCAGCAAGGACTTTCTCACGCAAGTGACATGCACCTCCGCCTTTGATGAGATTGAGAGATGCATCTACTTCGTCAGCACCATCGATAGTCACATCCAATTGTAGGCCCGTGTCCATGTCGCCCAAGTTGAGATTTCGCTCTATGATGAGGTTCTTGGCCTGGAAGCTTGTCGGCACAAACCTGCAAGAATTGTTCACTTTTTCGCCTCGCTCATAGATCCGTTCTACTACATACGGTACCGTCGAGCCAGATCCAATTCCAATGAGTTGATGGTGTGGCTTGACGTACGCATCCACAGCCGCGTACGCTGCAGCTCGTTTTGCAGATTCAACAGTAGATACAGACTGTGACGAAGAAGCCATGCGTGAAAGTCTTGCACACGAGGAAAAACAACGGCGTAGCAACTGCACGATGATTACAGTCTCGGCGTCAAGTGAAAGGTCAGGTGTGGGGTTTAGACGAGACTTTGGTGGACGCCAATTTTCCTCTAGGGTCACATGAGTTCTCTCCCGCCCCACCCCGCCCCACCCCCACGATGCGAGCGCGTGGCAAGGGCGGCCAAACCCACTTAACCACCGCCGGCTCGAAAAGCTGACGCATGCTGACACAGACAAAAATCTCATCCGCCTCAGATATATTCACAGAAATTTCTTTTATTGGTTTCGACAAGGCCATCGGTGTTACGTATTGCAAACGCACGGTCATGGCGGACGAGTGGCGACACGAATCTGAAGAAGCAGATGAAGAGCTTCAAATTGAGCCACGAGATGTAGAGTTGGATGTGACAGAAGGAACAGATGAAGTTCCGATGGACGAAGGTGATGAAGAACTAGACAACCAAGATGACGAGATGTTCCAAGACGATTCTATCGCTGCATTTTACTCACATCGCAAGTCGGTGTTTTGTGTGCAACTGCACCCCAATTTTCCGAATCCACCAATTGCTGTAAGCGGCGGAGAGGACGATGCTGCGTGGATCTGGAACACCATTGACGGGTCGGAGATCGCGCATCTCTCCGGTCATACTGACAGTGTGGTAGCTGTGGCGTTCAGCCACGATGGCGAGATGGTCGCCACTGGTGGTTTGGATGGACGCATCCGTGTATGGCGTAGGCATGGAAAAGATGATGAATGGTCAACGTGGGAGTTTCTCACGAATCTTGAGGGCCCTACAGAGGTTGTATGGCTCACCTGGCACCCTCGTGGTCCTGTGCTCGTCGCTGGCGCCTCTGACACGACTATATGGATGTGGAAATTGCCGTCAGGTGCTGAAATGAACGTTTTCAATGGCCATACTGGCTCTGTGACTTGCGGACGATTCACACCCGATGGACGTCGCCTCGTTACCGGCAGCGACGATGGCTCATTGATTGTGTGGGACCCATCGACAGCAGCACCTTTAGGGAAGCTGAAGGATACCGATACGCGTTTTGCTTTGGACGGCGGCATCATGTCGCTGTGTGTGAGTCCCGATAACAAGCTTGTGGTCGTGGGGGGTGCCGCAGGAGGGATCCGTGTTGTCAGCATCGCAAACCTTGATCAAGGCGGGGCTGCGCAGCTTGTCGGTTCGTTTGATGCGCACGATTCAGGCGAAAGCGTCGAATCACTCGAGTTTATTGACTTGATTCCTTCATCGGCTCCCTCTTCGCAAGGGCCGCCTGCTCCAAGTAATGTCGTGGCGCGCTCATCTACACACTTCGTTTCTGCAGGTACAGACGGCCGCGCAATTGTGTGGGACCTGAAGGCTGGTACGAAACGAGGAGAGGCGCGCCACGAAGCTGCTGTGACAAAGATGGTGGTTCATCCATTCACGCCTTTGTTCAGCACGAGCTCCATGGACCACCGACTCCGTACGTGGGATGCTCGAACGATGCAGACACTGGGCACAAAGCACGGATTCACCGATGGCGTACTGGACATAGCTGTGGGTCCAGATGATGGTATTACTCAGGGTGCAGAAACTGGTGGGATTGGTGCCTACGTCAACTCTGCACAATCGAAAGGCTACAAACTCATCGGGGCTGGTGACGAAGGTGTGGCTCTCGTCTTCCGTCTTGATTGATTCAAGTCTTGTGTACATCATTTCACGCATACTTAGATATCCTTTTTTCATTTATAGCTAACATCCAGTTGTTTGCTAGTTCTGTTCCACTCTAGCTGTGTTTGATATGCGCTCGATACCAGAGTATAACCCTACTATCAGCATGGCAGGGTTCATCGCCCGGTCCACGAACCTGTGCTCTGCTGAACAGGTTGCGCGACACGAGTGTGCATTTCACGTGATGCACGTGTGGGATTTGATTGGGTCTGAGTTTATTTTTTGGTCTTGCTTCCTCTAGGCCCACCCACGGCTTGCAGCTGTGCAGGAGTAAACGAATGTAGATGTTCATGGCCTAAGCGCCCAACTCTACTATGAAACAACATTGAGCCAAATGCCTACTCACCTCACCCTCAATCGAAGTGAGAGTGTGCGCTAATTAGTACGCACAGCTGTGTGTCTGTGTGTGTTTGTATCTAGGCTATGCTCGCCCAGCATGTTGAACCGCTCTCGCCCAATTTGGATGCTATGATGAGCGGTCCTCCGCCAGAGCAGACAGATACACCGCGTCGTTCATTCCGTGCACGTGTATCCGACACGATCCAGCGCGCGCGCGGCCGTTCATCCCCAAGTCCGGCACCCCCTGCGCATGAATCACAGCATGATACACCAAGCCCTTCGAAGACCCGCGGCATGGGTAGGTTCCTGCGCAAATCCTTCGACATTGCGCGAAGTTCTTCGCCATCGCCCTCACGGAACAAGGACGTTGTGTATAGCTACACGGCTCCTGCATATGAAGTGCCTGATCTCCCAGACTGGCAACTCTATGATGGTACAAGTGTTCCAATGAATCTCGACCAGCTGGCGAAAGAGAATGATTCACTCATGCCCCCGCCTCCTTCTCTTGGCTATCACGGCGCACCGCAAGATGGGCTGAATGCAGTCTCCAGTCCTGTTCCTCCAGCCCATGTGCACCAAGGCTCTTTAGGAGTAATGCCACCACCACCACCACAACCACAGTTCTTGCCACATCCTCCTACTATGATACCACCACAGAGACCCATGTCGATGCCACCGCAACTGCCACCACAAATGCCACCGAATATGCCACCGAATATGCAGCCGTCAATGCCGTGGAGTGGGCATGAAGCAGGCAGCTCGTATGCACAAGAGCCGGGCATGCAGCCACCTGAAGAACCTTTGTTTGGACATGTTGCGCCGCGTTCTCGCTCGGCGCGTGTGAGCCTTCCTCCCACGCTCACCGCATCGCCGCCGCCGCGGCCGTCATTCGCAACCCCTTCGCCAGCGCCCCCAGCGCTCCCCGAAGAATCTCATGCTCGCTCACCAGAGCGTCCACCTTGTCCGGTGGTACCTGCGTTACAAGTCACTTCATCTGCACCTGAGGACACCGCTGGCGAGGTTAGTCTCGTCAATGCATATGCAGACGTGACAGACGGAGGCACTCAAGATGAGACAGTGATTGATCACCGAAGCCCCAAGGAGCGTGCCGGGACTCCCAGTGTGCTAGGGCAGGCCTCATCACGAGGGTCATGTGATCTCGAAACGATCGAGCTTGAGGACAATGTCGATACTCAAGGTCGACATCTAGGTCCTAACGATGCTGCGATGGAGGAGCAGAAGCAACAGCGGATCTTGTCAGCAATGGAAAAGGCACCGGAGGGAGCTGGTCTCACAGACCTCATGAATCGAGTTGTGAATCCCAACCGTCAGAGCTGGCTTCATGGTTTGTGGCCGCGCCATGCATCAGGTGGTTCAGAGGCATCAAAACCAGCGTCAGACCGCTCATCCTCGCAGGGGGGTGTCATTTTTCGCGGAGCGGACGCTAGTCCTTCCATATACAGCTCCGAATCCATGGACGAGATGCCAGAACGAGCATCTGTCGCATCTCCGCGCACAGATCGCTCAGCCAGTGGACCAGGGGATGCGCCAGCTAGTGACCTGTATCGTGCTGGACCGGGACTGTTGAGGAAAAATACAGCGCAGTCTCGTCGGTCCTGCGGATCACAAAGCTCTAGAAATTCGTCCCAGCCCAGTGACGATGAACGCGAGGCATTTGAGCGCCGGCGGCGGTCAAATCTGCAGGCGCGCCACATCCTTGAAACCGAGAAGAAGCTAGGCATGTCGACGGAGCTCCAGCAGGCTGCATGGATGCCGCCGGCTCCGATGCCACCGCCACCACCTGCGCCTACATCGCCTGCGCCATCGATGCAGTCTTATCGTGCTCAAAGCCGTCTGTCCGCGGGTCCTGGTGGTACTGCTGTGTTGGACCAAGTGAACTCACAGACACATGAACCAGCGCAAGCCAACTGGCAGGCTCAATGGCAGGTTCATCCGGCATCCCAAGAATCTGCTTGTGCCGATGCTCCGACACAGACACCAATGTATGAGGGTATGCGGCAGCAAGGTGTCTCTGAGCCACACATGCAGGAGGATGCGCAGCCTGCATGGCAACCGACCCAGCAGGTCTATCCAGATGCTGCAGCGCAGGGTACACTAAATGTTCAGTCGCAGGAGCAGGCGTACGCTCAGTGGCAATTACAGTGGAACGTTCATCCGGAAGCTGCCCCACAGGCTCCCTCTGAGCCTGTGGCGCAAGAACAGGCACAGGCTGCATGGGAGGCAGAATGGCAGGTCCATCCTGAATCTGTGCAGTCGGGTGCGACTCGGGGCCCAGTGCCTAATCAAGCTCAGGCTGACTGGTATGCCCAATGGCAAGGACATCCAGACGCACAATGGCAAGGGCACCCAGATGTACAATGGCAAGGCTACCAAGATGTACAATGGCAAGGACATCCAGACGCACAGTGGCAAGGACATCCAGATGTACAGTGGCATAGACATCCAGATGCACAATGGCAAGGGCACCCCCATGTCCAATGGCAGGTACCGCCGCAAGCACACGTGGGTGTACTAGCAGCTCCTGGCATGTCACCGAACGAGGGTGTGATGCCGACGCATGCCGCGATGCCGCATGTTCGACGAAAGGCTCCCCCGGGCTCACAGCCGAGTCATTTACCAAAACCTGCTAGCCCTACTCCCACGAGCACATTCCAGCGTGATTCGATGCCACCACCCAAGAAGTCTGCGGGTGCGCCGATTTTGCCAGATGTTGTTGAAGATGATGAATCCATAATCGACGAGCAGGGCCGTCGACTAAAGCCCGACGGATTTGGTGGTTTGCAGCCTGTCGACGATCAAAGCAAAGAGGAAGCGGCCATTGCGCCGTCACCGACCATGGCGCCCGGTGCTGAGGCAGCAGCGCCCGTCGCATCCCAAGATACTCCTCGTGCGCCGCAGGTCGAGTCGATGCGGACCGACTTTAAGCCCCAGAACGGGCGTCCACCAAGCTCGTTGTCTGTCCATACACCGTTTGTCCACAATGCGTCCAGTCCGCGGCCATCCTCGCCGGCCGTCCGTTCCTCGGCCATGCCAGCGCGCAAGTCGATGCCGGCATCCAGCTCGAATGGGCCCCCCTATCAAATCGCTCCCGAGCTGTACACGACGCCGCAGAGCTTGCATAACAAAGTTGGCCGTATGACATGGACGCCCGAGGTGGCAGAGGCTGCAGCGAAGTACATTCAGACCATGACAAACTCTGCATCGCGGAGTCAAATCCACCAACATGCCAAGCCGCACACTGGCGCTAGCCGCTCGCCTTTGCCAGGTGCGCCTGAGCCACTTCCCCCGTAAAGGGTGACTCAGACATAGACAACAGTGCTCCCGCTGTTGCATCACCGCTACCGCCTGTGCCAGTTCTGACGTCAATGCACTCACCTGTTCCTGTGGATGCGCAGACTGGAAGCACAGGTCTACCAGCATCTCGTTCTGTCGTTGTACAATTAAACGAAAAAGGCGTGGACCTCGTGCTGAATCCTGGCGAGGGTGCGCAGCTGGATGACATGCCCCTCAGAGATGCACTCAAAGAAGCCATGATGAGGTTTTACTTCTACGAGCGACACTCGATCCCGCTTCTTCGTGAACTCGACAAACGTCTCGTGGCGATGGAACATTGGTCCATCCTCGATCCCGATGCCGATGCCGAGCAGCCAGCATGGAACAAAGATGCTGTTGCGCGGGTATCAAGTGAGGTCCGACGTGAAGTGCGTGCACTCATGCAAGTGTGAAAATGTTGAATGAAACGCGCATGCACATCCAGGAGCTAGCCAATCAGTCGCACGTGGATCGCAAGCGCAAGCGTCCCTTGAGCTCTGCAGAACCACAAAAGCGTGTTGCGTCAGAGTCTTCCTATGCATCCTCAAGCCGCGTCTCGTCAGGAAGCAGTACTGCGAGCGCGTCTTCGAGTGGTACGGTTCACGTTCATGCATCGTCGGCACCTCCGTCGCAAACGCGCATGTCATCGCCACCGTCGCCATCGATAGTGCCGTTGTCGCCGATGCCAACACCACGTCCTAGCTTGCCGGTCCCGCCTTCTCAGCGTGTGGGTCCTCGCCCGTGTCCGCCCTCCCCGAGCCGCACACCACGTCCTTCCCTGCCTGATCCACCATGTTCTAGGCCGGAGCGTGTCACTGTTTCTGATCCAGACTTGGCAAACGAGACAGCCCCAAGTGTGTATGACGATCGCGAGGCGGAATCTGTGGCCGAGTCTGAAGCCCAGTCTGATGCAGATGAACTCTTACAGTCCGAGTCGCCGACCGAACGTGATGATCGAGAAGCGGCAATACGGGTATCTGAAGCGAACACATCTGACGCTGATGCTGATGTTGATGCTGCAGCGCCAACGTCCTCGTCGAACTCCGAGCCTGGTCGCTCTACGCCAGCAAAGACACGCAACACACTCGCCACGCCCGTCCCAAGTCTTTCCCGCCCAGAGCGGGTCAAGAGCCCCCTGCTCGCATCACTTGAGCGTGCCGAACAACGTTCTCGGACGCCGCCACCGCCACCGCCACCGAGCCTCCATCCGGAAGATCACGCGGAGCATAAGAACTCGAACACACGCGTGTCGATCATGGAGCAAGATAAGGAGCAGAACAAGGAAAATACAACGGGTCACAGCGATAACCCAAAGAAGAGCGACGACAAGCCTGAGCCACAGCGTGAGCCCTTTGCGCAAGTCGGCAACCACGTTTCTTCGTCCATACCAAGCAGCGGACTCCGTGCACGAGCGCAGAAGTACCTGCAGACAGTTGAGAGATCATCTTCTGGTCAAGTCGAGTCATCGCCATCAGCCGCCGATGCACTTTCCACTCACGCGCTAAAGCGAGCAAACACGTACCAGCCGTCGGCACTAAGTGAGTCGCTTCGTCGTCGTATGGCGCGTATTGAATCAGCCAATTAGCGCAAGGTGCAACAACATGTAGACTATTTTTTGACGCATCTCCGAACTTTTGCTGCGTCTCTATAAACTAGCAGATTAAAAAAAAAACTACAGTGTGATGAGACTAGGACATTTGTTCGCTTACTTCGTCTGGGTAACGAAGATGGTAGAGTCCATGCGGTGAAAAGGAAAAAAAAAAATAGGGATGGATATCTACAAGTTTGTACAATTAGGATACAATGCAGTCTTCGCGAATTTTGATGCCATACATTTCAGCATCGACATTGCTCTCGATCGTTTTAAAGTCGCAACGCGCACGCAAAAACTCATACATTTCCTCAGGACGCATTGTTCCATTGCTGAGTGTTGTGTCTTGGACGAGTTTTGCAAGCTCTTTGGGCTCATCAATAATAAACAATGAAGCTACGCGTTTCAGAGCACCAAAGAGAGTGAGAAGGGATGGTTGTTCCAGCGTCTCGATGAAATGAAAGTAGTGATTCAGATCAGAAATCACGCGCACACCGCCCAATGTCGAGATGATCTGCCGCTTCAAGTGCTTGCACAGAACTGAATAAAGCCGGAACCCAATCTCCTGGTAAAATACATCAAGCAGAGCCTTGTCTGCACACGTAGCTAGCAAGTGACAATATGTGCGCATCGTCTCACAACATTCAACACACGCGGCTGTTGGTTGTGAAACATCCACGTACGCCTCTAGCTCTGGGTAAAAGTCGCGTGGATTTTGGTGAGTCAGAACAATGTATTCAAGTTGTTGTACAAGCAGCTCAACTCCAGCGCTAAGCCCAGCAGCGACATGCTCGTCAAGATCATTCTCAAAGCGGCGCTTCTCACGCACAGCTGCATTCGTGAAGTCCGCCTTGCCGGAGCATATCGGGGTCAAGACGCTCGAAGAACACTTGGGTCATCTGCTGAATAGTATCACCAATATGGACGAGCTCGAAAAAAAGAAGCAATGGCCCCACTTGGTCGGCTGCTTGACCATGACGGATGCTTCCTGAGCTTGAGGTGCGGTCATGCTGCGCTGGATTGTAAGCGCCAATCTGTTCGCGAGCTGTGCGGAATCCGGGCGTCATGTGCTCGTCATTGATGGAAGCGTACAGTTGGACCAAAGCCTGGACAATAGTGGCTTGTGCACGGGAACGCAACTCCGAGTTTGTCTTGCGCACAAGATCGAGTCGCTGAAGCGACACACGCGTAATGTTTACCATATCCACAGCTGTCTCAACATTGAGAAGGGAGGACATTGATAAGCGGTGCGACTGAGATTTGCGTCGCTGGCTTTCAACACTTTGTGCGTGAGCAGACGTAGAAGTAGCATCATCATGTTCATGGTCGTGGCCATTTACTTGTCGACTTACAGCTTGCCACTCGTCATCGTCATCGTCGTCATTTTCTTCTCCGATCCCCAAGGGCGCATGGCCCAATCCAGCGTACCCTTGTGTCGACTCGGCTTCAAATGAAGATGCGCGCGAAGATACTTGCTTCGTTTGCTCTCTGCTCACAGCGGGCAAAAGCAGAGCACGCGTAAAGTTTGCCATGAACGAGCGCTTGTCTGCGGCCGAATGTGGCGTTAAGGGCATCGATGACGCTGCGTCCGATGCCTCCTGCAGCATACTGTCCAAGTCCCGCAGCCACCTATCACAAACATCCTTCAAATGCTGGTGTTGCCATGCTAGCTCTAGCAAAACATATTCGTCCATATGCTGAAGCCAAACATGACAGATGACGGCCTTCGTCGTGTCCGGATCTGATATGCCAGACACACATGTGAGACGCTGCATCTCGACCAAAGATTGCACAAATACTTGCAAATACACTTCCGGTGGTGCATTTCGTGCTTCCTGCAAAGTATTTGCCAAGTAGTCAGCAACAATCTCATGCACAACCCTTTCGATGAACACAATCTCGACGGGCTGAGCCGCTGGGAACACCGCCTGTATTAAAGCACATTCATCTGTCAATTCGCGCTCAAGATGCTGAGCAAACTTTTGTAATGGTCGTAAATGAAATACGCCCTGATGATCCACCACGTCATGCGGGCTGTGTGGCATACGCTCATTTAAGATTGGACGCGAGCTCACGAATGCTTGCGCCACCGCGTTGCCACCAAGATCATGCAGTTTGGCAGCATGCGGGAGTGAGGGACGTGTGGTTGTTGAAGTCGATCCAAGGACTTCGTCAATAAGACGCAGGTCCCATGCTAAAGCTGCGTACAGCTTCATCGCCTGAAGTGCTTCGCTAGAAGAAGCAGAGTCGGTGTAACTGGCCTCATTGGCTTCATATGCAGTGCGTAATTGGGTGCTCAGCGCCATGGAAGCGAGACGCAACTTGGCACGCACTGCAACTTCATCCTCCAGACCCGGTGAAGGCACGCCTTGTACATGTTCGGAGGCAAAGCGCGCTAAAGTACATAAGAATTTGCATTGATCAGTCACATTGGGAATTTTTGTAAAAAGCCAAGAAGATGTCGTAGATGGTGCATTCATAAAAGATCGTAGGAAGGGTCGTAAGACATGGTAGGCACGCTGGACTCGTCGAGAGTATGGCTTCGGGGTAGGAGAAAGAGTTGATGGTGGATCCCAATCGAGGTCAGCGAGCAAGTCAACCACTTTGGACGAGGCTGCACTTGGTTGTCCGGATATCGGTGGTGGGTCCTTCCTTGTACGCGTAGCAGGCATGGGTATGGGTTCGGGTGGTGCATCGAGAAGCGCATCGGGCAGCGATTCCATCTTCTGCCAATGTATTCTGTCCCAGCGCCACTTCCACAGTTTTTCTTGGCACACCAAATTCCAGCACTCGCGCGATGCAAGTGCAACAGAAGTCAAATCTGACACTGGGACAAAATCGAGAATTCGGAGCATGACCCTCCTGGATAACCCACGGATACTAGGGATCTCGTCGTCTGGATCGTGTGCGGAAGCGCCATTATCTTTCGTGAGTGTAGAAATGATCGGCGCAATGCGCCGTGGAGCAATTGGTGCCCATCGATCCATGTGTGGATGCAGGAACGAATTGTGTGCGACGGAGTATGACGACGTCGCTGTCCCTGGATGCGTACTATACCGATGCTGTGACGCTCTAATGAAATCGAAATCGGGGCTGAGCGTTCCAACAAGCGACTTTCGTCGGTAGCCGCGGTGCATGGCAAGTTCTTTTTAGAATTACATAAGCATGCACAGTGCACGATCCAACCCGTCGAAGGGAAGCTGATGCCCAACGACGTACGAACTCAGTGAGCTGTGAGCGAGCACTGCGCCTGATACGCGTCACATCGCAGAACCTGTTTGCGCGCGGCGTTTGGTGCACTGAGTTTTTCATTTCCAGCACGCAGTCGCATCCTCAGCGCTGGGAGGTAGGGTATGCCACACAACCGGTTGTACAAATTTGCAGAGCATGCCCGCCGAATCTAGCGCAGTTGGGCCAAGGGGTCGGCTCCTTGCCGACCACCAGTTCACACCATCGCCCACAAATACGTCATTTCGTGACTTGCTCATATTTGAAGAGCGTCTTAAGCAGAATGCTGAGCGCATGAAGAAGCGCAAGCACAAATACCAAAGTATGTGTAGTCTCGATGGGCTGACGCAAGTGTTCTTGCTTTCCTTATCTTTTTTTGTGTTGTATATGGCCTACATGGTATGGACTAGCTCACACGAGGTATGTGCGATACTAATATTGTATAGCCATGGCAAGAATATGGCTAACGCGAGTGTTTCGCTCTTAGCGCACTGCCCTTTACTATTTACGCGTTGGTCTTTTATCGATCGGTTGCACTATGTTTTTTCTTTTTTTTGCTAGTGGATTTTATGCAGACTCGATTCGTGCTGCAAACAAGTGCGTATACATGCGCAAATGGAGTGAAGGTGGCTGACCACGTCAGATTTGTGCCTCAAGCGAATCGATCGCTACGGACATTCAACATGCATCTAAATATGCCGCACACATCCAATGCTTTTTCCTGGATTCCTGTTTGGCGCAAGTCCTACTTTGCACAAAGAGAGTCCCATGCCAATACAGAAGAGCAGCGAATGCCCCGCTCATCAACGCGCATGTTCTCACGCCGGCCTTTTGCCCCCCAAATTCCTCCCTGTCAGAATCAACGGGGAGAAATTATTTTCTCTTCGCGTGTTGACCCTGACTTCCGTGAAGGTTATGAGCGATATCGCAATGCGTTCGAGCGCAAGCGTCGCGAAAAAATGGAAGCGCAGCAACGAAGCCAGCCGGGCCTGTGGCCGTTTTGGCGTTCTTCTTCCTCTTCCAAGGCATCCTAGGATTGGACCTGGGCGTTTTCTCCATGTCGCCTATTCTACCTATATACCCAATTGTCACCCGTTTTGTATAAGCGCAATATCCATCGCGTCATCATGCTTAAATAGCGTGCACGAATATACTTTTTTGTCCGTCTGTGTCAGATTTGCTACATGCTTGGTTTTTCAGACTTGGTCGTGCTGGTTCCCTTGAACGATTTATGTGTTCATTTATTCACCATTTGTCGTCCGATCTTCCATGAGCAGCTGCTCCACTCCGCTCGAAACACACCACCACAACCCACTGCTCACTATTGACGTACACCTCCACGTTGACCATCACGATACTCCACCTGTGTTTATTCTCTCCACCACAACACATGCGTGGCGGACGAGCCAAGAGCACGGCGAGCCGCTCGCGATGGAAGGATCAAGATGTGTTGGATGTGATTCGGCGCAGTCGCGATTCAGGGAAAGAAACGCTTGTAAAGGGCGGCATCGCGCGGCTTAGCTTCGGATCAGATGGACCTGGCGACGACGACGACACCTTGTGGGTATGGGACGACGAGGACTTGTTGCCGAATGGTGCTCTCATGGTGTCTGCGCGTAAAGCCACTTTTGATGATCGTTGGCCATATACAGGACGTCGTGGTTGGCGTCCCACAAGTAATAAACTATCAGAGGCTGGGTTTCATTTCACGCCTACGGCCGAAGATGAGGACGGATGCACATGCATCTATTGTGGTGTTGAGCTTGGTGGCTGGGAGCGCACAGATGATCCCGTTCATGAGCACCAGCGGCGAAGGCCATCATGTCCATTTTTTCACTGCATTCTAGCAAATGCACTTGACTCAAATGCGCTTTCAAACGAACAAAGCAAGCCGAAACAAAGCTTCGAGGGACAAGGCATACACAAGGATGAGGGTGACGAACATGATTACCTTGAATCTCACTACAATCGTGAGCGCAAAAGAAACAAACTAACGGATAATAAAAAAAAAGAAGAACAAGAAGAACCGAACCATGACTCAGAACGCCACAGCCGTATCAACGCCGAAGGCGCCATGCAAGCAGACGACTCTCGGACTGATCACGAACAAGAAGCGGTCGAATACAGTAACAATAGCGATGGCGAGGGTGATGATGAGGATGAAGAATCAGAGGACGAAGATTATCAAGAGGAATCTTCCTTCACGAAACAGCCTCGACGAAAGAAGCTTGCATCGAGCCAGCGCACGGCTTCGTTTGAAAGTCATCACCATACACGCAGTGCGGGTAAATCGGAGCATTCGATACTCGAAACACATGATGCACTTTCAAGCGATGCTCGAAATACGAATCCAATCTCAGATGAACAGTCTGTTAGCAATTCTCGGACTTCTATATCATCAAAAGTATCTACTTCCGCATCTGATGCTGAATTAGAGGCTGGTACCGGAACTGATCATGGTCCAGAATCAAATCACCTTCAAGAAGCTCATAATGAACGTGCATCTACGCGCGAAAACTCTCCGCTAATAAAACCAGCAAGTCCAGCGTTAAAGCAGCATGTCTCAGTTAACCAGCGGACATCCCTACCACCGGCATCACTTTTGCCAACACAGGTGTCGCCTACAGCCGAGTCCGAGCAAAACGCTCAGTCAAGCCACCAGGGTGGACCCGAGTCGGAGGATGAGGCTGCTGTCGAGCGCATGGTCACTACAACGATGTCTCATGATGCTAGAACTACAGGCCCGTCCAATCCATCACTTCCTGATCTGCAAGACTTTCTTCCTATTCCATTCCCGCACCGCCAAAGTCAAGTGCCGATGCCACCGATGCCTGATCCACGCAAAGTGAGCGTGCTTGAATGGATCACACAGCAGCAGAACTACCTTCTAGATACCATGCGGGAGCGCATTGAACAAAGTCTGGCTAATATGCGACGACGGAATGCCGATGAACGCAAGCGATTGGAAAAAACCATGCGCTCGTCTTGAACGACTGTGTGCTCGTGAAGACTTTTTTTTTTTTGAATCATAGTAATTTCAATTTATCTATTTTTTTTGCCATAGATACAGAGAAAACGCTTCATCTAGTTTTTACAATTTGGCACTGTGACGCGCAAAGTACAAGTTAGTTCCCAGTGTCATGACAGAAGATGTGCACCAATAGACGAGAAGAATCGACGGCACCTGGCACGCGATAGGAATACTCAAGATTGCACCAACGCGAAGTGCATTTGACAGAATGCGTGCACGCGGGGGTTCTTCTTCTAGATCTGCTTCTTGCTCTGTTGAGAGGCCAAGGTCCGATTCCCGCACACGCCGTTGCTGACGTGTCCATGACGTTAGTTCCACGTTGACCATATTCAGTGAGCCACAAGCAAGCGGCATTGTAAAAGTAGGATCCCGGTCTGCGAGAGTCGGTCCACCTAACTTTGTCAGCCGATCAGCCATGCCCGGATCGAGGCCTTTGTCAAGCAGGATTTGCCGCGTGGCCGCTGACTCTGCTGCGAAGGTTTCATCAGGGGACCACCAAGGCACAAGTTCTTGGGCGAGCGGCGTATCCGGGAAAAATGCCGTTTGCCGAAGCAGCATAGTCAGCAACACAAACAATGGAATGTGGACGGCCAAAGACGTAAGTGTCGTCATGGTTGGTGAGCAATGGTACAATGACATTAAATGGCTCCATTTCTCTCCAAGCTTTCGCTGAATCGTGTGAGTTACCAAATTCTCTTTGTCAGCACTTGGCGGCGTTCCGTCACGCGGCTGATGACGCTGCCATATGGATGCAGGGATCTGCCGCTGCCACACACGCCATTCCGGTAGTACGACCTGCACAAGCCGGTCATTTCTGCGATGCTGCCATAAAGCCAGAGGTATCGAAACACATGAACGCAGCAGGATTGTGACAGCGACCACGGAGTATGTGTATGGGTATGCCAGGCCCAGGTCCATCAGACCCATGTACTCGGGAAGCGACACCATGTGCCGAGCCAATGGATCGAGCCATCCTGACTGACTTGGGAAGCAGCGTCTCGGTGTGACGCTGCCGCACAAATTCCAGTGGTCTTCTGGAGCACATGCTAGCTGTGCGCGTAGCTCTGCACCCCATGCGAAGAACCTGTAACATCTTGTTCGGCTTGCCGCTCCTTGTGAATTAGATGATTGTAGGACTGCTAAATAGTGGAGAGGCCGCGTCGCGGCAGACACGGCCTTGGCGTGCCATAATATTTGGTTCTCGCCAGACCTCCAGTGGATAATGGTCATGCGCTGGCCTGGTCTGAAGGAACCGACTTCCAGTTGTGCAGGTGCTCAACGATATGCATATCAATCCTGAACGAGCGTCTATAACGACGGGACCAGCACAGACAGAATATACGATATACCCAGTCACATTCATCGAGCTTGGCACTGAGTTTCGCACAGGCTCTGGGTGCACGTTGTACAGGTATTCGTCCCACTACTCGTGTTCATGCCCGGTATGGCGGTACAATACCGAAGTACCTGTCCATCAGAGAACTTGTGAGCATTTGATCGATGTGTTAGGTGACGAATACGAGCGAGTTCGGACGCAACCAGATCCAGAAGCTGGCTCAGTCATGCTTCTGCATACTCCGACGAAGAGAAGACCAAGATCCTCTTCTGACATGCCATCAACACTCACACCTACTAAGCGAACGCCCTCAAAACCGGGAAGTTCATCTTTGTCTGACGATGCGCTCGAACTTTGTGATGCACCGATGAAACGGCAAAGACCTGCTTCTTTTTCCACAGGATTGTCACCGGATCGAAGTGCGCACCGGAAAACACGCGTGCCTCTCTTGCTTGCGAATGCTTGGCCAAGCAACCTGCTTGACACAACAGATAGCATGCAAAAAGATCCTACTGGTTGGTGGATTAGTGAGAAGCTTGATGGCGTGCGTGCATGGTGGGACGGTCACCATCTTTGGTCGCGGAATGGACAAGTATGGAATGCTCCACCATGGTTTTTACACGCTTTGCCACGAGATATTGTTCTCGATGGCGAGCTTTGGATAGGTCGTGGTCTGTTCGAGTACACATCCGGTATTTGCCGTGCTGGGCATGGCAGTACATCAGATGAATGGCAGAAGGTCAAGTTCATGGTCTTTGATGCACCTGATAATGCGTCTACGGAACCTGTCGAGCAGCGCTGGGATCGACTCCGTGTTTTGTTTCCTACGGCACATCTGGGCCGTACGTCTTCTCTTGAAGGGGGTCACGTATACATGGTCGAGCAAGTGGCATGTGATGGGCGCGAACACTTGCAATCCCTGGTGCAACAAGTCTTATCGGTGGGCGGCGAAGGCGTAATGCTTCGTGCACCTTTCTCTGTTTATGAGCGACGTCGTAGCTCCAGCTTATACAAATGGAAACCCACGCTCGACGCTGAAGCTCGGATCGTCGGCTATGAGGATGGCCAAAAAGGTATGGCGGGCTTCGTGGGTTCTTTCGTGTGTGAGTCATACAATGATGAGTATGCATCAGAAACACATCGGTTTCGTGTGGGCTCCGGCCTCACTGACGCATTACGACGCCATCCTCCGCCTATTGGAACAATTATTCGATATCAATACGGCGGCATGGGATCCCAAGGGCTTCCACGGTTCCCACGCTACGTTGGCATTCGTTCAGATATGTAAATAGATTAAGAAACAGAGAGCCGTGACTCTGCTATTCATGACCAACGCTGCTCGCAGTGTCAAGTATTAATACAAGACATCGCGTGACACCATCATTCTGAAATCATGGTATGATCGTGAGAAACTTATACACGATGCTATCTATGCACACACACACTGCCTCTATGGAGCCTGGAGAGGGCGATCAACATCGGCTGGTGCACCCATCGCCATATCTTTCTTGATTTGTGCAATCGCACGCGCCGGGTTCAAGCCCTTAGGGCATGTGCGAGTGCAGTTGAAAATCGTGTGGCAACGGTAGAGCGAGAACGTGTTCTCCAGACGCTCACGACGCTCGGCACCATGCGCGTCACGCGAGTCAGCCATCCAGCGGTAAGCCTGCATGAGGACGGCAGGGCCAAGGTACGCATCACCATTCCACCAGTACGATGGGCATGCCGTTGCACAGCAAGCACAGAGAATGCACTCGTACAAACCATCGAGATGGCGGCGCTCTTCTGGGCTCTGCAGATACTCGCGACCACCCGGTGGAGGGCCGGCAGGCTTCAAGTATGGCTCAATACTGCGGTATTGCTTGTAGAACTGTGTGAGATCAGGAATCAGGTCCTTGACAACGTGAGTGTGTGGGAGAGGGTAAATGTTGCTCTGACTCGCATCGCGATCGATGCGGCACAGACAAGCGAGCGTGTTCACACCATCAATGTTCATCGCACAGCTTCCGCAAATACCCTCACGGCACGAGCGACGGAAAGCCAGGGTCGAGTCTTGTTCGTTCTTGATCTTCAAAAGCGCATCAAGAACCATAGGTCCGGTCTGGTTCAAGTCGATGTTGTAGGTTTTCATGTGCGGCTTTTGCGCTGGGTTTTCTGGGTCCTAGGTGTTGGTTAGCATTGACATTTTTCTTTCGCGAGCCTGAGGTACCTACCCAGCGGTAAATCTTGAACGCTTTCATCTTTGAGGGGCGCTCAGCAGCTGGTGACGCCATTGCCGACGAGATAGATGTCGAGAAAGTAGCAGCTCCCAGCATGCGAGGAGCATTTGCGCGCATAGCCACACGCAACGAGCTTGGAACAATCGCCATCATTCTCCAAAGTACGGCCTGGCGTGTGTGTGGGAAAGAACTTGCTGAGGTTTCCTGTGGGTTTTGGAGACTTCCTGCTCTCGGGATAAAGCGGAAAAGCTGTTCATTGCTAACCGGTCAAACGTGATTGGCTACAAGTTTTCCACTTCGGTTCATGAGATAACGTGTTCTGACTAAATACATTTACACACATCTGCGTGTGTTTTGCCCCGTATTTCAGCATTCTTTTTTGTTGGCGTGATAAATGTTGTGTGGCGTTACAGGAATTTCACCTAGTAGGTGGAGACACATAGCTACTTGACGAGCTCGCCACGTGCAGCAGACCCTGTGTCACCTAGAGTTCTTGGTCAGGGCGCTCTGCAGCTGGCGCCCCACCCATAATAGATAGGTGTTGCTCAAGTTAGAAGATCTTGCGGAAGGGTACTCCAAAATGGTGACGTGTGCCAGTCTTCCATACAATGCGCTTGTGTACCGCGAAGAAATGTCGTCGGGGCACCTGTGCCTGGTGTCATGGACTGTTCACGTGTTTTACGAGCTCGTTCTGCTGACTCGTAGTTCAAATGAATATTGTCCATGGACGTGGCAGGCCCATTCTCAGGTGCCTTGCTTGGTGTCAAGTACCATACCTTGCTTATTCCTTCATTTAAAAGATATTCTCGTAGGCGAGCAAAATTTAGCCCAACCTGTTTTGTTCCATGCGAATCATCTGAAAGTGCGAGGCGGCCACACGCTTTGGTGATCATACGCAGCACGTGGCGGCCTGGATACGTTTCATCAGTCCAGCCTTTACGAAATGCTGCAGAGTTCACCTCAAATAGAGCACCATAGCTTGCAGCAAAATGAATGTTTCGCTTCAGCTTGGCGTGAATAGCGCGGCCATCTGGAGTTGAGTTGTCGGGATACCATGAGGCATATGGCTCGAACAGACGGTACAAATCAAAATGTCCAATAACCTCAGGCCGCAGTCTGTCCATGACCTCAAACTGTGCATCCAGGTACGCTTGCAACATGGTCATGTGTCTTTTCTGGTCGCGTTGACCACTTTTGAGAGCCATTTCATATGTCGGTCTGTCAAAGTCAATAGGAACACCGCGGATGTGGTGTACAGATCCGACGATGTAGTCGACCAATCCGCGACCAATGCAAGGCGGTGGTGGCAACAATTGTGTGGGAGATAACGAAGACAACTGGGTGTTGGATTCTAGGAGACGTGCAAGTGCGTCAAGCGAGTGAGGTGACTCGATATGTTCAGTCTCACATCCCACCAGCACATGCATCGGGCGCGGCATGTTTTCATACATGCGTTGCAATGTGCGTGCCTTGACCAGGTAGGCCTGGAACTGCGACGTGAGTGAGTCTGGTGTCATGCCAACCTCGCGCTCTTCCGGATACAAATGCGCATCACGCCAACGTGGCACATGCTCAGACAAGTGGAAGTGTGTGAATCCCAGTTCATACGCTCGAGCGAGCACTTGGTCTAGTGTGGAGCTTGCGTGTCGGCAAAACTCGCCAGAGTGTGAGTGATGCGAGTGCATGAAATGGACGGTCAGCTTCCCATCATCAAGCACACGCGAGAATACGTATGTATGCCGATGACACCAAAATTAACACGTGGATTTCTTGTGCGACATAGTATGGTCATTGGCTGAGAGCTAATTCACGGCAACTTATATTTTTCCCCTTGAGCTATCGTTGGTTGTGGTTTCGGTCAGGCACCCTCTCCACATTGCTGACAGTGCGAGTGCCGTCGGTGCCTCAGACCCAAGCTGACGACAACGAAAAAAGGCGGCAAGAGTCAATCTGGCCGCGTCGGTCATGCGGCCTAAACGGATTTTGGGATCCAAGCAGGGATATTACAAAGTGTCTTATGATGTGGTTCCCGGCGGACAGGAATCACAGAAAACTCCTGAATGGCTGCCAAAGCATCAAGTACCTGCTCATCTCGTTCAGGTGTGGCGTCAGCAACGGACTGATCGACTAGTATTCAAACAAAGGATCAAAGAGCGAGCTTCTATCGATGCATCAAAAAATCAAGCGCAAGTTAGTCTCGTGCACTCATCGTTCGCTGAAAGTGACCCCAGAGTATCAGAAACAGCACCCACATCTGCCGTCGGGCTCGAGTCCTACGCAAGACATTCAGACGGGCGCGTATTACCATCATCAGTCCGACCGCCGACACAAGGGAAAGCGATGGAAACAGAGTCAGATACACTTCAATCCCAACATTCCAAATCTACGCTGTTGTCAGTGCCAGCGCTAGCACCACCAGCGGTTCAATCACCAGGTCATGCACTTGTTCATCCACCAGCTTTAGTCGCTCATGTATCATTACCCCAGCTAAGCCATGAAGAAACTGATGGACCGAAATCATCGCGTCAAAGTGTACATACTCGCGCATCAGCCCATGGTTTATCCAATGTCCCCACCGTAATTGAGGGTCCGTGCAATATTGAGAGATTAAGGCACATGGGACAATCTCAATCACCATCACCATCACCATCAGAAGCATCATTTTCAACTCGCACCAGTGTCATCCTGCCTTCTTGCCACACAAAAAATACCCACAGTTCCTCGACATATGACGGTGCTGCTACAGACTCAGCGTCAAGAGAGACGCTGTCTGATGGTCAGCCATTTGTTCGCGCTTCGGCTGATTTGCATGATCATATTCAGGCCTCAAACCATGGCTTCCACTCTGTGCCAGAGCACATATCTTCATCCCATACTCGTTCTTCTCCCTCAACTGCAAACACAGAGCCTGCTAACTTCGCTAAGCAAATTGTTTCCCCGTCGTGCACTGCACGCGCTAGTCCGTCCGTTGACTTCGTTGAATCAAATCCGCAACATGTCTACGACGAATCTCAAAGAGTATTTGCACATAAAGGCTCGTCTATTCCGGATGATTCTACAAATCCGGGACTACATGCTTCTGAACAGGGGGGCTTATCAGGACTTATGCACCCTACAAATATGCCTAAGGCACTACCGGAGAAACATGCACAAACCGCTTTGCTATCGTACAACTCATCCTCAATGTCACCTAATGAATCAACTACGTCAACCGTTCCACATGGCTTGGCGGGTTCCGATGGACCAGCGCATGAACGAACTATTTCTCACTACCAGTATAAGGCACCTGCGATAAAGCCACACTCAACCGCTGATGCGGCATCTTTTCAAGGCCAAATTTTTAATACTTTGTCTTCACAACCATCGACTGAGTTGTCGTATGTCTCATCCGAACGTAACGAATCGGTTGTTGAATCAAGTAATAATAAGGCAGGAACAACAAACACTGACCTCCCTATTCCGAGTGCTTTTTCTGCACCCTGCGATCCAGCTTTATCAGCTCCGGTCTCTGACGGGCTTTCTGACGCTGTTCATGCCACAAACACCATTAATTCCGAGACTTCTCATGTCGCGAATGAAGCGCGAGCGCGTACAAATCAGGGTGCCCCGAATCATGTCACAGGGCGTTATGATGCATCTTCCTCGTATTCACCGCGTTCAACAACGCCTGTTGTGTCTCGTTCAGGTCGTGTTGTAAAGCCCTTATCAACTTCTCAAGCGATCCCCCATGACCCAATCGCACCACTGATGAAAAAAATCGAGACACAACAGGAAGAAGTTCAATTTCTGCGTAGTATGTACGAAGAAGCATCTTCCATGGCAAGTCAAAATGCGAACGCGCTGTCTTTGGCACAGCAAGAAATCGCACAGCTCCAGTACCAACTAAAACAAGGCCTGACAATGCAGCGTGAACTTTGTGCTGTGCAAATGGATCATTGGAAGTCTGAGGTGACTATGGCACAACAACAACGAGCGCTTGAGGAATGGAGAGCACGCGCTGAACGAGAAACAGCAAGGCTCTCTGATTCAAGCAATTTAGCAGAAGCTACGAAAAATGAATTGCAGGTGGAAACCTATCGTCCGAGTGATCGAATCCAAGACAGCGTGGCGCAGGAACTTGCTGATTTGGCTTCTGAAGCTCAAGAAGCGCAGCAGGCTGAGCAGGCTCGGCTGACGGAGCGTTGCTCAGGTATGGAAGATCGTCACCTGGCAAACTATACCGCGGAAAATATTCCTGCCAATTCTGAAGCTAATACTATCGTATCCGACAATGTCTCGATGACTGTTGCTTCCACCGCCATGTCACGAACTGAAGAGCCGTCTGTGCTTGATGAGGTAAACGAGAATGATTTTGATTCTCGCCACGAAGCTCAAGGTCCTAACACCAGCTTGTCTCTGTTTCGATCTTCAATTCATTCTTTGTTGGAACAGGATGTAGGACACCATTATGAAAACGTGTCTCTTGTTGCACACGAAGGAACGGGCATGCTACACACCAGTTCTCCGCGTCTGTCTACACGTACACCAGAACAGACAGACGCAAGTGGAATATATGATCCAAAAACAAAGGATGCCTCTGAATCGTCTTTGATTGCAACTTCACTACCAACACCAGTCGAAATAAGCCCTGATCGAGCGGATTCGTCCAAGTTCACGCTCGATCACGCGCCTTCATCTGATCCTGTTCATTCGTCTGCAAGATACGAGTCTACGCCTCCGTTGATGCACGATGTGTCTATTTCATTTGAGAAACCTCCTCATCTGTCGGAAGTGCCTGTGGCGCGATGGAAACGGCGCAAACACAGTAACGTAAAGTCTCCTATGAATGTATGATAGGTCCGAGGTGCTTGTTTCATAGCGTCAATCGTATTATGTGCATGTGATTTGTGGGCGTGTCAAAGAGTGTGGAGGAGGCACAGCTGCCCACGTGTGTTCGACCGCATTCAGTTGACATTGCAGCTAGTTATGCGTGCCGTTCATTCTCCCACTGCTCCTCTGTTTTGTGGGAGCTTGGTGGTATGGAGTCCGACATGTCGGCACAATCGCCAGAGCATGCATCCATCGAGCGCAAGCACCCAACAAAGTCTAATCCACCTACCTTGCGAGAGATCGCTTCGAGGTTTAATATGCTTCCAAGCGATGCCACATCATCGTCGTCATCTGCATCGACCTTGTCGAAAGATCAGAATCCTGCAGGTACGTGTGGGCGTCATTCTCTCACCGTAGCACAAAGTTTAAAGCGCCTAGGTCTCGCTGGTCGGCTAGAACCTTCGGCCTACTCTGCGAACAAGCCTGCCGCAGGTCAAACAAAATCATTGAACATGCCCAGTCTTAATGACATTCGTGCTCGCTTGAATCAGCGTGGCGTTGATATCACCTCCTCTGCTTGGAGCCCTAAAAAACAAAAAAACACTTCTTCTGTCGGAAGCGAAACAAGTTTATCCCCGACGAAAGAGAAAGGAATATCAAAAATGGAAACACTTGGTCGTGCCGAAGTTGAAGGTCACATGTCAACGCAGCCCTTGGAGCAGTCGAAGCCATCTAAACCTTTGCAACCATTGCATTCATCTGAGACATCAACATCTTCATCGGCCTCTTCTGAACCGGACCCGACGGTCCAGCGAGGGTCAGGCGTTGTTGCGGACTCTTTCGCGCGTGTCTCTGTGACAAGGACTGGCCGCGAAGCTGCGATGGAGGCAAAGCATGGGGTCAAGCATCCGCTTGAAAATGAATGGACATTGTACTACGACTTGCAAAAACTTCATGGCTCGGCAAGCAGCGATCAATATGAAGCAACACTCAAGCGCGTAGGCCACTTCACAACGCTTGAGTCCTTCTTTGACACATTTGCAACGCTGCATCGTCCGAGTCGACTGGAGAAAAACTCCAACTATCATTTCTTCAAGAATGGCGTCAAACCCCTGTGGGAGGATCCAGAGAATGCATCTGGGGGGCGCTGGGTTATTACGCTACGTGATCGTGGACAGACTGCGGGCAGTCGTGCTGGTCATGAGGCGTTACTGGACCGCAGTTGGATGTGGCTTGTTCTGGCTCTTATCGGTGAGACTCTCGAAGAGAACGATCTCGTCACTGGCGCTGTGTGCTCATTGAGAGGCAAAGGTGATCGCATCACTGTTTGGACGCGTAGGAAAGAGCCAGTGGACGAAATTAATTCTCTGGGCCAGCGCCTCCTCGAATTGCTCGAGCTCCAAGATGAGCCCGGTATCCAGATGGACTTCAGCGTGAATTCTGGGTCCAAAGAAAGTCAACAACAGTCTTACATGCGAAAACATCTCACAAGTCATGCGCCATCTGCACAAAAACAATTTCTGCAAGAACCCCAGTCTCGTGAATCGACGCTGGGGACCTGGCTCGATACCAATGCGACACTTCATCCCGCTGATCATGTGCGATACTACGCCCATCAGCTACATTCTAACGATCAACCAAAGTAGCGTGGATCTCAGGTAGACCCATGGACTTATCGACATATAGACAGACAATTACATAGACAAGAGAAACAGGTTTTCAGGTACATTGCATTGTTGAATATGTTGTTTTTGATTACATGGAAACCATCCCATTCAATGCAGCTCTAATGAATCGCCGTCATGAATTTCATCTATTATCAGTATTCATTCAGATCTTTTATACATACAGTCGGCCAGTGTAATATGATCTTTAAACGTCGAGTACGACTTTTTCAAAAATGATCTAAGTATTAGACTCTACACTCACAGCCCCCTCCCTCCAAATTGCCTCCCATCTTTTCCTTCTTTATACGTACTTTATGCGGGGCGGTACCAGTCTGGGCCGCAATCAGTTTCTTCAGATCACCCACTGTGTCTTCGGGACTGCACTTGACACGTACTTATATCAGCCGCCGAACATGCGTACCTTTCCGTCCCAAGCGGTCATTTGCTATTACTTCAATCATGCGCATATTCGTCGTCCAAGTCAATTGTGTCAGCGGAAGCTCAAAATCCTTTTGATCGATTATAAGAACACACTCAGACGATTCAGAGCATGGGGCGAATCGTACTCATTCACCATTCGAATGGAGGTGCGTATCCCAGAGCAACTACTTTCACGCTTAGCAGGTAAATCAGTGAGGTGCATCCTTGTACAGTGTTGACATTGTCTATGGCAATCGCCATCGTAGCTGGCTACGGGTGCGTGAGAAGGTGTCTATTCCCAATCGATGAGAGTGAATATAGCTGATAGGCTTCATCATCAATTGAAGATGTATTCTGGGTTTTCCGTATAGAGCTCAGCACTTGTCTGAGTGAGATTGTCGAGATCCCCTCCAATTCAGCATGCGTTCGTGCATTGGTGTCATCTGACACTAGCATCACTTGTGCATCGCATCTCCGATACAAATCTGCACAGAGTGCCACAATTATCTGGTCATTTGTCTTTCCAAGGTGAGTGACTCCGTGCAAACGTACCAAATGACTGGTTGGTGCAAGAGAAGATAGTGTTTGTACGTGAAGGACCCATCTTTGAGGAGGAAGGGGAACTTGGTTCAAATCGAGCGAGTATTTTTGAGTCTGAACGGTCTGAAGAATCCAATGACTTGCACGCCGAGCAGATGTCGCCAATGACACACCCTCTTCCTGCCGGCTTGATGTCTTCAATACATCGAGTTCTTCTAACACCACCAGCGGTAGAACCAAATAGATCCTTGGAGAAAGCGATAACCCCGAATATAATTCATTGAGCTGCGCATTACAAACTGCTTCGATATGTTGGAGTGTGTGTAGGAGTATATTGCTGCACAAGTGAGCAAGAAAAGCGACGTACGTATCGAGGACCCATACGGCACTGGACGGTTGAATCCATGTAAAAAAGGCTGTATCTTTGGATATACGAGGCATCTCAGTCGCATGAGAAGATTGTGTTTCATCCTGGTCCATGAGTTCTTCCGTTGAGCAACATTCGTTCTCCATGAGAGCATTCCCTGAGCTATCTGCGACTGGCTCTTCACGCGAGATCGTTATTCGTACAGGACCAGAGGGCATGTCACCCTGGTAACTTGCATTAAAGAAGTCGGCGTAAGTGTTCATCGAGCGTCCAGTCAACACAGTAAGCACGGGCACATGTAAACGTTATGCTGGTAACGAAACAATCGCAAACTGCTGGTTACGTGGAGGAGCGTGATGAAAACGTCATAATGGCTTCATGAGGCAAGATTATCGACGAACACTTGCGTATAATCCCGTCCAAATGATTGCAGCGTGAGTAGAAATTGAGCAAAATAGACCTTCACCAACGTAGATACAGGTGTATATGTACACAATCGTTATCAATGAGACAAACACTATCAAGAACTCAAGCGTAGAGGGTGGAAGACAGGAAAAATAGGTTAAAAACATTGTTCTCGCGAGACTGGGTTAGTTCGAGTGTGTAGCAAAATAATGCATAATGACTTCATATGTTAAGATCGTCAAGCCAGAGTTCGGCACCGTGCGCACTAAATTTACACCCATGCCACGATAAAAGCCAGAGATGCCTTCATGACGCAATATCGATAAAATTGTTTGCATAAAACTGGTGTACTGACGCTGAGCGACACCACTTTGATCAGAGAAGGTTGGAACCATCTGCAGACGAGTGCGGAGAACTTCGTGTGGGTATGTAACCATCGAGGCAAGCATTTTTGAGCCACCACTGCATAAGAGGATGGAACTCGGTGATAAAGGATCACCACGCCTGAATTCGGACGTTAGGCTTTTGAAGTGTTCGTAAAGAGGAAACTGTACAATAACATGAAAGACACCGAGAAGACTAGGCAGTAAGCCTCTGTAAAAGGCCGCCATGCCCTCACGTCGGTATATTTTCACGAATGCATCGAGGGTATTTCGATACTGTTCATGTTTCGGGACTGCTGAGGTCTGGAGCATGCTGCGTGTTCTGACCACCCACATGGGACTTGTACAAGTTGTGCTTGTGGCGCCAGCTAACAGAGCACTTGCAATGTGCGTGGCGAACGGATGCATATTTGACAGAACAGTGTTCTCAGAAAAAAATCTCTTTCCACTATCATATACACAAAAGTAGATCGCCCATGTTGGTAGATATCCAATAACGGTTGGTCCCAGACCTCGATAGAATCCTCGTAGACCATCCTCAACCCAGATCTTTTGAACGACATCTAGCATGGCGTCAACAAAAAAAAGATTCACGTACTAGATACATCATGAAATCCGCCTCCCTTTCGAAATCCATGTGCGCGTACTTCGGTACGAACTTGTAACCGCGTTTTGATCACATCCAAAGGACATGTCACAATACTAGACACAAACCCTGCGCAAGCTCCGGAGATGGCCGAATGCCGCACTTCTTTCTTATGCTGATCACTTGCAGTTTTCGACATGCCCTGTCGTCACTGCTCAAGCGCAATATGCTTAGCTTAGGGTCTACACGCGCAGATCAGTCGCGCACAGGTAACGGCTGCGTGTGTATTTGTGCGATAGAAACAGAGGGGAAGGAAAAAAAAAATAAGCATGTTCGGATGGGTTTAGGGCGGCCTCAAGTTTCTGCCCTCCATATGTCAAGCTCACGCGCCAACGGAAGAAACCAACAGGTTTTGCGAAATTTGGGTTGCACCCGCTTCACTTCGAACTCCACACATTCATACTGTTAGGGTGTGACGATTAAAGCTGAGACATGATGGACGTGTGATTGTCTCACCCCGAGCCCAGAGTCGCTCTCCACAAGCACATTAAATCCACAACAGGTGCAAATGGCTCGCTTCTTTCTCCGCGGCGACATTGAACCCCATCCTACATACGATCTTTTGGGAACTCTTGCTTCACGAGCTTGCCGAGAACTAGCATGTCAACAGCTGGTGTTGTCCAGCAGGTTGGGAAAGTGGGGATTGCTACTGTGCAGCTGATGTGTTTAGTGCATTTGGTGAACGCACATATGTTTGAAGTTCGTTCAGTACGTGATTATTATGTATGAACATAGCGCGCTGATTCCACAGTGTAAAGGAGCGTCTATGCTTCCCACAATATCTCCCTCAGGTGACTTGGTCCTGCATGCGCGGCTGCCATTTCTGCGAGTGCTCAGTATGATGCCATTTGCCACTTCTGAACTAAAAAGCCGGTACCCAGAGGTGCCACCGGATTTGCCAGCGAAAAAGCTTGATCCTAGTGCAGGGTTGGGTCTACGGCTAGGCGATATGGTAGTTGCTATATCGCCGAGTGATCCTTCAAGAACAGTTTGTAAGCGGATACTCGGCATGCCGGGTGATACAGTACTTGTTGACCCACGAGAGGGCGTCTTGTCAGACGCAGCCGAGTTGCTTGCTGCACACTTCGAGGCAGGGGCAGGGGCAGCCCTTCCATTACTTCGCATGCAGTCCAGTCGGACAGTGACGGTGCCACCAGGTCATGTGTGGCTCACGGGCGATAACCTGGCGAACAGTACCGACAGTCGGAATTACGGGCCTGTCCCAATGGCACTCATCAAGGGGCGTGTCATAGCACGATGCTATCCACGACCCCAATGGTTTGCTCCAGCATTGAAGAAAGTGCGGCCAGCTATGGACCTCGCAGCAGATCAAAGAGCCGCTGCTGGAACAATGGAGCATTATCTAGCTTGATGCTGATGTCGCCGAGGAAATGTTCAGGCAGTTCATTTAGCACATCGGCGTCGCTTGCTTCGCGATTAGGCCCACCATATCCCAGCGACACGGTTTCCGTGTTGCCGATACCCGGTGCATTCACGTAATAACGCAACGAGCCCGTCGGACCAGTGGGTTCGCCACCTATATGTTTGTGGCGCCAGTGAGCAGCGGACGTCTTCGCGTCTCGATATACACCACACATGTAGGTGCCGTCATCCAGTGCTTCAATATGCATGCCAGTAAGGGCCTCAGATAGAGCTAGCTGTGCACGCAAGCGTTCATTTTCAGCTCGATACGTTTGCAAGGCATCACGCAATGCGTCGTTCTTCGCTAACCGTTTGTCGATCGACGAGACAGAGGCTTGTTCATCCAGAACCGGCTCGTTCGGCGCGAGCATCGGTTGCTTCGACGACGAAGCCTGGCTCAGCGCAGGGTTTCGGTTGATATTGACAAGAAGTTCAGACTGTGGAGTGGACTCTTGGCTCTGTCGATGTCAGTATCTAGTGTCGTTGGAGGGTAGGTATTAATGTACATACTCGGATTTCCTCCCAAATTTTTTTCTTGTCAAAGTTTTGTGCGCTCTTGACAAAATCGAAATCATCCTGAAACGAGGGTGGTGTTGAGGACGCGGCACAGCTAGCTAGCGCTGGTGCCGCGGAAGGTGAGGAAGCTGAGGCGGACGCTGCCGAAACTGATGCTGATGCTGCCGTGGCCGCTGCTGACGATGCAACTTTCGCAGCTTCCACAGCTGGGAAAGAAGCAGATGAAGGCGCTGGAGATCCAGTCCGTTCTGTCTTTTTGCGATTCCGCTTCTTTTTCTCCGAAGCCGACAAATCAGGAGTGGACATACTTGAAGCAGGCTTGATTGTCTGAGATGCTGAAGGAGTATTCAAGTTCACCGTGCTTACATCAAGGAGTTCATTGCGACGTATATGAAAAAGTTTTCCTGAGTCTGCTCGGCGAACGGATAATGTCGCTGTGCCTTGGTTCACCGACACAATCGTCCCGATGAACGGCTGACCTGACCGCGGCGTCAAACAGACCGTAGTCCCAACAAACGAGGCCATACGTAAAGAGACACAATAAAGAGGGCTCTATAAATGTGTCTGTAATACAACAATCGTTTGATGAACAACGAAAGCACCCCTTGCGTAGTAGCTAGCGGACGAGCAGCGCAAGCACGAACGTGACAGTGAGTTCAATCGAAGCGAGAGGACTAGGTTGATTGTTGCGAAGGCATTTTTTAGTCATCTATAGGAAGAGGCCACGGCCGGTCGGGTGAGGCCTTGGCCTTGAAATGTCGAAGACATGCTAGATAGGTTGCCGTTCTTCTGAGAAGGTTCATGGTTGGGCGACTCAGCATCGCCTTCTTCAAGTGTAAAAATTGGGTCTCGTTCAAGTGGCTCTTGTGGCATCTCGGATATTGCGTTTCCGTGGGATCGTGCCTGAGCTGGTTGGTTCGCGGAGGAAGCAGCATGCGTCGACGTGGCGTTATTGGACGAGTGGCGAAACGGAGCCTCTTCGAGTGAGAACACCTCTTCCTCAGGCTCACCAGATTCTTCGCGTTCAGCTTGCTCCATCAAAGCTTCACGACGTTCCATCGCATCACGAACCTCCTCGGTGCGGAAGAAGTAGAAAGAGAACGTGGCAAGACAGCCACCGGCGACAAGATCAATGAGATAGTGGTGCATCAAGTACATGGTCGACCAGTAAAGCCAAAAGCAGTATGACCAGTACAAAATACGCGCATCGAAGCGCCACGGGCCCAAGTGAAATTTCACGGGGAAGAAGTAGCTGAGGAACAGGGCTTCACATGTGGCTGTGGCAGCATGCAGAGAGGGAAATGCGCCAAAGACGACAGGCGCACTGCTGAATGCGATGGTATAACCAAAACCACCAAATATAGCATCAATACGGGCGAGACCAGCGGGTGAACCACGCATGCCGTAGTTCGCCGGCGAGAGGCCCTCGCGGAGCTCATACCATGGCGGGGCGCATGGAAAAGCGATTTGCACAATGACGCCCATTAAGTTCATGAATCCGAACGAGTTTGCAAACACTTTCACACTTCCTTCGGGGGCATATACAAAGATAAAGGCAGCAACAATAAAGGGAGCCATGAAATGGACGACGCCGTATGGGATCCAGGCAAGCACGTCGAGAAATGGATGTCCAAAGCGTGTGAGGATGTCACTGATATTTGCACCATACCAAATGGTCTCAAGTGTGGGCAACACAGAGACCCAGATGTGTGGACGCGCAGACACGTCGATGAAGCGGCATGAATAAAATAGCAAGAGCCATAGCAGAATAGGTGCAGCTGGTAGAAACAGCTGTGATGTTATTGGTAAGGAGAGCACCAGCATGTACAATAGTGGAATAATAAGCTTGTAGGGAAAGGATGGCATTCCCATGACAATCATGGAAAACACCGCCACTGAAAGCATGAATCCGTATTTGAAACGATCCGAACGCGTCATTTGGTACGCGCTGAGCTTTCGTATATTGTCCCGTGGCGAGACACTGAATGTGAGCCGCTGTACTGCTTTACAGACAGCGTTCCATACTTCTTTATACAGCGGCTCACGTCTGGCGCCCAGCGCCACTTGCGCTGCAGACATGTGGGTGTGGGTAGATGATCCGCAAACGAATGTTGAGCACACCAGCCAGCAGAACGAGTCAATGTGTGCTAATTCGTATAGCGCGCGAGTGGAAGAAGCGCGACAAAACAGCTCCGTCACGTGCAAGAATGAGAAGAGGGAGCATCTCCACATAGACAACCCTCCGCTCTACCCCCCTGAGTAATTTTTATTTATTTTCTTTTTTTTTGGCTGTTTGCTCCCGGGTGTCAAAGCCCTTGAGCAACAAGATGACCGGGCACGGTGAGCGAATTTGACCTCCAGACGCTACTCCAGTTAGGGGACCCAAGCCTAGCTACTGGAGGGATTTTCTTTCCATCCGCGACAATGGCGCGTCATTCGTTAGAACCATTGAAGCGACTTTCGATAGCCAGTGGGCAATGTGCCGTGCAAGCGGAGAAGTATGGCCAGTGCATGCTGCGGAACTACCAAGAGATTGAACGCAATGTATGTGTGCAGGAGTTTCACGCTTTCAAGATGTGCGTTCAAAAACACGTACGTATGTGAGCAGTTTGGACTTATGCTTTCCAGCTACGTCGACATTGATGGAGAAGCTGCGGATCAGGAGTGCTTTCATTAGCTTTCATTAAACCAAGACGATGCGTCTATGGGCATGTATAAACATGCTACTACGTGCGGCTACGTGCGGCCTTTCAAAAAAAGAAAATCAGCACAATTGAGCCGCTCAAACACACACACACACACACACGCTCTCTCTCTCTCTCTCTCTCTCTCTCTCTCTATGTCGACGCATGTGCAAGCCGCTTGAGGATGGACCACACTCTGTCGTAAAATGATGCGAGGGCATCTTTGTCGCTGCACATGTGCTTGAACGCTCGACGCATATGGTCTGCGTCAGGAGGCTGCTGCTGTTTTGAGCTCATACCGCCCTTGACGATGTGTGTGTGAGGATGAAAGAGACGGTTGTCGAGCCTGAGCACACACATGTAAGTGTCACATTTCAAGACACACAGAGAGGAGAGACGTACCATAAGAATCCATCGCGCCCGCCAACGATTTGAACAAAGGCCACACCACTGCGGTGTACGAATTGTGTATAGTCAAAGTTGTTCGGTCGTGACGAGTAATAAAAGTCCATGTCGTCCGGGTACATGGACTTAGCCTCTTGATCAAGGACGAATCCGAAATGGCGCAAGAGAGCCACTTCAAACAGCGGGTTGGTGTGGGATGTAGACGTGCATTGAGAAAGAACGTGTCGCACGAGCCAAGTCTCCATGTAGTCGTGATCATCAGGCATCGAGGCGTTCTTGGCATGCCGCGCACGCTCGAGGAGTGCTGCATATGCCGACCGTTTTGGTGGCGCAAGAGCTAGTGCAATGGGCATGGGTGCCTGGAATGGATTGTTCTGGCCCACATCCTTGATCTGGGCAATTGGTGCCTCGACAAGTCGAAGTCCATAGCGCTCTACGGTCCGCGTCCAAGTCTGCACCAACTCGTCAATGAGGCGTGCAGTTGCACCAAGCCAGTGAATCTGGAAATTAAAACCGTTCTCAGCATTGTGAGCCAAGTCGTGATGCAATACAGCCACCTCTGAACGAGGACTTCGCCGCCCCGGGTCGACGTCAATGAGCATAGAGCGAGAAAGCGGCACACGGCGGTGATTGGGCCTTGGTGGCGACGAAACTTGACGCGTCCCGGGGTGTAGTACGTTCGCCTTGCCTCTCGATCTGGCACTGGGACTGGCGCCGGACCCTGCGGTCGGAGGCTTTCTAGTCGATCTTGTTGTTCCCTCTGCGGACTCGCCACGCCCTGTGAGCCGATAAAAGTAGTGGCCATCCATAAAGCCATGCACATTCAGCACATGCGCGATGTGTCCGTTTTCCTGGAGCTTCGATGCGAGCAGCACGGCATCTTCGCGTGTGTGTATGTCTCGGAACGTTCGGCAGAGCCACGTCACGAGATCTGCGCCGGTAAACGCGTCTGGATACAGCTCCGAATGCCAGAGGCGTGTGTGAATTTTCAGCTCCTTGCTTGACGAGCGCATGTCGTCGGCGAGCTGCGCAAGTGTGCAGGACGTGGCATCGCGCTGCGTGCGGCTCCGTGCGTCGGATGAGCATTTTCGTTTCGTCAGTTCGTCGTATAACTCAGTGATGGCATGTATAAACGCATCATCGCGCAAACTACTGGATGGATCCAGTGTCGTTGGCAGGAAGCGCAGAGGCACCTCTGATTTCGGCTCGCCAGGCGCACGATACTCGACACGTGCAAACATGTCCGCCAGACGGTCCATGCCAGCAAGACGCACTTCCTCATCACTGAGATACTCGCCAGCATTCGCCAGAATCTTGTTGGGCGAGCCTTCGCTCGGCACAAGCACAAATCGAGCACGCCAGTACAGAAGCGACTCGGTGAACGTGTCTTCGTACCCTGCAATCATCGAGTCCAAGTAGGTCCAGTTGTACGCATGCGGATCAGGATGCTGGAACTGTGTGGATGTGATTCGGTAGCCTAGCTGCGAGCGAGGCCACACACAACACCGGTACGGAATAGGCGCTGTAGAGTACGGGACTTTCTGCACGTACCGAGTGACATTGATCATGCCTTCTTGCCGCTTGTAGGTGATGCAATGCACTTGGTTCATGCTGCTCAGGTAAATTGGCTCGCCACTAGCAAAGTTGCCGGGGCGCAGCAGCTCCGTCGGCTGCCTCACGACGAGGTGGCTTGCATCGCGCGTGCCAGGTGCAGCGTCAGGGCGTGCGACTACGCGTTCGACGAGCTGGAAGCCCTGCGACAGGCGTTGCGCACACATTTCCAGCAGCATCATGAGTGCCGGCGACGATGACGCATCGCGTTTCAACATGATAGACGTTGTGTCCGAATGCACCGACACAGTGTAGGGATACTCGTGCCAAGATGTGGCAAGCTCTTGGTCGCTAGGTAAGTAACGCGTCGTTAGAGGCAAGCATGCAGGTGACGACATGGACCACCATTTGATCCCGTGCCGTGTGCCCCGCTCTAGGAACACGTGCTGCCAACGAAGCAGGATCGCACTTCGATCCAGGTGGGCTGACCGTGGATTCATCGGGTTGACGGTGCGAGAATGCGATATGGCATCAGGAGATGCGGTCGACGCAGGTCGTGGCAAGGAGAGTGGGAGCTCGTCGTCGTCGGCAGATGTCATCGCCGCTGCTGCTCCTGCACCTGACCATGCACTTGCAGGCGTCAGGGGCCTTGCCGTCGCGATGGTTCGTATTGTTGCATCATCGTGCTGCAGAATCAGCGTTGGCTCCGACGGTGTATACTGCTGGGCGAGCACCGCTGTCAATGCACGCGCAGCATGTCCAGCAGTGGTCTGAGACGAACGCGGTTTGGTTCCAGCTCGTGGACGCCTCCATGGCCAAAGAGAGCGCAAGAGTGGATGCCAAGCGTGATCGGATGCAGAATGAGGCGTCGACGACCGCGAGACACGCATGTTAACCGACCGGACAGCGAGCAGCGATGTGTTCGTTTCGCCGACGATCGGCACCGTCTTGCCTCCCACAGGTTGCCGCCTGTGTGCGCTGCACGTCGAGGATGAGTGCGAGCAGTGCGATGGCGCCCACAAACTTGCGCCCGACATATCCCCTGTAGAGGCTTGAGACATTGATGTCGACACTCGGTCGTTGCGTCCATCGGTGCCGGTCGACTCGACAGAGTGTGATCGGCGGATACTGTAGTAAGAAGAGCCGTGAGGGGCCATGCCGCCTGGCGTCGGCGTGGACGGTAGGGTCGAGGGCGGGCCGCGTGCATCCGCAAATTGATCACGATCAAACTGCTCGCGAATTTGTGCTGCTGCTGCACTGTGGACCGGCACATGTGGCAGCGAGAGGTACGGCAGAGCAAGTTTCTGGGGCTGAGAGCCCAACAGCTCCACCATGCGCATGTCGTCCATGCGACAGCGGGGGGACGAAGCGACTCTTCCAGTGCAGGCGGTCCTGCTCAATGTTGTAAAAGCTACAGTTGATCCAGAATGGCATGGAGTGGCACGTCCGCTTAGGCCCTACGAGCCCCGAGTCTTGAAAAAGCGGGTCCGACTGTTGGCCCAGATGCACCTGCGGGGGTGATCGTGGCGCAGAGAAGCGCGGCTCCCGCTGCACCGTTGATTCGTAGTGGAAAACCGGCACCATGTGCAATGGCATCTGTGTCAGACACACTAGGTCCATCGATACAGCACGATCAAACATGCGCTGTGTCGTCAAGCGCAAAAGCGCCTTGTCAGCATAGAAGTGGCCAGTGCCCGGCGTCAGCACAATGATCGAAAAGCCTGTGCGCGTAAGGTCACGGTCAATGTAGTGCTTGTCGGCGGAGTTGAGCTCCAGGTTCACGGCCTCGAGCAAATTGCCCTCGTATGCACGAGCGATGCGACCGAGCAAAACACGACCGCCAACGGCCGAGTCTTCCAAGTCCGCTCCATCGGCATCATCCCTGGGCATCGCCGCCGGGACCACACTACCACCAGCAGCCCACCGTGGCTGTAGAAGCACGTCGTGCTGGAACCGGAAGAATTCCTCCTTGAGCGCACGCATAGTCACAGTCCAGTCCGTAGACGAGTCAAGGTCTACAATCACTTTGTAGTAGTCGATATACAATTGGCCGGATGCCGTTCGCAAGACAGGGCGCCCGGCAAGGTGCTCGCATTCAGATGCATCGTACAAAACTCGTGTAAACAAGATCACAGACACAACGTGATTCGTACCAATAACCTTCCACTTGCGCAGGAGATCCGGCAAAAAGCCATGCAGGACTTTTTCATAATACAGTTCCCCACTCTCATCAAACTCCCACATCTCACTGGACATTTGCAGGAATAGACTGCAGCGTGCAGATTCTGACCGAAAAATGGATTTTGTCGACGCATCCATGTAGCCGGACATGACGCTATGCTCGTGCACAAAAAGTCGACCGACTTTGGCACGGAGCCCCGTTGGAAGCGTGATGCATTGACCCACATACACACACGTCTCGATTCGCGAGACAGACAAGCGCCACATGTCGGCACGACCCATGTACTGATCCTTGAAGTACAGCTCCATGTGCGTGATCATGTGCCGCTTGCGTGGCGTGCGTACGATGGTTGCGTGGGACCGATTCGACAGTGCGCATAAAGACGCAATCGACCGCGAAATCGATAACTGCAGCTGGTGTTGTCGCGTAATGACATCCTGATCAGCGACTGCCTGCAGCGGCTGAAAGACAAGCGAGTGAGTGAGGTCGAGATTCGTTTCTTTTCCCTGAGCATGAGCTGCTTCCCACATTTCGTACGTGGCCATGTTCATAACCATTAGTAGTTCGGACTCTGCCATGTCTGGCAAGGTGCAGGTAGGGTTCATGACAAACTCATGCCGCGAGAAGCTCGGTGGATCGTGGATCCATAGTTGAATTTTACGAGCATGCGTGCTACTTGTAAAGGACGCCTCACCTGCACCTGTATCTCGCAAACGTGTTTGGTTTCCTGCCCCAGGTGACGGCGTTCCATGCCTTGGCATTCCCTCCGCCACCACCGCCGCCTAGTTATCTTTGAGTAACAATGACTAGCGCAAAAGTCGGTGCGGGGCAACTCGATTACACACGCACTCGCGCACACGCACTCGTGTACCCTCACGCGCACGGTTACAGGTACGGTCTCGCTCCTAAACAGTGTGAGCCCACGCTACACGCTACCGAGCCTGTGCGGAGAGGAGCGAGTCCTGTGTTTCGCGAGGGAGCATGTCAGGTGGAGGCCAGGCGGCGTTGAAGTGTCCACGTGGCACTCGGCCGGGCTCCGTGATCCATGGGACCGTTGACATCGATCCCATCCCAGCGGTGTTTCTTCACGCGTCCCAGAGAAGACACACGACAACAAGGCAAATGAGTATGTATCGAGAGAATCCGTGCATGAGGCTAGGGGTGGGACAAAGAAGACCGCTGAGTGAAACAGAGTACTAACTATCCGCAGACGTTGACGAGGTTGAGGACCGCGATGGTGTGCGTCTGTCGTGGAACGTATGGCCGGCGTCGAAGTTGGAGGCAACGCGCACAGTCGTGCCGGTCGCAGCGCTGTATACACCGCTGAAAGAGCGCGAAGATCTACCACCGGTTTTGTACGAGCCAGTCATGTGCAAACCACCATGTCGTGCCGTGCTGAATCCGTATTGCCAGGTGGATGTGCGTGGCAAGCTGTGGATCTGTCCCTTTTGTCTCTCGCGCAATCCATTTCCACCGCATTACAAGGACATTAGCACGACGAACTTGCCAGCTGAGCTGCTGCCCAAGTACACGACGATCGAGTACACGCTGAACCGCAAGTCACAGATCCCACCGATCTTCATGTACGTGGTTGACACGTGCATGGAAGCCGACGATCTCAAGTCGCTGTGTGAGTCGCTCGTCGTGAGTCTAAGCCTGCTGCCGCCGAATGCGCTCGTAGGGCTCGTGACGTTTGGCACGGTCGTGCAGGTGCACGAACTTGGCTACGAAGGCTGCCCGAAGAGTTTCGTATTCCGCGGCTCGAAGGACTACTCTCCCAAGAACATCCAGGACATGCTTGGCCTCACGCCTGGCTCGCGCCCAACGCCCAACACGGGTGGCCCATCCACACAGCCACGGCAGCCGACGACGGGTCAGATCGGCGCCACGCGCTTCATGCTTCCTGTCTCACAGTGCGAGTACCAGCTTACAAGTATTCTCGAGCAGCTGCAGCGTGATCCCTGGCCCGTTGCCAATGACAAGCGACCTCAGCGCTGCACAGGTGCAGCTTTGAGTGTCGCTGTGGGGTTGCTGGAAAGCACGTTCCAAAACACGGGCGCACGTGTGATGCTGTTCTGTGGTGGACCATGTACGGAAGGGCCTGGACAGGTCGTGTCGACGGAGCTTCGTGAGCGCATCCGCTCACACCACGACATTGAGAAGGATAATGTCAAGTTCTTCAAGCGGGCCGTGCGCTTCTACGAGAACCTGGGTCGCCGCGCCGCGCACAACGGCCATGCTATCGATGTGTTTTCAGGCTGTCTGGATCAGGTGGGTTTGTTAGAGATGCATGCATTGTGCAACGTCACCAATGGCTACCAGCTCCTGGTCGACAGTTTCCAGATGGGGATCTTTAAGCAGAGCTTCAACAAGATCTTCGAGAAGGACGAGAATGGCGATCTTCTGATGGGCTTTAATGCGACACTGGAGGTCCAGTGCACCAAAGAGCTCAAAGTCAGCGGCCTTATCGGCCATGCTGTGTCGTCCAACAAAAAGTCCAGCTGCGTGGGCGAGACAGAAATTGGCATTGGGCAGACGTCTGCGTGGAAGATGTGTTCGATCACGCCGCGCTCAAGTGCGGGTTTGTACTTTGAGATTGCTACGCCGGCTGGACAGCCGCTGCAGCCTGGCGCACGTGGGCTGATCCAGTTCGTCACGCACTACCAGCATTCGTCGGGCCAGTTCCGTCTGCGGGTCACGACAATAGCACGCAACTTTGCCGATGGCGATTCAGGCCACGTCGGCCTCTCATTTGACCAGGAAGCCGCAGCCGTGCTCATGGCACGCATTGCCGTATTCAAGGCTGAGATTGACGACAGTCCCGATGTGCTTCGCTGGCTCGACCGCATGCTAATCCGACTGTGCCAAAAGTTTGCCGAATACCGCAAAGACGACCCCACAAGTTTCCGTCTCAGCGAGCATTTCAACATTTACCCTCAGTTCATGTTCCACCTGCGACGCAGCCAATTCCTCCAAGTGTTCAACAACTCGCCTGACGAGACAGCATACTACCGCCATGTGCTCAACTGCGAAGACGTCAACAACTCGCTGATTATGATTCAGCCAACGCTCATGTCGTACGGCTTCGACGGGCCACCACAGCCTGTGCTGCTGGACTCGATGTCGATTCGCCCAGATGTCGTCCTGTTGCTCGATACATTCTTCCACCTGCTTATCTTCCATGGTGAGACTATCGCGCAGTGGCGCAAGGCTGGTTACCAGGACCAGGAAGGCTATGAGAACTTCCGCGAGATCCTCGAGGCGCCTCAGGCTGATGCTCAGGAACTGCTCATGGAGCGTCTTCCTATCCCCCGGTACATTGTGTGTGACCAGAATGGCTCGCAAGCGCGGTTCCTGTTATCAAAGCTCAACCCATCCACGACGCATATGACGGGCGGTGCATATGGCACAAGTGGTCAGGGTGCTGCGATTTATACGGACGATGTGAGCTTGCAAGTGTTTATGGAGCACCTGAAGCGCTTAGCTGTAGGTGCTAATAGTGGATGACAGTGATGATGATAGACATGTAGTGCTTCTTTCCTTTCTATGCTCTCTACTTGGCGGGCATGTCTTTCAAGGTCGGCTTTGGATAGGACCAAGGCGGTGGAGAGCATTTGGTATATTATCGTTCGGTATGGTACGATATGGTACGATATGGTATGGTATGGTATGGTATGGTACAATCCCTGTTATTCTCACTCGCTGAGCAACTCGTCCAATTCAGCCTCTTCTTCCGCCGTCAAGACCGACGACCCTGCGTTCGACGCCGATGCGCCTAGTTCCTCGTGCGTGTCTACGGTGCGTTGACAGCTCACCAGTTCTTGCATGGGCCATCGACGAATCGTACCGTCCAACGATGCTGACACAATGTACACCTGCCGCGTCTCGCTTGTCCATGTGCCGACATATGTGACCGTGTGCCAGTGCCCTTCTAGTTCGACGGACGGTGCCGGCCTATACACTTGCAACGTACCGCCCTCCATGCCCAACAGCACTGCCTCCGTGTCGTCTAGCAATGAGGTCATCGCCTCTGTGCCTACACCTGCCTCACTTCCGCATAGTCCACCAAGTGGAAGAACAACATGCGCCTTGTGCGGAGTAGGTATCAGCTGCGTAGCATGCACTGCAGGACGGCTGCCCAAAAGGCCTCCTGCGCTAGAGGTGCGTCCAGGTAAGCGCTGTGCCTTGTCGTGCATCGACAGAGGGAATCGACGAACAGTCTGATCGCTTGAAGCAGTCCACACGTCCGCCGTCCAAGTGCCGGCATGCTCGCATTCATACCAAACTGGCGAAATCGCATGCACACTTGTCTCATGACCATTAAGCTCACGCTCAACAATGCAATGCTCACGCATCATGTTCACCTGCAAGATCCGTCCCATGGAGTCAGCTGTGAAGAGAGTGCCAGTGGGTGGGAGATCGCCAAATGCGACAGCATCCTGGGGCGCTGGTGGCAGCGTCGATATGCACACGATGGGACGTGTATGAGCGCCTTGGAGCACACCCACAAGATCGGGTTTCGGGCAAGGTTCGTTCGGCGCACACACAGAAAGGGCATGCCACTCGTCCCACGATAACGACTGTGCCCAAGAAACCACGGCACTCAGATCCCACGCTCGCACGACCTTGTCATTACCCCCACTGTAAAGGAGGAGATGTGTCGCATCTATATGCAGGGCCTTGAGTAAATCAGACGCAGCGTTCTCCAGCAGTGCGATACATGGCGGCTTGCCGGGCGTACTTGGCCATATACGTATGCTGCGATCCCATGAGGCCGTGCAGATGAGGGTGCGATCGGGAGCAATGGCTAACGTCGCTACACCGGACACAGGTCCCATATGACCACATAGCTGCTGCACGGTTTCTCCAGTTTCAAGATTCGTGCATCGTGCGATACGTCCACTCTCAGCTGTCCATAGGTAGGGGGATCTCGACGACGCAAAAGCGCCCGCTGGTCGGTGAGCAGAAATAACTTTGTATGCACCGCCATCGGCTCCAGCAGCACGCTCAGCGAGTTGTACAAAATCCACCTGAGCTTCTTGCTTTTTTACTCCGCGACCAAGCCAAATGGGCGAACCATAGGTCGCACCGTGCGCCGTGCGTCTGGCTTTGGCTGCGCGTTCAACACCTTGCGAGAGTGATGCATCTGATTGGAACAGGTGCGTAGCTTTCTGAGTATGCATGATCCACACGCGCAGAGTTGTGCCGACGTGAGAGGGAAAAATAAAAGAACGGCACGCACGCGCCAAACGACTACACGTCGATGACGTACGATAAAAGAAACGGACGGACAGGCTCTGCCAGAAACGTGGATTTGGGCTGCATCCTCTTCCTCCACATCATACGAAACTCTTGCCTTGCCTCTCCTTCCTTCAAGCAGGGAATCACATGTGCGTGTGCGTATGTGTGTTTGTGTTTGTGCACCATGTGGCGGCAGTGGCGATGATCAAGGCCGCATAGCGTTTCGATAGAATGAAAGCCAGCTGGAAAGTGAGGCAGGAGGAGCTTGTATTGTTTGCTTCTTTTTTGCCTCCTTCGTTGTGTGCATAGAATCATCTGCAACCTGCAGGTAAGCAGAAACTTCTTTGAGACGTTCGAGCTGGACAATGCCTGAACGGCGCGAGAGGCTCGTAGGTGTATCATGTGTTTGCAATGCATAGTGAAGTGCATCAATGGAGCGGGCATCAATATGGCCATGCTCACGAAGCTCACACGTGTACCAAGACAGACGCTTGACACGTCGGATAAACTCTGGCACGAGCGATGGCACATCAGAGCGATCGGCGATGAGGCATAAGCCAGGATACCCGATTTTCAATAATCCCTGCAATTCCAGCTCTTCAGACCACTTATGGAAAGCGCTAATTTTCTTGGGCATGCGGATGTGATGAAAGAGTAGGAGCGCACGATAAGGGCCAGGTGCGTTGATCTTCTGCATGGCATAAATGGCTCAACACTGTGAAAGTTTGTTGAAATCCAAAGATAGTTTACGAGACGTTGGTGGCCAAAAACCAGTTGTTTTCAGCGCGGTATCAAGCTCGACAGAGACCGCCCGGTGATCCAGTTCTTCGCGCCTTGCAAGTAGCACACCTCACTAGGATCATTTGGCCCTCCACCGAATTTGTCGTGCCTTGGCTTGCGGTCTCATGAACAGCGATTATGGGCCTCCACATACACACCGCTGACGTCTCAGATAATTCGCCGACGCCACGCTCACATTATCGTGGAAAGAAGAAACGTATCCCACCCTTTCAACCCCAAGGCTCTACTCGGTTGAACGCGCGTACGCCACTCACCCCGAACTATCTACCGCATGTCGGCACTTAGATCATCTATGTCAAGCGTTCTCCGCACGCGCACTGTGTGCGCGGCACGGCATTCTACATCAGTGATGACCCGCTCCATGATGACAAGCGCATTTCGTCCAACGAGTCCGCTGCTCGTGCAAGCAACGCAGCCGACAGAAATGACGGGTCCCGTCATGATCGGATGTGGACTTATCGGCGCGTACGTATACATACCAATGACTCATGGTGCAGGGGTGTCGTTGCTATGATGATGCGGCCAACAAGTGCGTCCAGTGGCGGCAAATGGATCAAAGGCGGATTTCAATCCAAAATGGACCGGAAAGAGGCGATCCAGATCCTCGGTTTGCGGTACGTATACGAATGTGCATCAGAGTGTGCTAATTTTTGTAAGTGAAGCGAGTGTGACGCGGAATCGGATCAAGGATGCCCACCGCCGAATGATGATTGCGAATCACCCCGATCGCGGCGGATCACCATACCTGGCAAGCAGTACGTTTGTCCTTTGAATGATCATCTTTCTCACACGCACGAAGAAATCAATGAGGCTAAAGACCTCTTGGATCGTACGACCTCCCGCTAACGCTCAGTTGCGACACGTGCGTTGCAAGCAGCCTTGAAATGCATTCTCTATAGTCCAGGATTGGATGTAGCTAGACCATTCCAGCCTGCCAGGTCCTCATGTCAAAACAGGCACGGTCGCCGGACCAAATCTATTTCTCCTTTGCTGCAGCCTACCGTAAAGCCCACCAGCACTTTCCCACACTAGCGATTCGTTCATCAATTGCACGAACAACTACACTCTGTCCTCTAACTGAGCACTTCACACAAGCCGTTGTGCAGCTTACATGTAGGTATTGACAGCCACGAAACTACTCCAAGTGGCTACGGGCACATCGTAACGTAACAGTCTCCCAGCATACGACACACCTTTACAAAGATGAAACCGTAAAGAAAGACAAATATATTTGTTTCGTACGATGGAACGTTTTATTTTTTTGGGTTTGGTTTGGATCAAAAAAGCACAATGAGACACGTCGTTAAATATCCACATTACGCCTCGCTAATCTCACGCAGACGACGGATCGTGCTGCGGACGGTAGCGGCAGCAGTGGTGTTCATCGACCACGCACCACCGGCAACGACCTTCTTGCAAGCGCTGCAGCCCCAAATACCCACGGCCTTGCGCTTGACGGTGTCCTTACCGCAGAACGAGCATGTGTAGCGACTGTGCTGCAAGACTTCGATCTTCTTGATTTGGCGACGAAGCGACGAGCCGTAACGCGTGCCGTACTTGCCTGTGATTCCGACCTTGACAGTGCGCTTAGACTGGCTCGGCGTTAGTACTGATGCACATATGGCGTATCGATATGAATGCAGGACCTGCAGACATGTGTGGTCGATGTGACAGCACTAGCATCTTAGCTAACATGTAGGACGAAATCCGTACACATAAGACATCATGATCATACGAATGCACGAACACACACACACACACATCCCCCGCTTTGTTAGTCACGTACCATTTCTAGCTATGCCCGAAGAAGGTGGTTAGGACACGATCTGTTGGGCCGCCAGCGACACACGACATCCAGAACGACTCGGAGGTGTGTGAGCGTAGAATCACGTGTAGATTATAGTTGTGACACGTGATGAAGAATGGCATCTCAGTCCCCATGCCGCTCCCCCTCCATTCCTCATCAGGTGGAGACAATAGGCGTAAGTGGCAATTGCATGACACATGGGTCAGGCGCGCGCGTGGCGCTCGAGGCGTTGGAAACACATGTGGCACGTACCACACGGATTGTAATGAATATGTTCTGTGTGTGTCCGACGATGTGGATGCGCGCGGCCGCACGAATGCGCGCACAAGTAGCAGGACACGTATGGCGTGTTCAAAATTGCAGTGGTGCGACGGCAATGATGGCACCTGTGAATGTGAGGATGATCAGTCGCACCGTCGCGAAAAGCTCAGAGCGTGACAATGGCTCGAACTTTGCAGATCCATTTCCATTGCCATTTTCCAAGGAAATGGACCCGGCCATGCGCCGTGAGTACGAAGCAGAGGATGGCATTGATCTTGCGAGTGAGCAGCAGGGTGTAGAAGGCATGTACGTGCCGATACGCGTCCCGAATCGAGACAATGAAGACCGCCCACGTCTGTTGGCCCGACTGCAGTACCAGTGTCGGAAGCGCGGCACGCTCGAGACAGACTTGCTATTGAGCACATTTGCACATGAAGAGCTCCGACGCTTGCCGGACGACGAGCTGCATGAACTAGATCGGCTGTTGGACGAGCCTGATTGGGACATATTCTACTGGTGTACGGATCGAAAGCCGGTGCCGGAACGCTGGCACGCATCATTCACGACGCCGGGCAGGCTAGGGTACCGTTTGCGCATTCACACACGCAACGACCAAAGATCTGTGCGTCGATTCCCATCCTTAAAGGGTGACATCCAGTCTCCTTTGTCCTAGACAGCAGCTCCCGCAGCCGGTGTCGTGCCATTTTTTTCTGAATCCTGTAGATCATAGACTTGCTGCATGACGAGTTGTTGCTGTTCACTCAAGCCCTCGGTGAGACTCTGGAACAGCGAAGTATGCTGTGTGCGCAGCTGTTGAATGACAGTGCGGAATGGTTCGTAGACTGGCACACTCTCCAACGGTGATTCATAAACGACATCATCGTCCTGTGTATGTTGTTAGTATATCGCCCAATAATCGCAAAGAAGAAGGGGAAAAAAAAAAAGAGAAAGGTGGTTGCCAGGTGTTGAACAAGGGAGCGCGCACTTACATCGAAATCATCCAAGAAGTCATCGACATCATCGTCGTCGCCAGCAGCGGCGTCGTCACCATCGATACTTGCCACACGCGAGCGAAGACGTGCAGCTTCCTGATTAAGGATCTCAAGATAGTCGTCTGAAGGGCGTGAGCATCGTTGATACGTACTGTCATCTTCCTGTACATCAGCATCGTCGTCAAATTCATCCAAAGCGCCCTCGTTCTCAAGGTCGTCATCCTGGCCCTCGAGACTTTCGTCGAGGACCTTGTGCAGCTCGCTGCGCTGAGCCACAAGTTTCGGCAACAGCTTGAGCTGTGTCAACAAAGCGTTCAACAGATGCGGATAGCCGGTTGTGAGCGTCGGTGGTAGGGTCTGAGGATCCATAGCCATGAGCGAGAGCAAAGCGACAATCGCGACCTTGCATTCATGCACACGACGACACTTGGTCAGCATAGGCAGAGCCATCGTGAAGAACGCATTCGTCGCACCCTGCGACTCGAGGACGCCAACGGCTAGAGTTGGATTGTAGTAGATGGTCTCGAGGATGACGAGCATCGACCATTTCCGCAGCAGGAACGACGGCGATTCGGCCGTGTTCTGTAGAAACGGCAGAAGAGTCGTGATGATGCCAGGCACTGCATCGTCGACGTATCCCTTCAGAAGGAGAAGCACGACCTCGGCCATCTGACACGCGGCTATGCGGTCGCTTACGACGAGTTGGTCGCCTGTCATGGCCGTATGGAAGATGTCCAGCAGCATGTGGCGGTACTCGGCATTTTGTCGCAGCATTTCAGTGCCATACGAGGCGCAGTTGTCAAACGTGCCGATCATCTCTGACAGGTAGTCGACGCCACTGGACTTGAAAGACTTGTACATCAGCACAAAGATGTCCCACATCGCAGGAGAGATGCATTTTTGGTAGTATGTCAACACATCTGTGAGCTGGAAACATTCGTCGTACAAGTCGAGCGTCTCTGACTGGATCGTGAATGCTACGACAGGCAGCAACACCTTTTCGAGCTCAGCAAGGATGTCTGGGCGCGACTCAGCCGTGGTCACCATTTGGTACATGGTGCTAAGGCATCCCAGCGCGGCAAAGTACTTGTCTTCCTCGCACTGGTCCATGTTGAACGCATGCACGCCATCGACCTGGGAGTCGCCACCACCTGCGAGGTTGTCCTGCACAAGACGCATGTAGCTGTTCGCCATCTGCTGCGTCAGCTGCACGCTGAACGGCAGGAGCTCTTCCGCAAAGTTGTTCACGATCTTCTCCTGTGTGGTCATCAACACGTCCAAGTCTGTTTCGTCTGACAGCTTAAGCAGTTCCTGCATAAGGCGCCCCGCATTGGGTGCAACGGCATTGTGCACTTCGTCGTGGGCAACCAGCTCGCCCATCGCCTCGGCTGCCTTGACTCGCACGGGCAGCTCTGCATCCATCATACAGTCCATGACGCCGCGGAACGCGGTCTCGAGGCTTTGGCTTGTCTGCCACTTCATGCCGGCGCTGTCGAATGCCTGGATGAGAGAGCACGCGCGCAAGCGGAGGAAAGCCTCGGGGCTGTGTAGGACTGGCAGAATGTGCTGCACGAAGAAAGCATCGAGCATGTTTTGCACACGCTCATGGTGTACCATAGATGAGCAGATAGTGATGCACATGCGCAGTGCGCCATCGAACTGGCGCGCCGTGCACTGTGCAGGATATGCGTTGAGCACCTGTGTGATGAAGGCGAGCGTCGGCTCGAACATGGACTTGGTCCGCCGTGTGACGGCCGTGCTCAACAGGGAGGCAGCTGCACTAGAGGGCGTGCCGAGTTCTTCGAGTGGATCGGCGCTCATGCGCACAAAGTCAATCGGATCCAGATCCCACAGCTCCTGGTCTTCGTCAGAGAAGCACATGCGCGGGTACACAAGCGTCTCGATGATCTGCTGCATGTGCGGGCGCAGTTGGTGCCACATGGATTTCGGCTTGATACTGTTGACGAAGAACATGAACAAGTGACACATAACAGGCCGACTGACCCACATGTTGTCTGACACAATGGCATGCGCCGTGTGCAAGTATGCCTTGAGGATTTCAGGAGCAAAGTTGTGAAGAAATGTCTCGGCAAATGGCTTGTACGACTTCATGCCCGTTGGCAGCTGAGATGGGATCCCATAGCGCGAAAAGAGCCTGTTCAGCGAATAGAATGTCCACTTCTTCGCCTTCCACCAAGGCGCTTTTTCTTTGGCTTCATCGTCAATAGAGCTTTCGGCACCCTCGTGCACGGTTGCACCACTCTCGTTCTTAAGAACCACGGGCTTTTGCACAATACGCAGCATGAGCGTGCCCCACGGCACAATGCTTTCGTGTGACTGTTGGTGCTGTGTCAGAGTCACGATCATACTTGTCTTGTATGTCTTCATCGCATAGTACACAATTTCACCCACAGCTGGCAGATCGCTTTGCTCAGAGTCCATCAGCGCGCTAACGGTTGCCAGCAGCGTCGGAAACGTGCACGACACCACCTTGTCAAGCTTCGCGTGCGCACTGTCGAAGCGGAACGCACGCACCGTCTCGAGTAGTGCACGTACGCCCGCATATATTTGGACTTGTTCGCCAGAGCCAAGCAGCTGCACAATCTCGTCCAGCAGCGTCGGCCACGCATCAGGAAAGTCACAGCGAACGATCGAGTTCATGGCACTAGCAACATGCACACGGAGCGTCTGCGGAACAGATGCAATCGTTGGCAAGAGTGCCGTGCGCACGACTTGTCGGTCCTGTTCAGGCACATGGGGCGACTCGGTCGGCCCACGAGCCATCGACGCGTCCCAACATACGGCGATCCGGTTCTTCACATAGCTGTGTGAGAAGGGTGTCGTGTGAGTGAGAGAGTCTTGGGCCATAAATCCACGTACATAGCAGCTGCCTGACGAACAGACATATCTACATCAGAAGAGGCAACGATCTGAAACGACGCTGCAAGCATGCCTGGCTGGCCTTCTAGCTGACGTAGCTCGTGCTCCGACGCACGACGCACATCAAGATCTGGACTCAGCGTGGCAGGGAACAAGCGCAAGAGTGTGTCCATGATGACGGTGCTACCAGCTGCTTGCGGTTCAGCCAACAAACGACGCGCGCGCTCGCGTATAAGAATGCTACAACCACCCAAAAGTGTCCGGCCTATCGGCTACTACGACGCCTTGTTGGTGTGTGTGTATATATGTTCGACTATTGCATGAATTTTACAATTTTTTTTTTTTTGGTTTGGGCCTGCATGTTTTAGCGTCGACTCGTGGCAGAGACGCGCCAAGCTAGCAGCCGCGACTTTGCCACGCAAAAAGACCCGCTTGGCCTAGGTGAGTGAGTGGCGGAGGGTGCCTTCAGGCACGCGTCTCCGGCACGGTGGAGGGAGAAGGTCGTGGGCCAAAAGGTGGGCGGGGCACGCCGCCGACCTAGCGCATGGAGTCCCACGCTTACAGACACGCAACGGCCACGTGGCTGCACGCTCTCGATTTCATGCCATGCCACGCTCAACGACGCGCGACGTCCGTGGCCGCCTAGCGCTCGTCCAACGCACGTCTCACGCGTCGTCATCGGCGCGGGACGTGACACATGGCCCGGAACATGCACCTACCCAAGGTCCTGGCCCGACGCTGGCATCCACAAACGCTCGCGAACATGGACGTCGCACGCATGGCGGCAATCACGGCAGCAGCCGAGCTGGTTATAGCGGGCGCGGCGACAACGTGCCAACATCTATGCAGATAAAGCATACACGACCTACAGAAAGTCTTTCGTCACTGCAAGATACACACACACACCCATCCGATACGCTCGCGACGCTTGCCGTGCACAAGCGCAAAGTCGCAGATGTGCGTGTATGGCTTACGGAGGCACTCGATGGTACACCGACACTTGCTAAGTACCGAGTACGTGGGTGAGAGGGGATAAGAAAGTGCATGAAGGCTAACGATCTAAGCGCATTCTTGTGTTGACAGGACCTGCAGGCGTCGGTAAATCGGCTACTATTCGTGCATTGGCTCGACCAGATGCCTTGCAATTCGACATTGTTGAATGGCTCAACCCTGATACCCAGGCTGAACCAGAGCAGAGTGTGACGCCTTTCTTCTCGGTGGTCGACCGCTTTAGTGCGTTTCTTCAGTCAGTATTGCGGTTTGCACCGCTGCCCCTGGCGTCACGAGACTCGAATCGGTCATGGAGGGCGCGTAGCACAGCATCGGTGTCGCTGACAGAGAAGTCTAACGACGAGCAGAAACGACACCGACAACGGCGGATCATTCTCGTCGAGGACTGGCCAAATCTCACACATGAGCGCACTCGTGAAGGTGTGCATAGAGCCTTGGAACGATTCATTCACAGTGCTGGGCAAGTGCCTTTGGTTTTAATTGTATCTGACACGGTCCCTCGTGCAGATACAGATGCAAATGCAAATGACACATTTAGCTGGAGATCGCGCCGAGCGGTCCAAATGAATATCCGCATGGCTGTGCCAGAGAGTGTGCGAATGCATCCTGCGTTGACTGAGATCCGCTTCAATCCACTCACAACGCGTATGATTCTTGGTGCTCTGACAGCTCAGGCCCCATCACATATCCCACGGCACGTGCTCAATGCCATTGCTGAGGCGGCTGGCGGTGACATACGGAGCGCTACGAATGCCGTGGCCATGCTCAAGAATGTACCACCAAACAATGTATGCCATGAATCTGCCGCAGCTCTAGGGAATGAGTCTGAATCGGCGCTCGTCCTGTTTCATGCTCTTGGACGTGTATTGTACAACAAGCGAGCTGGCGACGCTGGCGAGACACTGGACGCTAAGACGGCTGCAGCAGGCAGCATGGGTGACAAGATGTCGCTGGATATCTGTGCTACAAGCACGGAAGAGTCATCGATACCAGAATCATCACCACCACCGCCACCTTGGCTGGTGCACCAGCGTCCATCGCTTGTGAATATCGAGACTCTCTGGTCACATTTGCCTGTGGATGCCACCACATTTCAACTGTATTTGCATCACAACATGCTCGCATTTATGGATGACACCGACGAGGCATTATTGGCCCTCGAGGCCATGAGTTTCGCCGATACTTTTTGCCGCAAATGCGCGTGATTCGCAAACTGGATCTCAATCACACACAGAACAGTACATATTTCAGTGTGTAACACGGAGTCTCTTGCTTGCGTTGCCCTCGCCCGTGCCTCGCAGAGGCCAAAAACTTACGAAACCGACGCTCATGAACATGGCGCTGCGCCTGCGCGAAAACCAGGATTTCTTGTCACAAGTCCAATCAAGCTTACGAACGAATAAAATTCCTTCAGCTAATGCAGGGCCTAGTAGTGTATGGGACGGCTCACTTCAAGCGAGCAACGCGATGTGTCGTCCAGACGAACTGGCCACCTATATACTTCCCCTCGCGGCACAAACCCACAGACATGCATGGACTGTACGTGCCTTGCCATTCATACAATTCGATGAGCCTCATGCGTGGACAAGCAGTCAAATATTGCCCCAGAATGATCTCCACGCCACAGACGACATGTCAGTCGTAGAGACTGAACTAGAATTGGCTCCAACGAGCGCGACAATGGCAGGTGCAATCGCAACAACGCCAAAGCTGAGAACTGCCACGACAGAATCAACCGAGCATCATTCAAGAGAAAGTTGCCTCTCTCTCTTCCATACCGCCATTCAACGACCCACATCACGCCCCATCAATGCTCGAGGCGTCATCGCAGCAATCGCCACACAGTTCGACTGATGCCTGGTCGGATGACTTGGACGATATCGACGACATGGATTAGTAGTTATGACTCTCTCTCTCTCTCTCTCTCTCTTCCACATTTTTTGTTCCTTCCTTGCGCGGAACGATTCCTGTGGTGCCATCCTCATACGTCGACGCAGTGTGACACAGCGACCCTCCCTCCACAAGAACGGCAAAATGTCTTTGTTGGCCCCACACGACTGGAATAGCTACTCCACAACGGTAATCGCATGTGTGGCCCCGAGTTCCCCACGAAGACATGCACGTAAATTGTAGTTGCATGCGTGATGTGAATGCATGAACATGTGGAGAAGGTTCGGACCCGTGTCCGAGCGGGTATGGGGAATGGCCCAAGCTATGCAGGACCGACCTAGTGGCACAGAAGTAGTCACGAGTTAACGGCCGTAAAATTTTACAGGCCCGATTCACAGCAATTGAGGTCTTCTCCAACCAACCACCACCGAAACGAACTATAAGGCAGACGCCCATCACGAATACGCATGATCCGTTCATCAGTTTGGCGGTTCTCGCAGAAGGCGTCGTCTGCTGCTGCCTCGGCTGCGACTGGCGCATCGGCGAAGGGAGCGCAGCGGAAGCGCGCAGCAGTCCTGATTACTGCAGCTGCCGTCGGCGCTGGTTCCGTCTTTGCGTTGACTCGCAGGCCCAATGATTGGGATGAGTATGCCCTGCCGCATGATGTGAGTCCGCAGCAATTCTGGTCGCCACCGACCCGCTCACAGATGATCGAGGCCCTGAAGCAGTCATCATCGCGCATCCTGCGTGCTGACGGCAGTCTCGAGCAGGCAAAGTCGCTTCTGATGCCATCGCATGAGGCCGTGGGCCACAGCCCCATTCCAGAAGTCGAGCATGCATATGCCGACGTGCCAGAGCACGACGATGATGGCTTCGACTTGCTTATCGTCGGTGGCGGTGCCACAGGTGCCGGTGTTGTGCTTGATGCTGCGACGCGTGGCCTCAAGGTCGCTCTTGTCGAGCGCGACGACTATGGTGCTGGCACATCGTCCAAGTCGACAAAACTGGTGCATGGCGGTGTGCGCTACCTAGAGAAGGCCGTCAAGCAGCTCGACTTTGAGCAGTACAAGATGGTCAAGGAGGCGCTCAATGAACGTCGCAACTTCCTACACATTGCGCCGTACCTGTGCTCATCACTGCCGATCCTGATTCCCGCCTACTCATGGTGGCTCATTCCCTACTACTATGCAGGCACGTTCTTGTACGACCTGATAGCCGGCAGCCAAAACATGGGCAGGTCGTACATGGTGGGCCGCAACAAGGCACTCGAGGCGTTCCCTATGCTCCGTGCCCACAACCTCGCTGGTGGCGTTGTGTACTTTGACGGGCAGCAAGATGACACGCGTATGAACATTGCCCTTGTGCTTACAGCAATCCAGCATGGTGCCGTCGCAGCCAATCACACGGAAGTCGTCGCCCTCAACAAGACGCCGGCTGGTGGAGACGACAAGCCAGGACGCATCATTGGCGCTCGGCTGCGCGACATGCTGACAGGCGAAGAATTCGATGTGAAGGCGAAGGGTGTTGTCAATGCCACTGGCCCGTTCTGTGACGCACTACGCAAGATGGACGATCCCACCTCCGCTGACATTGTGTCGCCGTCATCCGGTGTCCACGTTACTTTCCCAGGCTACTTCAGCCCGCGAGGCATGGGTTTGTTGGACCCGGCCACGAGTGATGGCCGCGTGATCTTCTTCCTCCCATGGCAAGGCGCTACAATTGCTGGCACCACAGACGTTGCTGCGAAGGTGGAGCCACACCCTCTGCCAGGAGAGAAAGAAATTGACTGGATCCTCGACGAGGTGCGCAATTACCTGAACGCAGACGTGTCGGTCAAGCGCACCGATGTGCTGAGTGCTTGGAGTGGTCTGCGCCCATTGGTCAAAGACCCCGCGGCGCGTGACACGCAGAGCCTTGTGCGCAACCACATGATCAACGTCAGCAAGAGCGGCCTGCTGACAATCTCCGGCGGCAAATGGACGACCTACCGTGAGATGGCCGAGCAAACCGTCGACAAGGCCATTGAGGCATTCGACCTTAAGCCTCTGCATAACTGTTTGACAAAGCAGGTACGTCTTATTGGCAGCCACTCTTGGTCTCGTACGATGTACGTGCGCTTGCTCCAGGAGTTCGGCCTCGACACAGACGTAGCTCTGCACCTATCGAATTCGTACGGAGACCGCGCATGGAGTGTATGTTCAGTTGCGAAGCCCACAGGCGACCGGTATCCACTGCATGGCATTCGTCTCGACCCACAGCTCCCCTATATCGAAGCTGAGGTCCGCTACGCCACGCGTGCCGAGTTTGCCGTCAAGGTAGCTGACTTTATTGCACGACGCTCGCGTATGGCCTTCCTCAACACGGAAGCGACGATCGAAGCTCTCCCACGCATCGTCGATATTATGGGCGAGGAACTCGACTGGTCTGAGACGCGCAAACAAACCGAGTTCCGTGAGGGAATCCTGTTCCTTGCGTCCATGGGTCTGGACCTACTTCGCGTGAATGATCTCGCCAATGTCAGCCTTATTGAGGCGCGCAGATGGAAGGACACTTCTTCGCCGCGCCAGCTAAGCCCAGCCTTGTCGGCAAGTCCTATGCAAAGCGCCGCATAATACTTCTACCGAGGAGCACCTGCTCTGGGTCGTCCTAATAGTTGATGCTTTTTTCTTGACATACGTACATAAATATGAGTCTGAGTACGTGCCCGAGTAGGAGCAAGTGTGTTTATGGACGAATGTAGGTGAGTGAAGCACGTACGGACATGTTGCAAGAGGTGTGGGAGGGGCAGTATGTGTACGTCATGCTAAGCAATTCGTGTTGTCAGTGACTCTCTGTGGCGATTGGACCTGGATTTACGTGCGTGATATTGATGGGGATGGTGGCGCTTCTGGCCGGCGTGGCGATCAAAGTCACTTCCGCCGATATCCACACTCTTACGACGAACTTGATCATGACCGCCTTTCGATTCACTGGATGCAGGCGTCCTAGTTGCTTCAAGTTTCTGTGCACAGCTGTCGCATAGAACCACTTTCACTAGCGCTTGTCGCTGAATCCATTCATTGTCCTTCCCACGCTCGGCGTACTGAAATGGCACCTCGAGCGATGACAAGTGCGGCATGCTATCCGTAACTCGGTGCCACCTGCAACGTTGATTCGCGCATGTGTACTCGCCAATACCATCAAGCACCTCCGTCTCGGTACGCCATCGCAATGCAACACCGCGTGTCTTGTAGTGCTTTAAATTCGCAATAGCAAACTGGGGGAGCAAGAGGCTGCGAAGAAGGCAGCCCGCAATGTCAACAAGTGTTCAAGCTTCACGTACTTCTTTGTACAAGGAATCATAGTATTTGCGCGCTACACGCGCACCGTAGCTGTTGTCACTTTCATCATCGGCATCACGAAGGAACTGGTGGTGCTCAGCCAGCAAGTCCTGCTCCGTTCTCGACATGCCATTCATGGGTACGCAGTTTCACGTCCTCAACGAAGCAAAGCAAAGTGAAAGTGAGACACGCACACGAGATTACGCGTCAGACACACGCGCCTGCCGTCGACCATCGTCCATCGGCCTTAGCCTGAACCTATCTCACTATCACACTCCCGTGCACGACAGCCTACTTTCTACACATGACACTCCATAGTTCTCAGCCACTAAATGCATCATCCCGATTAACTGCACCAGGTTGACCTTGTCTCTCCTTCCACTCACTCTGATTTCTCAATGTTGAATGGCGCTCACCTCCACATCAACAAGCAGGCGTGCTCTGGCCGAGTGTGCACGCAATCGGACAGCCTAAAATGGCAGTGGATCGATGTGTCCGATGTATTTAGTGCATGTGGTCATACAATGGCGATGTTGGCAGAACTTGCTATACAGAGCTAGGTCCCGTGAGCTGACTACGCTTGCGTGTAGTATTCATGTATGGCCGAAGGACCCACTCAACATCCGCCTCACTTTGCTCGAGAGTGCCGAGTCGGATCTCGTAAGGACGAAGATCGAATCGGGGACCAACTTCGGCTAGGTGAACGTCGCGGTGCGTCGCGACAAAAACATGATGCCGGAAACTGATGAAATCATTCCGGTTAGCAAACGTCATTACACGCCGTGCATCATCCTTCGGCACCGGAAAGAGGAATCGGAGCGCACTTTTCACTCGCTCACCAAGACGACCGCCAAATCCATCAAAAATCAGATGTGGGAATTGCTCGCTCACAGTTGAGTTACCGTGACTTGCCACTTCATGTCGTAGGGTCACGTTGTGCAAAGTAAACATGACCGTCGGGCCATGCGGAAAATGCGAGACAACCATCGCATCAGGCACACCACGATGTTCATGCACCACAATCATGTCTGTTATTCCGTTCGATCGCGCGGCCGCTGCAAGTTCTGGCATGGTATATGTGCCGCGGTTCATGCGCGTCGAATTCGGAAACACAAGACGCAGCTCTTTTGCAAACTGGGACAGACGTGATGAGGGACTGCGAGCCGTTGTTATAAGGATACGGGGATCATATTGGCCGGCACGTGAGTATTCATCGTCAATAGACGTCAATGGCTCTTCCTGAGCGGCATCCAAAGCCAGGTTCTTCGCAAGTGCTTCCGCCTCAGGGCCACGCAGCTCGGGTGGCAGTGGCTTGCCACTCGCTAAAGCCTCGCGGATCTTTTGTTTCCGCTCATAGATCTGCCGCTGCTTAGATTCGAGCGCTTTCTTGTAGACATACTCTCGGCGCTCACGCGCTTGTCGACGAAGCTAACACACGTGTGAGTCGACCGTGACATGGAACGCGGCGTGTGCATGTACAGAAGGGAACAAACAATACGTACCATTACGGCGCGGGATACGGTGAGGCTGTCGACGACAAATCTGCAACAATTCAATACGCAGCTGCCGACGTCAGCGTACGACCCTGTAAGTTGAAAATATTAAAAAATTTACGCTTTCATGCGCCATGTCGGCCAAAAGTCAAGCGGTTCGTATGACGAAGCGATCCGTCACGTGATACGTCGAAAAACCATCGCGCTCTCCCTCTGCCGTCAGAGCGAACAGCTTCGTACGCGATCGACTTGCTCGAGTGTGTGCGTGTAAGCCGCTAGCATGTTTGCGTCGTTGATCAGATGGTCGCGCACGACGTACCGAGGCGCGCGTGGATCAGGTGCAGGTCGCTCTGGCAACACTGATGCACGCTCATCTAAAGCGTCGCGGCCCACGGAAGTCCTCGCAGCACATGCCGGACACACATTCAAGCGAGCTCAGCGTGGCCTTTATGACGGACGCATCGTCCAATTCGGCAACACTATTCCCAAATCCAGACACAAGACGTCGCGGAAATGGACACCCAATATTCAGCGTACGACACTCTGGAGTGAGACACTTCAAGAATACGTGACGACTCGCGTGGCAACCTCGGCAATGCGATCCATTGAAAAGCATGGGGGTTTGGATCAGTATCTCGCACGAACAAAGGAGTCGCACCTCGGCGAATTTGGTCGCACACTTCGGATGCGCGTCGCGCGCGCTCTTCGAGACAAACGCATGGAAAACGCTCAAAGTGCATAAATACTACGTTGCGCTAGAGAGTCTAGAGGAAGAGAGAGCGTGCTAAGGAAAAATTTCCTCCCTAGGTGTCTCAAGCCTTCGCACGTCGGCCACTTTTTGTGATACTGCGCATTTGTTTCACCTTGCGCATCTTGTCATGCTCGCGCTTGGCTAGAGCTTCAACGCGCTTCTTTTGCTCGGGCGGCGTCTCACCACGCAATCCATATGATGCTAGGCGCACAATTTCGGTATGCAACTGCGTAAGCGACTTGTTCGTTTGTGCTATTTTTTACGGTACCTTGCTGGTACACATACCTTGAAAAGTGCGTCTTGGACATTCTGCGACTGTGTACGGTGTCGCTCACTTGATACCTGGAGAGAGTGTGATGATTGTATGTACATTGGCTGCAGTGTTAGCGATCTAAAAATGAAACCCGTGGGAATGAAATAGCCGTTGGCTTGTAAGGCTGACCCAAAAGCTTCTTATGTTGAACATACAGACTGTTTAGCCAGGGTACGAATAAGACCCGCTGGCAAAGCGATGCGTGCTCTAGGTCCCAACTCGAAACGTGCGTAGACTTTGGTGTTCACTACTAGTCAGCAGCACCTTGAACCGAACACACATTTGTTGACATTTTGGCCGCCAGGCCCAGAGCTGCGCGCAAATGATATGTGGACGTGCTCTACTTCAGTGAGCCTAAAACATATAACTACATACCTGGGTATAATGGCTGTGCACGAAATGCGTCGACCCATTGGCGGCGTGCTCGATCGTCGTCCCAGTCCACTATGGCTTGGTGGCTCAGCCATCGAAGCGCGCTCGGCGAACATCGACGCATGCATGCATTATACAAAGGTTTTCTGCAACTTTGTAACGTGAAGCCCACACATGCCATTGCTACTCGTCCAGCACGAACGACCATTGTCGTCGTCATCACTCTCTTACTGCAATACAACAACACCAATCAACATCTTGTCCCACTTGACATTGTCCAACAGCATTGGTACGAGGTGTGGAGAAAGATGGTGGGTAAGAGGGAAAATAAGTCTGACCTAAGACCGCGTGTGCGCACGGAACGGGCCCGCAAATAGCGTAACTAACGAAGCGAGGCAGTAGCGGGGGGAGATGAGAGTCAACTGGCCATAGGTAAGCTCGTTTCATTTGACCGATCACATCCTAAGACTGAGTGACGACGATGGCGGACGCGCGTCTGTCGGACAAGGAGCTCTTTGAGCTGAATGCTAAAGCTGCGTACGTATGAACGAGGGAGCGTAAGGTGTCGTCATTCGAACTCAGCAGAAGCTGACCAGTCTCTGGGTAGCGTAAAAAATTACAGCGTGGACCCGCGGCTCGACTATCGTACTGTGTCGGCCATCAACGGGTACGTGTTTGTATTTGGCTGACATACAAGACCGCTCGTGATCTTGGAAGATGTGAAGTTCCCGTCGTATAATGAGATTGTGTCGTTGACCCTGCCTGACGGCACACGCCGCGGTGGCCAAGTGCTGGAAGTGTCGGGCAACAAGGCCATTGTACAGGTGTTTGAGGGCACGTCAGGCATTGATGTAAAGGACACCCATATCGAGCTTACAAAGTCATCAATGAAGCTGCCAGTGTCGGAAGACATGTTGGGTCGTGTGTTCAACGGCTCTGGTAAGCCCGTGGACAACGGACCGCGCGTATTTGCCGAGGACTTTCTAGATATCAACGGCTCTCCCATCAATCCCTATGCACGTGCATACCCTGAAGAGATGATTCAGACAGGTATTTCGACAATTGACACGATGAATTCCATCGCGCGTGGTCAAAAAATCCCAATTTTCTCAGCTTCCGGTCTGCCCCACAACGAGATTGCCGCTCAGATTTGCCGACAGGCTGGCCTGGTTAAGAAGCCAGGTAAGGGCGTGCATGACGATCATGAAGACAATTTCACGATCGTGTTTGCAGCGATGGGTGTGAACATGGAGACGGCGCGGTTCTTCAAGCAAGACTTTGAGGAGAACGGCTCGCTGGACCGTGTGACTCTGTTCCTAAACCTAGCAAATGACCCGACCATCGAGCGTATTATTACGCCACGTCTTGCGCTCACGACGGCCGAATACTTTGCGTATCAGCTTGAGAAGCATGTCCTTGTTGTGATGACAGACATGACGTCGTATGCGGATGCGCTCCGTGAGGTGTCGGCTGCGCGTGAGGAAGTGCCAGGCCGTCGCGGTTATCCAGGTTACATGTACACGGACTTGGCGACGATCTACGAGCGTGCAGGTCGTGTCGAGGGCCGCAATGGTTCGATCACACAAATTCCCATTTTGACCATGCCAAACGACGACATGACGCATCCCATCCCCGACTTGACGGGCTATATTACTGAGGGCCAGATCTATGTGGACCGCCATCTGCACAACCGCCAGGTGTACCCGCCGATCAATGTGTTGCCTTCGCTTTCACGACTGATGAAGAGCGCCATTGGCGCAAAGCACACGCGTGTGGACCATGGCGATGTGTCAAATCAGATGTATGCGGCCTATGCGACGGGACGCGATGCAGCGTCTATGAAGGCGGTCGTCGGTGAAGATGCTTTGAGCAACGAGGATAAGCTTACCCTTGAGTTCATGGAGCGTTTCGAAAAGGAATTTGTTGCACAGGGTGCATATGAGACGCGCACCATCTTTGACTCGCTTGATATTGGCTGGTCTCTTTTGCGTATTATGCCGAAGGAGATGCTGAACCGAATCAGTCCGAAGATTATCAAGGAGTTCTACTCGCGCAAAGCGAAGCACACGGACGAGACAGAGTCCAGTGCGAAACAAAGCGACTCGAATGCAGCATCGGCGGACAAGTAAGGACGTGTCCTACCCGTTCGTTTTCCTTTTTTTTATCAATACTCCCAACAGTCAAAGTATGGTGGCAAATTCGTAGTAGTTGTTGTAGTAGGTGTGCTCCTCGGGGGGACGTGCGTGTATAAAAGACTGGTAAACTACGATAGAAGCATGATACATACATTCATGAGTTGTTTCGAAGGGTCAAATAGGGCCCGTGCAGCTCTTTGTGCGTTGTCGCCAAGATAAATCAGCGGTTCTATGATGGCCAACCCTGAATTAGCCATTTTGATTGCCAAGTAAATATACATATATGTACACAAGCTCAGTCTTACAGTTTCGGCGCTGGGCGGAATGGAGGTGGCACCTGCGGCGTTGCAATGGCATTCTCGTCGGCCGGACGCATCACACCCTGCTGCGAACATGAGGCTACAAGACGCCCTGACGTATCGAACAGGCGTGCTTCGCTGAATGTGCGCTGCCAGCCAGCGTGGATAGGCTGGATTTCTCGCAAAAGATATTGATTAATATCCAACACATCTGTGTGGAAGCGCGTGGCAAACTCGAGCGTCGAAGCGGCAGAAGCACTCAAGAAACTTTGCTTAGCCAAAGACAGAGGCGCAAAAGACAGTGCGCCGTCTAAGGCAAAGGCAATCGTAGCCACATGAGCAATAACGGAAGAGATCGGAAGCATACCTTTCTGCTTTCCTGTTCCATGTGCACACTCGATACTGTTGGCTGTAGGCAACTTCTCGCGCGCGCGCATCCAGTCAAATGTGCGGCGCTGAACGAGCGGGAGCCGGTCCTGCGTCGTGGGCACGTCCATCATGCCGATGCTGTTCTGTTGCATCATACAGCTCGGCACAGACCGCGTATCGAAAATTTCAGACCAGAGGCCCAAGATCTTGTGCTGTAGATCCACGATAAATTCATCGACATAGCCGTCTGCAAGTCGTTGCTGAGTGTACTCATGCGGCTTGGGAAGCTCCTCAGGCCGTTCAATCTTCCAGGGCGTGATGGGATCATAGCGCAGGAGCGAGCCTACGCATGAGGGATCTATGTTCTCTTGATGCAGTTGCATAATTTTTTCAGGCTCTGAGTTTGGTGATGCGATAAAATCGAGAGTTATCGACAGCACGTTGCGGAACTCGCCACCCTTGGAGAGCTGCTTGACAAGCACAGAACGAGTAGCGAAAGTGCGTGTATCACGCACACTTGTGACATGGCAAACAAATGGATGCTGGAGATTCGCAGGGCCTAAGAAATGACCCAAAAGCGAGTAAGGCACAAAATGCGGAGTTGTGGACGGGATTGTTTGACCAGCAGCAACGATGCCGGTAGCTATAGCGTAGCCACCATATGCGATAGGACGCACATTTCCCATGCCGAGCGGTGGCGAAACGCCTTCAAAGACCCATGGCTCCTCTGTCTGGCGTACACCAATGGAGCGCAAAAACGCAGACGCTTCGACCATCATTGGTCCTGTTGGTAAACTCGTGGAGTTTATAATGTACGATGAGGGTGTGGGGTCCAACTAGGAACTAGTTTGTTGGTCCCCCGCCTGTCAGCTATCGAGATTTTTTTATTTTCCACAACGGACTCTTTGGCTTGACGCTGCCGGCAACTTAACCCGCCAAGACGTTAAAATTCGGCGTACAAAGTGCCACACACACCGCTTTCCTATTTTCTCGTTTCACTCGGCCCACCTAATTCGCTGGTTCGTCTGGTCAGGCTGCCACTAGTGGAGAGGGAAAAAAACCAACATTTGTTGTTCCCCAAGACCTGGCTGGACGTGCAGAAACCCACGTGCCAGAGTGTATGCTGCAGGGTGAACGCGTATCATGCGATTGGTAAACAAAATAGACCAACATTCCATTGTCCGGCCGAAAAAAATGCCTGGGAGAATCTACGGGCTTAGCCGCTGGCGTGTGTCAAATTATTCCTTCACCGAGCACGACAAGGATGTCTGTAGAAATCAGCCCTAGCGCTCAGCTCGGCTTCCCACGCCCGCTCACGCAGGTTGTGAAGCGTTCTCTTTATGTGACGAACTCGAACTCGCAGCCTGTGGCGTTCAAGGTCAAAACTACGGCGCCAAAGCAGTACTGCGTGCGGCCCAACTCCGGCCGTATGGAGCCGGGCGAGCGTGTGGAAGTGCAGGTGTTGCTGCAGCCACTAAAGGAGGAACCACCGATCCAGACAAAGTGCCGCGACAAGTTCCTGATTCAGAGTGCTGTGATTACGGCGGACAAGGAAACTCTCCCGATCCATGAATTTTGGGCGCTGCAGGAGCGCGAGAAGGAGGGCGTGTCAGAGCACAAGATTCGCTGCGTGTACCTGCCACCGAACAGCGAGCCGCTCCCAGAAGAAAACGAAGACATCAGCAGCCCGAGTGCTGCCATCTCTCACACACCCTACGACACGAGCATCGGTGCTGGTGCTGGCGGTCCTGGCTACGCAACGGAGGCTGGCGCCGGCGCTGGTGCGGTTGGTGCTGGCGTGGGTGCTGGTTACCTCGCTGGTCAGCCACGAACCTCCAGCGCGCACCCAGGTGCTGAGCCGCCCATTTCATTTGCGCAGCTGAACCGCTCGGAGGCTACGCCCATGTCGTCGCAGCCGTTCGCCACGAGGAGTGGCGCTACAAACATGGCACCTGCATCTGCGGCGATGGGTGCCACGACTTCGACGACCACGGCTGTGCCTGTCGCTACGACACCCCGCTCGCCACAGGAGCTTGAGTCGGAGGTGTTGCGTCTGCGTGCCCAGCTTGCATCGAACGAAAAGACCACGACATCTTTCAACAGCGGTCGCACCGCCACAGCCAAGGCTACCAGCTCAGGTGTGCCCGTCCACATTGTCGCTGCCATTGCTGTGGGTGTATTTGCCATTACCTACCTGTTTTTTTAGGTAGGGGAGAGGCTCAGTGGAAAGCGCTCTGGGGCACCTGGTCGCGACCTACATGGCGTGCTCAGGCAATTGAGCACTGGAACATGCTCCAGAAATGCGCGGCGTCAACTTCGTCTGCCAAGCAGTGTCTGCACGACTTGCACGAATGGTGGGCACACAACTAAGGCCTTGTAGGCGTTTTGGTTGTCGTGCCTGTGAGCGCATGCGTGTGAGTGAGTGTGCGTGTGTGTGTGTGTGTGTGTGTGTGTGTGTGTGTGTACACCTGTGTGTTTGTGTGATGGGTGTCGGATATGCAAAGAAGGAACAGACCGAAATGGGATGAAGGAATGGGATGGGATGTGTATGTGTGTGTTTGTGTATAATACGCCCGTCATGTTCTGGACCTGTTTTCTCATTTCCCGCCATTTTTTTCCGCGCCACTTGCTCTTGTTATGTATTTCCAATCGTCGACCTAGAAACTGTACACCATGCTCCTTCCAATTGCACACGCACACAGACACTCATACCATTTTCTCCACGCTTAAACGAATGGATCGCACACACGTACACGACATACCCGCGACCGTGCTCTATTATTTGACAGGCTCTATTTGATTGGACACCGTTTCTGGCCGCGAGATCTCTCCCCGTATTTCTTGTCTTGGATAGATTGCAATGCAATGAAAACTTATTCCCCTCCCCCCTTTTCCCACTCCGTTCCACTCCCTCGCCGTCGCATCCTTCGTCATTCACCATTCCCTCTCTTGTCCTGTGGCTTTTCAATGCATGCAAGTGCCTGAAAGCCTGCGTGATTAGGCAATCTGTGCAAGGACCTGCTCGAGCACCGGCACAGGGAAGGGAATCGAGAGTTCGTCACCGACAGCGATCGCATGACTATTTGTGACGGTCGTGGCGCCACGTGTGACAATGACCAGGCCGTGATCGACCATCTCGCCAAGCAACTGACGCACGCTCTCGTCGGATGATGCAATAAATTCGCGTAGCGCTTCTCGCATGAGCACAACGTATGGCGTTCGTGGCACACTCCCGTCATCGACATCAGCACCGGCCTCGGCTACTGCGACAAGCTGTAATGCAGCAAGCTGTGAGAACAAACTTCGCGCCCGCGACGTGATCGTCTGAAGCACCTGGATCGCTGCAGCATCAGAGATTGGTTGTGCCATTGCGGCTGCGACAGATGCACCGGGCGCTGCACGTGCACGGCCACCTGCTAAATCTACAGCTGCTGGTAGTTTCAGTGACGCAAGCCCTGTTGACGAGGACGAGCTAGCAGCTGTGCCTCGCGACTGGACCAGCTCTGAAATGGGCGGTACATACGTTGTCGCATGATGCCATAGCCACGGTGCACGAAGCGTGCGTATCCCCGGGAGGTGGAAGAGCGGTACTTCTGCATGCCCGGCAATGCCAAGACCAAACGAACCCGCGCTCCCGTCAAGCAACAAGCCTGCATTCACTTGCGACACACTTGCGACGATATGCACGCGCTCACAGCGCGCAAGGGCGTGAATGAGCGTGTGGATGCGTGTGGTATGGAAGATAGGGTCGTCAAAAGCCAAGAGGCCCAGCACAAGTCGATGCGGGGGCTTCGGCGGCACGCTGGATGCGCGCGTGCCTAGGCAATGAGTAAGTTGTCGGATCCGCTGCGAGACTCGGTCCTCCCGCATTACCGTGCGGCCGCTTGTCTCTGGTAGTGATGTACCTAGTGCCTGTTCAATGGACTTGATGATACGGTCAATTGAGAGGGCTCGGCCTGCAGCGCCTTGAACCAAGAGACTTGCACTCCCGTAGTTCTTTGCCATCCGCTCTACAATGGCTCGGACCACTGGCGCTTTGTCCCCGACACCGTACAGCATTAGATGAAAGCCATGAAGAAGCTGCGTCACATACATGTCTTGGCGCTCAGGATCCAGTTGCAGTGCCATGGCACGTTGTGAGTGTCTTGTGCGCACTGGTAGTGCTGTGTCTTGTGTGTTTGGCGCTTGATCAGCTGCGATCCGAGCGAGTCGTGGCAACTCTGACGCGTCCAGCGCGCCGACAATCTGCGATATTCGCTTTGTCGATGTACCACGTAAAATGTCCCGTCCGAGTTTGCGTGTCGCGAAATTCCGCCGGTGTGTCGTCGATAGGAACCATGCATCGGCCGATGTAGCTCGTACAAACGATGTGTGTGTAAAGGCAGGCGCTGGGCGACGTGCACTCTCTGGTGCGTTAAGTGCATCCTGTGCGTCTGTCTTTCCATCTTTTTCGATAGTTTCTTCCGTAACTGAATTTTGTATGGTATCTGCAGATGCATGGACGTCTCTTCCCATCGCCATGGTCATTTGCATCTCTCCGTTCCTCGCCAGGTCGTCCTTGTCATCTCCTGGATCTTCTTCGCTATCAGGTGCAGGAGATAGACGTCGCTTGTAGTTCTGGGTAAGCTCCTGTGTATGTTCTGTGACCTGCGTGCTTGGCGCACCAGTAGCATCAGCACCACCAGCACTAGCGCTTGCGCCTTGCTCCTCTTCCTCCTTACCAACCGGTGCCGCTGAATGGGACAGCGACATGAGGAGAGGTGGAGGAGATTCAAGCGCACAGGGTATTTAACCCACCTCTGCACGCTGGACGGCGAGGGAACTAATGGTGTGCTTGGCGACTAGTGGAGCCCCGAATCGACCATGCGTCAAAATTGGGCCCAATTCTGTCTTCAGGCGCCTCCGTGATTCCCAACGCACCACACATTCATTTATTGTCGCTTTTGCATGTGGCAACATCTGTCACCGCGGACTACAGTCTGCACAGGCTCACGCACAGGGTCGTTTGCGCTGAACGCACCGCGCGTTCATGTCGCACGCGCACAACACACACAAGCGTATACATCCGCACTGGTCGATACTGTCCGCCAGCGTGATTACGCCGCATACCTTACACACGTAGCGTATGCACGGCGAGTTCAGCCCCATTTTTGGGCCTTACGTGCATTTCAAGTTGAGCTTGCTACAATTAAAGATACAGTGAGCAATGAACTCGTGGGTCGTATACGCATGCAGTGGTGGCGCGACGCTATAGAAAGCATCTACGCAGGCCGTCCACCGAAGCATCCCATTGCACAAGGACTCTATGAGGCTATTTCGGATCCAGCCGTCATGGCGCACGGATCCCTAGTGAAGGATCATTTTCTGCGCATCATCGATGCACGCGAAGCTGACTTAGCTGATCCACTCTCGCCACCGACGCTCGAAGAGCTCGAGAAGTACGCGGAGGCAACATCATCACGCATGCTGTACTTGCTGCTCAATTTACAGGGGCTTTCTGAGCCGACTGTCGACGTGCTTTTCTCCCACCTTGGCAAAGCTATTGGGCTTACAATCTTTGTTGCTTCGCTACCATATCATACGCATCCCGCACCGCGACCTGCCTCAGCAGCCGCGGCGTCGTCGCCCCACAGTTCAGTCGGCGCTGCTATTGGCGGAACGACGCGGTACGCGCCACAGGCAGGCGGTGTTCCCCGTACGCCAACGCTTCCACTTCCGCTCGAATATATCCTAGAAGCAGGCGTCACACAAGAGGATGTATTTCGACATGGGCCCGGTGCTCGCGGGCTAAAAGACGCAGTATTTTATACGGCAACACGCGCGAACGACTATCTCATAACTGCACGTCGAGTGATTCGTGAAGAGCTTGGCGGTCGCGTGCCAGCGCTAGCTACTGGGCCTATGCTCCTTGCTGTCCAGCCGCGTCAGTTTCTGCGTAAGCTGGAGCGTGTCGACTTTAATCCCTACGACCCCACTCTCGCTAAGCGCGACTGGCTTTTGCCTTGGCATATGTGGATAGCCGCGCGTCGACAGACTCTCTGACTCGAGGATGACTAATCATAGACACAAGGAAAGGCCCATTTTGTGTGTACGTCATACAGTGTTGATATGGGCGCTGATAGGTAAAACGAAAGGAAGTGCAAAATTATTTGCGGCGAGAAACGCTGGGTAACGCCTAGGTCCGACCGAGTAGAACAGAGAGTGAGTGTGCGAGCGAGTGAGCGTGAGCGTGTGACGCGTGCGTTGTCTACGTGGGATTGTTTTATTGTTCATTCAAGAGCGATTGTCGTCACGACCGTCATCTAACATAACATGAATTCCCGGCGCAAGACACGGAACTTCAAGGGCTTGCTCCTCAAGGACACGCAGCTACCTGACCCTCCGCCTCCCAATGAGCGAGCTGCACCATTTGCCCGATTCATCCAGTCAGACGGGAGCTCAAATTCGATAAACATGATGTCCAGCGAACGCCCGAGTATGAATTATGTGCCGGGTACGTCGCCGACCATGTCAAACGACTATCTCTCGTCGTCATCAGGATCCCTGCCCCATGCGCCCGCACATGACGTAATGTCACAACAAATGAGCAGCATGGACCTCAATTCATCACAGCCTCGGCAACTCGACGTCAGTGCCCGGAACCTTCGCATGGTCGCTGACCTCGGTGCAGGAAATGGCGGGACCGTCAGCAAGGTGGAACACCTCCCCACAGGAGTCATGATGGCCAAGAAAGTCGTGTATATTGATGCCAAGCCCGACATTCGAAAGCAGATTCTTCGTGAGCTTCAGATCCTGCACGAGTGCCATTCTGAATTCATCGTTGGGTTCTATGGTGCCTCGCTGAGTGATATCCATCTTTACATGTGCATGGAGTACATGGACATGGGTTCGCTCGATTCCATCTACCAGAAACACGGTCCAATTGAAGTGGATGTGTGCGGCAAAATTGTCTATGCTGTTGTACATGGTCTTTCATATTTGTACGAGCAATTCCGCATCATTCATCGCGACGTCAAACCAAGCAACATTCTTGTAAATCACCAGGGCCAAATCAAACTATGTGACTTTGGTGTATCGGGTGAACTCATCAACAGCATGGCCCACACGTTTGTCGGCACGAGTACATACATGAGTCCTGAGCGGATCCAAGGCGATCAGTACACTATCAAGTCAGACGTGTGGTCACTAGGTATCACTATAATTGAAATCGCTCACGGGTGCTTCCCCTTCGCGATTGAGATGGATGATGACCCTGACGCAACGACTCGCGCCGGCGAACGCCGGTTCGAGGATGTGCGCTCCCTGTCAATTTTTGAGCTGCTTCAGCACATTGTACATGAGCCACCGCCCAAGCTCAATCCCGAGGCACACTTTCCTCCTAGCATGGTCGATTTTGTGAAAGCATGCCTACTCAAAGATCCCGTGAGGCGCCCGACACCGATGGAGCTTCGCACCTATCCCTTCATGGTTATGGCCAGCGTCTCGAATGTCAGTCTCGTTGACTGGGTTCAACGTCTGAATGCTGGAACGCCTCATCACTGATATTGGTGTTAGCTACGACCGGAACAATCCTCGATTACATTAGTTACAGTGGAATTCTGTGCATGCTCCATCTTTCGCGGCATGTAACACAGTTTTCTCGGGGTTCATGTGCACCTATACGCCCTTCATCAAGCATTGAATACCATAATTATATTGCATGATCGAGGTAGATACGTTATCTTGTCAATCTGCTGGTATGTATGCCCGTCGCATCAAAGATGGATTCATGGCGGCGAGGTTTCATGTAGGTGTGCTATGTGTATTGTCTACCGACGTACCTGCCAAGCAACCAGGCAAGCGCACAGAATAGAATGCAATCACGAATACACGTCTCAAGGAACATTCTGTCTGAATAGCGGTCCCTGCAGCACTTCATAATGTGATGTGGCATGTTATATTCTCGTCTCCTTATTTACACACGTGCCACAGGTCCTAGGTATGTTCAACTCTCTTGGAAGGTACTTAACTATGACGTGCTTTCGCTGCGTTGTTGAGGGTGTCCGACTTTTGCGCAGCCAATTTTCAATTCCAGCCACTCTTTCGTTTGTCACAAAGGTATGTTCTTTTTGCATTTCCTTGCATGACGGACATGCTTGCCCTGATGTTTATGTAGTTAATCCGTTAAGCCGATGGATTCATCCTATTTTGGGAATGTCGATTTCTGACAGGTTATCTCGCCACTGGCAAGTGCTTAGTTCTCTTCTCAATTAACTTCGCACACTGAGCAAAATTTGATTTATGTTTTTCTACCTGTCCAATACGAAGCCTCATAGCCCCATCTGCCTGCATCTGGGCTACGACAGTTTTTTTCAAGTTCAACTTTGAACGCTGCACCTCCATTCTCCACTTGCCAAGGACCCGGGCCACACATCGTTCATATGCAAACTACTCCCCACAACTCTCGGTTGCATTGCGTTCCTTGATGACTAGTAGCCCAGCCCTCGAAAGACATCAATGAAGGCACCGGCACAACCTTCTAGACCTATGTATCAGGATGTAAATTATAAAAAGGATCAGACGTGTATACCCGCCAGCCTTTCATCTTCGTCGTCGTCCTCTTCGTCGTCGTCCTCCTCTCTATGCGAGGATTCTGGCGCCACCGAATTCCTGCAAAAACTCACAAGCTCCTTATGGAGCTTGTCTAACTTAACAATCGATGCTGATGGTGGCGACTATGTGGCGTCTTCCTCTATCGAGCGTCATTACTATGTGACAGATCATTGTTACCATGCGCTGAGGTCGGGCCTAGACATGCTTCTACAGGGTTTTGAGGAGCAGGTGCTTGGCGCCACTCTTCCAGGTCTTTTTCTTGCATTGTTGAATACAGAGAATAGCCCGTCATCGCGCTATACACATATGTTCTTTCTTCATGCTCACTCGTTCTGCTCACCAGAGCATCTACTCGGCACTTTCGAGGCCGATTATCTCAGCAACGAGCGCGATGAAGAGCGCGAGCATCTCGTTAAAATCTTGTGTGTGTGGATTCAAGACTACTGGGATCCTGCCAGAGATGCCAGCGTGCTGGACCATCTCGCGACTCTAGTGCAAACCACTTTTTCCCAGCACGCATGCAAGAGCGTCTCTCAGCTGCGCTCCATCGTTACATGGCGTATCCGTTCCAGAGACTTGCACGTCCCAGACGTCCCATTAGACATCATGGAATTTTCGTTGCGCATTCAAAGGCAGGGCGTACCGCAGCTTCCTGTGGTATCACGATCGCTCATGTCATCAATCCAGTCAGCCTCGACTGTGTGGGATGTCGATGTGCTGAGTTTCGATCCAGTTGAGCTTGCACGGCAAATCACGTTGTATGAAAATGCGCTCTTTTGTCAGATCAATGCACTAGAACTAATATATCCTGCTGACTCAGGCTCAGACCGAGACTCCGACCAATCCACACGCATAACTGCGCGCCCGTCCTACGTGCGTGCTATGACACATATGTCAACGCAGCTCACCAACTGGATCAGCCAATGCATTCTTCGCGAGCCTGCGGTGAAGCAGCGGACACAGCTTTTGCGCTTTTTTATTCTGCTTGGCTATGCCAGCTATGAGATGCAAAACTACAATCTGCTTATGGCCGTGCTGGGCGCCATCGGTTCGGGGAACATCCTGCGGTTGAAACAGACTTGGACCGGGTTGCACGCACGGAAAATCGCCCGATTTCATCATCTTAGCCGTGTCATGGAGCCTACTCGCAACTTTTTCATTTACCGTGCATATTTGCGCCAAGCCCAAGGCCCAACGCTTCCGTTTTTAGGCCTGATCTTGACTGACATTACGTTTTGCAAGGATGGCAACCCAATACGGCGTGCCTTTCCCGGTCGCAGTACAAGTATGATCAATCTCGTACGCTTGCACAAGCTTTCAAAGATCATGGATAATGTGCGATCGTTCCAGAAGCCATTTGCTATAACGCCTGTGCCAGAGATTCAATTGTTCTTGCAGTGGATTCGCGATGATGGGCGGTCGCACTCACACTCAGACTATATGGCCATGAGCGAAGAAATGTATCAACGGAGTTTAGAGTTAGAGCCTCGTCTCACTCCCAAGAGTGCGCCAACTCGAGCACGTTCACCCTCGTCCGGAAGGAATTTACGGTCGTGGTTGACACTCAAATCTCCCTACGATGTGATTTTTTCCAACACAAACGGGCGCGACAATTAGGTCAAAGACATTTCGAACTGACGTGCACCAACGCACATCCGACTTAACAATCAAGACGTTACTAATGACCACAGTAATGATGACATTGACAAGAACGTCAGAATGAAGATGAAGAAAACTAATGTATTGTGAAGTTAAAATCATTGGAAATGAACAATAGTCAAATCAACATACACACATACACACATACACGCATACGCATATAAACATATATATACATATATACACGGAATCAAGCTCTGGGAAGCATTCAGCGTATGACAAATCGTTTATATGTACGTGATCCTGTTCCAAACATCAACATAGCATCCAGTCCTTCCATGCAGGCGCATTGAGACGATGCGTCTGCACCTCACAATAACCATCGATTCCCCAACTCAAAAATCGACCAACCAATCATACTACTAGCTGCTTTTCGTGCACATCGAAGGCCCAATCCATCGACAAAGCCACGCCAGCCATCAACCGTGAGGATGTGTCGCGCCGCTGTAAACAAGCTAAGTTTTGCATCGGGTCCAACTGTCCCTTGGAATAACCGGGTCGGCGTTGTTTGCATGCGCGTCTTGAGAATGTCAAATGGATGCGTCATGAGCGTTGCGAGAGTACCAGCACACAGCCCACTTGTGCTTACGACGAGCCAAGTACCAGTATCAGAGTGAGTAAGCTGACCGAGCCACTGCTTATGCTGCTCATACAGAACCAGGTACAAACCAGCATATGGTGCATCACGTAAGGCCGTTGCTGAGAATCCACGAAAGAGACCTCGGAATCCGCCATCCCGATACAAGCTTCTGAATGACGCCCACAATGTAGGGTATGCATCCTTCGTAAAGTGACTTGACTCGTACCGTGCCTTGACAATGGAAATAGGATTGAGCAGCAGGCCAATCGATACGCGCGCCACGGCACCAGTTATCATATTACCAGCGTTCGACAAACGAGCCATGGTCGATGTTGTATCCAATAGAGCCGTATTTGTGGCACCTGGAATCGATAACATTGGCACTTGCCATAAAGCTACGAGCCAGCGCAGCTCGTTTAACGTGTAAAAGTAGGCTGCGACTCCTGGCACATTCCGTGCGATAGTGGGCACAGTGCCTCTCCAGAGACCTTGGTATCCATATGTGTCAACGACTGTGCGAAATGCGCGAGCGAGCCGTTGCGTCGCTGTCAAGGATGACTGGCTCGGCAAACGTTCTTGTTGCATGCGTGTTTTTAAGAAGTCCATGGGTTGCAGCATTACACATGACGCGAACCCCGCCACACCCCCAACACATAGAGTTTTCCATGCTGGTTTGGCTCTCTGACGCTCTTGGAGCGCCATATCAAACTAAGACGCTCGCTCTCAGGCTCACGACGCGCTCCGTTTTCGTTGCTATCCAGGATTCAGATTCCAACGCCCACAAGACAACACTGGAGTGAGTCCGAACAAGAGTGGAGGGAGGCACAGAAAAGCTGCATAAGGCGCCCACCATGGCGAGAAATGACAGGGCGCTCCGCCTCCGAGGGAGAGGGCCACGTGACCTGCGCATACACGATGGGGGTGTGTTTAACGCCGACGGCCCGCTCCGAACACTTTCACAACTGTCAACGATGCTGTCTTTTGCCACGCTTGTCTCGGCCCGTGCTATGGCACGGGCTGCACCCAGGTATACAGCTGCATTTGCAGTGGCCTCGAGTCGTCACTTTACCATGTCCACTCGTAGGCTCGGTGTAGTGAAGGTGCCGGAGATGGCCGAGTCGATCTCCGAGGGCACGCTGCGTGAATGGCACAAAAAGGTTGGTGACTATGTGAATGAGAGCGACGAGGTTGCGACGATCGAGACGGACAAGATTGATGTGGCCGTCAACTCGCCCGAGTCAGGTGTCATCACCGAGTTGTACGCTGAGGCGGAGGACAACGTCGAGGTCGGCAAGGACCTGTTCAAGATTGAGCCTGGTGAGGCGCCAAAGGAGCAGCCTAAGGATGAAGGAAAGAGTGAAGAGCCAAAGAAGGATGAGGAAAAGAGTGAAGAGCCAAAGAAGGAGGAGCCAAAGAGTGAAGAGCCAAAGAAGGAGGAGCCAAAGAAGGAAGAGCCAAAGAAGGAGCCGAAGAAGGAAGAGCCGAAGAAAAAGGACGCTGGCAGGCAGGAGAGCGAAGTAGCACCGAAGGCTGGTGCTCGCACAGAGTCGCGTGTTAAGATGACGCGTATGCGCAAGCGCATTGCTGAGCGCTTGAAGGAGTCGCAAAACACGGCTGCATCGCTGACGACGTTCAACGAGATCGACTTGAGTGCTTTGATGTCATTCCGTGCGCGCAACAAGGACCGTCTGCTGAAGGAGACAGGTATCAAGCTTGGTTTCATGGGCGCGTTCTCCAAAGCGTGTGCGCTTGCTCTGCGTGACATCCCATCAGCCAATGCCAGCATTGAAGGCGAGGGTCTTGGCGACACCATTGTATACCGCGACTATGTGGATCTCGGTGTGGCTGTCAGCACGGAGCGTGGTCTAGTGACACCTGTTGTGCGCAATGTCGAAAACATGGGCATTCTGGAGATCGAGAATGCGATTACCGAATTAGGCCTTAAGGCGCGTGACAGCAAGCTGTCGCTCGAGGAGATGACGGGTGCCACCTTCACGATCTCGAATGGTGGTGTGTTTGGCTCCCTATTCGGTACACCAATCCTGAACCTACCAGGCTCTGCCATCCTGGGTATGCATGCCATCAAGGAGAAGCCGTGGGTCGTGAACGGAAAGGTGGAAGTGCGTCCTATCATGGTTGTGGCTCTCACGTACGACCACCGTCTTCTCGATGGTCGTGAGGCCGTCACGTTCCTCGTCAAGCTTAAGCAGTACCTGGAGGACATGCCTACTATGCTTTTGTAGAGTATGTATGAACATAGGCCGCGAAATATCGAGACGTTCGTACGCGTGTTGATTCCAAGACATTGCCTACCAGCAAGCAGATGCCATCGGGCTACCCTGTCGCTTGTACGCCTACGTGTAAGAGCGCCAGACAGCTTGAACTATTGCTGCCGCGTGGTTCGTATGAATAGCTTGTTTCGTTAATTGCACGAGTTCCTGGTCCATGGCAACGGGCGTCGTGCTGTCGGCATCCCACAGTTCCATGCTTGCAAGTGGTCCGCCAGGCTCTTGAAAGCGCAGTACAAGGGTTCGGTGCTCGCCCTCTTCTTCTGCAGCGGTAGACTTGCGGGTGGACCTTCGCCGTGCGCGCTTAGCTGTGGGCCGTGCGATGATAATATGTAGTTCGTTCGCATTGGGTGCTGTCATCTGCACAATCCCTAGTGCATGCTCAAGAGACTCGAGGGTAGACGTATGCTTTGCACATAGGCGCTCGAGTTCCCAGTCGCGCCCACGATCGCGGCCCATACCTAGCCTTGCATCGTTCGCAAGCTTTTCCGCTGCTGCTCGCTCGGCCTTGAGTCGATCAAGCGTGCGAACAGATTCGGCAAGCTCTTTCCTTGCTGCCTCGACATCTTGCATCGTGCGTGTAGTCTCGTCGTCGATGGCCTGCATCGCGAGAATCTGGTCATCACACACTGCCTCGGCCTCCGTGGTTGTCATAGCCCCATGCGTGCGTTCTGCTGCCTTTGTTTTTGCCAGCTCGAGTTCCATGTCCGTGATATCTGTCAGCAGTCTGGCAGCTTGGGCCACTTCTGCATCCAATGCATCGCACGGTTCTTCCATTGCATGTGCAATCGAGTCAATTGCTGTACGTAGGTGCCGCACGCGTGTTTTGGCCTCAACAAGCTGCTGCTTTACACGCTTGCACTCCTGTTCACGATGCGCTACATCGGCCGTGGATAAAATTTGCGGCTCTAGCCCAGTCTCTGGGTCGTCTTGCAAGTCTGCGAGAAAGCGTAGTTTGGTCTCCTGCTCCAGATAGATGAACTTGAGTTTTCGGAAATAGTCGAGCAGGAGCCCTTCCTCTTGCACAATGGCATCAGGAACATCACGATACAGGTCCCAGTCCAGCTGTAACTCTTTATCAATCGCGATAGTCTCAGGTTCAGTCATGCGCAGCATGCGCTCTTTAAGTGTCTGTAGTCCCAGTGTATCGTGGACATGTTGTTCCAACAGGCTGTCTAGGTTAGTCGTTGCTCAAGGCGACATGGGACCAAGATCAAGGATAGACAAAAAACGTACACTCGTGTGCGATCCATACACATCTGAATATTCTCACCGGAAGATATTGATTCCGACTCTGCTGACGACAACGGCGGCGACATACTCATTGAGGCATTGGTCGTCTCCGACATGAGAGTTGGTGACAGTATGTACGGTGGAGTGGAGAACGTAGGCCCCCAATGTGTGTTTTGTGTTGGTTCAACGCGCTCGTGTTGTTTATGTGTGGGAGACGAGCGCTTTAGAAGCCACGTGGATATAATGAGCGCGTCTGCCTTATTATTTTTATTTGGCATTGTTCGCTACTACATTACGTACCGACCGAAGAATCCTCTCACGCAGACACAGAGACAAGTACACGCACACACATTCTCATGCTTTGATTCGTGCTACAAAGCACCTTTCCGATGTATGAAAGCGCAACTAATTCGAGCGTTAGAGAGGTGCTGTGTGTGCCAATCGTACTTTCCAACGCGTGAGTCTGCACCTAAGCGTCGCAAGCACATGGAAGCATGTGCGAGATTCTCTGGCGTCAGTGAAGATGCTTTGCAAGAGCTTGTACTTCAGTCTGCTGCACAAGTGCTGGGTGCATGGCGTGCTGAGAAAGAATTGCAAAGTGCTAGCTGCACGCTGTTCCGCAAGATGATCCAGCAGCATACACCTGATCGGCGCCTAGCGCAGCTATCAGCCATCATCGGTCCACATCTCGACGCATGCGCTATGGGACCAGCGGCGAAAGAAAACCACGCAGTACGTGCATCCAGCGAGCAAATCTTATCGCGCCTATGTGTGCATCGTAAGGACACGGGGCCGGCATCAAAGTTTGCATCTGCAAGATCGCAACAGGGAGATGAGTCAGCAAGAACTCGGCTGCCGTCACGATCGCAATCACGGCGGACACACCTGCTATCCCACCTCCCATCTGGTGTCCAAGTACGTACTGGGCATCAAGCGCTCGCGTACCAAGCCGCCAACCATTGCGTGTCGCTGGATGACATTGCTGCGGAGCTTGACCGACGACCGTCGCCGTGTCCGCCGCCCTTGATGGCATGGGCCCAAAAAAGTGACTACGTGGCATTCTCAACCACACGAGGCAAACATTGCGATCATGTAGTTCCTGCGTCGGATGATGAACAGAAATATGAGACTTATTACGAGCATGGGATGGACCGGGACGAAGCGGTACCGAGGTAGGGGATCAACTGTTTCGTTATGAACGCAGCGATAAGGGCCTGTCCTATTCCTTAAGCGCTTGGAGTATGCGACGAACATGTTCGAGACCTCCATGAGTTTCGACAAGACGCTTCATCTCACGCAGCTGCTGGATCTCTTGCGGGTACACGTACGTGGTCGGGACATGCAAGCCGTCTGGACGAGATGCTGTGCTGGTATGCGCATCATACGAAGTCCGTTCGGGTGTCATGTATGCCAAAGCGTCTGGCTGAAGTGATGCAGCTGTGGCCGCTGCATACTCGGCATGCGTATCTCCGTTTGGTGTAGGAACCCATGTGAGCGGCTGCACATGACCCAGCGCCACATCAACAAGCGCATCGAGTCCACAGGTCGAGGGTTTCCAGGTAGTTGGTAGGGATGCGGGAAGTTGCGATGCGGGCAGCTGTGAAGCAGGGGTATGGGGTTCAGAAGATGGTCGGTCTTCCTCTTGCTGCTGCCGGCGGCGGCGGCGAGAAATAGCTGTCCAGAATGCGAGGCGAATGGTTTTCTCTGGGATTCGGTAGCGCACGCGAATATGATCTGTATCGAGAGTAATATCGTCCCACGGCGCACGACGGCTGCCGCCTGAACCGGTGTCAGGATCAAAGTACTTGTCATTCGGGTCTGGCACAACTTCCACATAAGCGTCGCGAGTTTTCGGAAGCGGTGCACCGCGAGGCACACGGATCGTGTGAATGTGCTGCGGAGCTCGGGGTATGCGTAAGCGTGGCTGGCCTGGTAAGCTGTGAGCGGGACATCGCCAGCGTCGCGTGGCTGGTGGCATGCCAGCCATGGGCGGATCCACACAATCCAAGTGCCAATGGAGAGTGCAAAAGTCGCAGCTCAACATACGGCGGCCATGCGCATTTTGCTGGGTGGATGGCAATGCACTCTGACCACAGCGAAAGCAAAGCACTGGCTCACCATGTTTATCACGCAACTGATATGGATCACGTTCCTCAACGAACCCATTGCGACTCAGTTTTAGCGGGCGCTGCATGGTCGTGTCAACGTACGCCCCATCCGGTGCTGTACCTACGCCTTTGTAGTAGGTACGCAGGTCAGAAGGCAGAGCAAAGATGCGGGGGTTTTGTGTCTCGAGCTGCTGAAGAAGCACGTTGAAGGGACCATATCCTTTAGGCACACGTGGTGGCATGCGCTCGGCAAAGCAAACCTGGCAAAACCAACTGTCATCCGCCAGCGCTCTTTGCGCACGCAAATCATTCGACATGCCTGCGCCGTTGGCATCCTTGAGTTTCAGTAGTGTCCCATTTGGGAATGGCATTTCGTCGACGTCTAGGGGCGGACACACACATGCAAAATGGAAGCTGCGTGGACAGCCGTCACAACAAAGGAACCGGCCATGCCCTCTACATGTATCACAATAGTCATTATTGAGCTGCAGATGGGGGTCATGGTGGGGATAAAGACGCACTAGTTAGTACACATGCATTGGAAAACAAGCTCTTGAATATGGCGGGAGGGGGGGGGGGAAGGAGTAGAGGAGGAAAAAAGATGAGGGGAGAGCCTAGACGTACGTACCGCTTCGAGGTCATCATCGTTGATCGTCTGCGAAACACCCATGTCCGAGAGGTCTTCGCCCATTGCGGCAGCAGCTTGTGATGACGATGGCGATGAAACTGGCTGGTAGGTGCCGTTCTGGTCGATTCGCGCACGTTTGCGAGCTGTTCTCGCGGCTCGTGAAGAGCGGCGTGACGTAGACGATGCGGCGCTGCTGATGCCGCCATCACCACCACCGCTGCTACTCTTTGTTACCAAAGGCCCTTGGTCCAATAAGGCGGCCATGCCGGTCGAAGGCAGGATCTCTGTCGCAGGCATGTTCGTCGCGAGTCGCGCGCCTTCCTTCTTGGCCGTATCAACAGCTTGTGCCATGGCAGCTGTCACAGTAGGTGCCTCTTCATGGTTCGATGCATCTGCACCTGATTTTGTCGTCGTCGCGTCCATGCGCTGCCGTGGCACGTTGGTCGCTGAGGGTAGGAACTGTGGTGGTGCGCTGCCCGAAGAGAGAGAGAGAGAGATAGGATAAATCCGAAAAGATGGATAGTGGTGCGTCAGTGGAGGCGATCCGGACTTGGGCCTTCTTCTCGGCCAGCTCGACAGCACGCATGATGGCGGATGCGGCAGACAAAGACGCTGCGAGGCAAGCATGTCACTTGCGTTCTCATCATTGATGTCGGCATCTAAGAAGAAGAAGAGGGATGCATCCGACGTATGGGACATAGAGCCCATGTATTCGTAGATAGCCAGATTCCTTCCTACCAACTGGAGAAACGCGGGGCTATACGTGCAATATCGCGTCGCCGTGTCACGGAGGGTACTAGGGGAGATGGATGAGATACATCATCTTGTTGGATGGGCGATGGTGACTGTGATGATGATGATGATGATGGTGTTAGTGTAGTTACTGCAGATGCTGGTGCTCGACTATGCATTGGAACCCACGGTGCGAGCATGAGTCGCACACACGCTGGATCAACCTGCATGGCATCGAGGTAGGCTGGCACAGATGTGAGTGCAGCTGGCTCAGGGTCTTGCGTGTGCGCGAAACCTTTTGCTTGTGAGCGAAGGACCCATTCTTCCCATAGAGGTGGTGGTGACAAAGGATTGGGACCGAGCGTATGCAGCGCATGTGCCAATTTCAGTAGACTAGGCATGGCTTCCTGGTGCAAACTCAGCACATAGTCCACGTACGCTCGCGCCCAGCGCCTGCTCAGAGCCATGTAAACGTCGGCCAGTCGCTCGAAAAACAACTTGTTGGCCAGTTTCGTTAGCACAGGGCTCGTGTGCATTGCTAGACATACACGCAGGAGGCGGTGCATCTGTTCGATCGAGAGGGCGTCAGCCTGCGCAACCTGCTGGAGCTGCTCAATGAGAGCTAAGCATGTGGTGTGAACGGGCGCAGCGACGACATCCATACTGTGCGCAGTCTGCCCAATTCGTGCCTCGACCAGCGATAGACACGACTCAATACTTGGCGCACGGTACGTTCGCCAATGTGTAGGATGTACGTGATCCTGTTGTGCGGAAAACAGGTCCTGGAGCGCATTGGATGGCACGCTTTCTTCGTTCATGCGTTGCAACGCAGCGGCAAAGGCGCTTGGCACATCAGCTAGTGTGTGCTGCAGAAGCGTCCGAACTCGAGCATCTAGCAGAGTAAGCAAATGCGTCTCTAGAATACCGAGATGCTCGGAAACATTCGATCTTGCACAGAGCGTCTTGAGCGAGTGACGGCTCTGTGCAAGTACATCAAGATCATGTTCATTTGCAAGAAAGTTCGGTACTGCGTCAAGTTCTGTACATACGCGTTGCACAAATGCGCGAGTCAGCAGATGAATGTCATCGTCTTTGAGTATTGGAGAACCAGCTGCCGCCTCACACGTCTGGATGGCCAGTGGCATATGCTCGTACAGGTTTGCAGCTCCTGCTGGTGCAAAAGAGGATGGAAGATCACACGCCGTCGTTCCCAATCGAAAGAACGCATTTCCATCGCTCAACCGCGTCAAAATGCGACTTAGAACAGGACGCGCCCAAAGCGTCCGCGTAAGAGTAAGTGTGCGTACAACGACACGGACCAAGCGTGAAACACGATCGCTCAATGGCGCGGTATCGGAGCAGCATATTGCCGCTGCTTTGACCCGTTGTGCATGCACATGCTCGAGTGCTTTGTTGATGGGTGCCTGTTCAAGAAGTGTGTAGGCGACGATCGTATCGAGCACAACTGACGTGCGCACAGATACATTCTGCAATGACGTGTCGATGCATCCAAGTACATGGTCGCGCAAAGACTGAATATCAGTCCATTGGGGCTCGAGGATCGAGACCAATTCTGTATGATCTGACGTATGCAGCCAATGCCACGCCTTGGTCGCGAACACCATCGCCCAAGCCGCTTGGAGGAATGAGCCAGCTCTGAGAGCATTGCGGATCATGATTGGCGCGTCCGCAATAAGAAGAAGAATGGCTGCATGGGGGATCTCGGAAGAGTGACTGTTGCTGCTCAAGACGTGGCCCCGAGCTCCGCGATTGGCATGCTGCTCGGCCATGTGTTCACTCGCGCGTTGGAGCGCCTCGAGTGTCTCGCGCAATGCAACGAGATGATCATGCATATCTACGACCGTGCGCGATATGCCAAGTAAGTCGCGAAATCGATCCCCTACAAGCGTCCGAACAGCTTGTTGCTTTGTCCGCGCTTGCTGCAAGACGTTCGACGCGTACGCCTCAATTTCTCGAACATTGCGATGTTCGAATAATTGATCGACAGAGGAGGTGTCTTTTTCATCAAGGTGCGAATTAGCAGACACAGACGCTGAGGTTGTGGGCTTTAGGCCTGCTGGCGAATGTTGAGCCGGCGGTGAGACTGTGGCCATCTGTGAGTTGACAGGCCAGAGGGAATCGCGGCACCGGTAAAGCTTGAGTCCCAGTGCGGCCAATCTTTCGGAATGTAATACTACCACGCAAGTGTAAGGTCAAGAGAGCGTGGGGCGGAGGGGGCTGGACAAAAGCTGGATGCGAAAAAGTCGTCCGATACCTGCTCGACGAGGATCAAGCCGCAGGAGTTGATTAGATCGTGATGTATGACCATCATGTGGAGGCGTCGCCGTCCCTGTGGTCTAGTTTATCTGTCAGCCACGAGTTGGCGCATACTGACTGTGGGCAAGCGCCGTTTCTACACTTGGCCGAACAAAGTTAGGATATACCATGCACAAGATGCCAGCGCTATAAATATAGCCCATACAAAATATAGTTGGTCTCCCATCTCTTCCCATGGGTTGCTTGGAGGCGCTACATACGTTGAGAAGAAAGTGCTTGCACAGCCATCGTGTAGCACTACATGAAACCGCAGCACGAATCTGCACCAGGGTGTTAGTATGCACTTGAACAAAAGATGCACAAGAAGACAACGCACTTTGCTGAAGATAGTAAGTATGCACGCACACGGAAAGAGACGCAAAGCGCCACACATAAATACACTCATACGCACCTTTTTAGCGGACTTGTAAAACATTTTACTTTGCTGGCTGAGCGAACCACTTTTCTCGACAAGCTTGTCAAGGTCTTCACCACGCTGAAGTACAGAATCGATCGTGTTGTGCAGCACAATCTTGGTATCGTCTAACTCTTGCTGCACACGCAAGATGGTATCGGCCTGTCGCGGGTCCTGGTAACGAGCGAGATAGTCCTGTGCAAAGGGAAAGTCACTTGTACGCACGATTCCATCGCCTTTTGACGGGATAGAACCTGTCGATGCAATGTCCATGGCTTGTGCTTGCCAAGACGACTTGGGCACTTTCATCAGAAACTCTTCCAGCAGCTTGTTCAGCAGGGAGAACGCCACACGCACAGGGTACTCGCTGTCAGATACCAACACACCACTGATACCATCAACAGCAGGACGTGCGTGGACATGTGCAGTAAAGTTGTTCTCCTGGATCGATTGCCGCTGAGTAGGCTGCGTTCGCTCAGATACGGTCTTGGCCATGAACGCCATCATATCCTGCACAGTTCCGCGCTGCATCCACGAAAACGAGTTCAGATCCCAAGCGCTCACGAGTGGTACGGCCTGCTGCCCTGGCTGATTCGCAAAGATCAACACACCAACTGTATGCGGTTAGTTCTTGCCCTCCTAATCGCTCTCCTCTTCTGCATACACAGCTTCCTGCCAGAGTTAGTATACTTCTCCCTGCACTTTTACCAAATTGACCCGTGTGGTCATGTACGAACATTTTTTTCGATGATCCTGGTATCAGTGGTCGTGTCTCGACGTATTCTCTTCGACACGATCACTCCGTGCTAAGTAACACCACGATCGTGCTGACTGCCTTACACACGCACATCAACGGTCGTCCGGGCCAATTAGACTGCGTGCTATCGGCCGACACTTGCACACGCGCACACTTCATGTTCAGATGCCTGCACGTTCATGGCTCATGACTTAGCGGTTCTCGCATATGCCATGTGGTGTACCTCCACCGCGGCGCATGGACCCACACGAACCGTGTGTGTTCAGTCTGCATGCCCACACCACTAGTGCGTTCAAGACACGCGCCCTTGTTTGGGGTGCCCGTATTGGGATCACGGAATGACAGAGAAGCTGTTTTCCGATCGCTCCGCGCCTGCTGGACTAGCATCGCGACAGTTTAGGATGCGCTCATTCAGGAATGCAACAGTGATAATTATGATCGTCGTAGGGTGGTTTGCGCTGCAATGGGAACTTGTCTTCATCAAAGCACCCATGGTCTTCCGGTCAGCGCGGCATTTACTGCCCGAATGGTATGTGCGCGGTGGTGGGAGCAGCAGTGCTCCAGTGAAAGGATCGATCACATGCAAGTCTCTACGTAGTGGATATATCGATGATCCACAAGCGTACCGTGTGAATCCAATGAGCGGCTCACACGCACAGGTCGCTGAGGCCTGTGAAGACCTACACATGTCAACGAAGCTGGGCATAGTGCTCATGTCATGTGATCCAGGACGCGTCGTATGGAACACATTTATGAATTCACTACAGCAGCCTGCGACCCATGGAGCCCTGTGGATGTCTGAGTACAAGTCAAATGACCCGCAGCCGGTTTTGCTTCATATCCATGGGTACCCAGAGGCGGAAGATTTCCATCCGCTAGGTATGGGCCTGTATGAAGTCTCGGAGCACCAGGCGCGCTTATTCCTGGTGAATCAGCGCACGCATGCATCTACAATTGAGCTGATTGATCTAGAAAGGCGTGCTGACAGCGATGAAAGCACTGCTAACAGAAACCACAGAGCATCATGGCATGCACGCTACGTGCGCACACTATACCATCCTATTGCCACACACACACCGAATGCGATCCATGCAGTGAATTTGAATGAGCTGTATGTGACAAACTCACACGTCGTCGCCTTGCGTTCACCTCCGCGTCCAGCATACGAAGCTGTGCTTGCATCCCAATTCGGGGATGCTATCGCTCCGCTGGTGTACAAGGTTGTGACATATAAGCCATTGACAGCCATGTGGCAAAAGCTCGATAGTTTTATTGGCTGGGGCTATGTTGCCCATGTGCACATGGCGGGTCTAAGCCAGGATACGGACCACGATGGCGACGACAACGTCAACTACAAAACGGATGCTTCCATGCAAGCAGTTGCAGCATCTATGCCAGACCTACTCCATTCTATGCGAGGTGTGTCTGCGTTTATATGGGCTGGTCGTGTCCCATTCGCGAACGGGATTGTCGCTACGGAGAAGAACGTGATTGTGGCGGCAACATCGGCGCCTGGGCTGTATGTGTATGACCAGACGAACGATACACATGCTCGTCGTCAGCAGCAGCGACCAAGAGCATTTGTACCGACGCCTTTTTTCCCTGATAACCTTGCCGTGTCGCGAGGACCACAGCCTGACACGCTGCGCATCGTGGTCGCAGGCCATCCGTCGCTAAAGGATCTCGAACACGTTGTGTCTCATCCACATACTCAACGGTATGCGCCAAGCTGGGTCGTCGAGGTGTTTTATGATGAGAGCCTATCATATACGGGCGACGATGCAGACGTGCCATACCCGGCGCAGAAGGCATTGATGACTGTGCCGAACGGCTGGCATGTCCGCACATTGCTTCAGACCAATGGACGATCGACGGCTTTGGTCCTCTCCTCTAGCTCGTCAGCCGTGTGGGACCCAACGTATGCAGCACATGGCTCCTTTTACGTATCAGGGCTATATGAACCTGCTCCTATCGTATGTCGAGGGATGTATGCGTAGGATGTATGTATGTATATGAAAAAAGAGACAATGAATGCCAACGAACGTAAATTCATAAAAACGAATGTAAATAAAAACGAGCGCGACTGCGTTCCGTGGAGTTGCACATGAGAATGAAAGAAAAAAAAAAACTTGCGAATGTCGTAAGAAAAAAAAGACACGTTGATACCGAGTCTCGTTTGAGAAAAAAAAAAAACTCAGTCTGGCTCCAGCATGGCCTTGATTTGCGCGCCTTCGCGGCGGTACTGCACATCGGCAACGAGCGCTTCATGTCCTGGATGACTGTGGTCGGGGTATCCGGGCGAATTGGTCGAGAGAGGCACATGCGCACCTGGGGCTAATCGTGCAGGATCGTCTCGGCTAGCGTCCAAAGAGTGTGTAAGTCGTTGATCATCAGGTGCATGGCCTGTATAGCCGGGCTGCTCACTCTCATCTGTAGCTGGATCTGTGCTTGATGCCAAGGCAGACTCCGACGCAGCGACCGCAGATTCCGCGGCTTCTTCTTCAGCCGCACGCTGAGCCTCTTCTTCTGCTTCGTTCTCTGCATTTAGCACATCAACTAGCGCACAAATCCATGCGTGTTGCCGCAGTTCGACAGCTGTCGGCCGTTTGAACGGGTCAATTGTCAGGCACTGCTTGATAAAGTCAATGCCCAGAGCGCTGAGCTGAGTCTCGTCGGGCAGCGCCGGACACTGTTGTGCCATGCCGATATGGAACATGATAGCCCACTCATTGTCGAGCTGGCTCCAAGGCCGTGTGCCTTTTGCACACTCCAGGACAACGCAGCCCAAACTCCAGATATCAGCGGCTCCTTCGCGACCATGCGTCTCACCACGCACGACCTCCGGTGCCATGTACATGGGCGTGCCTTGCAAACTCTGACCACGAGCATCGACGGCGCCTGGCAAATGGACAGGCGCACGTCCACCGGTGTGCATGGAAAGCGAGCGTCGCGACAGGACTTTCGCTGCGCCAAAGTCGACGAACTTAATGACGCCCATGTGGTCAAGCAGGATGTTGTCCGGCTTGATGTCTCGATGGACCACGCCCTGTGAGTGCAAGTACATCAAACCATCGAGCATCTGGAGAGCATACACCTGCAACACAATCTCATCTTCAATGCGCCCATGCTCCAGAAGCTGTGCGAGGCTGCCACCCTGACAATACTCTTCAAAGATGTACACTTTTTCCCGGTGCACCTCAATGCCATAATATTCGACAATGTTCGGATGTCGGAGCATTTCCATGACATTCATTTCGTCGTGGATCTGCTTAAATAGGTTGGGCGACGACGTGAGTTCCTGGAACCGGATCTCTTTGACGGCCATAAGCCCGCCTGTATCGAGGTTGACCGCCAGGTACACGGTGCCAAACGTGCCGCCACCAATGAAGCGGCCTTGTTGCCATCGCATTTGCACGCCCTTGGATGCCAGCAGCTGCAGACCTCGGTCCTCCATGCGTGTGTCGTCCAGCACATGTCCAATCTCGCGCCGCTCCCGCATGACATCTTCGCGCGCCGCGTCACATGCATCCAACGCCACGAGCCGCTGCTCAGACAGATGCTTCGCTTCTTTCTCGCTGTCAAGGGCCAAGTCCAGATGTGTGCCATGAGCGGCGCGCTTCGCCCGCTTTTCCTCCTGCTCCTTTACAGCACTGCTGCGGGCACCGAGAATGTCAAAGTGTGAGATCAACAGAGCCATGCAGCTCGACACTTTGCCACGTAGCTGGAAAAATTCATGCTCACTGAGCAGGAAGATGTTCTCGCCCATTGTTCTTGTCATAGCATTCTCGAGCGCTTCGACGGCCCATTTGAATGTGCGCCGCTCTGTCAGCACGCAATCGTCGCAAATAAACGAGATCCAATCGACCGACAACTGCACAAGTGCCGTTGACATGAGCGAGTGCAACCGCACACTTTGGATGTAGCCGAGAGCACGTGCGCCCTGATCAAACGCTATGCTGAAACACGCCTGCACGAGCTCGTCGCACGCAGCACGATCATGAGGCGCGAGTGGCCGCAGCTTGAGCATCTGGCGTCGAATGATCGGCACTGCATGCACAACTGTGTCGGTCAGCACATAGCCCGCCTTGGTCATCAGCTTGAGCTCGTGCTGAATCAAGCTGAGGTGCGCCATCCGCTCGTACACTGGCATGAGTGAAAAGGCGTATCCAGGGACGCTGCTGCTTGATCCACCATTCACGTTCTTCGTGCCGCCGTGGAGATGAGCCGCAGCTGCTGTCGCTGCCGCGGCTGCCGCCGTCGAGGTCGCAGCCGGGGATCCCACGACCGACGGCACGGCGCTGCCTTCCGTCGCATGCATAGAAAACTGCCACATCCAGTGCTGCTTGCACTGCTCGAGCCGAGCGCCAGCGCCATCGGCAACGAGGCGCACTCGGTTTTCTTTCAGATCCAAGTCGATCCATGGTAGTGGCAGTGTCATGACGCGTCCCGTCCACAGGAATGGCTCGCGCGGCGTCAAAAACAGCAGATACTGCGGCTGCCACGGTGGGCGGGCTGAGAAATGAGTCGTTGGCCCATGGCCCAGGCTGACGCTGACACCGCTGGTTCCCAACGTGTCGTCCGCGCCTGACGCACTTGGTCGCACGCACTGGAAGATCAGATCCTGGATCACAAGTGGCTTGTCATGCAGACTCGGCTCCGCCAGTACAAAGACGCCACGCTCTTCAAACGCTGACGTATACACGAGGAAATAGTCGGCATAAAGCATCGTCTGCAGGAAGCCATGTAAATCATTCGGTTGTGTCTTGGCTGTTTTGAGGGTACGCAGATCGTACTCGGCCGCTGTTTCAAGCGTCAAGCGCATGCGGCGTGCAAAACCGATGAGCCGCCGGCTGCGGACGCGTGTGTTGTTAAAGACGGTGTGGATCCAACGCGTCATTTCCAACACATTCATAGGCACACGGCCTCCTGCAACGCGTCCAGCCGATGCAGGCTCAGCACTAGTGCGGTTCTTGGCCGTTGATCCTGACGCTGACGCAGACGTTGCTTGCGACCTCAGCGGCATCTTCGCCGACGGTGCTGCAGTTGACGACGTTGGCACCTGGAGCTCGCGCTTAAAGTAGGCAATTATGCGCGCAAACACACGGTTTACCAAAGCTGCCGTCTTGTGAGCAACAATGACGTCGCCACCCGGCACCACACGCACGGCCGACGACAAAAAGTCCCACTCCGGCTCGAGGACATCCACCTCCTTAAAGTACGGCGTGCTCTTCAGGCGGAAGTACAGCAGTCGGAAGAAAAAGTGCAGTGCACTGCATATGGAAGCATCGAACTTGTCGTCGCTCTCGAGCGGCAAGCTCCAGCCAATGTCAGGCTCCGGCACCGTGAGTTGCACGTAATTCTCTTTGATACGACACGCGAGGGCGAGTGCAGCGCGCAGATCATCCGCAAGCGAGTCGACCAGCAGGACACTGGGCTCCTGCAGCTTGTCAGCGTATTCGAGTCGCTGTCGCAATGCGCCTTCGGCTAGCCACATGGGGAATCGGACGAGCGGGAGCACGTCTGGCTCAAAGGACGAGAGGCCCATCTCCAGAAACATCTGGTGGTGCTGCCGAAGTGTCGTGCGTGCCATATCTATAAGCATACGCAGCCGTTTGAGTGTGCGCTGCTCGAAAGCCTCATGAATGTTGCTCTCGCGGAATATGCGCTCAACAACAAAGGTGTTTTCTTCGTCTGTATCGACCCGTGGTAACGCAGGACTCATCGTTGGGCGCAGCGTCCCATCTGACGACGTTAACGTGCCAGTCCATCTGTGCAAGAGCTGCACTTGTGCACGAAGCTCGCGTGTGACATTGAACCATGCCTGCAACGCAGATAATCTTGCCTGGAAATGTGGTTGCGCCCAGGTCGGGTAGCCCGCGAGTAGCTGTCGCTGGGAGGGGAAGAGCTCGTCCACTGCTTCAATGCGCTCGAGAAGCACCTGAACTGCTTCAAATAGCTGTTTCCGCATATCGTTCGATGGCGGTAACGTATCTTTGCTGAACGCGAGCACATCGGCCACGACCGCCGGCACGAGTCGGTCTCGCTCCTCGGTAATCAAATGCTCTTCTGACTCTGGCTCATCGCGATAGTGAATGTGTCCAACACGGAGCGCGCGCACACAGAGCCACACACTGTGCATCAGCTGCGTCGGCGTCGGCGTTGTGGCGTCCGCGGCGGCAATTCGCTTTGTCTCCGAAGACAAGACCTCGCTTTCTAGAACCGAGCGCAGCATTTTTTGCCATTCCATTCGTTTCTTCGGATCATCTTCCGATGCCACATGATCCAGCACACTCCGCTCTGCCTGTGGTGTGCTGAGCTGCGCAGGCGTTTCGACGGGCGCTGCGTGGTCCGTCCGAATGCGCTTCATGTACGATGTCAGGTATGCTAAATCCTTGTCTGCATTTTCAGGCGGCCCCATGGACTCTGCCGCATCGCTGCGCTGCGGTCGCGCATGCGCATGCGCGTCGGCGCCGGACGCCATCGTGGACGAGTAATCAGGTGATGAAAGGACAAAGCCGTACGTGAGGTGTGTGTTTGATCCGTGGACGCCGGGCAGAGTCAAATCGGTGTATGCCTGGCTACTATATCGGGGCAGTCATGAATGGACGGATCGGGCTTTACTAGGGGCGCGCACGCATGCACATCTCCCTCCAATCCTAAAGCGAGACGCGGCTTGGTAATTTTCGCTCGAATGGCTGGCTACGCGGTGACTTCTCGTCCTCACTGAATCCCGACCGCGCATCAGTCGATCACTTTGGACAAAGCAGCCAACCAGATTCATGGAAAGCATGAGTGGCCGCCGCCTCCACTGTACACTCGAGATGACGGTGCTTTTCCGCCCTGCCCGCGCGCGTCGCATGACTCCAATGCCTCCAACTCCCCCATCCACCCTTTGACCTCTAACATCCCTCCACATGCACCTGGGTGTGTGAATGCATGCGAACGTTTTCCTCATCTCGGCCGTCAGTGAGACGCTCGCCTCCGCTCTGAAGCCACGTTCACGACGAACTTGCTACCTGCCGCTCGCCCGTTGGACGTCGTTCTGCTGCGCTTGTGTCCGTCTTCGTCCTTCAAAGTTCCCACCTGCCACTATTTAGCGAAGCGAACCGCTATCTGCTTCCCGTCTCCTTATGTATTGGCCGACGGGGAGCGCCCGCCGGCTGTGTGTTGAGCCTGCAGGACTTCCTGACGTTCATAACGATGCAGTCCACATGGCCAGCACACGCGATGGAATGCTATGGTTTGTTCTGACTCGCACGGCGCTCTTGCTGTGGCGTGCTCGCCCCATCGAAATTGTCGCTTCCGTCATCCGTACACAGCGCAGCTTGCATGAATACGGTGCCAATGTGCACGCAGTATGGAGTCCCGACGCAAGTGGGATTGCCATTCAGACCGAGCGAGACACGCTCTTGTTTTACGAACTCTCGCAGCCTGCCAGCAAACCAAGCATGCATGCGCTCTTTGATCCTGAGCGCGCCTGAGCTTGCTCCGTCGTCACAGGCCCTCCTCGCTACGTTCCAACCGGCTACAGGTGACGCATACCATACCTGCACAAATGAACCCCTTAGCGCACGAATCAATTTCCAGCTTTTGTTTCTAGATGCTTTGCAAGTGGATCCAGGCATTGCATGTATCGCATGCGTTGATGCTCATTTGTTTGTCTCGACCAAATCACCCGCAGCTGTCCAGCTTGTGTCATGGCCCAGCTCGACATCGTCAGCATCGACGTCGGCCGCATCTGCATCGGTATCCGCATCGTCTGCTGCTTCTGCACCACCGATTCTTCTTGCGCATCTTCCATGGCTTCAAGTGCCATTGTCATCATCATCGTCATTAGCGCTCACACCGTCACCCATTGTACATGCCGAGCACTCATATGCCACCGATTTGTCAGCATGGATTTCAGCCGATGGTTCCGCGTACATCGTTGGTCGCAACGATACCTGGGTCGGTGCATGTGCTTATCGTGCTGTCGATTCGGCTCACAAAAATGTGCCGACTACAACGGCGTTGAATGCGCGTTTCAGTTTGTTGGCTCTCGGGTTCGAGAACGGCCACATCACTTTGTTTGAGTTCCAGACTGCCACGCAGACGCCGCAATTCGTTCACTCACTTACGCTTCCACACATCACAGGACGCGTCATCTGCCTGGACTGGACAGCGGATGGACATGCCCTCGCTGTTGGGTACGAGCACGGTTGGGCCATCTGGAGTACGTTCGGTCATGTGATGTGCCACAGTTTCCGTGAGGATTGGACGACAGCGACTCGATCGTATCGTGACAACTTCCAATTTGGCGTACAAAGCGTCTTTTGGGGTCTTGGCGGCACAGAACTCTTCGTTCTCGCACGCCCACTATCGCCTGACGCGCATGCCCAGGATGATGAACGCACACTTGCCTATGTGGTGCCATTCGTGAAGGCCGCTGCAACCACACACATGACACCGGCCGACGTGAATGCCGGTTTCCTCCTGGGCGATGCTTCTGCCTACATGTATCGCGGACACGAGCAGAGTGATGCCGGACTTTTGTCGCCAGGAAACGATGTGTGGCGCCATATCCCATTCCCAGCCGAGTATCTCACCACGCAGTGGCCCATCCGATGCACAGCCCTAAGCCCCGATGGGCGGTTCCTCGCGATCGCAGGGCGCCGCGGCCTTGCCCATTACAGCACAGCATCTGGACACTGGAAACTGTACGAAGTCGCAACACAGGCTCTATCATTCTGTGTGCGTGGCGGCATGGCTTGGTACCAGCACGTTCTAATTGCAGCTTGCGACTGCATGGGCGAGATTCAAATCCGGCTGTACTCGCGGGACCAGCCTCTGGACAATGCACATTTACTGGATCTTGTTGTGCTGGGTGCACCTGTCGTAACTCTGGCTCTGTTTGAGACGAGTCTGCTCCTCTACCTCGCGGACAACACACTCGTGCATTACCTCATTACGCCCACTCGAGAGCATATCCGACTCCGGCTGTGCGGTAGCATCTCCTTCGACGGGATCATCGGCGAACCGTCGCGAGTGCGTGCCTTGAGCTGGCTCGTGCCGCCAGTGCAGCGGGACATAGGTCACCCAGCGGACGACTTGACTGTTGCAAATCTATTGTTCCTCATCGACGGGATGTTGGTTCTTTTGCGTCCCGCGCGTGCATCAGATGACGAACAGCTCTCATACGACTTGCAAGTTCTTCATGAGCATATCGAGTCGTTCTGCACACCCATCTACACACCTGGGGCTCTTTCGCACTCCTTATGGGCCTTTGATGGCCACCACATGAGTGTGTGGCTCCATCCCATGTCTCGCAGCGATGCGCCTGACTGTGTTTTGCCTGTGTCCTCGACGTACCCTTTGTGTATTTTATCTGATCGTGGCATTCTTCTTGGCGCCGAGTCGCTTCCTGTCTTGCGCCGCACACTTGATACCACCTCCTATCGCTTGCGCCTCCATACAACCCTGTTCCTTGACCATGTTTTGCGGGCCATTCTCGAGCGCCGACACCTTTTAGATGCGATTGAAATCGCCTCACTCTATGTACCACTCGAGTACTTCTCTCATGCGCTGGAAGTTCTCGTTCATGCTGTGCTGGAAGACGAGGCCGATGCAGCACCCCAGCAAGGGAATCATCCCGGTGATCTGACCTCTCCAGGAAATGGCATCACAGATTCTGTCGCAGCAGGGACAGCTTCGAGTGCTGCAACTTACGCAGGTACACGGGCTCCCATCCTCCCGACAGTCCTGGCGTTCCTTGATCACTTTGATGAGGCTCTCCAGGTCGTTGTCCGCGCGGCGCGCAAGACCGAAATGTCTCGATGGCGCTACCTCTTCGATGCCGCAGGTCGCCCCAGTACACTCATGCAGCACTGTCTCGACCGCCATGATTATGCGTCGGCGAGTGCATATCTGCTCATTGTGCACGAATTGGAAGACGGTGCGACAAGTCTGCAAGCTACAGCAAAAGCACTTGCGCGCTTCGAAGAAGCAGGCGAATTTGCTTTATTGCGCGATACCCTGAGTTTCCTGCATGGTTTGGATGAAAATGGCGACATCCTGCGCACGTGTACGTCCGCGGCATCTGAGCTCGTCCTGAGCAGCGGTATATCGATTCTTTCTCGAGAGTATGACGTCGAAGTAGAAAGGCGAATGCAAGGTGCACAGACTGTGCCTCTTCTCAGGACGTCATTATCGCCATCCTTGTCGAGACAAGCTCCTTCACCTAGAAAGCTTGGACTTACCGACTCGCCACGAAGGCCTACAAGTGTCGCGAGAAAGAGCAGTATGTCGAACTCACCTGCGCTGCGTACTTCATCAGCTCATGTATTGCATCGCGCTGCACGAAGTGCCTCGATCACACTCTCGCCTTCGATGCCCCGCATGCAAGCCAATGGCCGGCTCGTCTTGCCTCCCACCTCATCTCCTGGCCTGTCTCCTCGTGTTCCCTAGTTGCGCACCACATACTCGGTCGTTTATTCATCAATACGCCCTGTGTGTCGCAAACATTCTGCATTTTCTATAGCCCCCGCCTAGTGCGCGAATCTTTCGCTCGTTTCGATGCATGCCTCTTATTTTCGCCTCACATCCCGCCTAGCGTGTTTCGTCCAATATGCCGTGCACCTTATTCTCCTGGGCGTGAATGATTGTGTGGAGGACGCTCAAGCGCGTAAGCCAGAAAAAAAAATTGCATGTGCTTGGTATGTCAGCCTGCTTTGCTTACTTGGCTCGTCTCGAAAACCCAGTCCTTCACTGCCCATTCATGTCACGGCAGCATCTACGCAGCAAAAAGACGCGCTCATCGTTAGCTTCAAGACTTTCTTCCGAACATGCCACGCAGCACGCCGTTTCGAAGTCGGCGTATCGTCGGCAAAAACAGCGGATGCGTGAACAACTAGCGGGAAATCAGTCTGGCATGCAAGACCTCTCAGATATGGTCTCGAACTTGGCTTCGTCTTTCGACCAAGCAAAGAATACATCTGTTCAGGAATTAGTCTCCGCTCAAAATGCCACTGGTACCGGGAACACGATGAAGTCGCGCCGTGCGATATTGTACGTGCCCCGCTGAAACTCACTCTTGCAGGAAACGCGAGCGACAACGACAGCCGGTGATCCTTTCCGACTTGCGTCAGAGTGCAAATCCATTCGCTGCGCTCCGAACACATGCTCGTAACACGCTGGATCTTAGCGCACGACCATCGGTGCCGAGCACACACTCTCAGACGACTGAGACAGACGTACGCATGACTGATGATGACTGAGGGAATGTCGATGGAAATACCCTTACTATCTATGCTACAAGGATCATGAAGGTACAAAGCCCACTCAAGCTTGAGGATGATGAGCGACCTTCTATGCGCGCACGTTGACACGCACACATATGCACATACCATAATGCGGAGAACTTGTCATTACACAACCAACAGTGAATGTGTTCTCATGTTCCACGAACGAAATCGACAGTTTCGCGCAGTTTTTCCAAGACGGTCAAAAGAATGACGGTATTGGGCGCCAAACGGATCCACGAGGGCAACCAACCACGGAGCATGAACGTGGGCCCCTCGGTTCGCATAGCGTGAAGGAGCTGGGGAATGCCACTGTCATTTCCACGCGCATTCATCAGACGGCTTCGAATCACATCGGCCGGCGACGTAATGGTGGTAGCGACAGTGCCTGCCAACAAGGACGATGTGAGATAATGAACAAGCGAGCCCGGAGTGAAGAGGCCGGTTCCTTGCAGCGTCTCTTTGAAAAAGTCGTATGATGCAAGCTGACTTGAATTCATCAACATGGCACGCACCATATTAGGTGTTATACCACGGAAGAGTACATGCGCACCCTCTTCTTTGACGGCACGCACAAGTCCATTGATAGCACCTTTGTATTGGAAACGTTGCGCTGGGTCGCGGAACATGTCACTGGTCATGCGCACCAAGATGATGTCCGCTGGATTGCCTGCAATGCCGCCTGCTACACCTGCCAGACCTGCCACACCAATTTTTGTCCACATAGAGATCGGCTGCGTTGGGTCGTTACGATGAGCAATGAAGGTTTTAAGTTCCTCGTACGCTGCGAAGCGCATGAGACTGTATGTCATCTGTCGCAAGATACTAGCAGATATACCGATGTACAGGCCACGCACACCCTCGTTCCGTAACGTCGTGCTCACAACACGCCAAGTTGACATTTTTTCTGGCGAGTTGATGAGGCGAACTTTTGCGAGATCAAGTGGGTGTGTAAAACATACGGCAATGCTCGCAGCTACGCCACCGAGCCAGAAGGGGTATGTTTTGTGATGCGTCTGTGGCTGTTTCTGTGCCATGAAAGTCGCTTACTTTCTTCTCCAGGCTCTAGCTGCGCGCGCGAACAACCCGACGATAGTCGTCTGCACTAGCAGAGGATCGTGTATAAATTCAACAACGCCAATCTCTGCAAAAGAACTTGGTTGCACGTAATTTTTTTTTTCCAGTTTTTGGGTGCCTCCCTCCATTTTCATAGGCTACCGAAAGTCCAGGTCCAGGTCCAGGTCTAGGTCCAGGCCCAGACTTGTAAATTTTTTCATGCACTCGTCCACGGACACGCACACGCTGACTCAGCAAGCTTACGCGCCGCAGTGACACGAGGCTCCAGCGAGTCAAGCATGCGATGTGCTAAAGTCTGCCAGGATACTCTTGGCTTCAACTTACGTGGCGACCATGTACGTATTGCGGCTTAGACTATGAGCCAGCTTTGTGTGTGTGTGTGTGTGTGATGACATGCTTACATTTTTCCCAGGCAAGTGGCTGTGCAGTCAGACGAGATTGCGAGCGTCACATTGCACAAACAAAGTCCACTTCTTTGGCATGTGTATGTGACGCCATTTCTCGTCCTATACCCCTTGTGGGCATATGCGTACTTTATGCGCTATGAGCAATGGGTCAAGTCGGAGGAATGGACGTTCGTAATCACGGCAAGTCTTCTACTCGTCCATGCTCTGAGCTACCTAGCGACGCACTGGTCTGTGCGTGCGAAGGCACTGTTCACCTCGACGTCCGTGTCGGCGATCGACATGGCCGACTATGTGCGGGTGCTGCCTCATGCACACAAGGGCGAGGGAGAGATGCTCCCGCTGCGCTGTGTTAAGCGCGACCGATCGTTGAACAAAGATGAGCATGAACGGGACGAGTACTCGTTCGTGTACCAGGCTGATAAGTACGTACTGGCGTTTCCCGACTCGACGGCGCCGTCAACAACCATCACAGCGTCGCCGGATGTGCGTGAACGAACGTTCCGTCGAGTTTTGTACCCCGCTGATGCGCACATGCAGCTCCAGCATGTGCAGACATCACAAGGTCTGCGTGGCGAAGCGCTTGCCCGCGCGCAGCGCATCTACGGTGGCAATGTGCTGGATATCCCTGTACCGCGGTTCTTGGATCTGTTCATTGAGCATGCGGTCGCGCCATTCTTCGTATTCCAGGTGTTCTGCGTCGGGCTGTGGCTTCTCGATGAGTACTGGTACTCGTCGCTGTTCTCCCTCTTTGGTCTTGTCGCGTTCGAGTGCACAGTCGTGTTCCAGCGCCTGCGCACGCTGAATGAGTTTCGCACCATGTCGATTCAGCCATATGATCTGCATGTATTCCGTGAGGGCAAGTGGACTGTCCTGTCGTCGTCGGAGCTGCTGCCTGGCGACCTCGTGAGCGTCACGCGCACGAAGGCGGAATCAGCACTGCCGTGTGATCTCGTCATGGCCTCAGGCTCGGCGATCGTCAATGAAGCTATGCTGTCCGGAGAGAGCACGCCGTTACTTAAGGAAGGCATTGCGCTTCGCAATGGCACCGACACGCTCGACGATCAAGGTGCTGACAGGCTGCACTGCCTCTTTGGCGGCACCAAGGCACTTCAGGTGACGCCTGGTGACAGTATTCCGGGCGTGCCGAGGCCGCCCGATGATGGTGCACTGGCTGTTGTTTTGCGCACGGGCTTCGGCACGACGCAGGGCCGCCTGATTCGCTTGATGGTGTTTACGAACGAGAACCGTGTGTCGGCGAACAACTGGGAGAGCTTTGTCTTTATTGCATTCTTGCTTGTGTTTGCGATTGCTGCGAGTGCGTATGTGTGGCTGAATGGACTCAAGATGGGGCAGCCGAAAGGCAAGCTAATGCTCCACTGTGTGCTGATCATCACGTCTGTCGTACCGCCTGAGCTGCCGATGGAGTTGTCGATGGCTGTGAATGCGTCACTCGTGGCCCTATCGAAGCTGGCAATCTTCTGCACGGAACCATTCCGAATCCCGTATGCGGGACGTGTGGACGTCTGCTGCTTCGACAAGACAGGCACCATCACCGGCGAGGACCTCGAGGTCCAGGGCATTGTGGGCACTGAGGCACATGGCACGTCGGATGCGCTGAACGATGAACTTGTCGACCTAAAGCACGCCTCGATGTCTAGCAAGCTTGTGCTTGCTGCGGCACATGCACTGGTTATTGTGGACGACGAAATCGTCGGCGATCCCATGGAGCGCCGTGCCCTCGATGCCATGGGCTGGACCGTTAAGCCTGGCGACCAAATTCGCTCGCTGACGGATCCGAAGGAGCCGGGCGTGACGATCCGCACCCGCTTCCATTTCTCGTCAGCATTAAAGCGCATGTCGACCGTCAGCCACGTCCAGTCGCATCCAAATCAGCTTCTTGCGGCAACCAAGGGCGCGCCTGAAGTACTAAAGCCCATGTTCACTGCGCTGCCGTCCAACTACGACCAAGTCTACCGACACTACACGCGGCACGGAAGCCGTGTGATCGCTCTCGGCTACCGCTGGCTCGATGCCAACGAGGCTCGTTCCATCAAGCGCGAGCAGGTGGAGTGTGGTTTGCAGTTTGCTGGCTTTCTTGTACTGCACTGCCCTCTTAAGCCGGACGCTATCGAGTCGCTGAAGCAGCTGAATGAATCGTCGCATCGCTGTGTCATGATCACGGGAGATAATGCGCTCACGGCCGTGCATGTCGCTGAGGAAGTCGAGATTGTCTTGCGTGAACCGATCGTGCTCGACAAGCGCGAGGGTAGCCAAGACGACAACGACCTTGTGTGGCGCACGACTGATGACGCGATTGTGCGCGAGCAGAATATCGGAGAAGAGCTGCACCGCCACCTGTTCGACGAGTACGACGTGTGCATGACGGGTGTCGCTTTGCGGCAGTTTGAGGCGCAGCCAGCGAAGCTGCGTGAACTGGTCGCAAACACGGTTGTATATGCACGCGTGTCGCCGAACCAGAAGGAGCTCATCCTTAGCACGCTCCGCTCGCTGGGCTACATCACGCTTATGGCGGGTGACGGTACGAACGACGTCGGCGCACTCAAGACGGCCAACATTGGCGTCGCACTGCTCGACGGCACAGAAGACGATCTGCAGAAGATTGCCGAGCACCAGCGTCTTGAGCGCATGAAGAAAATGTACGAGTCGCAGCTGAACATGATGGCACGGTGGAACCATCCTCCGCCGCCTGTGCCACCAGCACTCAAGACGGCGTTCCCACAGCTAGAAGAAGCACGCGAAAAGGCCGCACGCAAAATGCGCTCGCAGCGTGCATCGAATCCTATGGCTCAGTTCGATTTATCCGCTATTACGTCGTCGATGGAGCAGCTGGACGACCAAGAAGGTCCGCCGCAGATCCGTCTTGGCGATGCCAGCGTCGCAGCACCGTTCACCAGCAAGCTGGCCAACGTGAAAGCGGTTTGCTCGATTATCCGGCAGGGTCGATGCACACTCGTTGCGACAATCCAAATGTACAAGATTCTCGCGCTGAACTGCTTGATTCAAGCCTATGCACTGAGTGTACAGCACCTGGTCGGGATCAAAAGTAGCGATTACCAGCTGACCGTGAGTGCCCTTCTCATTTCTGTGTGCTTCTACTGCATCAGCCGCGGCAAGCCCATTGAGCGTCTGGCGCCTGAGCGGCCCGTTAGTACGATCATTAACGTCTACGTCTTTGGCTCCATCCTCTCGCAGACGGCATTGCACGTCGCTGCGATGATGTACATCCAGAACCTGTCTGCCTCATTCGAGCAGTTGGGTGAAGTCGATCTCGATGCCAAGTATACGCCCACATTACTGAACTCTGGCGTGTATCTTCTCAGTATGTCACAGATCGTATCGACATTCGCTGTCAACTACATTGGACGGCCATGGCGTGAGAGTATCCCGGAGAATAAGGCTTTGTACTATGGTTTGCTGGGTGCAAGTGCTATCGCTTACTTGGGTGCTTTGGAACTGTTGCCTGAATTGAACGAGTGGCTCCAGCTTGCCAAAATGTCGACCGAGTACCAAAGCTGGCTCGTGACAGTAATGGTTCTTGACTTTGTCGGCTCGTACGCGCTTGAAGCATTCTGGGGTCTCTTTGCCGATGTGCAGCCGAAGCCACTCATCCTGCAAGGTCAAAAGCTCCGTGCTAATCGACAAAAAGCGTCTTTGACGGAAAAGAAGCGCGCGTAATCGTGACGTCTAGCTTTTTTTTTTATTCTCTGTTGTTTCTTTGCTCTATATTTTCATATCTCGAATGCGTTTTCGACCCAGTGTCTGCGCGAGCGCATATGCAGCCGTGCACGCCGGTACAACTCATAGTCCTGAAATGCCATGCTTTGTCCCTGGTCCAAATATGCATGTTGAACGTATTTTGAACATCATTTGCTTGCCGCTGGGCCCGCCTACGGCATATCTTGTTACTATAAGCGTTACAAATAAAATTTGCTTCATGATCACAGAAGAACCGAGTACGTGTCTTGCTTGTCCCTTCCAAACAAATCGAAGGAGCAATAAAGCAAGAGAGAGAGAGTAATTAGTATCGGAGTTCCCAAGAGAACGGTGCCAAATTCCACATGACGATGAAAAGACATCTAATTAGTCGGAGACTTCACTCTCGATGTCGTCAGAAGGCTGCGTAAGAAATCGATGCTGCAGCAGCGTCGTTGCTGACGACCGCACCATGTGGTCCAACTCAAAGGTACAGTGCAAAAAGTCTGAGGCGACTGGCGAGATGTCCTCAGGCGGCGGCGGCGACTTGTTCTGTCCAATCTGGAAGAGGGCTTGCATTTGGTCAAGCCGCGGCCATGGATGCACACCTGTAAACATTTCGACCACACAGCAGCCGAGACTCCAAATGTCACCCTTGTCTGTGTACGTGTTTTGTTTCACGACTTCAGGGGCCATCCAAAACACACTGCCTTGAAGTCCAAGTTTGCCGGACCCAGCGCCAAGCAGACCTCCTTCCACCTTTTTACTGATGCCAAAGTCGCTGATCTTCACGCCGCCCTTGTTATCCACAAGGATATTGGCTCCTTTGATATCGCGATGAACAATGCCGCCATCGTGCAGGAACTGCAAGCCAAGCAAAATTTGTCGAACAAAATTCTGTACGAGGGGTTCTTCAAACGCGCCATAATTCCTCAGCAGCGACACAACTGAACCACCTGGCACATACTCCAAGAAAATATTCAGATACTGGCCGTCTGAGCTTGAGTCCAGGTACTGTACAATGTTCGGGTGACGGAGGGACTTGAGCAACTCAATTTCCGACTCGAGCGACTCTACCATCATTCGCCGTCGTCTTGTCCGTTCATCATCTGACTGCGGGAGTTCCACCTGCTTTACTGCCATCAAAATACCCGTTCTGGCATTCATACCCAAAAACACATTGCCAAAGGATCCTGCGCCAATCAACGCGCCTTTATGCCATCGCATGCGCGAATGCGACTGTGCGTCGAGTGACGGCTCTTTGCGCTCAATCGGCGTCATCGGCTGCGGTGCAAGCGGCTGTGACGTGGGCGCATGGTCGAATGTCGGCGTGGGGAGCGGCGATGACTGTTGAAAGGACGTGGACGGCGGTAAGCCTTGGGATGACGACGGCGGCAATGATGGAGACTTTAGCGACGGTGATGGCCGGCGCTGTTTTGGTAGCGGTTGAGATGGCGGTTGTGTCGACGGCTCCTCCAGAACCCGTGTCATAGAAGGCTGGCTGTATCCAGGCATAGATTCCCGCTCCTCCAGGCCCAACGTAATCTCGTCCACAGTCATCATGCTTCCACAATCGTCTTGACAGGAATCTGGGAGCTTGTTCATCGGGTACAGCGTCGTCGGAGGACGGCGTCTAGGCGGTGGCGACGGTTTTCGAACGTCCAGACTCTGTTTCTCAGGCTGTTCCGCATAACGGCGCAGCTCGCGACTATCGGTAGAAGGGAAATAGTCTGCAAGGTGCGAGCTGATAAGTTCTGATGGGGGGCGCTGCCCAAAAAAGTTGCGCACACGCCGACGGACAGCAGGAAGGGGTCCGGCCAAGTCTGGTGTCGCAGCCTTGACGCGCGCATATGCCGACGACCGTGTAGGAGATGTCGCCTCTTCGACCGGCTGAACAGCCGTGCCGCCCAAGCCGCTCAGAATGCTAAAAGTCGATGCGCGCCGAGTCGACGGAACATCAGTGAGTCTGAACGGATCCACGGGCACCTCACGCAGTGATCCAGGCCGTAGGGGCGACTCATCCGACGTACGCAACAAGTACAGTCCGTGCTGCCATACAGGATCGTAAATATGCGGCTGCGAGCAGACCGCCATGAGCTCGATTTCCGAGAGCACTTTCAGCTGCGCATTTGCATCAGTCATGGCCACGACCCAATGTCGCATATACTGAGTCGACTCCGCATCATTTGGCAGGCCGAACTTGTGCAGCACTTTCGCCAGCACATCCGTAGCTTGCGTGCATCGACTCACATCGACACTTCTTGAAGACCCGTCTTCCGCTAAGAACTTGACAATATGCCGCCGGATCGTCTCGAGACTTTGGACTGAGCTCCCAGTCGCCGTCGGTGCAGTGGTCTTTTCCGATCGAGCATCATCGGCCTCTGTCTCCGTGCGTCGCAAATTGTACGGCGCACTAATCTGTCCGACACGCGTCTTATTTGCGAATGCGCCTCGTCCCACCGCGTACCCTGCATTCGACGAATTTGAGGTCGATGTGGCAGTAGCTGGACGACGCATCCGCTGAGCACTTGGGCTTCGCGGTTGACTCTGGTTCGTACAATTGCCACTACCAGCGCCGCTGCTAGCAACGTTCCCAAAATAATTGGTCAAAATCGGGCTACTGGCACTGTGACTCCCAATGGTGGGGCTGCAAGGTCCTTGGCCAAAAGCACCAGGGTTGGTCGATGTGTGCATCGTGTGTCCGACTCCCGTCGCAGTGTTTGGACGGCGGCTTTGAGCCAACGGCGTTGCATACGAGCTACGCTCCAGACCCTGCCTGTCCATCGACGGCGCACGTGGCGCATACACTGGTTGTGTGGCCATAGGAGGCATGGCCCCAACTGGTGTCGTGTGTGTCGTTTTCGACGTAGGGGACAGTGGCACCCCGGAGAACAAAAGTGGCGGTGCGAGCATGGAACCCTCCACAGGTGCCATCGATGCTGCTCTCAAGGCTGAACCTGGTGGCGCGGCAGTTGCGACTGGAGTAGCAGCTGTTCCGGCACCTGCTGCTGACACAATGGCTGGCGAAAGCGACGACGTGGAAATAGACATGGATGTGGGCGCAGGTACCGACGCCGGCACTTGTGCGGATAAAGCTGCATGAGCGGGCGCAGGCATAGAAGCAGATTTAGACATTGCCCTGGTGGGCGACGCGACTGAACCAGCAGAAGCATTTGACAAACCTACATTGGCCGAACACTGCTTGTTTAAAATGCGGATGGCAGCAAGAAGTCGCAACCGATCACCCACACTTGGTATGCCCATTTCCTTCAGGATCCCGTGATCTAGTCGGAGCAACGCACCACCGCGGATGTCATTCTGGATAAATGCCGATTCGTGTTGCCCCAGTTTGTTGTCATGAAGCCATGAAGTCACGTCTTGCAAGCTCCAGGAACGAACTGCCCTGTTAGTCCAATTCAGTATGCCTGTGGTCTCTCACCTGTCTGGTATGTAAGTGTGGGTTCTTTGCCAGAGCCAGAGGGCAGCGTTGAGTCCATTCCTGGCCGTTGGGACGGCTCGGTCCCTTTCGTTCGGATCAAAGCACGTCTGCCGTTGTGTTGCCGAGAATTCCACCGAACCCTACTTGATGACAAAGCACGTAGGGCAAGCGAAGCCCATTTTCAAGGCATACCTGACTAGAATCGCATAAATTCGCAAAACAGCGACAACACACCACCGTCGCACACAGCGGTCTCCACTCATTGGACAAAAAAAGGCCGAGCGTCGCAGTGCGGCCCAGGGCAATCATCTCTGCTTCGCCTGTAAGCAAGGAAGAGGGGGGTACTTTTGTGTCTATCCGAGGTCCTTTTTGATTTTCTTTCAATTCACGGCCGAGATCCGTGGGGCGAGCGAGTACGAGTCGGCAGGCCAGATTCTTGGGACATGTCAAGTAAATGTAACATGCGAGTGGGAGGAAAGTAAATGTAGAACAACGTAAGCCCCACATCATTAATCTCGTGCACCATTAAATCTTACAACCTCTGACATCTCCGTCATTTGGCTTCTCTGACCCAATATGCCATCTTCTGGTGCTGATCCTATTCTTTTATCACTATTTGCCAACCGCTTTATGGCCGTTGCAGAATCCATGGGCCGCTCCCTGCAACAGACTTCCATTTCTACCAATATCAAGGAACGTCTTGACTTTTCTTGCGCTATATTTGCCGCTGATGGTTCCCTCATTGCTAATGCACCGCACTTACCTGTGCACCTTGGGAGCATGAGCTTCGCCGTGCAGTATCAGGCGGAACATTTGCATGAGCTGGGTCAAGGCTCCTTCAAGCGCGGCGACGTCGTGCTGGCGAACCACCCTGCTGCAGGCGGTAGTCACCTACCTGATATCACCTGCATCACACCTGTATTTGCACCTGATCGCGATGAAATAGTCTTCTTCACTGCAAGCCGTGGGCACCATGCAGACATTGGCGGAATCCTTCCCGGCTCCATGCCGCCCACCAGCAAAACTCTCTTCCAGGAAGGCGCACAGATCCGCTCATTCAAAATCGTCTCAGAAGGCGTGTATGACCAGAAGGGGCTCATGCATCTTCTCCTCACAGAACCTGCCAAGTACCCGGGATGTTCAGGTACACGGTGCTTCCGTGACGTCGAGAGCGACTTGAAGGCGCAGATCGCTGCCAACCATAAAGGCATTCAGCTTCTCAATGACCTTGTCGATGAATGGGGGCTCGAGACAGTGCAGTCATACATGATGCACATTCGCGACAATGCTGAATTTTCCGTGCGCAACCTGCTTCGTCGTGTGGCGAACACGCAAAAATCCACCGACCTGCACGCTATCGATTACATGGACGACGGATCGCCGATTGAATTGCATATTACGATCAACCCGTCGTCCGGCTCTGCCATTTTTGACTTTGAAGGCACTGGGCCTGAAGTGAATGCAAACCACAATTGCCCCAAATCGGTCGTTTATAGCGCAATCATCTATGCATTGCGGTGCATGGTATCTGAAGACATTCCACTCAACCAGGGATGTCTTGCGCCCATCGACGTCCGCATCCCCGAAGGATCTATGCTCAGTCCTTCGGACACTGCAGCTGTCGTTGGCGGAAATGTGCTAACAAGTCAACGGATCACAGACGTCGTGTTTCGTGCCTTCGAAGCCGTTGCTGCTAGTCAAGGCGATTGCAACAATCTGACATTCGGCACCGGTGGAAATGACGAGACTGGTCGCTTAATCGAGGGATTCGGATACTACGAGACGATTGCTGGTGGCTCAGGCGCTGGGCCGTCATGGCATGGCACAAGCGGCGTGCACACCCATATGACGAACACACGTATTACCGACCCTGAGATCTTCGAGCGCCGCTATCCTGTATATCTTCGCCAGTTCGGTATTCGCGAGGGCTCTGGTGGTGCTGGCCACTTCCGCGGCGGCAACGGCGTCATTCGTGACATTGAGTTTCTGGAACCAAGCATACAAGTTAGCATCTTGTCTGAACGCCGTGTATATCAGCCATACGGCTTGTGCGGTGGTGAGCCAGCTGCATCTGGTCTCAACCTCTGGATCAAGCAGCGGCGTGAAGAAGATGGTGATTTGGTCAAGCCTAACGACGAAGGATTTGTGTCTCCCCGTGTCATTAATTTGGGAGGCAAGTCCACAGCCATATTTGGCCTGCACGATCGCATCATTGTACATACACCAGGCGGTGGTGGCTATGGCACACCAAGCAATGAATCTCCGCCTACTGCCAGTGCCCCATCTCGTCCCAATCGCTTGCATCAGCGTGGCAGTGTCGCTGATTGGCAAGCCCGTCAGCTTGGTGCATAAGCATCGCCTCGTACATATTCATAGTTTCTTACCGACGACGCAGCTTTTCTTGGATTTGGCGAATCTCTTGCGCAATACGATCAGATTTAGTCTTAGGAGGTGGCGTGGATTCTGACCGCTTTGATGAATGTCCCGATGTAGGGGCTGAGCGAGTTCTTTCAAATCCCCCTGTTTTGGTCGATTTTTGTGACATTGGAAACGGCGAAGGTGCATCGTGTACCTCCTCGTAATCTGAGTAAGTCTTCCCTATTACATACAAGTATATATACGCACCAATTTTTGTATCCCGAGTCTGTGACTCAAACGGCGGCACAGCGTGTCCCCGCAACCGATGCGGCAAATGGTCCCATTCATGTAACGCGCGTTCAGTGATGCGCAAAAAAAATGGAGAGCGGCCCATCTGTATGTGAGTTGATCAGGACATCCGACGTACCCAGCGGGCTAGAGCTGCTGTAGCATACGCCGTCAGCATCTGCTCAAATACTCTGGGCCATCGAGACATCGTCTATCATCTATAATTGGTCCTCCTTTACCACCAGGAAACCCGGAGTGCAAGTCATTGATTCCTCGACAAACGCAGTCCTCCACTCTTCCAATGTCTAACAGTTTTACCCAATGCAATCTACCTATATGTACACCGAGAGTCATACCGCCTCCCTCCTCCAATATATCGTAACCTCAATCTCATCTAATTTTGCGCGGCCGCATGAACAAGCATCGAGAGCCCATTCAAGACTTTGACGAAATTTTCCAAGTTTCCGACTCGCGGATCGTCTTGGGAAGAGCTACCGGTTGTTTGTGAGCTTGAGGAAGATGCCGTTGTCGACGAAGAATGAGAATCGGACGATGATGTAGCAACACGTGTCGAGCTGCTATCATGAGAGGCTGATTCCGAACTCTTCGACCTCAAACTTGCCTCAGAAGCACTCGATCGGGAGCTTGCTGCTGATGCTTTGGATAATGACTGCTCCCGGGCGATAGATGATGCTCGTGCTCTTGCTGAAGATGCCGAGGCTGCCGCTTCTGCTTGAGCAGACGAACGCGAAGCATTATGCTCATGATAACTGGAGCTGGTGGGAGTTGACGATGAGTATGACCGCGAATGTGAGTGAGTTTGTGAATGCGAATGTGAACGTGAGTACGAATGCGACTGCGACCGCGAGTCCGAAGACGCTGAGCCGCTATTCGACTTGCCCCCGCCATTACCACGGCCTTTATCGCCATCATCATTGTGACTATCGTCAATCGTCCACCACGTAATAGGAAATACACCCAACGTTAAATCGTTAAATTCTTGAAAAAGCGACATGCTCATGTCCAATGAACCGTGATGACATTGAGATGTCTCAGGACACGCATCCATAATGACGGCTCGCACTGTCTTGAGGCCATTGGCAATCATGATATGTTTGCCGCACCACTTTGAGCGGGAATCAAGATCACCATACATAGGCTCATTCAATGCCACGATATGCATGCTATTGTCGATATCATAACCACAGGCGCCTGCCTGGTACGTTTCGACATCGTACCATGTCGCAGTTCCTGAAAATGCGGACCGCTTCCTTAAAGTATGTGCAGAAGAATTTTTCACATTTGCCTCTAAGACTTCTGGATCCAGAAACGCTGTGGCAATGCCTACGCCCAGCACCAAGGCTACCAAAAATGTCTTCATGGCTGACGTTGCAACGCGTGGTGGAGTTGTCGCTCGGCAGTTAGTGCCGGCGAAAGAATGTCGATCATACTCCATGTTACTGACGTCATGCACTTGCTGCATATATGCGTGTATTTATGCATATTCCGACTTTATGTGACCAATCGAAGTCGTGGAATATCACAAGTAAATCTGTGAGACGACATTGAATCAAAACTCCAATATTTGGGTGCCTTTTTCACACTCCTTAATTCTTAAATCACTGGGCTCAGTCATGTGGCCCAATGCAAATGCGTGAGATTCTCCATGCGGGGGGAAGAGTGACAGACAGATTCGACAAAATATTATACGCTTGTTTTATCGGCGACCATTCAGCTTCTATATTATTATGTAATAATATTTTACTTATGACCGTCTCCAACACGCCAACACATTGAATGTGTAACTCCGCAATAATCTAGAAGACGGACTCAGACAAATCACGTTCCTATAATAGGGAATCGAAATTCTCCAACTCAGCATGTTACATGTTTACTCATGAATTTACGCCGAACATGAATCTGATTCGCAGATTCTATGCATCAAACATAAATACGCAAATGTGTTGGTCGCAGCGAGAGGCACCCAAGTGCGCAACCAAATTGACCTCAGAGAAAAAGCTGAATCGATTTGTTTCCCCACCTTTACCGTTGACCATTCATCATGTTCTATGAGCTCCCCTCTATTCCGGGCGCCGACAGGCTCAGGGGCTGGAGCTTGCTGGCTTTCTCAGCTTTTGTGTGCTCAAGTGGTTTCTTGCTATTCGGATATGACCAGGGTCGTCATGTCTCTGCTGATCACGGAGCCTATGATGGCTTCAACGATGCCAAAGATTGCTTCATTCAGCCCGGACGGACCCAATATGGAAAAAGAATATGCCGCTAATAACAATGATCCTGTAACATACCATCCGGACAAATTTGACGCGAACATCCAAGGAGCTGTCGTGTCCTGTTACGAATTGGGTTGCATGATTGGTTCCGCATTTGTATTGTTCAAAGGTGATAAAATGGGTCGCCGTTGGTGTGTGGTTATCGGTTCTATTATTATGATTATTGGCACTGTTGTCATGGTTGTCCATGACACTTTGCCATCCTTTGTTGTTGGTCGTGTTGTTGCTGGTATCGGCAATGGTCTTAATACTGCTACTATCCCTATGCTTCAGTCTGAGCTTTCAAGGCCGCAGTATCGTGGTCTTCTCGTGTTCATTGAAGGTGCTTTGCTGGCAGGTGGTGTAATGGTTTCGTATTGGATTGACTTTGGTTTCTATTTCTTGAAATTCAACTCTGTCCAATGGCGCTTCCCTATTGCATTCCAGATTGTGTTTGCATTGATTCTTCTGGTTGGTGTACTCGTGATGCCAGAATCGCCACGTTGGCTTGTCAAGGTTGATCGTCTGGAAGACGCGAACCGAGTTCTCGCTCAGTTATATGACACTGAAATGGATGATCCAGTGGTAAAGCAAGAACTTCACACTTTGACCGATTCGATTCGCAAAGTTGAGGCTAACCTGGGTCCGTTCAAATACAGCGAATTGGGAACGAATGGTCCACACCAAAACTTGTATCGACTTATTTTGGGTTGCGGCTCCCAGGCTATGCAACAGTGGACGGGTATTAATAACCTGACGTATTATGCAAGCACTGTATTCAAGATGGTCCAATCAGACGATGTCGCAAGTCGTGCATTGGTTGGTGGTAGTGGTATTCTGTACTTCCTTGCCGCCGCCTGTGCCGTGTTTTTCATTGACATTGCGGGTCGGCGCATGCTTATGATTTGGTGTGCTTTTGGCATGATGCTTTGCTTTGCTATTATTGCTGGTATGGTGGAGAAAGTCAAGCACCCGGAAGGTGACTCGCCTGACCAGACGGACAAGTACGGCAAGGTGGCTGAAGCTTTTATTTACCTGTACTTCATCCCATGGTCTCTTGGCTGGCTTGGTATGACGTGGCTTTACCCAGCAGAAATTAATCCCATTCGTACTCGGGCTCCGGCTACGGCACTGTCCACATGCACGAACTGGCTCATGAACTTCACTGTCGTCATGATTTCCCCTCCAGCGTTCGAGAACTTGGGGGGTCATACATTCACGATGTTTGGTGCTTTTAATTTGATCTTCATGCCAATTGTTTACATGTTTTACCCAGAGACGAAACGTCGTGGTCTTGAGGAAATGGACTTGTTCTTTGCAGATGCGCATCAAGAAGGCTTCTGGAAAGCTAGTCGCTTCCAAACAACTGCTGTTTACTTGTCTGTGACGCGTCCGTACCTGTCTTCGGAAGAACTTGATGCGATTCTTTCCCAGCGAACGGATCTAGGTGGTGGTCCATCAGAACCACATGGTCAACAAGGTCCGCACAAGAGTGAGCTGGATGCAGTTGATCCCGTGGAAGAGGGTCTGGAAGAGCCTCCAAAGGACGCACTTCCAAAACGGAAAGAAACGGCTGCTGAATCGGCGGCCCCGTACGCAGGTGTACCTTTCGCGTTGTAAGGGCCGTAACTTTTTGTTCCTCGCTTTTTGATTGCTTTTCTTCAATTTTGTTGACTCCCGCTTGCATACTTTATGCATGCTTGTTTGGAATCGTGCATGTAATCTAGTTGCATTGGGGGCCTATTTTCCTTAGGCGCCAAAACATCAACTGGACCTCTGGTTCAATACCAGTTTCCAGGAAGATTCGTAAGAGTTTGAGAGCTTATGGACATTAGAACGACACTGTAGCTCATAGCAATTACGACCATGTCGGAACGAGATAACAAGAACCTAATATTATTATTGATGAATTCATCTGAACGTATCGAAATGTGGGGAGTGAACATGTGCTAATTATATAATCATGTATGGTGACGCGACGTCGTCGCGCAACAACCTGGTCGAAGAAACGTTGGCTGTGACATTGACGCCTTGGAAGAAACAAGTGGGACATGGACGTGGACTTTCTGAGTGATGACCCGTTGGATGATATCCGGTCTTTTAATGAAACGAATGTTTGCATGAATTTTGTGAGCGAGCGGACTGTCCCGGCATCTGTTCAATGCTTACCATACCGGTGTCAAACACAGACTGAGTATGAATCGTTGTTGGAGCAGGCAACAAAAAACATTTGTACATGTATAGACCGTGGGATTTGGGGTTCGACTATGCTGGAGTGGTGTCAGCACATCCGATATCTTTTCGCACTGAAATATCCAATTTCGCGCTCGCTTCGAGTGCGGATGGCACGACTGTTTTATGAGATAGCTGTGATGCCAAAGTTAGACGCGTCACTGACAGACATGGCCGCCACTCTATGTGTACACCTGCTTCGACCGAAAAAAGAAATCAGCTACCACGATTTGGAGTTGCCATGGCGCTCGTTATATGATGCGTTGGATCGCGAGGTACATCAAAAATACCGAAAGATCGGCACCTCAGCTGTGGCTGGCGTCCTGCTAGACCTAGCAGAAGCAAGTCAACGATTTTTTCCTTCCTCTGAAGCAACGGCTATGTTGGAGACAATGCTTCCCCATTTTGACGGACATGACCTGAATTCTGTGATATCGACGCAGGCGCTCCTTGTCCACTTTCTTCCCCTGTCACACCCAGACGCATGGCTCCCTACACTGTTCAGGCTTTGGGAAACATTCAAATCAGCTCTATTCGACGATCAGATGCTCGATTTGCTAGCGCGACTTGCCGAGCTCCATGTTACAGATCCACAGCCAACTACGCACAGATCTGACACGGGCGTATTCACCGACGAGCAGTTTGCCTTGATTATGACAAAGTGTTTGCGCTCTGCTGGACTCCCGGTGAGTGTAAATAAGACGGCCAAAGCTGCGCTTATGGCGCAATCGTCGTCGGTACGTACAGGTGCAGATGCGACGGCATCGCAGAAGACGTTGCGCATGAAAAAGCCAAGTGATCGGTTGCATTCGTTTGCAGTGATTATCGTTTACAGCATAGCGTACGATGGAGATGATGCGAACTTGGTCGGCGGTTCCAAAGCGCTAACGCAGTTGGCTCAGTTCGTCCAGGCGACAGAGACATTCTTCCACCCATCCAACTGGGGGCCATGGCAAGCGCAGCTGTCGAGTTTTGTGCAGCATTTAACCTGGGAATATGCGCGACGCCAAAAAGCGGAGGAGCGCCAAGATTGTCGCACACCGGTCGAGTGGCGTCTCACGCCTGCGAACCGAAGAGAGTTTGTCAAGATGCTCCGCACCGTAAGCTTACTGGGTATGTTTTCCAAAGATGCAGTGACGTCTTTATCCTCGCAATCGAGTCTGAAACGCATGGCATTTTTGCAGCCAGAATTGGTTCTGCCGGCAATTCTGCAACGCGGCTACAATTCACTCGAGTCGTTAGAAACGACACAGCGGACGGGCGCAGTCATCTCTGCGCTCGCTACCACGTCGCAGCCTCTGCTCTCACGCACGTTGTATCCCGCTGGTGCCAAGCACATGGCACCCATACTGCACCTGTGTCTACCGGGTATTGATCTGAACGACCCGATCAAGACCATGGGCACGTGCATGCTGATTCTCAGCGCTAGTGTCTCGTTGATCATCTCGGACGCCTCTATGAACGAGCCTGATCAGCTGGAGAGCGAGAGCAAGAGCGAAAGCGAAGGTCAGAGGCGGGTGCAGGTTGACGAAAACACAGAGTCAACGGTAGCGGCGGAAGAGTATGCGGCGCGTCTCTCGACAGCTGATATCGACTCATGGAGTGTCGAGTTTGTGCATCGTGTCTTGGCACTCATAACAGCGCTACCGGACGAGGGGAAAGGAGGCAAAATCGGCGAAAAGAACGAAGAGGCCGTGCTCAATATGCTGATCGCGACATGTGATGCATTCTGCAGTGCATTGGGAGAAGAGGCGTTTGGCCGGTGCTTGGAAATTGTGCTGGACTATGTGCGCACAACGACGGCAGCGAATGGCGTCAAGGTCATCGGTTCATTGGTGGGCTGCTTTGCGCGGGCCAATAGTGAGAAAGTACTAGCGCAGGTTGTGCCCATGTCGTGCAAGCGGATTGAACACGAGCTGCATCATGGAGCCTCGTCGATCCGCACGACGAGCACGAGTGTGCCACGAGCAGAAGACACAGCTTTGCACTGGCACATCAATGTATTGAGTAGCGCGGTGATGTTCGCTGGGCCGGCACTTCTGCAATACCGCACAGAGATCCTGGCTACGATGACGCAGCTGATCCATGCATGCAAGACGGAGCGAGCGTACGTGCTGCATGCAAAGTTTGTACAGCGTGTGCTTTCGGCGCTTGTCAACGTGTATGCTGCTGAGCAGCGGTGCCTGAACCCACGTGAGTGGGACTCGGACATGCGCCGGCACCACCCGCACCGCCTGTTTGGGAGAGTGTATGAGCTGGAGGACGTCGAGATCACGTGGCATGTGCCTTCCAGCGCCGAAATCGACATGGCGCTGGATGTGCTGACGCTAGTGGTCGGGCCGGTGCTCGACGCACTGGATGCTTTGCTGTCGGCGACGCAGCATGACGACGCTTGGCACAATGACGTCTGCCGCTATTTGCACGTTATGCGCTACGCACTCGCAGGACAAAGTGCCATGATCACAGACCAGAGCCGCCGTCACCTCCCACAAGACCACTGCGTCTACGACGATCTTGGCGACATAGATGCATCTGCCTGCGCGCCTCCTCTCGACATGAACACGGGCGCAGCGGTTACACCGGATGATCCGCGGTATGCGCATGTCGTTGCGTTCCGCGAGCGAGTGGGCACTGTGCTGGAGCGAGCGGCGGAAGTTGTTTCGCACCTGTCGGCGGATCATGTGGATGCTGTGAAGCAGGTTGTGCGTGCATTGCGAACATACTTGGTGCCACACAGTGCGCATACCGACGAGGTGCAAGGCCTGTCGAAGTCGGTGGGGTTCTTCCGGACGATTGGTCGCCGATTCGCCAAGCAGCGACGATTCCCACGCATCTTGTGGATCCGGCGTGCCATGCTGTACCATGTGACTAGGCAGCGGCTCCAGTCTGTGCATCTCGCACACACGGCGCGCGATCGTACGCTCATGATGCAGCTGGAGCGCCTATGCACATCGCACTACATCCCTGTCCGACGACTCGCCCAGTCGGCGCTGGAAAGTGTGTTTGGCATGTACCGCGGCACACGGTGGCTCTGCTTGCCGACGCTGCTCGGGCAGCTGGCGCCCTCGGCGAGTGACGAGCAAGTCAAAGGTGCGCTGTATGTGCTGGGGATGAAGTCGTTCCTCCGCACCTGTGCACGAAATCCACGGTTCACGCGCCCAGTGCTCATGGCCATGTTCCGCCTACAGAGCCGGGCACGACCGTCGATCCAAAAGCTTGTGCGTGGTGTGCTCTCGGAGCTTGTGGCCAGAATGAGCGATCCATGTGTGCATGAGGCGTACTTTTGCACGGACGCGCTTCGTGAGTTAGCAGCGTCTTTCGGGAGCGATCTGGAGTCCGGCTATATCGGCACGACGGCTGCCAAACTCCAGAGCTCCTGGCTCGAGCTTGTGCGTACGTCGAACGAAGCTCTGCAAAGTGACTTGCTTGCTATGCTTCATGCGCCCCAGACACATTGGGCATTTGCTCAACTTGCGCTGCGTGCGCTGCGTGCAGTCCTTCGACGCGATACGCCCGTGCGTGCGGACATCGCCGAGCGTGTGGCGCAGCTAGCGATCTCTGACGACCCAGATCTTCGAGTCTACGCGCAGTCGACTCTCGTGCGCATGCTGTACCTGGCTAAGCTGCAGACGTTTAGTCGCGGACAGGATCTGTATCTGGAATGCATGCACCAGCCATTGAAGCGGCAGGAGCGGACGGCAGCCTCGGCCACCGCGTCAATGACGAAACCGGAGCGTGCTGCGATGTTCCACGAGCCACTCACGGCGTCGTCGCACCTGTATGACAAAGACACAGATGCCTGGCTCGTGCAGCCTACCGTCGATACGTACTACGTGGTGGGCCCTGCACCGCCGCTGTGTGCGACGTCGCAGCGCACGGTAAATGCCATGGCTCGCGTCGTAAGCACGCCCGCTTGGTGGGACGCGTTCGCAAGGCATGTGTCGCTGGAAATGGATCGCGACTACATGGCCGCTGACACGACACTGCTGGTCAAGAGTCTCTTCCAAGCGATCGGCCCTGCACTCTTGGAGCATGTGAAGCCAGTCATCGAGGCGCACCTCGTGAGCGAGCGCGATCGGCACAAGCACCGGGCAGCGGCAGAGATCTCTGGTGGCATTGTGCGTGGTGCGAAGCATTGGTCTCTGGCATCGCATGAGGCTCTGCATGCGTGGCTCGACAGTTGGCTTGCTCGCGCTATGTGTGAGTGCACGATGGACAGTCAGCCAGCATGGCAGATGTGGGTTGAGTACGTGTTTCAGTACCGGGATCCACGACGCATGCACGCTCTCCTTACGTTCGTATGGTCCCACGCATGTGAGGCTCTGAGGGATGAGCGCCGCGGGCCCGGACAGCAAGCACATGCGCAGCAGCTACTGGCCAGTGCGCTGCATGCTTTGCAGTCGAAGGCGCATGGTTGGGATGTGAAGGATGCCGCGGACATGCCGCAGCATCCTCCTGAACCACGGCACAACAGCAGCAGGCCTAAGCCGTTCGCATGAAGCCAGCGAATCTTGCAGATACCCTGCAAAAGCACTTTGCGCACGACTACCAAGAAGTACGCAAGGCTGTGTGTGAGACGCTCGTCGAGTGGGAATGGACCTTTGCTCGCCCGGCACTGCCAAGCACAACAGCACTGCTAGAACAATGCCGGTGCACGACGCGCGGCTCGCTTCTCGCACACAACGAAGCCATGCGCCGCCGGTGCAAGTCGCTGCAAGCACAGCTTCGCTCAGCACGCCTAGAACGCAAGCCGTCGGCGCAAGGCGCTTCCACGTACGATCTTGCAGCATCGACCATGGCTCTTTGGGTGTGTCTGAACCTCGATGACCACCGACTAGGTCCCATGTCGACATACGTACTGGAGCTTGTGCCCGACCTCTTTGATGCCTTCCAACTGCGCGATAATGAAGAGCTGTCGAGCACAGCGCATGATGTGCTGGTGCAGGTCGCTTCGTTTCCCTTCAGCGAGGTCCAAGTGCCAGCGCTCGTCGACTGTCTGCTGCGAATTGCGCGCAGCTCCAACTCATGGCATTCGCGTCTCGACGCTTTGCCGTTCCTGCAAATCGTGTATTTCCAAAAGTACGTGTGCACACTCTTGATCTCTGGCAGCTTACCTATCTAACACGCAGTCTCTTTTACTTGTCGCAATCCATGAAGGAAGAGATCCTCCATGTGCTGCACACCCTACTGAGTGATCCGCATATCGAAGTGCGCGACATGGCTGCAGCGACCCTATCGGGTATTGTGCGATGCTCACAGCGTGCTCACATCACCGACCTATCACAGCGCTTTGCCGTCATGGCCGCAACGCCACTTCCTCGTCGTGGCACGCCGGGCATTGAGGAAGCCATCACGCGTGTGCACGCTGGCGTGCTGGGTGCATCGGCTCTGATCGCTGCATTCCCGTACGAAGTGCCCGACTGGATGCCTGCACTAGTGCTTGATACCGTCGCCATCCACTCAGAAAGCCCTGTGCCTATCTCGACGACCGCTCGGCGCTGTGCGGCCGATTTCCGGCGCACGCATCAGGACACGTGGGCCGATGACCAGCACAAGTTTGGCGAACGTGTTCAGGAGCTGCACGACTTTACACTTGGACGCAGTGACTATTTCGTGTAGGCAATCATACGGACGCGAATGTCTAGTGAATCATTCCGTCTCTTGAGCAGCGTAACGACACACACGCTGGGCTTTGGTCGATGCATGGTGGCAACCTTAATGTATATAGTAGGTCATGAGAGTTGACGAATGCGCTTGCGGCTTTCAGGCAGTACTTGTGTACTTGCTTCGGTCCTGAATCTCCGTAGAACGTGACGTATCTGTAGGAGTCGTCCTAGTCCCACACGCTTGATCAGGGCCAACCGCAGCACCAGAAATTACGCTCTCAAGACGAACATGAAGGCGTGTTGGTGCGGAGAAGCCGCCCGACCGTGCACAGCTCAGCATCTTCTTCATGTGCATAGTTCTCAAATGGGTTAGCGCACATCGTTCGCACACGCTCCAAGAATGCTGTGTCTGGTGCATTTGACTCGAGTCGCTCAGCGACGTCGTCCGTGATCCAGTTGCGTAAGACAAAGCGTGGATTCACGCGTTTCATCGCATTCGTAATCTCGGAGGCCGGACGCGCCTCGGCATCGAGCCAAGTTTTGAATTGATGGAGCCAAGCCGCCACATCTGCCTGACTCGCACAATCTGGTACACCCGCTGCAGCGTCTTGGACGAGACTCACAGCGAACGCTTCGATATCATTCGTGCGTCCAGGAAAGTCGCACAGCATGCGTAAAGATCGTGTCATATCGAGCCCATAGAACGCCTTGAAGAACGGGTCGACTATCTCACTCTTGATGCGGTCAACACCGATACGGCGCTGGGATGCAATACCAAGCCGAGTTGTCCACGCTGTAGCCCAGGCGTCCAGAAGCGTCGTCTGAACCAGCATGCGCACATCGTCATACAGAACCTCTTCGGCCTGATCAGCCCACATCTGACGCTCTTCTTTCGTCGATGCTAAGAGCTCACCTGGTCTTAGTGCACGTCCATGTACATGCTCAAAGCCCAGGACGGGCGCGAGTGCATCCATCAGACGATCTATCGCATAGACCAACATGGTCGGCTGCATCTTGAATGAATACCTGCCCATCATGTCAGAGTGGTTGCATATTTCGTCCTCATTGATGGCGTCCATGAACGCATATGGTCCGTAATCAATCGTATCGCCCATGAGCGAGATATTGTCCGTGTTGAGAACGCCATGCATAAACCCATACGTTTGCCAGAGAGCAAAAGTCTTAGCATTGCGCTTCGCCACTTCCTTCACAAGGCGAGCGGCCCATGGCGGGCGTGGCTCCCCTTCGCATCCAGCGCGCGCCTCGGCATCAGCCCACGTCTCACCGCCTTTCACCACATCTGTCCAGCCATACATCTCTCGGGCAACATACTCGCCCAGCACACGCACACTTTCCCACTCTCCACGTATGCTGTGCAGCTCAAAGTTGCCGATCCGGAGCCATGATGGGGCGATCCGCATGTTCACTGCAGCTGTCGTGCTAGTTTCACGAAGCACGGGCAAGTCCGGTAGGGACACCACACATAGCGAGTAGCTCGTGGGAATACCCAGGGCCGCCATATACTCGGACACCAGGAACTCTCGCACTGAGCTTTTGAGGGTAGCCAGTCCATCACCGAAACGCGAGTATGGCGTGCGGCCAGCGCCTTTCAGCTGCACCTCATGTCGTGCACCGGTCTCGGGATGCAGAGTCTCCAAGATCGATACAGTCCGGCCATCGCCCAGCTGGCCAGCCCATTGCCCAAACTGGTGCCCACCGTATCGGAGCGACCAAGGCCCATATGATGTGCGTGTGTGCAAGGCAGCGAGTGCTTGCTTCGTGTTCTGCACATCGTCCTCGTGCCGAGCCAGGAAGTGTACGCCAGTGCCATGTTCATCGTTGATGGGTTCGCTCTCTTGGATATTTACGCGGAGCGCCCGGCCTGACGCCCAGTCACTCAGGGCCTGCCGAGCCGTCGCAGTATCAGATCGGTCTTGACCATAAAGGTGCGACGGCTCGGCAGCACCTGTGGCTGCGCTGTCCACTGGACCGGTACTCGTCTGCGATTCAATGCTCGGTCCTGAGCTGTAGACCTTTTGCACACCAGACGTCTGCTGGAGCCATGCATGCGTGTCGCCCACATCCAAGTGTGGCAAACATGTTGCGTGCGCTTGTGGCGAGAATGCCACTAGACGTGCCGACGGAAAGGGCGGCGAGTGCTGCCGCGCGGGAGGAAATGCTGCGCCTGGATTAGTCCTCTGTGGTTCAAAGTCTCGCAAGTAACGCTCTACACTCTCCGCATCCGATACGCTATCATTGGACGGAGGTGGAAACTCGTATGGAAAGGCGAGTGGCAATGGCGTTACGAAGGAGAAATGCGCACCATCCCGAACAACACGCGCACGACGGAGAAGCGATGGATACGATGTTGCTGTTGCTACGAGTGCGCGTGCATCAGGCGTGACGGGATCTGGAATCAAGTTCGCCGTCAGCTGTTGCCCCAATGGCACGGTTGGCAATGACAGGGGCCGAAATCGTGGCATTTCCCCAACCCCGACAAGGTTACAACATAGGCTTGGATGTGCCCGCCACCAATTGTCCCCTCCCCCTTCATCCCCCCATTCCCCCGATTATTTCCCCTAATTTTCGAGACCCATCCACTCACCAAACTCATACCAATTCATGATTGCGGGTTATTGCTCGAAACCAACATGAGCCATATGAGCCGCTGGCGCTGGACATATGTGGTGCTGGGGCTCACTCTGCGAATTGCCCTGTTGTTCTGGGGAACATACCAGGACAAGCACGCCTCGCTGCCATATACAGATGTCGACTATGCCGTGTACAACGACGGCGCACGTGCGCTGTGGACCTCATGTCCCCTCTCAGCGACGATCGACTCCAAGCTGTACGAAGACGAAGAGGACCTGCTCAATGTGCCTGAGCTTGCAGAGAATGTCCACTGTGCGCGCGGCTTGATACCAGCCGTTTCGCGCTTCGTCCTGAAGAATGACCCTGCCCGCTCCGACACAGCAACGATGGAATGGGACCCCGTATGGACTCCGTATTTGATCTTCAGCTATGCTTGGACACGGCCGCTTTTCCGCTTCCTCGGATCTCTGGGCGATCCATTCGTTCGCACGACTTACCGCTACACGCCTTTGTTAGCGATGCTCCTTGGCCCTGGTCACGTTCAAGACGGCGCCGATGGTGACGGCATGTGGCCATGGTTGGGGAAACTTATCTTTGCGCTTGCTGACGTCGGCTGTGGCATATTGATGTGGGCGATTCTCGATGAGCGACAAGCTATGCATGCATACGAAGCCCCTGCATTGCGTCATGCAAAGCTCCTTACACACTTGCCTGGCACCCTGTGGCTAGTGAATCCATTTCCGGCACAAATCGCCACGCGGGGAAGTTCCGACAGTCTTGTGGGTTTGCTTGTTCTCGCATTCTTGTATTTATTGATTCGTGCGACACCTGAGATGTCGCTTGTGCGTACGCCGGTTCTTGAGTCCGACAAGCTCCCGCCACGGCACGACCCAAGCGACTTGCGCGTCGCTAGTACGTCCTGTTTCTATGGCGCAGCTTTTTGCCTGGCTCTGGCCGTGCATGTCAAAATATACCCAGTCATCTACGGAGCAAGTGTCCTTGCGCACTTGGCCAACTACCAGCACTATGCGCTGGTGATGTTGTGTGGCATACCGAAGCCGAAACGCTGGGATGTGCTGCGCCTCGGCTTGAGATTTGGTGTGTGCGCTGCTGCATTCTGCGCAGTGCTCACCGCTTTTGCTTGGGGAATCTGGGGCGAGCCGTATATCCGACATGCCCTGCTCTACCATGTGGTACGCCAGGATCACCGCCACAACTTTAGCGTGTACTTTTTGCCGACATACTTGTCCTTGGACCACAGTGCGTTATCACATCTAGCTCCCCTGGCTCCCTGGCTCAGACAAGCCGCAGAGCTTCTCAGCTTTGTCCCACAGCTTCTGACGGTCGGCTTTGCAGGCTTTGCTCTCGGCGGCAAAGACCTCGTGATGGCTTGCACCGTGCAGACAATAGTATTTGTCGCGTGGAACAAAGTGTATACTAGCCAGGTATGTTGGCACCGTCTCTTCATTGTGTAAACGGCCTTCACTAACTAGCATGGCAGTACTTTTTGTGGTATCTGTGGTTCATCCCTGTCACTGGTATCACGATGCACTTTTCATCCGCACGCCGCGTCGTGGGCCTCATCATCTTGTGGGTTGGAGCGCAGGCGCTTTGGCTATCGCAGGCATATCAACTCGAGTTTCTTGCACGGGACAGATTCGTCGCTCTGTGGCTCAGCAGTATAGCCTTGCTCCTAGTGCATGTAATATGCACGCAGCAGTGCTTGAAGGCTTGGGTGGAGTGGCGTCACCGGCAAGTAATAACCGTCACGAAAGCACAATAAGACACTACTACATACAATTCTACGTGGCACATAGTATCCAACAATCTAAGGGGGGAGAAACTAACGGCTGCCCAAATAGCGCACAGTGGTGATGTAGCCTGTAACAGCAATAACAACCATTACGGCACAAATGCCACCGAACCAGTTCAGGTTCTGTACGTTTTGACCAGGCACTTGGACGTTCATACCCCAAAGACCCGTGATCACATTCATAGGCACAATCACAGTACCGAGAGCCGTCAGCTTGCTCAGCACATCGTTGATCTGGTTGTTTGCATCAGTCATCTCTATACTGATTTGCGCGAGATAGTTGCTGTGCGAGCGAGAGAGAATCAACTCGTAATGATTCAGATTTTGCGTCATGGTAATCAGATGATCTTGGATATCGGAGAGGTACATGCCAATATCTGATTTGGGTGCAATGGACCAATACTCGTTGCAGCGCTTTGCAAGACCCTTGATGACATCGGCCTTGTTGCCCATCAACCGCAAGAGGCCCATGACCTTCTTTCGACACGTTCCAATACGCCGGAGCATGTCAGACTGCTCAGCTTCCTTCAAAATCAGCACAAGCTCGTCAATACTGTCGACCTCAAACTCAATGCTTTGAATCAAAGGTGCAAATGCATCAGTAATGTCATCAATCAGCGCATACGAGATCCAGTCAGATGTCACGTTAATATAATCCTTTAGCTGCTTGATACGCCGGCGCACATTGTGGGGGTGAGGTGTCTGCCGGAAGTGGAACGAGAGCGTGCCCTCCCTGAACACGACAATATACATGTTCAAAGGCTCCAAGTACGTCGGGCTGTAGGGATCCTGGTCAAACGAGCGGAAACACAGTAGATAATAGTTGCGAAACAGCTCGATCTTCTCGCGCGTTTCTTCCATGAGAATGTCTTCGGTCGTCAGCGGATGAATCCCGAATGTGCGTGCAAGGATCTTCATCTCCTGGTCCGTCGGGCACAGCACATCGAGCCACCACGTATTCGCTTCAGACTCCGTGGCGTCGCGCGCATGGCCCATAAGTGGAATCTGTGGTAAAGGCTGAGATCCAGCCGAAGTACCAGTTGTTCTTGGTTTCTCAGGCGGGTCGTCCGACGGCACTCCTCGGATCAGATCCTCGAACGTCTGACCTGGCCCTGGCAATTCCGACAAGAAACGAGCATGCAAGGATGTTGGGAAAGCATTCGAGTAGAATGTGAATCGATACGGCTTGTCGTGCAGCGCCCCAGGAATAGGAATGGTTGACCGAGGCGCACGAGGGATCGTTTGGGCACGAGACAAAGTCGACGGACGTGCTTCCGACCCCGGCACGCCTTGATACGATGTCTTTGCTGATCCTTGCAGCAATGGCTGGACAGATTCATTCTTGCTGTCGATGCCCGATGTTAAGGCCGACACTTCCTTGGAGTCCGGTGCACGGCCGAACGATTGCCCGCCCTCAAACATGGCAAGTTTCTTCTGGTACTTGCTGCCCCCTGCACCGGTCTCCATACCAGATGTTTGCGCACGGCGTGGACGACGGCTGTACAACATGCTATCGCCATTGGTCGCACCAGAGAACGGAAACGTCGTATATCCGAACTGTCCACCCTGTCCTGGGCGTGCGGAGCTACCAAACGACGACGCAGGCGGCCATGAACTAGCATTACCGAAGTTTTCGCGCTCTTCTTTCGCAAACTCTTCCAATATCGACAGATCAAATGTGTACGGAAATCCTGGCTTTTCTCCCTTATACTTCGATGATTCATGCTTCGAGTCAACTGCCGGCTGATCCACTTGAGTAGGTGGTGGGAAACACACATCGTCCTCCAGTGGTCGACTAGAGTCTGTTATAGTGGATTGTGCAAGATTGTTCAACCCATCAACCCGTGGTTCCCATGAAGAGGCGGCAGAGTCAATGTTCACCAGCGGTACTGGCGTATTGGACGGCGGCATGTTCTCTACCGGTTGGTTACACAGCGCTGGCGCGGGCTTCGTAGCATACGGCGAGTTCTCTGTCGGATGGTCATGCATACTCGATGTACCCTGCATCGCACGCGCAGCCAGTGGTGAATGTGGGTTGACTGATAATGAGTGCGACTGATTGCGATGATCAATAAAGTGATTTTGGCTGTCAACACTAGTGGAAGAGCCCGCATTCTGCTGGTAGAACTGTCTGGATGCTGCGGCCGCCGCGGCCACCGCATGATTCCTAGATACTTTCTGTGCTGCAGCGTGTGGCGTAGATAGTTTGGCTTCCTCGTCATCCATCCACGCAATGTCAGCATTCGCTTGGCTCATGAGACGCGCAGCATCCAAGTCTTGCTCTCGCTGCGCGTCCTCGTTAAATATGCTCTCAGCAGTCCCGCCCCAGTTCAGATCAACATCCTTCAAGGATGTTCTGCGTTTTTGCTCAGGCGGTTCGTCCTGATACCGTTGAGGAGGCAACGACATTTGAATGAATCCGAGTTCACGTCAATGGCCGCTAGTCATAAATTGTAGCTCTATGAACGAAGGGTTTTTTTCACTTTCTGCAAAATAATTTCCGTTATACCCTGATGGACGGCATCTCTGGTTCGCGGACTGGGATCGGCACTGCATATTTGGCCGACACGTTATGTGCGCAGCACGAGACACGGGCAATGGACTTGCTCGCGGTCGTTAGCACAAAATATGTGCGAGAGACGATGACTCGGCGTTATTCTGCGATGCTGCTATTTAGCTTGCAAGGTGCAATTTCGTGTCTATATTCGTGTCTCAAGCACTCGAGTGGTTCAGTTTCGGGATATGGCGTCGACATTAGATAGGACTCAAATCTTGACGATCGGGAATTTTTGAAATGTCCTCTGGATCTGTGGAGTTTAATTCACGCAAGAACATGCGCCAACATTGATATCGACGTAATTAAATAGCGCATGTTTGGAGCTTGCTTTGCGAAGGGGGGCCAATTTGTCAATTGCGTCGTATTTTGGAACAACCTCCCCACATACGCGCACATTCCTATTCACCATGCAAATCCTCTTTGCGATATTTGGTATGTTCTCGCAGCGCGCATGAGGGCACCTAACATACACTGTAGCACAATTTCTTTTGTTTTGCGCAACAGCACTGGTCATTCTTGCCAATATGGGCCAGCTCACACACAACATAGTGGCGCGTAACATCCGCATGCTATCTGCCGAATTTCAAAGCTCTATAATTGCAGAAAATGGCGTATTTAATAGCGAGTTGGCCAAAACACTGCGCGAGCCTATTGCAGAGCATCTTGGGATTCGACCTCTATACGCATGGGGTCTGTACAATTACTGCGGAGGTTCATCGGACTATGAACAACTCGAGTGCAACACATCAAAATTTGGACATCAAGTAAATATCCCACAAGCCATAAGTGACGATTTGCCAATCAGTTCTTCCAGTGGCACTGTGGCGCCGTATCAAAACCAACACGATATCGACGTGTACACACGGGCAGGCTTCTACCTTCTTTTTGTTGGCACCATTCTAGTGGGAGTAGCCTTTCTTCTTTCCTTGCTCACGATCCCACCTGCGCTTACGATCGCCTCTCTTTTGGCGTTGCTTGGCTTCGCCCTCCTTGTTTGCGGAGCCACCATGTACACATATTTTATTTCTCGGATGAAGGATCTAGCGAGCGCTGGCATCGATATTTCGTACGGCAATGCGCTGTGGATGTTTTGGGCTGCGATCGGCGCTGCTTTATTTGCCATACCTGCCTTGGTTATAGGTGCCACTGACAGGTCATCGAGGTTCGATTATTAAGGACCCGAGCCACAGCGCCTGAATCGTACCGATATCTTTCCTCACTCGGACTCACGGGAACTCCATTTGATGTGATGGTGTGAAGGGTATTAATCAGTGTACCTCCAATTATGTATAATGTTCAAATGCACGTATGGGGTCCATTGTCAAATCATTCTGCTTCATGTGTTATCTATCATAGTCATTCTTATTCCAGTACATCTAAGAGAATCGAAATAATTCACTACCTGTCCAATGCGCGATGGTCACATACAAGGACATTGGAATGAGTAAGACGCACAAGTACAACAGGCATGTGGGAAACGTAAGCCAGCTTGAGGCAATGCCTTCCCAGCCACCTAGCAAACCGTATGTACTGGCGAGCAAGCAGGCTGTGACAACACATTCTAATACAATAAACATTCGCGACGTAGGCTTTATGCTTGGCGAAACCATATTCTGATGTGATGGCTTGGCCGTGTTAGCATAGCCTTGGGCGCCACATGCAAGGTACGTCAAGTCAAATTGATGGTAGTTGGGGGATGCACATGTACTGGAATGAATTGGTAGGTGTTGTTTCAACCATGGAATGCAAAATGTCCCAATAGTGTGTCGCAAGTAGAGTTTGGCCGAGCTTTATGCTATCCCTTACAGCACTCTCAAATACTATTGGTTCCTTCTCTCCACACAGCCCGATTCCGTGACAAGTTCTACAAGGAAAGCATGTGGCAACGCCTACATATATCATGTGTGTTACTGCTCTATTACCATCCTTCTTCAGGACACTGCTTCTCGGTTGACAATGGTTCGCTTCGCATCGCTGGCTGTTTCGCTTGTCACTCTTATCGCTGCTGCTATGCCAAGCACGGCATTTGATGCTCGCAGCGACCTCAACGCGCGAATGGTTTATGACCCGAAGATTCTCTACCCGACGCACGATACTGTGTGGAAGGTGGGCGACAAGGTCAACGTGACCTGGCGTGCTGCTGACATGCCTCGCGAATTTAGGGAATACACGGGTAAGGTTATTCTTGGACACATTGAGCCTGGCTCAATGAATGAACATCTGGCGAACACGCTCGCCGAAGACTTCAAAATGGCCGATGGTAACGTGACCTTTACAGTGCCGCACGTAAAGGAACGCGATGACTACGTGGTGGTGCTGATGGGAGACTCTGGCAACCACTCACCTAAGTTTACCATCCGCTCCGCTTAATTTTTGATACAGCATGTTTCACTTACTGCAGCTGGTCTGTAGAGAAGGTTTGTGTTTTATTTTGTTTCTTGTTTTTCTTTTCTTGTAGTTGATAAAATTGGTAGAACGTTTGAACGTGCATATGCTTTTACATGATAATGGATGGATCGGCAGCTTAATTTAGCGTGGCCACTGGTCGTATAAGAAAACGCGTGTGTGGTATATACGAACGATCGACTCATTCTTTGTCCCGTGACATCGCTGGTCATGCTTGTTAGCGTGGTCAAGTTCACGACGAATGCGGCAGTGCGTAACCCGTATTCTGTCTTTAGAGTTTTAAGGCTCTATGATCGCGAAGAACGGTATATTCCACATCGAGTTGACCAAACCCTTGCTTGAGCCGCAGGTCAGTGTGGGACCTGTCGTTTCTACAGAATCCTCGAATACCATTGGCCTCTTCACTCCACATAGCCTATTTTTGCAACAGGTTCCGCACGGAGAACGAGTGGCATCTTCCGCTTGGATCAAGTGGGGTACTTCACAAACGACTTGATTCTCCAGAACACTGTTTATCGATCGGAATAGTTCGCATTGCTTCGTTGGCTATTTCGCTTGTTACTATCATCTAGGCTGCCATACCAGCCTTGTCATCTAAAGATCGTAGCGATCTCAATGCGCGGATGGTTCATAATGCCATGATTTTCTACCCGACTAAAGACACTGTTTGGAAAGTGGGCGACGAAGTCAATGTGACTTGGCGGACAGTTCATATACCGTATGGAATGAGTTAGCGCTTAGGTAGGATCTTTTTCGAATACCAAGAGAACGGCATGCTGCATGCACTCCAAGACTATAGGCTTGCCGTGAACGTTCGCCTGGGAGACGGTAACGTGACCTTTAGTGTGCCACAAGTAGAGGAACGCGATGACTATGTGATCGTGATGAATGCCTCAGGAAAGAAGTCGTGTCCGTTCACAATTCGCTCTGCTTAGTTTTTGATACAGCATTGCACACCCGCTGCAACTAGTCTAGAGGGAAGATGAACACGGTTCAATTATTTTGTTATATGAAGTATTTGATAGCAACTTATAATGCGCGCATGCTTTATGAAGAAAATTGATGACTTTGATACTAACTAAATTATGTGGCGCGATGCATGAAGAGTCGCTGAGTTGTGCGGGTCGTGTCAAGTACAGCAAGCGAGTGCGAGCATTCCGCTCTGCTATCACCCGGGCAGCAAACTATCGGCTGGAAGTTCGGCCGATACAACCGGTAATTACTCGTAGAGCCTCTATGTGTATGTGTGTAGCCCCGGTTTTTTGCATCTCCCGTTTCATCCAGATGTCGTTCCTCGCGTCTCGTTCACTCTCCTCTTCTAAGGGATTTCTCAGTGCTGGAGCCCGTGCGATTGCTCCTGCTTCAAGCCGGCTTTTTTCGCAGTCCGCTGCTGCCAAGAATGTGAACTTCGGCCTCTCTGAGGATCAACAGGCGTACCAGGACCTAGCTCGCAAGTTTACGCGTGACAATATTATTCCAGTGGCTCGTCACCACGATGAAACCATGGAATACCCATGGGATGTGATCAAGAAGGCGCACAGTGTCGGTCTTTTGAACACGCATGTGCCTGAGAAGTATGGTGGACCGGGCCTTGGTTTGATGGAGTGCTCGCTGATCACGGAAGAGCTTGCGTACGGTTGCACAGGTATTCAGACAGCTATTGAGGCCAACGGTCTTGCCGAGGCGCCTTTGATTGTGGCTGGCAACGATCAACAAATGTCCAAGTACCTTGGCCGCATGACAGAGGAGCCGCTCGTGGCTTCCTACTGTGTCACAGAGCCCGGTGCTGGCTCTGATGTCGCCAACATTTCGACGCGTGCTGAAAAACGTGGCGACAAGTGGGTCCTGAATGGTACTAAGATGTGGATCACCAACGGTGGACATGCGAACTGGTACTTTGTATTGGCCCGCACGAACCCAGAAGAGCGCCCACACAAGGCCCTCTCTGGCTTCATCGTCGATGGTGACGCGCCAGGTGTTCTCCGTGGCAAGAAGGAGATTAATATGGGCCAGCGTTGCTCGGACACACGTATGATCACGTTCGAGGACGTGGAGGTGCCTGAGGAGAACTTGCTCGGTAAGCCGGGTGACGGTTTCAAGATTGCTATGGGTGCCTTTGACATTACGCGCCCACTAGTGGCTTCAGGTGCTGTTGGTCTTGCTCAGCGTGCTCTCTACGAGGCAACTGTGTACGCAAAGGAGCGCAAGACCATGGGCAAGTCTATCATCGACCACCAGGCCGTCGCCTTCATGCTTGCTGATATGCAGATGGCCGTCGAGTCATCTCGCAACCTTGTGTGGAAGGCTTGCTGGTACAAGGACCAGGGCAAGCGCAACAGCTTCTATGCTAGTATGGCCAAGTGCCTTGCCTCGCGTGCCGCCGTATCGAATGCTGACCAGGCTGTGCAAATTTATGGTGGTTTGGGCTTTAACAGCGAAAGTGCTGTGGAGAAGCTGTACCGCGATGCTAAGATTTTCGAGCTTTATGAGGGTACCTCGCAGATCCAGCGCCTTATCATTTCGCGCCAGCTCGCTGATCTGTACAATGCTTAAGAACCTTCCGAGTATGCGTTTGCATCCGATGCATATGGAAGGTTCATCTCATAGAACTAGCTCGATAAATGCTGCCATCGTTAACACGTGTCTCATTATGCGTTAAAGTCTACCTGAGAATGAAAAAATAGAAGAGCAAGCGGTCTCTACTCTCTTGCTCTCTTTGCATGAATCCGCTCAGTCAATTTGCTGCGCAGTCGTGCCATCACTTGGTCGCGCGAACTTGTAGCTGTATCGGTCGTGACAGGTGCTTCTGAGAACAAATTCGTCTCTTTTTGTGTAGATAAAGGCGATGTGGAGTCGGGGACTTGAACTGGCGTTGGAGTCATTGACTCTGACGTTGGATGAATCAAGTTCGAGATAGATAAAGGAGAGTCGTTCGATTGAGATTCGGACGGAACACCAGTCTGATTGCGTGCGTAGTTTGGTTGTGATACATTGGCCAAGTCAGTATGTGTGGGCATAGAAGCAGCCCGATGCATATAGAAGCTGGGTCTCGCCGGCGTTGTTCCAACACGAGATAAACCTGTGTCAGCTGCAGGCGCGTTAGAGTATCTTGCTTCCGAGGATACAGGTATGTGTTGACCCAGATGGATTGGCGAATCACCGTAAATCGGTGCATTCGAAGGTGGCGGACGTGCTGAGGAAGAGGCGGATACGGGTATGGTATGTTGAGTGGACCTCATATGTGCATGACTGCGAGGGAAGAGCCAAGGCGGGTGGTGTTCATGAACCTGAGGTTTTGTAAATGAAGGACGAATGAAGGAACGATGAGAAATCGGATGTGTTCGTTGTTGCTCAGCCGCTTTATAAGAAGGGCTTGGTTCTCTGGGAGCGATAGGACAAGGCTCCCTCGGCGGTTCAAGAGCATACGGCGACCATCTGGCCCGTCTTCGCGAAGGAGAAGATTGATCCTGTAAGGATGGCTTGACATCCTTCGATGGACGGTTGTTCATTCAATGACGGCAGGGTATCAACCGACGACGTTGTCAGTTCAGCAAAGAGATACGTTTCGTGTATCAGATGTTTGAAATAGGGGCACACTCATCTCGCATTAGGGCGGCACGTTTAGCGTTACTTTAGTGTGCCCACTCAAGTCAATCACTACGAAGGTACTTAAAGTTAGGAGAAACTGTGCGTTGGGATTTGTTCCGTAACCAAGTGGAGCGTTGTCATACGACAATTTATTTTTTCAAGGCCAAATAAGATGATGGCTTGCTCATTTTCAACATGTAGAATTGATGGCGAAAGTAACCGACCCTAGTGCGTAAAAATCGAACGCGCCAATAGAAAAAGGAGCATGAATCGAGGTACAGCGGTCATGCGTCCAAACATAGTGTATTTACATGAGCACCAATCATATGGCGAGCTTGGATGAACGTTGTGTAATGAATCCCAAGTTTACGCCCCGGCATCGGAGAGAAATTGTTAGGCGGACAAGGAAATTGAGTATGTCTCAGACGACTATTTTAAACCACGACGATGAAAAGTGAGGAGACCCTACAACAAAATAATATAAAAAACTATTTACCGCGGTCATGTTTCAGAGACGACCGAATTTCATTATGCAAGCTGCGGCTATGCCAGCCACACTTGCAAATCCAATAGCAGCGGGTAGTGCCATATCACGAGGAATAATTCCAAAGAGCGGTTCGTGTGTGCCAGATGGAGACGCACGATGGTTGACCGAAGCATTCTCGGCCCTTTGCACCTGAGCATCTGCCAGCTCACGCTGGCGCCTGCGATTGGCTGCAGTGGCCGACGACGCTGTAGCGTAGTCGCCATACAGTCCGTCACGCGCCACGGCTTCGTCCCACGTCTTCCCTCCTTGAAGGACCAGAAGTACACGATCGCGGCCCTGGTGGCGCGCTACTTTGACAGAATCGCACACATCGCTGTCGCTAGTCATCAGGACAAGGTCATCATCATCATCCTTGAATGCGAGTGTGAAATCGCGCACGTCTGGTGGGTTTACTTGAGTGCCAGATGGCATGGGCGGCGTAAATATCTGCTGAGGAAGCCGACCATCTTCGTCCAGCTCCGAACGCACTGGCTCGACTGGTTCGACGATTTGTGTATTGCTTGGTTTCGCAAAAAATGGGTCGCTTGAAAGCTTGATCAATACGATTTCATGAATAATATCGAAAGAATCATACCGTGCCTGGAAGCGATGGACGCGTCCACTTGGCGTGACAAACTTGAATAGATATGTACCATCGTCTGTCTCAAAGGGTGCAGAACCTCCCAGCGCCGATCCACCTTCATGAGTGCTTTCTCCTACGGCACTTGCGCTGTCGTTGGGATGCACGTCCGAGCTAAGGTCGACGCACCCTGGCGCAGGTGGCGACATGAGCGAGTCATTTCCAATCCGCTGAGAGCCACTCATGGCACTCATGGACTCTTCGCCAAAGGCACTGCCAGTGCCTTGGCCAAAACTGTTCCAAAAGCGGTTCCACATGGGCCCTCCATCGCTCTCATCGCCACTGTTCATGCTGTTGATCTGCTCCAGCGTCGCATAAGTCAGCTTTAGTACATCCACGACGCCCACAAGCCGCGCGTCGACGTCAACAACTGGAAGGTTCAAATACCGACCATCGTGCATCTTACGCAATGCTTCTTGGATTGACAAAGACGGCGAAGCGGTGTCAGGATGTGGCGTCATGACGCGTACAACGCTGCATCGCTCAGGATCTAAGCCAGCTGCAATCACACGCAGCACCACATCTTTAGAAGTGAAAATTCCTGCAATTTTGCCTGTTGCTATGCCTCGCTCGCCCTGTGCGCCTGATGCATTCTCCATCACGCAGACAGCAGTCGTGCGATGCTGCTTCATCAAGCGAGCTGCATCTCGCACTGTTGTACGCACGCCAACGGTACACGGCATCGTTCGTGAATCTAGAATGCTCGCGAGCTCTGGCATACTCATCCGCTCACGTAGCGACTGGACATACTGCATCATAGCCTGCTGGGGTCCCCCACCCCACTCATTTTGCACACCTTCCAGCGCATGGTACAGCTTTTGAGAGGATCCATGTGCGCGTTCGAGCTTCTCCAATGCCTCGTAAAACACTTTCGCAATATCCAACAGACCTACAACATCGCCGTCTTCGTTGCAAACTGGTAGGTGACGAAATCCACGCGTCACCATCGTACTTAATGCTTCTGTTGCGGAAGTTGTGTCGCGCGTGACCATGGGTGAGACTGTCATAATTGAGCTCACGGGCGTCATGCGCGGATCGATCCCACCTGCAACGATCCTGTAGGCCAAGTCCTTAGCTGTAAAGATCCCGGCAAGATGCTCTTCGTCATCGACAACAAGTACACAATCTGTACGCTTGGCAGCACAAAGCTGACTGGCATCTGTGATGCTCATAGTTTGCGGCACTGTGAGCGCTGGCAAGGGCCGAAGTGCCGAGACGGTGCCAGCCTGGACCTGGTTCCGTCGCCGACCTGGCTGCGGCGTAGATGGCTTGCCTGTTTTACGGCTGAGTTCTGTCTCTATACGTTTTCTGATTGCCTCATCACGTCGCGACTGTCGTTTCCGTGTATCGCTGCCGTGTGGCGAGTTCCGATACGACGACGTGCTCATCCTCCTGGTGGGGAAAGGTGGGCCCAAGAGTGTTTGGACAACACGAGCGGCGTGTCGTGTCACGTGCACAATCCCTCCTTCCCAGTGAATCAATCCCTCATCCCAGCGCCAAGAAGGTCTATCTGCCCACAGACTCTTTGCGTTGACAGCTCGATTGAACAACGCCCGCAGTTGCGTAAAGAGCCGGACAAGAAATTGAGCAAGTGAGTGAGTACCAGCCGGATACAAGCATTCGTACATAAATATTCCCATTCATCTGCCTAGCAATCGAATCAACGCTCCAGGAGCACTCGCAAGATGGGTGTAGCGGAAAAAATCAAGGAAGTCGAGGCGGAAATGGCCCGAACGCAGAAAAACAAGGCCACAGAGTATCATATTGGATTGCTTCGTGCAAAGCTCGCAAAGCTGCGCATGCAGTTGCTGGAGCCTGATAAGAAAGGTGGGAAGTCTGGCGAAGGCTTTGATGTGATGAAGTCCGGGAATGCGCGTGTTGTGTTGATAGGATTTCCATCCGTGGGCAAGTCGACACTCCTTTCTTCTATTACAGAAACAGAGAGTGAGACGGCGGCATATGAATATACGACACTGACGGCCATTCCGGGGGTGTTGGAGTATGAGGGAGCGCGGATTCAGCTGCTCGATTTACCAGGTATTATTGAAGGTGCTGCACAGGGTCGCGGTCGAGGACGCCAGGTCGTGAGTGTAGCCAAGACGGCCGATCTGGTAATGATGATGCTCGATGCAACCAAATCAGCACAACAGCGGCCATTGCTGGAGAAGGAGCTCGAGGACGTCGGGATTCGTCTGAACCAGAACAAGCCGGACGTGGTACTGAAGAAAAAGTCTGGCGGTGGCATTGTTGTGACAAAGGCGATGGGTCTGACACTTACGAAGATTGACGAAAAGATGATCCGCTCTATTCTCCAAGGCTACAAGATTCATAATTGTGATGTGATGATTCGCGAAGATATCACAGTGGACCAGTTCATTGACGTGCTTTTGGGCAATCGTAAATATGTCCCCTGCTTGTACGTGTACAACAAGATCGATGGAATCAGTATGGAAGAGATGGACCGACTTGCCAACGAGCCACGCAGTGTCGTGATCAGTTGCAATTTGAATCTGAATTTGGACTATCTGATTGAGCGTCTGTGGGAGGAACTGAACCTGAACCGCATATATACCAAGAAGCGTGGGCAGCACCCGGATCTGAAAGACCCGATTGTTGTCCGTCGCGGTGCCACTATTGAGCACGTGTGTCATGGAGTGCATCGTGCTCTGGTTGACAAGTTTGCCTATGCAATGGTATATGGCAAATCCAGCAAGTTCCCATTGGCACAGAAGGTCGGTCTGAACCATCTAGTAGCCAATGACGATGTTGTTACGATCTTCACGCGCTGAGATAACATCTGAGTTGGCTGTCTTGTCTTTGCGCATGGTATGTGTGGCTATTTCGCTCACTACTGGCCTCAAGTCCGTGTTCCAAAACTCGCGAGAGATAGGCAGGCAGCAAATGTAATGTAGGGGCCATAATGAACGAGTCCATGATGCACCATCCCACACCCATCGAGTATATTTTTTCGTCCCTTTTTGCGATGCCTCCACTCCCATGGCGTTGTTTGTTCTTGTCCCTGGCACGTTTCTTCTAGGCTAACAGCAAGACAACACATGTCTAACTTGGAAAGCAGAGGGCAGCGCCCGTACAAAGCATGGTGGATTGCCGGCGTAGCTGTGCTTGTAGCAGTTGTATCTTTGATCGTTGCGCGCCGCGCGGAGTTTTCAAACCACATTGATCTGTTGCTCGATTCCATGGATGAGCCATTGAACCGGCTCAAGCAGACAGGTCTTCCGTACGGGAATATCATGCCACCCGATATCCGTGAGCAAATGGAAAAAATGTTGGGAAGTGCGCGTAAGTGGTATGAGACGCAGGACTTTAAAGTCGGGCGTGAACTTGCGAAGAAAGGAGCAGAACCACATCATCCTGTTGTGCTGCTGCCAGGGATCGTCAGCACAGGCCTCGAGTCATGGAGCACAAGTGAGGAGCAGTCGCCATTTTTCCGGAAAAGACTGTGGGGGTCGACTTCGATGATCCAGCGTGCGTTGTTCGATAAGGACCACTGGGTACGCAACTTGATGCTCGATCCGGCCACGGGTTTAGACCCTGAAGGCACTCGGGTTCGCGCCGCTCAGGGACTCGATGCTGCCAGCTATTTTGCAGCTGGCTACTGGGTATGGAGCAAGATCATTGAGAACCTTGCAGCGGTAGGCTATGACATCAACCAGCTGTACTTGGCAAGCTACGACTGGCGTCTTAGTATGTTCAACTTGGAGGAGCGTGACCGGTTCTTTTCTCGCATCATGTCACAAATTGAGTTTCATACATTAGCTTATGGAAAAAAGACTGTGCTTATCAGTCATAGCATGGGCGGAACAGTGGCACTGTATTTCCTCAAGTGGGTTGAAAGGAAGCGCGGATCGTCGTGGATCGACGAGCATCTAGAGGCGTTTGTCAATCTATCTGGCACGCTGCTTGGCGTGCCAAAGGCGATGCCTGCGCTCATGACAGGTGAAATGCGCGATACGGTCCAAGCACCGGCCATGTTGGCATACCTGTTGGAGCGTTTTTTTAGTGCACAGGAACGTGCCGAGCTATTCCGCAGCTGGGCAGGCAGTGCAAGTCTGATTCCAAAAGGCGGGAATGCCGTGTGGGGCGACGAGCATGGCGCGCCAGATGATTTGGCCAATGCGACCAAGACGCATGGGATTATGATGGAATATGCTGAGCGGCATTCGCACGGGAATGAGACACGGCCCTCTAGGAAACTGAGTGTGGATGAGGTCTACCCATGGCTTCGCATGCATAGTGACAAACACTTCCAGAAGATGCTGCACTCGAACTACTCATTCGGGATCGAGCGTGATCCAGCCGCAGATCCAGGCGAATAATGCTGATCCAACAAAGTGGACGAACCCACTGGAAGTGGCGCTTCCTTATGCGCCGAACATGAAGATATATTGCGTGTATGGATGGAATCAGCCGACGGAAAGGTCGTATTGGATGCGTGATGTCGTTCCAGAAACAGATGTCTCCTCTCCAGAACTGTTTGAATCGTCACGGTCACAAACGATGATGATGCAAAATACGTCGGTGACCTCGACGTCTGTCCCGATGAGTAGGATTGATGGCACCATGTCTGATCACGAAGCCGTCCCGTCCATTGATTCTGGCGTGCGTGTCGGCGAGGGTGATGGCACTGTCCCGCTCTTGTCTCTGGGCTCTATGTGCGCGCGCGGCTGGAAGATGGACCGATACAATCCCGCTCGCATGAGGGTTGTAACCCACGAAGTGAAGCACGATCCCGATGCTTTTGACCTGCGCGGTGGCGACTCAAGTGGCGATCACATTGACATTCTTGGTTCACATGACTTAAACGAGGCTGTTGTGAAGATTGCCACAGGTTTAGGCGACTCGGTTCCAGAGCGGATCTTTTCACCGATTCAATCGTACGCTGACAAGATCCAGTGGTGAATGGTGCGTGCGTAATCTTTTTTTTTTTTTTCCTCACAGATAGGACCGCCACATATGGAGACATGCAGGTGTGGTGGCAACTCCACTGCATTCCTATTCATAGATGTTTGTTACACCCCTGTCAATGCGAATGTCTTTCATCATTTTTGTAGGACAAAGGATATGCAAATAAAAAAAATTGGGCCCAATTTGACAAGGCGTGCGAGTGGAGCGTGAGGGAATAGATCCGTGGTAAGGAAACCATGAACCATGATGTGTCGACCTCCTTGTCATCCTCTTGCGATGCGTACGAGGTTCTAGGTATACATCCATCGGCAAATGCGAGCGAAATTCGTGCTGCGTACCTTCGACTTGCTCGTGAGCACCATCCAGATAAAGTCAGGTCGCACTCACAGGGTGGTGAACAAATGCAGCGTATTGTGCAAGCATACGAAGTACTACACGACACTGTCTCGCGTGCGTACTATGACGAGGAACGTGCGGCCAAGCAGAGACGCAATGTTCCTGTACGCATAGCAGAGACAGTACCACTTGAGTGCATGGAAGCAGTAGAGCAACCTACGATGCATTTCCAATACCCATGCCGCTGTGGACAGGCGTACGTCATTGCACCTGACGCACTCGTGCAAGAAAACGGGTACGTAGGATGCATGGGCTGCTCAGAAACGATTCATGTTGTCTGGGATGAAGACAGCGATGACGACGGCGACAGCGGGCCCGGCGAGCGCATTGAGAACGAGGGATAAACCATGAACGACGGAGGTCACGGCACGAGCAGCCACACGAGGTGGCAGGGCGGCAGTGCGGGCGGTTGCTTGCTGGGTATAAGGATCGACTACGAAAGTAATTGTTTTGTACATATCTCAAACGCCATACGCCGACGCAAGTATGGCATGTTCTCCTGAGCAAAGTTCCATGCATAATCACCCGCATACTCTTCGCGGAGCAGAGCGAGGTCCGTGGGGTCTGCTGGCCTGGTGAAAGAGGCTGCATCCAACGGCGCTGCAGGATACGGCACGGCTGGATCACGCCGACTTAGCTGCTCCAGCGTCTGTACGGCAAAGACACCACAGTCATAGCCATTCCGCTGCTGTGGCGATGTGTAGTCAGCAAAGAAATCTGTCCAGTCGCTCAGATCCAGCTCCATGTGCTTCTTGTCGCGCATTTCGTCCTGCAGGTACGCACGCAGCCGCTCAAATACCACAGGGCTCGGCATGCCCATACTGTCATAGTACTCGAAGCGACGCAGGCGCAGGTTGATGGCCGCACAGACCCAATGTGCCTGTCCGACATTGATGGGCATCAGCACCAAATCTTTCGTAAAAAGATCCACACGTCTGGACCAGCGCCTGACACCGGCATATCCACGGGTCGTGAGGTTCTGCCAGAAGAAGGAGGAAAACACATGGACGCGCCAGAAAGCGCAAGGCCCATGCTTGGCCCGAGCGTTCTCCGCATCGGCATCGTTCGATCGCTGCTGGATGAGCTGGCCGTAAAAGTTGATCACCTCATCGTTGAGCCATTTGCCCGGGCGCAGCTTGGCCATATCATGGGCCTCGACCTGTGCACCAGGCATGCTTGCAATCACGCCGCGCTGCTGGAAGGCTGTCGACACACGTCTATCGCTGTCGGGCGGTAGCGATGCTGGGAGTGGTGGGCGGCCGAGGATGCCATGCAAGCTGCGCCGCTTTTCACGAGCTTGCCGCACCGCGGTTCGACGTGCCTCAAGAGGCGCGACCGGCGGAGGCAGCTGCGCTTGAGCATGTGCTTCTCGCCGCTTCAGCAAGTCTAGTGTGCGCTGAGTGTATGCCTGTTCATCCAGGACAGGTCTTGCCATGGGCCAAGTCTGGAGTGTCTCCAGGTCCATGAGCTGCTGGACATGTACGCGTTTCTTCACGAGCGAGTGGAAATCGTCGAACGAGAGCCTTGGACCACCACGGCGCATCGCTTGATATGCTTGCCGAATCATCGATGCAATGCGTGCCTGTTGCCGTGTGTTGATGCGAGCCTCAAAGTCATCCATAGCCAGAGGCGCTTTTCGGCGCATGCTCAGCGACGAGACGGTGCGTCGGTTCTGCTTGGGCCATGCATCGATTCGTTTGGATCGGAAAAGCGTTTTGGGCAATGCACCTGCCGCATGGTTATGGAAGTACTGAGGCCGGAAGTGCGATGGGCGGGCTGGCGCAACTGGAGCGCGAGATGCGAGAAACCGGCTCAACGCATTTGATGAGCACGGATGAGAAACTAAAGTAGGAGGGGTCGATAAAGTAGGTGGACTTGAAGATGTCCTTGAAGTCGTTCGTTCGTGTGAGACAGGCCCAGGCGAGGGGGATGAATCCGAGTCGTCAATGACGATCACAGATGAGTCACTTGATGAAGCAGTGGGCGAAGGCCTTTGGTCATGAGGATGAGACTGTGAAGAGTCGGGCTCATTTCGATTGTTGTCAGAGGATCTTTCAGAATGGAGTAGGGAACCAGAGCCTTTCATGGAGCGGTCCGATGCAGAGAGGGCCGATTTGTTTATCAAGTCATCATCTTCGAGCGCCTCGTTGTATTCGACGTCATCATCATCATCATGCTCGTCGACTCCTAGACCAACATCTTGATCGTCTGAGTCGATTTCAAACTCGTCTTCTGAAAGGTGATCTTCGTTCCCGTCAAAGTCAAGCTCTTCCGCTCCGTGCTGATCGTGATCGTCGATTTCATTCTCCTCAGCTTCAGGATCATCACCATCAGCCACGCTCTCTTCTGCATCGTGGTCAACGTCATCCACCACCTCGTTCTCCTCAGCTTCAGAATCATCGCCGCTGTCAATAGGGCTCTCCATAGTTTCAAGAGCATCGCCGTCAGCGTCGCTCTGCTCGGCATCGCGGTCACTATCGTCAAGCTCGTCGTCTGCAGCTTCAGAACCATCGCTGTTGTCAGCTTCACTCTGTTCGGGATTGGGATCACTACCGTCATGCTCGTCGTCTGCAGCTTCAAGACCATCACTGCTTTCAACTTCGCTCTGTTCGGCATCATCGTCGTTGTCGTCATGTTCGCCGTCTTTAGCTTCCGAACCATCGCTGCTGCCAGCTTCACTCTGCTGGGCATCGCGATCACTGTCTTCGTTCTCGCGGTCTTCAGTTTCAGAACCACCGCTGCTGTCAGCGTTGCTCTGCTCGGCATCAACGTCGTTGTCGTCTTGCTCGTCGTTTTCAGCTTCAAGACCATCGCTGCCATCACCGTCACCGTCACTGTCACTGTCACTGTCACTATCACCCTCACTCTCACTTCCCCTCTTGCTCTCATCTCGTTTCTGTTCCTCCCTCTTATTGACACGGCCATGCTCCTCCTTAGCATTCACACTGGGGTCGTTTTGCTTGCGTTCTTTACTCACAAGGGCCTGTGCGTCCTGAAAATGTCCGGCAAGCCAGTTTGCCTCCATATTCTCTTCTTGATCACGATCCCTCTTGTCTTGAGCCCGCCCAGTTGCTTGTTCCATGCATGGATCCTCCTGGGTGTCGAATGTCGCGGTCGAGGTCGCGGGCAAATCTGGACGCGATTTCTTGCTTGGACGAAAGAACGAGACTAGTCGTTCCCACCACGCGCTCATTCGATCTGTCGTGTGATGCGTGTCTCCATGCACTTCTTCGTCTCGTGTGCGCTTTGGCATCCCAGGCACTGACCTGGGCTACCTGGCGGTGTGACGCGTCGTCGAAGCAAATCACGCTCGAGTCGATGCATTCAGGCGGCCTCACGAGTCTTTATGCATAAGATTGCGAATAAATTATTTTTGCGCCCGGCGATGAATCTTCTTTATTAGGCCACGAGGCCAATTTAGACTATGGACCAGGAGAAGCAAGGGCCATGGCAAGAGGAAGGAATCGGCGCTTTGGGCCCCATGCCTGACGACGATGCTGGCGAATCGTCGTCTCACTTTGTTGCGCATGTCGTACTTGCGGAGGATGCAGATGTCGCGGCTATGGGCTTGCTACTCGAGCAGCATCTTCAGCGCATATGTTCATTGCCTCCGCCCGAAGGCGTGAATGGGTATATTTGGGATCGTGAGCCGCCTATGGTGCTGCAAGTACCAGAGGGCACCGAAAAGGCACTCGAAGTGTCCATGCGCGTGCAAGAGTGTGTTGATGATGAATGGTTCTTGACGTATGTGCTGCGTGAGTGGACCAAGACGTATACCGATGTGTGCATCCGTGTGAACGACGAAGACGGGGAGTTTCTCTTGATCGAGGCTGCCGATGCACTGCCATCATGGGCCCAGCCAGATACGACACAGAATCGTGTGTGGATCTATCAGGCGCAACTGCATTTAATTCCGATCGATGCGTCGTCGCGGGACACGTCTCTCTCGGTATCTGAGGCTGTGCGTCTCGTTCGCGATCCACACTGCGCTACACAAGCGCCATCTCTCGTACAAGACAAGGCATTTGCACGCGTCGATGCGTATCCAGCTGCTGCATTGACGCACCATCACACGACACTCGCTTTCCTTCCGCCAAATGCTGCCAAAGTATTTGCCACATACCCGCAGAGTACCGCCGAGGCTGTGCATGCACTAGAAAGTCGCGATGCGGTCAGTGTGCGCAGTCTTCGACATCTTCCAACGCCATTGCGCGTCCAGGCATGCAACGAAGTCGACGACGACGCCGCGACGGTCCCCAAACCACCGGCGACAGATGCCGTTCTTGTGCGTGTTACGTTGACGCGACATTTGTATGCACGATTGTCGTATGATCGGTTCTTTGCACCTGCATCACTTGGACGTCGTTGGCAGCGCTTCGTCGAGCTCTATCGCTTGGCGAAGCGAGGAGAAGCTTCAATGGCTGAGAAGAATGATCTTGCTCTCTGGGGACGTTGGTGTGATACAGGCGCCAAACTAGTTGCCGGTCTCGCTATGTGGCTCGATACTCTTGGCCGGCGGCAAATGACACAGATGCAAGATGCCTTATCGTCGTCTTCGTCCAGTAGTCCAACAATGGCGCCACATCGATACGAACAGTTCATCGCTGCCTTGACAAAGTTTGGGTTCTTTGGCAACGAGCTCTGTGGAAGCGCGGCTTGGAAAGAACGAGAAGCACAAGCTGCAGCGACAGCCGCGCGTCTAGGTTCTGTTTCACCTGGGTCTGCGGAATCGTCACGATCATCATCCGGCGTATCGTATCGACAGATCCTTTCCGCCATGCAAGCACAGGATCCTGAGAAAGAGCTTTGGCAGGCTCTACCGCTTACGTCACAGAGTATCCCGTCGCTACAAATGCACGAGGATAGCGAAGCATGGTTGTCGATGGCACCCCAGGACATTGAGGCACTACTTAGTGGCAGGACACAGGATGAGGCCGAGGATGCTTCTATGGACAGGTTTCAGTCCTTCATGTCCAAGATGCAATCATTTTTGCATCGTCAAGGTGATGTTGAGGGCGCTTTATTTGACGACGACGCAAACTTCGATACCCTAGAGGATGGCGATGAAGCTGGTGCTGACGCAGATGCCAATGACTCGTCCGACTCTGAGGCGGAGCGAAAAGCCCGCATGGACGCGCTCGTCGAACCGTTAGCCCCTGGGGAATGGGGCGCAGAGTCAGCCAAGGCGCATGATGGTTCACTCGCTTCAGACGACAAGGCAGCCACCACGGTGCAGGCTCATTCCAAGTCTATGACCCATTTGCAACCTGCCCTTCATCCACGAGGTGAAAAACGAACAAACCGCCTGGCTGGACTGTCCAGGCTGGAGCGATTCGATGGCGACAGCGACTCGGACGAGGCGTCGTTGCCTGACGATGATCACGACGCGGCAGAAGACCGGGCGGAGCGGCATCGTGCTTTGGAGATGATAGATGATGACGAACCAGAAGATGATGAGGAAGATGCTCCTATTGAGCAGGACATGGGTGACTTTTTCGAGTTCACGCGACGCACACTGGGTTTATCGGATTCTCAGTACGCTGAGATTCTAGAAGAGCGACGAAATCGAGGCGCCTTCGTGCCTTCGGCAGCTTGTCCCGATACGTGGGCCGAGAAAGTCCATGACTCCAAGTCCACAGATTCGACGATGTCGGAAACTGCTGCGCTGATGCCGACGACAACGACGAAGCCATCTCTTGCGTCCCTGGACGCGGCGCTGGATGCCATGGAGCAAGAACTTCAGGAGCGGACGAGACCATCCACGTCTACGTCATCAGGACGTGCTATGCTGTCGGATCCAATGGAGGAGGATGAAGATGCGGATGATCTGAACGAAGAAGAAACTGAGTTGCTACATCATCTGTTGGCGTCTGGCATGTCGTTACCTGAGAGTCTCCAGCGTTTCGCTACCGAGCATGATGTACATAACGCGGACGTTGAAATGCTGGGTCATTTCCTCGAGAGTTTCAAGGCGCAAAACGGGCATCCTGGTCCTGTTGGTACGTTGAGTCAGCGCCTCGGTGTTGGTTCTTTGCCTCGCGACACTGATCGGGCGTGAGCACAGCCCAGTCTGGTGATATCGGGATGCAGCGCAGATCAGGGAGTGTGTAGATGCATGTATACAATCCCACCAAGCCCAAGCCACGTGGATCCTGCGGCTTATTTGTCGCTCGACGACTTGAGTATTGATTAGTAAATAGTCTGGATATCTTTGCCTCGGTTTTCTGTGAGCCTGCGGTGTTCTTGACGGTTTCTCTGTAAGCACCAAGGCGACGGGGCGGATGTGATAGCGAGGGAAGCCCCAGTCCCTTGCACAGGCCTGTTTTGCTTGTGTATGGTGTTTATAGAGAAATCCAACACTTTGGCTGGCTGTTGAATGGGCTGTGCTACGTCCACCGTAGGACGAATGTGCACATGCGCAATGTTGACTAGCTACAATGCTGAGAGAGAGAGAGAGACATTTTGAGGATTCAATGCCTGGGTCGTCCATGTGGAAATATGGCCGTCACACAGGACAAATGTTTGCATCTTGGCACATGTTAGAGCCTGTCACTTTCGATCGCTTTCGTCCATATGTCTACCTATACGTAGGAAAACTACTTCTTTTCCTTATTTTCTTCCGCCGGCTTAGGAGGCACGAGCTTGTACTCGTTGGGAGTGTACGAAACACCCTCGCCAACTTGCTCCCAAGCGGAGGCCGGCTCAAAGTTGCGGTGAGCCTGCATGAGCTGGACGGGCTCATATACAACACGCTTCTTCTCCTCGTCCCAGCGCACCTCCGTGTACCCAGTGAGAGGGAAGTCCTTGCGCAGGGGATGACCTTCAAATCCATAGTCAGTGAGGATGCGTCGCAGGTCTGGATGGCCAGCAAAGAAAATGCCATACATGTCCCAAGCCTCGCGCTCGAACCAGTCTGCACTGCGGAAAAGACTCGTGACTGTCGGGACTGGTGTCACTTCGTCAGCGTACGTCTTTACACGAATTCGAGCATTGTTCCGAATGCTGAGCAGGTGGTAGTTCACTTCAAACCGCTGAGAACGGGTTGGATAATCCGCGCCTGAAATGTCCATCAAGACCTTGAATTGTGTAAGCGTGTGGTCGCGCAGGAACGTCATCGTTGGGATCAAGCCAGCTGGCGCCACATAGAATGTCAATTCGTCTTTGTACACGCTAAACTGCTGGATGAATCGCGGGAGCACTACAAAAAGATGGTCAGCTTCCTTGTTCGCGAAAGAGAGAGAGAGAGAGAGAGAGAGAGAGAGAGAGAGAGAGAGAGAACGTATGCGTGCGCACGCAGAAACACACACACACACACACACACACACCCAGCACTCACAGTGACAGGTTTAGTGAAAACATACCTGAAAGCACCCAGCTGCCATAGTCGTGCAAGGGACCTTGCATCGACTGATACTTGTCCATGGGGTTCATATTCGCTCGCTCAAGGTAAGGCGACTTTAACATCACTTTATCGCCCTGCTCCCGCAACGCCAGCGACGTCGAAATAGTGCGCAGACATGGCACATATGCGGCTTGGCGCACGGCCGGCCTCGCGCAGCGCAGGAGCGTTCGTGCAGCAGTCGCCATTTCGAACGATCGAAAAACCGTCGGTTATCCTGCCAAATTGTAGAGATGCGTCGGTCGGGACTGGACGGTGTTTCACCCTGCCGACGAGCTCGTCCGGCCGATATGCTTAGTCATCTTATGCGCCGCACATCCAGTACGACGTCTCAGCCATTGCTCTTCATTTTTGAGGTGCGTGTGCGTGTGTGTGATCCAGCCCCAATCGATCCATCGATGGCGACAACAAGAACTGCGCTGTCATCAACGCCGCCACATGTTCAAAGCGATGCAAAAGTTCTCAACACACATGTACTTGCATACCCTGATGCATTGCCTTATTATGACACCGAGATAGACCATGTGCGTGGACTCCGCGAGACTGTGGAGCAAGCCATTGAGGAGGAAAAGCAGCAATTGCCGTACGCGCCGCAAGACCTATTGCCACCTGCCCATGTTCCCTGGTCGGATAAGCCGGCATGGACAGCCGACTGGGAGCGAGCGAAGCGCGGAGAATCGATGCATGCGATTGATACCACACGATACCAACTCCCAGCGCCCAGCGGTGGCGCGGAGGCATCTGAAGAGGCATGGGCCCATGCACTTAGGAATGCCGAGACCCAGCTGGCATACATGGAAGCACGGTAAGTTTGCGCTCTAGCATACACTAACCGCATCTTTTCAGGCTGAACAACATTGAGCTTCTGCGACGATATGGACGTATGTGTCACGTATCTAGGCGATGAACTAACGCGTGAACAGCCAATCTTTGGCGTCTTCATAACTACCAGCAGGAAGCCATGGTCGCATTCGAGATGCGTGCGAAAGAGCATACGTCTCACGAAATGGACGAGCTGAACCGGACGCGGAAAGCGACGCACTTGCACCTGGGCGACAAGATCTCGACGTACGAATCGCGATGGCGTGACTTGGTGTCGAGGAACTTGTCGATCCGAGTTGCCACTCTAACTACGCGTGCTAATATGCAAGAGATCATGCAACGCACAGAAGATATGAAACGGGAATTAGCATCCATGGACGCAGCACAGGTATAGATTCTCCATGTACAGTTATCAATGAATCAAAGCGAACGTGAACAGACGAATGGCAATAGAGGGCGAAAGGAGAGCGAATATGCATGGCAGGTCAAGAGGTGTGACCAACAAAAAAAGAGGCTGCCTCGCGTTATGAAGGCCGACATACGTGTTACGCTGCCGTGTCCTTGGGTGTTTGACGCAGCAGATCAAGGAAATGGCTCTTGCTAAGTTCCTTGACGGCCATATCTTTGCTGCCCAGAGCGTTCAATTTGCGTGACTTTTGCGTAGAGCGGGCTTTTTCAATATCACTTTCTGTGGTAGATTGCGCGGCGCGGATGGCATTGAAGAGTTTCACCACACCTCGTTGGGCCGTCTTACGCAGACGTCGTTCGTAGCCTTTGGCACCTCCTTGTTCTGTCCACGCATCTAGAGCCGCGCCTGAAAGTGGCATTTGTGTGCTATTGGAGAGTGTTCCAGGGGCTCCCCACTCACCGATCACATCCTTGATATGGGCCCGCTCTTCTCGCTCTCTTCGTTGTTCCAATGCAAGACGTGCTGCTTTGGCTCGAAGTGTCGTAGCATTCGCTGTTCGACGGATTCGTGGTGCAAGCGAGAGAATTTCATTTTGCCCTTTGGTAGCCGTTGTGGCATCACCAAGCAGCTGCTCCAGTGTTTCTCCGAATGCACCTGGGGATAGAGCGCGTCGTTTGCGTTCTGTGTGAGAAAGAGCTAGGACGTACTTTGTGTTTTGGCACTTTTTTCTTGTGAAAAATGAGTGTTGTTTTCATCACCACTTTCGACACCATTTGCGCCTTCATCATCATCATCATCATCATCATCATTGTCATCGTCATCGGCATCGTCCTCCTCTTCATCATCATCATCGTCATCATCGTCATTGTCATTGTCATTGTCATCATCGTCCATGTCGCCTTCACGGCTGTCCACAGCACGTCCTTCTCGTTCGCTCACCTTCTTCTTGCCTCCTTGTCTCTCATTCGCACTAGGATTGCCGAAACTCATCTTCCATTTTGAGCGCCCGTGCTGTTGAGGCTGCGTCGCCATTCTTTTCTGTACGCCAGGCATGGCGCGTGCCACCAAAAAACCAAGTGGGTTGAATTATTTTTTCTTTTTTCGCAGTAGGCACTTGGTCAGCCAGCCAGTCAAGCCAGCTTGCCCTCGTCAGCGAGTGGGCGGCGGCTAGGTACAGTCAGCACATCCACGTGACAGTCCCGCAACGCCAGCGGCGAACACGGACTCAGGGCACCCGTACGAGGCTTGGACCGTTACCAGCAAGAGCACTGTCGATACCATGATTCGCGCTCTGAACCTTTTCCGATCGCGTGCGACTATGGCACAGAGCATGCTGCGCTCTGGTGCCAATGTGGGCATGCAGAAGCGGTTCCTGTCGATTCACGAATACCTTTCGATGGGTCTGCTGAACAAGTACGGCATCAACACACCCAAGTTTTTCCCCGCAAAAGACAGTGATGAGGCGTACTTGTCAACGAAAAAGTTCGACGGTAAGCCTGTGGTTGTCAAGGCACAAGTGCTCGCTGGTGGCCGTGGAAAGGGCCACTTCGACAACGGACTTCAGGGCGGTGTCCATCTGGTCAAGTCGTACGTACTACATAGCCTAAAGAGAGGGCTGTTTCCACACGAACGAAACACTAACCAACATGCAGTGCTGAGGAAGCTCGTGACCTAACGGGCAAGATGGTCGGATCCAAGCTCATCACGAAGCAGACGGGTGCCGCAGGCCGTGTGTGCAACTCCGTTATGATTGCTGAGGCTCGCACACCTAAACACGAGTACTACGTTGCGATTCTGAACGACCGTGTGCGCCAGCTGCCCGTGCTGATTGCGTCGAATCAAGGCGGTATGTCGATCGAAGAAGTCGCCAAGGAGAACCCGGACGCTATTATTACGACACCTATTGACTACACAAAGGGTCTGGATATGGAGACCGCGAAGCAGGTGGCCCACAAGCTCGGATTCTCTGGCGAGCAACAAGAGAATGAGGCCGCCGACACTTTCGTGAAACTCTACAAGTTGTTCCGTGAACGTGACGCGACTCAGGTGGAAATCAACCCACTCGCCGAGAGCGAGGATGGCGCCGTGCTGTGTATGGACGCGAAGCTTGGCTTTGATGAGCATGCTGATTTCCGTCAGAAGGAAGTATTCGAGATGCGTGACCTGACGCAGGAGGACCCTAGCGAAGTGAGGGCTAGTAGGTACGGCCTGAACTTTATCAAGCTCGACGGTAACATTGGTTGTCTCGTGAACGGTGCTGGTCTCGCTATGGCGACGCTCGATCTCCTCTCGCTCAACGGCGGTAAGCCTGCGAACTTCTTGGATGTTGGTGGTGGTGCGAACGCCGAGGCTGTGAAGAAGGCATTTGAGATCGTTCTTGAGGGCGAAGGCGTGCGTGCTATCTTGGTGAACATTTTCGGTGGTATCATGCGCTGTGACGTTATTGCTGAGGGTATTATCAAGGCTACCAAGGAGATGGAACTCAAGATCCCTCTAGTGGTCCGTCTTCAGGGCACGAAGGAGCAAGAGGCGAAGGAGCTCATTCGTCAGTCTGGTCTGAAGATCCAGGCTTACAATGACTTGGACGAGGCTGCTCGCAAGGCTGTGGAAGCTGCCGCTCAGTAATGACTCTATCTCTCCCAAGGACATACTCAAATATACACACTCTCACACTTTCGAATAAGCTACACATACCGTAGGTGCTCGGGATAGATGTTTCACTTCCTCTTTACTTTTCGTTCCGAATTGTACCTATTATGTGATATATATATATATATATGTACCTGTATGAGTCGAATGCATCGGCATATCAATTTCACCAATGCGCTACATGTGCCTGAACAAGGGATTCCTTGTGCACTATTCTTTTCTTTTCTACTCGCTCATCAGGATGGCAAAGCAATGCGCATCTTGTGAGTCTCGAGACGACTTGACACATGTCAACCCAGCCAACAGAAGACATGGGGAAACACATAAGCTTGGACATGGAAGCAAGGGTCGAGGCAGGGGTAGGGTCCAGGTGTGAAATCAAGTCCGAACGGGCATCACGAAACGCGGCAAACCACCTCGCCATCGAGCTTTCGACGCATTGCCTCTTTTGCTTCGAACCATCCGTGTTTCCCACAATCAACAATGCCGATTTCCCCTGCTCGCAAGGGTGTCACAAACTTCGCTCGCCTGCCGGTCACCCAAAGCAGAAGCTCATCTTTTGACATAAACAGATGACGCGATGGCTTACTGACAAGGTTCATTCGTTCAAGCACAGGTCTATCATCATTCCGATACTTGAGATCAATCCAAAGCCGTCTTCGTACTTCAGGCGCGGCATTCCAGTCCACTGCACTTGGCCCTGCAATGGTACCGCGCGTCACGTTGTAAATAAATCCATGGTGCAATAAAATTGACATGATCGATGCATTTGCCTTCGTGTAAGGAATTGGCACCGACTTTAGCTTTGCACGCGATGCATTTTGCAATCGTACGCAAAGATCCGCATGCAACGGCATGTCGGTCGCTTCGGACAGAAAGGCGTTGATGTATTGTCCGCCATCGTCGAAGAACCTCCGCCCATTGACATCAGTCTATCACGTGACTATCCACGCCGAAACGCTACAGTCGTCACAGTCGATCCCTGCTGTCCACCCTGTTCATGTATCAGCGGAAATGTTTGTGTGTGTGTGTGGAAAAGGCACAAACATACAAATGTGAAAGAAGGCGTTGGAACAACATGCTCAATCAAAAATCCTAGATATGGTCAGCTTAGCAAGTAGGAAGTGGGCTGCATAGATGCAGGGCAGCGTGTGTTACGCACCTGCTGGCTGAAATTTGGTGGCCAATTCTTCCTGCGTGAAATTGCAACTGGTGATGAAAAAGATACCGCCGTCCTTCCTTGTTAAACGATGCACAGCTTCCACATATAAGTCCACGGGAAGTTTCCCGTGCACCAGTTGGGACGATAGTGCAATCTATGCGTTAGTGACTTGGTTTCATAACATACCGCATCATACTGCGTCAGAGCTGTTATCTTCCGTGAATATATACGTACTGTTCCTTTATCGCACACAATGTCCCATCCTTTGCCATGACTTGGACGCGCGGCGAGCTCGTCCATCTCGGGCATATTGCGCAAATCACATTCAAGGAACAAGATCTGTTCGCATCCATGCCCCCGTTTAGAACCAATTGCCTTGGATAACTCAATTGATGCTGCTGAGTAGTCAATACCACACAGTCTTGCTGGAAAAATGATATCTGGCGTCATGTTTTCTGCTTCATCCAGCTGAGCATCCATCAGGGCAAATAGTAGGTGGCCATTTCCTGTGCCTACGTCCAAAATATACTTCGCTTCTTCATCAGATTTTTCTTGCAACATGTCGACAAGATAGCGAATCATCCGTTCAACACTATCTTCGCCAAACCTAACGAAGTGTGAGTGCCTCAAGCCTCAAGTCACGTACCACACTTCGCCCTCATCTCCAATATCATTGTACGTCGCAACTTCGCGCCTTATCATGTAAGATTCCAACTCACATACTCGTAGACCTGATCCCAATGCTCTTTCGTGCCAAGCTTCGACTCCGGCAAGCTTTCCACACGCCCGTCCATTTGTATGGAAAGGTGCTTTCTCGTGTTGTTTGCTTTTCTCCACAAATGAATGAACTAGCTATGAAAGTGAGTATTATGAAATTGTTGTTCGAGTTTATTTTTTCATGCCTTGTGGTGAAACTCTGCTCGATATGCCAGTATGTCCTTGGTGCTTGTCAGGAACACGATTGGGTCGAAACGTAGACTATGGCATTTCTTGGTTGTCTTCATACTGCACGAAAAAAGGCTCACAAGTCATCTGCTTATTTTTAGGGAATTGAATCGCCCATATGACTTGGGCATCTTGGACGACCCTTCTCTAGTTTACCACATAGACTTGGTCAATACACGAGAAAAAAATTCTCATACATGTTACGCGCGCCTATGTACGGTCACAAGTAAGACATTTTACATGTATTCGCATGTCTCGAGAATACCTGCACGCTCATCCAGACACGAAAGTGGTCTCTAGAACGAGCACGGCAACTGAATCAAACTCTTTCACACGCCGGAATAAACACTAACACGATACACATTTATGCACGCATCTAAATGCCACCACTGGTATGCTTTGTTGACTCAAATCTAACATGCCATTCACTGCAACGCTATACAGTGGTTTGGCTACTTTTGGGTGCCCAATGGCAGCTAGCATTTAATGCATGCAGGTGGGGGAACCGACCTAGTGACAAAGCGCCAATCTCCTACTCCCGCAGTAGAGGGTATACATGTCCTCTCTCTGCTAGTCCTTACGTACACAAGCGGACGACACAATTTAGTGCTTCGGGCGGAAAGAGCAACCTGCACACAAGTTAGCCACACGAACAGACGCCACAAGTCGAATGTACATACCGACAGCAAGACGGGCCTTACCACCAGTTGGCTGGCTCAGAACCTGAGCGCAGCTTCCGCAAAGAACGACCGACTGAGCATGCGAAAACACAGTCGTGATGGCGAAGCATCCAGGGCACTTGACGTCCATGAAAAACGAGTCAGGGCTCTGAACCAGACGCTTGAGCTTGTGGCACCTCTGTTGCTGCTCGCGAGGCGGGTTGATAAGATCAACTGCGAGAGTCTTCGATGTCAGCTCATAAGCTCTTCAACATACCATTCTTTACACAGTCAAGAGTTAGGAGAAAAAAGCCACAGGTGGCGATCACAGTCCCCTCCCTTCCTAGCCCCCTAACATTGGGCCAATCGTAAGGACACAAGTGCCGGGTCTGAAACTGTACAGAGGATCACGTGACACACACTTCATCAGGGCTCATCATAACACGACCTCTTTTGGTGTAAATGAAGCCTAATAGGATATGGCAACACAGTTTCTGCACGGTAGTGGCCTGAATTTTTGCACCCGACTTTCTCGCGCCCAAGTGTCTCCCGACCCTTCCTCACAACCAGCAAGCACGCAAATTTGAGGTGTGTGTCGCTATCGCTCCTCTGACTTGTTGATCATTGTACTAACATAACGTCTTCAGTCATGGTTAACTTGCGTGTCCAAAGGCGTCTGGCTTCGTCGGTCCTCGGTGTGGGCAAGCGTAAGATCTGGCTTGACCCAGCTGAGCAGACTGACATCGCGAATGCTAACTCGCGTGCTAACATTCGCAAGCTGATCAAGGATGGTCAAATCATCCAGAAGCCAGTTGTGTCGCATTCGCGTGAGCGCACGCGTAACCTGCACCACGCTAAGCGTCTTGGTCGTCACACTGGTTACGGTAAGCGCAAGGGTACTGCTGAGGCCCGTTTCCCTACAAAGGTTCAATGGATGCGCCGTCAGCGTGTGTTGCGCCGCCTGCTGCGGAAGTACCGCGAGGCTGGTAAGATTGACAAGCACCTTTACCATGACCTGTACCTTAAGTCGAAGGGTAACGTGTTCAAGAACAAGCGTGTTTTGATGGAACACATTCACAAGGCTAAGGCTGAGAAGCTCCGGTCGAAGCACTTGGCAGACCAGATGGAGGCTCGCCGTCTTCGCAACAAGACCCTGCGCGAGCGCCGTGCCCAGCGGGTCGCCGAGAAGCGGGCTGCCATTCTTGCCGTCGAACACGAGGGCGAGGAGAAGCAGTAAATATCCTCTTCCTGCATTCGCACCCAAAAGACACCGCGCACAGCGACGTGACGACTCTGTTTCATTTTTTATCCAACGCTCTATTCTGTCTGCGCATTCGTTGCCAACCCGAAAAAAGACCGCGGCGCTAGGTTGTCTGGGAGAGTGGCATCTTCTTTCCAGCGCTTGTCGATGGATGATAGTAGGGACTCTCTTGAATGGTGCATATATTCGCCTGCATATATGTTCGCTTGCATGGGTCTAGTATGGTCATGATTCAGCTAGACTCGGGCTCATACGGTGTGGGTATTTTTTCATCTGTCCTTGCTTTTTTGCCTCTTTTACCAGACTCTTTAGGCTTATTGTGTTTTGTTTTGGCTCTCTGGCGTACGAGTGTATAGCTTAAAAATGCGTATTGGATTTGCTCCCACAGTTCGGATGACGAATTTCGCTCGAGTCTTGTTTCCTGTGATAGTGCTTCATAAGTGACTAGTGTCGGTAGGGTTGCGAGCGTGTTGGACCTCTATAGACGCGGGTCCGCAGCTGCCGCAGACTCAGCTTGTGCTCATTGCCGCCTGCCTGTAACATACACTGCTCATTCTACTGATTCTATTGCGTTGATGCTTGGTTTGCCGCTGCGTGTGAAGCTGCATGAGCAAACATAGCCAGTCGATTCTGAACGTAGTCCTAGAGATGTGAGTGGCAAGCGCGAAAACATACCTGGGAAACAACACTAATGGCATTTTCCAAGACATCACCCAACGCTTGTTCAACCCACTGATTTTCTTCATCCGATACAGACACTGCAAGTTAGATATGTGTTGCATCAACGTACACCACCATGCAGGCACAGCCTGGCTTTGCGTAAGATGACTGAGACGATGCTTTGGATCGACCCACCAAACAAGAAAGAATAAAGCGGATGGTGTTGCATCTATTGATAAAGAAGTTTGCTTCTGCTTTTGATGCGAGGACGACGTGAACAAATCATCCTCTTCGCCAGGCGCAAGTAAATGGTCCATGTAAGGCTGGATCCGGAGAATGGCCGGACATGCCGCTGAATCGTTTGCTTCGGATGCAAGACTTGATCTAGCTTGCTCACAAAGTCGTCGTAAAGCACCCTGTGTGTGAACAAATTACTTGGCGTGGATTTTTTTTTCCAATAAACATACCTTGGCATTCTGAAATCCTAATTCGCGTGTTTCAGCCGCGTGTATATCGTATCCATGCTCCGACTCAGCTGACTCTAGACTCGGCACAGTCGTCTTGTCTCTCGAGACAGAAATATCCAGATCAGCCTGCGAAAGGACACGCGACAAAACCTTGAAAGCAAGTGTCTCAATGCCATCGTAGCCTCTCATATCTAGAAATGTGTTTAAAGAGGCGGGTTAGTCGAACGAAACTAGCGAATCACATACCATGGCTCACAGTCACATTAACTGAATCATGTGCTTCCATGGGAAGCACCACAGTATTGACAATATCGTTCCAGCCACGACGGCCTGCTGCTGTAATATTATCGCGGATTTGCTCTAGTCCACCATCCTGTACGAATCCACGCACACGCTGCGCGAATTTATTGCCGAATTCATAAATTTGCTGCTCAGGATGCGACCCCTTGTCTACTGTAGGCGTATGTTGAACAACAGCTGCAGTGCGGCGTCCAAGTTCATCACGAGCTTGCTCTGCAAACTTCGACGCTGTTGAAAACAGACTTCCCCATCCTCCCCATCCTCCTACGTCTTTGCGGTTAGGTAATTGCGAAATTTCTGAAGTTGATGAGCTCTTCGAGGGCGAAGTTCCTGAATCATCTTGCGTGGTCGTGGAGGGGACCATTTGCGATTGAGGTGATAAATGAGATGCAGAATCTGTTGAAGCTGCGTCAGATTGGGCCGATTTGCCTTTGGTTGGGGCAGATACTGGTGACGATGATGGTGGTCCTGAACCTGTTGGAGAAGGAGAGACTGACAAAGGCGTGCTTCCGAATCTCTGTTTCGATTCAGATACTGGCATAGATTCCTGCGTTGGATTCTTTAGGGAAGGGGAAGCCAAGTTTGAGGCGGGTTTCGCAGGAGACGGCGTGCCAAGCTTGGCAGGCCGCATGGGAGATGTGTTCATACGCGTTTTGTGCGCTGGTTGCATTTGCGAAGTGATGGGTGACTTTTGCGGGGAATTCTGGTTTTGTGTATGATCTGTATCTCGTTGCATTGAGCGACGACGCTGTACGAGGCCTTCCAAATCGTCCAACAGACTCTGTGCATCGTCTGGACGGGCCGGTGATTGTCTGCGCTCAGTGGGACGAGTGTTGGAGGTAGACTTTCGAGTGATGTCTCTAGACTTCATATCGAGACTTAGATCAGCGAGAAGGGCATCCACGTCTTGCTTGCGCGTCGACGAGCTTTGAGACGTACGCGGCTCGTTTGTCATGATGGATTGGAGGTGTGGGCAATGGATGCGTAGCGTGGCCTAAACGCACAATTGCAGCACGTGATGTTAGTGTGGACGCACACTTGCGGATACTGATGGGGCGGGTGAATGTATGTGATCTGCGCCATATTGCCAAATTATGGAGGTTTCTCTCGCACCTTCTGGAGGGCAAGTCGGCTCGGGCCTAGAAAAGCTACACAAAGTACAATTTCCGAGACAACATAGTATGTCCAAGGGAGTCCGACTTGAATGAACGCATGGGGAAAACGACCAAGATCATTGTCATCTACATGGCGTGTCTCAGAAAGTTATGACATCAATGGTGCTAGACATCGAGCAGATGTTGAAGAGGACGATGACAATGGAAGTGAGTGTGAGCACCAGACGTGTTCAAGTCCCGGTTGGAGCACTGAGGAGCATGCATTGGACAACCATTCGCCTGATGTACACTCTCATGCACGAAAAAGGCGACATGTGGACCATGAAATAGGTGGACATATGTCGCACATGTCATTGAACGATTATCACCAGCCTTTATCTGAGCCTATTCGCGATGAAGATATGTCACATGGAAACACCTATGAAATTTCGCCCAATCGCATTTACGTACACACACTAGATGACGACTCGAGTGATGAGGAGGGATCGCCAAGTAACGAAAATACATGGGAAGTGCACCCTGGCGTAGTGCAGCAGCTGGGGGCGCGCATGACAGTGCCACGTTGGATCGGTTTGGCTGATGAGTCGAGACCGAGTGAATCTACGTCTCAATCGTTAGTATTGTGGCGCCCTCCTGTCTGGACGCCACCCCAGGTTGATGCGAACCAAGAGCCAATGGATATGGGAATGTAGTCAGTCGCCGTAGATAGGTAGGTATGGGCGGTTCGGAAAGTGTGGTCATTCGATAGCTTGTTTGGGATGCGCGTTTGAAAAGTGCCCTGCGTCTGGATGTTGGTTCGGATATAAGTTACACACCTCCATCCTGTTGAGGGCTGGTTTCGTAACAAGCAACCGTGTCCCGCCTGCGCCTATTGGCAGTCAAGTGGGAGGTGAGACTGGCTTTTTTCTAACAATTCAGACGACACGTCAGAGCGAGGTCCGCCAGCACAGCGCTGTATTTCTGCACTGCTGCATCAACGACTAAAATGACAGACGGTGGTATCCAGCGCCGTCAGCGCCTTGAAAATGCATATGATCAGATTGCACACAAGCTCCCGGTTCCCAGCATTGATTTCACGGTGTACACCATGGATGATGGTGAGCAGGTGTCAACATTGGATCGCGTCATCAAGGATGTACAAGCGCCAGCATTTCAGACCCCGACTCCTGAGCAGTTTTGGAGTAAGAAGGATCCTTCGAAGCCGGATGTCCAGTTTTTGAAAAATCACTTTTACAGAGAGGGGCGACTCACGCATGATCAGGCTCGGTATATTCTCACCAAAGCAACAGAGCTGCTACGTGCTGAACCAAATTTACTGGAGCTCGATGCACCTATTACTGTATGCGGTGACATTCATGGACAGTACTATGATCTTATGAAATTGTTTGAGGTTGGTGGAAATCCAGCGGACACTCGCTACTTGTTCCTAGGCGACTATGTCGACAGAGGATACTTTTCCATTGAGTGTGTTTTATATTTGTGGTCACTCAAGCTTTGGTATCCAAATTCACTATTCCTGATCCGGGGAAACCACGAGTGTCGTCACTTGACAGATTATTTTACGTTCAAACTCGAATGTACGTATGACGCATGTTATGAACTCACTGACGATTGCTAGGCAAACACAAGTATTCAGAAGAAATCTACGACTTGTGTATGGAGTCGTTCTGCGCGCTTCCACTGGGAGCTGTGATGAACAAACAGTTTTTGTGTATTCATGGAGGACTTTCTCCGGAGCTACAAACGCTTGATGATCTTCGATGTATCAATCGATTCCGCGAGCCTCCTACACATGGCCTAATTTGCGACATTCTCTGGGCAGATCCACTCGAAGAGTTTGGCCAGGAGACAACAAACGAGAGCTTTGTGCACAACCATGTTCGTGGTTGTTCTTACTTTTTCACGTATCATGCAGCTTGTCAGTTCTTGGAACGCAACAACCTTCTATCGATCATTCGTGCTCATGAGGCCCAAGACGCGGGCTATCGTATGTACCGAAAAACCAAAATCACTGGGTTCCCATCTGTTATGACCATCTTTTCTGCACCCAACTATCTCGATGTGTACAACAATAAAGCTGCAGTTCTCAAGTACGAAAACAATGTGATGAACATTCGCCAGTTCAACTGTACACCTCATCCTTATTGGTTACCGAACTTTATGGACGTTTTTACCTGGAGTCTTCCGTTTGTGGGCGAAAAAGTGACGGACATGTTGATTTCGATTCTGAACATCTGTTCCAAAGAAGAGCTCGAGGAGGAAGAAGACGACTCGTCTGTGGAATTCCGTGGGCGGTATACAACTCCAGCCTCCTCGTCAGCTATCGCATCATCATCACGGCCTGGCGGCAATATTATGGATGACTCGTCAGGTTCTGACGAGTATGCCGAGCGCCGCACTGTGATCAAAAACAAGATTCTCGCGGTTGGTCGCATGTCTCGCGTTTTTCATGTACTTCGTGAAGAGGCTGAGCGTGTATCGGAGCTCAAGATTGCTTCCGGTACTGGCAAACTCCCTTACGGCACGCTGGCGCTTGGCTCTGAGGGCATCAAAGAAGCTATTCACAACTTTGACGAGGCGCGGAAAGTCGATATTGAGAACGAGCGCATGCCACCTTCACTTGTGGATGCACGTGATATGCCCGACCAACCTCTCACACCTATGCCAGCACTTGCGAATACGTTACCATCCAATATATCTGCACCTATTACCTCGCCCGAGGCACGTATGCCCTCAACACACCGACGCTCTCATTCGCGCACAAGCTCTTTAGGAACGACAATGTCAAGTCCATCGAACCGCCGACGATCAATTGAATCTACAGTGAGCATGATCCGTGAGGCATTGGAAGGTGGCTCCGGTGCAGGGCATCGCAGCAGTGCCCCATCTTCTCCCAATTCATCGCGTTCGCGCGAGCGTCGCTAATCTGCTTGTACAGTCAATAAGCCCAACAATCTCTACCTATCTCTATACACAAGATAGATAAAAAAACACGTCTCGCCTTTCGATAAAATGACGCAGTGGTATGGAAGCTTGTCAACACTTGGTTTGGAGTCTGTCGTTCGTACCCGCCTACACCAAGGAAGTGTGACGGGTACGAATTCGCGTCTGTTGCTAGTGTCGTGAGTGGGAGGCCACGTGCACAGATGCCTCCACTGTTCGTGGGCCACGCGTCCCTTAGGCTCGTCGTCGATACCTTCACCGTAAAAGCATAGCATCCATTCACACCTGTTTATCTCTGTGCCATTGCCGAGATGCCGGTGGGACACCAGTTTAGTCCTTACACATCGAATGGTGGTTCTATCATGGCTATACATGGTGACGACTATTGCGTGATTGCTGGCGACACGCGCCAAAGCGAGGGATACAACATTCAGACACGATACAAGCCTAAAGTATTTCGTTTGTATGTACAGCGGTTGTGCTAACACAAATTCAGAACCGACAAAGCCACTCTAGCAACAAACGGATTTGCTGCAGATGCTGAGGCGCTTGTTGCACGAGTAAAGACACGTCTTGAGATGTATCAACATACTCACGGTCGGTCCATGCCATTACATGCGATAGCTCGGATGCTATCGACCATTCTGTACAGTAAGCGCTTCTTTCCCTACTACGTTTACAATATTCTTGGCGGCATTGATGAAGAAGGTCGAGGCGCTGTGTATGGGTATGATCCTGTGGGAAGTTACGAGCGCATCGTATGCTGTGCGAGTGGGGCAGCACAAGGTCTGCTCCAGCCTTTCTTGGACAACCAAGTGATGTTTAAAAACCTAAACTCAACGGCTGAGACAAAGATTCCAGAGCCAGGGCATCTACCATTACAGCATGCCTTGCGGATTGTGATGGATTCATTCACGTCTGCCACTGAGCGACATATCGAGGTGGGCGATGGTCTTGAAGTGTTTGTGGTGCGATCGCTTCAACCGAAAGCTGGCTCATCTTCGTGTGCAGCTGAAGTGCCCCTTGAGCAGCATGGTGCTGTAGATGCCCTGGGTGGTGAGGACGCGTTCCAACCTGGCGCTTGCATGGTGATTCGACGTGAACTCAAGAAAGACTGATTTAGGTCGAATCTCGATGACGCTCAGCTTTATGCAACAGGGCTATTCTAACTACGAAAACGACGTGTAGGAAGCACTTTTGATAGGTCTTATACGCTCCCTTCTGTCTGTGACACAGCCAGAGGTTGGTTTGTTGTGTTTACACATCCTGCTGTCTCGACGGGGGGCTCTTACTGTCGCTATATCGTAGGAGACGCATGGAACACGTTGGCGAAGTCGATCAGACAAGCTCGGCCGAACATTTCATGTATTCGTAAGAGAGTTCTTGATTATGCGTGCGTGCAATGGATGTATGGATGTGGATGGGTGTACGTGTCTTGGGTGGTCAAAGGCGTTTTGAGTTACGTGGACTAACACGAGCCCCACTCACGTTTCTCTATATTTGCCATGTCTAGCACAAATGGAACGGGCGCTAGCGTGACTTTGAATATCAAGGGTCCCAGTGCACTGAAGCTCTCCATATCTATTAGCACGGAAAACACGGTGCTGCAACTGAAGCAACGTATCGAGACTGAGAACAAAGACTTTCCTGCAGAAAGGTGCGTGCATGTGGAAATGGCTTACACTCCCAGTCAGCGTTTGATTTATAGTGGCAAGGTCTTGAAAGATCCGGAGACGCTGGAATCGTACAATGTCAAAGACAATCGTATGTCCTTTACTATGAATCCCTCAAACTTACATCGCACAGATACGATTCACATGGTTCGCGCTGCCATCAAGTCGTCTGGACCGTCGAATACAATGCCAGCCTCGTCGACATCTTCGAAAGAGTCTGCTACTCGTGCTGCAGAGTCGCAAGGTGTACCTGCTGGTTTCTCCGCTGGTCAGCAATTTATGAACAACCCTCTCTCGGCGTTGAATCGAGCTGATTATGCTGGTCCCCATATGGCCAGTTTGCTGAATGAAGCAGGCGGCATGTTTGGCAACTTTGGTGGGATGAACCCGCGTGATCCTAATGTTATGATGGGAATGATGCAGAACCCAGAGTTCCTTCAACATATGCGAGACATGCTTTCGCGGCCTGAGGTGATTGATCAAATTATCGCAAGCAACCCTCAAATGCAGGCCATGGGTCCGCAAGTACGGGAAATGATGCGTTCAGAGTACTTCCGTGACATGATCACAAATCCCGAGACGATTCAACGCATGACGCAGCTATCACAGATTCTTGGCGGTGGCGGCGGCGCTGGTTTAGGCGGTGCTGCGCCTACGTGGCCGCCGCCTGGTGCGTTTGGAGCACCAACGAGTCAACCGAGTGCTGGTACTGATCAAAATTCTTCGACATCTACAACAGCGACAAATGCCGCCAATGCTGGAAATCCTTTAGCAAGTCTAGCCCAACTTCAACAAATGCTAGGTGGCGTCGGAGGTGCAGGCACAGATCCTGCATCAATGAACCCGCTTGCTGCGTTGGCAAGTCTTGGTGGTGCAGGTACACAGGCGCCGACTGACTCGCGACCACCGGAAGAACGATACGCGACACAACTTGAGCAACTACAGAACATGGGCTTTTTCGACGCACGCGCAAATTTGCGAGCTCTTCTCATGAGTGGTGGGAGTGTAGAAGCTGCCCTTTCGATTCTGTTGGATTGAATGAGGTTTCATGGCTTGTATATTGGTGAAGACAGAAGACAACAAGAGAGAGAGAGAGAGAGAGAGAGAGTAGAAAAAACAGTGAAGAATGTAAAGGTGGTAGAATTTCGACTCTGCAGGACAAATGGAATACCTCCCGATCTATTACACTGACGGAGCCATCTATCGAAACTCATGTCTATGCCTATTGGCAAGCGCCTGCTATGGTGCGGAATGGCGCAGCTTCTGAACCGAACGCAACGAGCGGGCACACCGAATGCAATCTACATATTGGAAGCACCCGCTTCATGATGAAAGTACTAGCTGACATAGATACATCCTGCTCACATATAGCACGAGCCATCCCGGTGCACCTGAACCCAGGTCCTAGTGCGTGTTCTGAAGAAAGCAACGTAATTATCATTCAAATTGAGTGGCATGAGGTCCAACATCTACGGACAGATGTGTTCATCAAAGTCAACGGAACCAAGTGCGCACCGACGCATGTGTGCATCGATAGCTTACTACTCAAAGCTTGGACGCAGCTCTGAGTCAATCGTGAGGACAATCTTGTTACCAGACCATCGGGCCTTCACCTTTGTGAGGTTGTCGACCACAAAGTCGGCACCTTGACGCCACAGACGCTCGGCATCGTGTGTGGTCTTGACAGCCAAGACACGAGCACCAGCACGCTTGCCGCTAAGCACACCCGCAGGAGCATCCTCAACGACAAAGCAGTTTGTAATGTTCACGTGGTTGAGTTCAGCACCCTTAGCATATGGCTGCGGGTCAGGCTTGCCCTTCGATACGTCGTCAGCTGAGACAAACACCTTCGGCAGCTCGGAAGACTTTGTGGACAGGAATGCGCGGCGGGCATAGTCACCCGTTGCACTTGTAACGATGGCCCAGCCAGGGTTGCGCTGGGGGTCCTGCTTCGGACCCTCGTTAAGTTGCGACAAAAGATCTTTCACGCCCGGCAGGCCAACAATGCTGCCTTGTGGATCGTCTGCCGTGGGCTCTTTTGTGGCCTTGGCACGGTTCTCGTCTGACAATTCAATGATACGCTGCTCGAATCGCAAAGCCTCTGACTGCGCCTGCTCTGGCGAGAGCTGTGGAAGACGCTCTTGAAGATTCTCGACTGTGCGTTTTCCATGTGAGTTCTTCAAGAGGTCATCCAAATCCATGTCGTACTGTTGGCAGAACTCGCCCCACACAGCACTTAGCGCTGGCGTCGAGCTGACTAGGGTCTGTTGTATTAGCTCGTCGAGATCCTCCTGAACATCAGTATACGTACGCCATCCATGTCAAACAAGAGGGTGTCGGTTTCTACTTCGTACGTCGGCATGTTGTTTCGTGGTAGCTGTGATAGAAGTAGATATGGGGATGAACCGGGCTTGGTACGGACAGCTTTAAATGCTGTGGAGTTTCATCTGCGCTTGCTCGTACTGTAGAGGACCGAGTGCCTGTCTGTGCCGTGATTCATGCAGACCCACATGTACATAGGGAGAATCGATGCTAGCCATGCGACCATTAGCTAAGCGATGGTGCATTGTGAGCGGGGGCGCCCGGATCGCTCCGCTTCACAAATACCAGATTGACTTCCTCATTGGCTCAAGATCTGGACGCGCGCATTGTTGGCCTCCCCGCGACTTTGTTGGTAAATGAACAGCACATGATTGGATCAATTCGTGACGACAAACCATCGGCAGCATGTGTCATATGTGCATCTGGTTTAATTCCTGCCACTAGTTGGTTGCGTGTGATGTGTTCCTGGCATTAGGGAACCTAAATCAAATCTATTTTCATCAAGTATTACGCCCTTAAGAGGAAGGCGGGGCCACATGTGCCGGGACTTGCTCGGAGTCGATTGTCAAAAGTAGCCGGTCCCCTTGCCACTCGGCCTTTACGTAGCTCAAGTCTGGCACGACCCAGTCGGCCCCTTGGTCCCACATGCGTTGGCCATCGTGAGTGGTGCGGAGACCAAGCACTCGTGCACCTGCGCGCTTTCCGCTCAGGACGCCAGGTGGTGCATCTTCGACCACGATGCATTTCGAAATGTCTGCGCGACTCAGTTCTGCCCCCTTTCGATAGGGCTCAGGGTCTGGTTTCCCTTGAGTGCACACGTCAGATGTAATAAACGTGTCTGGTGGTGGCGACACGTCACTGGCTTGGAATGCTTTTTGTGCATAGGCGCTTGTCGCTAGTAAGTAATAGGGCTCGTGTCAGTACGACTCTATACTTGTTGAGAGAAAAGCCAAGGGGCGAACGCACATGTACCTTACATGCACGAGCAAAACGTACCGCTTGTGACAATTGCCCAGCCTGAGCGCCGCCGGGGATTCGCCTCACGACCTTGCTGGATCTGTGCGAGGAGCTCACGGGCACCAGGCATGGCAATGATCGTGCCATCGGTCTGGCCAGTGGATTTAGATCGCTCAAGATTTTCTCTCGCAATGTCTAGAATCCGACTTTCGAAACGTACCACCTCTTTCATAAGTGCGTCATCTTCGAGAGTCGGGATGTATCGCTTGAGATTCTCGACAGTGCGGTGTCCGTGAGAATAGTGAAGCTTTTGTAAGTTCAGAGTTTTGCCACATACCACATAGTCAATGTCCAAATTGTACTCGTTAGCAAACTCGGCCCACGTTGCATTTAATGCAGGTGTTGAGTCAATCAATGTGCCATCCATGTCGAACAGGATCGTGTCGACCTCTACTTGCACTTTCATTTGGTGCAAACTTTAAGGAGTAACAGAATAAAAAAGCGGTAATAAATGAGCTGTCAGGGAATGACAGCACTATCAGAGTGTCGCGTTGCAACAGGAACAAGGGGCGGGAGTTGAAGCTTGAGCCTGGCAAAGGGGAAGATGGACTTTAAATCGCTTACGAGTCGACAAAAGATGATACACATGTGGAGACCGCAACAGTTGATCCCATCGCCTCGTGTCGCTCCACACTCGTCTCGGCACACTTGTGCGTCTATTCATGTCTAAAACTACAAGCATTACGTATCGAAACAACCAGTGCCGATTCCTGAGTTGGGTGCGAGTGACGGATCTCGGAAATAAAAGTTGCATATATCAGTCTGCACTCGAAAGTGGTGAACCAAGTACGAATAAACATAGTGAGGAAAACAGCGAGGAACGAGCTTGCATTATTCTAGAGATCATGCCCCCCCCCTTTCCCCTCCCCATCCCACATGCAAACGCCAGAAATCACGACAGAAGTTGGTCCAAACTTTCATAAATCAAATGTTATAGAGACAGGACCAACTTGGTTTGAAGTAAAATAAGGCCATATTCTGCGCTAAGTATCCGTTCATACCCACCAAGGATGCTATGGCAAGCTTAGGCATGGACTGGGCGGTATAACACGGTCGTGATATATTTGTTCTTGTAGCGAGTAACAGTCCCCATCGCAAGGACACCATTCTTAATTGCACCAGTAGCGAGATGGTTCAGAACCGCATGATTCGGTGCTGGCAGTACACTGTTGTCGTCGACAAGTGCGGCATTTGTGTTGATGGGAACCTGGTTATGAGCCACGCCTGCATTCAGGATGACCTTTTCGAGCTGGCGCGGAAGTTGTGGTGGCCTCGGCAGAAGCGATGAATCGTCTCCTGGTTCGAAATCATCACGCTCCAGGATGTTCTCCTCTGCCTCCTGCGCGAGTTCAATACATGCTGGCACTTCACGCGTCCATGTGGTTTCTGATTGGCCTGGGAAGTCGTCGTTCAGCTCGTCCCATTCACCACGGGGTGAGGCGTGCGCGGATGTTAGCACAGCCATTGCACGTTTCCACGTTTCGTCCCGCACGACATTTCCTCGGGTCATATGATCGCGCGAGTCATTCATCAGATTCGGGATTTCAACGTAATTGACGAGTGTTCCGTCGCCGTCCGTCGCGGTGTCAAGATCAGAGGATACGCGCCATCGATCATCTACGACAAACTTGAGCCGATGCGTGCCTGGCGGCAAGTAGACCGTGCACAGGAATGGTGTGTGGGGGCGAAGTTGCTTGAGAGGGATTTTGCTCTGCCATTCATCAGCAAAGGTGCCTGTGACGAAGACATGTTTCCCACGTCCGCGCCAGATTAGATTCACAGGTGTGTGCGGAACATCTGGCAAGTTTGGTGTGATGGGTGACGCAGGCGCCGGCTTCTCAATGGACACAGGAATATCTGCGGATGAATCAGATACCAGCTCCAACGAAGGTGGTTCTTTGCCCATCGCATGAAGGCGATGGGGCGCAGTTTGCGTCCGGGGAAGGCACAAGGATGAACCTGAATGGCTTTTGGGATCAGGCGACGACCACGGGTGCTCACGAGCATGATCATCAGCATCACTACGCACATGGGCGTGGTCGAGCCTGCGTTGATGCTGGGGAGTTGATACATAGCTGCTGTGTCGAGACGTCTTGCGTCTAATATCAGGATCTAGGACCATTTTGGATGTTGTGAACGAACGAGGGATGGTAGTGGGGATTTTCAGATAGGATGGTAGTGATGAGAGCTTTGTCTTGACAGGTCGTCGACTAGCAGCTTCATCATCGCTATCGGGCTCTTTTGATTCCGTGCGCATTGTATTTTCGGCTTGTAGTTGATCTTCTTCGCCGAATAGCAATGATTGAGGGCGAAGGCGTCGCTGCTCCTTATCGTCACTCTGGTCTGGGCGTGGCGTCAGAGTCATATTGGCACTTTCATGGGTCGTTGTAGGTGCACGAGGTGTCTGTACATCGGGCGTAGAAAGTGGGACATGTGAGCTTTGATCTGTGTTGATTTCAAGATTACGTCCTGCAGCGCGACGCACAAAGATCTCACTCCTTTCGTGGGACAAGTCCTGTGACGCCGCGTCGCTGCCTGAGAAAGACGCCGAGCTATCGACATCTGAGGAGTCCTTGGAGGAGGGATCGGCCAAACTTGAATCACTGCCACCATAACGGGCGAATGCTGATCCCGCAACGATAGGTTTCCGCTCATGGTTGGCATCAAGGGGCGCAGTATCTGACTTGGATGCTTTTTGTGCAAGTCCTGGTGAGGCGCCAAGACTTAGTGTGTGTGAGTACAGGTGCCCGGGTCGATATGTGGTGACGATAGCTTCATTCTCTTGATTCGATTGTGTAGTGTCGGGACAAGCAACCGTACTCGCCACAGCGCTGCCACCCTCACGATAGTGCGCGGACTGCGAATTGCCCATAGTGAAACAAAGCTGTGCGAACGAACGCGAAAATCGGGGTCCGACGAACTAGGCCGGAAGTGCTGTGGGAAAAAGGAATAAGAATGTTTGGTTTCAGGTACAGCTTTGCTTATGGAGTGCGGTGCTCGAGTGTTTTGGTTAGTTTCTGCTCGCACTCGAATAATGATGGAGGCCAAACCAGCTGTTGCACAATGCCACACGGCGAAATGTTGGACCCGGGTGGATTTGATTTTAGGCTTCTGTGCTGTGCCCCAAACCTAAATTTGTCATCTCAGAAGCAAGAACGAGTTCCTGGCTCGTCGCCAGCGGCAAGTGGAGGCGCAAATCTCTCTCTCTCTCCATGCACATCTGCTACGTGCTGAAACCATTCATTACGTGGCAGACTTGGCAAGGGTGCGTGTTGCTGCAAACGAGTGTGCGACTTCCATGAAAGTGCATGTAAAAACTTGGCACCCCGTTGGATACTGGCGTGAGTTTTCTTTCGATGTTGTGTGCACTAATACGTGCTCCAGACTGGAATGTGCGTGATCCTGACGATGTGTGTGGAATATGCCAAAACTATTTTGATGGTGTCTGTGGCGCATGCCGTGATCCTGGCGATGCGTGTCCTTTAGGTATGTCCTATGCAGTCACTATCTCTTATAATTTAGCTATTGGCCAATGCACACATGAATTCCATCTACATTGCATTACCAAGTGGCTTTCAGAGAAGCATGAGCCATTATGTCCATTATGCAAAAGACCTTGGGGTGTGTATTTTTTTTTCTTGCAACAACTTTGTTTCTAATAGCTTTTTTTTGCAGTTCAAATCGGCCCTACTTCAGAGGCACCTATTGCGAAGAGTCCATAGATGATACCCATGAAAGATGAAACGAATACGACTCTAGATCAATCGGCGTAGGTCAACGCTGTTACCTTGTGCTCCTAATTTGTCTTCCCAGTCGTATGCATCTATCTATTACACTGTAAAGAAAATCATGATACACGCGCTCATGCATGGTGAGGCATCAACACCAGTGCCCGGCGCTATTTGGGTGTGATGTCTCGCACAGGCTCCTTGCCAATAGTGCGACGCGCGAAGACATTGCCACGTGGGTGTTGGGCGCGAGCCCCATGTGGACACTATTGCGGTGTTGTTGCTGACGTTGTCAAGGCGCTTGGTTTCTGGCTTCACAGTTAAGTTGCATGCCACCCACGCGAACGGCGACTGCTCGACGCACTCTTCATACGCCTTCGCAAGGCGCTTCAACTCCTGGTCGTACACGCTTGCAAGTGCGGCGTGCGCGGCTAGCTCGGCCCACGGATGAGGATCGTTCTTCCACGCCTCGGCGCGTTTCTGTGCCGCGCTCCGCTGCTGCTGCTCACATGCACGATCTGTGTGCACTTGAAACACAAAGAATGCAAGCGAAACAAGAGCAAGAACGCTCCATACAGGAAGAGAGACTCCAACGTGCGCGCACTGTAGATGAACAGCTGATGGAAGAGCGACGCGTCGCAAAGGAGAATCGTCCGCCACCCAGCTCGTGGCACACGTACCAGGACTATGAAATGAAACTGCTATGTGCAGAATACGAACAGACTGTGAGTCAGCTACGTGCTGAGCTGGAAGACCGCGATACTGAGCTCGCTCGCCTGCGCCTGGCGGCCGATCAGCATCACCAAGCCGAGTCGCAACTTACCACGTCAGTGCACGAGTGGAAAACGCGCGTCGCGCAATTGGAAGAACAGCTTCACTCACGCGATGATCGCACGCATGAGTTACGAAGGGAAGCTGATGAAGCTCGTGCACTTGTACGTAATCTCGAGATGCGTCTGATAGACGCTGATGCTCTTCGGCGACGGCTGCATAATCAAGTCCAGGAGCTGCGTGGGAATGTGCGCGTATATGCGCGAATACGTCCATCATTGCAGGATGGGGCTGTGGCAGAATGGCATTTCCCGGATGCTGCTATGCTGGCGACGCAAATGGAAGTGCGTGTACCGACAGAAAGTGCAACAGGCACGGCCTCTGTCAAGACACATGCCTTCACGTTCGATCACGTATTTCCGCCAGCGAGTACACAGGCAGATGTCTTTGCTGAAGTGGCAGATTTGCTTCAGAGTGTGCTTGATGGATACCATACTACCATCTTTGCATATGGACAGACTGGCTCTGGCAAGACACACACACTTGAAGGCGGCGCGGGGATCGACTGGGATCATCAGCATGCAGGCATGAACGATGACCCAAATGTAGGCCTGATTCCTCGTGCTATGCATATGCTATGGCGCGTTGCAGAAGCGCAACGGATTCATGGATGGTCCTATACATTCGAGGCATCCATGGTGGAAGTGTATTTGGATCAAGTGTCCGATTTACTTGGCGATGAGCCGGGAAAGGGAAAGGGAAGGGCGCATGGCAAAGACAAGTGCGAGATCAAGCATCTGCCAACACACACACACATCGAGCATGCAGTCGTGGCGCCAATGACACGCCCGAATGACGTGTACGCTTTGCTTGCCCAAGCAAAGAAACGGCGGCAAGTCGCTGCGACGCTTATGAACGAGCGGTCCAGCCGAAGTCACAGCGTGTTCGCGCTGCGAGTGTGTGGCGAGCACGCAAGTGGCACTAAGACCGATGCGACGCTGAATCTCGTGGACTTGGCTGGCTCTGAGCGACTTGCATCGAGCGGGTCGGCCAACGACGCTCAACGACTCAGGGAGGCACAAAGTATCAATCGGTCGCTAAGTTGCCTTGCCGACGTGATCTCAGCTCTGGCATCAAATGCCAAGCATGTGCCCGTACCCGGAACTCGACACTTACATGGCTCACTAAAGCCATCTCTAAGTCGCGGTGCTAAGACGTACGTATTGCACGATGGCATGCGAGTCTTTTTTTTTTTTCTCCTATGCCAGACAAACTACCATTCACTCCCATACTTACACACGAGCAGACTCATGTTACTTGCGTTGTCCCCATTGGAAGCGCATCTGTCAGAAACACTGTGTTCTCTGCGCTTTGCAACACAGGTCCATGGCACGCATCTTGGTCCTCATACGCGAACGCCTACGGCACGGCGCTCTTAGGCGTGTGATTCGTTGTTGGTCTCCGAGCTGCTGGAGCCCAGTTTCGCCTTAAGAGCAGCGATCTTTTCCTCCGCCTTGCGGATGTTTTCCTGCGTCTGGTGTGGCTGGTTCGATACAAAGTACTCCCGCTTCAGTTTAATATTGTCCACGACACGACCGAGGTCCGCATGGCTCGTGGGCGGTGGGATGCTCAGGTTCAGCAAAGCCGACAGCATACCAAACGGCACATTCAGCGCGCTGTGGTCACCATCACCGGCAGCGCCCGCTGAAGCATTCGTTGTTGAAGACGTTGCTGCAGAGGCTGCACCCGACTTCTTGCCTTTGCCCTTCTTCTTCCCCGTGCCGATGCCAGCAAAGTAGTCATCTTCATCGCCCTTCTTGCGTGCGACCACGGCGCCTTCCGGTACAGCAGCATCTGGCTTCGGCACCGACGGCAGTGATGGCAGGCCCTCGGAACGTGTCGGTGCGACGGTTTCGTCTTTCTTCTGCTCCTCGGTCGACGTGCCGCTGAAGAAACGGATTAGCACATCACAGTCTTCAATCTCCTTCGAAAAGGCTGGGATGGCAGCATCATCTCGAAGCTGCTGCACTTCCGCCTGTTGGCGCGCATGTTCCGCTTCTTCACGCTCCTTGCGGATCGCCTCTTGCCGGCGCTCGCGCTCTGCTTGTACTCGAGCAAAGTACTTGTCGTTCTCGTGGTGGTACGCACTCAGACGATCACGACGCGCTTGGTACAACTCGTCTAGACGCTTTGAAAGAGCCGTGCGCTGCGACATGAGTTTGCTACGGCTGCCGACAGTCTTTTCCTGCTCCTTCGTGATATCATCCAGCTCTTGCTTAATAGCTTCGTAGCGCTTGTTCGCAGCGGCCATGTCTGGGTCATCCAGCAAGCTACGCAGCTCATCAATCTTCGCACGCAGTGTGTCAATCTCCTTTTGCTGGGCGCCAAATTGCTCGACAGACTTGCGAGACTTTTTCAGCGTTGACACTTCGTTCAGAGCTTTGCGCTCTTCAACAATTTTCATGGAGCCAGACTCAATCTGAGCCTCAATCTGGCTAATCTGGGCATCCAACTCAGCCGTCGACTTGAATGGCGCCTTAGACTTTGCTTGCTGCAAAGCCTTGACCTTGTTGGAGATGTCGTCTTGCACCTGCTTCAGCTCGTCAAACACTTTACCACGCGTGCCCTTACGGCCTGCTTGCTCGGACCGGAGCGAGTTGAGCTCTTCCTTCAGAGCAGCACGTCGCCTGCCAGCCGGCGTGTCGTTTGTTGACTCTCCCGACAACGCAGCACGAATCTGCGCAATCTTGGCGTGCGTTTGATCAATTTCCTTCTTCAGCCGCTCGATCTCGCCATTGTGGTGTTTCTGATCAGGGCGTCCACCAGGCTGTTTCACAATATGCACGGCCGACACGCCCGATGCAAGCGTGTCGGCGGGGGCGGGGGCGGCAGCGGCAGCATCAGGAGCTGTGCCACTCCTTGGGGTCGTCTTTTGCGTGTCAACCATCTTGCTGATCCGAATCAATCCGTAAGTACAGAAGCAAGAAACAGAAAAAGATATAACCTAGTAGTTACGCGTCCCACACTTGCACTCGTCTGTTCGTTCCTTGCCAACGCTCTCTCGCCGTAGTAGCACAACCGACGCTTAATTGGCAAAACGACCGAAACTCTCCAGTCTGCTTCGCTGTCCGTCACGAGCGACCCTGTCGTTCTTCTACATCTAGGGGAAGGAAGGGGAAGGTACATCACGTGATATCTACGTGGCGCTCAGCGCAATACTAGAGAGGACGTCCACATGAAGGTTCGTGACTACAATGCGCGTCACGCCGACGGCCAAACACCACCGATGTCTACGCGTGCTCCGGCGGCATGTGGGGTACTGCGTGTGACGTGGAAGGTGGTCGAGACTCGCTGCGCGCATGTGTGTGCATTTGAGCTTGGGCATGTCGCAAGGCACGTTTCGACTGCATTTCGTGCCATTCGCCATCGAGTGTGGCTAAAAGCCTGGGAATGTTGGTTAATACAGCGGTCGACATCACATTTCATAGACACGTACTGAGCAGGTTTTTCAGGCACAGGTGCCTCAGTAGTAAAGTAGGCGCATCCTAAAGCATCATTTGCACTCCATCGCTGGTCCGGGTCGTACGTCAGGAGACCACGTGCCAATTCCATGGCGCCATGAGAAAGAACGGAGCCAAACTGTTGCACAAATACATCGCGGTCGTGATCCGTTGGGGTATCGTTGGTGTTTGTTAGCGCTGTCGCTACAGGTGCGCTTGTCGTGTCGGCATGATTGCTGTCTTCCAGGCGCATCAGCTCGTACCAAGGGAGATGTTGTAAACTAGGCCACGCACTCGCTGTCAATGGTCCCAGAGTCTGCGTGATTACATGGAGCTGATGAATCTCGTCGCGCCCTTGAAAAACAGCTTGACGACGAAACAGCTCGAGAAATAGGCATCCGGCGCCCCAAGCATCCACTTCTGCTCCATATCGCGTCGCGCCCAACAACAATTCGGGGGGTCTATACCAAAGTGTGACGACCCGGTTTGTGTAATCGCCGGGTTTTCGCTTAGAGTATGTGCGTGCCAAGCCGAAATCCGCAATTTTCAAAGTGCCCTGGCTGTTTAGCAGGAGATTGGATCCTTTCAAGTCTCTGTGTAGCACAGCTCGTCCATGCAAGTACGCCAGTCCGTGGAGTAGCTGCGATGCAAGCGACTTGACATGGGATGCAGAAAAGTCCACATCGGGGTGCACAAGGATTCCATTCAAGTCATGCTCCATGTATTCGAACACCATGTACACGGACCCTGTCCGACTCGTCATCGTCTCGTGAAGTCGAATGACATTTTCGTGCCGTAGAGCTTGAAGTAGCTTCATCTCTCGCATCGATGTCACCGGGAAACCTTCTCGAGCATTTTCCATCCGTATTTTCTTGAGCGCCACAAGTCGACCATGCCTCCCAGCGCTGGCCTTGTAAACTTGGCCATACGTACCCTCGCCGACTTGTGCCACGATTTCGTAGGGCTCATCTAGCACTGTCGACGAAGATGGCATGGTGCGCTTCCCAGCATCCGTTTGCAGCCATCTTCCTGGTGAAGTTGAGCGGCCAGCGTCCGGTCTTACGAACCTGTGCTTGCTCGGTGGTTTGGGTGGTGGCCCTGGCTCTGGCGGTACCAATGGTGCTAATGGCGCTCCTCGCTGTTCAAGTGGTGGAATGGGCGGGGAAACGGACCTTGGGGGATTCGATCTGCGAGGAAATGGAGGAGCTGGCACATTCCGCTGGTGATAAGCTTCTTTTGTCAACGGTCGCCACCGCTGATGACTAGCAGGGTGTGCTCTGTCAACTACGCCGCGCACAGAAGGCGCGGTTTTTTGGAGATCATATAAAGGCTGCACTGCGGAAGGAGATGGCGAATAAGATGCACGCCGCGGCGGCTCAGGCACGGGTGGCATTGTTGTTGGCACAGGTGTAGGTGTAGATGTGGCTGCAGATGCTGACCTGGATGAGTTTGATGCTGGCGGGGGTGACAGGCTTGCACGACGTCGTTTTTTCTCAGGCCCATCGTAATGTCTGCGTGGGTATCTGCGCCAGTTGTGCTCGCCATCTGTAGGTGGCGCACGATATCGGCGAACACTTGAGTCTTCGGTGTAGGATCCTCTTGAGCGGCCATATCTATGTTCATTCCTCCACGAGCTGTCTGCTCGGTATCTTTCACGGCCAGGCGCGTAGGCATCTCGCCCACGCGCATGTTCTGGTCGCATGGGAGGCACGAAAGTCGAATGTCACCAACCTTCAAAAATTGTGTCCACAAAAACGATCGTCAAAATTGCGTTGAACTACACGAAACAGACTTTGCTTAAGCTGCCAAGCGAGATAAAGAATAGGAAATAAAAGTTGATTCTGAGGCCCACCACCCAAGGTGCCATCTTCCACTGAAAGCGCGCACTTATGGCATACGGGGTCTTGAACAATAACCGCCGCGGCTGACCAGGATGAACACGTGACTTATCACCGGTAGATCGTGGAGGTGATGGTACTGGCGGTGGCGTCATCGCATAACGACTCGAATCTTTGTCTGAATAGCAGGGCTCGTGTGGTAACGTTCAGCTTTCCCAGGGTTGCATGTCATTGGCACAGACACGCTCGGCGCACTCGCTTCCGGCGGCAGTGCCGACTCATGCGCAGTCATACAACACCGGAGTTAGTGCTCCGGTGTCAAAGTCACGCAAGTTGCCTGATGCATCGACAGGTGGGTCTGCTAGTATGCCGCCGCGAAAGCGGACCAAAGCGCATAGCTGTGACTCTTGCCGCCGGAGAAAACTGAAATGCGACCGAGGTTGGCCTTGTGGAGCTTGTCGAGACAGGAACGAGGAGCATTTGTGTACGTGGGAAGAGGGCGTGGTTCCAGAGCGCGCTGGACGTGATGCTCCGGACAATATGATGTTGCTCCAGCGCATGGCGTCGCTGGAGTCAAAGTTTGAGCAGCTAATTGAGCGCCTTGATACAGTGACTTCGCCCAAGAAAGAAGCTCCGCCTCCCGCAAAGCAGCCCGTGGATCCTCCAAGTGAACACACCGAGTGGAATACGCACCATGTGACGAATGTATCAAGCATGCTCAGCATGTTCCTACAGCCGACTGACGTACATCAACGCCGTCGTGTGCTACTATGCATGCTTCACCATATGCCACCTGCGCCTTTGCTTGATGCGATTTTCGATTCGTTTCGGCATGAAGTACAATGGATCAATGGCATTGTGGACAAGGCTTACCTTCAGAGCTGCATGAGTGACATTGTCCTTCTTCAAGATGCGTTGCGAGAAAAAAGTGATTTTTTCAACCAATTGTGCTTGAGTGATTTGTCGCGCTACATATACTCAGTCGCGGTTAGCTTGTCTATATGTGCGACGGCGGTCGTATTTTCTCGTGATGCGCAATTGAATGCGTTCCAAGGCAGCACGGATTCATTACCACTGTACCAGCGGTATATCCGCGAAGCCCTTCTCGGTCTGTCGGCATTGTCTGTGTTCGATGAGCCCAATCTCAACTTCGTTATTATCATGGTACTGGTCCTGTCGTGTTTATCTTTTTCGCGGTTGCCAGGTATTGCGTCTGGCATTATATCACATGCGGTTCAGGTTGCTTTCCTGCTTGATTTGGACATGGAGCCGCCTGAGTCAATGTCATATGAGGAAGCATATCGTCGGGTGCAGTTGTATTTTGTGCTATGTGCACATGACTGGTTTTCAACGATGGCCATCAAGAGGTACCCGCTCATACCAAACGATAAAGAGCGACTTCCCTCTTTGTTTGGCTCTGCAGAGCAGCGGTCGAAGTACCTTTCGCCATACCAGCAAATGAAACTGAAGCTAGCGCATTTGTTCTGCCGCTCGTCACCTCTTATTATCCCCCAGAAAGAAAACTATGCGTACATTCGACAACTCCACGATGAAGCTCTCGAAGTTCAGTCGTCCATGCCAAATATTTGGCTGGACCCGCACAACTCGACCATGTCGACCTTGTGTGCCAAGATGCATCGCATGTTCGGCGAGGGCGCCTTACATTACCTGCTGCTGCGCATTCACCTTCAATACTACATGCGAGGCTGGGACGATGAAACATATGCACTATCGCGCGATACATGCTATGCGAGTGCGCGAAGCTTGTTGCGTCTGTTTCGTGAAGCGTTCAGCTGGAAAATTCGTAATGAGGGCTGTGGGAATGCTTGTGAATCGTTCGTGCCTGATGAAATCTCTGTGCCCGCACGCATGTGGTACTTTAGTCACTGGTGCACAGCCGCTGCGCTGCTCTTGCTCAAGCATGTCACAATGCTGAATGAACGCAACGGGCACGCAAGCTGGGATCATGAGCGGGAAAGTATTGTCGAAGACTTGTGTATTATGAGCCGTCTGTTTCAGTACCTGTCTCCTGTTCTGAGCTATGCTCGTGAAGGTTACGATGCGATGCAGCGCGTCGCTTCACATGCACTACAAAAGGACATTGATACAGCCCAGCTCTCAAACACAAACTGCGTCACACATTGGGCTGATCGCATCATGCCACATCGCACTCATGCGCCTTCGTCTGAGCCTATGTCTGTGCTTAACACACTCTCGAAGCGGAATGAGTTTAGCAGCGTCGCTCATTCCACGTCACAGGCTTCATCGACTCCATCAATCTCGTCCCATCCCTGTTCATCCCTTGAGAGTGCGACAACAGGGCTGTCCAGTGCTCAGCAGAGCCCCAACTTCCGGGCGCCTTCGAACACTTCATCTGTTTCTGGGCCCAGCTCTGATGTCAAATATGGAGTTGGACACATTCTGGCCCAAATTTGCTGCACCACAAGTTGGTTGATTAACACAGCTGCAACAGGCTCGCAACAAGATATGCCTTACCCAGTGTTGCCTGAACCCTCTATGTTTTTGATGCAATCTCATCAGGCGCCTATTCCTGTCGATGCAGACATGGCGTTGATGCTCCAGCAAAAGGATTTGTTGGATACGGACCCCCTGAGCTCGAATGTTGGAAGCCTCACACCATTTGCTGATGACTTTTTGCGTTCTCTAGACAATATCCCACCTACGCTGGACTCCAATGCTTCGGCGCCCCTGCCGATTCTTTAAGTTATCAAATTTCGCAGCTGTTTTGTACAAGATACTTAATGTATTTACTGAACCTTTTGCCTGACGGTTGGTCTTTTCCCACCTACCTGTATCCCTCATGCAGTCTCATGATGCATATCTGTTTTTCAAATAGGTGTCAATTACTGCCTCGATCCTCCCGTGAAGTCGATTTCTTGTGTGGCAAAATAATCGAACGTGCGCTGAATCATTTTCACCGCTAGTGCGAATCTCGCAAACTACCTCCACTTTCATGGTTCGTCGGACTCATGAAACGCCTAGCACGTCTACGGAGGCGGCGATTGACCTGACGGGATCGGATTCCCATGATGATGACAATCTTGAAATGGAAGATGTTGATATGGATGCAGTTGAAATGGATGACGTGGATATTGTGCCTAATGCGTACGCTGATCTATACGAGAATGTCCACAACGACGGCAACAGTGGCGACGGTGACGCCTCTTTGCTCGAGAATGACCGACCTGCAATGCAAGCAGAGTCCCAAAGTCATCTATCTGGTACAATTGAAGTCACTCTAGGGAATTCGCGTGAAAAGAATGGCACGCCGAGAGCCGTGACTTCGACGCCGCGTGATCGGAAAAACCGTCTGCTTGTCCACCAGATTCACGCACTTGCTATTTTGGCTGCTGCGCGCATCCGGAATCGCTGGTGCAACGATGTCTCTTTGCGCATGGGGTTGCAAGATATGGTACCAGATCTTCTTCTGCGCAAGCTACAAGCGATCCAACCTCGACTTGAGCCACAACGTCGTGAGCGCGTGCGTATGTTCGAGGCGTTTTTGTCTGAGCTTGTCCACTGGTGGCACGGTCGCTTTCATGTACATTCTCGGATTGCAGCCGCTTCTGCCTGGAGACAGCCAAGTGCAGAAACGTGGCAGCCAAGACGCGTGACTCCGGGGACATGGGTCGATGGTTGGTGCGTCGAGTCGGCGGCTGAGCGAGCCAAGCGCCATCGTGCTGAAGCGCGGCACAAGCAGCGCCCTGCAAGTGAAGTGGCTCTTTTCCCCACAGGTCCAGGCACATCCACACCGACGTACATGCGTCTTTTGCCTGCAGCTGAGGCGTGTGCGTCGCCCTCTGAACTGTTGATCGCAGCTCATGCACGCGTAGGATCTCGCGAGACAAAGGCAATTCTTTTTTGTGCTTTGTGTCGTTCTTTGGGCATCCCATCGCGTCTTGTCGTTAGCGTTCAAGTTTGCTCGATATCATCTGCATCATCACAGGCTCGCGCACGGTCGATGTCGACCTCAGCACCATCAATGTCTACTGGAACGTGCAATGAGACTGAAGACGTTCAAGAGCACAAAGACGACGACACCCATCTCTATATTGAACCCCTGGATGAGAAGACTCCACCCACAGTATGGGTCGAAGTGTACAGCAAGCCATATCAACATTGGCTCACAGTTGATCCTGTGCGCGGATTTTTCAAGCCCACAGGCCTACGACACATGGAGCCGCTTCCCTCACAGCAGCGGCAAAATAAGCTCGTGTATGTGACGGCATTCGAAGAGGATGGATATGCACGCGATGTCACCGCGCGTTACACGCGCACGCTTCACACGCGTGTGGCACGTATGCGGCCCACAGGCCGGTATGCGGACTGGTGGCCTCATGTCGTGCAAGCACTGCATCGGCCCCAACGACTGGATCGCGATGCCATGGAAGATGTTGAGCTACAAGACGCTGCGCGACGTGAGCCAATGCCAACAAGTGTCGGCGCCTTCAAAGACCATCCTGTGTTTGTACTGGAACGACATCTACACCGTGATCAGGTCGTGCATCCACCGCATCGTGCGGGCACATTCCAAGGGCAGCCGGTGTTCCTGCGTGCGCATGTTGTGCAGCTGCGCTCTATACGCCAGTGGTACAATGTAGGCCGGGAAGTGAAGCCGAATGAAATTGCGCTCAAGTGGGTGAAGCAGCGGTCATACACAACGACGGGCAAACGTCTTGAAGAGCAGGTGCGCGCCGCCAGTGGCGATGACATAACAGAGGGCTTGTATGCTGAATGGCAAACACAGATCTTTACGCCACCGCCAGTCGTGGACGGGCACGTTCCGCGCAATGCTTTTGGTAATGTAGACTTGTTTGTCCCTTCTATGCTGCCTGCTGGCGGTGTGCATATTCCTCATCCGGGCGCTGCTCGTGCCGCAAAGCAGCTGGGAGTAAGCTATGCTGGTGCGGTTGTGGGATTCGAGTTCCGGCGCTTCCGGAGTCTACCCAAGATGGCGGGTATTGTTGTTCCAGCCGAATCAGCACAAGTGGTGCAGGATGCTATTCGGCAGATTGAAATGCAAGATGCTGAAAATGAGCGGGAGAAAGCACAGAGACGCGCATGGAAGAACTGGGGCAAGCTGTTGACGGCCCTGCTTGTCGCCCGGCGTGTTCAGGATGACTATGGTAGTATGATGTCGGTGTCACCCACACAATGCCCACCGAACGGCCGAATAGCGCCACAGCACGATAATGATCAGGCGAATGAGGATGTGGGCGTGCGTCAGTTGCGGGAGATGCCATCGCCACCCTCGGCTGATCAGCCCACGACACAACAGCTGGATGAATTCCAGCTTGGTACTAAGAATGATTCGCTTCTTCCACATGCGCGGAGTGATACAGATCGAATGGATGCAGCTCGCCGAACTGGACGAATCATATCTCTAGACGAAATGATCGCTGCGGAGGCGCAGCTACGTCAAAGGCATAGGAGTCCCTCGCATGAACGCCCATCGGATGAGTCGCACACAGAGGCGGAGCCCCCCCGACAAAGACGCAAAATTGTTCTTGTTCGTCACGCGACTCCAGCCAGAGAACCTATGCACAGCCCGGCACGGACACCAGCGAGTCCCGTGTCTCCTGCATCGTCGCCTGCACGTCATGGACGCCGGCGAAGTGCACGCCAGGCTGCACGTGAGCGTCGCTCGTATGCTGAGGACCCTGCTGATGTACAAAGTGATGTAGAATAAAGTGACTATACACTGGGCGCCATAGAGTGATGCCGCACTTTCCTGCAAACCCAAAATTCGGGCACATAATGATGCGTAAGCATACTATGGGGAACGCCAGTATATGTCTGTGGCGACAGTGTTCGCTGTTCCTCCAGTTCGAATCCACAATGCGCCAGGAGGCTCACCAATTCATCAAGTGTGAGCTCGACCGAGGGAACACGGTCTTGCTCAAAGTGCCAGAGTAATGGGCCCACATTCACCCACCATCCACCGACCGGTAGGACGTGGTTGATCACCTCGAGATAGCGCAGGACGTTTTTGGCCGTGTCGATAAAGTAGCACGTGGCTACAACATCCCAGGAGCCGCGTTCTTCAGATTTCGCATACACTTCAACAAACTCGCCGGCCGCCATGCTAAAGTCCACATGAGGGTCAAGGCTCGCTGGTAGCACGTCAGGGATCGTGACTGAGTGAAGCATATCAGAGGCGGATCGCCAGTTGCTGCTGGAGTGGATGTAAGGAAACAGAGTATGCTGGTGTACTCGGTGCGTGCAATTCAGCACAAAGTGGGCAGGTATTAACATGAAATAGCTAAATTCATTGCCCTGTGTTGCATACCCCAGCCTCGCAAATTCGAACGCAAGGCGACCTAAGCCGGAGCCAGGAACGAGGATGTGTTTTCCAGTACGGTCCTTCGGAATCCGCGCCACAACAGCATCTAGAATAGGCTGGTACGCGAGCAGCCGCTCCTGTGCGCCGGCGTCGCTCCAATCGCGCGCCATTTGCTTCAGCGCCGTACGAACTCGATCTTGGTCATGTTCAGATACACTTAGATGTGGCATCTCTTTTCGTGACGGAATGGACCTTTCTGGCTCCGTAGATCCTGACGGCTGTTCTTCGAGGATTCCTAGAAATGAATGGCAAAAATCAGCCATGCTCGAGAGGACGTCGTAGTTGCGCCGAATCCTATCATCGATCTCGTTGACTCGGCCAAGAAAGCCTGTGTACGACTTTGACGTCGCCGGTGGACCTGGCACATGTGTGTCTAAACTTCGAAGTAGTGCTTGGTGCCCATGTGGCAATGCATAGAAGGAGGCGCGACGCTCATTGTTTTCGTGCAGCTAGGGACGTGTTAGTATGGCTCTGTGCTGTGATGATGACGAACCGAATATGACAAATAATCATGCCAGGCACGCAAAACGGTCTGGAAATGTGCACGTTCTTCATCATGTTCTGATACCATGGAAATGGTGTTAGTGGTCACCTCACTGGATAGGCTCCCCCCACTTGTGCCGTGCTTCGTGTATGCCGCCAGACCACACCCACACACGACACTTGGACATTGTGGATTCGTGCATTCTACGCTGGGTGGTGGAGGATCTAGTGCCATGTATCTCCACATGCAGTTAGACACACACTCACACACTCACACACTCACGCTCACTTACGCACGCGCTCACACACTCACGAAGTTTTTGTTGAATCGTGTCACTCTTTCCACGCATCTTGGATCCCATTGCGCAGCGTCATGGCGACGCAGGAAGCAGCGAAGTCAAGCGAGTCACCTAAAAAACCTTGCACATCATCAACATGGAACGAGGATCTTGAGCACATCAATCGTGAGGAAGATATTTGGGAGGACGACGATGACGCAGGAGACAACGAGACATTCTGCAGTCCGATTACGACAGAATTCTCCCGAAATGCATGGAAAGACGAGAATCGACGATCTGTGGAAACGCCGCTCTTGCAAACGAGCTTTTCGCGAAGGTTATCCGACAGGTTCCAGGAACGGTTCCAAGAGCGACGGAGAAGTGGGACCTTCCTAGCTGAGAGCAGGATTCCGCGCTTGAGCTTTGACGCTGCATCACCTGTACGAACGCCGAGGACTTGGCAGAACTTGTCATGGGGTATGGCGCCTACCCCAACCACTCCTAGCTTGCCTAAACCCTCGGCGTTTCCCAAAGCGGCTCTCCCGAACAAGAAACCGAGTACACCGGCGCCAGCTGACGACCGAAGCCCTTTTTCGCATATATGGGAACAATGGAGCCAAGCATGCCATACGATCCTTGTCGTCCTAGGTGTATCGGCGCCATCAGAGTTTATGGAAGAGGCACTACGCTCTTCTTCCGCACCAATGGGTTTTGTAGAGCCAAACCCTTCGACAGCGTCTGCATCCTATACCACCAATACCGATGCAGCGACGGCGGGAGGAACGCCACCAAAAGCTTCACCATCGCTTTGGAATCAGTTGATGGAGGAGGTGTTGCTCACAAGCAACGAAAGCATGCAAGAGTTCAAATGGGAGCGTGTATCGAACTTCATCGCCATGCCAGTGTGGATCGAGAAGCTGATGTGCATCGGTGTGCTTGTGAGTCTCAACGCGTACCTGTACATGGTAACGATCTTACCACTGCGCTTCGTCGTTTCATGGATTCGCTGGGGCTACAACACTCTTTTGTGGTTCAAGTCACGACAGAAACTGTACCTGAATGTGTCAAACAAGTGTGACATACTCAAGGGCTTGCTTGTTATACAGACATGCTACATTCTCTCGCGCATCGCAGATGCAAGCAAAATGTACCACAGTGTGCGTGGCCAAGATACCCTGAAATTGTCGGTCATTTTCAGTGTGTTAGAGATCAGCGACCGTCTGTGTAGCTCATTTGGGCAAGATGTGCTTGATACATTGTTTTCTCGGCGAACACTCGCGAGGCGCAGTGATGGGTCCCATGCATACCTGCGGATTGCTGGATACTACACGCTGTGCCTCGCGTACATTGTGTTTCACACATTTGTGCTCCTCTACCAGCTTGTGACGCTCAATGTGGCGATCAATAGCTACGACAACCAGCTATTGACCCTCTTGCTTTCGAACCAGTTCGTCGAGATCAAGACAACAGTCTTCAAGCGCTTTGAGAAAGAAAACTTGTTCCAGCTGGCATGTGCCGATATCGTGGAGCGGTTTCAGCTGTGTGTTGTGCTCGCGGCGATTGGATTGCGCAATCTGCTTGAGTTGTCTGGCGCCTTTGCCATGGGTGGGACGGGTGCTATGGGCCCACTGCCGACGAGCTTTGAGCTCTATCCCTACGTGAACGTGTTTTTCCGCACGCTGAATCCCGTGCTGACTGTGCTTCTTAGCGAGGTTCTCGTGGATTGGCTCAAGCATGCATTTATCGCGAAACAGAATCACCTCCGACCTGCCTTGTATGGCCGCTTTGTCGATGTGCTTTGCCGAGATATCCTGCCTCCTCGCTCGTCTGTGGCTCTCGATGGACACACACAGCGTCAGTCATCGTTTGTGGACCAGAGTCCCCTCGCGATCCGTCGTCTGGGCCTCGCTGTCCTCCCGCTCGCGTGCGTGTCCATCCGCATGGCTAGCCAGATTGTGTCGATGCTCTTGGTCAAGGACGTCCATACCTCGTCTGACCCTCAACGTGCGGCTCGCGCCACAGCTGCAGCTTCCAGCACTGCATACCACCAGCGAGGCTGGCTCCGGCGATGGACCGAGCAACATAGTCAAGCGTGCATGGTCTGCCTGGGCCTGGTATTCGTATGGCTTGCGTTGGTCTTGCTCAAGCTCCTGCTTGGCGCGTACCTTGTCTCGTACGCCATGCGTCAATATACGTCGTGGCAGGGGCGCGAGGCGGAAGAGAAGCGCAATGCAAAGGGCCGTCCGCCCATAGGAGAGACGCCTGCTGAAATGGTGCACAATGCACAAGTGGCCGACATGGTCGATAAGCGAGACGACAACGCCACGAAAGTCGGTCTTTACGGTCAGCAGCAGGCATCGGGACGTGGCGCGAAAAAGGGTGATATCTCGCTCCTAGACGTACAGCGGTACTCGCTTGTTGGCTCCCGACTGTGGTAGGCCTATATTACACGAATCACTATGTGTGGGCGTACGATCGCCTTTAGCTCTGCTGCGAGGCCGATTCCCAGCGTGGTAGCCGGGTTCATTCTCACATGTTCCCAGGCCGGCTCGACTCAGTTTCGTCATTTGCTTCGTTACTCCTTGGCTTTCTTTGTCCTTGCCCCTTCTTGCTGGCGTGCCACAGAACCACGCTGCTTTACAAGACGCCGGTGGATGATCGGCACTAGCAGACACACAAACAAGACGGCGGTGCACACCGCTTTGGCCTCGCGGGCTGATAAATACGGCAGGTGCGTCGATCGGTGTATGTCGGGTTTGTGTGAAAGAGCAAGCCAGCGAGCCATGCTCCGTGTAGGACGTGGAAGCCACGGCAGTTTTGCGTGCAAGTTCCCACTCGTTAGCACGAGAAGCAGGAGCGACACGGTAGCGCCGCCCACGAGGTCGGCATACAGGAGGCGAGACGGCTCGTGGATCCATGCTGGGGTCCTCAGCTGCCAAATACCCATGGGTGAGTGCAGTTGGAAAGCGGAGGCAATGAGTGGCATTCCCGCAGCGAGCAGCGTGCCTGCGATGACCTGAGCTGTCCACGACTGTGCGAGCACTGGATGCGGATGCCGCTGGATCTGCGCAAGACCGACATTCGCCATGCCCTCTGTGCGGCATAGCGAGTCGATGCAGGCCAGGCCAATTTCGAGCCAGAATGCGCCTGCCGGATGTGTATGTAGACGAATCAGTTGATGACCCAAGCCCGTCGTGTACATAATGCAATGCACGACTGTGTACAAACAGATGGCCACGGGTGACATGAGCAAGGGCGATGGCATGCCCAGAAGAAGTGCAAGCAGGCTTGATGGTGCAAAAAGGGCTATCAGATTGAGTACGCAGCTTTGGAACAGGCCCAAACGCCCCTGTCCCCCTCCGCACAGCATGCGTGTGCCGTGGCTCATTCGAACGGCATGAGCGAGAGACAGGATCGCCACGGGTATGTACACGTCGTGTACATGAGTTTTTGATAGCAGTTCTTGCCAATCTGCGACAGTGGCGAGGATGTAGGATGAAAAGAGCGGATCTGTCTCGGGATGCATGGCAAGCCAAGTCAGTTCCGCGTTGGGGCTGGAGAAAGAGCACGGACTTTGTGGAGTGGGCTTGAGCTGCGCGAGCTAAAAGCCAGTGGACCTTTTTTTTTTCTCGTGCACTGTTTGAGTTGCCTCGTGGCGCCCATCGACGTAGCAAGCGGACATTTTTCCATCCATCCCTGTGGTGCACACACTTCTTGTTGTTGAGGAGCGACGTGCAGAACGATGGCAAAACGACAAGCCCATCATGTACAGCCTGCTGAAAAAGGAAAGTCTAAGCAAGAGGCATCGATTCTCGAAGATGAGGAAGCACTACATGAAGGTGAAGACGAGGCTGGGATCTCGCAGCAAGGACTGGATAGATTAATGCGCGCGCTAGGTCCAGATGATTTGTCCGAGATGGACAGGGCCATGTTGAGACAGATGTCTTTGCAGGGTAACGATGAGGAGAGCGATGAGGGCAACGAGGATGACGAAGACCTGATCGACGACGAAGCAGAGGAAGTCGATGGCGAGGATGACGATGATGAGGACGACGAGGATGGCAAAGACCTGATCGACGACGAAGCAGAGGAAGTCGATGGCGAGAATGACGATGAAGAGGACAACGAGGATGACGATGATCTGATCGACGACGAAGCAGAGGAAGTCGATGGCGAGAATGACGATGAAGAGGACAACGAGGATGACGATGATCTGATCGACGACGAAGCAGAGGAAGTCGATGGCGAGGATGACGATGATGAGGACGACGAGGATGACAAAGACCTGATCGACAACGAAGCAGAGGAAGTCGATGGCGAGAATGACGATGAAGAGGACAACGAGGATGACGATGATCTGATCGACGACGAAGCAGAGGAAGTCGATGGCGAGGACGACAATGATGATGAGGACGACGATGACGAGGAAGATAACGCAGACGAACAGGATGAGAGAGAAGATATGACAAGCACTCGTGCATCAGCACCGAAGGATTCTCTTGCAGCTAGTATCCTGCGAAGTGGCCTTGTGCCTCAGGAAGAAGACGACGAAGAAGAAGAGGAAGAAGACGAAGAGGAAGAAGACGAGAATGGCGATACGTCAATCCCACTCGATGCCGTTCCCACCACTGCGACGCTCTCAGAAGAAGCGCTCGCCTCGCGATACCATCGCATTCGCATTAACAACACTGATGCACTTCGACGGATTTACGAAGACATCCGTCTTGGCGGTGGACCAGGCTCCTCCAGCAAGATGCCGTGGATCGAGACTATGGTCGTTGTGCATGACAAGGCAATCAAAGACGAGGTGCCGGATGCACAGAATGATCTTGATCGTGAGTTGGCGTTCTACCGACAATCACTCGCTGCTGCTACGCGGGGACGCACGCTTGTTCTTGAGGCCAATGTGCCATTCACACGCCCTAGCGATTACTTTGCCGAAATGGTCAAGACGGACGAACACATGGAACGCGTGCGACAGCGCCTGCTTGATGAGTCGGCGGGCATCAAAGCGTCTGAAAATGCCAAGCGCCAGCGAGAACTCAAAAAGTACGGCAAAAAGATCCAGACAGAGAAGCTGCTGGAGCGCCAGCGGAACAAGCGCGAAATTGAAGACAAGGTCAATTCGCTCAAGCGCAAGCGTCAGTCTGGCATGGGTCTCGATGACGATGAGTTTGATGTGCAACTTGAAGAGGCACTCGGTGAGCGCAAAGCTGCTCGGCACACGTCGGCGCCAAAGATGAGCCGGCAACGGCGGAACGAAAAGTTCGGCTTCGGCGGAAAGAAGCGGCACAACAAGTCGAACACAGCAGACAGTACCGACCAATTTGGCAAAGCCGCGCGCCGAAAGCCAGGAGGGGGGCCAAGGCCCAAGTCGAAGAAGCCCCAGCGGCCTGGCAAGTCGAGACGCGCCGCCCGTCGCTAAACTTGGGGCGGCCCAATCTGCATGCATCCCAGAGCCTAACGTGCACATTTGCGTAGTTTCGTATAGCTACATATACATACACTATGAGTCAGAATCGGTTCGTGCACGTTTTCCACCAGATGATGTCAGATTGCTTTCGCGGCGCATGCGCTCGTGCTCCTCAATCTCACGGTCAGCGCGATCCATGTCATCTTCAGAGGCGTCGCGATCATGATCCGGCTCATCCTCCATGTCCTCATCATCGTGCACAATGAAGCCGTCATCGTCGTCATCTTCGTCTTGATAGTCATAGGCAGCTGACGCACGGCGCCGCCCAGATCCATGTGCAGATGACAATGATGAAGCGCCACCAGCTGCAGTGCCATCCTCATGGTCACCTGTATCATCAACATTGTCGTCATCATCAGACCATTCCGTGACATGCATGCGCCCACGGCGGTGCCGGATCCCATGCCGCCGCATGCCCAAGTCCAGGTCGCCCTCATAGTCGTGCGCGTCTCGCATGGCCTTGACACGTTCGCGAAGCTTGCGTTTCTCAGACTCTTTCAGCTGTCGCTCAATCCGTTCCTTTTCACGCTCAGGGTCCATCGTGCCGAACATTTCAGACGAGGCAACTACTCGCATACCTCGCTGATGCCGGATCGCACTTGCGATGCGGCTGTGCGTGTCAGAATGTAGGCCTGGCTTGAAGGACAGCGACGTGCGCACAGGACACTCAGCCTCCAACACACCCTCTTCAGCATGCGGCACGTAGATATACGTGAGGGGCGTGCCTTGCGCACTTGGCTCAGCATGCCGAGTCATGTCAAAGAATTCACTGCCGATCTGCAATGACTCGGTCCCATCATCCCAACGAACGATCCGCGCATTGCTCTGTGGCGTAACGCGACTGGGACCTGCCTCTTTCCAACGCCACCGAACCGTGGACATTGTGCGCAGGAACTTGCGCGCTTTCTGATCGCCCGTAACTGAATCATACTCGTGCTGCTGTGGCTGTTGGTGTTGTTGTGATGATTGTTGTTGTTGTTGTTGTTGTTGCTGTTGTTGTTGCTGTTCATCTTCGTCATCCTCGTTCCACGTAGCTGGATCAAACGCTCTGTCCGCATATCGAACAAAGTTGGGCAGGCGCGCTAGCAGAGTCTCCTTCGTTCGCCGCACCGGCAGCTGCGGCACATTGATCCATGCAGTCTGCTCTTCCACGACGGCAGGCATCGCATGTGTCGACGCATCTGCATCGTCTTCGTAGTACTCAAGTGCTGTTTTACCGTTGTCGTTGTCGTCGTTGTCGTCGTCGTCGTCGTCGTCGTCTTCGTCATTCTCGTCGTCATCTCCTCGGTGGTCACCACGCGCATTTTCCCCTTCATTTTCACTTGAATCGTGAGAATCGGCTGTTCTCGTCGATGCAGTGCGCGACGCCCACGTCGGTGAGTCATCACCAAACAAGTCGTCGGCGAGCTGCGATCGGGCGTCAGCCCCTGTGTGGGCGCCTGTGTTGTCGCCAGAATCGGCATCTCGTTCAGAGGACATGTGCAGCGCAGTACGCACGTATCAAAGACGCGCGCACGATGTTATGAAAGGCACAGGTGCACGGAGTAGGTAGTCGCTGCAACGAGGGCCTGCGCTGGCCTTGCCTCCCTCGACGAACGATCGATCTTGTGATCATCGGCGCTGCCCTGACGTGCGGTGTATATCACGTGATCTCGTGCCATGCCGTTTCTCATCGATCAGAGTGCGTAGTGCAGTGCAGGCACGGCGCCCGGCGCTGCAACACACACTCACATTGACGTGACTCGGCTCCCTCCTCATAATATTCTTGGGCGCGCTACTGTTGACGTGCAGCCTGGTCTTGTCACTAGATCCAACTACTCTGTTGTAATAGGAATCCTTTACTTTTGCACTGCCTTGAACTTGAAGGACTTGTGCTCCTTGTAAATCTCGCTTCCAAACAAAAATTAAAAAAAAAAAAAGAGAATCACCCACACATACGTTCTTGAGGACAAGCAAGTCGCATTGTTGGCTCTTTTCTCCTACGAACAAAAATGACGGGCGATGCTTCATGTAAGTGTTTTTTTTTTTTTTTTTCATCTAGGAAACCCTGTTGTTGCTAATGCTATCAGCCAAGACACCTGCAACGCCAGCTGAACGAGTGGCATATAAGTATGATACAAAAACGTTGTTATGGCTTGCGCACAGTCCGTTAGTGTGTATGCCGGAAGGCATGGTGCCACTGGAAGTATGGTATGGATCATGGAAACCATATACACCACGACCCTTTTCTTCATCTTTGCAGCAGGCGGGGCAGCGAGATGGACGGAAGGATGGCCGCGATGGGTTGCATGAGGGTATGAATGCGACGTCAAGCCGGCGGGAACCACAACTACGTGGACGCCGTGGTCAGCTTGATGATGCTGGCTCGGAGCGACGTAATGTGGGCTTCAAGCCAGCGGACTTTGTTCCCGCCACGTCCACAAACTCGCGCACGCGCACCGGCAGCAGCAAATCTGACGCCGGCTCTAAAAATGTGGAAGACGATGGGCGGACCTGGCGACGAACGAATGAGGCTGCGACATTGGCCGTACCATTGCACTCGTCATCAGCATCTACATCAGATGCTGCTTCTTCGGGATCTGTGACATCGGCGCTGGCGCCCATGGATGCACATGGTCCCAAAAGCATGCCGGAATGGATGCAGGATGAGGCCCACGTGGCCAAAGATGCTCCTGCTCGTTCGCAGTCATCGCGCTCAACGCCTGCGCCCACGGGGGTCGAGTCGATCGAAGCTTTCAAAGCGCAGATGCGTGAGAAGGACCGCCGTGAAGCTGCTGAACGCGGCGACTCAAACGCGCGCAGCGAGCTTCGTGGTGCGCGTTCAGAGCGTAGCATGTATCAGGACCTGGCGCATGAAGAGACCGAAAGTGAGCATAGCAGTCGTTTTGCACGCTTCTTCGACGTGAAGGGCGAGACGAGAAGCCCACAGAGCGGCACATCGTCACCATCCGTGAACAAGTCCCTAGATCTTTTTGGCATGTTCCAGAGTCTCAAGTCGCGCGATACCGACAAGAGTTTAGACGCTACGACTTCAACAGGGACCAAAGATGTTGGCACTCCATCCATGACGGCTACCAACACTGCATCGCCGTTGAGTCAGTCCGCCCCTGAGGCATCGGCGCCCCTCTCTACATCACCCGCGGTCACACATGCACAGCCGCCTGCGTCTTCAACAGCGTCTTCAGTCTCATCGGCGGCGGCGGCTCCTTCGCTTGCGGCTGGCGCTGCATCGTTCCCACGCACGTACTCAAGGCCTGCATCAGAGTCGCCATCACCCTTACAAACACCAGCCTCAACGGTACCTTCCCAGAGTACTCTGCCTACACATCCGACACTGCTGCAGCCAACCATGGATCGATTCGCATCGAGCGCATCCGCGCCATCGTTTCCTGGTAGTTCCAGTGCCCATGCCTATACAAATGCCAACATAAGCAGCGCGGCGCCCAAGCCGAGTGCTGCTGACATGGCCTCTATGCAGGTTCTGATGGCAAAGCTGATGAAATCTCGCGCGCAAGCCGGTAGCTCCAGTACGTCGGCGAAGGATGCGTCCTCTCCGCTCGCCTCGTCATCGCTGTCACCAGCCGCTGTATCTACGCCTGATGGCCACACCTCGAGTCCGTCACTACCGGCTCAACCACCCCCAGGTATCGGTGGTGTCCCGCCAGGACTTGGCGGCCTACCAAGGCGGACGGGTGCTGCCATGCCACCACCGCCAGGCATTGCTGGGCCGCCCCTGGGTATGGGTGCATCTCATGCCTCCTATGTGTCACCAGGACATTCTGTACGTCCTCCAACTTCATCGAACGCTGCGTCGCCACATGCAGTGACATCCTCATCGCCATCATCCTCGTCACATGCCGCATCAGGCACAGCAGCAGCTCCTATGACGTCGATGGCGTTCTTGCAATCTCTCTTACAGCCATCGACGCGGTCTATGCTTCAAGTACCGCCAAATGCACCACCAGCTGCTTTTCCACCGCCACATCCTGGCATGTATGCGAAGAATCCGCCATGGGCTGGTTTGCCTCATGCCGCCCCTCCTCTACCGCCTCCAGGGCTGGGATCTGTGTCACCACATGATCTTTCACGACCAACGCAGCCTCCTTGTCCTCCTCCTCCTCCTCCTCCTGGCATGAGCCAACCGCCAGGGATCGCCGGCAGTGCTGGCGTTCGACCTGCCTCTCCAGCTCCCTGGCTCGAGGAGGCGTCCCGTACTCAACGACCACAGGATTCATAGCACGATCGTCGTCGATGCATCTAGAATGTGCCTGATTTGAAAGGCCTGAGCAAAGCAGACCTGTATCTTCTCTCGACCCGACCACTTGAATGGATTTCTCTTTTATATTTTTTCTACGAATTGACTAGTACGGGGAGAAATGAGGGGGGGAGAGGGGAGACGGGGGTGGCGATGTGAGGGACTAACATGAGTAGGAACCCAGGGCCTAACACGTGTCTTAATCGAGAGCGCGGGTCACGGCACCGGTCGTGGCGGAAGCCGCAGCCGCAGCCGCAGCTGATGTTGATGGAGCCGCGGCTGAGGATGTTGGCGTTTGTGTCGACGCGGAAGGGGTCGTAGCCATAGATGATGCCGATGCAGGCACTGCATGACCAAGTGGTGGCAGCGTGATGCGAGACGGAGGTTCAATGAACATCATCATGAACGCGCGACATACCAGAGACACGAGTTGGTCCCACGCGCCTTGATAGCTGGAAGTTGGTCGTGATGATAATGCGACAATGACGCACCACCAGATGTTGAGCCAGATGTAGATGCGGGTGCACCTGGTGAATTGGCGTGCGATGGTAGCATATGCTGAGTATGCCCTTGACCCCTGGTGTTGATGATGCAACAGAGACAACGGAGAATTGATGCGTGGCGAACCGGGTGGCGAATTCGCTGCACTCGCGGGAGCCGAACGGGTCGCCACCGAAGGCGGTAAGTGCGCGAAATATGGCGGCGTCGGCCGCATCTGCGCACTACCACTGCTACCATCATACGTCGAGGCTGCAGCTCCGCCTGGAGCAGCAGAAGGCGGCGCGTCCCATCGGGTACGCAAGGAACGCGGCGTTGGCCAGTGAGTGTGGTAATGCAATGAGGTCGGCGACGCAGGCGCCTTCACTTCATGCACCATGTCGTCATGCGTGTCTGCGATCGTCGTACTTCGCTCACCCGACGTGCTCGGAGGCAGCGACGGCGTATAATGCGAGTTCGTTCCATAGTGCAAATGGGACCGACGTGGTACATGCGCCGATGCACCTGCATCATTGTATGGGTGCGCACGGAATCGCAAAGAGCCATGATGCCCATTGCCAGCCGTATGACTCGGTCCTTCCGTTGGCAATGATGCGAGGGAGCCATGCGACGACACACGTGGCAAGTCTACAGGTATCCGCGCATTCGACGAACGGCCTAGCACAGGCGATGACGTGCGCGAGGCCAGTGGGCTATTTGGCGCGGTAAAAATCGACATTGTCCGCAACGGACCCAGCACAGGACTCCCTGATGGCGTCCCGTAATTGCTTCGCACGTGTGAGCGGAGAGGCACCATAGCTTCTTCATGGTGCGGCTCCAGTTCGTGATGTTGTGGCGGCATGGAATCGTCCCAAGTGTTGCGGGACGGAAGCGCTGGACCCGGCGACACGTCCCGGCTACCCGGGAGGCTCGCATAACGTCGCGGTCCGTACGCAGACGATGTCGTTGCTGGTACATAATAGTGCGACGCGTCTCGCTCATATCGTTGGTCACGGTAACGGTCATGGTAGTATGCATAATCTGCATGCCTGTGACGCGCATGCTCATCAAGGTACGACATGGGTGGCGGTGGCGGCGGCGGTGGCCCATACACGTATGGATGCGGCGCCACCGGCACAGGTGCCTCGCTTGCAGAAATGCCATAGCGAGCATCCTCAAGCATGGCCCAGTCGTGCTTGACAGATGACGGTAACGCATGCTCGCGTGCACGCATGGCGTGCTGCACTTTTGACTCTCGTTCTTGGCGATGAAGTTCATTGAGCTCACCCGTCGCGAGACTTGCGAGTGTCGACATCTCACTATCGCCGCCACCAGCGGAGACAGTTGGAGGCAGTGCCGACGCGAGAGTAGGATCTGTTGCGATAGAGACGCCACCGCCCACAGCTGCATTCCCAGGTAGCGAGGCCATAGTCACTTTAGCCGAGGGAGCACCATACGCCGACGCATAAGGGCGTGTCCTGGATGATGATGTGGAAGAAGATGACGACGACGATGATGACGATGGGACATTAGTATGACCAGAGTGCCACGAAGTGTCGTGGGTATCATGCGCCGAAGCATGCGGGCGCAAGACCTTCGAGGCACCTCCGCGTCCACGCGGAGCACCGCGCGTCCGACGACGAGCCTGGGAGCCTCGGCGAGAGTCATCAGAAGAAACCGCCGATGGCGCATCCCCAGGCGCAGAGCGCTTGTCGCTAGAGTGAATGCGTAGATGCCGTGTCAGTTCGTCACTCCGACTGAACCGTTTATCACACCCGGGATGCGTGCAAGCATGCGGCTTTTCGCCTGTATGTGTGCGGATGTGGCGTGTCTGATGCTCGAGACGATAGAAGGCTCGCGTACATAAAGGGCACTTGTACGGCCGCGGGATTTGTGACTTGTCCACCGCAAGCGATGCCGAGGAAGCTGGCGCTACCGCTGCAGTTGTGCCTGTGGATGCGTCATTTTTCGTAGGCGCATTCTCTCCTAGCTCTTTTTCTTCCATGTAGAACAGCGCCAGCAAATGCTTACACGATGACGTGAAAAGGGCTTGTAGTAATCGAGGATGTGGTGCACTAGAGCGTTGCAATAAAAGAGCAGCACAGATAAAGCAATCGCTGTTGTCACCTTGGACTTTCTTTCCGCTTAGTTCACAGACAGCCCCCCCCCTTGGTTGTTGCGACGCTCTCCTCGCTATGTATGTGTCTCCGCGTCAAGATGGATAAGAACCCCGTAAAAATATATATCAATTTTCTTGTTCCCTACCTACCCCTCTCTCCCCCCCCCCCCCCCTCCCCTTTGGGTTCACTTTTGCACTGGCCCCTTCTCCGACCTAGATTTTTTTTTTGCATTTGTCCCACAATATCAACACCAGTCTGTCCACAGCCTGTAGGATACGAAATATCGGACCTTTCCTCCCGCAACTCAGTAGCCTTTCCCCATTTCCTTCCCCACCTATCAACACACACCTCCCGCATGGATTACGTCTGTCGAAATTTTTGTTCTGCTGTGCGACAAAACACGTGGCTGTTTTCCCCCCCGTAACGGTGCCGCGTCTTCCCCATAGTCCCGCAGCAGAAATGGCACATGAAAACGTGCGGGTGCTAACCTCCACACTTCTGCGTCACGTCCACGTCAGCCCCCATTCCCCCGTGTCACTGCGCACATGCATCCACACACATGTCACCCACACCAAACGTGCGCCGGCCAAATTCGGATGCGCTGATGTAATTTTCACGTACATCTGGCGCCACATCGTCCGCATGTCTCCGGCCTCACCGTAACGCATGGGCCACAAACGCCCATACGCCCGCACACACGCCACTGCGCCACGCGCGATGCATCGAGGGAAATTTTGGCACTCATTTCACCCGTGTCTGCGCAGAACAGATAGGAAAAAAAATTATAGCACAGTTGGCTCGTTCGTCACAACTGCCCGCCACCCGACCATCCTAGATCATGTCGAACAATAAGGTTCCTCTGACCAAAAATACCACTCTAGTCGGTATGTTGAGGCGCTGCTCTACAAAGTTACTTACACGCACAGTCCTGGGCGCTTCAGGAGATTTGGCCAAGAAAAAGGTACCGTTTCTCACCCTCGTTGTTTGCGCCCAATTCGCGTTTTCTCTCTGATGGACTTTAAGTACTAACGATGGCTTAGATTTTTCCATCTCTCTTGCGCCTGTACTTGCACAATGACTTGCCTAGCGATATGACTATCGTTGGATACGCTCGCTCCAAAATGACGCAAGACGAGTTCAATAACCGCATTTCATCTTTTTTCAAATGTTCAGAGAAGCAGAAGAAAGAGTTCCTTGGGCGGTGTCATTACATTGCCGGTCAATATGATGACGACCAGTCGTTCCGAGAGCTTAATGCAAAAATCGTGTCATTGGAAGACGCACGACACAGCGAGCATCGCCATCGCGTCTTTTACCTAGCGCTTCCACCCAATGTATTGTTACCGGTGTCGGGCCAACTACGCAAGCACTGCTACTCTGAAAACAATGTGAATCGCATCGTGATTGAAAAGCCTTTCGGACGTGATCTTGAGTCGTGCAAAGACATGCTCGAGAAAATGCGGAGCACATGGAGCGAGGCTGAGACGTTCCGTATCGACCACTATCTTGGCAAAGAAATGATAAAAAATATTCTTCCGTTCCGTTTCGGCAATGCTTTTGTTGAGCACATGCTTAACCGCTGGATGGTTGACAACGTTCAAATCACTTTCAAAGAACCATTTGGCACCGAAGGACGCGGTGGTTACTTTGACGAATTTGGCATCATCCGCGATATCCAACAAAACCATCTGTGCCAAGTATTTTCACTGTTGACGATGGACGAGCCGGAAAACTTTACACCAGAGGCCATCCGTGATGCGAAAGTCAAGCTCCTTCGCTCCGTGCGTCCCATTTCAAAAGACCATGTCCTCCTCGGTCAGTATGCTGCAGCAAATGGCAAGCCTGGCTATAAGGACGATGAAACAGTTCCAAAGGATAGTAACACGCCGACGTTTGCCGCAATCGTGCTGCACATTGACAATGAACGTTGGCGCGATGTGCCTTTTATCATGAAGGCTGGCAAAGCCCTTGATGAAGGAAAAGCGGAAATTCGCGTTCAGTTCCGCGACATTGAGCATAAACTTGATAAGATTGAGAGAAACGAGCTTGTACTGCGTATCCAGCCAGGTGAGGCTCTCTACCTGATCATTAATGCGAAATTGCCTGGCATGGCAAGCACCACTGTTCCTGTGGAACTGGACTTGACGTACCGTGATCGGTTCCAAAATGCTTACATCCCCGAAGCCTATGAGGCGCTTATCCTTGACTGCCTCCGTGATGAGCATGCTAACTTCGTGCGTGATGACGAGCTAGTCGCAAGCTGGTCTCTCTTTACTCCTATCTTGAGCGCCATTGAAAAAGGTGAAGTCCCTTGTGTGCCTTACGACTACGGGTCGCGTGGCCCAGAGCAGCTCAACGACTTTATCGGCAAGTTCGGTTACAAGCACCTGGATAATTACACATGGCCTGGAACAAATGCCAAAGAAGCTGCTTCTAAAGCCTAGAAGCTTTTTTTGATTCTTGGCTGTTGACATCGATGTTTTTGGTGCATGCAGTTATGTTTATCAATGTAAAGTGCTTGGTGGAAATTTTTCTTCTTTCTTGCGCGCACGTCCGACTTGCAATAGTATGGTCCTACTTGGATGTGGTCTTTTTCGACGCGTTGGATGACAGTAGGTTATTGACTATATAGATCCATAAATAATGCTTACAGAGATAGCGTGTTACAATTTTTTTCGGAGAGCGAAGATGGGAGATGCGATAGCGTCATGTAACCATTTGCAGAGCGCCTTACATGGCGAACACAGAATTAGTACATGCTTTGTTGGGTTTAGGAACGAGTCAGTGCCTCGTGCCAACCAAGCAGCGAAATATTTCTTTTAAAACGACGCCAAAATTGTAAAAACTATTGACGCAAAATGTCATGCTACCTGCAACACGACGTCTCTACAGCGAGGCCTTCTTGATGGCCTCATTGTAGCGGGCCTCAGCCTCCTTCCAGTTCACAACATTCCACCATTGCTTGAAGTAGGAGGCCTTGTCGTTCTTGTACTGCAAGTACCACGAGTGTTCCCAAATGTCGCTACCGAGGATCGGGTGGTGCGTCACAAGAGGGTCCTGGTCTTTCGTGGTCACAATTTCAAGGTGACCACCCTTGCTGAGACCAAGCCAGCACCAGCCTGATCCCTGAATGCCAGCCGAGGTGGCGTTGAAGTTCGTCTTGAACTTCTCAACATCGCCAAACTCTTTCTCGATAGCCTGCTTCAACGGACCATCGTGCAGCTGACCACCGCCCTCACTTTGAGGCGCCATGTTCTTCCAGAAGAGCGAATGGTTGATGTGGCTACCACCGTTGAACTTGATGGCACTCTGTAGCTCAATCTGCTTGCGGAGGTCACCGTTCTTCTCGGCCTCGGCGAAAGCCTTGTTCGCAGCATTCAGGTTGTTGATGTAGGTCTGATGGTGCTTCGAGTGGTGAAGCGTCATGATCTCGGCAGCAATGAACGGCTCGAGAGCATCGTAAGCATAAGGAAGAGGTGGAAGAGTCACGTCAGCTGCCAAAGTTAATGACCGAGTTCTATTGAGACACTTTTTCGTACGTACTCATGATGATGTGTATGTGAGAAGTTACATGGCCCGAACTCGTACGGCCAAATGTCGAGACCCCAGCGCCGATAAATGGCGACATGATGAGGCGTCCCCGGCTTTAAAGCCAGCCAATCAGCGCTTTTAGAGGTGTGCTCGATTCATCTCATGGGCCACACATATTCACGTGAAGGCGCTTACGAATTCCTGCGGCGCTGAACTGAACCAAACGAGCCCCTACGTAGCCTGTTGGCCTGTAGGTCTGTACAGCTGAGGGCCTCCGTTAATCAACATATAGACTGCAAATTACACATTCTATTTATGTGGAAACATCATCATGATCCGTAGCATCAGCACTGCGAGAATCTTGGTCCACCAAATCGAGGGATCTCGACGCATCGCGCCGACGTGCGCGTGATTTCATCAATGCCTCCAGTCGCTTCCGGCGAACGAATGAAGCATTTAGTGGTACCTCCGTGCATTCATCGTCTGCGCTAGATTCATCGTTGCGAGAATTGCTTTCATCGGAATGTTCGCTTGAAGTGTCTCCGTCAGAGCTGATAGAGACTGGGCGTGATGGCTGATTCCGCGCAGATGAATTATCTATCACGGAAACACTCGAGTCAGACGAGACAGATCGAGATTCTTCATCGGTGTGCTCGCTCTCATTGGTACTAACGTTGACATCGTCACCTTCGTCGACATCATCATCGACAACGAAGTCGTCCAGCGAGCCTGCGTCTTCATCATCGTTGTCATCATCAGATATCATATCTGAGTCATCGTGCACATTTTCAGAGGCATGCCACGCACGCTCTTCTTCAGACAAATTTTCGTAGATAATGCCACTTCCATATTAGTCGACTTGTTCATGACAGATTGCAAATGAACATACCATTCTCGATTTGTACACTGGCCTTCAAGGATTTCACTTGAACACATGCCACAGCGAAGCACTCCATCGTCTTGGTCACGAATGACATGATAGAATGTCGTAGGGTCAAAGAGTCCATCCCATAATGACTGCTGTATCTCGTTTGTCGATGGTGCTGTTCCCCGATAATTATGAATTGCTGCAAGAACATCTTTTAACGCCCAAAGTTCTAAAGGGGGTGACACGATCTGGGCACGACAGCTTGGGCATACTTTCTTTCGGCGCACAAGCCCCGTGCGTCGCTCTTCATATGGATCCTCATTCACTTCTTGTGCCACAGAGAACCACGACACTAGACATGACGCACAGAACACGTGCCCACACGGTGACAGTCTGGATTGAATTAGTGTCGCAAGACATACACACAAGGACGATCATATAACTCAATACATATACCACACAAGAGCCCCTGCTCGATCTGCGCGAGTGCATCTTTTGCATGATTCTGATAATCATCATGTCCGTTCGCTACATCGTCACTATCACTATCCAGTTTGGGTCGTTTCCGGATCCCAACACTGTCAATGCGCATCACACCGGACGTCAGCCTGCGCGCTGAGCACACGCGTGTTCTGGCGTGAACGAAAGAGGCGGGGTGAGCCGGTACTGATGTGTCACGTGATGTTGCCGCAGCGGACAAGGTGTGGCCAAACAGAGAATTGGACGTGCAAAAAGGGAGGGGAGAGTAGAGGCGAGGTTCGCGGTCACTGAGTCGCCTAAACGCAGGTGAAACCACTTAGCCAGTAACCAGTTGTGGAAGGACGATGGAGAACGAGGATCTTATTGATTACGAAGAAGAAGTGTCAGTGCCCCCCTCTGGTACTACGCAAGCCGACACAAATGCTTCGGCAGGAGCAGCTCCAGCCGGTGACGGTGACGAGGGCAACAAGAAGGTTCGTGTTGAGTTAGGCATTGGGAAGTATGAGTTTGTGTACTAACAAACATGCAGGGTAGTTACGTGGGTATTCACTCTACCGGGTTCCGTGACTTTTTGCTGAAACCAGAACTGCTCCGAGCCATCAGCGATCTAGGCTTTGAGCACCCATCTGAGGTGCAGCAAGAATGTATTCCTCAGTCGATTCTGGGGATGGACGTCGTGTGCCAGGCCAAATCAGGTATGGGTAAGACGGCCGTCTTTGTGCTGGCCTCGCTCCAGCAACTGGAGCCTGTGGATGGAGAAGTGTCTGTGCTTGTGCTGTGTCACACGCGCGAGCTTGCATACCAGATCCGCAACGAGTATGCGCGTTTCACAAAATACATGCCCGAGGTTCGTACATCCGTCGTCTATGGAGGTACCCCCATCAAGGAAGACCAAGCCATGCTCGCAGACAAAGCAAAGTGCCCCCACATCCTTGTCGGAACACCTGGCCGCATGAATGGTCTCGTGCGCGACAAGTCGCTTAAGGCTGGCGATGTGAAGCACTTCGTGATTGATGAGTGCGATAAAATCTTGGACAACTTGGACATGCGTCGTGATGTGCAGGAAATTTTCCGCGCTACGCCTCATCACAAGCAGGTCATGATGTTCAGTGCTACGTTAGCGAAAGAGATCCGTCCAACATGCAAAAAGTTTATGCAGAACCCACTCGAAATTTATGTGGACGATGAAACCAAACTTACGCTCCACGGTCTTCAGCAGTACTACGTGCGACTGGAAGAGGCGGGGAAGAACCGTAAGTTGAATGACTTGCTCGACACATTGGAATTCAACCAAGTGATCATCTTTGTCAAGTCCATTTCTCGTGCGAACCAGCTTGATCAGCTCCTGCGCGAATGTAATTTCCCATCCATTTGCATCCACGGTGGTCTGCCACAGGACGAGCGTATCAAGCGCTATCAACAGTTCAAGAACTTTGAGAAGCGTATTCTTGTGGCTACGGACATCTTTGGTCGTGGTATTGATGTCGAGCGCGTCAACGTGTCGATTAGTTACGATACGCCCTCTGACGCAGACTCATACCTGCACCGCGTGGGTCGTGCGGGTCGATTCGGAACGAAGGGATTGGCCATTACGTTCGTGTCGAGTGACGAAGATGCAGAGGTGCTCAAACAAATTCAAAGCCGCTTTGAGGTGGCTGTGCCAGAACTGCCGGAAACCATCGAGGCTAGCACATATATGAACGCCTAGGTGTTTTTTTCGGTTTTAACGTTTGTAGTGTAATAAAACCCTATTGGTTGCTTGTTCAAGCTTGTATGCCCTGGTGCCATAATGAAGGCTTATTCATGACGAAATGAGCATTTGGGCAGAGAAACACAAAGGATTACCAGCTTTCATGTCCCCCGACAATTCTAGGTAGGGCGGCTATTCGGGCAATGCAGCGATGGGTGTATTTTGTGGAGAGCCTTGGCAAGCTCGCCTGACTGGTCTCCCACCATGGCGACTGACCGTAGCCCCGATATTTCAGCGCCTGAAAATGCAGACTTTCAGAAAGTCGAGTATTGGGACAAGCGCTATGCGTCAGAGGCGGAAGACACCGATTTCGACTGGTTTCGGAAAGTATGTACAAATGCTCGAGTTTATTCACACCTACTTAGTATAGTGATATCCAGTATGTGTGCGTGACTGATGAAAAGAATGCATAACACCCGAGACACATATTTCATGAGCTCGTGCCTGATCGAAAAAGCCGGATCTTGATGCTGGGATGTGGTAACTCAAGTACGTCGTTGGTATCTTATCACGTAACAAGACAGCCCTGAGCAAGGACATGCTGGATGATGGTTACACGAACATTGTGAGTATGTATCAGTCAAAGATCAAGATATGAGGATGGGGAGAGGAGTGAGAACAGGAGGTTAATTTCATTCTCAGATCTTGACTATAGTTCTGTGATTATTGAAAAAATGCGCGCACGCGTACCAGAACTAGATTGGCGCATTATGGACATTCGCGAGCTAGAACAACATGCATCAACACTGGGTGGCCCTGGCACTTGGGACGTGATAGTCGACAAAGGTGTGTATTTTCTATTGTTTTATCTTATTTACAAACAGGCACGATGGATGCCCTCATGGCAGAGAATGGGTCTGTGTGGAATCCTAGCGAGCAAGTGCTCCAGAATGTGGCAGCCGAAGTCCAGGGCGTTCTACAGTATGCATACTCGGTGATCGTTTGTCAGCGTACTTACGCACAGCTTATTGAAACCTGCCACGGGCCTGTTCCTTTACTTCACATTCGGTCAACCACATTTTCGAAGGCCGCATATGCAGCGCGATGCATGGACGATCGAGACTCGAGAGCTTGGTGACATGTTTCATTACTACTTGTACATCTGCCGCAAGCATGAATAAGTGACAATAAAAGTCGCTGAAGCTCGGACGCCAATCAGTGTTGATGATGATAGCTTCCATACTGAGATTGATAGCGATGTTCGGAACGATTGTTCGAGCCATGCTTCTCACGACGAGGCAAATTTTCACCCTCGCGATATCGACTAGGTCCATAAGAGGCACTATGCCTCGAGCGGTTATCACGCGAGGTTACCGGCTTATAATGACGATCTACATCGCGTCGTTGTCCCGAGATCATCGTGGGAGAAGCGCGCTCCTTCGCACCGAGGCCCAAAAGAGCTGCGCGGCGTTGAATGATTGGTGCATGCGCAGGCCCATTCCGCCGTTTTCCCGCGCCCATACCTTCTTTCCAACCCATCCCACGTAGCATTGCTGCCCCAAATTCTTCGACAGGCATACTTTGATAGTCATCCAATGTTGGCTCATTTGGTCTTGTACCCACATCGCGATGAAACATCTCCTCCTCGTTAGGCTGCTGAATTACTTTGGCTAATGGATTGGAAACAGCTCCCTTCTCTCCTGCAAGCAAGGCTTGCAGAGCATCATGGTCAGTAGGTTCATTGCTCGTTGAGAAAGACTCTCTAGGCGTCGATGCCCCGGAGGATATTTGTTCTGCCGGTGGTGTGGAGTCACGCTCCGTTCCTTCCTTGGGTGCACGACGAACCAAACCTTGCTTTGAAGGCTCGGAAAAAGCCTGTTCAGTGGCAAGTTCATCGGGCGGCTGTCGCGATAAAGACGTCAACCTTTTCGAGCCTGGTGTGAGAGGTTCCGATTGCCACCCATGCTTCTCTGAAATCCCAATTCTTCGTCTCCGCTCATCATGCCAATTAGATGAAGATATAAGTGGAATCACCTTGGGCTGAGGAGCTGTCGTCCGGGACGACGATGCAGCTGCATCGTCACGTTTGCGCTTTCCACTCAATGGCACGTCTGCGTGTTTACCAGATGCATGCACATCTTCATCCATGTCATGATCAATCCAGACCTTTCGTGCATTTAAAGGGGACACCTTGGAACCTGCATGTTTGAATGAAAAAGAGATAGGCATGCGCGATGGTTCGCCGCGGCTCATGTGCCGCTCGTGAATGAAACAAGCACGTCGAGCCGACAATCTTTGAACCTGGGTCTCACACGCCACTAGGCCGTGCGTAATTTGTCTTACATAATTTGTGCCCCGCGTCTAGACCACTTAGCCACGCCGCCCGTCCCAACGCCGCCACAAGTTCAAATATTGCTACGCCGTTTTTTTTTCGCCATCACACAGCTCTTTAGACCGCGTGGTACAGTAGAAAGAGCGTGTGGGGTGAGGTGCCAATCGATTTTCAAAAAGCACTCTTCAGGCTTCTATGATGAAAGTATTCGTGTCACTGTCACTGCTTCTTGCTGCTTCAGTGGCGCTTGTTGATGCCGGCGTCTTCAAGACAAAGCTTTCCAAGATGCCGTATGCCAAGGAAAGAACGCTTGCTTCGATTATCTCTCAGGCCGAATTTCTAGGTTTCAAATACGGTGTCAATAACAAGCAGCAGCCCTTTTCTTTATACCAGGATGCATCTGGCGACTTGCGTGTGCAAAGCGCTGACGCCGGCATGGTATCAGAGCAGTGGCATGCACGTGCGAAGGCAGGTCACAATGTGCCGTTAACCGATTTTCTGAACGCTCAATACTTTGCCGACATCGAGCTTGGCTCGCCTCCTCAAAGTTTCAAAGTAATTCTCGACACCGGTTCAGCCAATCTGTGGGTCCCGTCGGAGTCGTGCACATCAATCGCGTGCCTTCTGCATAAGAAATACGACAACTCACTATCAAAGACTTACCAGGCTAATGGGAGCGAGTTTCAGATTCACTACGGCTCAGGTAGTATGGAGGGCTTCGTCTCCCGAGATACGCTCAGGATTGGAGACCTTGATGTCAAGGACCAGGACTTTGCTGAGGCAATAAAAGAGCCTGGCCTTGCTTTCGCTTTTGGAAAATTTGACGGCATCCTAGGTCTTGCATACGACACGATCAGTGTAAACAAGATTGTCCCGCCTTTCTACAGGATGAAAGAGCAGAATCTGCTAGACCAAAACCAATTTGGATTTTATTTAGGCTCAAGCGAGTCAGAGGGCGGTGAGGCTACGTTCGGTGGCGTAGACCCTAGTCGATTCGAAGGTCCGATTGTTTATGCGCCCGTTCGTCGCCGTGGTTACTGGGAAGTAGCCTTAAACAAGATTGGTTTCGGCAATGAAGAGCTGGTCCTGACCAGGACGGGTGCTGCTATTGACACCGGCACGTCGTTGATTGCGATGCCAACGGACGTTGCTGAAATCCTCAACAAAGAAATCGGCGCAAAGCGCAGTTGGACTGGGCAGTACAGTGTGGACTGCAGCAAAGTACCAAGTTTGCCGGCTCTAACATTTTATCTTGACAACAAGCCTTACACGCTGGAGGGAAGAGACTACATATTTAACGTGCAAGGTACCTGTATTTCGCCGTTCATGGGCATGGACCTGCCTGAACCCGTGGGACCATTGTGGATCGTGGGCGATGTGTTCCTGCGCAAGTTTTACACAGTGTACGATCTTGACAAGGACGCTGTTGGCTTTGCCAAGGCTGTGCATCATTAATCATCTTGATTTTTTCCACTAAAGTCACTCCAATATTGTCGATAGCCTTTCTACACTTTGCATAATTCTAGTGTCCATGCGCGCCCATCACCAATTTAGATTACATTAGATTATCGCTTGTGATTGGTTGTATTTAGATGGGACAAGCGTCTCTAAATTCTACCGAATGTGGATCATAATGTGACAGAGACCTAAATAGTTCATCTAAATTGCCAAAGGACTAAGTTCGTCTCCATACGTCTAACACCTTCTCACCCCCATCCCCTTTCTTTGCGGCTTTCGGATCCCGTTGGGCAGCCTCTTTCCCCTTACCTATACTCATAAGAGTAACAGCCGCTGGCACGGTTTCCACTCACGAACCCTCCCCTTGAACCCTTTTTTACGCCACTGCAGGCTCAGTGGTTTCCCTGTTTGGCACATAAGCGATCTGGTATTGCTTTCTGCACTGCGCAATTGTTTCATACACCTGCCTTTACACGTTAGGAATATGAAATACTGCTCGGCTGGACCGAGCATGATTCGTTGGAGTCTTGTGGGCATTGTGATAGCTGCTTTGATATGCACGTCATGCGTGGAAGCTTTGCCCCATCGTCACTTGAATGGACGCTTGCTGCACGCTCGAAACACCCCTGATGAGCATCAAGCAGTGCCAACAAGCAGTACGGTGGATGTTCCATCAGCGCTTGAAAGCACTGTGTCCGAAGTGTTTGACAAGCCTCGCATTGGCGTCACCAAGGAAGGTCACAAGGTTCCTTCTTATGGCAAGAGGAATGAAACAGAAAGGAAGAAGCTTGCTGAAGAACTTCACCGTTCGATTCAGAAGCAGCTCGAGCAAGAAAGCGTAAATGGAGGCGTTGAGCTCGACCTAAGTAGCATTCTTGGCGACATGTACAATGGCCGACTCAAAGTGGAAGGCGAGATGGACAAGAAGCATAACAAAACTGATGTGAGTGAGACAATTCCCAAGTCGAAATCGTCGTCTTCGAGGTCCAAGTCGCATTCATCGTCGTCTTCGTCTTCTTCGGAATCCAAGTCAGTAACGTCTTCATCGTCAAAGTCTAGGTCATCGTCGTCGTCGTCTACGACTTCATCTTTGTCGTCAAGCTCGACATCAAAGACCAAGTCTCCAGCTTCAAGTTCATCATTGAGCTCGACGTCAAAGACATCCACTATCAAGACATCTTCCTCATCAAAAATGACGACGAAAAGACTTTCATCTTCCTCGGGCTCGACTTCCTCGTCTAAGAAGAGCTCGTCTTCGTCGTCATCCAAGCCTTCATCCTCGTCGAAACCATCTTCCAAGACGTCCACTTCGTTGTCCAACTCCCAGACGACGACGTCTAAGTCACCAAGCCCTAAAGGCCGTACTGCTGCTCGCGTTGGCAACAAGTTGGGGCATGGTGGATTTTATCGCATCGCCAAAGACAGCCCTGCATCATCGGCACAGCGTCTGGGTCATTCCAGCGTTAATGGTGGCCGCGTAGCATCTGTATCAGCAGATGAGCCTCATGGCAACTTGCCCAACCAAAGTGTAATCACGAACAATCCATCTTACGGATTCTTGGAGGCACAGGATGATTTGTACACGATCCGAAAATGGGCTGGCGACCTTGGTAAACTTGCTAGTAAGAAGAACAGAAACGAGACAATTATGGCTCTCTTTAATGCTGCTTCACGATACTACCCTGATGTGGACACAAAAGTGGTCGTCCGAATCATGCTAGCAGACATCAAGGCTGAGTCAGACTTCCAAAAGTCGAACCAGAGCCCCGGCCGTGTCGATTCAGGCGACAGTCTGGGTCTCTTGCAAGTAAGTCCGTATGGCTCAGGTGAGTTGAAGCAATTCCAGAACATGGTTCAGGTTGAACACAACACATACTCTTGGGCTATCGGTACAGCGTCTGAGGGAGAAGTGGATGGGGGTGGTCGTTCGGAATTAGGTGCACTCGTTGATTTCAAGACGAATAAGCGTATCGACTTGGACAGCTTGTCTGAAGATGATCTGAGCCGCCCTTGGATCAACATCCATATTGCCATGTGGATTCAGTCGAATCTGGCTAGGACGGGTAGTCAAGACCCTAGCTCATGGAAGAAGATTGCTTCGAACAGCAAAGCCGTTAGGAAAGCGTATGCACCGGCAATGAAACAAATCATCTCTTCGATCGAGGAGAGCAGCAACAACGATGATACAGACTCGAGAGAGGCGGCGGCATGGTCGAATTCGTCCTCGAGTTCGTCGTCATCAAGCTCTAGCTCTTCATCTTCCTCGTGGGACAAGGAGGAGTACGCAACGAAGCTTAAAGCACTTAATAAGCAACTCAAGGGATCACACAGCCAAAAGCGAAGCTTTGCAACAGGTCTAGGCTCCTGGGTTGCTGGTCCTTCTGCAGACGACAGCTCGGGTTACAACCGCTCAGGCGATGATGTCAGTAACAATTACTTTAAGAATATTGGCGAAGGCCTCTCTGTCATGTACACTGGTAGTACCAGCCACCGAGACAAGTACGGCAAGTCTTACCTTGAAAGCATTGAGCTTGTCGGCGGCCTCGTCGACTATAAGGAGTAAAAGAAGATACCTCGCCGTGAACGTTTTTGAAGCCTGTACATGTAAATTCCCTGTTGCTTTTGCTGTTCTTTTTTCGTTGTGTCGAAGCAAGAACTACTTCTGCGAAAACATGCGAGCTCAAGATATCTGTGTCCTGGTGGTACATTCTTGCTCTCGCTAATGTTGCAAGATCTAGTTTGCTTCTTCCCTTGATTGTATAATTTACAATTCGTCCGATTCACTGTTCCTCTTTGATCCCTTTCTATTTCTATCTTTAGTTTTTTTCGCCTAGTAAAGTAGATTTGATATGACGCATTTTAAATATTTAAATTATACAGAATGTGAGACAATACAATGTAGAGCGACTGGATGGCGCAATGGAAAAAGGAGCCTAGGGAATGATATTCAGTGCTTCGTCCACAAAGTTTATCGTAACATGTCGAAACGGTTAATGATTAAGTGGTATTTGGATCCTGCAGTACTACAAGTACGTATGTTTCGCCTGATTGTGAGCATAATTCTTCATGGTGGACTTGAATATAAACATACTGGGTGTGATTAATAGTTCATAAGCGCCTGTTCGGATCCGCATGAGCCCCAGTTGATCATTGTCTTCTAACACGCGTACATGCCGCCGAGTGACATTAAGCGTATCACGAACGAAGTGAACAATCTGTGCGAGCTTTTCTTTGGAGGCAAAAACGACACCGCCACTCCAAATAACACGCAAATCTGACGCAGTCAGGGCTATGCATCCGCGCACATGCTGATGCCGCGCGAGCTGTGCAAGTACGCGCGCTGCCTCTTCTGGTACGCCACTTGCAGCAGGGGCAGCGACCTCTTCAGCTGTTAGCAATGACGGTGTTGTCGTCATACACCTGGAGGAAGGTGCGTAGATAAAAAAATTATCCTACAAACAAGGAGACCTGTAAATGACGTGTGGAGATGGGGAATAGGTGGGGATTAAAGCTTCACGAGGCGCGCAGCCAAGTCTCGAGCCAGGCGAGGAAGAAACCACTAATGAGTCTTCTTATGCCTCCACATCAGCGCTGCCGAACGAGCCACGGATGGCTTGCGTGGTGTTTTCGTACAACTCCAAGTTGAGAGCGGCCAGAAAACATGGCACACTATGTCGGATTCCATCGCTGAGCCAGTAGTCACGCAGGTGTGACACATTTGCAAGCCCATCATTAGCCTCGCCCTGGAGCTTCATCTCACCAACATTACCCTCTTCAGACCGAAAAACGAGCGTAGTACCACGAGCTCCGCCTGCATACGCCGATGTTAATTTGACCTTGCCATTTTCCATGAACCGGACTTTGTAGCCGAACAAGGACTGTACAGCCTCACGGAACTCATTTGCTTTTGCCGTGAAAACCTGCTTTAGTCGAAGCATACCCTTGTCTTTCAGCTGCAATGACTCCTGCATTTGGGCAAGCTCAGTGCGCAAATTTTCGACGGTCTGGAGCGGTACGAGGGCATCAGTAGGCGCAAGCTCACTTAGCTTTGCTGTAGTGCCGGCCATTGCGAGTTCCTTGTGAAGAGACTCCACTTGGTTTAACAACCCTTGGTTCTCTTTCCTGAGGGCTTCCAGCGCTGAAGTTCGAACAGCCAAGTCGCGAGACACTGGGTTGTCGGCAAGCACCAAGCAGCGTTCATTCGCTACATTGTACTCGCCACGTCCAACGCGCATCCAAAGCGTTTCGTTTTCAGATTCGAGCGATTGAGCATGCTTTTCTAGATCACGATACTGTGTCTCCCATGTCTCCAGCATGTGCTGGGTTTCTTTGGACACAGTGTCGGGAGCCGGCACCTCCGTTTTGATCGTGTTTGTATCGCGTAGTTTTTGCCTGAGACTCTCGCACTCTGCTTGAAGAGAAGTGATGCGCTCTTCGAGACCAGAGATGCGGAGCTGATGCGTCGATTCATAGGACGCGTGACCCTGCTGCGCCTCTTGCTCAAAAGATGCAAGTACTGCCTTACAGCGATGCAGATCATCGCTCTCGATATCAGCTCGCCGCTGTGTGCGCAGCAATAGCTCGGACGTATGCTCTAATTCCCTCCGTAAGCTGATCTCAGTCTCAGAGTCCTGCGCTGCGCGTCGACTCAGCTCGACATTCGTGGTGCGCAGTTGTTCCGCTGATAGCTTAAGCCCCTCAATCCGAGCAGTCAGTCCCATTATGGTGCCTCTGAGTGTTGAGATGTAGGCCGGTAGAGTTTCTGGTGTGAGTGTGTCAGGCACGCCTAGCTGAGGCACTTGATCGCTCGCTTGAGCAGCAGCCACAAACGCTGCTTGCTCATCAGTCGCTACGCCTTTGCTAAGGACGGAAATCCAGCGTTGCTGCTCTTCGTGAATCGAGGGCAGCTCGTTGTCCTTCTTTAACAGCGCCGCTTGCAGAGCATCCATGCGGTTCAACTTGCTTTCAAGGCCCTTGTTCGTTTCGTGAAGCACATCTACGCGTGCACTAACTTCCAGCAGGCGCGTATTTTCAGCCTTAAGTCGCATGTTAGCCGCTTCAAGACGATGAACAGCTGTGATGTGTTGGCTGAGCTGGTCCTTGTATAATGCTACATCGTCTGCATCAGATTCAGCGCGACGGTGAGGCGATGCTGCGGACTCGATTTCTTCAATTCGTGCATTCAATGCTTCGTTCTTGTGTGATAAAGTCGCATTCTCTGTGCGTGCAAGCTCGTATTCCGCCTGCAAGTGCACGAGTTGTGATTGACACGATGTGACGTCGGCGCGTGCATCGGATGCTGAGGCTTGGCACTGGGCTCTCAGTTCTTCGTTAATGGAACGAAGATTCAAAGTTTCTGTGCGCAAAGAAGTAAGCTGCTCTTCCAGATTTGCTTTTGCCTTCTCCCAATCCTTCTGCCTCTCCTGCTGCAAAGCTCGCTCTGTTTCCCATTCTCGAAGTACTTCAACTCGCTGGCATTTGAGTGCGTCAAGTTCGCGCGACTGTGAGCGGAGCTGCGTCTCAAGTGTTTGATATGCACGCTGTTCTGTTTGGATACGCCGATCATACTCAGTGCGTAGCATTTGTAGCTCGTAAGCATGATCCAATGTCGGCGAAGAAGTCAAAAGATTGTCGGACTTCCCTGAACGATGACGCGCTAACGGTGTGTTCCATGGTTCAGCACTCCCGGTTGAGCCATCTGTGGCACGTGGTGCCGTAGCAAGGGCCGATGAAACGAGCGGTCGTTTAGCCAACGACGTTTGCGGTGTGGAAAATTCCGAGTCTTGGAGATGCGTAGATGAAAAGCTCCGCTTTCCAAGAAGAGACTCTTCACGTACCGGAGTTGTCCTTGAGCGAGAAAGTGAACGATAACTGCCCAGGGGCCCTTGGGCGCTGTGCGTGCGTCGTACAATCGAAGACGACCCCGGCGCGGACGCCTGCCCTGGCGTGGCACGTCTTGTGGATGCTAAAGGCAAAGAAGAACCCAGTGCTGCAACACTGCGGCGCTGAGACGTATTCGATGGTGTAGAGAGAGACGATGCGTCTGCATGAGGAGGTGCGTCGCGATCGCGCCGTGACATGGCACCGCTCATTGATCTGGCGGCACACACTCCGGCACAATCGCCACTCCTCATCCAATCGAGATCGTGGAGGTAGCTGCACCACGTGGCATCGTTGACTAGCACTTGCCAGGAGCAAGTGTTCTCTCTCTCCGACGATATGTCGAGGACACAATGCGTCAATGAACACGTACTTTATCTTGGGATCTAGGATATACACAAAGAGACTAGAAACGATGGCTACGGATACGTATATGCATATGTATATATATGCATATACATTTATGTGTGTGGGTTGTAATACACGCTTATATGAAGGATCGTGACATTATGCAACGGCAGCGGTCATAGAAGACATACTGTTGACCCGACTCCAAAAAGCATTCGAAGATGATTCAGGGTATGAGGATGAGTTTACATCCTTGTGAGCATTTTGAAGCGGCGCAGATGGTAGTTTGGGGGACGAACGAGACACAGGCCTATTCTGGTTGGCATTAACGTCCGGCAGGTCGGACGCTGAGCTCGCACTGCGTTGAAGAACACTGAGGAATTTTGATACATCAACCGCTGAAACAGTGCGAGGGCGTTGTGAACGTAATTCTTCTTGGAGGTGATGATTTTCCAATCGAATAGACGAAAGTTGGTCTTGAAGGTGTCGAATGACTGAGTCCCGCTCTTTGAGCTGGTCCTCTAGTAGCGTGATGTACTCTTTGCGTCGGTTTCGGAAGTTGCGAGCGGAAATTTTGTTTCGTAGCTGCCGTTTTTCTTTACTCGATAGTTTATTGTATTCCTCCAACGATGGACGCAGATCATCAAGGTCTAAGCTGGGACTGTGGCTTCGTTGACGCGGCAAAGAGCCTACGCATTTACTGCTTGGGCGTGCGAATTCCTCAGCAGCACCCAGGCGCATCGGCGTAAATGCCGTGAATGCGGACGTCGTGATAGTAGAATTCGTAGTTTTGGTATCAAGATCGCACACATCTGATTCAGACTCGTTCTTGATTGGGGCAAGTGGTTCTTGAGAGACGTATGATGAAGTCACTGGCGCACCGATCTTCCGTTCAGATGCAGCAGGCAAGAGCATTTTTGGATTGATGCTAGCATCGGAAACCAAAGGCTGCTTGTCTTCAACAAATGGCGAATTGTGAAGTGATTCATGTGTGTTCGATAACGTCTCTTCAAATAGGGGCACATACAATAGCGGATCCATGCGTTCAGGGGTGGCTGGAGACTGATTTGACGCGAAATCAAGATCCAAAAGAGTGCTCGTTTCATTGCCGGTACCCCAACTCAATCCATCTGAAGAGGAGGTAGAAGAATAGGTATGGACCTCCTCATGAGAGGGAGTCATATCTGGTGTAACGGCTTGGGTCGCAGCATATGATGCCGAGTTTACGACGTCGCGTGAAGAAGCGTTTGACGTTTCTTGAACATGAGAAGCAAGAGCAGACTCTGTGGTAATGGGGGATTCGAATACATCATCAGAGACATAATCATGCTGAAACACACGTAAGCGCGGGCTCGTACGTACAATAAATTCTTCTGGTGTCTCGCACTGTGGCAACACATCGACATGCCCAGGGCGATGAGTCATAGCGTATGTTGGTGGATGTTGCAGTACATGTCCTGCCATTCTGGCAGTAGAGGATGACCGAGGTTTGTGTGAGAGAAGTTCCTTGAATGCAAGCCTGTTGCAAGCAGAGCGGGTAACGGTGGCAACAAGTGTGGCGAGAAGGGACAAATAAAAGCCTTAGGTGGACGCCACAGTGCATGTATGAGAATGTGGGCGTGTGGGCGTTGTCTGACAGCGTGTATGCAGCTGCCGAACAAGTGGAGGGTCCAAGTGTCACCAATGTATATTTTTTCCATTCGCTTCGATGCGGGGTCACAGGTGAGCTGGCACTCTAGGACTGATTACGTGTTGATTGCTTTACCACCACTGGTGTCGTACAATTTGCGTGTGATCTGTGCGGCATGAGCGAAGTCCAGCAGGAGAAGCGGCAGCTAACAATAAAAACGGGTGTGGTTCAACGGTATGTATACGTACGAAAGCGCAAGAAGCTAATGCGTGGTAGCTTGGCAAAAGAGCTTGGCGTTTATCGGCAAGAAGCAGATGAGCAGGCTGTTCGCGTGAAACAGTATGCGTCCCAGGGAAAGGATGAATGGGATGTGAAGAAGCAGGTATGTGTGCCATTAATTTGTCCATTTCAGTAACACAAAAATGTAGGAAGAAATCCTTCGTGACTGTCAGCAAATGGTGCCTGATACATCAAGACGTCTCGCAGCAGCCATCTCAGATCTTGAGTCTTGCATGGTACGTGATCTCTTAGGCCTACGCATTTTTTCGAACCAAGCCACGTCGCGCATAGACATGAATGCTCATACCTTTTGACAGAACGGCCTTAGCAGCGATTCTAAAGGCACAGATGCATATTCTACTGCAATGAGTGCGCTTGAGTATGCGAAGGCCCAGTCGTCATCGTTCTGAATCGGGCATCTCCGTCTCATCCACCATCTTGCTATATTTTTTTTTCTTTTGTACACGCACGCTCCAACTCTCTCGATCTTTCTCCGTAGAAGTGGAGGATGAATCAAAAAAAATTGCTTTAGCAGTACCCAATCACTTGTGTGCACTGGGTGTAACGACGCCTGTAGCACAGGCGAAGCTTTTATCCTAGTCATCACGACGTTGGATTGTTGTTGTCCAAGTGCAGATATGGTGCATCCTCCTCCTATGCAAGTCAAGTTTCTCGGGACATGCACTTCTCCATTATTGACAAGAAATTATTCAAGGTTCGTAAATGTTGAGTCTGCGAGTTGGTTTGGGTATGCTAACGCTATAATTGAAGTTTGCTTGTTAAATGGGACCACGAAACGGTGATGGTGTGAGTATAGAACCAATGGGATTAGAATGAAAATACTAACATTCAGTGACTGCGGTGAAGGTACGCAGCGCCAACTTCTACTGCCGCACGTAAATTCCCATACAAAACTCGCACAGATTCGTACGATTCTGATTACACACTTGCATCCAGACCGTGTGTATCATGACTACTTGGCTAACATACAGACATACTAGGCCTGACACCCCTAATATTCAGCATGATGGGGCTCAGTGCTTCTGTGCCCAAAGATGGGAAACCACGACTGCAGCTTGTTGGTCCCTTAGGATTGCGAGCATTTCTGCGTGCAACGCTGTCAATCACGTATGCATCGCTGAGCAGCCACTTTATCGTACATGAATTGTTATGGCCGTCACAGCCAGCATACCCACACAACCCTGAAGGCATTTCTACATTCTCATACACAGAACAGGATCCATACCTGCCCGAAGGAGTGCGTGGTCAAGTACGCACTTTGCCACTGTTGCCGCCGCATGAAAACGAATTACCTGGTCGTGACATCCGGATGAATGAGTCAACCTGCACATGGCCATCGATTCTTCAATTGAGTAATGTCACGATCAGTGCCGCTCCCATCACACACAGATGTCCAACAGTAGGCTATGTATTTCAAGAAGGTCCTACTGCTTCACGGTCCGTCTCGCAAGAAGAGTTGGCTATCATTGATTCGAACAAAGATGCTTTGTTCGAACTTTATAACATCCGCTCTCCACGCTCCTTGCTTTCCCGTGTCATGAGAGATCGAGAAACCATCACTTTACCAGATGGCCATGTCCTAAGTCCACCGCCGCTAGACAGACCCGGACGCAAATTATGTATTCTCGGTGACACGAGTGATGCTACGGCAGGTCTCGTAGGGAGAGGAATGGCTTACCTCGCACGCGACGCAGACCTTCTTGTGCATGAGTGTACTTATGCATCTATGAATGCCGAGGACTTGGAAATGGCGCGTATTGAGTCGGAAGAGCACGCACAGATGCTCCAAAAGTCTTTACTCGGAGTCCAGGAGGCAGAAACACGAGCATTGTCCCGTGGTCATTCTGTCCCAAGAATTGTAGGATCGTTTTCTGGCGAGATCCGTGCTCGTCGCGTCGTTCTCAATCACTTTTCTGCACGTCTTCCTGCGCCTGTCGTCTCGACAGAAGCGCCGCTGACCAGCACTCACCAATTGAAACAGGGCACCCCGTTCAAGAATTCTGTGAAACAATTTTATGTCATGCGCGAGATAGAGCGCCAAGTGACCAAGTACTGGCATGCGTCATTACCAGAGGAATTCAGAGAATTTGTCAAAAATGACAATGCTGTTGCTGCCTTCGACGGTCTGGCAATCGACATTGCACCGCACTCTGCCCCCACTGAGCAGAACACGGCATGAACGCGACCCTAGGGCAGGAATGAGTCACGTGCGTCGCTGCCGTGTAAATCCTCCCCTCAGTTGACGGCAGGGACAGGTGTGTGGCATTTCTTGTGCTTGCAACTGTGTGTGGGGGGGCTTTCTTGGCTAAACACTACTCTGTAAGACGGCGCGCGTGTTGCGCTGATGAGCGCGTCAGGTGCAGCATCATCAAGCACTAAGAAGCGCAAATCTATAGATAATGAGTATGAATACGAAAGTTACTTCGATCAAAAAGAAAAGGAGGAGGAGCAGCTAGCAGAGCAGCGCAAACGACGACGAGAACGACTTGCACAGGTCGCGTTGGAGAACCAAGCGGTCAAGGCGGGACCGACCCCTTCTACTGAGCGAAATGACATCGAAATGGGCACGAGAGAAGTGCCTGCAATTACTCCGTCTGAGCAGTTTACAGAATCACACCAGATGGCTCAGCCTGAACGGAGCGAGGCAGAGCTGGACGACATGTTTGATTTGGAGAATCCATCATTCCTAGAATCTAAACAATCGACAGTCACAAAGGATCCAGTGACGAGTGTGGAAAAAGCTTCATTGTATCACATGAATTCTTCTGCAATTGGGCTGCACGACAACTGGGATGATCCGGACGGTTACTATCGCGTGATGTTGGGAGAAAAGCTCCAGAGCAGATACCAGATTTTTTCCATTCTAGGACGTGGTATTTTTGCAACGGTAGTGCGTGCAAAAGATCTGGCACAAAATGGGCGTGAAGTGGCGATCAAAATTGCTCGAAGGCAAGAGACAATGTACAAAGCGGGAATGAAAGAAATCCACATCTTGCGACTCTTGTCAGATGCCGATCCTGACAACAAAATGTTTATTGTCCATTTTTATGCACATTTTGAACATCGTGGGCACCTATGCATGGTATTTGAGTCGTTGGGTCTGAACCTGCGGGAAATTGTCAAGCGTTTCGGAAAGGATGTGGGTCTGAACCTACATGCGGTAAAGACATACACAAAACAAATGCTCCTTGCACTTGCATTGCTCAAAGCGGAGAACATTGTGCATGCAGACATTAAGCCCGACAATGTTCTTGTAAACGATGCCAAAACAATCGCAAAACTCGCAGATTTTGGTTCCGCGGCAAGCACGACGAGTATGGACATTACACCCTACTTGGTGAGTCGGTTTTACAGAGCCCCTGAAATCAGTACGTGTCTACAAAATAGTAAAGGCATATACTTCATGCGTCTTTTCATTTTCTATCGCATTCATGTATCTACTCACACATGTGGCAGTTTTGGGACAGCCAGCCGGATGCGAGGTGGACATGTGGTCAATGGGCTGTACGATCTATGAATTAGCAACGGGCCAGATTCTATTTCCAGGCAAAACCAATAATCATATGCTTTTGCTTATACAGAGGCTTCGGGGCAAACCCCTTGCAAAACAACTGAAAAAATGTGAATTTGCATCACAGCACTTCGAGGACTATCACACGTTCCTGAGCACTGAGGTGGACACAGCTACAGGTGACACAATCGTTAAACGCGTGAATACGACGCATCCGACGGAAGACTTGCGCGAACGATTCCTTCCTGGAGACTTGGCTAAGCGAATGCGGCCTGAGGATCTCCGGCAAACGCAGCTACTAGTGGATCTCCTCCTCCGCATGTTGGAACTGGACCCGTCAAAGCGTATCACGCCTCTGGACGCGTTGCAACACGCGTTTGTCCAATAGGTCACGTGTCGTATAGCGAGGCTGGAGGGGAAAAATGTGTGGGCGAACAATTGACAAGCAGATTTTTTTTTCTGCGAATATTGCATAATTTGCTTAGACAACTACCACGAACAACTCGATTCGAAAATGCCGTACGGTAGTTACAGCGGTGGTAACGCTGATGGAGAGAATGGTGGCTACCGTAGTGGGTACGGTGGCGCTAGCCGCGGTGGATATGGTAGCGGTGGGGGCTACGGAGGTGGCTACGGCGGTGGCTATGGCGGTGGCTATGGCGGTAGCTATGGCGGTGGCTACGGCGGTGGCTATGGCGGTGGCTACGGTGGTGGCTACGGCGGTGGTTATGGCGGTGGAGGAGATCTTGGCGCAGGACTCAGTAGGATCAACTGGAACGAAGCTGATCTTGTTCCATTCGAAAAGAACTTTTACAAAGAGGACCCGCGAGTGACAGAGCGCTCAGAGCAAGAAGTAAATGAGTTCCGTCGTGCTAAAGAAATTACACTGCGGGGCTCAAATGTTCCCAGGCCTGTAACTACGTTTGAAGAGACTGGATACCCTGACTACATCATGCGTGAAATCAACAAGCTTGGATTCACGGAGCCGTCCGCCATTCAGTCGCAAGCATGGCCCCTGGCTCTAAGTGGCCGTGACCTCGTTGCCATTGCCGAAACAGGCTCCGGAAAGACGATTGGATTTGCCTTGCCGAGCATTCTGCATATCAAGGCGCAGGCGCCGCTTCAATATGGCGATGGACCTATTGCCCTGATTCTTGCACCCACTCGTGAGCTGGCTGTGCAAATTCAAAATGAATGCCAGCGCTTCGGATCTGCATGTCGTGTGCGCACAACATCTGTGTATGGCGGTGTGCCCAAGGGACAACAGATTCGCAGCTTGCAGCGTGGCGCTGAGATCGTGATTGCCACTCCAGGTCGTCTCATCGACATGATGGAAATCGGCAAGACGAACTTGCGCCGTGTGACTTATTTGGTGATGGATGAAGCAGATCGTATGCTGGACATGGGCTTTGAGCCGCAGATTCGCAAGATTGTGGAGCAGATTCGTCCAGACCGTCAGACACTGATGTTTTCGGCGACATGGCCTAAAGAAGTGCAGCGTATGGCGTCGGACTTTCTGAATGACTATGTGCAAGTGAACATTGGATCGATGGAACTCGCAGCAAACCACAACGTCAAGCAAGTGATTGAGGTGTGCACCGAGTTTGACAAGCGTGGTCGTCTCATTAAGCATCTGGAGCACATTAGTCAGGAGAACGGAAAGGTCATCATCTTTACAGGAACGAAGCGTGCCGCAGATGACCTGACCAAGTTTTTGCGTCAAGACGGTTGGCCCGGTCTGGCCATTCATGGCGATAAACAACAAGACGAGCGTGATTGGGTTTTGAGAGAATTCAAGTCGGGCAATAGCCCGATTATGGTTGCGACGGCCGTTGCCTCGCGTGGTCTAGGTACGTATCAGTATTGGCAGTCTGTGGATGGCCACCTTGGGCGTCAGAAGAAAAACACACTTGCACCTGCACCCGCAACGACAGCAGCAACAGCAGCGCCATTGGCACCACCATCGACCTCAGAGCTACATCTCACCAGTATTAGAGAAGCAATGCCTGTGCTTGGTGAGAGTGAATCGCGTATGCACGTGAAGTCAGTAAGTTCGACTGGCGAGACATTTCAGGGGGCGCAAGACATGCGCATGACGATGATGATATGTGCATTTTTCGTTTGCGCCGTAGAATGTCTCCTAGTGTTTTCATGGCGAAATCCATGCCATCTTGAGAAAAATGGCTGTTTCTCAGGCTGCATTGGTGCATATGCATGTCTGTGTGTGTGTGTGTGTGATTGCTCCGACCTTTGTGCCTGGGCTTGTAGCCGACTGCCACGTGCCAAAGGACAAAATACTAACGATGCGTGTGTGTGTGTGTAATGTGCATTTTTTGGGTCAGACGTAAAAGACATCAGCTATGGTACGTGCGATTGAGCATGATGAACTGACCAGTCTTAGTGATCAACTCAGACTTCCCGACCAACACTGAGGACTACATTCACCAGATTGGTCGGACAGGACGCGCAGGCCGCAAGGGTGTGGCGATCACCTTTTTCACTAGTGAAAATTCGAAATCAGCGCGTGACTTGGTTGGAATTCTTCGCGAGGCGAACCAAGAAGTGCCTCCTGAGCTGCAGGATATGGTTCGATACTCAGGTGGCGGAGGCGGCGGCTTCCGTGGTCGTGGTCGCGGTCGCGGTCGTGGTGGCGGCTTTGGTGGTCGTCGCTTTGGTGGTCCACGCAGCTCAGGTGCCAACAATATTCAAGTTGGCTCCAGGTGGTGATGCCCCCCTGAGCACGCTATCCAAGCCTAATTTAACCGCATAAAAAGATACATAAGTAAATTGCTTGTAGATGCGTCATTACATGACAGGTTGTGGAGAAAGGACGTGTTGGGTTCAAAAATTAAGTACATGAATGTATCCGTTGGCTAGATCTTGGTAGGGGGTACGAGTTGTGGGTGTTGGAACAGTGTGGTCGGACATCAACATGCGAATCGTGTGTTGGAATGTCAATGGGTTGCGAACATTGAAAAGCTATGCGCCATGGTATGGGCTGCCGTCGTGGGAGGCGTGCCTAAAAGAGCTGCACGCAGATATTGCGTGCTTCCAAGAGGTGAAAATGACGCGTAAGCAGCTCACATACGCCATGTGTGTCATGGACGACTATGAGGCCTTGTAGGACTTGCATCCCACCAAGGGATATACAGGAACGGCAGTGTTTGTTCGGAAAAGGGTATGCAGGCCTTGCAAGGCGCAAGTTGGTATTACTGGGTTGGGCCAGGGCGACCAGATTGGCTTGCCAGCCACGCTAACTCAAAGCGCGACAAATCCCGTCACGTACGCAGCACTCGATCAAGAAGGGCGTTGCATTGTGTTGGACTGTGGTTTGTTTGTGTTGATTAATGTATATGCGCCGAATGAGACGGATGCAGAGCGCGTCACGTACAAGATGGCTTTCTACCATGCGCTTGAAGAGCGTGTACGATCGCTGATCAACGAAGGACGTCATGTCATTGTTGTTGGGGATATGAATGTTGTGGCAAGTCCACGCGATCACTGCGAAAGTGCAAGGGTGCCAGCGGCCGAATTTTCGGCCCATCCTGCCAGACAATGGTTCCAGGCGATCCTGGCTCCTCAAGGTCCTCTTATGGACATGACACGCCACTTTTTTCCGGAGCGAGATCGTATGTATACGTGTTGGAACACGTTGATCGATGCGAGAGCATCAAACTATGGGACACGACTTGACTACACCTTGGTGACACAGGGACTCGAGCCGTGGATCCAGCATGCAGATATTCAGCCTCAAGTCCATGGCTCGGATCACTGTCCGATCTATCTAGACTTGAGAGACTCAGTTGAAACAAGCACAGGTCGCACCTATCTCGTCGACCTTTTGCATGGCGAAAAAGACGGTATGGCCGCGCCACATCCGTTGCCCCGCCTCGCCACATCTCGCTGGGACGCCTACTCGACCAAAACCCAGCCACGTTTGGCCGAGATGTTTGGCGCCCAGCGTCAGCGCCAAGCGGAACTGATCATACCACAAGCAGGACAACAAGAACATAAACTGAATCAGGTGACTACATGCACACCTGAGACAATACCAAAAAGTGAGCTGCCTCATGAACCTGCGCATGGAGCTGCTTTTCATCCTGCCTCCTTGGCGCAATCTGTTGGTGCAAAGACGTGTGCTGCGAGTGGCACGCGTAGCTCAAAGCGAGTGAAAAAAAATCATGCACAAGCGACGCTTACTTCATTTGTGACCAAGCACGTCTCCGATCCACCTGTCACTCGACCCTCAAAGACATTGCTCAGTACCACAACCAACAACACGAAACGCCAAGATACTGCCGCTCAGTGGTCGTCATTGTTCACACCCCACCCTGCACCCATGTGTACGACTCACCGTGAGCCTGCCAAGTCGTTTCTTGTGACGAAGCCAGGTATAAACCATGGCCGCAAGTTCTGGCTGTGCTCGCGTCCAGTGGGTCCTGGATATGATCAACGCACACGCTCACAAACACCGTACCGCTGTAACTATTTTGCTTGGGATTCAGACATTAAACGTAAGCATCGAGAGAAAGAGAGGCAGCAGCAGCAGCAGCAAGCGTCCAACTCGCGTAATGATCCCGATATGCCCACTTAAACGTCCAATGGCCATTTTGCCACGACGTGTGGTGACAAGTCATGTGTTCGTTCATGCCAATACAAATGCGCAGCCCAAGCAATCATGGCTGCATTGTCCATACACAGAGAGACGGGTGGGAAATGCAATGTAACATCGTGCCGGCCGTGTGAGTCCAAGGCGTCACGTAAACGGCGCCGGAGGAATGCATTCGATGCAACGCCGCCGCTGCATACAACGCTTCGGATTTCGTGCGGATGTATGCTCGCACAAGAATTTGCCAATTGCCATCCGCGCCCACGCTGGGGCACCAAGGCGCGAACAATCTTGTCTTCAAGCGGAGCAAACGCGGCGAGCTGAAAGTCGTAGGCGAGGGCAGCCTTCTCCTTGGATGACATAGTACGCGCACCTCCTGCGATTGAAATCTGCCGCATCGCTGCAGAACGCAGTCCCGAGTACGAGAAGGTCGGCGTGCCAAGCAGGATACGTGGCAGGTACGGCTTATCCACAGCTTGTAAAGGGTCATGCTGCGCCGCGAGCGCTTCAACAAGAGCTCCAGAGGCACTTTGCCATCCAAGCTCCAGCTCTCTAGCAAATTTATCAAATGCATTTCCAACAGAATCGTCCAAAGTATTGGCCAAAATTTGGAATGCATCAAGCCCATGCACAAGCACCAGCATTGTATGACCACCCGACACCAGCAGCGTGAGGAATGGGAAGGAAGGAGGCTCTGGTTCTGTCAGAAGAGGTGTCAGGGCATGCGCACGCATGTGATGCACATAGACAAGTGGTTTTCCATGCACAGTAGCAAGGGCCTTGGCTGCCGTCATGCCGACTGCTAGACAGCCTGGCATGCCTGGGCCTCGAGTCACACCAATGCCATCGATATCTTGGATGTTACACCGGGCCGCATCAAGTGCCTTTGCAATGGCTTGCGGTACATGTTGATGGTGACTGCGCGCTGCGTGCAGCGGATGAATGCCCTGGGTGTCTTGGTGGTCTTGGCGGAGGACAATCGACGACAGAACTGTACGGTCGGAGCGCACCACTGACGCGCACGAATCATCGCATGAGCTACAGAGACCGTATGAGCATAAACTTTCCTTTCACGCACCTTTCAATTCCGAGGATAGTTCGCGTTGCATATGCTCGTACGCCTGCCACACACCGTGACGACTGTCGATGCCATAACCGCGAGAAACTTGGAAGCATTGTGCATGTGGAGGCAGAAGATCAGACGCAACGAAAGATCAAATTTCCAAGTCCCAAGAAATCTTTCGCGTGCACTCATATCCTTTCAGTTCTGGAAGCATCTGACTCATTAGAAAAGCAGAGAGGAACAGAGAGACAGGGAGTAGATTGCAAGACGTCAAGGGAGGGATGGTTAAATATACACTTCAATGCAGGAATGACTATGACCAGGTTCAGGGTGGCAGCGCTGCTTGCATTCAGACACTGGGCATACAAACAAATGCGGCTTTCCCGACGGTGCATTGCTCAAGTGAGCGACGCATCGACCATCTATCACATGTCCACAAGGCAGCGCCCAGATGCGGTCATCGCCTGAACCATTCATCAAAAGTGCACGGTGACAACGCGCACATATAGGCGTGGTATTAGGCATAGGCACGACAGCATCATGATCACCTCTAGAAACAGCTTCGACATCAATCGCCGGCTCGACGATGCTCTGCGAGAATCCAGGCATAGGAGCAAGCGGATGTGTCCACGCAGGATTAAATCGTTTCGATGGAACTGGCTGGCCACATTGCACACGCGTAGCAGCGTGGGCATAGGGACGCAGCAGAGTTTGTGGGGCAACGGTAAGTGGCTGGTTTGCTCGAGCCATGTAGCGAGACGCCAGCATTTCAAGGCGCTCCATGAGCTGCATACGATGTGGACTGTTCGACGCGTGCGCAGTGGTGGGGCGGGTATCCAAGCTCGGTCGTCGGCGGGTATATGGGCCCGGAGGAATGCCCTCCTGGATTCTCTGTCCCGGTGGAGCTTCGAGCAGTGGGCCAGACCGGTCGATCGATTCGGTCCGTCTTTGCCTCCTTCGGTTGGGAGTTGCTACTCGTACATCCAAAATAGACACCTCCTCGTCAGAAGACGCGTCTCTTCTGTTTCTAGCTCGATGACGTCGTGCAGACGTGGTACGGGGTGTGTCGTGGCGGGTGGGACCCATGCGCGTCTGTGCAAGAAGGGGCGGCGAGTCTTCCGTCAAATCAATTACAGATGGATCATGATCCATTGCAAAGGAATATGACGCTCACCACTAGGACTTTGGCCCCCCTCCTATATTTACCACTGCGCCTTCCACAAATCTAGCTTGTGGTCAATCACGGCCTGGACGGAGCCACTTAATAGCTGTCGTGGTGCGTTTGTGTGCTTACTCAGAAGTAGTCCTGCCATTCGTTTCGGCCGAAATTAGCCAGCAAACTCAGCATTCGACTGTGGAATTCTTCAATCAGCTTTTCGTCTGAGACGCGGAAAACAAAAAAAAATAACCAGACGCGAAAACAAAAACCGGTACCCTCAATTCTACTCCCTTCACTTCCCACCACTGAGTGTCGGTCTTTTTACCACTATCGGTATTTAACCCAAACCCAGTCTACACGCGTTGGGGTTCCTTAGGTATGTATTTCTCCATGGCATGAATAGCCCTATTAGCCCCGCTTTCTTCCTCGTTCTTTCTTCCCTTCGATGATGTGTCTACATTCCTTTCCCCGGCCTACACGACTATGCCGAGAATACAAGGACACCTGTATGCTGCAGGTATTCGTTTCTTGGTGCATGCCAGCGCCGTTTTGTCTGAGCCTTCTCCCGCTTCCCTATTTATGCCATGCTATTAAATGCATCATTTACTGACATCGACCACAGAAACAAAGAAGGTTCGTATTTTCCTAGGATCGACACAGGTCATGCGAGTTCCCCTACGATGATACACCTGGTATCCAGCCAAAATTCGCAGTTTCCACTCTAAGACCCATGCAGTCCCTAGAGGGGCTGGGGCATTTGGCTCTCCTTCTCGAGAGACTCACTTTGTATGTGTCCATCTCCACCGCGAGAGGCGCCAGCACGAACCCTCCTTCTTGGAGTGCAGGTGCCAGAGGCCATACACGAGTCGTTTGTATCTTGTTTGGATCGCAGCCGGCTCTGGTCTGATGAGGGTCACAGACCTTCCTTGGAAGTCTGAGGGGACCCGCTTACGCCTGCAAGTGATCATCTACATGTACTTTTGATATCATTGTGCTAACAAGTCCAGGTGTTGGTGGCTGTGCTCTCTCACATCAACTTTGGGCCGTATAAGGTACGCAGTGAGTCGCGCCGTCGCTGGCTCCTCAATGTGATGAGCGTATCATTCGATACGTTACCATGAGAGCTTAGGAAGAGCCGTCGTCAGTGTTCATGGTGTGACCAATGGATTCCTGTGTCTGTCTGATGTACGGTCTTTCTTCACAGATTCCGTCTTTGACGTAGAGTCGGTGGATCGAGAGACACGTCTTTGTTCCTCGTTACTCATTGCCTTTCATGTGCGATTGAGTTTTTTGAGAAACAAGTCGTGATACTGTGCATCTCCACAGCTCTGCAGTCGAGTACCATGATTGGTCCCGTGAGTCGCGAGGCCGAAACTAATGGTGACTGAGACTTGTACATAAACAGTCAGTCATGCGGACGCAAGCGAGTCGGCGACTGCGCAATGTTCCGGACGTAACTAACGCTCAGATATGGATTTGCTCCGTTATGGTCTCTCGCGTGGTGGATCCCGACACGCGTCTTACTTGTGGCAAGGTGTAACAAAGCGTTATTTAAGCACGCAACCTGCCGCCACATCGTCGCCTACCACGCATTATCGTATAACTTTGCGTCGCTCAGCTATTGGTCTTCCGAAGCACACTGGTCGAGTTATCGAGGCTCTTGGACTTCGTAAGCGTCTTCAAAGCGTTTACCACCGACAAAGTCCCGACATCGCTGGCATGGTGCTGGCTGTGAAAGAGCTTGTGCATGTCGAAAATGTGCGGTTGATGGAGTCTTCCTCAGACCTCGTGGACGAGGTCGCGAACCCGGTATGGGTTAACGCACAAGGCGAAGTGGTAGATGCAGGACGTCTATCTCGGAAGGCGCCTCGGGGATTCAAGATCGTGGGGAACCTAACCGATGAACAGCGCGACGCAGCTTTTCGCTCTTCACCGGAGTAGGTACTTTGTTACTTAACGATTGTGTAAAGACTGTCTATGTTTATGCTATGATACCCATGCATTTAGATACTTCAAATGCACAGAGCATTGCATTACCGCTGCGGTGTCACGATGTTAATAGGGTTGTTAATGTGTACAATTTGATTCATTGTAAATGGCATGATATCGTGCAAATCTGACCACTGAGGTGACGTGCTTGGCAAGATACGCAAGTGATCCGAATTTGATGGAAATTTTACCGAACAATTCGGACGGTCACATCATCAGCAATTTGATTCGAGGGAAATGAAACTCCACCCCAGCTTTTTTTGGCTATGGAATTAATTACAGCATAGCAACAAATTGCCACAGTGGGGTGACGTGTACGAAGCGTGTTGTTCGAAAATACGGATTGTAAGTACATCAACACACATCATCACCGCTTCTTATTAACACAGATAAGACCACCAGTCACGACATAACGACTTTTTTTGCTGCTAGACCAGTTTTGGCAAGTTCAATATCTGGTCTCCCTATCTACGCGTGCACATATTTAAAGGTTCGATCTTTTTTTCCATTTATCCATACAATACTACAATGTCCATCTTCACAAAAACCTTGCCCGTGCCGGTTCGTGACATAATATTACAGTCAGTCCGACGTGCTCCTACGTCTCATTCAAATGGATATAATGGCGACTCGCTAAGGCGTCTTGTGCTCCAGCGGAACACACTCGCGGCGGCCATGGACTTGCATGACACAAACCCGCCTGTACACTGTTCGCCAAGGCGCTTAGCCACCGACATAACTTCCCCATCATTTTCTTCATCAGACGGGCGTCAAACTCAAGCAATAGATCGGTCTTCAACGGCACTTAGAAAGTCCCGCTCTGTGCAACAGTTACCTGTCTCCTCTGGCTATGTCACCCCATGCACTCAGGAGGAACTTCTTGAGGACGCTTGGTTCGATCAACTCTTTGATGACCTTCTCTATGAAGATATGATAGACGATGGCACAAATGACACGACTAATTCGTCAATATGCAGGAGTCTCGAGCGGGTGCAATAAACAAGAAGAAGGTTCGAGGCAGCATGTCGCTCGGCATTCCCTATGGTCTTCTGGTGTCATTTTTTTTGTTATGTATATAGTATTGATGATTTATTCTCCCGCCTTCCCATGGTTCTTCTTCCTTTTCTGTTACGGTGGGTCTTGCCTCCCGCAATTCCACATTTAGTTAATGTGTAGATTCATGGTAGGCACGATTAATCTCGCCGTACGTAAATTCGTTGCGACATGCTCGAGGGCAGATAGTCTTGGGTGGAGACATCAGATGTCTTTCCTCAAATTCCGGTGCATTTCGGACGTAAATTCGTATACATTTCCTCATTACGATGTCATTGTGTCGAGGGGCTTGGCGCAGCTCGATGCGCCTGACGCGGTCATGTTCCAGACTCTTTTCCACCTCTAGCTACCTTTCCTTACCACATGCCACTATTCGGCGTCGGATTGGATCGTCGTTGTCATTGGACTGTGTTTTGACAAGACCACTTTCCATTAGTGCATGTCTTCACGCTGCTCGAAGCAACACAGAAGAAAATGCACATCCTGAACCACCGAAAGCCGCAAGTGCTGAATCGCACTCCCCACTTTCATCGCCTCCAACATCTTTCAGTTTTCGACCATATGCCGAACTGATGCGCCTTGACCGTCCAGCAGGATCATACTTACTCTTTATGCCGTGTTCCTGGTCGATTACAATGGCCTCGCATTTTATGCACGCACCGACCTCAGTCTGGCTCACCAATCTTGGATTATTTGCTGTTGGTTCTTTTATCATGCGTGGTGCAGGGTGCACTATTAATGACATGTGGGATGCGAAGATGGACGCCAAGGTAGAACGGACGAAAACGCGTCCTATTGCATCCGGTCGGATCACACATGGTCAAGCAACTATTGCACTAGGTCTACAGCTCGCTGCAGGGCTAGTTGTTCTACTTCAGCTCAATACGTACAGTATCATTCTAGGGAGCTTGGCGCTAGTGCCAGTCACACTTTATCCACTCATGAAGCGTGTGACAAACTTTCCTCAAGTTGGTATGGGGCTTGCTTTTACTTGGGGATCAATGTTGGGATGGTCGGCTGTGGCAGGCGCCTGCTACTGGCCAGCCGTGCTCCCATTATATGCCAGCACAGTGACATGGGGTGTGGCTTATGACCTGATTTATGCGCAGCAAGATAAAGCGGATGACAAAGCCGCTGGCGTAGGCTCCATGGCTCTTTTGCTTAGCGACAAAGGCACTAAGAGAGCGCTTGTGGCCCTATCTGTGGTATGGATGGCGCTTCTTGTCTACGCTGTTCAAGCCCAGTCGCCGATCTTTCCATCGCTTACGGCAAAGGATGGATCAACCCTGAGCTTGCATGAATGGGTCCAACTGACATTTGCAACAGGTCACCCGTTCTTTGCTGCGTCATGGCTTGCAACGGTCGCGCACATCTACTGGCAAATTCACACGCTCAAGCTGAACAATCGCATGGACTGCTGGGCTAAATTCTGCAGTAACAGGTCTGTTGGTCTAATTATATTCACAGGCTTGGCAGCTGATTATCTCTACCAATGGGGTAACTCTTGCAACACACATGACAAGAAGCCAGAGTTACCGAGTGAGAAGGCATGACGGTAAGTTATGCTGTGTGAGATTATATATAGACGACTAGCGTTTTTTATAGAGCACACAATTACATGGCAGCAATCATACGTGATTGTTATTCCGATGAGATGCATTACGCCTTGTACAGGCTTGAACCCTTGTTTACATGCACCATCGCACCGATATCAAAATTGATGAGTTTCGCGTATCATAGCCTCGCACAAATTACGTGGCTTCGTGTTATTAGGTTGAAATAGCACGCGATATAAATTATTTTTCCGAACCAACCGAATACGACATCGTGTCAATATGCATTCAAAGTGGCTGCGCACAGATGCCAAGACCGATAGCTGGACGGAAATAAAATGGGCTTTCGAGTCTGTCAGCATGAAGATAGATCAGCGCCCGAATGACGATGTGGCAAACTCTCGTTGCAGGTGGAATTCTTGCCGGTACTGTCTTAGTCCATGCTAGCAATCCCTTGGCTACAGAAGACCAGCATCACATTGATGAGCTGTCCAAGTCATTTTTGGGCAGGGGCAATCTCGATGCACTTAAGCAAAAAGCGCGTGAACAATACGTTAAATCGTTGAAGAAATACAACGTGGAACTCACTGGCTCTGTGAACAAGGACCTGGATGCTGCTATGGACGAACTTGTCTTCAGCTCTATCCAGAAAGCTGCGAATGGCGACCCCGCCAATCCTAAGGTCTACTGGACGGATACGGCTAAACGCACGCACGATTGGTTTGGTATATCAGTACCTGGTGGCCGTTACTCATATGATAATCCCGACTGCATCTATCGAACGATCCCAATCAGTAGCAAGTACAAATACAAGATATCGGGGCGCCGCTTTGGAAATGGCACGGCCGATCAATCATTCTCTCTGATCAAAAACCGCAATTCTCAGAACACTATCAGTGCGCTCTACAAAGATGATATGAAGGTGAACAGCGATGGATCGTATGAAATTACCATCAGCACCGACAAGTCTGGCGGACAAAACCATATCAAGAGCGACTGGACTGCTAAGCAACTTTTCATTCGCAACAATCTGGGTGACTGGTCGAAAGAGACGCCGGACGAGCTCAAGGTGGAAATCATTGACAAGCCGAAGCATGCGCCTAAGCGCACAGATTCAGACATTCTGAAAGATGCCCAAGAAGACCTGAAAGAATCGACCTTCTTTTATGGATTTGGTGCCCTCGACCTAAAGACGTTGACCCAGAAACTGAATCACTTGGCAAGTCCACATCAATCTAGCTGGCTCGGTACATTGACCTCACAGGCCCAATCATTTGGCTACTTTCATGTTAAGCCCGACGAAGCCTTCGTTATAACACTCACAAGTGGAAAGTCATCATATTGGGTTATGCCTGTAACCACGATGGGTCTTCTCACGAAAGATCCCGAGCATAACATTGTGAGCTTCAATAATTTCCAATCTGCTCAAAACAAAAATGGCTCTTACACATTTGTCTTGTCTTCACAAGACCCAGGCATTTACAACTGGATCGACACGACTAATCTTGAGCGGGGCACTCTAATGATCCGTTGGCAGGGTCTGCCCGCCGGCGATGGGACTGCCAAGGATATTCACGTTCACTCGCAGCTTGTAAAGTATGAAAACCTTCACAACGTGCTCCCGGATGACGTGCCAAAGATTGATCAAGGCGGTCGTTCTGAGCAGATTGAGAAACGTCGCCAAGAATACAAACGGATTCATTTCCAAAACTAATTCACACTTTGAAAATTCACCGATCATCATCTTTCTTGTATTTTATGAGAAATTTTGTGGTTCGCTTTGAGTATACTATATACAAAGATCTGATTACCATTAACATCTGCTTCACTTAGACCAAGTAAGGTGACATAGTTTCATACACGCATTGGATTTTATCTGCCTTGAGACGAACATTACCGTACGATAGCTGACACTTGACTTATTGTTTATCGGATCGTTGAATTAGATTTTTTGTAACCAGTATTAAAGCATGTCAAGGTGTGGAATGACTCCTTTCAAAGTTTGCCTCACTAGAGGTATGTGGAAATTATCATTTCATATTTACCCGAAGATACACGTACCGTGCTTTTTGCTGGTATGTCTACAGACATAGTGTATCCACGTGAAATAGTCCATGCATGGGTACTCGATTAAAAATTACATTGTGACACAGTAATGGACTGGCATGATCGCTGCATTTCGTCGTAAACCTGATTGAAACGGTCGTGTAGAGCATGACTACATGTAACTTTGGTGACATGTGCTCGTACCAACAAACTCCACAACCAAATTTTTTTCACCTAGTGACGTGTCTGTGCATTGGTTGCTTGATGCACGGCAAAGCCCGCCGATGAGGTCCTTGCACCACATGCTCATGCAAGTAAGGCGTCAGTTTAAAACAAAGCTAAATGTACAATTTGTAGTTAATTTTCCATCCAATCATATGTTGTTATTTGAGGAAATTATCCGCCGGCTGTGACGTGATTTGATGCGCTTTAATTGCAACGTGCTGCGTTGCATAAATCGCGTGCTGTATTGTGTATGACTATTGCGTAGACGTTTGGTCCAAGCTTTCTTTGACTGCATGTCGTTTGAATGGACATTGGCACTTTGATTGACACAGCTTTCAGCAATCAATGGGTACTCGCCGATGTCTATTTTTTATTTTGCTGGATTGCGTTACTGCGTTAAGATTCTTTCCTTCTTTTATTTGCCTTGCTCGGTAATTTTTGTGACTCGATCGATTGATTTGCATCATTCTCTTCTTTATCGAGCAACCCTCTAGCGTGCCTTGCCACCGCCGATCTTTTCTGATCGACAAATTGTGTCATTTACGCATAGCTTTGTACTTTGTTGCTCCCTTTAACCTGCAATTCTTAGCAGAGCGGTCGTCGGTATTTTTGAGACATCCGTATCATAAGCATGGATATATCAAGACGACCATTCCGAGGGCGTGGCAAAACTCGCGGCCGGCGGGTTTTTGCTGACCGAGCTCCGTTCTGTGGAAGCGAAGATCAGTCTTCCTGGATTGCAGATGATTTTTGCGCACGCTGCGGTGCAGCCACGCAGCACGGTAAGCTCTATTGTTCCAATCAATGCCGAAATGAGGACTTGACTTCCGGCTCTCTTGCAGGCAATGACCTACGCGGCGGAAATATTCACTCTGACTCATTCGGTAAACTTAGGTACCCAATGACCCTCTCTCCTCATTTGACCTCTTCAACTGTGAATACTGTTGCAACGAAGAAAAAGTTTCCATCTGTGAATTTCGGTCAAGAAGAGTCAGCGTCGTCCTCATCGAGCGAGTCTGAACCCAGTGACATAAACCTTGTTCGCGGGCGTAAGTCCCCGGGTTCGATTAGTTCGGACCCATCAGATCTGGTCGAAACGGACTTCACTTCTCCCTCACCTTGGAGAACTGGCATAGATCCTTCAGAAGGATCTGATGACATCTCTGATCTCGACGAGTCAGAGTTGCAGCTTCCACCCTCTGTTATGTACCCACGCTGGCCTGGCTCGCATGCGTCTGCTTCTAAGCCCATCAAGATGCAGTCTGGCTCTTGTACACCAAAAGCACGTCGATCTTGGACTTCGCCTGCTTTTTTTCCACATCTCACACCCGAGTCACAGTCATGTAAAGCCCCGATTTCGTTCTCGCGCTTACCTTGTTCAACAAACTTACCGCCTCATACTTCATGCCCCAAGATATCAACTCCTCAATTCGCACAACACAGTGCCCGGAAGGGTGGTAACGACTGCTACCCGCAAGATGAAAACGCTCAACATCGCCGTTCGAGTCCTGCCTCGCGGTTTTTTTCCTCTGCGAAGCCAAGCTTTGTTTCTATCAGACCTTTGTCCCACGATTATACCAAATCCGACTCAACTTTGGCGGGTCTGGATCACAGTGTACCCAAAGTGTCTCTAGAAGTACTCTCACGACAGAGCACGAATACTCCGGCTGTCAAGTCTGCTTGTGAGAGCGAAACACAGAATTCGCCGTGCATGGAGGCCATGGACTCATGTGACGAAGATGAGGTGCCTGTTCGCGGCAGGTCGCGCATTCGTGCGGGTCAGGCATGCCGTCCAAGCGTCCGATCTTCCTCGCGCACATCATCTGAGCCATTGCTGTTCCTTCATCTAGGAACCCGTTCTCGTTCAACGTATGGAGCACGAGCAAAATGACTTGGCTCTTGAGAACCTCGACAGGTTCCGGTGAGGTCTATACCCGGATACTCAATGTGAAATCCCAAAAGCTCGCTTTGTCAGGGCGTCGTTCGCAGCAGAACTATATCATGATACGTATCTGTTTTCTTGACGAAAGCAAACTCATTAGCGTATATAGACTTTTTGACGTTATACCCCGGGTTGAACGAGTCATTTGATTGTTATGTTTGTGACACAAATTCATTCGTCTGATGCATGGTTGATGAGGGATAGTGAGAGACTCCTTTTTCATTATTCTGGTGGCGGTCCCCGCGACTAATTAGTTTAGATAAAGTCTAGCATTATGGTAGTAGTGGCACATGCCCACCTATTGATTCATATACGTTTGACTTGATAACATAGATTTCCATGCTTAATACGATTAGAACCTAAATATATTTCGAAACTGGGGATGTGGGCAAACTATGATGGGCGAAGACTCGCTTATGGTTCCAATCTCTTACCTCACAAAGTTGGGAGTACCCCCTTGCTTTAGAGCTCATTCATTTATTGGGACTATTGTTATTGTTGCACATGAAGGTGCGAGCAATACCGCCCTGCTTTGTAGCTGCACATGACAAACAATGGAAATATTCTAAATTATATACCGGATCTATTAGTACATGGATTCGACTTACGTGCGCACATTCACGCGGTTCTATGGGTGTACCTTTGGAGGTACTTCATGTTAGCCTTTGGCAATTATCGACACATCTAAAACGATGCTTGGGTGATAGCAACAAATGGCCTGGTATATAAGTCAATCTGTTCAGGACATGAGAAACTTGAGGATAAATAGTGAATACTTGAGATCGTCTTGATTATTGTAATTCTGGCATAGCTACGCTTTGTGCCAACTATACTTGACACTAGTTCAATCTGGTTTCAAGAAGCCCTTGTAGAACATACTGCAGCAACGTATTTCGCTTGACGGTTCAATTCTGGACAGGAAAAGGGACATTGTATTCCACGTATGGGGAAAGAAATGCTTGCACATATGTCGGTAAAGGATGTAAAGTTGGGTACAACCCATCGTGATAGGAATACTGCCACAAGTATTCGGCACGAAATCGCAAGCAATGTAGAGCCATCACACAGGCCGAAATAAACCATGCAGCGGTGCAGATTGCCAGCCATGGCGATCCACTATATTGCGAGATTCCTCTAAGCCATGTGTTGTACTTTGACGTACAGCTAGCGTTCGTTGGTCGTGTGTCTTTGACGTCATGCTCTATGCCTGTGACAAGAGAACCTAGTCGTTGCCGGATGTTGTCCAATCGTTGGGCATACACAGCATCTTCGAAACTTACTTTTTCCAGACGTAGGCCGAGCGACCAATTTTCTGACGCGTCGCTTTCTTGTGATGCGAGTCGATTGTCAGATATCCTGTTTGATTTTATTAATTGTACCATTTGCCGAATCATATCGTCGCCTTGCTTGCTATCATCCGCCACCGGCTTTACCAGCGCCTGTTTCAATTGATGGATTGATTCTTGCAGTTCGTCCTGTATGGTACCTTGCTCTTGTTCATTCGAGCCAGTCGATCCTGGTGCTTGCGCATCTGACTGATAATTTGAATGCATGCTATTCGTATCCTCGTTTAGCACGAGTTCCTCCGATTTTGAATTTGCAGTGATGTGGCCTATGCCGGAAAGGCTTGCATGAAGCTGGTATGATGGACCCCGCGGGGTTGTTTGCTTTGCGGTGTACACGGATGACTCCATCGGGTACATCGATGAACCATGTTGATATTCTTGTGGTGGAGAATACGGTGGAGATGTTGTGAAGCTCACGCTAGTCCGTGTACTTGTACGAGTTGGGGATGCAATGTCACTCTCATGAAGAGATTCATCTCGCTGCGGCGATACCGAAGAGTCCGGAATTTGTGGTGACTTGAGCTCACGAGATTCCATTTCAGCGAGTAGTTTGTATCCACTTGACCATCTTTTGGCATAGCGATCACGATCGTCTTCTTCCTTTGCACGCGCTTTGGCTTCCTCTTCTGAGATTCTATGATATATTTCCATGATGCTTGGACGTTGGACATTATGCCGATGTACGGGCCGCACCGGCTCCATCATTCGTACTTTTTACTCGCGAATGCAATAAACGAGCCTTGGCGGCGCTTGTGTCGGCTTTAATGTGTGATGCTCAGTGTATGTCACTATTCGTTGTTGATGTTGGCAGGTGTCCTTCAACAACTGTTGACACAGCACTTGTTTTCGACCGGGTCAGTGAAGCCAAATATTCTCCATTCCCAGGTTCGACTCCACGCAGGCGTATTTTGCACTAACACTTACGATCGACGAACATGGATTCATTTCTTGCTGGATTGATTGCGCGATTGAAAACATGCCGACAGTGCAGTTGATCATTTCAACTTACGGTATTTGGACAAAAAGTGACCAGCTATGCTAATAATCGCATCTCGTTCTGCATTTGCGAATTTCTACAGTCTAAGGCTATGTTGTTTCCGTGAAATCGTTCGTTCGATGCCAATGATAGACTGTAGCATGAAATGATCCCCTGGCATATAGTAAACCTGTGATGCGAAGTTGTCTAAGGCTGGAAGCGGCAAAAACAAAAACAAATGTATCCACTCAATTTGCCTATTTATGTTTTTATGCTCTGCTTTATCGCACAAACGAGTGTTGCCATAGTTTGTGTCATGTCTATACAAGCGTGGGTGTCTTGCTTGTTGTAAGTTTATCCATATGTGCATCCATAAAATGGATGCTAGAGAGTTGAACGTTTGTGTGTACGGTTGTGTTATCGGATAGATGTATACGATTATACTATATGCGCCTTGGTACTAATTTCACGTATTTGAGTTCAAATTGGGGCAAATTATGCGGAGGCCACGAAAAAATGACCTCAAGTATCGCTAGTTCCCGCGTACGCAACAGCGTGCTTCACACCATGAGCGTATCAAGTAGACAGGACGCCCACTCCCACAACCATAAAATTGACACTTTGAAAGTGCATACATGGAGCAGTGACACAATGACTACATGGAGAACAGTGAATGAACCGACACACTGAAGGCATATAAACACGACCCACACAGGGGCTTGCATGTACGCGCTGAAGACATTTATAGGAAGTGAGAAAAGTAGAAAAAAATTGAATGGAATTTAGGGTTCAAGAGGTAGCAAGAATGAGGACGCATGAGAAAAGATTGCCTTAAGGAGTACACTGATCAGTGGAAAGCATCAAGACGGCTATGATTAAACTACCGGAGTATGAGAAATAAGAGATCATCCAAGTTCATATGATTCATATAAAATTACTGTCAGTCCCCGACAGTAGCCTGGTCCTGTAGGATAACGGTTAGTCCGAAGGTTTCTGACCTGGAGGGGTTCTGAATTCCTTAAGCCGCGGTTCGACTCCGCGCAGGACCTACTTATTGTCAAATTTTTGCTGCATCCTCTTTTTCAGGAAATTTTAGTAACTAATCGGCATAATGGCGTTCGGGGATTCGTAACAACCAGTTACATAAGCCCAATTTCGAGTGCATGACCCAGTGTGAATCCCTCATGGAACGGGTCAAGAGTGTCCTTAATACAAGGGATAGTGTTACGTTGATTGCTGAATTTGCGAACGGTATCAAACGTGTTGGTACGTATTCTGAATGCAAGACCGAATGTGTAGGTACCGGCACCCGTACGTCATGTCACATTGTTGTATTCGATTTTAATCACTCACAAAGCGTAGCGCTATATTTGATAGAACACGTTTGTTTGAAAAAAGTAATAGGTTTTACATATCGGGAATACAATTCCTTACGTGTCTTCGGCTTCAATGCAAACAGCATCACACCATTTTTTTCACATTTTATCAGTCCGGTTGGTAGGACATGATCATCACGATTTAGTAAGAAACAAAAGGTATAGGCATATGCTAGATTTGGATGAACAAGTCCACTCAGATGCGAATCTTAAATATATCAATATGCATTTCCCTCTTGTCTGAAGGTGACTACTGACGAGCACTGGAATTATTGAATGAAATGATTCATATTGCGGTCCCATGGGCAGGCTGCAATGACCCAGGACATTATAATTCACAAGATACGAACTTCATAACACGCTCTATCCCCGACAATGCACACCTACAAGGACCAAGCCAACAGCTGCAATAATCAAAGACGGGCATATGCAAATTCGCGTACGCACGAATCCATAGGTACGAGGAGAGGGAACATGTGAAGACATCAGCGCCTTTTCGATCAAGGATATATATGCCAGTAACAAAATTGACACATCGACGTCCCCATAAAGTAAGGTCAAATTAAAATAGTTACTAATTCATTTATTTTGATTCTGGCGATAATCCGACCGGAACGAAATAGGCCTGCGATCTGAGTAGGCATTAATAGGTCGAAACCCCTTGCGGTCGTTGATGCACACTCGTGTCGAAATGTTGGTACACAAAGTATGCAAATAGACGCATGAGTCAACTCGTAGCAACATTATAGAAGGATGCCTGGTCCCCCATACACAATGTTCCGGTGAGTACGGCTGATATTGAGGGTTGTATCGAAAGGCAGGTTAAAGACATAACTACACTACGTTCACATAGAATGGGAAACAAAATTAACTGAAAGCACACAAGGAGCCGAGCAACTCAGTCATTCCTATGCAGAAGATCAAATGCGAAAAAAAATACCATCGTTTAGAGACAACCTGCAAAGTCCACCAGTACTACAGCCATAGTCCAGCGACGTCTTCCATGCGTCAATTGAATAGACATTAGTATGGCAACAGCTTATGTGACGAAGGGCACACGCAATGGAACGGATGCGTGCGTTCCCTTTCATTCTCCGTTGGGTAGATTGCATCCGGTGCGGATCGCTTGGCACAGTGTGCATGCCAACCCCATGGGCTATGCAAACATGCGCTTTGCGACCGGAATTGTTGACAGATTCTTACACAGGCTTGACACAGAACAGACTTTGAATGGAAGGGCATGCATGCAAGGAGGATGAGATGCACGTATGACTAAGCAAAGAGGCAGTGAATCCACAGCGGAGGCGCCGCAAAAGGCAGTGTAGTGGAGGAAAGTACTAGGTTATTTGGCTGCATCTCCATGCCAGGGTTAGTGCGCGACATATGGATGAAGGTGAGGATTAGGAAGCAAATGGGTTTGCGCATTTGCAACGACAACGCCTTCGGTAACTATCGTGTTCTTGCTGGGCGACAGTTAGAATCGGCACTTGACTTTAAATCGTATCGATAACCCTGGTGCTGAAGCGGCATCCCGCACACCGTTTTCCGAACCGACCGCCCCATGGCAAGTTACTCTACGCCACAGGGACCTGTAGCGCCGGCCGCTCCTCACTTGGAAGCGCAGGCGATGCGAATCCCCAAAAGCGTTTCTGATCAGGCTATGCAGGAGGATCGCTACTATGGCCATCGCCAAGTCTCAGAAGCCATTGAACGTATGATCATGGCACTCTTCTCTTGTTCACATGATTCAATGGCAGCGACAATGGATGTGCAAAAAACATCCAAGGGCACGGCCCCACGCCTATCACATTTTGTGGCGTATGCGTTGTATCGAACACGTCTCCCCATGGCGGTGGTGTATTTTGCTCTTCTGTTGCTGAAGCGACTCAAAACGCAGTACCCAGTGGCCCGCGGGTCATCAGGCCACCGCCTTTTTATTTCAGCTTTTATGCTCGCCAGCAAAATGCTCTGTGATGATGCGTACAACAACAAGAGCTGGGTCATTGTGAGCCAGAATCTGTTTTCGCTGCATGAAGTCAACCAGATGGAACGCGAATTATTCATGTACCTGGACCTTGACTTGCGTGCGTCGCCAGAAGAGCTTGCTTCATTTGCATCAGAATTGGAGATGTATGGCACGCCCCACGTGACGCTCGAAGACCTCAAGCGCACTCGACTGTCGTCGTCGACGTTGACATCATCACCAACGATCTCAAGCTCTGTGTCACAGTCGCCAGGCAGCAAGTCGGTTGGTACACCTACATCTGCACCACGTCGAAAGGTGCATCGTCGCTGTCTCAGTTTGCGGCCCGACTACTGGACGCACACCAACTCAAATTTCATGCCTACAGCGCGTCACTATCGCTCAGAAAGTAACGAATGGAGCGCGAGTGGCATGCAGCGTCTTTCGCGCTCATGCGCACGCGCTTCGCTGCCATCCCAGCGCTCAGTACCGTCGATTCCCACAGTGACTGCACCAGGAATACACCATACATCGTCGTCCTCGTCGACGTATGCACCAAGACTTGATTCGAGTTTTTCTCCATCTATGCCTTGGTCGACATTCTACTCAACTGCAAATGCGTCAACCATGTCCATTACAACGCCGAATTCGATGGGATCAAGTTTGCGTCCCACGCCGTCAACATCACTCTCTGAATTATCACTCAACAGCCCCAATGCCAGTATGTACAGCACGATGCCAGCGTCTATGTATGGTCACCATGGCTGGGACCATGCCAAACACGTGCCTGCATATGAAGTCAATGAGTCGTTTCGCATGCAGCCGCTCGCTCAAATGATGCAGCAACGCGACGCCATCTAGATACCTCTCGTTCTATTCACACTTTTCTTTTGATATTGTCAGCAGGCTCTTTTGTAAAATAGTAAGGTACATCGAAACATGGTTATGATGCGTTAAATGAGCGCGTAGATTATATGGAGGTAGTATACTTGGAACGGAACGCGTGTAGAGGTCGGCTGCGTCAAAATGCAGGTCCGGACTCACGTGATGGCTGATCGTAGTTGGTCGGTCTGCTACACGTTGTTCAACTTCGGGTGCGTGAGTGAGTGGGTCTGTGCATGTCTTTGTGCGTGGAAACAAAGTGACACAAAGAAAGGAACAAAGCACGTCTCGTAAAGATGTCGAGTGAAAGCGAACAGACCGTGATATAATGTTAGCCTTATGCGACTGATTTGCATGTATGCGCAATACGAAGGCTCTCGAGCCGCTCGATGTGGACGACCACGTAGAGAAGGTCTCGGTCGTCTCCAGCAGTGTGCCCACGTCAGGATGGAGCGCTCGGGGGCATATTCATGCCAAAGTGACACGGCATGCTTCAAGTCCTGTGACTACTGATTTGTCAGACTCAATCGATACTGACAACACATGGCCTGCTCAAGAGGTTGCAAGCGTGTCGCATCAGCCTGGCAGTGCATGGCGCATTCAGACACCAGCCCTCCGACGTTCGGTGCTAGGGCTATATGCTCCAATGAGTCGTTCTCAACTGTCGAAGTACATGATTCCTGGCGCGATTTTGGCCGTCCTGTGCGGAGGAGTCCCTATAAGTATGACGTACGTGCTGGGTCGTGCGTTTTCCGCGCTTGGCCAGTACGTGCCAGAGCCCGATGCATCGGCGTCTCTTCTAGACAAGATGCGCAACGATGCACTAGGCCTCCTAGGGCTTGCCATCGCTGCACTTGTGCTTCGAAGTCTTGACACGTACGCTTGGCTGCTTCTCGGAGAGAACGGTGCACAAGCGTGGCGAGAGTGGATGCTGAGTGCCATTGTCGAGAAAGAGGTAAGCTGGTTTGAGCTTGGCATGGGTCTTGAGTCTGGCACGGGAGCAGCGGGACTTATGGCTTTGTATGCGAGCGACACGGATGATGTACGGCTTGCTATGGGTATCCACGTAGGTGGGATCCTTCGGCACATTTCGACTGTGCTTGTAGCCACCGGTTTCGCATTGTCGCGTCACTGGGCGCTGACGCTGGTGATTTATGCAACGTTGCCTGCTGTGATTTTCATCATGGTTGTTGGTGATAGGATGGCTGCCCCGCTTGAAGCCGCAACTCGGTGCCGTGCGCGTGAATTATCGACATTGGCATGAAAAGTGCATGAGTGCGATACGCACTATCAAGGCATGTACATGGGAAGCTGGACAACTCGCATCACTTGCGGCATGCGCAAGGCAGTATCGCCGTGTGCACATGCGTTGGACTGCAGTCCTTGGAACCCGGTTGGGGCTAGGATCGGCCTTGAGTCTGCTTACCTTTGTTCAAGGCTTCGGATATGGCAGCTGGTTGGTCCAGCATGGCCGTGCAGATGCGGCTGTCGTTCTCAGCACGTTTCTTGCATGTCTTGTTGCCATGAGCCAGCTCCAGACGATTCTGCAGCGCGCGGTAGCATTGGAGCGCGGGATCGGTGCTGCCAAACGCCTTACGCGTCTGCGAGCCAGTCATGTCATATCGCCGACAACCGTGTCATCAGCCCTTGTGTCCTCCTTTTGTTCTGCATATGAAACAGATTCGATGCCGTCGGTGCGTGGGTCCATGCTTGTCAAGAATGTATGGATGACATATCCAACACGGCCACAGGTACCTGTTCTTTGTCGTGTCGACATGACGTTTCCTGCCGGCGAGCATACCTATGTCATTGGAGCGAGTGGCTCAGGAAAAAGTACTGTGGCTGCACTTCTGGCACGACTGTATGATCCTTTGGCTGGGAGCGTGAGTCTGGATGACTTTGATGTACGTACATGGCCATTAGGCATGTTCCGTGAGCACGTGTTGTGTGTGCGACAAGAACCACTCATCCTGGAGCGCAGTATGCGCGAAAACCTTGACCCCAAGTCGTGTATGCCACAAGCGATGCTTGATGCAGTCTGCAGTGCGATGCGTCTCAACGATCTTGTGAACACGCTGCCAGCAGGTCTTGACACAGTGCTGGGTACACGGGGTATCGAGCTGAGTGGTGGCCAGAAGCAGCGGATCGCCTTAGCACGGGCTTTACTGATCAATCCGACTGTGCTGGTTCTCGACGAAGTCACGTCGGCACTAGATCGGGCCGCGGCCGTTGCTGTGCATACGGTAATTCGTGCTTGGCGGCAAGGCCTTACGACGGTGTTTATTACGCACGACCTTTCATTGATTGGCGCGGGTGATCGTGTGTATGTGATGGCAGATGGCCGCGTTAAGGAACAAGGCACGTTGGGCACGCTCCGCTGTGCGATGGCGGATGCGACAGCGGCAGTTCAACATTACGATGCGTCACCGCCGGCCTACCCAGGGCTAGAAACGGACCCAGTGTCACCAGTGACATCGACAGACCCAGTTGGTGCAGGCCAAGGTACAATGGACGATGTCTCTCACCAGGTGACGGAGACTGCGACAGCCACAACTACGGTCATGTCGCTCACAAGACGGGCGTCACAGATACTCAACTTTGATGCACAGATGGCGGCGTTGTGTACAGGTGCAACGAGTGTCGGTCAGCCGCCATCCATCGCCTGCGCACTTTTGTGGCTTTGGCGCACCATCCCTTCCCGCACAGCCCTCTGTGCGGGGGTACTGGTATGTGTGATGTCTGGTGCGACCGTGCCTGCGTTTTCGCTGTGCTTGACACAAATCCTGATGGCAATTGCGCATACAAGTCCTGTATCCATCAGTGCGATGATAGGTGCCACGGCGTGTGTTGCGGTGGCTGATGGCGTACTCAAAGGAGCGCGACATGCAGGCATGGACATGCTAGCGATCGCATGGGTTGAGCGACTTCGTGTGCACGTGGCGCATGCGCTTCTTGCGCAAGATTGTGCATTTTACGACGATGCATGTCATGCGCCTAGCACGCTGACCAACACAGTCGTTAAGGAGGCAGATGATGCACGCTTGTTTGTTAGTGAGCTTCTCGGGCAGGGTGCTGTGGTGATGGCCATGGGTCTTGGGACGCTGGTGTGGGCGATGGTTCGTGGTTGGCAACTCACGCTGTGTGCTTGTGCGCTCCTGCTCGTGGGTTTGGGGGTCCTGAGTGTGCACGGAGCGTGGCTTGCAAGGTGCGAGCAAATGGCCATGCACGCACGGACGTGCTCGGCAGAACGAGTGTTTGACTACGCATCAAATCAAAGAGCAGCTCGAGCGATGGCTCTCGATACACCAATGTACCAGGACGCCATCGCTGCCGGCAATCGTGCATATGTTGCGGGTATGCGTACCGCTAGAGCTGTGGCGTGTGGCGCAGGGATTGCTGATGCTTTGATGTACTCGGCGGAGGCTGTGCTATACGCGGTCGGTGCCGTACTTCTAGTCCATCGGACATACGACCTGCAACGGGTTCTGGACGTGCTGAGCCCGCTTGTCTTTACCATGTCGTATGCGGCCAGCGCAGCGGCTGTGATGCCAGCGGCGGGACAGTGTATGCCAGCGTTAGGTCAGATCCATAAGCTGTCCGATTTGCGCACCGACACGGCAAGTGACAAGCAAGGTCACCGGGATGTGCCGGACTTGAGCGGACGCCTAGAATTCGAGCATGTTTCGTTTGCATATGGAATGCATGGGAATGCGCCACTTCATGATGTCTCTTTCACGATCGAACCTGGCGAAAAAGTTGCTCTAGTCGGACGCTCAGGCTGTGGCAAGTCAACAGTGCTTGCCCTAGCGCAACGGTTGTATGAACCGGCTCATGGCCACGTGGTCCTGAATGAACAGGGTGTGACAGCAGCAGATGTGGATTCTCAACAACTACGGCGGCACCTGGCCGTGGTATCGCAGCATGCGACGCTGTTTGCTGGCACCATCAAGGAGAATGTGCTGGCTGGCTCTGCTGATATAACTGATGCTGAGCTCGTGCGTGCAGCATGTGCAGCATGTGTGCACGAGTTTATCGCAGGGCTACCAGAACAGTATGCGACGCGACTAGGTACAATCGCTACGTTTAGTGGTGGACAGATGCAGCGGATAGAATGGGCGCGCGCATTCGCCCGGAAGCGTGCGAAGATCTGGCTGTTGGATGAGCCGACATCAGCGTTGGACCAGGCCACTAGAGATCATGTACTATCGAATCTCTCGCAGCTGACTGGGACTACGGCTATGATTGTGACACATGATGTACAAGTGATGCAGCGGTGTGATCGAATTCTTTTGCTTGATGGAGGCCGTATTGTTGCTAGTGGTCCGTGGCATGCCTTGTGCATGCAACCAACACTACAGCACGTGTTGCTGGAATCGGACCCATAGGCGGTGAACAGGCTGAACTGGAACTTCGAAGCAAGGGGGTAAGGATGAAAAAGCGCCGTAAGTTCTGCGGTCCATGCACTAGAGGCGTGTCGGCCGTCCAAGTGTGTTGTTGTGCGCGAGGGTGCCCTTCTCCTTTCACACAACAGGCCTTCACTACCATACCGGCCGATAGCGGCATATGTACAAATATCACTCATACAAACATGCAGATTTGCGAACTTAGCACTATTATCTCACTCGCACCTCTTTCACCACGCACAGCCAGCCAATATACCACCTCCTCCCGTCTACTTTGAGCGCCACTACCACCCGAGCTTCACCACCAAATGCTCAGCTTCATTGCTTCTTGACTCTCTTCCCTACATGACAGTTCACTCACGAAGTAGTCATGTCCATCGACATTTTCCAGCACTACTTGCTATTGTAGGTAGGTACATTTTAACGGCCACCCGAGAGACCCTTCTGCACAGCGCGCTTGAGACGCAGCGAAGCGCGGCGGTAATCGTCAGCCGAAGCATCCTCGACCTCAAGGAGCTCCATGGCCTTGGCCAGCTCCTGCTCGACCTGGATCTTGGCCGCACGCTTGAACGTGGCAGCAGGGTTTGACACGGTGCTCTCAACCGAGTGCACGTAAGCCTCGAGATCGTTGCGCGAATCGTGCTTAGCCTGGAACTCCTTGTCAGCGTTCTTGAACGTCTCCGAGTCCTTGATCATCTGCTCAATTTCCGTTGAGCTCAGACGGGCCAACCGAGTTGGTGATCGTGATGTTCGCCTTGCGGCCTGAAGCCTTGTCCATAGCCGACACCTTGAGCAGACCGTTGGCGTCAACCTCGAACGTGCACACAAGCTCGGCCTGGCCGCGAGGCATTGGGGGAATGCCCGTCAGCTCGAACTCACCAAGCAGACGGTTGTCCTTGCACTGAGTACGCTCACCCTCGTACACAGGGAATGTGACCTGGGTCTGGTTGTCCTCAACTGTCGTGAACACACGGGTCTTGTTCGTTGGGATCGGAGTGTTGCGTGGCACCACAACACCAAACACGTCACCCTGCATGGCCACACCGAGCGAGAGCGGCGCAACATCGAGAAGGAGCAGATCGGCCGTCTTGTCGCTTGTCTGGTTCGTCAACACGGCACCTTGGACAGCAGCACCGTAGGCGACAGCCTCATGCAGGGTTGATCGACTTGTTCAATTGACGGCCGCTGAAGAAGTCAGACACAAGCGACTGGATCTTGGGGATACGTGTCAGATCCACCGACCAAAACAATGTCGTCTACCTTGTCGGCGGGGATCTTCGAGTCCTTCAGCACCTTTGACACTGGGTCGAGCGTGCCCTTAAACGCGGCAGCGTTGATCTCTTCGAAGCGAGCACGCGTGATGTTCGCCTGGAAGTCGATGCCCTGGAAGAGCGAGTCGACCTCAACGGTCGTCTGCGTCACACTCGACAGGGTACGCTTGGCGCGCTCACAGGCACTGCGGAGACGGCGCAGAGCACGCGCGTCACCCGTCATGTCGACCTTGTTCTTGCGCTCAAAGTCCTTCTTGAAGTGCTCGAGGAGGGTGTTGTCAAAGTCCTCACCACCCAAGTGTGTGTCACCAGCGGTGGCCTTCACAGCAAAGACGCCACCGGTGATGTTGAGGAGCGACACATCGAACGTACCACCACCCAAGTCGAAGATCAGCACATTCTTCTCTTGGCTCGACTTCGAGTCCAGACCGTACGCAATGGCAGCAGCTGTGGGCTCATTGATGATACGCAGTACATCCAGACCAGCAATGGTGCCTGATTTTCCGTTAGTATACTGATGCACTTGACTTCGAGTGTGGACACGCAACGTGCTGGAAGTGGGGGGGGGGGGTCAAAGCCATGCGAGCTTGCTGCTGCGCTCATCCAATGAAGCCGAATATATGGGGTTGTCCTCAGGAAGTGTAACTTATACTCAGACTTAGCATGGAATGTTTAGGGAATAATCGTTGCGCAGTGAGCAGCAAGCAATCCGCTTTTTCTGGATCCTTTGTGGTTTTCAACCGCCCCTTCCTTACAAGCCGTTCTTTCGGTACACACAAGTACGTACCAGCATCCTTTGTAGCAAGACGCTGCGAGTCGTTGAAGTAAGCAGGCACAGTCACGACGGCCTTCTTGACTTCCTTGCCGATCTTCGCTTCAGCAATCTCCTTCATCTTCAAAAGCACCATGGCCGAGATCTCCTGAGGAGCGAACTGCTTCTTCTCACCGAGGTACTCGACTTCAATGACAGGGCTGCCGTCCTTGTCAGCCACAGTGAAGGGCCACGACTGCATGTCCTTCTTCACATCGGGGTCGTCGAAGCGACGGCCAATCAGACGCTTAGCGTCGAACACCGTCTGGCGCGGGTTCATCGCAGCCTGGTTCTTGGCGGCGTCACCAATTAGACGCTCGCTCTCAGTGAAGGCCACGTACGATGGCGTCGTACGGTTACCCTGGTCATTGGCAATGATCTCAACACGCTCGTTGGTCCACCAGCCAACACATGAGTAAGTCGTGCCCAGATCTACACCGCTGTTAGTCGTTCGCTCTTTCAATGCATTGCGCAGCCAGCTCTTCCTGGTCTTCTTCCTTCGTTTACATACCAATACCAATGGCACCCTCGTACACGTTCGAATCGTTCGTAGGAGGCACTTCCGCCGACATGGTTCGAGTTCCGTGGAAAGCTAGGTCTGCTGCCAACTACGTTTTCTTCGCCCTGACTAACAGCCGCAGGCCCCCCTTTTTTTTCTCTTGGGATTTTTCACCCTCCTCCTACTGGGTCTTCCGATACACGTACGCACTTCTCTGATTCGCGCGCCTGACCTGCTGCTGTGAAACTGCGGCGGATGTCGGCCGAGTTCCGGCCGAGAAACGAACCTCCGCTCGAAGATTCGGCGCTACCTCATTGCTATTCCATTCAAGGCGTCTGCCATCCGCGTGAGTGTGTGGAAGTAATAGCCATTGGGCGGCGTTCTGCCAAGTCTTTGATCAGAAGCGCACGTCCTATCGCCTCCTAGGACATCCCTTTGCGCGACCTTTCACTGCATCTCTCTGCACTTCCCCTCACCTTTTCCCCTTTATTTTACGCAGATATGGTGTGGCCATTGCGTCTTGCACGCAGTTGTGTCCGTATAACGAAGCCGCGCGTCTTCGTGTCGCGTAGGCTTTCCTCTTCGATACCAACATCCTCCAGTGCGGCAGCGACCTTTTCTATCCCAGAGCAGCCTATTGACGTCCCGCATGCTGATGCTAATGCCGTCCAAACGAGTCAACAGGATGTTCGCGCACAGCTAGAAACAGAAGACCCAGTAGGCGCGCAGGACGCGTTGGAGCGTCAAATCCGGCGCATGCGCCGGAACATGATGCTAGACATGTCTGGCATGGCCAGCACGCAGACGCGTGATACCTCTTTCCGTCCATTCAAGATGCGAACTCAGCCAGTGGAGCCGCATCAACTTACTCTTTCACACCTACTTGCTGCTACGGCTCAAATGGGACATGCAAAGCAGCATGTCACTCGCAGCTTCGAGCCGTATTTGTATGGATACCGTCACGGCATGGGTGTCATCGATGTCGAGCGAGCTACACTTCCTGCGCTGCGTCGAGCTATTCAAGTTGTGCGTGGCATCACTGAGAATGATGGTATTATTTTGATAATTGGCACGCGCCCGAATCTTCGCCCTGCCATTCGATCCGCTATTGAACGTCTGGGCGGCAATGGATTCCATGTAAGCATGGATCGCTGGCTTCCTGGCGTTCTGACGAATGCTTCTAAGCTATTAGCCTCTGCCACGCAGTACAGCGTAAGAAGCAAGCATAGCGACGACGATGTGGAAGAAGTGCCAAATATGACCAAACTTGCGACGCAAGGCTACCGTCCAGATCTGGTTATCGTGCTAAATCCAACGGAAAATGGGCACGCGCTGCGCGAGGCTACTCAGTGCCATATACCGACAATGGGCATCATCGATACCAACGTTGATCCTCGCTCCGTCACATATGCCATCCCTGCGAACGACGACTCACCGCGCGTTGCTGAGCTTGTGATCGGTCTGCTTAGTAAGGCCGGCGAAGATGGTCTTCGTCGTAGACGGGCGGCTCTAGAGGCCTGGGAGAAAAGTCAACGCCACCAAAAGCGAAAGAATACGTCATCAACCTCAACATCAACATCATCCTCTTCGCCATCATCGTCCTCGTCTCGCGGCCGCTCCTCGCCTCGACCATCTACATAGCTACGTATGGCTCATACGCTTTATTCTTCAGCTGCTCGCTGATTGCTGGTCATTGTTGTTACCATGATGAGAACATCTGGGGACATGATCAGCACGACGCGCGTCAAATATCACGTGACAACACTGTGGTCCCATTGTCGTCGCCTTCATATATGGACGACGCGTCACCCCACCTAGGAGACAAAACCCGGCAGACCGACGACGACGAAGCACAACGGCGGAAGGCCTCGTCGCACTGCCTCTAGAGCGTCGCCTGCACCATGTTTCCTACAGTGGTCTCTGGCCAGGGTGGTGTGTGGAATGCGGGTGACGAAGCCCAGCCTCACATTCAACCCACACCCACTAGCCCTGTGACCGTGTCGCCAGGGTCTATGATGCCTCCAGGGCCGTCATTTCCTGCATCGTCGACTTCAATAAGGGAAGCAGGATCAGAACCATCTGCACCCGTGCTACCATCAACTTTTTTGCAAGCCTCATCGACTCCATCTCCCCTGATCCCAGCGCCCCCGGCGCCAATCAATCGCTCCATCGACTCGCGCGCTAGTCCTGGATTTCTGCACGGAGTGGGCTCATTTCCTCCTACCTTGGCTTATTCGACCGGTGAATCACTAACTATCTCCCCCCAAGATACCAATATGACCAACATGACCCACCCGACGGCTGCCCAAGTCGCCCCTGTCGCTAAGGCCGGCACACCAAAAAAAGCGTCTTCTAGTGGTGTGGCGTCTCGGCCTGTAGGACGCCCACCGTTGCTCGGAAAGCCAACTGGCGCGCGTCGTGGTCGGCCCCCGCGTAACCCACGCCCGCCGCCTGAGGCTGCAAATTCTTCGTCAACATCCAACTCACTTTCCTATCCTGCACCAGCGCCCGGAGTCATTGCCCGGCCTCCTTTGCAGCCGCCTGTCTCGAGCGCAACACATTCATTTCCGGCATCAAATCCGTTGGCGGGGTCCGCCTTGCGTCATGGATGGACACCATCTCTAACAGTGCAGAAACAACAGGCATTGCTTACAAGAGCGATGCAAGTTTCACAGGCGCAGAATGCAACCAATTTCACGCCATTTCACGCGCTTTTACAAATGGGATTTTTGTTTGTACGTCATGCGCAGCTTCCAGCAATGCCGTCAGCAAGCTTAAGTGACGGGGTTGTCTTACGTCTTGACGAGGCGTCGTCATTAGGTGTTCTTCCGCCTCAGCTTGTATCGAAAACTCGAATGCCGATGGCGGGCATGTCGCCGTCGACATCAACTATGGTACACGGTGTATCATCTAAGTCAGGGACAACTGTGGGCTCTATGCCTGCGAACTCCTCCTCTGCGTTTGCATCTCCGATGTCATCCACGGTCCCCACTACGCAGCCGCACCATGGCCAGTCGGGCAGTATATCGTCCTTCATTGATGCTAATACTGCACCACTTGCATCGTCTTCTGGATGGCCGGAGCTGCCGACATATTTTCCAGGCCGTGCGTTTGTTGATGGTGGTGCTCCTCCCGCGAAGTCTGCTGTAGATATGCCTGTGACGACACAGAATACGCGTCTGACGAAATTACCCAGCACAGAGCCAGTGGATCCGAAGGTGTGGAAGCCGATGTCACCAAAGACGAAGCGTGAACTAAGGGCCACGATGGAGAGCGATGCTGCGTTCTCGACCCGAAAGGCACGCCAAGACAAGGCCATGGACACAGAGTTGTATATGCGAGTCTCAAATCTTATGCAGCCGAGTCGGCCCTTACCTTGGTGGGAACGTTCTCGTGCGATGGATACCTCGTCTTCGCCTCATACAGGATCATTACAAATTATATTCCCTGCGCAGAGACAGCGTCATTGGGAGCATTTGGGGCTGCAAGGTATGCGAACGAGGCTGTCTCTGAAGGGCGAAAATGCGAAGCGCGTTTCGTCGCTGCCTGAGACTCTCGTGCCGATCCGACTGGATTTAGAGCATGAGCCGTTTAAGTTGCGTGACACATTTTTGTGGAATGCCGTCGAGGATGAGACGTCACTCGACTTGTTTGCTGCATCTATATGTGAAGACTTAGGCGTGCCGCCGAAAGTGTTCATGGAACTTATCAAAGTCGCTGTCCAAAGCCAAGTCAACGAGTACGCGACGAATATGGCTTTGCGCATGAGCGACAACGCAGAAGATGATGAGAATACTGATGGCGGTGGGCATCTGAATGAGGCAGCCGCTTCAATCTGGCTTCGTCTTCGCGAGCGGGTGTTGAACCAAAGCACAAAACATATGCCCGGAACCATGGAACCCGTCGCAGAAAATCATGATACCCCGGAAGCATCGTATCTCGAAGATACGGAGAATGTGCCTGACAATAAAATTCCTGACGAACTCCGTGTATTGATCAAGATCGATATCCTGGTGGGTGGCACACACTTAATTGACCAGTTTGAATGGGACTTGCTCGCACGTCACTCACACGATGCCGAGACATTTGCCGCGACATTTGCCGCAGAGCTTGGCTTAGCTGGTGAGTTCAAGACGGCTATTGCTCACTCCATACGTGAGCAAGCCACGAATTATCTACGTGCCCTAGCTGTGTTGGGCTATCCTTTTAATCAGCTTGCTAGTTTGGACGAAGACATCCGTGCAAGTTTCCTGCCAGCTGTGTCGCCATCGCTAATTTCACGTCCGCACGAATCTCTTGACGCATACACGCCAAAATTGATCCAGCTAAATTCAACGGAGGTCTTGCACCTGGAGCGTGAGCATGAACGAGAGTCGCGACGTAAGCGCCGGCAGACCAAGGGACGCCGAGGAACACAGAACGTTGACATTGAGCCACAGCGCACGATCCGTTCTCTGCCGCTATACGGCTTTCAGGGTGCAATGCCAGAGATGGAGCGTCCTCAGCCCGCACGACGCGCCGCCGCCGCAGCAGCGGCGAGTCTTGCGTCAGGGTCATCAACTGCGCCACATGAACTGAGTCCCGGCGTTGATGAATCGTCCGTATTTTTGCCGTCGACGAAGCGCATCAAACACGACTGGTACGACATGTATTTCCGATACCCGGGCGGGCTTGGCAGCGAGAGTGAAGCAAGACGCACACAGCCTTCGACCAGCTCGGCTCTTGACACCATGGCGTCCAGCACCACGGCGAAGGCACCTACGTTGGGCACACATCCTGACCCGACTTTTGCTCCTACCCCATCCTTAGCATCTCGACACGTGCGACCAGAGGATTTAGAAAGGCAGCACCCGACAATGCATGATGGCGTGTGGCATTGTGCAAATTGTGGTATGCCTGGTTACCTCGATGCAGCTCGACGAAAAGGGCCAGCTGGCGAGAAGACACTTTGTGGTCCGTGTGGAAAGTACTATCACCGACATCGACGCATGCCAAGTGTTCTGTACTCACGGGATCCTGCGCACCACTCGAAGAAGCCGCGCGAGTCGACGCCTGTGCTTGACGCATCGGCACTGACGCATGAGCAGGACGTCTCCTTGACAGAGAATGACCAAGACACCCAAGGTCCGCCGCCTCTATGGCTTGTCCATGCCGTTGACGCGTGCCGCTCCAAGTACAAGAACGACCGCTTTTTTATTCAGATGCGAGCCCGACCACCAGATGCCATACCGGACGGCGATCTATGGCGGATCAAATGTCTCGATTGCCCGGGCAAAGTTTACAAACCAGGGCCTGGTGAGTCCCTGGCAAACTTTGAAATTCACTTGAAGAACCGAAGTCATCGCTTGGCTGTCTCTCGACGACTTGGCGGTGACGATGACTTGGAATTTCTTGTCAAGTCCAACTGACCTGTGTCGCGTAAGGTCTAGCTATCCGAGGACTCGGGTTACCGACAGTGAGAGCTCCACCATGTGTCTTTGATATGGGCGGGTTGCTTCAGATCTTGTAGTAGAACTCGTTTTTCCTTTTGTATTCATTTGTATACGTAATGCCATGTGTCTATCCACATCTCATCGCTTGATACACGTTATTGTAAGTTGTGCTCTCCCTCTGTTAGGGCGGGCGGGCGCGCTTAGGCCTAATGCAACCAACCTACTCCACCTTACTTCCGTACTGCCACCGGAAATTTTTGGAACGATGTCGTGCTGTGGACACGAGCACCATCACCATCATGGCGATGATGCCGATCACGTAAAGCCTGGAGAAGGGCATCAGGACCTTTTGTATGCAGCAATCGATCGTGAGCAAGTGAGTGCGTTGAACGAGCAGTATGAAGTATGTGGTACGAGCCAATGGAGGATGGCATGGATCAGCTGACTTCCGCAGGGCTCAGCAGCCAAGATTATCAAGCCCTTCGATAAACGCATGGATGAGACAGACACACTCGAATCAGATGTCGACGATGAACTCATTGTTCATGTTCCATTTACGGGCAGTGTGCGGCTTCGCGCATTACTGATACGAAGTGGACCTGGACATGCGACGCCGCGGTCCGTGCATTTGTACAAGAATCTTCCGTCGCTGGACTTTGAGGATGCTGCGAGTGAGATGCCCAAGCCACTTCAGAAGCTCACGTCTATTCCTGAATCGTCGGAGGTCGTTGAGATTCCCCTTCTCGCTGCTAGGTTCCCAGATGTCCAGACGCTCACACTATATATTCCCGGATGCCTCGGCACGGAGCGTGGTCGACCTGACTCGCATACACGCATTTCCTTTCTTGGTTTCCGTGGAGAGTCGCGCGTGCAGCAGCGCAGCGGCCCAGCCACGATCGTGTATGAAGCTGCGCCACGCGCCACAGATCACACACGCGTCGATGGTACAGCCGCCGGCGCACGGCCGTCCCAGTAACTCGGACGGCGATCTCGTTTTTCTGGGCCTTCCAAACTTCCTGAACATTGTAGGCTTCAACAAGTTGAACTATCTGCTTGCAAAACGACTATAGCAGAAAAGATGAGCAAGTTAAGTGCTAGCGAGGCCTTTGCCATAGGTGGGGCTCTTGGCGACTGTTGCCACAAAGCCGTTGCCGCCACGTCGCACTCACGTAGACAGACGCGCACACATGCAGCAGCAACGCGTATGTGGAGGAAGGACATCGTAGTCCCATTCGGAAAGCGGCACACGTCTGGTTGGCAGGTCTTCTTCATTTGGACAAGTCTGCGCGCCGATTTCATAATAAAGATTATATTTTACAAGGCCGTGACGTTCTTGCATGTGGACACAAACAGCTAAGCTTGTTGGGGACGTTTTGTCGATCTGTGTGAACAAGCGAGTGATTCTTTGACCAAGTGGCGAACGGACTGTTGAAACCCACCACTCGTAAAACAGGCACACCACCCGCACATAAGAGCACGGGGCGACAAGTGTTCTGGGGTCTTACACTAACTAAGAAGGCCGTGACACTTCGATGCGTCCTCGCAGTTGGCGAAAAGATGTGCGTAGCTCATGGAACCGATGCCTTGCATCGGTGATACGCTTCGCAGATGTGTATATGAACTATTTCCGCGTCCACATGCTGTACTTTGTGTTCATGACCTTGTTTTGGTCAGCTATCATGTACGCATCCAATCCAAAAGACCATTATGTACCCTACACGGACTGCCTGTTTCTTTGTGCGTCTGCTGTCACAGTCACAGGGCTTGTGACTGTGCCTGTGAGTCAATTGACGTTGTGGCAGCAGATAATCTTGTTCTGCCTGGCTTCGTGTGGAAATCTTGTGATTGTCAGCACGACGACGGTACTTGTGCGCCGCCATTGGTTCGCGAAGCGGTTCCACAAAGAGCTTGAGCGTAGTTTTACACTCCGCAAGCAGGTGGAAGATGTTCATGCGCGCGAGGTTGAGGAGAGGACGCAAGAGATCAAGCGGCTTCGGCGGTTCTTCCATTTGCGAACGCAAGACTCAATGCAGGATCATAGGCGGCAGCCGTTTACTTCGCGAAAGCAACCGCCGCACAAACTCCACGCAGGCATGGTTCATCGCGTGCAAGGACCGGCCGTGCAAGTGAATCCGACTGGACAACACACCACACGTGTGGATCATGTCGAGGTGCCAGAGTCTGCTGGTGCTACAGGTATTCTGAGCGGTTCTACCGCGCCAGAGTCTGCTGCATCAGCCCTACATGGACGTTTGGATGCAGGAAAGTTGTTCAGGTCCTCGTCTCTGCGGCATTCGATCGATGATCTGTTTCGTGCGAGGCCGTTGACCAAGTCCGCTACGCATGGCGGTCCCGACGATGAGCAGCCAATGAAGCGGCGTCGCTTCTCGTTCAATGACATGTCGTCGCGGTATTATAAAGCATCTGATGTTGCATCTGGTGCTCGCTTGCCCCGTGTACAGACAGTTGATCCAGCGAGCATTCACCATGATACTTCGTCTTTGAAGTCATTGCGTGTGCGGCCGGCGATGCGTATGCCTCAGCATGCACATACCTGGGCTTTTGGCGACGCGAGTGAGAAACACCTGCATGCGGATATGAGTGATGACGAAAACGATGATGATGATGACGACGACACAAGGGGACCGAAGGATCTTCGATCGCTCCCGGGCCATGCGCTTCATCGGACCATGACGCAAAAACGTGACACCGGACTCGGCGGCTTTCCCAATGTGCTTGATTTTGCCGTCTCGCTGGTTGAAAGTTCACACTTGCGGCAGCGCATGCATGTGCCCACGGTGCGCACCATGACAACCATGCAGCCTGCTCTGTCAGGTGACGACAGCGCAAGAGACACGAGATTTGCGCCTTACCTCACGTTTGATGCGACCGTCACAGGGAATTCACACTTTCGGAACCTGACGGGTGCGCAGCGCCGGGAATTGGGTGGCGTGGAATATCGAGCACTGAACCTGCTTGCCTGGCTCATTCCCGTGTACTGGCTGACGATTGTGTGTATCACCATTGTGTTTACAGCGCCGTACCTAGCCTCCGGTCCAGGCGCGCAGTACCGCGAAGCTCTGCAGAAGCAGCCGAAGCCACCCCACAACTCGACATGGTTTTGGATTTTCCAGACAGTGAGTTCCGTCACAAACTTGGGCATGTCGCTCAGAGACGATAGCCTCACGGGCACTATGTCGAAGGCGTACATGGTCTTGATTCCCCAAATGATCCTGATTGTCGTTGGAAACACAGGCTTTCCTGTCATGCTTCGCTTTGTGATCTGGTGCATGTCGCGATGCGTATCGCGAAGATCGAAAATGTATGAGACCTTGATGTTCCTGCTGGACCACCCAAGGCGCTGCTTCTTGTACTTGTTTCCATCCCAAAATACATGGCTTCTTTTTGCTGTACTTTTGATTCTTACACTGGTCGACTGGTTCTTGCTGATGATCTGTGATCTGAACTTGCGGCATGGTTTTGCCAGTAACGGGACGTGGGTCCTGGCCTCGCTGTTTCAGTCGGTCTCCACGCGTTCGTCGGGCTTCCAGACATTCACTGTTTCGCAACTATCGCCGGCTGAGCAGCTGCTTGAGGTGCTAATGATGTACATTGCTGCATTCCCGCTGATGATGACGATGCGCAGTACGAACGTGTACGAGGATCGCTCCCTGTTCGTGGAAGAGACGAACGAAGATGCCAAGTCTGAGAAATTGGAGCCAGACTCCCAAGCTATCTGGGGCCGTTTCTTGGGCACACATATTCGGAATCAGCTTGCGTACGATCTGTGGTGGGTCATGCTCGCTCTGTGGGTTGTACTGCTGTGTGAAAAGGGCAAAATCGACTCAGCCGAGTTCTCGAACATGAGCGTGTTTGGTATTATCTACGAGCTCATGTCTGCGTATGGTACGGTCGGCATGAGTTACGGAGCGACGAGCAAGTCGGCATCACTTGCTGGCGATATGTCAGTTCTTTCGAAACTCGTGATTACGGCTGTGATGATCCGTGGGCGTCATCGAAACTTGCCGTCAGCTGTCGACCGAGCGGTCATGCTTCCTCACGATCTTCATCATCATGACAACGTCCAGGACGTTAAAAGAGACGATCCAGTCGATTCCATGAACAAAGTACCTTCACGCACTTCTAGTGTGCACGAACAAGCCACTGACACACCCGCTTCCACGTCTGAGGCGGGCATGCCTCCTCGACTTCATACGCACTTTGTTGATGAACCCATTATCATGAATGACGGCCCTACGGTCGAATCACCCAAGTCAATGTAGGTAGAAGGTATGTATATGTTCGAACGTCTTCTACATGAAAACTTGGCTATCACCTGACTTTGGGACGAACAAGCGCGCTAATTTTCTTACGATGCCTATTGAAAAGGCATACATAAGAGTGGCTACGGTATCAAACAACGCCGACTGGAGAGCGACAGACTGGCAAGCGATATCCCACGTGACTTGGGACCAAGAAACAATCGGACACAAACTCGTCCTGGTCACAAATCCCTTCCAGGCACGTCATTTAGCTCGGACTCGAGGGCTGGAGGCGACCGGCGTATCGACAGTATAGGCGCCTGCGCAGTTCAGGAAGCCCACAGAACTACACATATTCGCACGCGCATTTACAAAGATGGCAGCTCCAGATGCCTCTCTAGGTCTGACACCCTGGACAGACATGCTGCTAGGCAAGGTCCACCTGACTTACGATGACGCCTATGGTTTAGCCAAGAGCTTTTCACTTACAACTGTACGTCGAGAGATCCATACTAAGGAAGACATCGTCTATTCTGTTTCCGTATCCCGCTGACGCGTCTCGAATGTTTTAGCTGAGTGAAATCGGCGATAAAACTTTCATCGTGAGTGCCATTCTGGCCATGCGCCACTCGTCTGTCGCCGTGTTCTGGGGATCCTGGACAGCGATGATCATCATGTCGACATTATCGAGCTTCATGGGAGCAATTCTTCCTGCATTGCTGACGCGTCGCGCAGCTCACTGGGTTTCGGCTATCCTCTTTATCGTCTTTGGCGTTATTGCGCTGCGCCAGGGCCTAGCTATGAGTGGCGACGAAATCGACAAGGAGTGGAAAGAAACACAGGAAGAAATTCAAGAAGACGAAGATGTTCATGAGCTCACGGACCTTGAGCAACAGGCTGGCGACGACTCGCCTGGATACCCGAACATTGCGCCGTATCCACGGACCTCACCTTCGGTGAAAGAGCAGGCATCGCCGTCGCACTTTGGCGTGTTTCTCCGCGAAGGTACCCGCAATCTATGCGGCCTGATGTTTAGCCCTGTGTTTTCGCAGGCGTTTATTCTCTCGTTCCTGGGCGAATGGGGCGACCGAAGCCAAATTACCACGATGGCCTTGGCATCGACACATCGAGTCGGCATTGTCGCCATAGGCACGAGTCTCGCGCATATGGCATGCATCATGCTCGCTGTCATGGCTGGCGCAATCTTTGCTACCCGCATCAGTCCTCGACACTTGACTATTGGAGGGGCGATGATTTTCCTTGTGTTTGGGCTCATGGCTGTGTACGATGCTATATACGAGCCTGAGCCGTCGGCGCCGTTGCATTTGTAAACGCATTCAAACCTCTCGGGCGCTCTTGTTCTCTTTCTTTGACCTCTTGTGCCTTTCGCAATGTTGTTCCGCGAGCGCTGTGTTCTTCATTCCTGTGGTCAACACTCCCGCTGCCAATGCTGTCGTCACCCAAATCTGCTTCTGCCGCACTACATCTTTCATGATATTCGTATTTACAAAGACTGCTTTTTGTACATATAGAGACATACGCGCTTATCTAATCGCTGTCTTTTTCCGTCCACTCTGTTGCAGTGGGGTCCGGCATCATATGTGGTGTATGGGTATCAGAGAGACGTCGGTACTTTGCGCCGTTTAGGCGAAGGCGTCGAGCACGAATCAATGTCGACGGTGTCGCGTACCGCCGGCGTGCTCTTTGCAGCGATGCTACAGGCCGCGGCGTCAGCGTAAAAGATGACGAGCGCCCAGGTGTTGACATCGCCGAAAGAGGCTCACCTGAGTCATACTCCATGTTGTCGATGGGATGTGGCGACGCTTCGGTTGAATTTGGCGCATGCAGTAGAGATGGCGGCGACTTATATTCCCCAGACTGAGGCGCAACGTGCGCAAGATTCGTAGGACTTCGTGTGAGCGCGAGAATGAGTAGCAGTATCAAAAGCAGCGATAGTTGAGCCATGCCCCAGCGTTTTTCCGAGCGAACGTCAGCGGCGAGGCGCTCAATACGAGCTAAGAGAATTGTGCGCTCTTCCTCGAATGACTGTTGCTGGGCCTCAAGCGCGGCGAGAGCCGATTGCTGCTGACCAACCTTGTCGCCCCAAACACGAGCCTGACTTGCGTTCATCGCGGCAAACATCTCTGCAAGCCGCGTCTCTTGCATTTGCTCTAGCACTAAGAGCTTGTCACGTAGTTTTTGACTGTTGAGCTGGAGGAATTGCATACTCAGACTCGTGTTCGCCTCAAGGGCCACCAAACGCTTTGTGATGGTTCGGTAGATCGATTCGCTTCCGCCAGACTTGGTATCGCCCTGTGGCTTGTTGGATGATTTCGGTTTCGCTGCATTGCCTTTGGGTTCGGCGGTTCGTCTCGTTTCCGATGTTCCATCCAATAGCGAAGAAGTATGCAAGTCTCCCCCAGCCGCTGTTACGGAAGATGAAGTAGGTGGGAGGGATGTGGATGGTGACGGCGGTTCCGATAGCGAGGCGGTGGATGTGGTCCGTGGCGATGAAGGAGGCGGCATCATGGTCGAGCTCGAGGTCGCTGCTGTCGCCGTTGCTGTCCATGTAGCCGAAGTCCACGTTGTTTGTTGCTCAACGGACAAGTCTGTCGACACTGTTGAGGACGGTGGTGAGGAAGGCTGCGACGTCGAGACGGGTCTGCCTGCCACGGGATCAGGCGATGATGTGGTTGCAACAGATGAAGTCGACATACACATAGTTGGCATGTCATCTACAAGCAAGGGCACGAATGGATCCAAAGGTGGCGGTACTTGGGAAGCCATGAGCGAATACGAGTCATTAGTAGCGAGCCCTGTTGGCATCGATAGAGGCGGTGGCGGCAGAACAACGGGTAGGACACGCTCACAGACAGGGCGCCACAGACCTGGGAATGGCTCGCGCTCGCATGCACGTTCCACGACCCGATTGCCATCGATGGCATGAGTACTTGCCAGCTCCAGAAGAGGTTCACTTGGCACTGTATCATCCAACATGTCCGAAACATCATCGTCGTCCAGAGCATTGATATCATCCATCATATCATCATCGGCATCCTCACGCTCATTCCGACCGTACACACGCAAAAGACTCACAGGACAATAGAACTCAGTGCCGTAATGCTCGAGGAAATCAATCCGAAGGAAACGGAAGTAGGATTGTGGTGCACTTGATAGCTTGAACACCTGATAGCCCCTCGCGTTGCGAGCATGAAAGAAGCCTAGCGTGTGCCATTCATCCTCAGGGGCATGCAAAGAGCGTGCGACGCGCACAGCAAACAGTTTGAACATGCTGCTGAAAAACTCAAGGTTTGACAAGACGATAGTATCGACACGAATCTGTTGACATAGCTCGACGATGACAAACTGCGATTCAGGCCGGCCACTCTTGTCACCTTGGTATCCAGCCGACCATGGACACGGCGATAACATGTACTTGTCTTTTTTCTCGCTCAGAATAGCACTGGCCGACTTGGCAAACGGATTCGCCTTGTGCAGAATGGCAGCGCAATCCAGTGAGGCATAATTCCAACGATGCTTCAACTCAGCCAGTCCAGCTGAAGCGTCCTCCTGCGCGTAGATATGCGGGGGACCTGGGTCGGCGGGTGCATTCTGATCCATAGACGCACTGGCATCAAGCATAGTTTGATTGTAAGCTGCTTGTGCAGCTCCCTGAGCTACATCAGCAGCAGCAGATTCAGCATGTGCAGCACGCGTGGATTCATCGCCCTCTCTATCAGGCGAGCGTGCCACCTCGGATGTTGATGTAGCGGAGGGCGACGAAGAGGACCCTGACAGAGATGCGGCCAAGAAAGCTGACTTGTCGAAGCTTCGAACATCGGAACCTGAGACCTGAGACTTGTGTGCTGCGCGCTCGCGCGCCTTGTCGCTCTTCCGCAGCTTGCGCGCATGTTCTAAATGTTGCTCTTTCCATTCGTCAAAGCTAAGGAGTGGGTCATCGACGTGCATCTTGGCTCGCTGCTCCGCCTCGGACTGTGCGACACCTGCAGCAGCCGCGGCTGCACCCGGGTCGATTTCATGTGCGCGGTGGACAGGCGACGTCGAGAGGGATGCTGGCGCATCATTCCGAGGAACCATGACGGTGCCAAAGACCGCGTACATGCGTGTATGCCAACGACCAAGCTCGTCCTGCGTAGGGACCTCGCAGAAAAAAATGTCATTGCTCAGCAGCATGCGTCGCGGATCTGTGCGAAAAGTAACGCTGCTATCAAAGACCTCTGCTACATCCTGCGACGTTGGCTCATGATCAGGAGCGTTGGGGGAGTAGCATCGGAAGACAGGGCCCAGTGGGGAAGGCTCGCCAGGGAGCTCCGCCGGTTGACGATGCTGTGGCGATGGCGGCGACGTTGTAATTTTCACATCGACGTTGTTGGCGCTTGCTGTGATGCCAAGCCACAGAGCCAGAACACAAGCCGACCATATCCCATAGGGCACAGTGCGGTTCATGGCCGTCTCTCAACCGCCAAGCAAGCGTGCAACCTAACGGATGTGCTAGATCAGTTGGCGCGCGATCCTACAGAATATTCGGAGGCTTTTGACACCAGGAAATAATTTCGACAGGCCCCACTTTGGGCCAATGGTAGATGTTAAACGGCATACGCCCAGCTATTGTCTGCAAGCGCCATGCCAACCTTACATGAAGACCGAGGCACGCGTCCTTGGAACTGCGTCTCATCCCAACATTCCTCTGCTTGCACGCAGGGACGCATAAAAAACATATAGAGGGAACGCTTGAAAACTAGCACAAGCGCAGTTGGTCTTTGAAGTGCTCTTGTTTGAGGACGCTCGCTGACTTTGCGAACAAACTAGTCCTCTTCTTTCCTTTCGTTCCGCTCCTTTTTTTTTTTCTGATGGTGAAGAGCACCTTCCTCTCGTTTTTGAGTGTGGCATGGATTGCCGCACTCGCTCTATCAGTATCAGGCGCGTTTGCCGAGCCGCGCATGGTGCGGCGCGGCAGGATTTCGGTGCAACACGGCTTAAGCAAGCGTCTTAACTCCTCAGCGCAGGACGTGGAACGTGCTGGTGACAGGATGGAGGCACGCGCCGACTCGAAGTTGCGCTTCAACTACGGCACTGACAAAGTGCGTGGCGTAGGTATTGGTGGTTGGCTCGTTATTGAGAACTTTATCACGCCCTCCGTGTACGAGCGAACAGGCGACGACCGAGTCATCGACGAGTGGTCATTCGGCAAGTACGTGCCCCATGACAAGGCCGTCAAGATCCTGCGCGACCATTATGACAACTTCATCAAGGAAAGCGACTTTGAGGAGATTGCGTCGTTGGGCTTGAATCATGTCCGTATCCCATTCCCATACTGGGGTATTAAGACGTACGACGACGATCCATACATCAAGCTGAACCAGTACGATAAGCTTAAGGAGGCAGCGCATTGGGCGGACAAGTACGGATTGAAGGTGATCATTGAGCTTCACACTGTGCCTGGCCTTGCGAACCCGTATGACCACGGTGGTCACACGGGTCATATGGACTGGCTCAAGTATGATGTCAACAAGGACCGCTGGCTCGAGATCCTCGATGAGCTGGCGTCGGAATTTAGCCAAAGCAAGTACCCTGCTGTGACGGCCATTTCGATTGTGAATGAGCCAAATGGTGATGTGAATGAGATTCTGGGTCAGTACAAGCGTGGTTACAACCGTGTGCGCAACAGCGAGAGTGATGCCGAGCTGGTCGTTATTATTGGGGACGTGTTCTTGAATGTCGCAGAGAACGACTACTGGCACACGCGCATGCAGCCGCCCAAGTACCAGGGCGTCATGACTGACACCCATGTGTATCGGATCTTTGATGCGGACTCTATTTCCTTGTCGCAGCAAGACCGGTACAAGTACTACTGCTCGCTCAAGGGTGGTCTGGCGGCGAACAACCACCTGTGGGCACTCATTGGCGAGTGGTCGCCGGTGTTTACGGACTGTGCGCCTGGTCTAAATGGTCGCTTCAAGGGGGCACGCTATGATGGCTCGTTCCCAGACTCGACGTACCATGGCAGTTGCGACGGCAAGTCGGGTAATGCAAAGAACTTCTCAGACCACTACAAGCGCCTGCTGAGGAAGAACTGGGATATACAGACAGATGCGTACGAGGCAGGTGCTGGCTGGATCATGTGGACTTGGCGCACGGAAAACCACAATGCTGATGACTGGAGCTACCGCCAGGGCGTGCGCCATGGTTGGATTCCTCGCGACCCGACGCAGCGCAAGTCAACTTGCTAACTTGCTGAAATTATGCGCATGGAAGTCTGTCTTCTTTTTATTTTGTACTTTACGGTGTCAACAGTCTCAACATCATATGATGCAAGATGCTTTTTTTGTTCTCTTTTTTTTTTTTCTTCTTTCTCTCTTTCTCTCTCTTTGGGTCTGTTATCGCCCGCCTTAGTGTGATTCTGTGATGAGCCGCACTTGCCTGTCAGTCTATAGGCCGCTACGTTTTCTTTCCCCGGGCCGAGCCATATCAAAGAATGTACACAAGATGCAAGTGTGGGTGTACCTTACGATAGAATGTTGATATAGGCAATTGATTGGGGCTGATGATGGACTTGCACGTGATATGGGATTTTGTGCGTGTGGAGAAGTACCACATGTGAGATCGAGGCTGCATACCATCGTCCCCTGTCGCAGGTACGTGTCGACGTACGCTGGCCCTATTTGGCATGTCACAAACTGGACCCGCGTCGTCGCCTAGGGAGTCCAGTTTGCCAGGGGCTCCTGTGGCAGTACTTCCAAGGCTGAAACAACTGAATGCGCAGCCGTCTTCGTCGTCGTCGTCGTCGTCGCAAAAGCCACTTCAGTCTACTCAGCATCTACGGCCTGCACCCTACGGCGTACTTACGCAGGCCCGATCAAGATCAAGCTCAGTGGCGTCAATCGCAGGGTCCGCCTCACCTATTGACAGCTCAGGGATCTCATCGGCAGGGAGTCCGTCTCTGCGCAGCGTGGAGCTTCCATACCTGCAGCGGTCCGTGAGTCCAGCTCTGTCCTCTTCAAGCAAGTACTCGCCCCAACTACGCTCAAGCATATCAACGCCGCGTTTGCAAGCTGAGGCGGGCATAAGCTTTAACGATGTAGCTTCGCAGTGGCGGCAGCCTGTGGGGTCGAGTCCAGCGGATGGACAGACAGCTCTACGACCGTCCAAACCGGAGGTCATTGCCTCGCACGCGACGCTTTCGACGAGCGAAAGAACAAGGACACCGCCGCATGCATTCTTCTATGAACATACTGGCACTATTGACTCGACAGATGCGGCGGCGCTTCTTCATCCGTCGGGCGAGACCCGAGGCTTGGGCCTCTCGCTCAGCAAGCCCCGGGTCCATGACATCGCACCCATCAATACGCGCGTTCGCAGTCCCACGCCCGATAGTGGAACGTCATCGCATATGCACATGCATATTCCGTTGGGTCCGACGCTACGGTCGGCTCGGTCCAATGCCCATTTTTTGGGGGCGCTACGTTCCCGCATGTCACCAGAGCCGAGCAGTTCGTCGCACCACGACGAAGGCGCACCATTATGGCGGAGCAACACGAATCTACGGCGTCTATTTCGAATGCATGAGGAAAACGGTCCTCGGTCGCGGACCACATCCGGTACATCGCAGAGCCTTATGCCCAGCCCCGGCGTCGTGGCATCACCCACGCCGTCGCCATTGCTCGCCCACGACTCGCCAGACATGCCCAACCCGTATGCAACGCCTGAATCTGTCGCAGCTCCTGTGTTCCGCAGTAGCGATGAAAATCGAGGCGAGCGGCACCGACGTTATGTGCTGACGGAGCTGGCCGAGACAGAGCGGTCGTATGCCAGTGATATGAATGTGGTCAAGAACCTGTATCTGGCACAAGCTCGTCTCCGCTCTGGCATTCGGCCTACGACGCCGTCTTCGTCTTCGTCGCTCTCGCTGATGTATGCATCGCAGGATGCTCCATCTTCTCGCACGCAGAGCGTGTCGTCTGAGCCGGACCCGGAGGTCGTCGGTGCTTGGTCCAGTGCGAATCCCCCGACGTTTGTGTCTCCCTCCAGCGAATCCCAACCCGAGAATCGGCCGCCGATGTTGATGCCGCCGATGCCTGGCATGTCGGGGGGAGCCTCCGCGCCGCTCTCTGTCACAGACATCCATGTGATCTTTGCGGGCGTCGAGGCATGTGTCACTTTGGCGACGGACATGGCCGATCTGCTCGCTGCCGCCGCACGGAATGAACGGCCTGTGAGTGGCGTGTTCTTGGAAAAGATGCCGCTGATTGAGCAGGTGTTTGCGCTCTACTGCGCACGCCACGAGGCGAGCATTGCGCGGCTCGCTGATGTGACGACGCGGAGTCCAGCTGCAGCCGCATTTCTCCGTGACTGCGACGATCTGTCTCGCCAGCACTCGACGGCCTGGGACTTGCCGTCTTTGCTAATCAAGCCTGTGCAGCGTGTGCTCAAGTATCCGTTGTTTTTGCAGTCGATCATCGAGTGCACGGACCCGTCCGATCCCGAGTACGCACAGCTGCAACAAGCGCTGGAGCAGATTCAGGGCGTCGCCGACCGGATCAACGAGAGCAAGAAGCGCATGGACATTGTGGGGCAGCACGGGTTTGGTCTCCCGTCACTCTCACGCACAGGCTTTCGCCGGCCTGTTGCGCCTGCTGGTCTGCGGCGTGCCAAGACACCGACGGTCGATGGTCCGCTGACCGAGGACGAAGACAGGTTCCATGCGCTTGTCGCGCGGCTGAACGCGACAGAGCACACGATTCGGCACTTTACGCAGCATTGTGCGATGTGGATGCAAAACATGCGTGCGATGTATACGGCCGAGGTGCGCATGATTGACGAATGGATTGCCGTGTATGCATGCAGCGACGTGCACGAGCCAGCGTCGCTGGAGCGGCTCAAGCAGTTTCGTGGACTAATCCACTGGCGCATCTTGAATCAGGCGTGTGCGCAACTGGAGACGTCGCTGCACCGCTCGGTGTACGTGCTGATCAACTCGATGCTCATTCTTTTGGAGCGCACGCAAATGGTCCTTATGAACCGCTCCGCCAAGGAAGGCGAGTATCGGCGCTATCTGCATGAACGAGCGCGGCGGCCAAACACCAAGGGTCAATGCGGTGCGCTGGCATTTTGGTCAATGCACATGCAGCTGGTGGATGAAATCCCCCTCCTGTTGCGCGGCACAGACTTTGTGATGCAGCGCTGTATATTATCGCTTATACGATCTGCAGCGGTCCTTCTATGGTCTTGTGGGCGACATCCTCCGTGACTTTTGTGTGCGCTATATTCCCTCCGTCATGACTCCCTCCACAGCCAGCCCCGTCACGACAAGCCGCATGCCGGACATGCTTCCCTCGCCCGCCGATACGTCAGCAGGCTTTGATGCGCCTGTGGTGCCGGAAAAGACATCGGTTGCGTCGTCAAGCTCCCGTCGCTATCCGACGCTCGCTCCACCGCCGATGGAGCCTTTTGCCCAACCGTCGTTGGTGCCAGTATCAGCACCAATGCCACTGGCCACAATGCCCCCACCCCCATCGGCTCAGTCCTCGGCGAGGTCGTCTTCGCCCCTGCGGCTGATCATGCCATCATCTCCAGTGTCATCGTCTCCAGCACCAGCGTCTCCGCTCGTTCCAGCCATAACCACGCCGTCCGCGACACCGTCTGCCACTGCCATCAGCAAGGGCTCCGCGGCCAGCTCTCATGTGGCAGGCTTGGCTCCTTTGCCGCACATGCTGTCAAACATGACCATGTCTCCGACGATGCCACGATCCTTGTCGAAGCGCGAATCGCCCGGGAGCAACAGAGAGCGCAAGGCCCAATCGCGGCATTCGACGCTAGCGTCGTTATTTCGCTCGTCCTCGCCACAGCCGCAGCAGCCAGACGTTTCGATATCGGCATCTCCAGCCCAAGAGCTCCTCCCGCCGACCACCCATTCACCGTATCCGATCGTGGGGCCGCCTTCGCCCTCGCCCTCGCCCGTCCTGGTCGACGGGACAGCACCGCTACCGGCGCTTGCACCGCCACTCGCGGGCGTGGCTTCAACGTCTACGCCCTCGCCTGTGCCTGACATGGCATTCTCGAGCCCGTCCAGAAGTAAAAAACGTGATACAAATCCCGTGACGCCTGTCTCAAAGAGCGTCGTACTGGGGCATCCACGAACGTCTGCACCATCCACACCGCAAATCCTTGTCAACTCACGCGCTTCCCTGCTGTCCCTCGAAGCTACGCCTAGCAGCATGGTGGCGGACGATTCACACGCTTCGCAGCGGACGGGGCACACGGAGCCAATGTTCTTTGATGCCCGCTCGTCGATTAGCGACTATTCGTTGCTGCTGAGACAAAGTGAGCAGCCTTCCCACAATAGGTCCTCGTAGTCATGATGTTTCATACCCACTTTCCCACTTCCTGCCCTCACCATTTCGTTGCTGATGATTCCGCTTCACTTGCGACCTCGTCTTTGGCCTAGCTTTCGGTCGCCATCTGCCTTTCATTCCGTGACATTGGCATCTTGCCCTGTTTGTCTGTGTGTCTCTCGTATCGTATAGCAGAGTGGAGAATTCCACCACGACGTCGATTTCCCTTCAACACTCGGAAGTCAGGCGACGTTGGTCGTTTCTGTATGGCAAGACCTGCACCGCCAGCTGCCAAGCCTGGTGAATATATACAGACAGCTGCAACAGGCAACAAGATCTCTAGACGCTCTGTGATTTATGGCGCATCTAACATCGTGTTCGGTGGAAAATGTATCGTTCACACAGACGCCATGATCCGCGGCGACTTGGTCCGTGTGATCCGATCCCACAGCGAAAGCCGATCTCGAGGTACTCAATCAAGCTCTGATGCTTCATCGAACGCAGCCCCCGCTTCTGCGTCATCCGTCATCATCGTGACTGGCCGTTATATGTGCCTAGAAGAGGCGTGCCTCTTGCGTCCACCTGCTAAGACCTACCATGGGTACGTCCCTACACTCCCGACCGTCCGTGTCCACTCTCGCAGAACGGTCAGCTTATTCTTACAGGTTCTTTTCCTACTTCCCTATGCGCTTGGGAGACTATGTGCGTATTGGTGCACATTCCATTGTCGAGGCTGCCCAGATAGGAAGTCATGTCGACATCGGAGAACGGTGCGTGATTGTACGTGATCAAATACTGCCTAGTCGCTTCTATGTGCATGCTTGTCTGTTCGAATGGCTGACCATACGTGTAGGGTCGCTTTTGTGTGATTCGGGATGGCGCACAAATCCTAGACGGCGCAGTGCTTGCGCCACATACCGTCGTGCCGAGTCATTGCATCTTTGCAGGATCACCAGGTATGAGTGTACGCATGTGCATGAGTCTGACGCCGTGTGCAGCACGCAGGGTCGGCATGCTTCCTGAATCATTCTCAGATACCCATGAGCTCGAATGCCGCGCGTACTATTATGGCTTTCGTCCTCCGCGGTAACGACATCCCTCCATCGACCGCCACGCGAGCCAGCTCGCCCTGACACACCCCCCCAACCCTTTCTGTATTGTTGGGTCTTCAACTCCCCTCCACATAAATGGCCATGTAGATTTGCCAGTATTTTTCAGCCACACGAGGCGCGGATCGCTCTCGTCAGGCGTCATAGGGCCAAATTAAACTCGTGTCCCCGCGGACGCCAAATTCTTGATCTCGTACCATAAACCCACTCGTTTCATACTATACACCCTTTCTTCGCACCATGTCGAGTATCCCTGTTCGGCTTCCATCGCTTCTCGACACGGACTTGTACAAGTTCACCATGCAACAAGCGGTGTTGCATCATTTCCCTGATGCGCAAGTGACATGTACGTGAACGACGCCCGCGTCGATGTCACCATTCTCGCTTCCGCCGGGCTCGACACTCACACGCACACCTCGGTGTATACACTCATGTACACACATACATTCGTACGCACAGATCAGTTTACGAATCGCGCAAAGGACATGCTGTTTACGCGTGAATGTGCACAACAGATCCAGCATAGCATTGACCGTACGTTTCCACCACGAACGATAAAATCTCGATGGTTGACCAAACACAGATATCGGCACTCTTAAATTTACGCCTGATGAGCTTGATTGGCTCCATACGTCGTGTGCATACTTACAAAAACCATACCTAGACTACCTTGCACATTTTCAACTGCAGCCTGCCTCGCAGGTTAGGCTTCACTTCGAACCTGTGAATGACACGCACGGTCAAATCCATCTCGATGTCCAGGGTGCATGGAAAGATGTGATTTTGTATGAGGTGCCACTGATGGCGATCATCAGCGAGACGTACTTTCTCATGTGTGAAACCGACTGGACCCTGGAGGGCCAGCGTGAACGCGCGTACGAGAAGGGCATGGACATGCTGAGCCAAGGCATCATGCTGAGCGAATTTGGCACTCGCCGTCGTCGTTCGCTAGCGACTCAGGTGGCTGTGCTTGAAGGCCTTGTCCAGGCCAACAAGGACATCCAAGCTTCAGGTAACCCGAACGCTGGTCGTTTGCTTGGCACAAGCAATGTATACTTGGCGAAGCAATTCGGACTTGTGCCAAGCGGTACGATTGCTCATGAATGGACGATGGCCATCGCTGCGATGCAAGGGTACGAACGCAGCAATGTACATGCGCTTGAGCTCTGGGACCAGGTGTACCAGCCGCCAGCCTTCACACCACAGAAGCCATCCGACGACCTGACCATTGCTCTCACCGACACATTCAGCACCAAAGTGTTCTGGGATGATTTGCTCTCCGATGAGCGAGGCAGAGAAATTCTCAAACGCTGGCGTGGTCTACGGCAAGACTCGGGCGATAGTGCGACATTTGTGCAGCATGCATTGGACATGTACCGCAAGATTGGGGTCGATCCATCGACGAAGCTTGTCATCTTCTCTGATGGATTGAATGTGCGTCGTTGCCTCGATCTGCAGCGTATGGCCAAGGACGTGGGCATTCGTGCAGGTTTTGGCGTCGGAACGAATCTCACAAACGATTTCCGCCGCGTGTCTAACGGTGAGCCCAGCCGTGCATTGAACATGGTCATCAAGCTGAACTCTGTGAATGGGAACCAGGCCGTAAAGATCAGTGATGATCTAACAAAGAACACGGGGGATCCTCATGAAGTTGCGTACGTATGAATGTTATGTATGATACACTAACAAAAAATAGGATGGTGAAGCGTCGATTCGGCTTGGATGGTATCGAGCACATCGAAGATGCCTAGGCTGGTACTAAGCCACCAAGTCTTTCCACTCGCACATGCCCAATGTCGATAGGAACTTGCGGTAGTCAAAGCGCTTGTGTGTCCTGTCGAGAAACGTTGGGACCAGCCATGTATTGATCTGAATGTAAGAACCATTGCACTGATGGAGGCGCATCGGCCCGCTTCGTCGTCGTAGCGCTTTACATACCCAAGCCTCGTTGTGGTTAAGTATCTCCCGTATCATATCCACGTCGACGAATCCCTCGTCTTTCTCATCAAAGCTTTCAAATGCCTCCGACAACTTCCGTGTGTCTGAAAATGGCTCCATGACACCGCTCATCATTGTCAGAAAGCTCATGGTCTCGTACGTTGAAGATGGAGCTCCCTCAAAGCACGTCTTTGCCTCAGCCTCAGCATCCTTCACACCCAAGTTCCGCAGCGCCTCTGCTACGTCTGAGTCTGAGACGCGTCCATTGGCGTTTTTGTCCAGCGCATAGAACACGCGCTGCAGCTGCTTAATCTGCACGGGCGTAAGGCTCGACAAGGGACTCGTTTCGTTCATGATGCTTGTATCACAACCGATCCGAGCTACACTTCCGTGGCGTATCGCGGAGGCGATGAAGAAAACCTACGCTGACTGCGTCAATGTTCTCACTACCTTATTTACTCACCTGCATCAATCAGTCATCCATCATTCCACATTTTGCTGCACGCATTGTGCCTTTGTTTGGGGGGGGGGGGTTGCGCTTTGTTTAGCTGAACTTGGAGCACGCGTCGCGCCTCCACCAGAACAACACTACATCACGTGATCTCGACCCACCCTCCTAGACGTGTGTCATTGACGCACGGCGAGGAGAGAACGAGAGAGTGAGAGCGTGAGTGAGTGAGAGAGTGAGTGTGTAGTTTCGGACAACGAGTGTGCATTTTTTGAGGCACGGACGACCCATTATTCCTTGGGCGAGTTCTGCGCACCATGGCCAAGGACTTGCGTAGAGAAACGGCAGTACATCTAAAAGACTCGTTGACAGTCGGACATACGCGCATGTCTCTGGCAACTGCACGGCGACGAATCCTTTGGAATGCCGGTGGCCTTGGCGTGTTTTGGTTCACGAAAAGGCTACCTGTCGGGCTGGATGATCTGTACTTTGAGCTGCTCGATCGAATGATGCATATCGATGGGGTCCCGAGTGGCATGGACGAATTCGTTGATTCCGTCTTTCTGTGGCTACGATGTGCATTGAGTATTGTATTTGTGTGCAACTTACTCGAAGCACTGATCACCTACTTCTTGTGCGTTCATCGACGACAAACGGTACCCACGACTGGCACCGCTTCTATACCCGCGACGGAAGTGGGCAAGGCACTTGCACGGCGTGTTTCGCAGGCCTCGATTCGTGGCATTGATTCGTCTGAGCCGGAGAAAGCGGCGTTGTCCGCCGCCCGTGCGAGTGTCACACCGACACCGTCGACAACATCGGCATCAACCTTTCAGATGAGCCCTGTAACGCCTGTTCCAGGGGCAAGTGTACTCCGTCGCTCCGTATCTCCCGTTGCCCGATCCAGTCCAGATGCCGTAAGGACATCGTCGCCCTTCCGTATGAGTACCATGGGGTTGGGGCGGCCAACGTCGACGCCGTTCCTGAACCGCTCCGTCACACCATCTCGCCCACGACTTCCCAGCAGTCCATATACTCCACGGACGGCTGGACGGCCGTCACTCTCGCCCAATGCTAGTATAACACGCCATTGGTCTCCCACTTCAGTCCGATCAGAGCACGGTACGTTCACAAGATGCTGGCTGACATGGCAGACGATGCACGAGAGGTTGAACGTGCCCTACAAGGACTAGACAGGGTGCCGTAAAGTTCGCTGAAAGATATAGGCTTGGATTATGCACGTTGGGAGTCAGGGTATCTATAGTGTCAAGTTGTACTCATAGTCGCTTTCTACATGTTGGCTGAACCAAAGAACCATAGCACATGCCATGATCGCCAGGTTCTGCAGGACACCCGCGACGCCAAATTCCACGAATCCCACTGCATCAGGGTTCATCATATACTTGATGATCAGGATCGCTAGACTCCCAGCGATACCCCCTGCCAGGAAAGCAAAGCCAATAAAGAGCCACGTACGTGTTCGCCACATGACAGGATCGTCTTGCCATGCACCGATCTGTCCAGTGCCGTCCTCATCCATGAGGTGTCGCTTGTCGACTAAATTAACGATGCTCAAGCCGATCGTTGCGCAAAGTCCTGGCACCCAATCATCGAACTTGATAAATACACCATGTTTTGGCTGCGGAATTGGCTCGCCTGGCCGTGGTTGCGGCACTGGTGAAGGTAAAGGCGCAGGCGTCGACATGTTGAGACGTCCCGATCGAATGCATGCATCAAAAAAAAGCCACCAGCCACCGGCAAACAGCGCTCCTGCTAAGCACACACCCATTGCGTGCCTATTTGCTTGCATATTCAGGGGAATCTTTGGCAAACGAATACGGCATACACGTCGCGTTTCGCCCAGGCCTGACATAGTGGCGACGAAACGCGTTGTGTCTGGTCACCTTTGACAGGTGCAGTGAGAATCTGGGCGATAAGCTATTGCGACCGGAAAATCGCCTTTTCCTTTTTTTTTTTGCGCTCTTGAACCGAGCGCTGCCGCACTTTTGTGGTCATCCAGTGCGCCGCGGAAGGGGGGGGGGGGCGTTGACGAGGTCCAGGCCCGTATCACGTGATGCACATGGGCCTCTCATCACTGGTACGTTAACGCAGCGCTGCAAGTGTCGTCAGTGAGGGCGATACTGAAGAGGAACAGCATCAGCAGCAGCAGCGGAGCGCTGTAGTAGTAGCAGTAGTTGCAGCCGTTCTTGTGGAGCACACGACCTTGTCCCTTCAGTGCTGTAGTAAACACAGGCGCGCAGGATGGTGCGTGTCGTGAAAGGTGGTGTATGGAAGAATGTAAGTGAGTGAGAGAGTACTTCTGTCAGCGCGTGTGAGGCATCGCTAACGTGACAGACGGAAGATGAAATTCTCAAGGCAGCCGTATCCAAATATGGAATGAACCAGTGGGCGCGCATCTCGTCTCTGCTGGTGAGAAAGACGCCAAAGCAATGCAAGGCACGCTGGTACGAATGGCTTGATCCATCGATCAAGAAAATCGAATGGTCGCGCGAAGAGGATGAAAAACTGCTGCACATGGCAAAGCTGATGCCGACGCAGTGGCGAACAATTGCGCCCATTGTAGGACGCACAGCGACACAGTGCCTAGAACGTTACCAACAGCTTCTTGATGATGCTGATGCACAAGAGTCGGAGCTCGGTCTTGCCGGCACTGGAGCCGAGGCGGGACCCAGTGCTGACACAAGTGCTCAAGCTGCGGCCCGGCGAAGTGGATCCAGACCCAGAGTCAAGACCAGCGAAACCCGATCCCATCGATATGGACGAAGACGAAAAGGAAATGCTCTCGGAGGCGCGTGCGCGTCTTGCCAACACGGAAGGCAAAAAAGCGAAGCGCAAGGCGCGTGAACGAGCATTGGATGAAGCTCGGCGTCTATCTACCTGCAGAAGCGTCGTGAGCTGCGTGCGGCTGGGATTCGTGGAAAAGGCCGCGACAAGGTCGTCGGCATCGACTACAATGCAGAGATTCCGTTTGAAAAGCAGCCACTCCCTGGTTTTTACGACACAACAGACGAGGCGAACAAGACGTACGAGGAGCCGATGCGTCGTACACTGCTACAGATGGAGCCGGGTGCACAGCCTACAGACGAAGAGGCCAAGAAACGGCGTGACCGCGCGCTCAACAAGCCGTCGCGGCATGAAGACGCGTTGCGTCGTATGCGAGAAGCAGACAAAGTCACGAAGCGCCGGAAACTTGCGCTGCCAGAAGCCCAGGTCTCTGAATCGGATATGGAACAGATTATCAAGTTGGGCGTGGCTGGTGAGGAAGCTCGAGCGCTCGTGGACGGCAACGAGAACACAGCGACCGAAGGGCTCCTTGGCCACTATGCGCCTATGGACTATAATGCTGGGGGCACCGGACCTGCGCCAGGTGCCACGCCAACACCGCGTCCACATGATACGGACGCGCTCGTGCGAGAAGCGCGCGAATTGCACGCTCGCACCGTGACACAGACGCCGCTCTTGGGCGGAGAAAACACGCCCGCTGCCCCTGCTGTGGCTGCTGCCTCTGCAGGAAATACCGCGATGGCCGTGGCGCCGCATGCCACGCCATATCGCGATACCCTGGGTCTGAATGAAATATCCGATGTGCCGGCGACGCCGCGCGATGCGAAAATTCAGGCACGCATGGCGAAACGACAGCTGGCAGCGCGGCTGGCGGCCCTGCCAACGCCGAAGAACGACTTTGACATCATTGTTGATGATACTCCACCGTCCTCGACCGCAGCTGAGTCCATTGCCAAAGACACCCGCGCCTTCGACGCACATACAGACAAGGTGGAGGATGCAGCTCTGCGTGATGCACGAATGGCTCAGTTGGCTGCTGAAGCGCGAGAGCAAGAGCTAGCGAGGCGGACGCAAGTTGTTCAACGAGCTCTTCCGCGACCTACGAATGTGGATGAGAAGCAGCTGCGTACGCTTCTGGCTTCTTTGCGCACATCTGATGATGAGGCCCAGCAGCTCGTCGATGACGAAGTGGTCAAGCTCATGGCACACGACGCACGTGTATTTCCGCTGCCGGGCAGTCGGCACTCGGGAGGTGAGCGCTCTTCTCTCGCGCGTATACCCGATGCCTCACTCGAAGAAGCTCGTCGGTCTGTGGAGGAGGAACTATTGCATAGCCAGCCTTTGTGCGACGAATCCAGCGTAGACGCCGTTGGTGTGCCGGATGAAGAAGCATGGGGTCCAGATGGCTCGCTCGTATTTCGGTCATCGCTCACACGTGACGATCGAATACTAGGTGCATCACGGCGCTTGGATGTCCTTCGTATGCGGTTGCATGAGACCGCGACACAAGCTAGCAAGGGCGAGAAGATGTTGAGCAAGCTGCTGGGCGGCTACGAAGCTCGTTCTCGTATGCTTGCGGGAAAGATCACCGAGGCTGCTTCCCAATGTGTGGATGCAGATGTGCGCCTCGTGTCGCTGCGGCGGCTTGGTGCATGTGAGCCAGCCGTCGGGGAGGAGCGCTTGGAGCAACTCAAGGCCGATGTCGCACGCTTGGCGTCGATGGAACGTATGGCTCAGGCCGAGTACAAAGAGCTCGTGTCTGCATACGCGACGGCGCAAGAGGCGCATGATCAAGTCCAAACTGAGCTCGACATGCGCCATGCTGAACATGCATTGATGATGCACTAGCGCCAGCATGATTGCGCGTCGCGCCCCCCGTTCCCGTCCCCAACCCCCACGGCCGCCGCCCTCGTTCAATCAGCGCATGATGCCAGACGATTCCTTACCTATATATCTACACGTTCATACCCAGTTGTCTATAGGGACGATGCACTCGCGCTTACACTCATACATCCGCACGCACAAAGCCCCCCATCGTTCTATGGCGTCAATAGCTCCTTCATCAGTTTGATACACTGGTCATTTTCCTCGGCCGTGCCAACCGTAATTCGAAGACATCCATCGCAGCCCAATTCCGACGACCGATTACGCACGACGAGGCGATGTTCTTCCGCCATACGCTTGTAGACGAGAGCTGCTCGCTGGCTATCCGGCAGACCCTTCGGCGCATCGAGCACCTGGACCAGCACAAAGTTGGCATCGTTCGTACCGAGAACCTTTCCAATGCAAGGGATGGAAGCAAGTTCGCGAATGAGCCGCTCACGAAGCTCAACCAGCGTCTTGGCATGCGACCGCATACGCTGAATGCCTTCGGGAGCCAGAGCCTGAGAGGCGGCATGGGCAGCTAGTGTCGACACGTTGTATGGCGCCTTGGTGTTGTTCATCACCTGGATGATCGGCGGCTGTGCAAATGCCACGCCCATTCGTACACCAGCGAGTCCAAATGACTTGCTGAGCGTTTGAGACACGATCAGATTCGCATACTCGTGCACAAGCGAGACGGCCGACACAGCTTGGGAAGCTGTGTGTTTTCGACCCTGCGCCTGTTCCTCCAGCGCAAAGTCAATGTAAGCTTCATCGACGACGACAAGTCCTTGGTACGCTGGCGTCTCGAGGATGGCACACACGTCTTCCATTGCCAAGAGTGTCCCTGTGGGGTTTCCTGGCGAGCATAAAAACACCAACTTGATGGATGGATCCTGTGCGAGAGCCGCTTGCACCTTGGGGACATCTAGACGGAACGCACCACGAGGATCGTCCGGCATCGTCAGCGGCACTTCCACTACTTGCACATCATTAATCGAAGCACTCACACTGTACATGCCATACGTTGGAGGACAGATCAGAATCTTGTCTTGTGATGGGCGTGCGAAGCATCGCTGGATCAAGTCGATCACTTCATCGCTGCCGACGCCAAGAAACGTATAGGCCGTGTGTGGCAGTCCACGAAACTGTGTCACAGACTCACGCACACCATACAATCCAGGGTCTGGGTAGCGATGCAGCTGCAGCGATTCCATTTCTTCCGAAGAGCGAGTCGCTGCTGATGGACCCAACGAGTTCTCGTTCGCATCGAGCAGCGTGCCACTTTGGTAGTCATCCCTAGCGCATCGGTAAGGCTTAAGCGCAAGGATATTGGGCCTTACAATCCGCTCTAGACAGAAATGCTCCGGCTTGTGTGCTTTGGCCAGTGCGCAAGCCTCCTGATTGACTCCTAATACGCCCATGGTATCTCGCTGGCGAATTACTGTGCGTCCAGTCTCTCCCAGATATGAGAAGATGAGCGGTGTGACGTGCCACAGTCAACTTTTTCGTTGGGTATTGCTTCTCACCCTTTCATGGGCACCTCCCCTCCACACTAGGCAACGACGCCATCGCGTCACATGACTCGACTTGTAGGGCCGCAGAGACGATGGGGAAGGGCGTCGCCCTCCACACAACGTACCACGGTTAACGACCGCTATCAACTTGGCCGTCACCCCCAGCGTCGGCGGTTCTTGGGGCCACTTGCGCGCTCGCTGACTGTCAGCGTGACAGGGCGGAGGGTGCTTCTCTTATGGGACAAGAAGACGTGCGCGTCAGTATCGAGCGCGTGCGTTCAGTCCCCGGCGCATCAGAGCATGTGCTTGACGCACCACGTGAGAGCGGGCGTTTAGCGTCAGAACGCACGCTCCTAGACATTCATGCGAACGGACATCATGTCCTAGCGCCGCGACTCTCGCACCTAGATGCAGAACGTGCGCGTCGCCTACGGTTGTGGGCTGAGCGAGGCGAGTTCCGACATGTGCGTGCGTCCATGTTCCAGCCATCCAGCGTCGCCGATGCCACCAGTATGGATGGCTCAGTTCGGTCAGCACTAGCCTCGCTCCGTGCTGCCTATCATGCTCCAGAGGTCCAAACTACGATCCAAGTCTCAAACCAGTCCGCGCAAGAGCGGCCTGCTCGTCCCGGCACGATCCACGAGAGCGAGTTTGTTCCTCTACGTGACACACTTATTCACCAGCTTGAGGTGTCGCTTTTTCACGCTGAACAGGCGCAGAACTTGTTGGGAATGCTCATTCAAAACACTCGCACAGAGTCAGCATCTTCTTCGGCATCATCTTCGGTCTTGGCAGCCCAAAGCGATTACTTTTTGGATCCGCACGCTCTATCGCTCAGTTCTCTGGACCGGTCATGGCAAACATCCTCTGCTGCGCAAGGTGGTGCTGGAGTTGGTATCAATCCTGCCATCGACGAGGATGTGGCTAATGGTGGCAATATTGACGATGGTGATCAAGCGCCGCCTCGCGAGAAACCATCTTTGTCTGCGAGAAAACTTGTGCTGCAGGAGAAGCTCTCATCATTACGGAGTGCCGCGGCTATACTTTCTCAAGGTGCAGAAGAAATTCAAACATGCCTTCCTACTGAGCGTGACAGATGGCATGGCTTGCAGCGGATTCAGCAACGTGGCTGGAAACTCACGCCTGGTCGTCCGCTGGTCGATATGGAGCGATTTGATACTACAGCTAAGCAAGATATATTACATGGATTCGGTGTGCCAATTTTGCAGGGAGATGGGTCGGTGAAGGAAGAGGGTGCACGCGATGCATGGATTGGGTACGGCCCTAGTGAGGCGCCCATCGCCGTTTTGCAACGGACTCTTGCGTACTGGGCTGACGCACCGCAAGGTGCTGCTGATACACACAAGCAGCACAACCGCCTTGCATTCCCAGACCGTGCATGGCACCGACTGCAAGTGCAGTTCCATGAACAATGCACGGATGGATCTTCACGCGTATGGGTCAGTGCCTATTCCATGAACAAAAATAACGCATGCTCGGAGAAAGAGGTGACAGACATGGAGACAGACGCTGATCCAGTCTTGGCTTCGGATGGACAAACAGACGCAGACGTCGACTTGGATGCGCAGCTCTATGAAGCACAACTTGATGCCGTGGATACAGAGCTCTTCCGAGAACTGGCCGCTCAGTCTGGTACTCTGTCGCCGGTTCTTTCTCGCTCTATCTCTGAGGACTGTGTGAGAATTCCTCTATCGTCTTCACTCACGTTGTGCTTTGTCATGGTGCCCTTTTCGAGGACGGATGCGCCCCATTGCACAACTGCTAACGAGAATGACGTGCCTATGAAGGAGGTGTCGCCCTGGGCGACCATGCTTTTGCATGTGCTTCGTCTTCGTATGCTGCGCGGTTGGACTGTGCATTTAGCCAACATGCGCCTCTCACGCGTCACTTCGATTGCACAGCGACCGCTGGTGCCACGGAGCTTGTTAATGGCGCCGCTATGGGAGCTGTATGAATATACCCTATTTTTGAACCGGCTTCGAGCGGCACTTGAAAAATCCCTTGCCTGTTTCGCAGATGCATGCATGGTATGGCAGCCATTCGGAACTATGCACGATGCCCGCATGTGGATTGCTTCGTTGTTAGATCTCACCACAAACGAGCCTACTAAATCTGGCACGTGTGGCGGCAATGTATGGGTGTATCACCGCTCGGCCATCGTCGCACAGCTCGCACTTCGTGCTCCAAGCTACATCATGGCTTATTTTCCACAGCATCCGACGCCCGGTGGTGTGGGAATTCGAATGCCGGTGGAACTGGAGTCTCTTGTGCCGTTTCTCGAGTCAGAGTTGGCCACTGCTGACAAGGCCATTCTAGCAAATTCGGCCTCGCCAGCGCCAGCGCCAGCGCCCGGGCCTACATAGCTAGTCTCTCCACATATATCCTTGTCATGGACAAATACAGACTCCACCTAGTTGCCGTTTGCCTATGGAGTTGTTCCGTGCCTGACTAGCGCGAACAATTCGGGCTTCATTCACTCGAACGCTTTCTTTCGCAAACTACCTGCAACGATGCGTGCGTGGGGCGCGTTTGTGGCATTCGCGATGGCTGCGCTCGTGGGAGCGAAGGAGCCACCTAAGTCGCTTATGATCGGAGTCAAGTACCGCCCAGAGTTTTGTCCATTCAAATCGCAGGACGGCGATCAGGTTCATGTGTATGTGTAGCCAGACAAGACGCGTCACCGTTGGGAACACTAACGCAACATACAAACCATTTCACAGGCATTATACGGGACGCTTGTGGGAAGGCAAGAAGTTTGACTCATCATATGACCGTGGCGAGCCACTGCCTCTGAAGCTCGGCGCTGGCGCGGTCATTGCCGGCTGGGAGCAGGGTCTTAGGGATATGTGTATTGGCGAGAAGCGCAAGCTGCAAATTCCACCTGAACTTGGCTATGGCAGTATGAATCTGGGCGATATCATTCCTCCAGATTCGACGCTTGTGTTTGACGTGGAGCTGGTCGACATCAATGGTCAGAGCGCCTATGTGCAGCCGGAAAGCCACGAGGACTTGTAGGATGGCATCGTGTTGCCTTCGGTCAATATTGAACAACAACGCATGATGCTCGTTTGCTTTTCTTTTTCTCTTCTTTCCTTTACTTCATCTTGGTATCTAGAATCCTATGAACGAAAGCGAGGTCCTCGCTGCCCACGACCGCGACCATGGCCATGTCCATCGCGATGCCCTCGGCCGTGGTGCGAGTGACCCGCGACGTGCTGTCGTTGTTTCCGTGCATGCTCTTCAGCTTCACGCACGGTATCAATCAGTTCATGTGCCACACGACAATACTTGATCTGGGACACTCATGAGCGCGAAACAACGTACATACCGTGCTCCCTTTGATATACACCTCTGGCATTTTCCAAAATTGCTCGCCGCTCTGGTGAGTGTGGTGTTAGTGGATTGCGTGAATACATGCACAGTGTGCTTAAAGCAAGTGTATTATCAATGGGGAATACTTACTGAGCTTGTTTGGAACACGTCGCGCATCGTAATGTTCATATAGTTGTCGCAAGCGACCAGGTGGCCGTTGAAAGTCTCGCTATTTTTCAGCTCGACCAGCTGGCGTGTGAGAGCCTCGGCTCATGTACACGTACGATTGGGCCATCGTGTGCTGCATTGAGCAACGTCAGTGGTAGCTGTTCCTGTTAGCAAATGCGCCGCAACGCCTTGGCATTGTCAGCACGTACCATGTCGTTGCAGACTGTACGTACGTAGATGCAGCAAGATCCAACCGCCGACGAAGGACGACGGGGTATGTCACGTGATGACCTCGTGGGGGCTGTCGAGCGAAACAGAGTGGATTGTGGAGCAAGTGGCGGCGAAGGCAGGGCGTGTGTCGAGAGACACTCGCTTGTTCGCTCGCCTCGGCGCGAACGTAGGTGGAGAGTCAGTCCAGACAAGAAGTGGGAATTTTCACTCTATCGAGACTCTGGTTGCGCGAAGTTTTGTGGCTCTTCTGTCGTTGCGTGCACATCGTCGTCAGCGAGCGTGCTTCGTGTTAGTTGTTGCCTCTAGCACGATCTGAGAATCATGGCAACTCTCTCTTCGCTCACACTAGAACTTGGTACACCTGATGCCTCTCGTGTGCAAGAGGCTGTGCAGCGTGTCTTGGTTGAGCATGACTTGTCATCACACGACGACACCGTTATGGCGGAGTATGTGACAGTGATGATCGCGAATCGCAAGGGCCCTGCCATGATTGCAGATGAGCTCCGAGAACTTGTAGGAGGCGACCTTGATGCTTCAGTGACACGAGCGCTTTGGAAGAGTGCATGTGACATACTTGCTCCAGCTGCAGAGTTGCCGTCTTCCTTACACAACGAACAGCACCAGCAGCAGCCAGAGCTGCGGCGACAACGGCAACGGAATAGCGAGTCGTATCAGCCGCAATCAAAGCACAGGTCTCGTTCACGGTCAGCATCGCCGCCGCGCAGCCGTGCACAGCAGCAAGCTTCGCCTGCTGCTGCATCAAATGAGCGTTGGGATGGCGAGCACCGACGGTCGGATCGCTCGACATCCAAGGCTTCGAAACGTGATGTGGAACTGTTTCCCTCTTCGAAAGAGCGGCGCAACAACAAAATGCGCAGTGATGATAAGCCGGCGTCTGTGAGCATTCTTGGTCGTGCAGGTGTGCCGGATCCTCGCGCTCCGCCCTTTATGCCACCATTCCCGGAGGGCATGGCGGCCCCATTTCCGGACGGCGTGCCTCCCCCTTTTGCAGCGATGGCAGCGATGGCAGCAATGGCGTCCGGTGGACCATCGCTCTTTGCGCGATTGGATCCTATGATGCCGAACAATCCTCCGCCGATGCCAGGCGCTGGCCTTACCATATCATCTACGCCACAAACGCCGCCATTTGGACTGCCGGGATTGGGCGCGGATTCTTTTCCGAATGGACCGCCAGTGCTTCGTGATATTGCCGCATTTCCCACAAAACCATCAGAGGGTGCACTGTGCCGTTGGTCCGTCCAGTGCACAAATCCTATGTGCCCATACAGCCATCCGTCGCCAGCGAATGCTGGTCGTGATGGCGATCCAAGTGCATTGGTGTTAAAAGCCGATATCTGCGAGCATGCAACGGACTGTGCGGATAAAGAGTGTGTGCGGAGTCATGTCAGTCCAGCTGTGAGCTTCATCAAGGCGCGTGGATCCGTGCCGCCGCCATCGGGCGTGACGCCGTGCAAATTCCAGCAGTCATGCTTGAATCCCGCTTGTACATTTACACATTTTGATCAGCAAGGCCAAGTTGTACCGCCGCCAGGGCAAATGCACGCAGCACCGGGTCCTGGCTCTACCGCTGCTACTTCCATACCATGTCGTTATGGCACGGGATGTACGCGACCAGACTGTGTTTATATGCATCCTATGCGGTCCACGGTGCCGTCGCAACGGAGTCATGTGCCTTGCAGATATGGCGATGGATGCACGCGTCCCGATTGCTATTACACGCACCCTCGTGATGGACCAAGACACCCAACGTCTGAGCGACTCAAAGCATTTGCTACAGATGAAGAAGACGAGGACCGTGAGCGGATCATCCCTGGCGAACAATCTGGTGACTTGACGACTCCGATGCTGTCGTCGTAGCTGAAAGCGTCGTCTATGATGTCATTTTTTTCACCAACTTTGTTGTGTATGTTCTATGTGGGTTTTTTTATTCTCTATATAAATACATTCGTAGATGGGCATACCATGCATGAAACTCGTAACTAGAGATCTTGCCAGACACACACGCGAATACATACATGAAAGAGATCGACGCCATCCGACGTCTGCCTCAACCGGTGAGATAGATTCGATGGATCATAGCGCTAAACGCGTGTGCATGCAAAGATCATGAAAACAGAGAAATTATAATGACAAGAAAAAAAAGGGGGGGGGGAGGGACCATATGCTCGTGATTAAAACAGGCCGGCCATCCGCAACGCTTGTTGCTCCTGTGCGTACGTAAGCTTCGGCGGTGTGAATGACTGGAAAACCGGGGCGGGCGGCTGCATGGAGCCTGTGAATACATTGGATGTACGAGGACTGACGTGGATCGATGCGAATGACAAATTGCGCGACGGAGTAGGAAGTACCACATTCGGCACATCCGTATAAGGCTCCTTCTCGGCGGAGCTTGGAGCTTGGACTGTCTCATTGGACGGCGGTGACGAGGGTGGCATTTGTGCCTCTGAGTCACTCCGCCTCCGTCTAGTCGGCGACATTAGCGATGCATGCCGTTCCTCTAGCGCGGAGGCGAAGCGTTCGAATCGATCAAGCTGCGGCGTCTGCGATGATGTAGGAGCCGTGGGACCAACGACACGGTCAACAAGTTGGCGTCCTGGGTATTCGAGGTCCACATCGACAGAGGACCACACTTCGTCAAACTCGCGGAGTAGCATACGTTGACACAATACACACATGAGGGGCGAGTATAGTGCGAGGAAACTTTTGGAATGCAGAGCATTCCGTGCCTCGAGGACGAAATTGTTGACGTTGTATGCGGTAGCCACGACAAAAAACACAATGCCATTGCGCAGGAGCCGCGCAACGAGCGGCGTGAGTGACATCCACCAGTTGTACATGCTATGCACCGTGTGGTAAGGAATCAACACGACGGATGCAATATTCGAGCACCAGCGGCGGACCACGTGTGGCATGGGCCTGACGCACTCTGACTCGTACGGGTCGAGATCCGTGCCCAGCTGGTCAGGCGGTACGTATGTCGGACCGACCTGGCTTTTCTCCAGCTGTTGACGGTGCATCTCGAAGGGATCACGAAAGGTAATCTTTTGCAATCGCCGGCCCATGTTCGCATAGGTAAAGAGCTTATATGTAGACAGCCCCATAGCCACCGTGTCGAAAATCATCGCGCATAGATAGAACCATTTGACTGTATTGACGCCAGAGGGCTGCTCCCCGTCAAAGTCGAACGCTGGTCGACATGCACCACCGGCTACGACCAAAGAGTCGCGCGAGAAGTACAATAGTCCAATCGTTGTGCCAAACAGCACAAGGGACAACATGATCATGAATATAATAACCCAGCGCTTTCGCCGCCAAATTGCTATCGTACGCCATGAAAACACACATGATACGACGAATTGGACAATGGCCACAGTCATCTGCTCATGTTTCAAACACTCTTCAGCCTTGGAGAAATGCCCCCACAGACTGTACGACGTCACGACCAATGGCGGGATAGACACGTATCGAATTAAGAGGAACAAGGCCACTTGTGGATGAAGCAAACTGCGTGGATGGAGCCACATGCTGATTTCGCGCCCAATGGTCATGAGATACTCCCATGCGTACAGTGTGAGGCCCGCCACACACACGTACTCAGCGACTTTGAGTTGGTATGCTAACTGGCTCTTGGTGATTCGTCGGTTCGTCGTGGGATCTGATATGGTATCGGGGTCATTGTTGTCGCTTCCATGGTCACTGCCGCCGCCGTCATCTCCTTGCTGAGCGCCGGCAGCGGCCAGGACCCTTAACAAAAGCAATGCAAAACACAGCCATAGCGCGTTCCAGCGCGCACGACTTGTTTCCATCTTTCAAAGGCGGAGGGGAGAAACGTCTCGATTGCTCGTGTCTGTGTGCAGAGACAATAGGGCGAGCAACCATACACACACACACGCGAGGTAAACAGCAATCCTCTCTTGCAAAAGAAGAGTGATTGTGTCGGTGTTTGTTTGAGTGTGCTTGTGCGTATGACTGCGACGATGTTTGTCCCCCTACTTTGTCTTTCGTATGGTTCGACTGACTCGAATTCCCATACAATGATGGGGGTGTGCAAGTCAAAATTAGCGAAGTACGGACTTTCACGCACACGGCAGCTTTGCCCTCCTCCTCCTCCGAGGCCACTCAGCTGACTGTGTCATAAATTGTGGACCCATCGCGTCTAATTTTAATTTTTCTCGCCTGCGTTGACCGCCGAGCATGGCCAGCCAGGCTGTCGTTTTTCTATAAACCAGAAGAGACCGTCGCCTTGCTTACGTCATATAGCGGCGCTTGCACAAGCATCCCCAAAAATGTCCGATGGTACATATATGATCGCCAACCTCCACGCATCTGTGACTCGACACGCGCGTCGGCCAACGTCCGCGCGTCTTCAGACGGCCAAGCCCTCGTATCGAGCCAGGTCACAGGGCTCCAGCGCAGTACGTGCTCATGCTGCTCGCGCCTAGCACGATTCTCGAGCTCACGCACTGCACGTTGAAGTGTCTTGGGCTCGTCGGCTAGAACGAGTGCATGCCCGCCAGGCTCCAAGCCTTGCGCAATGTGTTCAAGCTCTGCCATGTAGTGATCAAATAGAAAAGCATGTGGCATGTCGCGTGCACGCTCAGGCATCTCGACCAGCATGCTTTGCATGCTGTATGCTTGCTTGGGTGCACCGCGCACAACACACGCCTCCCGCCCCCGAACTCGGAGCATGTGCTCCAAGGCCTCGATGAATGACGGCGTCGTGCTGTTGCATGTGCTTATGCGACATCTACCATCACCAATCGGCAACAACGCAGATAGCGCATGCGCACGTGCGCGTGCAATTCGGGTTCGCAGCGCATCGGATGACGACACGGCCAGCGTGCCCGGCACATGAAGCTGGAAGAAACAGGTCCCAGAGGGATTTCCTTGTCTCGCACGCGGTCCTGAGACAAGCGACTCATCCACACCATAGCGTGGTGCAAACGTACACTTAATCAGCATGTCAGCCTGTGAGCGAGGGGCTGGCAAGGCCGGCACAGCCTCTGTGTCGAGCCATGTAGTAACAAGCTTGGATATATGCGACTCCAAAGCAGCTGTGCTCAGCGTCGGAAACACATAACTGCTCCGATCCACAACCACACACCATGTCTGTGGGGGTGTTCCAGCCGCATGATGTTTCCATGCTGCCAGTGCATGTATACGGTCACCAGCATGAGCATCCCATAACTCCTCGAGCCAAGCAAGCAGCGCGTGCTCCGAGGGCGTCGGCGGCGCGTTTTTCTCGTGCTGTGGACCAGACTTCCCCAGCGCCTCTACACGTTCGGCGAAAAGAGCATCGAGCATAACCCGGGGGAGAGTCGTATGTCCCATCAAAAAGTACAAAGCGATTGCTATCGGGAGCTCATCGGCATTGTAGCAAGCCAACACATGAGCATGCAGCGGCGCATCCACTTTGAGAATTCCAGAATGCAACGCTGTGGTGATGCAACATGTGTCCGTGTGTGGCACGCACTGGAGAAGCTCACGTTGGACTGCATCTTCCAAGCCGCGAGTCACTTCCACGCACACTGGAGGCATCTCTCGGTCAGACACATTGTGTTGTGGGCGCGATGCGTAGGGTATATTGCCGAGAGATATGCCAGGTGAAATAGCGCTGGATGATGATGCATCTACCCGTCGATGCGCGCCGCCCTTTCCGAGCCCCAGGGCATCGTGGCCAGCATGGTGTTCTATGAGTGGCAACGACGGGAGTCGCTCGTGCTGCGGTGGAGCGTCAGGATTTTGCCAGGTCGTTGTGCATGCCCACCATGGCAACTCATCTTCAAATACCCACGAGTCGGTCCAGTACTTGATGGCATGAAGATAGATAAACAATTCACCTGGTGCAGGGTCGGGTAACAAGGGAATGTGACACACACTGCAGGTATCGGAAGTGGCAGTGGCAGCAGCCTCAACGTCCTTCGCGCCATCAGTGCCCTTGTTATCTTTGGTGTTGCTATCGTCGTCATTGTCATGCGCTTGACAAAATGACGGCCGGTATGCTGGCTGTCCGTTGGGTCCAGGCACATAGATATCCTCGTATCCCAACTGTCGATTCAAAGCGCCAAAAAGGACCTGATCGCGCCAGCGAGCCCAGCCTTCCGAGTCGTCCCGCTGGCCTTTTAGGGCTGTCAATACACGCTCTACCTCGACATTGCCAGACTCGCCACCCACTCGCTCGTAGTGACGCGGCTGTGCAGTTGATAGCACGTCACGATCCACTGTCGCCCACACAGGATGATTGTAAAGGGGGTCATTGCTGATGGCATGGCCGAGCCATTGCGCATGTACGCGGATCTGGTGTGTGCGACCGGTGATCGGACGACAAACAAGCACACTCGAGTCGGTGGCAGCGTCATATGAGAGACGCTGGAACAGGGTTCTACACTCTTTGCCCTTGGGATGTACGATGTTCAGCCCGCTTTGCCGATCGACACTTAAAATTGGCTCGGTGCAGTCAACGATGCCATCAGGAAAACGGCCTACGACTCGGCACACGTATGCCTTGTTCACGAGCCCAGCATTAAAGTCATTGCCCAGTTCACAGGCAGCCTCTTTCGTCGTAGAGCAAACCATGATACCTGAAGTGAGTCGGTCCAGCCGATTGCTTGTGTACAGGTTCTGAAGCTTTGCCTGCTCTTTCACCATTTCCACCAACGTGTGATGATGATATCGGCCAGTCGCATGCACAGGTATGCTTCCTGGCTTGACAACAACGATGCGGCCTTGGCTATCGTCTCGGTGAAGGATGCGCACCGGCGCATTCGTAACAGCAGGCTCATGCCGGTGTACTCTGTTGACAAGAAAGTCGTTATTTTGGATCTGATACGTCGGCGTTACTGGGTGTCCATTTACCGTGCACAGTCCATGATGGATGGCCCATATGTAGTATTCCTTTGTGCGATCGCGAAACTCTGTCGTGAACACTTCTAGGATCTGGCGACCATACCAGCGAGTCTTTGCACGAGTCTTATACTCGTGCCAATATGGAGGAAGGCGTCGCAGACCAGGCGTCGCCATTCGCTCCGTCATCGCGCTCAGATCTAATACGAAATGAAACGAAAATAGTCGTTGCCGATGACTTTAGTTAGGATACCTGTACGCACTGGAAAATTATGCCACCTGTTTGGTTAGTCATCAAAAAAGGTCGATGAAAGAGAGACAGAGAGAATCATGTGGAGAACCAGGGGGCTGATGGGGCCTGCAAGCACTCATGAAACAAAATTACGCTGCGTGGCCGGTCAGCTTGTCGGCGGGTGCGTGAAAGGGCCCAGAGAAACTGAGTCCTGTAAAGAGTCTTGCTGTGCCATCTCGTGGATGCGAGTAGGTATTTTTCGGACGCACAATGCAAGCTGCGTTGGGTCCACGTACATATCGAGGTGGGCCTGCACGACATGGGCAACTTTTTGCTTGTCGAGCGGGCACCTACCAAGTTCGTGGCGGAATACAAGACTTGTTCCAGCATAGGCTGTCTGAAAGCAAGCAGCATGATCTTGGTTCTCGCGCTCCATGCCCCTGCCGGATAACTGGTATTTCACGAGTTTCTTGATCAATGTGCGATTAGTTTGCTCAAGTGATGCGTTGTGCTCCATAGGAGCACTGGATTCATCGGCTGTCATTGGTGTGTAAGGCACGACTGGTTTCCATGTAGGAGAGCCCATGCGCGGCTGTGGCGTAGGCTTATAACTGGTGTAAGAAAGGTCAGTCTTCGTAAGGATTTTGTCCACAGGGTGTCTCGGGGGGCGTTTTTCTCCGCGCCGTCCAGGCGTAGGCGGTCGACGCGTGTGATGTACATCCGGCAAAGATACGTAAAGTTGTCCACGCTTTCCAACACGTGCATCAGAGAGAGACGGCGGGGACAACACCGCAGCTGGCGTTTCATCATCACGTATGGGTATTTTGGGTCGATGTACGGGAATGCGCGGTGCTGGATCATCGGGCCGAGCGGAAGGCGCGCGTGCCCTAGGTACAGGGCGCCCCACGACAAGGTCTAGTTGGCCATCAACACGTTCGCGCGGACTCACAAGAAGCTCAAGTACACTGTTGTGTGCACTCATTGCAGAGAATGGCATGGTGGGACGAGAAGATGGCTCGAACAAGAGTCTCAGAGTCGGTGAAGGTGCATGTTGTAGACAAAAGAGCTGCTCCATGTACGCCTCGGTCATATCCTCAGTATCGTCTACTTGGAGGACAATGTAACCAGATGCCTCCATGTCTGAGTCCAGCCGATCCAAATCATTCGTCACGAGTGCACGCAGCGGATGATGTCTGACCATTTCAAGAGCCAAGCACAGCTCAGCTTCTGCTTCTAACGGGGCGTGTGAAACGCGCGAATCAGGTTTTTCTTCTTCAGCTGATGTTCCTCGCAAATGCGCCCAAGGGTGCATGGTCGTCACGATACTAATGCCTGGAAGCTGTGTGCCATCGTGCAAAACCACAACACCTTTCCACAGAACGCGAACATTAGCCGATGCCTCCTCGTTACCTTTCGCCGGCATCGGATGGCTCATAAATGAACCACGGCTCGTTGGCTCATGCGGGTGGAGCGAGAGAAATTTTGTGGCCCAGAGGCAGGCCATTTGTGCCTGCCTAGTCGCCTCGGAAAATTGAGTGTGGTTGCTTGGAGAAGATCCGCTGCAAGTCAAATCGACACGACGCAAATGTGGAGACCCACCTACGTACCAAAGCTTGTTGCCACCACTGACCAACCGGCTTGAGAGTGAACGGCAGGTCGGCCATTTTCTGGCAGTCTCTTTGAAATGCCACGACGGCTCGCACGGGTGGATTTGACTCGGTTGGTATCGAGTGAGCCGGTACAAAAGCTCGCACATGCGGCCCCACCGTCATCCTCGACCGTATTTTCACCGCGGACCAAATTTGAATTCCCACTCAAGACGCCGTCCTGGTACATTGGACACATGCACCGGGCTATGCGTTCGTTTCCATCTATGCTCGCACGCACGCCACCCCCATTGGTAATTGAAGTGAGAGATGCTCGATTGCCGTTTACGAGTATTAACCCGAAATTCGAAGAGGCGCTGCAAAGTGCGCCATCGGCGAAGGAACGCGTACGTATATCATCCCAGACCTACATGAGCGGCTGGGCAGCACGACGCCTTGTTGTATATACGAAACGCGATCAGATCGAGCGCGCTTGGGAGGGTCCTATTGTCCGTGCACTAGCGAAACACACGCACGATGACCACGTTATGTTCGTCGACACACGCAAGAAGAACGACGTGCAACGCGTGTATGACTGGGTATGTGCGCGAGCAAAGCTGCTAAGCAAGGCCGCAGCAAAAGCAGGGGTGCGGCAAGCCTCCAACTCAATGCGGCATTCCCATTTGTCTGGTGCAGCTCGATACACATCCACTCCTGAGACAGGTGTGCGCCTTCTTGTGGTGGGCATGCCCAATGTCGGCAAGAGCTCGCTGTTGAACGCATTGCGCTTTGTGGGTACCGGGAAAAAAAGTGCAGCAAGCACACATCCACATCCTGGACATACACGCAAGGTTACAGGCACAGTGCGCATCACGCCCAGTGCGCCATCGCTTGCTCAGCTGGACATGAGTGAGGGGATCGACATGAAACGCCTCGTAGCTCGTGAGGCGCATAGGCCCCCATCCGTATATGTGTACGATACACCGGGGATCATGGTTCCGTTCCTTGGATCTGCAGAACATGGCGGTCCAGAACGGGCGTTGAAGCTCGCTATCACTGGATGCATGAAGCAGACGCTGTTCAGTGCCGAGGAGTTGGCTGATTATTTGCTTTTCCGGATGAATCGACGCTATCTGTATGCGCGAGCACATGGCAGTGATGCACTTCCTGCTTATACGGCGCTTATGAGCGAACCAAAGCTCACAGACGATAACACCGAGTTCCTCTCTTGCGTTGCGGGAAAGGCGCCTGGAGCGCGCCAGCAGGGGGGAACTATGAATCTATCCGTGGCAGCCGAGTTTGTCATTTCGCAGTTTCAGCGGGGCGTCCTCGGCAGTCGCGAGCTCGACCTGGCCTTAAATGAAGAGGACTTGCCACCGTCTATATCGCTGTCGACCTCTTCGTCAACCCCAGCGGCACCTTCCATGTCATTAGATGATCAGGTGGCAGTGCGACTTTTGGCGCATTTGGCCTCCGTGAGTCAAGACCTGCAGGAACCTGCATAAATCAGCTGCGTTCTTTCCCCCTTCTTCCTCCCCTGCCAAAGAACCGCAGAGTAGGTTCGACTCCACCCATGTGACTGACATTCACGAGTAGATATCATAGAATATACCCCAACATTTTATGGAGTGTCATCAGATGCAGGAAACGCCAAGCGCAAAGGAGCGAGCGAGCCAACGAACGAGTGCATCAAGGTCAATCAATCTACCTCTTTTCTTGTTCGGTCTTCTCTACATACTTCATCTCAGAGCGTGAACCAAGTGAACACGCGCTGAATTGTCCTTTTTCACTCACTTCCGCGACCTGCACGCAAACCAAGTGCGGAACGTGTGCGACAGGTTCTCAGAAGCTGATCTCTCATCAGTGGGAGTGCGTCGTCGCTGAGTTTAGTGCGACGTCAACGAGTCTTGGTAAGTGAATGCGTGCAGCGTTGGGTGTGTGGGCTGTGCTTGGGTGCACAAGCGTCGGATCTATATACGCTCTGCAACAGCATAGTCATGCCCTCAGCGAAGAAGTGTCTGCTCCGACAGTGAGCAGCGAATTTCCAGATCCCCTACATCATCATTACCATCAATACCATCATCGTCATATTCGGGTATATCCACATGCTAGCTCAAGCGTGTGGCGGCTCCGCCGGCTTCACCAGAATGCTAACCGCGATTGGTGGGAGCCCGATAATATCTTAGCGCAAGGTGACTCACTGCTGTCATCATTAGTTGGTGGTGAATTTACGACCATCAACAAAGATTCGAGTGCACCTGGCAGCAGTCCGACAGTGCATCCTAACAACCACCTGCTCTCATCGCATGAGTTTACGACAATCAACAAGAATTCAAGGGCTTCTCCTACAGACGAGGCGAGCTCGTCTGCTGCATCCAAAGTGGCTTCTCAAACGTCGTCATCTGGTGATGACGAGGACAAAGAAACCTCAAGCCAAGTACCTACAAAAAGCTCTACGTCGCGTAGTGTGGCGTCTTCTACACAAACACAGGAGGATTCAAGTACGCCTGGTGCTGTGCAGTCGACATCGTCAACGACCATGAAGCGTTCTAGCCGATCATCGTCGCCCACGTCTTCCTCATTGTCGTCGTTGTCGTCGTCGTCTTTGTCTTCATCCTCGTCTACAGGCAATGGCGACAATGTAGAGCGTACGTCAGCGACACCATCGGCATCTTCTCAGGAAAGTCTCGCAAGTTCCCAAGAAAGTTCTGTTCGATCGCCGTCGTCACGAGCATCATCTGCTCCGATGCCCACAACATCTGATGCTGACGATGAAAGTGCAAAGGCTCAGCCATCCAGCTCGTCCGGTACGCCCGGCTCTCAGTCTCCAATGGATCCTTCGCAGCATATGAGCAATGCAGACTCGGATGGGCATGATCATACCGGGCTTATTGCAGGAGTCAGTACGGCTGGTGGCGTGGTGGTAGCGGCGCTTCTTCTTTTCATGCTGTACTGGCTCTGGAAGAGTCGGAAGTCAAGAGAGGAAATTAGTTATCCCGATGTAACGCATGATTCTGCGATTTCGTCTTCTCCATTACCGGCGCGACAGACGGGTGGTGCAGGATTTGAGATGGAACATGACCGCGTATATGATGATGACGTGTTTAGCCATGCAAGGACGATCAAGCCGATGGATTCTTTTGGTGACGAATCGATGATGCAAGCACGCTCAGGAGGCGTCCCCGAGTCGTATGTCAACGTTCCTGATGAGGTTTCACGGCCACCAAGCTACGAACAGCAGCCCTCCACTGCGTTAACTCAAATGGCACCGGTGCGTCATCCACCGAGTCTGATTCCAAGTGGGCCCCCGCTGGAAGATGTACAGCCGTCCCTTCCACCCCAGGTTGATAGCACAGTGCCGGCAAAGTCAGGGACAAGCCAGCATGTACCTATTTCTATGCCCGAAGCTGTCACGGAGGAGCAAGGGAGACATGCCAGCGCCACATGCTCTGCAAGTACGGTGCCCCGTATCAACACTTTGTTGTCGGTGAGTTGTATCCCGACACGTCTTTCCAGTCGTACTACGATGCACCCTGCCCCTCGCGAACTGTACCATGGTTAATGCAAATGTTTGCAGGCTGCATGTGTGAGTGCACGGGTCATACCCAGATTCGCTGCTAATCATGCAAGTGTCGCGGCGCCATGGGGGTGGACCAACCACTTGGCATTTCTTCAGCCTTGCATTCGTCATACATCCTCTATTTCATGAGCTTTTATCTTGTCAATTCTTTTTCGCATGCTAGGACCTGCGGCATTTTTTTTTTCTTGTTTCATAGACACACACATTCGTAGTAACTTTGGGACCCAACATCATTGACGAATTTAGCCCCCGTACGAGCCAGTACTTCTGATCTTCAGTTAATAATGTCGATATCTGTCTCCACATCGTGAGCGAATAGTCGCATGGACTAGCCAAATAGGCTCGCGCCACCGAGGTGATGAGGTTGGAATAGCAAGTGGCAACAGGCATGAATCTCATTGGCTGCAGAACAAATGGCATGCGGTCTTGTTGGGCGTCGCAGGACCTGAGGAAGGCTTTCTTCCACAATCCAAGTAGGTTGGTTGTGCGCGGCCGGCGGCTGGTCTGAGCTTGATTCAGAATTCGCGCTCAAGAAAGAACGCACCCAGTTGGACGATCACGAGACCAGTCGGATCAGATCTTGGACGCCAAACAACAACGATAGGATTTTGGTTTGGCACGCGCATTGCCATTCTCGACCTGAGCCCCACTGTGTGAGAAAGTGCCATGTTGCCTATGGTAACGATGCCTGCACCATCGACGCCTCTAGGGGATTATTCTGCTTTGAGGCGCCGATTTACGGTCCAAGGCTCGCCCACGGATGGTCCACCAGGCGAAGCGACTGAATCACCCAGTCGGACCTCGTCACCAACATCGCAGCGCCGCATGTCGAATCTGTATCGGGTTCTTCAACGGCGCCCCAGTCACTCGTCGCTCAACTCTGATCAAGGATCGGCGCCGTTGCCGAAGAGTCGACATCGCGTCACATTCCGTGGAGCTGGGCCACCCAATACCTCTTCAGGACGCGACAGTCCTTTGAGGATGGTGTCGTCGGCGCATCAGGATGCGTCCCAAATACATACGCAGACGCGGTCGCGGTCGCCGTGGCGCGTAGCATCGCCCACCATGCCGAGCTCATCTCGCTTGCGAAACTACAACCCATTTGCTCGCACCAAGCCTTCAGCGGGGCAGGAAGATGATATTTTCCACGACGCGATCTCAGACAACCAGACGCGCCCATCGTCACCCTTCATGAGTGTGACGCGTCCGCACACTGGCATGGGCATGCATCCATCCGATCTTAGGCGCTATGTCTATGATACATCGCCATCAATGCCATTTGTTGACGCGCGTGTGCGATCGTCGGCATCGGCACCGACATCCATGACGCAGCACTATCTGTCAAACAATGTCGTTCTGGTGGTTGAGCCAGCGCATTGCGTGCTGAATATGTTTGGTGCACTGCAAGTGACCGGCAACTATTCGTTGTCCGGCATGGTGCGAGTGAGTCTTCCACATTCCATGGACAATTGCCGTGCTGTCGATGTCCAATCACTTCAGGTCTCTTTTACGGGCTACTCCGTGTACATTGACAGTTCAGGCCGATTTTCCTCTGTTCGCCTATGCGACTTGAAACAAGAACTTGTACCGACTCGAGCGACGCTGCAGCTTCCTCCGGATGGAGCGCCCATGTACGAGTGTGAATTTGACATGTTTGTTCCGGGGTGGCTGCCTGCATCGTTCAGCACCCGCTCTGTCTGCACGTTTTACAACTTGGATGCAGAAGCGACCTTGTGCGATGTGCTGTCGCAGGACCTTACGTCGGCAACCACTGCCATTGATGCTACGACGTTGACGCCTGCTTTCTCAACGGGCAGCCGACGTGTGAGTAAACCCATTCACGTTCACAGTGTGCCAAATCTTGTGGTGATTCAACGCAGCCGAGAAGTCGTACCGATTCCCGTTGCACAGACGGCTGCATTCCTTGGGCCTGACGTGCCCATTACGTCGAATCCATTCCGCCGTGAAACGAATCCGTTCCGCCACCTATTGCGTGCAGAAGGGCCTGAACCGCCATTTGCGACGTCCTCATCAACGTCCTCATCGTCCATCTCTGCAACGACACCACCCCAGGCATTGACGGCGAACTTGCCTCCCTCATCGGACCAGTCCGACGGCGGCCGGGAGTCGACGAGTCTGCCCACGCCCACGCCGAGTCGCACGCAGCGGATGAATCGTGCGCCTCTTCGTCACCACACACACATTGCGAAATTGCATATGCCGACGCCCGTGACGATCAATGGCACCACGCACACATCATTGCCTGTGAAGTTGTGCTTGTCTGTACCGGCGTATTCAAGCACGCATGCTACTACACGAGAAGAGCAACCGCCGCTCATATTTGGCCTGCAAGCGGAACTGGATTCCCTCTGGCAGCAGGCCAAGGCATGGTGTGATGTGCGTATCTGTGAAATGGAAGCTGTGTGTGTGCAGATGGAGAAGTACAGCTCATCGCTCTCGCGCAGCTACTGTACGGCCTTTTCGCTCGATGTGAATGAAACGACACAGATCCCTTCGTCCATGCTCCCTTTCTTTGACGATGTGCCGATCCACGCTGGTGTGTGCACGCCTCAAAGCTCCATGGTTGCGCAGCCGAACCGGATGCCGCAGCCGTATTCACGAGCGCTCGTGGAGAACCGCGTCCGTCTAGAGCAGACAGGCCACCAGCCATCCGAGCGGCAAAACACGATTGAACGACTGCGTGCATATACGGTGGGGCCTCTGCCAACGATGCGTGAACGGCAGGCGAAGGATGAGCGCCGTGCAGCGAAAGACGACAAATCACAGGCCAGTAGTACCCCTCGACGAAGACGAACCGTGACGAATGCCTTGTCGCGCTTGTCGATGTTTTCTCCACAGCGTGACTCGGCAGCGGGATCTGGAGGATCATCTACAACTCACACATCGAACTATGGAAATGGTGCTGGCACCGGTAGCCATGGCGGGCTGAGTAGCATTTTGCATGGTGCGTCATCATCGGCCGACGACGGCGCGCATGGCACGACTCTCGACACAGGAGGAGGAAGTACTGGGAATGCGACTGAGAACACGAAAGCGTCGTATGTGTTTGACGGGGAAGACGGCTGTGGCTTGGCTTTGAGCCGGAAGCGTGTGCGCTTGTCGTTTAGTCTGCCACTCGTGCCGAGTCATGGCTTCATGGCCCTCAAGTACAACACACCTCAGCTCCTGCCAGATTATGAGAGTCCGCATATGCGCATCCGACACAAGCTCAAGGTCAAGGTGCGGTTCGGCTTCGGCTCATCTTTGATTGGCACACCTGTCGGCATGCAGAGCGTGGTAATGAGTGTGCCAGTGCGCTTTAGCGAGGCGCCACCGAAAGAGGCACTCTCGCAGGCGCCACCGCTCGTGCTGCCGAAGCAAGCACGAACATATGTGCCATCGAACGGCGCGCCTAACGCGGCATTGCCCCCATCGTACGTGCATGCGTCGTATTCGACCATTGAGGGCGCACAGGGGCACAGCAGCTATCTGCCGGCATACACACAATTGTTTCGTGAAGACGGCTCGCGTCTGGAGGACGATGCTGAGGTGCTGCCTCCGTACCCTGATCAACCACCGATTCCCGTGGCGGCCGATCAGCATATGTTTGCGGCCCAGCTTGCAGCCGCGCTGTATGTGGTGCCAGAGCGTGATCGAGAAGCAAAGACGCCAGCGGCTATAAGTATGCTGGATGCATTCAACGCAGAGGATCAGGAACTGTATGAAATGGCCCAGGAGGTGGACGACGAAATGATGGATGAGCGGCTGGCCAATGATGAGGTGCCGTTCGAAGACGACGACGACATGACAGCAGCACGCACGGCCCGATCTGGCGCAGACCATGATGGTGGTGCAGGCTCGCCGCTACTTGAAATGCAGGCGACAAATGACTCCACGATACCTCGTGCCATGGACATGGCTGCCTCACCCATGATGATGGTAGGGTCGCCCGCAAGTCTGCATGATGTAGCCCATATCACTCATGCTTCGACGTACACGTTGATGGATCAGGCGCATACGGTAAGTCCATCGCCACCGCTTGTGCAGCCAAGAACCATGTCTGGATGAGACCATTGGACAGGCGTTAATGATGATGCTGCTGCTGCCCCTGCTACTGCTACTGCTACTGCTACCAGAGACACTGTCCTAGACTTGGGTCCAGTGCCTGCAGCTTGATCGTGCCCGCCCCGCTTGGGTGCGTTTAGCATCAAATGTATGCGAGTATGTGCGTTTATGCGTGCATGTGTAAGGACAAGCACGCTGGCGGGGATGGGGGTGGGAAAAGCACCACGCACACCTGTATCGCTCTTCTCTTCATCTCGTCAGCCTCTGACTCATGCTATTCAAGCAACTCACATCTCGTTGCCAAGCGACCCTACTTTCCGCTAAAAAGTTCCCGGTATACCCTTCTTCACCTACGTTACGTAGCATAAAACATTATCACTATGCGGCTCCGTCTACATCGTCGACCTTGGCCAGCAGACGATCTTTCGGCGGCTTGAGACCCTCGCCTTCCATGCCGTCTGCCAAAGCCTCGATCTTTTCACGCGACAACGTCGACTTGACCAGCAGCTGGGCCATGAAGCCATATGCGCTGGGCGCGTCCATACTGGTGTCATCGAGGATCGTTACTTGTGGCTTGAAGCCATCCACAAGCATAGATTCATCGATCAAAGAGCGCTCAGCAAGTGCATGAAGCAGCTTGCATGCATCGTCGACGTTTTCCTGCTTCTTGTCCAGCACGGTCGTGACAAGGGCGTCCACGAACGCTGCACGGTGTTTAGATGGAAGGAGCTCAATGGACTGCACACCCTCGCTGAGATCGCGGATGGCCAAGTACTCCTTGACGTCATTGCTAATCTTGCGCTTGATGTCGTCGTCCGAGGGCTCAGAAGCACCTGCCTCCTCTGCCGATGCCGAAGACTCGTCATCAAGCGGCTTGGTCCGTGGCTGCAGCTGCAGCTTCTTCCGTTGGCCTTCCTCACCAGCGCTGCTGCCGCTGCCGGTGCCGCTACCGCCACCAGATGTGCCGCCTGCACTGTCGCCCGTCAACACATTGAACATATTGGGCGTGGGCGACATGCTACGCTCGTCATCCTTTTGGTTCCGGCGGTTGAAGACGCTCTGTGGGCCACCGCCCAGCTTGCCACTGGCCGAGCGCTCAAGACCCTTGCCGAATCCAGAGAGATCACCAGCACGGCCCATGCGTGACGGCGGTGCATTGCCGACGGTGCTCCAGCCATCATGCGACGTGGCACCTGGGCCTGACGCTGCTGCATCAGGACCGCTACCAAGCGCGTGTCCACGCGGCGGGCCACGACGAGAGCCGCTGCCGCCAGGGCCGCCCCGCGATAGGGAGCCAAAGTCGTGTCGAGTGAACTTCTCCGACTCTTTTTGCTGCTGTTGCTTTGCAGCTTCAGCGTGGATCTCGGCAATGGTTTTTGGTGCTGACTGGTCGTGACGCGGCACCCAGTTGTCGTTTCGCAAGTCGACGACGTCCATGAGCATAAAGCGCATGCGTGAAGAGAGCGCCGGACTCTTGAGGATATCGTCGATCCGCTTGAAGTACACATCCATGCGGCTCTTGTGGTTACCGGGCGCGGCATCGAGCAGATAACCGACCGTCGTCAGAAGACGGCAAACGCTCTCGATTTCGTCTTCTTCAGGCTCCGTCGTCGTGCGCAACAAGCGCACAATGCACGTGTGCATGATCCGTGGCTGCAGCATCTGGAGCTTGAACAACTCACCGACAAACTGCACAAGACCCAGGCCACGTCGCTTTGCCTTTTGTGCCTCGTAGTATTCGTCGGACATGAGCTCCAGCTCTTTTTCCGATCGATCCTCTTTTGCAGCGGCCCAGCCCTTCTCAAAGTCGCCCTGGCACCACGTGAGCAAGTACTTGCGGAACAGCATGCCGCCGCGGTATTCCTTCTGCTCCTTCTCGTCCAGCACGTCGTCGCGGATGTCCGGGTTCAGGTTCATCTGGATCTTGGCGCACAACTGCGCGTACATTTCGCTCCAGGCCGACTCGTCAATCGCCTTTTCAAATACAAGCGCAATGACTTGACGCAGCGTACGACCGTCAGTCTCGTTCGTCGACTCATTCGCGTAAGCGACGATCTGGTCACTGATGGAATCAAACTTCTCGATCGTAAGCTTGTTCAGCAGCGACTTGACCTTGCGTTCGACCACTTGACTATGATCCATCTTGTCCTTCTCACGGCCTTGTGGTCTCCAGCGGTTTTCGGAGAAGGCAAGCGGCGCAACCTGGTCCAGTGGGATGGTCGGTCCGCCCTTCTCGGGGGGATTCTCGCGAGGACGTCCTTCGCGCTGGCGGCCGCGGGTGGCCTTCGGCCGGCCGCCCATAGGAATGCCTGTGCCCATCGTCTCGCGTGATGGAATGGGTCCACCGCTGCCGCCACGCGACAAAGCATGTCCACGCGAGCCTGATTGGAACGCACCCATGGGCCCACTGGATCCGAACGCGCCACCGCCGCGGGCTGACGGCCCGAACCGGTCGTCGCCAGCCTTGCCAGCGCCGCCGCGGCCTCCGCTGCCACTGCCACCGCCAAGACCGCCGCGGCCGCCGCCCGTGCCACGTCGTCCGCCGCCGCGGCCAGCCACGCTCTCCATGCCAATGGAGGCGAGATCCGGGAGATTGAACGGCTTTTCTGAATAGACGCTCATGAACTGAAGCAAAAAGTCACGGTCATAGCGGTATTTTCCAGGGGCAGCTTCCTTGTTCAGCTCGGCCTGGGGCGGATGCACATCTGGTGGGTACGGAACAGATGACAGGTCCTCGATGGCTCGCGCGTGCTCAATAGCTCGACTCGGTTCCGAAGACGACGGCTGTGTGTGCTCGTGCGTCTCTGACTGCGCTGATTTGTGGCTCGCGTCGTCTGACGCCTTGGCACCCGTCTCAGACTCGGATGGCTCAGAGGCGGTACTAGTTGCAGCGGTGACAGCAGGCGTAGCAGATGCAGCTGCATCGGTACTGTGTTGTGGCTTATCACTGCCAGCCTCCAGTGCAGCCGTTGAAGGTTCTTTTGGCTCGGCCGCTTTAGCGTCAGCGGCTTTGGCCTCCGCTGCTTTGGCTTCAGCCGCCTTGACTTCGGCCATCTTGGCTTCGTCGGCCGCTTTCGCCTCGGCCGCGGCAGCCTCTTCAGCACGTTTGGCCTCTTCAGCCTTACGTGCTTCCTCCTCAGCCTTACGTGCCTCTTCCTCGGCTTTCTTCGCCTGCTCTTCGGCCTGACGTGCAGCCTCTTCTGCCTTACGTGCCTCTTCTGCCTTGCGTTCCGCCTCCTCTTTCTCTGCCTTACGTGCCTCCTCGGCCTTGCGAGCTTCTTCCTCTTCTTGCGCCTTCTTTGCCTCCTCGGCTTTGCGAGCCTCGGCTTCCTTCTCCATCTTGAGGCGCAAAACCTTCTGTTGGAAATCATTTTGTGTCTTTACGCGGCTCTCATTCGAAATGTTCGAGCCCGCCGCCTTGGAGGTGTTTGTTTGCGACGAATGAGCTGACGATGAGCTATTCGACGCTGCAGATGCGGAACTCTTTGACTCAGCCGATGCCTTTTTGAGCTGTGCAAGATCAATTTCCGTATGCGTTTCTGGGTTCACGATGCGGAGAGCCTTGCTCTTTTGTGGCTCAAACATGCGGGCGCCTGCATTCATACCAAAAGCAGAGGCGCCCGACGCCGTTGGCGCTTGGGGCAAGGGTGTCGGCGCATAGAAGCCAGCAGCACCATCGGGGCGCGACATTTGCATGGTGCCGGGCCTGGGCGACACATTCGGAGGCATCATCGATGGCGAGCCGGGACCTGCACCGCCCGCAGCAACTGCGGCGGCTGCCTGACCCCATGGCTGCTGAGGCTGCGCCATGTATGGATATCCACCCGGGCCGGGACTCATAGGATAGCCCACTTGTGGATACACAGGCGGTTGTTGCCAGGGCGATACGAATGGAGGTGGATTGGCGCCGCTCATCGCTGGCTGCTGAGATGGCTTGGCATGCGGTGGCGGTGGTGGACGTACTGATGACTTTTGCGCCGGAGGAGCGGCAGCATTCGCAGGTGGCGAGCTGTGCTGTGGCGCTGCAGTTGGTGTCTTTTTGGAGCTTTGCGAAGAGCCTTGGAACAACTTCTGGAAATCCATGTGTTTCTTTCCGCCAGCAAAGCCAATTTTCTTTTCATGTGCAGCGCCACTTTCTGCCGATACGCTGCCGAACACGGTCGGATGTCCGCCACGCAGATGTTCGCCTGCCGTGGGTTGCGCAGCAGGTGAAGACGACATGACAGCATGCTGGTCATCGACCGTGCCGAAGTTGATGCCTTGCGGTACTGCATGCGCGGCATTCTTGGGCATGCTGACAGCGCCTTCAGCGACCTCGCCACGCGAGCCCTTCATATGCTTGCCTGATTTCGGCGTGGCTCGCTTATCAGGGCCACTCATCAGAACAAATCAAGTCTACACCTCTTGTCCACACGTATGTGTAGACTGTGTGTATCAGAACTGCCCCCGCCTTTTCGAGAAAAAAAAAAGGGGGTGTGATCAGTATAGACGTGTGACTGCGCTGCTGACGTCTTTCGATATTCCTTTCTAATCTACAACCGGCCCTGCCGCACCTCCACCAGACCGCCACTCCTTCGTCCCTCTTGGCCTCTTTCGTCTTCAGCTACTGTCCTGCTCTTGTAGTTTCGGCCGGAAGGGACCGCAGGCGACCCAGAGAGAGAGGGTGAGGGCGTTAGCGAGAGAGGATGAAAAATTATATGCAGTAAACATCAGTCATCATGCCACGTGGCTACGCTGTTCGTTTCCTCTTTCCTGCGGACGAAGGTGAAAGCGAAACACCCGCCCCTACTGAGGTTGACGCCGTGGACGTGGAGGTCGTGCTGGCCGAAGGCCGCTCTGACGACGAGGGTTGCGACGATACCGTAGTTTGGCTAACCATAGGGCGAGGAGGTAACTTGCCAGACGTTGGCACCTTGAAACGCGGGCGCTCAGGTACATCATCTGCCAGCACTTGGGCGGACCCTAGTTCCTTCATGTACCAGGGCCGTACAAGACCAATTTGCGCTGGCACGGCACACCGCACCAGAGGCACAGGCGGTGGCGGAAGCGCATAAGCAGGCTTTTCGAGGACATCGACTCCCGAAGCTGCTTTTATGGGAGCAGAGCCACCAAAGAACAAACGACTCGGCACAGCCAGGTTCGACACGCCGAGCTCGGACTCGAGGCCCATCTCTCGGAAGCCAAAGAAGTCGTCACCAAGACCCGCGGCGAAGTGGCCCAGTGCAAAGGCCTCCCCATCACGAGCAAGTAGGTCTGTATCGTCAATGGAGCCACCCATGCATTGCAGCTGGTCACGCAATGCATTCTTTTGCTTGCGACGCCATTCCTTGAGCCGCTGGCCATACCGTTCAATGTCCTGTGTCACGTACGCTTCGATTGTTGCGACACTGTTGCCACGTCCCGACAAGACATGATGGATCATATCCTCAGGATCAAAACGGCGGACAAACTGGTCCATGTACAGACGAAGCGTCCGACCAAGGCCCATTAGGTACTCGATAGCGACGTCTGCCAGCACCTGGGACAGGGGCAGAATGTGTGCCCTCAAAGCCCGCATGCGCAAGAAGTGTTTGGACCTGCCAGCTCGCTTGCGCATGTGCATAGGACGCCGATAAGCGCGGTGGTGGAGCGTGTGAGGCATAAGGCACACACAGCTCTATCGCCTCATTCGCAGGGCCCGGCCCCGTATCAGAATGCCGCTGCTTCTCTGGGCGCTTGAGCGCATTGTGAGGGGCATGCAAGTTGTGCTCCTCTTCTTCCAAAACAACCTGATCTGCTCTAGCCTTGGTCTCGGCCTCGACATCCTTATCAACTTCCATTTCCTCCTGTTCATCCTCCTCTTCTGACGAAGAGATCTCTCCGAGGGACGGTGGTATAGGCAGGTCAAGTTCAACAGCCTCCGCCAGCTGATACAGCTTGTTGTGGGTGTGGTATAAACGCTGCAGCATGCGGATATTCCGTGCCATCATACGGGGCACACCAGGCCGCTGCGTGGGAAGACGTGACGTCAGATGCTCTGACTCGGTTGCCAAGAACCGTGCAGGAGGCTCATAGCTCTCATGTCGCAAAACTGGCGTACCGGCGCATAGCATGGCATCCGATGAACATGCCGACCACCAGCGCTGCTGCGCAGTGGCTGGTGGTCGGCGGAGCGCAGTGCTGAGCGGGTCAGGTGTTGAAGGCGACACCTGTTTGAGCACATCGAGCGTCGGTGCCAGACTCGTCGATCGAGACGTTGGCATTGTTGATGAGGTAGATGCCGACGGCTGCAAATGCGAAAAGTGAGTGCCTTCTTCAAGCTTGGACATATTGACATCCAGTTCGTGAAACACACGAGACGAGTCAGTCGTCCGACGGAGCGCATATCTTTGAGGCAGTGGTGTAGGGTGCGAAGAAAGCGGCACAGTCGGGTCTATTGACATGCCAGAGCCCTCCAAGTGTGCGCCAACTTTGTCGTTATTCGTATTGTTGTTATTGTTGTTGTTGCCGCTGCCGTTGAAAGTGCCCGTAGAGCTCGTAGACAAGATATCAGCGGAAGTAGACGCAACATCGGAAGACACGCGCGGCATATTGGATGTGGTAGAAGATGATAACTGCCACTGAGCGAGCAAGTCTTTCGACTCATGCTTATCGCTAAGAAATTCAAGCAGATGATTTGCTTTTCGCCGCATGAACGTGGCATTGCGTCGGAGTGGGTGCGTCGGTGAGGCATTGTAGACAAGGCAATTGTCCCAGATGAGATTCAGATCATGCGCAAACTGGTTCTTAGTCTTATACTGCCCGCTGCGAAGCTTCTTCTGCATGGTACCTAGATCCATGGGATTTTTTATGACTGGAATGAAAAGCATGTATTAGCGAGGTCAATGGTAAAGGAAAAAGCCATTGTGTGCATCCATATGCACGGATGAACAACATACCATCATAGTAGTCTGGTGCATCTCGCTTGCTGACGCGTGCAAGAAATGCTTGTGAATGTTCCTGGCATAAGCATGGCCCATGTACGTACCGTATAATTCCGCAGTTCCATGAGCACACGCTCCATCGCTTCCTGATACTCTTCGCGCTCGTCCTAGTAGTTGAAAAAAGGTATAAGTCCTGAGAATACCAAATTATCACACGTACACGACCCTTCTGTGCCTCGCTTAGTAGCTGAAGCAGCTCTGGATCCTTGATCGGCACATCATCTCGGTGTGCTCGTATCGCTTGGAGCAAGTACTACAAGCAAATGCTGTAAGTATAGTGAAATCACAGCCTACCTTCATGCTCCGCGACACAGTCAGTGTCTTTTGCGCCCTTGACTACCGCGTCGTCGTCAAGCTACGATGAATCGTGGCAGTTGAAGCCGGTAGAAGGTGGTGGTTTGTGTCACGTGGTTTGTGGAGATCTCCACACTGCCAAAGTAGCAAAGTAGCGGTGATGTGGCTGGTGGGTGTCGTGCACGACAGGCAGGGCCCCAACACCAAGTGAGATGGAGTGGGCTTCCAAATTTTTTATTTTTTTTCTCAGTTTGCGATCGTGCACGGAACACCCAGGACGAATGGCGCCGAAACAGCATGCGCGTGGAATGGAGCAGCATGGTGCGCGGAAATTCCGTGCGTCACATGGATCACGCACGAATCGTGGTGCATTTACGCCACAGACACGCGATACGGCGACGGGGCTGAACAAATTGAAAAGTATGATTCGGCAGACAAAGCGGTTGTTAGGCAGGGTACGTGCCACACGTATGTCTAATAAGTGTGCAGGAGTCTATTACACCAGGAGCGCGTATCGAGGCAGAAAGGCGTCTTCATGCATTGGAGCGCGAGGCTTTTGAACGAATGCAATCTAACAAGGAACGGCAATTCTCCGTGCGATACCACAAAGTCAAGTTTTTTGGTACGTATGGGCACGCGAGTGAGCTGATGCAGAACGTCAAAAACTCATGCGCCGAATCCGGCAACTCAAACGTAATGGCGAATCCAACAAGCGTGCGCGTGCTGAGCTTTTTGAGTCACGCATGTTTTTGAACTATGTACTGGTACGTAACCGAGGAAATCCTCTCTCTATCCTCCTTCTTTTCCCCCTCTCTCTCACTTTCTCATTCTCTCTCTCTCTCTCTCTCTCCCTCCTCTTTTGTTTGTATGACTGACTTCTTACGCAGCACTATCCGGCTGATCAGCGCTACGTCGCGCTGTTTGCTGACCGTGGGATGAAAGAGCCGATGGCACCGACATCAGATGCCCATGATCGTGCGCACCAAAAAGCAGCAGCATTCTTGAAGCAAGTGCGAAAAGCAATGAAAAAAGGCGAGATGTCAACCGAACCGGATCTAGAACTAGAGCAGCGCGAAGCCCAAAGTAGAATGAGTGACGGTCGGCAGAAAGATTCGAGGCGTGTTGTTCAAGAGGCCATGGATGAGGGCGACGGCAATGATGACAATGACACTGACGAAGAACGCCTTGGCGGTGATCACAGCAACGATGAAAGTGACGAAGAGGACCTGACTGGACAAGACGATGATAGCAACAATGAAGAAAGCGAGGACGAGGACGAGGGCGACGATGACGACCAGGACCAACGTCACACCATCACTGCCAATGCCGCACGCTCTCAGCATGAAAATGCCCAAGCATCCTCCTCCATCGCAACAGACGACTTTTTTGCCCTATAATCATCATCTATGGCGTGCAGCGGCCCGTCCACCGTGGGTACAGCGAACATTCACGCACAGTCCACCGGTTGGTCAACCAGGCCAAGAGGCGCTCGACGCCCAAACCATATCCACCGTGCTCACAAGTGCCATACTTGCGCTGCTCTGTGTACCAGTAGTAAGGCGAAGGATCAATGCCCTCTCGCTTGTATGCATCAAGAAGCTCATCATGGCCGGTCATCCTCATACTTCCACCAACAATCTCACCAACGCCTGGCATCAAGAGGTCAACGCTCTCCGTGAATGCCTCGTCACCTGGCACACGCTTCATGTAAAACGCTTTGATCTCCCGCGGGAAGGAATGCAGCAGAATCGGCACACCCAGCTGGTCCGTCATTTTTCGCTCTGCCGCCTCGGCAATATCATCGCCGATCTTGTGCGGCTCTCCGTGCTCGTTGGTGATGTTGTGCTCGTTCAGGTACGCAATGGCGTCTTTGTAGTTCAGACGCAAGAATGGGCGCTTCGGTGGCTGGAAGCCGGGGTTGAGCTGCTCAATTAGGGCACGTGTTTTGTCGTCCTTCAGGACGCGATCGACCATGCCGCAAATGTCCTGCTCAATGTGCGAGAGGAGATCGTCGAACGACACAAATGCAAGCTCGATTTCCAAGTGCGTATACTCACTGAGATGACGGCGTGTATGGCTCTTCTCAGCACGGAAACTCTCCTGCACACAGTACACGTCACCCAACGCTGGCAAGCACGTCTCGAGGTACAGCTGCGAGCTCTGAGTGAGGAATGACTTTTGTCCATAGTAGTCGAATTGGAAGAGTGTCGCACCCCCCTCGACCTGGGTCTGCACCATGCAGGGCGGCGTCACTTCCAACATGCCAGACGACGCAAACTCTGCCCGGAAGCCGTCCAAGACAGCGGCGCGCACACGCAGGATGGCCGAGGCCGTCTCGCCCCGGAGCACGAGGTGTCGGTTGTCGGCGAGGATCGATGGATCCGCATTTTCCGACACGCGATTCATGATTGCATCGTCACCGCCTGGTGCCTTGCCCACACACGTCCAGTAGTCGACAACGAGTTCATGGTTGTCCGGTGCCGTCTTGCCCTCTGGCAGCGTTTTGATCACGCCATACAGCTCGACGGAGCTTTCAAGCGTCAGTGTGAGAGCATCGTACGTCTGGATCAACGCGCCCTGCAGTACACATTGCAGGTAGCCCGTACCATCACGGAGCACGAGGAACATACGATCCTTCTGCGAACGAAGGCGATGAACCCAGCCACAAACCTTCACACGCACGTCACGGTTCTGAACGCCAGCACAAATCTTGATGCGCTTCGCCGGTGCCGCATCGGACGGCGGCTCAATAACGATCTTCTTGCTCTCTTCGAGTTTCTTCCGGTCCTGCTCAGCGCGCTCCGCTTCCTGCGCGGCTTGTTCACCCGCCTTTTGCTTCTTCTTTATGGTCATGTCATACATCTTCTTGGCCTTCTTGACGCCTGAGGCTGAGAGCGGCTCATACGTGCCCTCGTCTCCCTTGCGAATCATGACTGTCACATCTGGACCGCATGCAAGCATAGCACCAAGGGCTGTAGCGTACGGTGCTGACTCTGTGCCTTGACCAGTCTCATCGTGACCTTTTGTTTCGTTGACATACACTACCGCGTAAGCTTGTACATGGTGCACGAATCTGCATACCTATCACAGCATCCTTTACTTCCATCGCTGCTGTACGCTGTGTCACCGACTCCATCACGATTGGTCGCTCTCTCTCTCTCTCTCTCTGTCAGCGTAGAGTGAAAGGTCCGAGTTGTAGCAAGGGACTCACGGCGACTGGACGAGTTTTTGTTCTCCCTTCGCAAAGGACTGACGGCCATGCAACAAATCGAGTCACTGATTATGTCAGCGCCTTGGGCCCTCGGTGGTGGAGAGCATGTGCCTGGCCCCGAGCCTTGTGGGTGTTGAGAGCAGAGCCGACCTCGTTCGGCAGCATGTGTAAGCGAAGTAGATTGGATTGGTCTGTGTACACACGGACTATCTGCTTCTCCCCCACCCTTGCTCTCCCCTCACGCTCAACAATGCAAGTACCACAGTGTCCTTGCAACAACCTGATTATCTGAGCGCTTTATAGTATTTTTATGTATTTATTTATTTTGCGTAGTGCCATTCCTACTATCAGGAAATTCCAGAATTACCCCGACTTGTCGATGCAGCAGCCCCCACTCGTCCCCCTGCTACCTATATGAACAATCACGTAAATTGTGGAGGTCTCGCTCGCATTCGAGGGCTCGCCCACACCCGAATATGGAGGAGGGGGAGGAGACTTTAAGTGGCGCGAACTTGCAACAGGAGGGACCGGGCGTCGCTTCAGCTTCCGTTGGTCGTTGATCGCCATGTTGCCACAGCATTGGATTTGTACTGCTTGGGCGATCACCGTAGGAGCATGCATCACAGCGACTCACGCCGTTCCGATGCATGCGACTTGGCACGAGGCTGATGAGACGCACATAGCGCCACTCGTTCAGTCGACAAGTGCCGCTTCGGTACCTGACAATTACATGGTGGTACTCAAGCCAGAAGTAACAACAGAGCAGTTCGTCAAGCATAGAGAACACGTAGCATATGCTTCTGTGCTCTTCTCTTTGCTTCATGACAAGTCGGCCATGAGTGGCGTGGATTTCGCGCGAATCATGCAAACACAAGAGAATGGGATTGGCTCACATTGGCCAGCGCAGGAAGACGTTGGCCTGTTTCGTCACATCTTTGACATGGGACCTCACCTGCAGGGCTATGCAGGACGCATGGATGCCAGCTTTGTCGATGCCCTACGGAGGCTGCCCGAAGTGGACTACGTGGAGCGCGACTCGATCGTTGATGTAACGATGCTAAAGCAAGACGATCGTTCTGTGCAAGACATGCCACTTGATTCTTCGGTGTCTGCATCTACATTTCCTTGGGACAGCCCATATCAACATCTTACAGAAGATGGTGCACCCTGGGGTCTCGCGCGCATCTCTCACCGCAAGTCACTCTCGCTCGGTACCTTCAACAAGTACGTGTACGAGTCTATTGGCGGCGAGGGTGTGACGGCGTACGTGATTGATACAGGTGTAAATATCGCGCACAAGGACTTTGAGGGCCGTGCTTCATGGGGCAAAACCCTTCCCTTGAATGACACCGACATCGACGACCACGGTCATGGCACACATGTCGCTGGCACTATAGCATCAAAGACATTTGGCGTTGCGAAGAAGGCGGACATTATCGCCGTCAAGGTACTGGGCTCCGGAGGTCAGGGAACGATGTCGGACGTGACGGCTGGTGTGCTGTGGGCCGTTGCTGATGCCCAAAACAAGACTCGGGAAATCATGAACAACCCAAACTCGGCCGCCGCGCGGAAGCACCGCGGCTTCGTGGCCAATATGTCGCTAGGTGGATCCAAATCACCGACTTTGGACCGAGCAGTGCGTGGTGCCGTTAAGGCGGGCATGCACTTTGGCGTGGCTGCGGGCAACGAGGCTCAGGACGCTTGCTTTGTCTCGCCGGCGAGTGTAGAAACGGCCGTGACAGTCGGTGCGTCGACGATCGCCGATGAACAGGCTTTCTTTAGTAACACTGGCCCATGTGTGGATATCTTTGCACCGGGTCTCAACATCCTATCGACGTGGTCATCGTCGCCGCGAAGTATCAATACACTCTCAGGCACATCGATGGCATCGCCGCACATCGTCGGCTTGATGGCTTACTTGCTGTCGATCTATGGCACTGACGACTTTACACTGATCAAGGACGCTGTACCTACACGAGTAGCTCCTGCAGCAGCGATGCACCAGGCGGACACGCATGGCCTTCGTGAGACTGGCCGTGGACATGGAGAGATGAGTGCACGTAGGAGGCTGTTGCAGGTGCTTCAGAAACTCATGCCATCGTGGATGCCGTCGTTGGAGCGCCTCTTCCCTCAAGTGCCTGTGTTGTCGACAGAAATGGAGCAAGGACTCAGCATTGAAAGTGCGTTGCGACCCGCAGATCTGAAAAAAGCTATGCGCCGTATGGCTATATCAAATGCCCTGGAGCAACTGGATCCCGAGACGACCAACAAACTTGCTTACAACAATGCTACCACTACAAACATACAGTAAAGAACTTGTGGAGATACCGGAGGCCGCAGTGGGGGGGGGCAGAATCCATGACGGCAGTGCTGGCGGTCATAACGACACAGACGACAGAGGCAATGGAGCACGCTGCCGCCGTTGTCACGATGGCATGAACGAGGCTTAAGACTGGGCCTCGATGACCATACCGGCTGTGTCAGAGATATTGGTCCCGCCGCTAAAAGTCAGGGAAGATGTTAGGGAACTCGTCTGGAGCATTGGGTCGCTGGTACTCGGACAGATCATTTTCAGGATACTTATCGAACCTGGCAGTGTGTGAGTATATGTTGGAACGCACGGCTTGTTCCTCGCATGGGATACGTACTGGCTTGCGTCGCCATCCATATTGATATTAGGGATGTAGGGAGCGGGGATTTCTTTTCGGTAGAGACATTCCCAATCGATTTCAGCAAACCACATATGGGCGAAAATATCGCGGCTGCCGCGGTGCAAATTACCAAAACGTTTCGAGAGATCGGCCGTGAGCAGCGACTGAAGAAGATCTTTCGCACCAGGCTCGAAGAACGACGGGTAGTGCACTTGGCCAGCGAGGATCTTTTCATACAGCTTGATGGGGTTGCCGTCTTCAGTGTAGAACGGCGGGTAGCCAGCCATCATCTCGAAAAGCAGCACACCCACAGACCACCAGTCCACACTGGCATTGTATCCGCGAGCGCGGATTACCTCCGGCGCCAGGTAGTCAGGCGTGCCACAGAGCGTCCAGCACATACCGTTGGACTGGGCCGTGACTTTGGCAAACCCAAAGTCGATGAGCTTCAGGTGTCCGTCAGCACCGATCAGCACGTTTTCCGGCTTCAGATCGCGGTAGATGATGTTGTGTTTGTGCAGGAAGTCGATCGCAAGCGCCACTTCCGAGATGTAGAATTTCGCCACTTGGGATGGGAATCGCCGGCTCTGCCGTAACAGACTAAACAGCTCGCCACCGGGCACAAAGTCCATCACCATGTACAAGAATGTCGGGTCCTGGAACGTACCCCATAGATTCACAAGGAACGGATGCCGCACCATCGACAGGACGGAATGTTCATTATTCACATGCTCAACTTGCTTCATCTTGACGACATGCTGTTTGCGCAGCACCTTGATTGCATAGAACCGTTGGTTGTGCACGGACTGTACGAGATGCACGCGGCCAAATGAACCTGTGCCGAGTGTGCGTAGGATCGTGAAGTCTTGTAGTTTGTATCGGCCCTTCAAATTCCGCATGGGCAACCCCGTGTACATATTCATGTCAGGCGCACTGGCCGGAACGCCCGGCATCGTTGTGGGTGTTGGTTTTGATATTGATGACTGCGCACTGGAGAAGCCCTGCGTGCTTTTTGAGCCAGACTCCACTGTGTCTACGTTGTTGTTCTTGCTCTGTTGCGATACATCTGGCTGTACTTGTGCCGCTAATGGCAGCAGTGATGACTGAGATGTCGCAGACTGTGCTTGCTGCTCTTGCTGCGATGCCGCATTTGCTGCAGCCTTCTCTCCAGCATCACGCTTGTGGTAGTGGAAACCAAAGATGTTCGGCATCGCGCCGTTGACTTCGTGCTGCTAAGCCAGTCCACGTCGTCACCGTCGTTGGCCTGCGATGGTCGCCCCGAATGCCGCGTTTGAGACTGGTTTGGTCCGCGGCCCAGCCCAATTACGCACACGTCCCAAAACGCGCTTAGTCAGACAGGTTCGAGGGGGCTCAAGCCACATCTTCGTGCCCATTGCGACGTAGGGCCAACTCAGGGTTCATCCCCATCTCCTCCACACCCGCGGCAGTTGGCGTCAGGTGAGTCGACCGGCCCACAGGAAGTCAATGCCGCCTCCACCCCACCTCGGCAATAAGAGTGTGTGCGTGTTGGAAGGCGCGGGTCACAGAACAAGCTGTGGGTTGTGTGCATCTTGACAAGGCATGTTGAGGCGCTATCTTCCAGGGTGCGTGCGACCCGCCCGCACAATGCTTGAAGCAGCACAAATCAATACTCGAAATATGAGCATGTGCCGCTTGTCCTGTTTGTCGCGATCAGTGGCGACGCAGCGGCCCCCCCTACATGACCATACGCACCTCCTAGCGTGCCATCGCACCTTTGCTCGATATGCACATACAGCCAAAGAAGCTGGCTCTTCTCCTGATTCATTCCATGTAGCAGATCTCGATATGGTCGAATACCATCGTATGGTCGATAGCTCGTTGGATGAAATGACAGCGCAGCTGGAGGAGCTCCTTGAAACAGAAGATATTGATAAGTTGGAGGAAAAGGCATCGCATAGTGGCAATGCGAGTGAATGGGACGTGGAATATGCTGTGCGTACACGCGATAGTGGGAGCTGACTTGGCTTTGTTTTAGTCGGGAGTAATCAATTTGCGTCTGGGCCCCTATGGCACTTATGTTATTAACAAGCAGCCGCCCACGAGACAGATTTGGCTGTCAAGCCCATCAAGGTACGCACACGGCTTGGGCTTTATGACTGACCATACGCACTAACTCGCCCACTCACAAATACACTTATTTACCCACTCGTACTCTCTCTCTCTCTCTCTCTCTCATTGATCTGCTACATTCCAATCGGCAGTGGACCGAAGCGATTCGACTACGACCAAACAAAAGATGTCTGGTTCACCTTCCGCGATGGTCAGCTCTATATTTTTCATGAGCTTATGAACGAGGAGTTAAGCGCCGTCTTTGATACACCCGTGACTTTGCACATGTAGCTGAAAGGCTCAACCAACATGTGTGTGTGTGTGTAGACGCTCTCAACGCTACGATAATGCTCTTCCATGGCATTCTCTCGTTCGAAAATAAATTCACTTGATAGATTGTTTTTTTTTTTTTTTTCACTGATAGCTACCTTATACATCTATATTGTTACATGAAAAACAGGACTAACGCGCTGCATACGCGATACATTTACCATAGTGTCCCTCCTCAAATCGATACACGCCGTCATACTCAAGAGACTGACACATCACGTGTTATAGTCATGCCTTGCTTGGGCCATGCGCCAGCGTCTTTTGGACGGAGGTGGAGCGAAGCTCTGCGCAGGTCGACAAGTGCGACCTAAGAGGAGCAGCTACACGCATCAAAGACTCGACAAAAATCAGCGGCAGTGAATGGACGAGCACGCGGCACACCAGTGGGGCTGCTGCAAGAATTAGATCCATGCATGAACTTGCATAAATAGATTTTGCACGGGTGTATGGATTGGGCCACTACGGCCAGACCAACCTTGCACCAACGTTGACGGCCATCTGTCACGAACACGAGCGCATAGGAACAACATCAGAGCCGTTCGTGTAGTGTGACAGAGAACGAGCGAGCCAGGATATGCCGCCGCAACAAGCACAGCGCATGGGTACAAGATTCCTACACCAGCTCACAAATCTTGGTGGTAGCGGAAACAGTTCTCATGACACCCCACCACAACCTGCTGGAAATGGTAGCTCGTCACCCGTGAAGAATCAACTCGCTTCCTTTTTCCAGAAAGGACCGAATTCTTCTGGATCGACACCGAACTATCCTCAACAGCAGCCAGAGATATCCGCACCCACACGAGCTATGGGGGCTCACAATGCGTTTGACTCAGCAGAGGATCCCTCCCTGCGTTTTGGCGAAGCATTCAGTGATGGGATTAGCCCCAATGGTACTTATATGCGGAGAGCATTTGGTAATGATGAATTGGCGGATCCTTCTGGAGTGCAGGCTGGCCGCTTCGGGCCTATGCATTCACTTGGCCAAGTGGGTCAGAATGCGATGTTGCAGCAGCCACCACAGCAACCACAATTTCATCCCCACCTGCAGCAGCACTTGCAACATCACATGCAGCAGCAGCAGCAGCAGCAGTTCCATCTGCAACAACCGCCGTCCTCGGTTGATCATATGATGGACATGAACGCGGGGCGATTCATGCCACAGCACAATCAGCCACAGCCAATGAGAGTATCGACCGGTCCCCACAACATGCCATTTGCGAGTCAAAGTGCGCCACAGCATGCTCGTGACATGTTTGATTCGAATGCTGTACTGCAAGATGGTCAGCCTAAACCAACGACTCAGCCGCCGGACATGGTATCCCATATGAACACGAATTTGTCGTCGAATGCTGGCCAAGTCGGACAGGGCAGCATGATGCATAGCATTCCAACGGCCCAGATGCCTCTTATGCAGCCGCCATCATTTGGCACAACGACAGATGCATCGACTTCCAAACCAGTATTTGCCATGTCTAATAAGCCACATGAGGGCGTGACGACGCCTTCAGCCGAAGATCATAAAATGTTGGGCGTTCCATCGAGTGCTCATCATGAAGCCAACACTGATGATGGCGGCACGCCTCTCCGCACGGTCAATCAGTGGTCGCACACATCACCGACGAAGCGGATGGACCCCGCGGAAATTGACCACTTATCGCGTTCATACTATACGGAGCTGTTGAACTTTTTCCGCACTCAATCAATCCGCACCTCTCTGCTGACACCCTCACGTTCTAGCGCCCGCGAAAAGCTCACAAGGTTGAACAAGCAACAGTTTGCCGAGCTGTCTACGGATGTGCACGACGAACTGCGACGCCGGCAGGACGAGCTCCAAGAGATGCCATTCTTGCAAGGACGTGACGACTTTCATCCAAAGCGGAACCAGGCCCGTCAGAAGCTCGCGACTCTACCTAAGACGAGATTCCGAGACTTGGCGTCCGACGTGTTCTTCGAGCTGGAGCGTCGGTACCCTGAGCTGCCCCAGGAACTGCGCTACGAGTCGCTTGAGGATCTGATGGGAGCACGAGAGGGACACTCTAGAAACTCAAGTCTGATTTCCAAGGCTCCCGCGGGGGTGAATACTGGTGCAATGCCTGGTGCAGTGCCTGGTGCCACGAACGATGTTAAACCGCCCTATTCCTTGGTATCTTCGACTCCAGGCGCTGGCACTCGTGGCATGGAACAAGCCCCTGCGCCTGTGCCTGTGCCTGTGCGAGTCTCTGTGCCGCCGCCTGCTTCCTCGCAATCGGCCAATATGCCACCGCCACCTGCTACGTCAGGTCCCATGCCCGGTCCGACGTCCGGTTCCACGTTCGGTGCCGTGTCGACGGCACCTGTGCTTGGCGCAGGCTCTGCCCCCTCGACGGCTGCCCCATTAAGTGACCGGCAGCAAGCTGATCCTTATGGCACAAGACCTCTATCGTCCTCACGCATGAGCACAAACCTTGCTCAGCAACAACTGACGGATCTTATGGCCGATGCTCAGCAGATGAGTAGTGCTGAAATGTTTGCACCTGCACACAGTGCGGCCGTTGAGGAACAGGATCCCCGAAGCTTACAGGCAGCAGCCCGCACCTCATCATCGGATCGTGATTCGATGATCCCGTCTGCCTCAGCAGCAGCAGCAGCAGCAGCGACATTACCGGCCGCATCAGGCGCAGCGGCACCAGCAATTGATCCTGCAGAAATTCGCGCGTACGAAGAACAGGTCGGGCTTCTTCAGAAACAAGTGCAATTGCTAGAAGAACAAGAACATGTGCTCCGTGCGCAGGGCACGGAACATGATCGTCTAGTCGAGCAACTTCGTTCTCAGAACAATGCCCTCGAAACGCGCCTCACATCTCTCGAGCATGAATTGGAGGCTCACGAGACTGTGGCACGTGATTTGCGGTCTGAGAGCGATCGACGGCAAGTGGCGCTGGACGACAAGGAAGCTGAGCTTCTGCAGCACCGCGCCGACTTGGACGTGTTGCGATCACAGTACAATGAACTGAACTTGGCACACGCAGCGCGGAGTGCCGATGCCGAGTCGGAAACGCATTGGAAGCGGCAGCTCGAGGTCATGCAGCGGGAGACGCTCGAACAACAGCAGATCGTCCAAGACCTACGTGGCGAAGTCGCAACCCTGCTCGAGGAACTACGCCGCCTAAGTGCGCGCAATGATGCTATGACGGCCGACAAGGAATCGGACGTCGCGATCATCCGCGACTTGCACCAGCAAATGTCGACCTACAAGCGGCGGTACGAGAGTGCAAAGGGCGAACTTCGAATGGTGCAGTCGACTGCACAGCTTTGGGCGCAGCCGCATGTGGACGAATGGAGGTATGTGTCGCCCAACGGCGCTGTGGCCGACACGAATCTGCGGTCTTTCCAGTCGGCTATTGATGAGCTCTTGTCGTCGGCGCGCTCTTCAGCGCCCTCAAACGTGCTGATCGCAATGAAGACAGTTGTCTTGTCGACGACACTCGTGACCGACGACGTCGCCAAGTATGAGATGCAACCAAACAATGAGATGGCATCTTTATCGCCACAGCAGCGCGAGGATGTCGAGACACTCAAGGTGTCGATCTCAGATGCTTTATCGAATCTGATGAATGCATGCCGAAACCATGCATCGTCACAGGGTCTTGCCCCCGTAAGCCTCATTGATGCAGCCGCAACACACGTGGCACTAGCAGTCGTTGAGTTGATCAAGCTGCTCAAGTTACGCCGAGTCCCTCGACCAGATGAAGATGACCTGAGCTTTGACAGTATGGCAGACTCAGGGCCCGCCTTGGGGGGTGGCTCAACAACGCCTAATGGACTCAAGCCACTCCATACACGCAACGCCGCATCGCCATCGCATCTGTTGTCTCGCGGCACACCCAGCCGTGGTGCTGGCATCACAAGTCCCACGTCACTCCGCTCGCTATCATACTCGAACTCGAACCTCGACGCTCGCGCTCGCGCTTTGGACGTGCCAACCGGTACGCCAAATGCTTCGCATCAGCAACAGCAGCATGGGCAAACGACCAGCGCGCCCGGCGCCGGCGCGACTTCGTCTGGCGCAGCGGATGTGGCTGCATCAACACCGACGCCACGACCTTCGGCAGTGCCTCCTCGACTGCCGAATCGTGAAATGAGCTCTGAACCATCAGCCTCGACAACTCCGCAAGAGTCGTCTCGCGCGCGTCTACCTTCGACTGAGACAGCCACTCGTCCTCAGTCTCCCCACGTGCCGCGGCCACCATCAGCGACTTCAACATGGCGTGGATCGTCAACTGACCAGCCGATGCCAAACAATGGCAACTTGCAGCAATCCACAAGCCCGGAATCAGTGTCAACACCCGCATCTTCTCGAACACCATCGCAATCACACTCCCACATGCAACAGCAGACACGACCCGCATCCCAATTAGCTGTCCCAATGAGTCAACAGCGCGAAGATGAAGACGCAGAAGATGAACTTGAGAACTGGGGCGAGCTTCGCAATTACATTGAAGTACAGACCGAAGCCATCGTCCACTCCATTCAGTCGCTCCTTTCGGCGCTGAGAGAAGGTGCCCAAGGGGTGCAGCTAAATGAGAACCTGACACAGATTACCACCATCGTTTCGTCAATTGTCGCCATTTCACGCGACCACTTGCCGCAGGCAACGTCCCGACATGGAGCCATTGCCACAGAGGCCGAACGAATTTTCGCTGAGCTGACGGACAACTGCGACAGACTAAGCGATATGCAATCGAACACGTCGTTTGATCGTTCGGCGAAGAGCGTCATGGCCAGTGCTTCTTACGGAGTAGCAAAAGGGCTCAAGGCCTTGAATGAGCTACTCAATGCCGCTGACGAAGCGCCTCTTGCTCAAGCGTAGAATCTGGTCTCTTCTGCATGTTTTTTTTTTCCTATTACTACAATCCCCATGTTTCCCATGAATACCGTTTTTTAATGAAACTCGGTTAGTGTGTTAGATATGATCGGTCAATACGTGTCCTCTTTGCACATTTTTTTTGGCATTGATTGTGCTGCCTGGGCTTTGCTAGCTTCAGCTTAGCATAGCGCATCCTACTCTTAATTGACTTTTTATCCACGCTTCTACATCTGTTCTAATATAGTACCTTATACGCACTCGCTAGGTTCTTGCTTCTTTCGTTGCTTTTCGAAACTTCCATTGATTTGGAAAGGGAGATATAATTGCAGCAGTTCGCACAATGGAGGTTGGTACATTTTTATTCGGATGAAAACCCAATCTTTTGACATTTCTTGGCGTACGGCCACACATCAACAGATCAAGATCGATTTTCTGTACCGGTGAAACGGCATTTTCCACCCCTACCCCTGACCTTCGACCCCGCATGAAAATGCCGAGATACTTCGACCGACACGTTTCAGCATTGGCCAACATTTCTCCCCTTTCATTCTCTGTCAGACTCTAAAAATGGCGGTGCATCTCCATGGCACGTGATGTATCAGCGTTATCGCGACGCATGCCTACATAAGCTTACCGGTTCCGCGCACCATTGAGCCGGAGCCCATGGAGCAAGCGGGGGTTTCTTACGTCAGACATGCGGAGTTCGGCGGGCCAAGGTTCCCTAACGACGGCAGGATATGCAAGAAGCAATGCATGCAGACAGGTTCTTACATTATAGTTCGACCGGTCTGACAGCCCCGGACCATCATTTGGGTATCGCTCTTCCGCATATTCGTCCCTTCTTACCAACACCGATCATAATGGCCGCTGACAAGAAAACGAACAAGCCCAAGGTATCGCCAGCGACGCACTTGATTGCTGGTGGTATTGCTGGATTTGCTGAGGCATGCACCTGTCACCGTATGTACATTAGTGGCATCAGTCACGGATGCTAGCTGTGCAATTGCACACCTGCGGAGTTCCAAGATAACTAACACGAGAACCAGCACTTGACACAATCAAGGTGCGCATGCAACTGTCTCGCAAGGGCAAGGGCCTCGGTGAGAAGCCGCGTGGCTTCTTCGCTACGGGCGCGCATATCGTGCGCCGCGAAACGCCTCTTGGTCTTTACAAGGGTCTGGGAGCCGTTGTGGCTGGTATCGTGCCAAAGATGGCCATCCGTTTCATGAGTTTCGAGCAATACAAAGCGATGCTAGCGAACCGTGAGACAGGTGTGACAAGCCCACAGGGCGTGTTTGTGGCGGGTCTTCTAGCTGGTACGACGGAAGCCGTGGCTGTGGTCAACCCTATGGAGGTGGTAAAGATTCGGCTGCAAGCTCAGCAGCACTCCTTGGCCGACCCGTTGGAGAAGCCTCGTTACCACAATGCCGCGCATGCTCTATACACAATTATTCGGGAAGAGGGTTTCTTGACGCTGTACCGCGGTGTAGCTCTGACAGCGTTGCGTCAAGCCACGAACCAGGCAGCCAATTTCACAGCATATCAAGAGCTCAAAGCATTTGCCCAGCGTGTACAGAACACAACAGATCTGCCTTCGTATGAGACAGCCACCATCGGGTTGATCTCTGGTGCTCTAGGTCCATTCTCCAATGCACCAATTGACACAATCAAGACCCGTATACAGCGTGCCTCCAAGGTTGAGGGCGAGACAGCCATGGGCCGCATCATGAAGGTTGCCTCTGAAATGTTCAAGCAGGAGGGTGTGAGTGCATTCTGGAAGGGTATTACCCCCCGTGTTGCTCGTGTTGCCCCAGGACAGGCCGTCGTGTTTACAATCTATGAGAAGGTCAAGGGCGTAATCGAGTCGAATGGCCAAAACAAGTCGCAGGCGATTGTCAAGCAGTAAATTTACATCGACTTTCGTACATAAGTTGTCTATTTAGAATCACCCCGAGCTGGATGTTGGTGTTGGACGAATCCATCTGTGTATGCGTGACTTCCGTAGTACTACAATGTAAGAAGGTGACGCCACTACTTGAAAGCCGGTCCACATGGATCATGATGGAGCGCCTTGTCAGTCGCCATACAGCGCGACGGTGCCACTCTTATTGGTAAGCAAATCGGGATGAGGTCATCACTACATCCACTCGACAAGGAGTTTCGGTGTTGCGTTGTGGTCACGTGATTTTTTGTTCCTAGCGTCTGTCAAAGACACACAATGGGCGGAGGTTGCATAGTAAGTTGGAGAAAAATGAGGGAGGAGAGGGGGTCCAATTTGGGATAGGAAAAGGAAAAAATATCGATAATGTTATAGTGTCTCGTCGACGAGAAAATAACAACCTGCTTCGTCCGACCCCGGAATATTGTATTGCTATTCACTTGAAGGGACGAGGCCGTTTGTGCACAACTGTTGCTTTTTGCTCTTCTATCAGCATTTCTCGAAGATCGAGTGTGTCGATCGGAACACAGAACAAGCACTGCAGTGTTCATTTGTGACTTGCTCCTACTTCCTCCGATCACACTGGACGACACGAATCCGTGCTTACTAGCAACATGCGTGAGACAAAGGAAACGACAAATTTGTCGCCTCCTATGACCCCGACCCGTCTTACTCAACCGTCAACGTTTAATCAAGCTGCTTCTGCGATGACTTCCATGCATCTGAATGACTTGTCCGAGCCCATGACTTATCCCACGACGCCCTACGCCACTGCTAGTGATACTGCTGCATACTCGATGATGCCCACAACCGCTGCAACGACGGCGCCAGTCTCGGCTGCGGCGGCCAATGCCGCTAATTTAGCGGCGCCACATGGTTTGGCGATGTCAATGACGCCGAATCTGGTCGGATGGAATTCTCCGATAGCGTCGGTGCCGTACGTTATGACCATGCCTGGTGGAAGCCAAAGCCCTGTTCCTGTAACGTATGGCAGCTACCCTCCGACACCATCGTCTTTATCGCATGAATTTAACGTACCGACATTAAGCTCGCCGGCCGGCATGGTTCCTGTGGGCAGAACCGTATACATTGGTAACATGCCGCCAGAAGCAAGTGCGGAAGAGTTGCTCGACCTTGTGCACTATGGACCTATCGAAAACGTGCGGCTCCTACCGGAAAAGGCATGTGCATTCATTTCATTTTTGTGTGGGCAAGTGGCTGCGGCATTCCATGCAGATTCATCCGTGAGACGCATCTCATTACACAATCGCGAGCTGAAGATTGGATGGGGCAAGCCATCTGTGCCGCCACCAGCCATTGTGTATGCGGTACAACATCAACAGGCATCACGGAACGTATATTTTGGCCAACTGGACGAACATGTGACTGAAGAAACGCTGCGTTCATCACTATCCAAGTTCGGACCTATTGACCAGGTCAAGTTGATTCGTGAACAAAACATTGCTTTCGTGCATTTTCTGTCCATTCAGACTGCCATGAAAGTTGTAACAACACTGCCCATGAGTCCAGAGTGGTCCAAATACCGGATCAACTATGGCAAAGACCGCTGTGCCTATGTTCCAAAGGGCCAGCAGCAAATCCAAGCTCACAACCACCAGGCAGCCGCTATGGGCTTGGCTACTGCCATGTGGCTTGGCTACCCCACTAGCTACTCGAATTATGGGCACGTGCCGCCTTGCTATTTAGACGCAGGCGCCGAGATGAATACGACAAGTGATGGAAGCACACCTGCTCGCTTGCAAGGGCACCCGCTAGGCAACGTGGAACCACAACTCCATCAGTTTGGGAACCGTACTGTGTACCTGGGCAACTTACACCCTGACACGACCGCAGAAGACATATGTAATCATGTTCGTGGTGGCATATTGCAGTCCATTCGATATATGCCGGACAGGCACATCGCATTTATTACGTTTGTGGACCACAATGCCGCACTGACATTCTTCCACATGGCGCTTGTTTCAGGTATTACGGTTCATAATCGGCGGCTAAAAATTGGATGGGGAAAGCCAACCGGTCCTCTGAGTCCTGCCATTGCACTGGCAGTTCAGTCGGGCGCTTCCCGCAACGTGTATATTGGGAATGTCAGTGACCCTGCCCTTATGAATGAAAATAAAATTCGCACAGACCTCTCCGCCTATGGAGAGCTAGAAATGGTTAATACTTTGCCCGAGCGCAATTGCGTACGTATAAACGAGCTCGCCGTTTTGAGCGCATGGTGACTAACTTGTGTCTTTTTCATATACAGGCTTTTGCCAACTTCACTAACATTCAATCTGCCATCAAATGCATTGAGGGCCTCAAGTCCCATCAAGACTATCAATCTGTAAAAGTTTCTTTTGGAAAGGATCGATGTGGAAATCCTCCAAAATACTTCACCCAACTCGCTATGAATTGGAACTCGCCAGGGCGATCGCCCGCTTCAACCCCTAATGAACGGAGCATCGATGAGAAGAGCAACATGAAACCCAGCAAGGAAACAACAAGTCCAGCATCTTGAATAACACATCCATTCTAACAGCATTCACCGCCTTTCGGCCATTTTAGATGTCATTTCCATCAAAATATTTTCGTACCACGCAGCTCAAATATAGAAAACTATGACGGCAAAAAGAGCACCACCCGTCCCAAATGTGTACAGTCAAGTACTATTTTGTTTTGTATATATATTTCAGTACCCTTCCTCTCTACAAGCTGCTCCTAGTTAGTACAACGGTTAGTATATGTCGCTCTCACATGTCCACTTGTGGAGCGCCGACAAGACCCGGGTTCGACTCCCGGATTGGGAACAACTTTTTGTCTAAGGCAAGTATATGCTATGTGTCAAGCCCCACGATAACGTTTTGAACAAGGTCGGATTGATCTTTTTTGGACATAGTATGGTGGGCATTGAGTACGTGAAAAGGATCTATCAATTTATGCGGGAAGCTCGAATTTCTTACCCTGGATCACATTTGTGAAGTAGACTTCAAAATGAGCGCGGAATATACTTACTGTAGAAAAAGTCGCCATATAAGCCGGTTTGAACAAGACCTGCAATGAACGTAATATAGTCAAAGTGATGATTGGCCTCGAAAATAAGCCTGGGTGAGAAACAGTGTGAGGTTCCATTCGGCATTTGCGGACACAAAAGCTCTGTAGACATACCTGTAAATCCAGTTGAGTAAGTATAACGCGCGGTAAGCGCCAAGTGCAAAGATATAATGTGTGGTGATAGTCTCTGCCTCGCCTATCCGCTGCAACAGGAACATTTGAGGAAGAATTGCCACTGCCTCAAGGAAGATACTGAATGACCATAGGACTTCTGCGATCGTGAACTCATAGTTAAAGAGTAGCGCCAAGATGGCGGGGATGCCCATCAAGAGGTCTAGACGAATTGTGTCGATATCAGCTTCATGGCGCGTTCTGAGTGTGTGTAAGTAAAGTAGAAACGTAGGTAAGGTGCTGAAACGAAAAGAGACAGACACCCCGTTCACGGTACGCACCTGAATTGGACCTTCATCAGGTAAAGAATGTATGCGCTGCTTGAAATGAAAAAGATCTTCATGAGAATCAAGTATGCACTCGGTGGGGTGAAAAGTTTCAAGTACCTTGAGACAAACACCACCGTGTACATAAGCTGTGTTTTGAACGAGATACCTGCGTCATTAGTTCCTTGCTTATACTATTGGGCACACCCGCATCACCTTCAAGGTACCCCTGCATGATCGACTCGTCAAGATTTTGTGGATCAAGATGAAAATGGAAGCTAGATGCGACAAGTCACCAAGGAGCCGGAAGATGTTCATGTTCTGTTCCTGGTGCCGCGGTGAAATACCTTCGCTGTCTCTATGTTTCGCGTCAAGCACGACGTGTCTCGCTCAACGTCCTATCAACGGCCGGCCGGAGAGAGTGGAACGCACGTACACATCACGTGGTCCATACCCCCAGACTCCTCCCACATCTCGTCTTGTGTCGCACTCCACTGTAGAGCCCCGCCGCCTGCATGCACGTGGAGATCGGTCGTCTTACCCTTCATGGCCCAAGCGGGCTTCGGCGAGCCCAATTGCCGCCGTGTGCTACCCCGCCAAAAAAAAAAATCCATAATTTAGCCCTCCCGAGCAGACCCTAATTTTTAAAAGACACACACCCCACTTGTGGTGCAACTTCAAACGACGATCATGCCGATTCACACTGTCCTTACAGAAACGCTTGGACTGCGCGTTCCCTTAGTTATGGGTGGAATGCAGTGGGTAGGCAAACCGAAACTTGCAGCTGCTGTGTCTAATGCGGGTGCTCTGGGCATGGTGACAGCACTCACACAGCCGACGCCTGCTGCCCTGCGCAAAGCCATTGAAGAGACACGCAGCATGATTGATCCAGAGATTGCAAAAGAGCGTACCAAGTATGGTGCATTTGGCGTCAATATTACGCTCCTTCCAGCTATCGTACCTCCAGACTATGCGGCATATGCGCGCGTCGCTTTGGATGCAGGTGTGCGGATCTTTGAGACGGCTGGCAGCAATCGTGCGTATGGAGTATCAGCTTACCAATGGCAGCTGAGCCTGTAATTCGTATTTTGAAGGATTCTGGTGCATTTGTTATCCATAAGTGCACGGCCATCCGGCATGGTCTCAAAGCCGTCAAGCTCGGTGCTGACATGCTGAGCATTGATGGTCTGGAGTGTGCAGGACACCCTGGTGAAGATGACATTGGTGGCCTCGTGCTTCTTGCGCTGGCTGCTGAAAAGGTGTCTGTACCGTTCATTGCCTCTGGCGGTATGGCGAATGGGCGTGGTCTTGCAGCAGCCCTGTCTCTGGGTGCATGTGGCGCCAACAGTACGTATCTTGCGTTTTTTTAACGCATATGCAGTGGGTACGCGTTTCATGGCTACGCAAGAAAGTGACATTCACGAAAACATTAAGCAACACATCGTAAACTCGTCGGAGCGCGACACCGCTCACATTCTGCGCACGTTCCGCAACACGTCCCGTGTCTACAAGAACATCGTGGCGCAGGAGGTACTGGCTAAAGAGGCGAAGCGTGCGGAGATCTCCGAGATTCTGCCGCTTGTGTCTGGTGCTCGCGGCAAGACCGTGTACGAGAACGGCAACCCAGATGCTGGTATCTGGACCATGGGACAAACGGCCGGTCTTATCAACGATCTTGTACGTACTATTTTTATACTGACACACTCTTCCTATCATAGCCGTCCTGTCGAGAACTCGTTGCACGCATTGAGCGCGATGCCGAGCAAGTGATCCGACACTCGGCATCGCTCCTTGTCGATGGCCACGCCGCTCCTAAAGCGCATCTCTAGATCCATATTGCGAGCTCACCACCGTGGCTTTATGAGCCAATATCACTGGATCAAAGCTGACCAGTCGGTTATCGGGCCACCGATTGCCTCACACAGACGGAACGACGGAAGCAAGGACCTTATTCGACTGCTGATCCGTGTGTGTATGTGGAGAAAAGTGACCAGGGCATGTATGTAGATCCAAAGATGTCAGCAGAATAGGGACTTGAATGCCAATCGTGTTTTGAAAGTAATCTCTGGTACACGAATTACATTCGGCCGATCACATCGTAGCTGTCGTAGAGTGAATGCTCTTCTCGATCCACCTCTTGGTGTAGTCATCCATCACCATGCAAGGTGGTGCGGTGCTGTGTTTAACATGCTTGTTCATGGGTTTATGTACATATGTGATGGGCACGTTACCCTTAGCATTCCACTTGTCGCGTCAAAGTTTGAGGAAACTCGAACTCTGGGGTGCAGGACTCCTACTTGGCGCCGCTTTGACAGTTGTGATCCCTGAGGGTATTTCAAATGTGTACAGGCATCAAATACCACCTCGTGATGCGACTACAAGTCTGATCAGCTCGAAAGATCTTATAGCAGTTTGCCTATTGAGTGGATTCCTGCTCATGTTCATTGTCGACCAGCAAATGATTGTCCACTCGATAACGCGAGGCGATTCCAGCGCACAGTTGCCTGTAAGAGATGATGTGTCGGAGTCAGGAGCGACCATGAGATGGCAGCCCAATACAGGGACGCCACAGGTGCCATTCCGCTCGGTCATTGGCGGACTTCTGGGTGTCCTTGTGCATGCAGGGGCAGATGGCGTGGCTATGGGCTCATCAGTCGAGAGCTCGGACGTGTCACTGCGAGTGGTTGTGATTCTGGCGATCATGGTGCACAAGGCGCCAGCATCAATCGGCATTTGCACGCTTCTTATGGCACGGCAACTACCGAAATCTCAAATCCGGCTTGCCGTGCTTGTGTTCGCTGTAACGACGCCTATCTTTGCATTTTTGACGTATGGAATCCTGCAAGCTTTGCTGTCAGCCACAGGTACCAAACCTGGCTTTATTGGCACTCGTGACATTGGTGCCATTCTCTCGTTCAGTGGCGGCACGTTCTTGTATGTCTCTATTCATGCTGTGATGGAGCTGGCCTCCCCTGCAGCGAATCTACATGCACTTTCGAACCAGCGCGTCCATCACCCACATGATCACGATCATCCTATCCACGCACATGCCACGGAAGCTCGTCGATTGAGCGGCACGTCACCACCTCTGCCTTCATTTCTTCAAGAACATCCTACAGATGAAAGCGAGCGCCTACTGAGTCATTCTGCGTGGTCGCTTGTGTTTGTGGCTCTAGGCTCCGTTGTGCCGCGCCTCCTTCAGTTGGTTGTCGGTCACGACCACGACGGCTAATTAGCCTAACACCCTCAACAGTATATAGCTGCATGAGACGAGACAATTTCACAAGAACATGGCATTCTCATTAGCTTTTCGATATGACGTGTTCGCGGCGTCTGTGTGCATAACCTCCGCTGATGAGCATCCAAGTGGGAAAGACCCTGAGGTGTCTGGGGTGGTAGAAAAAAAACGGGTGGATTTTTCTCATAGCACACATATTCACCCACGTTGAGTTCGTAGTAAAACCTTCGCTTGGACACATGGCGAAATTGCTCCGATCGACCATTACTGAACGAGGAACCTGCTCCGCGACACTGCTTCTTTTCAGGCTTGTCAACTCTTTTCGCTTTTAATTGTGCGCTAGCGCTGATGACATACCGCGTGCCTGACATCTACGCGTCATCGTCGTCATCGCCGCCATGGGGAATAGGCGCACCATCATCGTCGCCACCGTCGAGTCCCACATATATCCGATCGACATCGACTGCGTCGACGGTGCAGGTCTCTGACCCGTTTTCCGCATCGGCCAAGTCGCTTACAATTAGTGGACCTAGGTCGTCAAAACGATGGATCCGATCGGCCACCACCCCTGCACGCACAGACCGGGACAATCACACGCACGAGCCAGACCTTCACTCGCTAGATTTGCTTCCATCAGACACGCATGCCGCACCGGGCGTACTCGAGCAGTTTTTTGACGATTCTGCTGATGACGCAATTGCATCTTCATCTATGGACGAGTTTGGCAGTTCTTTTGACATGTCGCAAGATCAGGCAAATGCACCGTTACGTACATACCGTCCGTTCGGGCGAACGGACAGTGCGAGCACGGATCCTCTTAGTGCGACAGGCCGAAGTGAATCTATGCAGCGCGCACCACAGCGTTTGCGACTGGCTGGCACATCGCCAAAGAGACTATCAAGACGGGACCATGGGGATCTAGCTCCTTGGGAGCGGCAGGAAGAGGAAGGGGGTGCAATGCGTGCACAATCCTCGCGGATCCAGCAATTACAGCCCGCCTGGCAAAATCCATTGCAGTGGGATGCAGTGGTCTGCCGCATCTTTGACGAGGGTCGCGAGCGACCGACACTGTCACTCGGTGGATGCGGCCTCACACATATCGGAAGTGCTGTGGGCGATCTGCGGCACTATGTAACCATTGATCCACGGCGTTCAGATCACACCACGACACACATGTCGACACAGCCCCGCTCGTGGGCGCGCTCGCAGTCTTCATCGACAGGCGATTCGGCAGAACTGGCGCGGCGACAAGTGCAATTCTACTTGTTCGACAATCAGCTGACGCGTTTGCCCAGCGCGCTGTTTCAATTGACGAATCTTGGCGTGCTATCTCTGCGCAAGAATCAACTGACGCAGCTGCCACCTGCCATAGGCGAGTTACGTCACCTGCGCGAACTGAATATTGGCGGCAATGAACTCACATACTTGCCGGCCGAGATCCAGCAATTACACCTTGACACATTCACGTATGTGCCGAATCCGTTTCGGCCTGTTCCTGCAGGTGCCGTGCTGCAGACACGGGCTTTGTATGGCCATATGAACGTGTCACCCACGCACCACTCGACACAGCCCCTCGGACCTTCTGCTTCCCTGCGATGGAGTCGTGCTCATACGTTAGCGACGTCTGTGCTGGACACAGGCCATGGCACTCATCACGGTCCACGTATTCACATGGCACGCGTGCTAGGTCGTTGCGAGCCGCAAAGCAGGCCATCCCTTGCGGCGTTATGCATCCAGCGATTGCTGAGCGAAGAGCCCCTGATCATTGAGCAGTACGAGACCGGATGTCTTCGCTCGCTGCAACATACGCTCGACGTACGTGTCGTAGCGCAACTTGAGGCGGCTCGACGCAGTGCGACGGCATCGTGGGGTGCTCAGGTCGATGTACAGGCATCCACTGGGGCAGGTGCCGGTCTAGCTGGGACCAAACGAGAACATGCCGAAGAACGTTGGTACACTGGAGCGTCATTTCATGGAGGAGACGCGGTATCCGTGGATGGTGCTGTTTCTTCAGCGGCACCGGGCGTGTCAACCGTGGATGTCGACAGCATCCTGGAAGAGTCCGATGACGCGTGCAAGAATGTGTGGTTCAATCGATGTCCGGGCGTAGGTGCGCATGACTTGCGTGGTGCCTCTGGCATGAAAGAAGACACCGACGATAGCGACTGGCCCATCGATGACGGCAAGGGTCCCCTTTACGTGCATGCAGCCGAGCAGCGCATGGAGTGGGTATCGCATGTTGCTGGTATGCGAGTGGCTAAGCAGGGTATCGAGATGGCAGGCGATTCTGTGCGCGGCATGCCAGCGGAACATGCAGGCTTGTTACCGATCTTGTGGCGTGGCTGCAGTCCTGGATGCCTCGCATTCCTTGAGCAAGCCGGCTAGTCCGATCAGCTACCTGGTGTCCGGAACTCTTGCGCACGATGGGCGTCAATGACGCGCTGACGTGCGGCGCGGCGCGCTGCTCCGACGCTCATGGAGGTCGTCGGTAAAGGTCGCGCTGAATTCTCACGATGTGCCTTGGTTTCTTCACGCAAAGTGCGAAGCTCCTCTTGCTGTGCCATACGTGTCGCTTCATCGCGAGAAAAGCGATAAAATGCCGCGCCTCGTGCGCGAATATCCTTGTCAGCATCAAAGTGTAGAGGCTCTGTATCTCTAGCGATCCGTGTATCTAGCAAGGGAATGTCCCGCTTGTACACAGGAAACGAGGTGGCTGGTCCGTAGATCGCTTCGGAATCTGATGGACGCTGCATAGACTCATGCGAGCCGTACACAATGGCATCATCGGGCCGCAAAAATTCACGCGGGATGCTGCTCTGCTTCGCCGTGCGGACACGGCCAAATTCATCGGTGTACTCGACCATCGGGTCGTCTTTGTCGTCTACGTCGACATCACGGTCATGATCAGAATCGGGATCCAGATCGTAGGAATTATCCTGCAGCTCTTTTGCATCCCAATCGATGAGTCCATCTTCATGGATACCTAATCCCTGGGATAGTTTGCGATACCGCACAGACTTTCGCTCAAGCGCTTGTTGCGATGTCCGTAGACGACTTTTGTGCTCAGCATGCTCTGCCTCTCTGCGAGCGCGACGCTCTGACGCCAATGAAGAAGGCGGCGGTATGGAATCTGATCGCATTCGTAAGCGCCTGTCTTCGACGCGTGGTTGACGTTGTGTCGCACTTTGAGCGCGTGCCTTGGCCGCATGCAGCTGGGCACGAAGGCCTGTGATGGAGCTAGCGTCTCGAGGCGTTGTCATTGGCGGCTGATGCTCGAGAGACCAGCTAAACCTTTAGGCGTATGAAAAGCAAGGAAGAATTGGAATGGTTATGGTACAAGTGAAACTGTGGTAATAAGTTTCACTTCAGGAAAGCGTCTTCGAGGCGTAATGAGCTGCACTTGTCGAGGTGCATGGGTAGTAGTGTGTGCCTGGAGTGTACGTGTGGAGGAGGGTGTGGAACATCCATCGGGCGCCCGATCGATCATCTCAAACGCGCGTCTACTTACCTGTCAGATGGGGCCATCGCTGTGCAGTCGAGCGGTGCTGCCGTTAGCGACGATGAGCGCGAGTCACGCCCACGAGCAGCGTCAGGACCGACCTCCGATGGAGTTGGAAGTCTCTTCAAACGGGAGGGAAGGATCTTTTGCTCAAATACCTTTGCCGAGCAAAAGGCAGCATACGAGAGAGCCTCTTGCTGTGCCCAAAGACACGCTGGAGGCCTGGCATGAAGCGACAGTGTCATCGCTTTCGCTCTTACCTGTGGCATGTGTAGAGCCAAATGCAACCGTTCGAACGGCCTTAGCAGCCTCACGTGCACATCGCGGACAAAGTGTGTTGATTGCTGAGCAAGGGTACCTCAGGGGATATGTGGACCTGATTGACTTGGTATCGCACGAGACGCAAGGGTCGCTGGACGATCTAGTGCAGGACATACAACATCGTTTTGTGCCTTTATCCGATGGCACCTTTCGTGTTATTCATGCAGGCACGCGCCTCGCGGAGGTGGCTGTCTTTCTGGAGTCTGCTCCCCTTGCTCTCGTGTCAGATGAAGCAGGCACGCATATTACGAATGTGGTTGAGCGTGGGGATCTCATGCGATATGCCGAAACGAGTGGCATGCATGCGCCAGGGGGAATGGAACAAGAGACGTCTATGCCAAACAGGAATGACGAAGAGTCACGACGCGATCGATCACTTGTCGATGTGCTACGGAGACTGGACGGCTATGCGCCCCTCATTCCTGACGAAGTAACAGACTATTACTTGGAGCGAGCGGGTTTCCAGTGTGAAGATGTGCGCTTGTACGTATAGAGAACGAAGAGCTGAGAGTGGGGATGTGTGTGTGTGTGTTTGGAGATGACTTACATTGTATGCTATATGCATGATAGGAAGCGCCTCCTTGCTCTTGCAACGGAAAAATTTGTTGCCGATATTGCGTCCGACGCGTTTCAGTATGCTCGGATCCGCACGAATGCAGGTCCTGCTCGCAGCAGCCGCCCTACGCGAGTACGTATTTACACAAACATATCACACTCACATCTGCAGGACCGCGCACGCACTGTGCTCACTATGGATGATCTGAGTGCGGCCTTAGGCGAGTATGGGATTGATGCAAGACGGGCGGAAACGTTCCGTTAACCTCGATCGATGTGAATAAGATGTGGCAGATCGATTGTGTCTGAGAACGTGGTTTGAACGCCTACCGCAGCGCAAGCTTACATAAAAGAACACGAAGTGCTGCCCCATAGCCCCCTTCTTTCCATTCCCATTTCTAGTCCTATTTTCTCGTGTCGTTGGGGGGCAGGGCACGCGCATAATAGTCGACACATACACACCCACACTCATTCACACCTTCGGCCTCGTTGTGAATTGTTCCACACACCCCCCCTGCTTGGGCAACAAGCATCTGATTCTTTTTCTTCTCGCCCCAGCCCAGTCTCTTCCCCACTTGACTCGGAAGATCGTGTGCGTAAAAACTGCGCGGCGTGTGAGCGAGTGATAGAGTGATAGAGTGAGTGAGTAAGCGTGCAGGGTATCGACTGCGGACTGAATGGCTTCCAACATGTCAACGCTGGAATCGTCGTCTCGAGGGGGATTTTCCCCGCTGGGTTCTATGTTTCGCTCGATGGAACCAGGTTCGTCTGAGTTTGATGCTTTCATTCACTCGGACCTGTGTGCGGGTTCCAGCGGATCCCAGGACGTTGGCGGAATGAACTCGTTTGCTTTTTTGCCCTATGCGCCTCCCTCCTTGTCTAAGCAGGATGAGTCCGCTGCTGTTCTGTCCTTATGGCCAGGTGCCTCGGGGTCTACAGCATCATCCACTGCTTCTATGATGCCTGCTGATCCACCGTCGTCGGGAGCTGCATTGCGTATGCCAGAGAGCTCGTTTTCACAGTCCTCGCTGTGGGCTTCAGCCTCCGCTTCAGGTACAGGCTCTCTAGGTCCTTCCTCTTGTGAAAGGAGCTCAGGCCTGGGATCAGCCTCGGGTGCTGAATCCACATCACACGCGTCGGCGTCCTCGTCTTTGCCTATCGACGCTCTCGCCACTCCTGCGCCACCGGTAGGCGGCAGTGCTCATGTACCAAGGGAACATCATGACGAATCACCTATATCGGCGAATGTGTCACGGCATCAGGACGGCATGTCATCCATGTCGCCTGGTAGCAGCGCCTATCCTCCTGGCCAAGGTGCATACATGATGAGGCCAGGTGTTGCGCAGCATGCATCGGCCTCACGATCCGCTTCGGTTAGCGCTGAAGCCAGTCCAGCACTCAGGGCAGCACCAGCTTCCACATCAGCACCTACATCGGCGTCAGCAGTTGCATCGTCTATTCCAGGTATACCCTCGACCGCGCGCTCGCTGGATTTACCCATCAAGGGTGAAGATGATGTTGGGACCTCTCCCTCTCCCTCAACCTCTTCCATAACCACAGCCAAAACCACCAACACAGCACCTCTCAGTGCATCCACTACGGCTTCGACCGTGCTCGCGGGGCTAATGGGTGAAGGAAAATGCATGCCCTTGCATGCACCTACGAGCAATGGTTCCTCCTGGTTTCATGGGATGGAACAGAATAATGCTGTGCTTTCGGGGCCTCCGCCCACGAAGCGATCACGATCGTCCGAGTCGCCAGAGCGAAAGACGCGCTCGGTCAGTGCTATGGATCCTGGCTCGATGGATCCCACGCGAGCGCGTGTGCTGCCGCCGCCGCGCCGCTCTGCCTCTACGGGGGCTCGGCGTCCGCCGCCGTCTGCGTCGCAAGTGACAGAGTCAGGGCTACCGTTCCCTGTGATCGACACATCGGCGAAGCATTCTAGTCTGTTTGTGCCGCCTGATACGTCGGGCCTCACGAAAAAAGAAGCACGACTTGTCAAAAACCGTGCCGCTGCCTTTCTCTCGCGCCAACGGAAGCGAGAGCAGTTTGACGAACTTGCGTCCAAGTGCCGCTCGCTCGCGCGTCTTTCTTGGCTGCTGTGGGATGCGTTGGGTCATGCGACGATGGAGCCCGCGTCGCGGATGGCTATGATGGCAACGCATGGTGGGATAGAGCAGGTGATCCAAACGACGTTGCTGCGTGACAAACTCAAGTATGAATCAGAGGATGTATGGACGACGCTACAGCAGGTAGTGCAGCAACATGGTTCCATGATTGTCGAAGGCATCATGGGTGACGACGTACCACCACTCAAGACAAGGACTAATGAAATGGTGGCTCAGTTGGCTGCCACGCAGAAAGAGTGCGACGAGCTACGCGCAGAGGTACAGCGTCTTCAGAGTGGGGCCATGGCGACAACGCCGGCGCAGGCATTTTCATCCGGTGACATCAAGGCACTGCCAGGCTCGCAGATGCGGGCGTCTCCGATCCAGTCGGCAACAACACAGATACCCGGACAAGGACCAGGCAGCCTTGTGTCGATGCCGACGAGCGGCGCCTCTCCTGCGGCTGAATCACTCGTGCAGCTTGTGGGGCGAGCCCTCATCCAGCTTCGCCATGCAACGCCGGACTGCGATGCGCATGAACTCTTGCCTCGTGACGATGGTTCACTCCAGTTGCGGATGAGCGTATCGCCGACAAGCGATGTGTTGTTGTGCACACTGGCGTCAGAGTCGGGCGGGACAGACTCATCTGTGCATGCTGACGAGTTGGATGACAAGCAATGGCGTTGTTCTACACCCATCGAGTCCAGTGAGGCGGCATCTGTGCCGTCGCTCAGCACCAGCACGTCCCCGTCACTGTCATCGCTGTCGTCTGGGAGTGCATTTTCTCGTCGGCATCGGCATGTCATTGCTTATTACACAGGCACAGAGCGCTCAGCTTCGTTTATGCACGAACTTCATGCGCTTGACCTGAATGAATGGGTGTCGCAGTACGGTACGGCTTTGGGTGGGGGCCAGCCTGACCATATATCCCGTGCAGTCCAAGACTTGCACACACGCCTCCTGCAGCGTCGTTTGGGCGTGCAGCCAGGTTGTTTCTTAGCTGCATCCTACGAACACGATGCGGGCAAAAATTCACCTTGCAGGTTGACGTTGTATGCGAAGTGTGTGGCGACACCGGAGTCTATGGAGACGCACGCCCACTTTGTATCGGCTGTGCGCGACACTCTGGGCGCGCTGCATCATGAACCTACGCAGACATCATAGAAATATGAATTAAGTTGAAACAAAAAAGCAATCCAAAAGAGAGAGAGAGAGAGAGAGAGATGAGAATGGTTCCCTAATCCAGTGCGCTCACATCGTGTCGAATTCTGATTTTGGGTACAAACTTGCGCTACGGGATCTCCGATAGAACCGGATCGTTGGCTAGTGCGTGAGGGTGAGCCTGACTTGAGCACGAGCAGGAACGTGCCGACCAAAATAGACGCCTTTACTCTTGTCATGCTCGATGGCTTACGCGCCTCCTTTCTACCAGGTACGTCGGCGTAGGCGGGTTCAGAGGCATTTTTGCATCGTCAACACAACGGATGTGCACGCAACTGGGGCAAGCTAATGCAATACCGACGGGGCACGATGGGTCGACGACAAGAAGTTCGTGTGGATGCATAATTCCTCAACTCATGCATCGGGCGTCTCACGTTCCTATCCGTTTGTCTGCGCGCGTGCATCTATCTGTAGTAGAGCTTGAGAATCTCTCAAACACGCCTCTTTCCAACACTCTCGGCTCGTGATCCAACTGGAGAAGGAGAGGGAGGAAAAAAGGGAGCAAGACAAAGAGAGAGAGAGAGTGTGTGTGTGAGTGAAAGAACGAACGAGTGAGCTGGAGAGCAGCGGAGTCTTGTGAGCCATGGATGTCGATATGCGGGATGGCACAAGAGTGTCGCGGAGCGCGCGACGTTCAGCGAACAGGCGAAGTGCACCATACTCACGCGAAGTGAACATCAAAGGGTCATCGGCACCGACGACCGTTATTGTCGCGAATCTCGTCAAAGGCACGTCGCCTGAAGACGTACGACTGACTTTTGAGCCCCTGGGCCGCTTGGTGCATGTGCGCCACTACTCGATGCCGAATCTGGCCAGCAATGCCGTGGCTTTTGAAGTGGCATTTGAGCAGCGATCAGATGCTCTGGCCGCGTGCCAAAAGTATGATGGTGTGCTTGCAGATGGACGTGTGCTACAAGTGACAAATCGCAGTGTGGCCCGCCCAAACCCGGTGCGCTGGCGCCGACCGGCGCGATATTGCCAGGGGGCCGGGAGCTGGCCACCGGGGTGGAAAATCTGTTTCGGGCCCATCACGTAGCAGGGGTTCCAAGAGGCAGAGCTCGGGCGCAGAAAGAAGCGCCTGCTGTCTCGGACCGGTTCGAAGCTGAGCAGCTTCCGCTGCCGATTCTTCGTCGGCTGGCACAGGCTGAGGCGAAGTATCTTGCTGAGACGGAGCGCATCCTGCGCGATAAGGACGCTCCTGCAGCAGCAACGACGAGTGGCAAAACCCCCTCTCTGAAGGACCGCCTGGGAAGTCTGCCTCTTGCCCAGCGTCTAGCGATGACTGGTCCTAGTGGTCCGCAGTCTGCCCCCGAGAATCTCTCCAAGTCAGCGAGGCGCCGTCGCGCGAAGCAACGGAATCGCGCTTCGGCAACGCAAGCCAGCGGCGGCATGGATGTTGAGCAGGCATGAAATGAGCCATATGAGGCGTCCTGTGGCAGGAGAGCATCGCTGATCACCGCGCACGAGGTACTAGTGGCGCGTTGCGCGCATTGTGCTGCCACCCGCCTGCTTTGCTGTATGCACCAACGAGGACACGCTTCACAGCGAGAGATGCTAGAATGGAGCAAGCTATGTCGAAAGAACTAGGAAGAGGTATCATCGGCAGCCGCTTCAACAAACTCGCGAGCCTGCGTACGAGTGATCTCGACGATAGACGACACTTTTTGCTGTCCAAATAGCACGCCATAATGCTGATCACCACGCTCAACGAGCTCTGGGCGGAACGTCGTCGTGATGAACTGTGCATCTCGTGCCAGCGCATGCACTTTTTGCGCGACGGCTGTGCGGTACTGCGTATCCAGGTTTGCATCGATCTCATCGAACAGGTAGAAAGGAGCTGGATCGCTCTGCTGGATTGCAAACACGAGTGCCAGTGCCACAAGCGACTTTTGTCCGCCAGATAGCTGTGTCATCCTCATGCGCTCCTGGCCTGCGTGGAACGACACGTCCATCGATACGCCGATGCCGTTGTGCATCACCAGGCGGCCACGTCCTCCTGGCACAAGCTCGGCAAAGATCTCTGTAAAATGCGCTGCGACCTGATGGAATGTCGCATCGAGCGCGGCAGCTTTTCGTGCGTCCAGCACCTCGACGAGTTCGTCGATCGACGCATGTGATGCAGCCAAGTCCTTGTGCCGCTGCAGAAGCGTGTCACGCTGTTTGGAAAAGCTGTGGAACTGCTCGACAGCACGCTTGTTGACATGTGCGACTTCGTCCAGCGAGGCGCGCACACGCTGCAGTTGTGCTGCGAGTTGCTCAGTCGAGCGTTTCTGGTATTTTTGGAAGGCCTCTTCTGGCAAGACGCCCAGATCTCGAATGCGCTCGTTGATGCGTGAGCGCTGTTCTTCCATCCGCTGTTTGCGCGCAGCCCAGCGCTCAGCGGCAACATGCTGTCGAGACACGTCGTCAGCTTGCTCATCGCTGGTGCCCCTAGATGCATCCATGGTCTTTTCAAGTTCTGCAAGCTCCGCTGCGAGTGTGTCGTACTGCTGGTTCACAGCCTCTCGTCGCGCGGCATTTGTCGCGTGGCTCTGTTCTAGGGCAGCTGCGGTTGCACTGGAAGGCCGATCGTCCATACGGTCGAGACGCGCTTGCAGTGCATCGAACGTGCGGCGCAGGCACTCGTCCAGCTCGCTGCGCAGTGCGCTAGTCGATTCACTTAGAGCAACGGATGTGCGTGTGAGTGATGCAAGTGTCTCTTCGCTGTGTTGCTGCTGGGCAAGAAGCAAACGCAGCTCCTTGGCTTCGTGCGTATCAAGGCCCTGATCGAGGGGTGAGCCGATCTCCGCTTCGAGTACTTGGCGCCGCGTCTTGAGAGCGGTGTGCTCGACGCTACGCTCCGACACGGCCTGCTCCAAGCGCTCTTTGCGTGCGAGGGAGTCGGACTCTGAGCGTCGCAGCCATGTCAGCTCATGCTGAGATGCGGCGCGTGATTCCTGCAGCTGGTGCCGCTGCGCCTCGAGGCGCAGCATATCGCTGTACATCTGCGTGACTCTCTGCTCGAGCTCATGGGAGTCTTGCCGCTGTTGTGTGAGCTGTGCCTCCAAGACATCCACTTCGCCGAGCCAACGCTGCACACGGCGCACTGCGTCCAGTCGCGACCGACTCGGGTCATGAAAACCGCCACTAAGCGCACCACGGCGATCCACCTGGTCGCCATCGAGTGTGATGGCATTCAAGCCCTGGCTGCTCCGCACGTACGCAGCCGCAATGTCCAAGCGCGGGCATATGATTGTCTTGCCAAATACCTGCTTGAATGCAGGCAAGAGGTGCTCGTCGAACGAAAGCTTGCGCAGCATTACGACGGCATCTGGCGCGTGTGGATACTGTGTGTCAGGAGGACGCAATCGATTCAGTGGCATGAACGTGACACGGCCACTCTTCTCCTGTTGCAGCAGGCTCAAGAGCGTGGTCGCTGTCTCGTCCGTATCGACCACAATATGGAAAAGCGATGCGCCGGCCGTGGCTTCGACGGCCGTTTTATACCGCTCATCCACACGGAAGAGCTGGTACAGTGGTCCGTAGACACCTTGCACCTGCTCGCGAGCGACAATCGTCTCGACGCTTTGCAGGCCAGCGGCCGTCGCGCGGTCCATCATGCCGACGAGGTTGCGCTGCGCGGTGCTCAGTTGGTCCTTAGCGTGCGTTAGCTGCGACGATGTCTTGGTCTCTTGCTTCCACAGCTCCTTTTTGTGCTCAAGGAGCGCATTGCGCTCGTCGTGCAGTGTGCGCCACTGTTCCTGCATGGCAGCGAGTGTTGTGCCGCGATTTGCGAGCTGCTCTTCGAACTCACACCGTTCCGCGGTGTGCTGTTCGTGCTGAGCCTGGGCGGCCGCGCATGCCTCTTGCGCCTCTTTGGTTGCTGCGTCCAGAGATGCCGCTTCTGTATCGAGCTCTGCCAGTTGCGCCTGGAGAAAGGCATCGCGCTCTTCGATGCTGCTAAAGCGTGCAGCATGAGCCTGCTTTGCATACAGCGCCGACATGCGCGTGCGATCGCGCTCAAACGCCGCACGATGCGACTCGAGCTCCCGCATTACACGCACATGCTCGTCCGTTTGTGCCTGCAGCTGACTCTCGCGCTCGGCCATGGTGGCACGCAGGGTAGCAAGTTGTGATTCAAGCGCTGCACGGCCGCCGTCTGGCATGTGATCTAGATCATCGAGCGAGTTGTCCAATTGCGCTTGCGACCGAGAGAGTTCACGACGCTCCTGCTCGAGCTGTGCTTGATCCAAGGACACCTGCTCAAGCTGCTGGAGGAGCTGAGAATGCCGTGCTTCTCGCTCAGCACGCGCTTGATCGTAGCGGGCCCATTCTTCGCGCCGGGTGTTGGACTCGTCGACGTCGCGGCGACGTTCATTCTCGAGCTGTTGCGAGGAGTAAGTGCGTGAGCTCACTGGGTTGCACGTACCGATTCCAGCATCTCTGAGACGTCAGCCAGCTCGCGCTGGTAGATTGTGTACTCCAAGCATCGGCGTTCGCGATCGCGTGCGTAAAACTTTTCCAATTCACTTTGCTCTTTCGCGAGCTCGTCAATGCGTGCATCTAGCTGAGCGAGTAGGTCCGCGGAGCCATTATAGCGCATGTCTGTCGTCCGGAGGATCTCCAAACTCTGCGCACGTCTTTGTTCGTAGACACGCGTGCCAGCGACATCCTTCAGGAGGTCCAGCCGCTCGGCGTCTGTCGCATTGGTGAGGTGAGTAATACGGCCCTGCGGCACGATGTAGTATGGGTTGTTGGTACTGAAACCGGCAGATTCGAGCAAATTTGTAACGTCCTGCCTTGTCGCACTCTTGCGGTCAATTAGAAAATCGTCGCGTGTGAGACTAATCGTACGTCGCAGCACGACTTCGTCGCCATTCGCGGGGAAGCGGCCATCGTGATTATCAAATGTCACTTCCACATAGGCCGAGAGAGTCGTCGAGACCGCGCCTGAGCCATCATAGAGGAGCGCCTGTCTCTCTTCGCGCGAAAGCGATGCGTACGCATCGCCCAGGACGAACCGGATCGCAGCGAAAAAGTTGCTCTTGCCACTGCCATTGCGCCCTACAACGACATTCAGCCCGGGACTGAACGACGTGATGCTGTCGGCGTCGCGGAACGATTTGAATCCATGGATTTTTAACGCCTGCACGATGCATGCGTAAGTATATCTTCGCGGTTCGGGGCATCATCATCAGGCACGAGTCTCTCGGCACGCGAGGCCCCATCTCGCGCGCTCATTCGCTGGTGCACATACCTTGATGAACATCGTCCACGTTCGCTGTCCTTTCTACGTCGGTGCGACGGACCAAGAACCAAACGAGCGGACGAGCACTAAGCAGCGGCTTTGATGCTCACCACCAGTCCCTGTCTCCCCAAGTATCGAAATCGCCACACGCTGCTGGCTTACGCGTCCTACACAACTCGCTGCGCGTACGGGCGTTTATATGTATGTGTCACACGCTACTCAGTCGATGTGTGGAGGCTGCGTGTGTGCGTTTCATCACGTGATCAACTCTCTCGCCTATCTCCCCCCCTCTTCCCTCGCGGCCTGCCGCGCACGAGTTGGGCGGCCGTTGTTGCGTCCGTTGTGACAGGCGATCTGGCGGCGACGGAAACTCCCTGAGGTCGTCACCATCCCAGTAGCTCCACCAACTGTGACAGATTCTCGAACATGAAGCAGTCGCTGCTTCTCGATAGGTGGGTGAGCATCGGAGAACGTATGTACACTTACACGCAGCGACTTGCGCAATTGGGTACTGTTGCCCATCACGCTGGTCATGGTGCTCGTGGGCATGTTCCGCAACAATTTGATGCAGCTGTTTGAAGGCAAGCCCAAGCTTGCATCATTGGCAGCCTCTCGACAGCAGTATGTGTGCGGAAAGTGGCGCATAGTGAAAAAAAAAATACGAAATACAGATAATGCGCCCATGATGGAATGGATGGTGCTGACGTGTATGCAGAAATATATTGACGCGTGCTTCCGCTTTGCGTATGAACTATCCCATGATTCCACCCGCCTCGGTCGGTGCTCGTAAGACGTTTCTGGCGCGTGTGCTGACGGACGGGTCGTATTTGGATCCGGAGACGAAGCGTCTCCAGGAGAAGGCATTGAATCGAAAGCCCGATGAGATGCCCGAGAGCCCCTTTAACAATGAGGCTATGATGGAAAATATGATGGAGCAGGCGAAGAGGAGCCTGCTGATGATGGTGCCGCAGACGATGATTATGGGTTGGGTCAACTTCTTCTTCACTGGCTTTGTCCTAAGTACGTATGGGAAACATGCATGTCTCTTCGTTTACCCGTTCTTCTCACACGTTCAGTTCGTTTGCCATTCCCGCTGACGCAGCGATTCAAGGTGATGCTCCAGCGCGATATCGATACGGCTGATCTCGACGTGGCATGGGTATCGTCACTAAGCTGGTATTTCTTGAATCTGTACGGTCTCGATGCGATCTACCGCCTAGTCATGGGTAATACGCGCGCGGCTGATTCCATGCGTGATGTGGCTGCGTTTGGTGGTGGTGCCGCGCTCTTGAACAACCAGCAGATGCCCGGTCAGCAAGTAGATCACGCAAAGCTACATGTCGCTGAGCGTGAAAGTCTTAAGCTGATCGGCGCTGTGAATGTAAAGGGTGTCAAATGGGTTGGTGACGGCATCGAGGCGCGTGTCCTTGGTCTGTATGGCCAATCGTAGCTAATAGAAGAAATGCATGAGCATGCTTTTATGGACGTATGTCTACATGCGGGTAGCATTTGTGATCGGATGGCATGGCTGACTGATCGCGCCTCGTCCATGTGAGCAGCCCATTGCTGGCGCTGCGATGCTCGCCTGCTTGGCCGCTTTCTGTTGGGATGGGCTCAACGAGTGTAGCGAGTCGGTTTCTCCACAAGCACACGGCCGACATTGACTAGTGGTACGTGTGCACGTGGAAACGGACGAGTAAGGGAGGGCGGAGAGAGAGAGAGAGAGAGAGAGAGAGCGAGAGTGTATGTGTGTGTGGAGAGATAGGGAGGGGCAATGAGGCGGTAAGACCGCTTCAACGGTCAAGTTCGACCTTTACGCCCACGGCCGTGCGTTTGGGCGGGTCTTGACGTAGTACCACTACAGTGCTCCTTGAGAACGCAAAAAAAATGAGCTGGCTCGATCGATCAGAGCATAAACTTGATGGTGGATACTGGGGCGAGGCAACCACGACGCTCCTTTGGTGTGAACGCAAGTACGAATGGTCGAAGTATGTGGCAGAGCCAGTGAACACGGTACGTAAGAGACAAAGTGCCGCTGAGGGATTGTTGGCCGTTATGATCGGAGACTTATGCGTCGCAGTTCACGAATCTGCTGTTTTTTGGCGCTGCTATTTATGCAATGTACCGCGTACATACGGAGCGTCTCGCGAGTCGATTTTACCTGTGCTCGCTTGGCGTAGGTGTCGTAGGCTTCGGCTCATTCTTGTTCCACATGACGCTAAAGCACGAGGCGCAATTGCTCGATGAGCTCCCGATGATCTGGGTCGGTACACTCCTGACGTGGTCTATGCTGGACCAAACACTATTCTTTGGTTGGCGAGTCAATAGGCTAATACTGCCGACGGTCTTACTCTCGCTCGTGGTGTGGATCACAGTCACGTACGTTACGAACGGGGACCCAGTGTTTCACCAAGTGGCGTATGCAAGCATTATGACGGTCTCGATCACGCACGCGATCTTCATTATGGTGCATCCAAACGCGCCGCTGAATGTATCTGACTCGTCGCGGAGGATGCGTGCGGACGCACGCCGCCTGGAGCGTCAAGGCACTATTAGTTTCATCGTCGGTTTTGCCATCTGGAATGTGGACAACATTTTCTGTGGACGCCTGCGCGCAGCACGCGACGTTGTTGGATACCCATGGGCCATGCTCCTCGAAGGCCATGGTTGGTGGCATATCTTCACTGGAATCGGTGCATACTTGCTCGTCTTGGCTTGCGAAGTGATTACAATGTCGTACATGGAGCATCCAGACAACTTTGTCATGGTATACTCGATGTTACCATACCTGAAACGTGTGAAACCATACAATCCATCTCACACTCTGCTGCGTGACTTTTCTGCGAAAAAGCAGCCACTGCAAGACGCGGGCACGAAGAAGCAAAACTAAGAACATGGAAGCATGGACGCGCACAAGCAAGAAACCGGGTTTTGCCTTTGGATGGACGAGCATCCGCGTCCACGCCAATCATCATGCCCGTGATCCTCAACGTTTCCGGTTCTGCGCTGTGCACTCACCAGGCCACATGGTGTCGCATCAGTTCAGCCTTTGTCTCTTGCAGTTCTTTCTGCATAGCCTCCCGGGCCTGGTCCCAATCATCGTCAGCCTTGTCCATGTCTTCATCCACACGCTCTTCCTGCTCGTCCAGCGCATCTTCCTGTGTTGGTAGGAGCTTACGTGGCAGATAGTACACTTCGTAATCCGCTGTCAACATGGCGTTGTTCTCGACCGCTCCACAAAGCGGCACTTGTGGCACAATACGTGCGGCTGTGGTAGCTGTGACTTCCATCGCATCTCGAGGCGCCAGCGCATTTGAGTTGCTTGCATTCTTCTTCGTGTGAGTAACAAGAAACGACGAGAGCCGCCGCTTATTCGCACGTGCCATTCGATGAGCCATTTCAAAGGCCACGAGTGACTCTGCGAGGTCTCGCACACGCTGTGCCTTTTGACGCATGCTAGCCCGTTCTGCATCATGCCGACGGCGTTCTGCTTCGTGTGAATCCTGTTGCCGGGCTGATGCCTGCGATGTAGATGTTAGGGCGGCTTCCGGCGCCGATGGTGGAGACGAAACGTCCTGCCGTCTGTCCTGGTCTGGATGCGACGACGCATGGCGCGTTGGCGTTTGTGCATCGCGCGCCTGCGTTAGCGTCGAGTGCAGCATGCCAAAGAGGCGTCTTCCACGCTGACGCTCGTCTATACTGCGCCTAGCTCGCGGTGCTTGTGCTGAGGGAGGCTCAGACACGGGATTCGAGGCAGGTTCTGGCGCAAGGTCTGGGGCCGGCGCCATGTCGATGTTATCGTCGTCCATAATGTAGGACGTGCGTTGCAGTGAAAAGGAGGAAATGCGCTTGCACGCAGCGAAGAAAAGACGCTACCGAGAGAGAGAGAGAGAGAGAGAGAGAGAGGAGAGGAGAGGAGAGGAGAGGAGAGGAGAGGATATGGTAGAGAGCAGAGACTGGCTAGGTCGTTCAGACTGGTGGATTCAACAAAATGCCGTCGCTGCCGTTGCAGACCGCCGTCGCCGTCGCCGCCGTCGCTGTGCTGCGTATCAAGTTGCCCCTGCCTCAGACAAAAAAAGCCAGGGCGTGCCTGTGGAGGGAAGCGGCGCTCATGGCTGTCATTGGCATCTGTTCTTACATAAGCATGCACACTACCTCTCACGCTGGTGACGCGAGCGTGGACGAGAATCTGCGAGACACGATTTAACATATCCCCACTGGCGTTGTGGCGGCAGACGGGCTTGCAGACCCACTGATACTGGGCATGGACGAAACAGACACACTCTTCGGAACGTCGTCTTTGGAGAGTGCTGTGCATACGCGACGAACGGAGCCTGTACGGGAAGAGCCGACGCATGTGCTGTTCAGCACCGACGACGACTTTGATTTGCTTGGTGGAGACGATCTCGTGAAGCAGCCAGAGAGCGACGCATTCTCGGTGTTTAGTACGGCTGATGCACAAGCAGTGCCGGATGGTATCGCACCGAAGGGATCTTCGGTCCCTGCGCGACGATGGCTCGCTCACTGAGCAAGGACGACGATGCATGGAGCTTTATGGACCATGTGCCAATGCGGCCCATGGGCTCAAGTAAGCTCATTGAGGCTGATGACGACGACGAGTTCCCCGATGAGTCCGTCGATGCGTGGACCATGTCTCAAAGGCGGTCCAAGATGCGCCCTGGCCATGGCACGTCTTCGTCGGCCGCGTCTTCTTCTACACAGCGTGGCGGCAGCGGGGGTCGTGGACTTTCATCCTCCTCGACTAGCGCGCGTCTCCCCAGCACGTCATCTTCATCAGAGCCGGCTGCACCTGCGTCCAATGCGTCAAAGTTGATGCGCCTCCTCTTGGCTGATGCCAAATGGCAACTCACATCCATTCGACAGCGCTTGCGCCGGCAGATTCGGGCGTTGCGTGGCACTCCCATGGGCAGCGACAAGCGCCGAATCGTCTTGAATGATGCAGGCGCGAACGTGAATGACGAATTTAGCAGCAACCAGGTCATGACGAACAAGTACAACCTCGTGACGTTTGTGCCGGTGTTTTTGCTGGAGCAGTTCTCCAAGTATGCAAATGTATTTTTCCTGTTTATCGGGTGTATCCAGCAGATCCCTGGTGTGTCGCCCACGAATCGCTGGACCACATTAGTGCCTCTAGGAATTGTTTTGCTAGTCGCTGCAGCGAAGGAAATCGCCGAAGACTGGCGCAGGTACACGTCTGATATGGAGATGAATGCGCGTCTTGTGCCCGTGCTGGTCCACGACACATGGGTGCCGAGGGCATGGCGCGACGTGTGCGTGGGAGATATTGTGCGTGTGTCGCGCGATGAGTTCTTCCCTGCCGATCTGGTCCTGCTCAGCAGCTCCGAGCCAGAGGGGCTTGCGTACCTCAAGACGGCGAATCTTGATGGCGAGACGAACCTCAAGTGAAGCAGGCACTCCCGGCCACGGGGCCTCTGACGTCGGCTGCGAGTGTCGCAGCTCTGCGTGGTGAGCTAACATGCGAGGCACCGAACAACAGTCTGTATACGTTCGATGGGACACTTCAGCTGCCGGGGCATCCGCCACGGCCCGTGGGGCCGGACCAGCTTCTGCTGCGTGGCGCGCAGCTTCGGAATGCGCCTTGGCTCTATGGGCTTGTTGTCTTCACTGGCAACGACACCAAGCTGCTGCAGAATGCGACCAAGACGCCCATCAAGCGCACGCGCGTCGAGAAGCATGTGAACTCGCTGATTCTCTCGTTGTTCGTGCTGTTGCTGGCGCTCTCGCTCATATCCAGCATTGGCTCCCAGATCTACCTCGGATCTGCCCCCGCATATCTGATGACCCAGCTCGACACGCGGAGTGGTGCGCGCCAGTTTGTCGAATCGGTGCTTACGTTCATTATTCTGTACAACAGTCTGATTCCCATCTCGCTCATCGTGTCGATGGACGTTGTGAAACTGCAGCTGGCGAATCTGATCAACTCGGACCTGGATCTGTACTATGAGCCACAGGACACGCCTGCACTGTGCCGCCGCTCGAATCTGGTGGAAGACCTGGGACAGATTGACTATATCTTTTCCGACAAGACCGGCACGCTCACACGGAATGAGATGGAGTTTCGCCAGGCGTCCATCGCTGGCGTCGCCTTTGCTGACGCTGTGAATGACGCGCCTCCTGGCGAGCGGTACGCATGGGGCGACCTGCGCGAGATCCTGGCTCGTGGCGACACGCTTTCCCACAATGTGCACTCGTTCCTGTGTGTGCTCGCCGTATGCCACACAGTGATTCCCGAGCTGCGCGATGGACAGGTCGTGTTCCAGGCATCGAGCCCCGACGAGGCGGCGCTCGTCGCTGGCGCCCAGGCGTTGGGCTATGTGTTTACGACACGCAAGCCTCGCTCCGTGTTTATCCAGGTGCATGGCACAGAGCTCGTGTACGAGCTTCTGCAAGTATGCGAGTTCAACTCAGCACGCAAGCGGATGTCGACGGTCGTCCGCGAGCCGGATGGGCGCATCGTCGTGTATTGCAAAGGCGCGGACACTGTCATTCTGCCGCGATTGCGGCCCGCCCAGCCACATGTAGACGTGACGCTCCAGCACCTCGAGACGTATGCGTCTGATGGTTTGCGGACGCTCTGCGTCGCGTGTCGCCCACTCGAGGCGTCTGAGTACCAGGCATGGGCACAAAAGTACGAGGCAGCCGCTGCCCAGCTTGACGGACGCCAGGCTGCGCTGGATGCTGTAGCTGAGGAGCTCGAGCGGGATATGGACTTGCTGGGTGCGACGGCGATTGAGGACAAGCTGCAGGAAGGCGTGCCTGATACGATCGCGACGCTGCAGACGGCTGGCATTCACGTGTGGGTGCTGACGGGCGATCGCCAAGAGACTGCGATCAACATCGGGTACTCCTGCCGGCTCATCTCCGAGTCGATGAATCTGCTGATCGTGAATGAGGCCGCGGCCGCCGACACGGCAGCGGTGATCCACCAGCAACTCACGACGATCGATGCACATCCCGATGCCATCAACGAGCTCGCCCTGATCGTCGAAGGCCGCAGCTTGCAGCACGCTCTGCAAGCACCCGTGTCAGATGCTTTCCTCCGCCTCGCTTCCCAGTGCAAGGCGGTGATGTGTTGCCGAGTATCGCCCCTGCAAAAGGCGCTGGTCGTCGAACTTGTCAAGGCAAACACAGGCTCGGTTCTCTTGGCCATTGGCGATGGCGCCAACGATGTGGGTATGATCCAGGCCGCTCACGTAGGCGTCGGCATCAGCGGCCATGAAGGTCTGCAGGCGGCTCGCAGTGCAGACGTCTCCATCAGCCAGTTCCGGTTCTTGCGCAAGCTGTTGCTCGTGCATGGGAATTGGAGTTATGCGCGACTGAGCAAGATGGTCCTGTACTCGTTTTACAAGACTGTGACACTGTACGTGACCCTGTTTTGGTACACGTTCTACAACGGATTCTCGGGTCAGACTGCGTACGAATCATGGTCGCAGTCGTTCTACAACGTGGCGTTCACGATGCTGCCGACGCTGGTGATTGGCATCTTCGACCAGTACGTTAGTGCGAGGATGCTGGAACGGTACCCCCAACTATACCATGAACCATTTTTCACAGGGCGCGCAATTGGAGGATGGATGATCAACGCCGTGTACCATTCCATTGTGAATTTCTTTTTCGTTGCGTACATGTTTGAGGCTCAGACTGTCAAACATGATGGATACCCTGGATACCAATGGCTGTGGGGCACGACGCTGTACTTTTCTGTCCTAGTGACGGTGCTGGGCAAAGCGGCACTCGTGTCGAACCTTTGGACTCGATACACGCTACTGGCCATCCCGGGGTCGTTTGGTGTGACGATCGTCTTCTTTGTTGTATTTGCGACGGTAGCACCGGCTCTTGGCGTGTCTATGGAGTATTCTTTCATTGTGCCACGGCTCCTTGGCCTGCCTCGCTTCTGGCTCATAATCATCTTCGTCCCCATTCTGTCGCTTTTGCGTGATTTAGTATGGCGTTACTGGCAACGCACGTACCACCCCAAGTCCTATCACATTGTGCAGGAAATGCAAAAGTATCAGCTGCAGGACGTGCATCCTCGCACTGACGAATTTCGAAAGTACGTGGCGTTCATTCTAACACTTTCGCAGAAACATCCGCAAAGTCCGTGCTGTTCAGCGCATGCGCCGGTCGCGTGGCTATGCATTTTCGCAGACCGAGGGCGATCAGGCGCACCTCGTGCGGCAATACGACACGACCAAGGCTCGTCCTGCGGGCCTGTAAATTTGCCGGCAATACTTCTAGTTGACTGTTTTTAGTACGCTCCCTTGACTACTTAGTATCTGTATGTGTCATGATGCAATCAGTCCGTGACGACTCAATATCACGTGTATCCAATGACAGAGAGAGAGAGAGAAAGAGAGAGAGAAAGAGGAAAACGAAAGAGACAGAGACGAATGGGAGACAAAGTGTAGGGTGAGTGGCCAAGAACGTCAACACATGCGGGCATGTCAAGGCGGCGTGGTAGTTGGTGTATTCCTTGATTCGACTATCATTATGGCGATTTCTTGTAGCGTGATGCATCCAACGGGAAGAGCTGATCGAATTTTATCCGATCCAAGAACCATGGTTCCGTATCAGTATAGGGGAGTGACAGACGGTGCTCACGCGCGACGCGCTCCTGTGGCGAGGCGACGTAATTGGGCGGCACACCCCAGTCCGTCGTACCACGAATCACACGGCGCCACAAACTGCGCAAGCCGCGCTTTGGCGGCTCATGCACAAGGGAACTCGCTTCTGGATTCGCAGATAGCTGGAAAGCCAGACGTGCGTCGCCAACCCGCAACATCAGTGTATCCTGCTGATCGTACTTGGAAGATGTAGCTTGGTATCGAATGAGGTGCGCGCGTGTGGCCGGCGAGACCAGCTCTTTCTTGGTCTTGATCAGCTCACTCCATACCTGCATTTCGCTGCCTTCCGCAGAGCCTTGCAAGCGATACACGGCTTCTAGAGGCACGAGTCGCTCGCACCTGTCCGTCAAGGAGGGCAAGCCAGCTCGTTCAAAGAATGGTCGATTCCTGAGCGAGGAAGGCAGGTAGCGACTCGGTGCAGGAGCAGCTGTCCGTACTCCAAGCATCTGCTTGGCTGGGTATACAGTGAGACGCGTTACCATGCGGCTTGGTGCATACCAAAAGTACCATCCACACAACGACGCTATGAGCACGGTGCCGCCAGCGAGGGAGTACCGGATGCCTGGGCGCGCTAGTTCAGGCTGTGTGTCATCACTTGGGAGAAGTGGCCACACCAGAAAGTCACGAATGAACAGCCCAAAATTTAGGCCTGCCAACACGAAGCAAGCTCCGGCAATGTAAAAGTATGGTTTACGCATATACGAGCCGCCGCGGTAGATCACGCGCACGCCGTCGGCATGCGATTTGTGCGCTGCATGCGTTGCGAACGACCGCCATGCTGATGACCATGGAATCATGCCTGGCCGGCGACCGCAGGTCCACATCGTTATGAGCTACGACGAGAAGTGAAGAGGTGTGGACTGACGAAAGTTCACGAGGAACGTGCGTGCTAAGTGTAATGTGACTTGGCCTTGGCTGGAATCTCCCCATCTTCCATGTATAGAATGGGATGAGCTGTCGTCTGCTTACGTAACTTCCATGTAGGCGTGGAGCCCAAAAAAAATTTGATGAGACTGTTCCGCTCACACGTACGAACTCACGCGTGTTTGGCTTTGGTTTCATCGATTTTCACTTTGGGGGGGGGTGCGAGTTTGCATTTGTGGTGCATTGGGGGGTGATAAAGTTGTGACACAACCCACGAAAAAGTAAAAGAGCGAGAATAAGAGGTCTGAGCGTTAAGCCAGTTTGAAAGAGAGTCGCAGCGTTTTACAGGCATGAGCTCACAAAGTCCAGCAGGGAGTAATTGGGAATCCTTGCGCAAGAAACTGCACGGCTCACCGACGTCCTCCGTAGTGCGCAAAAAGCGATCCGCTCAGCAAATGCACACATTGTCTGCTACTACGAAGCAGTTACGACACAGCAAGTCGGTAGAACTACCCTCCAAGAATCCGTTGTGGTTCGCCGATGACCTGACGCCCGAGGATCTGGCGCTCGCCAAAAGCATACAAGCTAGCAAGTCGTCCGATTCGACTGCGTCAGAGACGCATGAAATATCACAGGCCCAGACGCAGGTACTTCAATGGGAAGGTGTACTTGATGAAAAGACTAAGCGCAGGCTCGTACTTGGCGAGCCTGTGAATCCGTCGCCGGCGAAACAGACCATTGGCAACTATGTGGCGATCGATTGTGAGATGGTCGGCGTCGGTCCACGAGGTACGGGAAGTGCCCTTGCTCGTGTATCGATCGTAAACTGGCATGGCCATGTTGTTCTGGATACGTTTGTCAAGCCGAAGGAACGGGTCACAGACTACCGCACGTGGGTATCAGGTGTGCGTCCGGGTGACCTAAAGAAGGCGCCGTCCTTCGCCACCGTTCAAGCACGTGTGGCAGACATCATCAAAGGCCGTGTGCTTGTTGGGCATGCGATTCAGAATGATTTGCGCGCATTGTTGTTGTCGCATCCGCGGCCGAAGATCCGTGACACGGCTGGGTTCAAGCCATTGCAGGAGTTGTCGGGCAACAAGAGCCCTGGTCTGCGGACATTGTCAAAACTTGTACTTGGCATCGAGATCCAGAAGCACAAGCAGGAACACAGCTCTGTCGAGGATGCACAAGCGACGATGGCTGTGTTCCGCACGCAGAAACGTGCATGGGATGAGCTGCTCGGTATTGCCAAGAAAGAGCCGGTGTCCAACACTGGCACCTCCATCACCACCACGGGCAGTGCTGCCACGACTGGCTCCACAAAGAAGGGTCAGCTGAAGCGTCGTGTGTCTTTGCCGTCGATGCAGGCACGACCCAAGGCAGCCGCTGCCTGGTGGGAAGAGGAGGAGCAAGATTACAATGTCCAGGCCACCTAGCTACCGATGTGTGCACTATTTCCAAAGAGGGACTTGTACATGAATGCCTCGCTGAGCAGCATTTCTGCATCATGATCGGACCAGTGCTGAGTCGGCAGACTTTGGAGGAACATGATGATGGCCTGAAAGTCCATCCTCAGCAGCTCTTTGCGCCAGCGATGCAGGAATACAGCGCACACGAATGGATGAAATTCGGAAAACGAGTCGGCGCCTTCGGCCAAGTATGTGTCCCATATGCGGATGATACTCTTTACACTCATTTCGCGCATGAGCAGGCAGTTCATCCAGCGGAACGAGAACTGCATGTACTCAACACCTTGCTCGGCCAAGTGCTCGTGAAGTGGCGCATCGATGCGCTTGACTACGTCGGCCATAATGCTCAGCTGCCGCAGAATCCCTGGCTGCGCAAAGATGTAATTGTCTTGAATGCCATCGAGCAGCTTCGACATGCACCAGAACGTATCGGCCTCGAGGGCCTGGCGCACGTAAAGGGGTAGCGATGCAAACTCGAACGTCTCGGGGTCGGAATCAATGTATGCACTCAGGAACACCTCAAAGAATGGCGTCACAAGATCGTTGATCCCCTGAACATAGCCTGACGCAGGATGTCGAATGGCCCAAACATACAGTATGCGCTCTAGAGCCCGCTGCGTTTCGGCCTGCTGCCAGAGCCGCAGGCCTGGATTCGTTCGCGGCACGTCGATGCGAATCTGGTGCCATGCCGCACGGTCAAGTGACTCTGTACCATGTGCAAATGCCCTGTCGACGCCCGACATGTACTCAGCCCGTTTCCTCGCGAGTGTCGCCGTGCGGATCGAGGATGTGGCTGGCAGATAGCCAAGCAAGAGGGGCCATACGATCGGGCGCAGATCGGACGGCACACCTTTCCAAGCGAGCGAGCGAAGCGCTGCTAGGTCAATGTTGTCATTTTGCAGGCATTGCTCGAGACGCTCTCGATTGCGGATGGTGCGTGTAGATGTGCGTCGTTCGAGGCCACTCTCCGCGTCGGCTGATGCAGCGCGTGAGGCAGGCGGAGGCGCGCCAGATGCCGGTGTTGAGGACGACGACAGCGGAGTATTTGACGCCGTGTTTCGTGCAGATGAGGTAGTATTGGATTTGGGTGCTGTAGATACGTAAGGGAGGGTCTCTGGAGACATAGGGGTGGTAAATACGCCGTCGTTCATCGTCGCAATAGGATCAAAGGCCGCTGCGCCGACCCAAGCAATGAGAAACGATTGAGCCACATCCTCAGTGGGCTGTGATGCTGGAGCGAGTGGCTCCTCTTGCTTCGGCGTGGCAGGCTGCGAAGGCGCGGGGATTGACATGGTATACGTGAGCATTTTTGATTTGGGTAGGAGGTTCAGAGGGTCTTCGACAACGGCCTCCAAATACCCATTTTTCCTCGTGTCGAGATGTGGTGACGTCGTCATGGCTATGCTACGCTCTGCCCAGTGGACGACGTGTCCATCAGCATCGTCTGTCGTGGCCGATGGTGAGACTATGCGCTGCGACGCACTTGCTGCAGCACCGACGCGCGGCGCTGCGAGACGTGCCGACAGTGTTGCGGATGTCGATGCATGTGGCGATCTCTCCAACGTACTCTCAGCTGCGCCGTACGGGACAGATGGTGTCCCTGATCTTGCATCTGCAGGATGTGCATCATACATGTCCGATGTCATGAGTGTCCATGCGCCATGCGAGGTGGGCGCCGGCGCCATGTAGTGTTGATGACGTTCAGCTGGTAACGATACTGGCTCTGTGGCAACACGTGTGACAAACTCATCGTCGTCTGAATTGGATGCCCACGCTTCGTCGTCGTCCCAGCCCTCACGTCGACCAGGTCGCGAAGGCGTCACGCGCACGCCTCGCGGCATCCTTGTCTCTGATTTTTGGCCGAGGAGTATGTGTCAGTTATGGTAACGGAACGACGCGAATGACAGGCACGCTTTACGACGCGCAGGCGCTTGTGTCGAATTGGCTTGTAGCGACTCCAACGACGTTCGCAACTGCCTCAGCCGACCAATGCTCTTTGACCCAAAAACCACATCAAGACGCACCTGCCACCCTAACTGATCACGTGGAATTGAAGCACTGACTCTGTGTCAGTTTCGACAACAACACCAAGGCATCTAGGCGGAGGGGGGTGCCCTAAAGCGATACGAAGCAGCACACGAGGTATGACAATGTGCGCATAAGGAACGAGCACAGTACATGGCTAGCACAACCGGACTCGTAGTATGAGGCATAGACCTAAGCTAATTCTGGGCACAGCCTATGTAGAGCAAAGTACGTGTAGCCGGGGGGGCAGGGAGCCAGGGCAGGAGTCTGGCAAGGGGAGTGGGTGCAGAAGATACACCCGGCCGGGGACAAAAAGGATGGGGGCAACATATGGTCCCTGGCGGAGGAAAGCATGTATGAACGGGGGTATCTTAGCGCATGAGCAAATACACGTTCGAACCAACGGTGATCTTGCTCAAATGGCGAAAAGAGCCCGTCAGTGCCATCAGGAGCCCACCAAATGAACCGTACACCGTCACCTGCTCCGTGCTGCGCTCGTCATATTTAAAGATCTGCGCATCGTGTGTTAGCGGATGGCGTTCTGGCACAGCAAGACGGAACATGGTCAAATATATACATGCATATATATATATATATCATGGACCGTCTCTTTGACCGTTGGCGTAAGCGTACCTTGCCGTACATGACATAGTCAAAGCCCTTCGCGAGTGAATTGTCGTCCTGATCAAGACGCCACGCATCACGATCGGCTGTGGCATCACTCTCTGCCTTGTCACGTCGGAGCGATGACACTAGCAGAAAAGCAAGCTGTTGCCCAACATGAACAGGGTAAATGTCCGTCGCGATGTCGAGGGACAACGTCATGTCAAGTGTGGGTGACGATGCGATAACCCGCGACACTGTGCGTTAGTAGTTTGGTTCGGAAAGCTGGGCTAACTCAACCTACCGCGATCAAATTTCTTTCCATCTGGATCAATGTCTTTCACCACAAACTGCGTATCAAACAGGCTATTCGTACTCATAACGGCAGAGCTTGATCCTCTCAGAGAATCTGCGTATATGAAAACGTGCGCGTGTGTGTGTATGCGTGCGTCGTAAGCGCGTGTGCCGTCCGAATTTTCATTCAGAATCGACTCGGATCCAGCCCATGAGGGCGCCTGCATCACGTGATACGCACACTAGATGCATGCTACCAACACGAAGACTGCTACTAGCGCGAATGAGAAAGATGATGATGGTGCGTGGTTCCGAGACGTTCGTGCGCGCGTGAGCGAGGCATTTGCGTGGCCACCAGAAAATGAAAAGCATGTACTTGAACCGTATGCGTACCTGGAGCAATTGCCCGGTAAAGAGTTCCGGTCCAAACTGCTTGACGCGTTCCGCGTGTGGCTCGACGTGCCCGAGAATGCATTGGAGCAGATCAAGGGCATGGTTCGTCGTCTGCATAATGCGAGTCTGATGATGGACGATGTCGAAGATCAATCAGAGATTCGACGTGGTGCACCTTCGGCACACGAGGTGTTTGGGATTGCTCAGACCATCAACACGGCGAACTACGTGTACTTCCAAGTTCTCGCAGACATGGCACAACTTGAGCCGCGTGCACTGCCCGAGCTCATTCACGAGCTCGGGTGGCTGCACCGTGGTCAAGGCATGGAGCTGTACTGGCGCGAGCATGTCGAATGTCCGTCGGAAGAGGCGTATGTTGATATGGTCATCCACAAAACTGGCGGTCTCTTCCGGGTGGCGCTGTGTATGATGCACAGCATCATACCAGTGCACGTGGCATGTGCTTCCGGCAGCGCTAGCGACGATACTAGCTCCTATCCAGCTGCCGAGCGTACAGCAGACACTGCATCTGTTCTTCCGCAGACATTGGGCACGTCTCGATCTGTCCTCCACACCGAGTTGGTGCCACTAGCCAACTTACTGGGTCTTTTATTTCAAATCCGCGACGACTATTTGAACCTGCGGAGTACACAGCTCAACAAGGGATTCTGCGACGACCTCACAGAAGGCAAATTTTCATTTCCCATCATCCATGCCGTTCGCGCAGCCGGCACTGATTCCACACTCATGAACATTCTTGCACAGCACACCAAGGATCCTGCCACCAAGACCCGGGCCGTCGAGTATATGAATCAAGTCACCCACAGCTTCGAGTACACACGCGAGGTCTGGTCGTGTTTACATTCGCAGGCACGCGCTAAGGTGGAACGAATTGAACGCTTGTTCGGTGCCAATGAACCGATGCATCGAGTGCTCGATGTACTGGGTCGTCTAACCTGACGATGTGGACGCCATGGCACGCTTCTCCAGCGAAGTCCACGTATCGACGTAAGCTGAAAATGCCTGTGCATGCACAACGTTTGGACACGCGACAGTTTCGAATGCGTGGGTCTCTGAGGGGCCTCGCGCGTCGAGCACACACGTTTCGAACGAGACTTGACTCTGCGTCGCACAAGCCCAAACCCAGCGAGCGCGGAATGCAGCACCAACAGAACAGTAGTTGTACGGGATACTCTCACCGGTCTCGGCAGAACGGCCCCGGACCATGGGCTTTGCGACTTCACAACCAAGCACGTCTGCAAGCAGCTGGCACATTGTCTTGTTTTCAGCGGCACCGCCCACAACATACACCCGCTGCAAACGTGTTTGCGACGCTTCCAAGACACGCAGAATCCGTGTACGGAAAGCAAGGAACTGGCTTTGGACCATAGCTGGTACATTGTACCGGACATCGACAAAGTCAGCTATGCTGTCACCATGCTCGTTGAAACGGTGCAGGCCATGAGCGTTCCAAGGGATGATTTCGGGGCGCAGCCAGAAAAATCCAGTGCCATTCTTGGGTGTCGGCGATGCAAGCATTGCTGAGTTGAATGCATCCCAAGTGCCATGGCAGTACGTGTTACGAGCCCATTCACGTGCTAGAGACGCATTCTTGTAGACAAACATAAGAAAGTAGGGCGGCGTGCTGTCTTTGGCTGCCTCCTTGCAGCTGGCAGGGTGAGCAAAAACATGGTATTGAGCACTGGGCGCATACACTTGGCTAGGGAGAAGGATCGTGTCGGATGTGCCTAATGAAAGCACGGCTTCGCCCAGACGCGGCGTCAGGCATTGCAGTGTCGCAGGATTGTCTCCGGTCGCCTGGCACACGAGACACTCGGATGAAATACCATACCGAGTTTGAAGCCAAGTCCCTGCACGACCTAATACATAGCGTGGGTCTAGGACGACATGTCCCAGCTTAGCGCCCAGCTCTTCCGACGCCTGAGTATCGTGCTGTGTGCTCCCACTTCCGACGAAAGAAAGAAGTGACTTGTTCCACGTAAGATGACGCATGTCCCAAAGATTCATGCCACATGCGTCACTCTGATCGAGCGGAGCAATGTGCGCATCTCTGCCCCCAGCAAGAAGAAGCGTCGTGACAAAATTGCTCACGAGTGTGATGCGTTCCGTGTTCGTGTACTGTTCAGGATACCGCTTGCGCCAGCGCAAGATCTGTGCACCAGTAAACCGCGTGTGGGCAATGCTGCCTGTAACCTCACACATAGGCGATGTCGATGTGGACGAGGCGCCTTTGTCGCCCTGCATGTATGTATCGGCGAAATGCATAAGTTCATCGCACTCTGTCAGAGTCGTTGCGTCTTGCCAATTTGGCACAATGCTGCGAGAAAATGCCTTGGATGTAAGCTGTGTCGATAACGGTGCACTGCCGTCCAAGCGACGCAGCTGTTCGGTTGCGCCGTTCGCCCAGTACACAGACGCATGTTGCTGACCTGCAGCACTCATGGCCGCAATGCGCTCGACGGGCCAGTGTCTTTCAGTCTGAATCTTGTGCCAAAGCTTGTCCATAGCAGCAATGTACATGGCCACCGGAGCAGCTGCTGCATCAGGGTCATCGAGCATGGGATGGGCATGGGGGAGAATTCCTCCTACGGTGCCGAATTCAGGCACATCCGTGTCGAAGCGCACTTGCACCTCGTCGATCCCATGTAAGTGCACGTCGAACAGGGAGGCCTTGAGTGCTTGACTCGATAAATCAAGTCCTAGGAAGAGTGGTGATGCTAGTGTGTTTGACATTCGGAAGGGACGGATATTGTGTCTCCGATCGAACTGTCGCGCTTGACGATGACAAACTTTGTGCGGTTCAACGCACAAATCAAAATCATTCACTTCTGCTAGCAAGCAGTTGCTACACGAAAACATCTACTGCCACTGCCACTGGCTTGCCTCAAACCTCACGCCTCACGCCTCACGCCTCACGCCTCACGCCTCACGCTTCATACGGCTGACGGCCACGCACAAACGTACTCCACACCTATCCAAGGTCTTCGTCTGGATGAGTCACACTATCTATTTCTTATTATTTTTTTTTTGCGCTGATCTGTTGGTGTAAGATGAAAACTGCTGTGGCATTGGCGTGCGGCCTGGTCATGGGCTGTGTGGAGTTTGGCCTCCCACCTAGCGACGCGTGGTGTCATGCTGACATCATCATCGGCGGATCGGCGGGGTCCTGAGGCCAGTGAAAGGGAAACAAAGCAGACGAGCGACGCATGCCAACGAGTTGCAAAGCAGGCCAAGAAGCCATTTCTGACTGTCCCTTGACCTTCGTCCGACCAAGCGAGACGTGTGTTGGCCATGGCGACCTCGTGGAGTCCGCAGCCTGAAGGCATCGCGGAGCTCGTCGAACTATTTCGTCAGTCGACCAGCACAGAACGTGAGGTGCAACGGCGCATCGCGCATCGTCTGGATGCTATAAGCCAAATTCCCGACTACCTAAACTATCTCGTGCTGGTGTTTGTCCAGATGACAAATGAGGAGATCTCAACTCGATCTGTCGCTGGCCTGCTGGCGAAGAACCATCTGTACTTCAACTCGCAGCGAGTATCGCCTGAGTCGCTAGAGTTTGTCAAGCATATGATTCTTCCAGCTCTCTCGTTCAGCGATACAGTGCTTCGAAATGTCGCGTCTCAGATTGTTGCTGTGCTGATGCAGGTACTCAAGCCAGCCAACTGGATTGAGGGCCTGTCATCGTTGACGCAGGCGATGGACTCGAGCCATACGGAGGAGGCTGAGGCAGCGCTCAGTACGTTTGCGAAAATCAGCGAAGACATGCCGGAAGAGCTCGATGCATGCGAGATCCAAGGCATGCGTCCACTAGACGTTCTTATCCCTAAACTGCTGCAGGCAACGGCACATACAGATACACGCATCCGCGTACATGCACTAAACAGTCTGAACCAATACATCCAAATTGGCTCGCCATCGATGAACGCGAACATGGACGGCTACATTGCAGTGCTATTCCAGCGTGCGACGGACGAGCGTCCGGTTGTACGCAAGTTTGTGTGCAAAGCACTTGTGTATGTGCTGACGACGTGGCCAGAGAAACTGGCGCCCGACATGAACAATGTCGTAGAGTACATGCTGTATTCGACGCAAGACAAAGATGAAGATGTTGCGCTAGAGGCGGCCGAGTTCTGGCTGCAGTTCTCCGAAGAGCCGCGGCTTGTTGAGCAGCTGCGTCCGAATTTGCCACGTATCATCCCTGTGTTGCTCAAGTGCATGGTGTACAGTGAACTGAGCTTGTTGATGATGGGCGATATTGGCGATGATGCCGCGCAGCCGGACCGCCCTGAGGATATCAAGCCTCGTCACTACGGTGGAACGACGCATCGAAGTGAACATATGGAGTCGTCAGACGCGACGACGCACAAGTCACGCGCCGCGATTGATGTCGAGTTTGACGAGGAGGACGCGAATGACGGTGACGATGACGACGAGGATGATTTCGATGACGACGACGATTTTGACGATGATGACGAGGCTGGCAGCTGGAACCTGCGAAAGTGCTGTGCAGCTGCACTCGATGTACTTGCTGTACAGTTCCGCGACGATATTTTGCCGACGCTCTTACCCCTACTCAAAGATCGTCTGTTTAGCGACGACTGGCTACAGCGCGAGGCGGGGATCTTGGCGCTGGGTGCTGTGGCGGAGGGATGCATCGATGGCATGACGCCGCATTTGCCGACGCTTGTGCCGCTGCTTGTCAATACACTGCAAGATCCGCAGCCGCTCGTGCGATCTATCACGTGTTGGACATTGGGCCGCTACTCGAACTGGTGTGCTGGTGAAGCCATCGAGCACCAGCAACAGTACTTCGTGCCGGTGCTTGAGGGCCTGTTGTCCATGGTACTGGACAACAACAAGCGCGTTCAGGAAGCAGGCTGCAGTGCGTTTGCGACGCTGGAGGAGGAAGTCGGGCAGGCTCTCGCACCCTTTCTTTCGCCCGTGCTGCGTGCGCTTGTGATGGCGTTCGACAAGTATCATCAAAAGAACATGTTGATTTTGTATGATGCTGTCGGTACACTGGCTGACAGTGTGGGACCAGCGCTAAACCAGCCAGAATACATTGATATGCTGATGCAGCCATTGACGGCAAGATGGGCATCGTTGGATGACACGGATCCGGATCTCATCCCTTTGCTGGAGTGCATGGCGTCAGTCACCATTGCCATGGGGCCAGGTTTCCAGCCTCACGCCGTGCCTGTGTTCCAGCGATGTGTAAACATCATTCATCAGAACCTTGTTGCATACGAGCAGGCCATGACGCAGCCGTCGACGGCTGATGACGAGCTACCGGATCGCACGTTTTTGATCGTGGCGCTGGATCTCCTTAGTGGCCTGTGCCAGGGGCTCGGTGTTCAGAGTCAGGAACTTGTCGCGAATGTCCAGCCATTAATTCTTCCTCAGCTGCTGCCGTGTCTGACCAATATTGAGCCACCCGTGCGCCAATCGGCGTTTGCACTGCTAGGTGACTTGGCCATCAATGCGTTCCCCCAACTGAAACCATACCTCCCGACGCACATGCCGTTGATTCTGTCGCAGATCAGTCCAGAGCAGATGCACGAGACTTTATCTGTCTGCAACAATGCGACGTGGGCAGCCGGTGAGATTGCCCTGCAGAGCCATTCCGATCCGGACTTCCAGGTCTGGGTTCCTGAGCTGTTAACCAAGTTGATGGCGGTGCTTATGCATCCCAAGTGTGTCAAAAGTCTATCGGAAAATGCGGCTGTTACGATTGGTCGGCTTGGTCTCGTGGGCCACACCCATTGTGGCGCAGCAGCTGCCTGTGTTTATTGAACCGTGGTGCCAGGCTCTGTGGGACATCAAGGACAATGATGAAAAAGAATCCGCTTTTCTGGGCTTGTGCCTGATGATCCATGCGAATCCCAATGGCGCCACGGCTGGCTTTGCGTATTTCTGCAACGCTGTCGTACGCTGGACCAAGCCTAGCGAGCGCCTCAACAATGAATTCCAAAAGGTATGTGCGCCCCCTTCCCGCAGTGGTTGGAATTGGTAATGACTTACATCTAGATCTTGTATGGTTTCCGAGAAATGAGCGGTGACAAGTGGGAATCACATAAGGCCCAATTCCCCGTGATTATTCGTCAGCGGTACGTATTACAGTCCGAAGCAGTGCTGTTCCGCACACTTCCTGCTTGCCGCACCCCTCGCAAACATACCGGCGTTGACCCGTGTATCACGCGCGATGCTCACACATATGCAGTCTGGAAGAGCGCTATGGTCTCTAACACAATACCCCATCTCATAGACAACGCCATACCTCTATATCACTGCTTCTCTTTCTTCCTCGCTCCGATTCGTGGGACTGGGACCTAGTCTTCATCCCAGTTTGGGTTGCGACCCGGAGCCTTGATGCCCGCAGGTTTGCTCATGATGATGGAGTCGACACGAAGCACGTCAATGGCCGCGTTCGTTGCGTACCGGATGGCCCAGTGCTTCGCTACCAGCACATCAAACACCTGGGCATCGACCGTCGACATGGTGCCATCGGTCGTTTGCTCCACGTCGACGCCAGTATCAGCATTCTCTGTGGCCGCATGCTGCGCATGCAGCTTGCTCACGACATCAGTTGCATCGAGACCACTCGTCTCCGCCAGCGTCCGAGGAATCACCTGCAAAGCCTCGCCATACTTTTTGATCGCGTGCTGGTTAAGCCCAGGCGTTCGCTCACCATAGGCAACAATCTGCCGAGCCAGCTCGATTTCCGACGCTCCAGCGCCAGGGACCAAGCGTGGATCACGCGTAAGTGACTTGACGGCATTGATGCCATCCTCGATTGTGCGTTCTGTGTCATCCAGCATGGATGTCGTGGCGCCACGGAGAACGATCGTCGCGAGGCGTGGCTGTGCCTTGCCGCCCTTTTCGCCGTCCTCTTGACGGAACACGGTGACTCGGTCGCCACCGATTTCCGTGGTCATAGCGGAATCAATGAAGCCTGCCTCTTCAGGCATCGGTGCACCGATACGTGCGAGGGGCGTAGCTCCCAGCAGGCGACATAGGCGCTGGAGATCAAATTTCGATGGGATCCGGCATACCATAATGCCCAGCGCGGTTCAGATAGTGCAGGGCTAGCTCGCCCACCGTGCTCTGTGTAACGACGACCTTGACACCCGAGTCGGCTATTTCGCGGAGCATGCTCTCCAGCTGTTGCTCTTCGCCGCGCGAAAAGTCCTTGAGTTCTTGTGCATTGTGAAGCAGCACCGTACCCTTCGTCTCAGTCTGGCTGATATCGAGGCCGCACGAGAAGACCGCCACCTTCGCAGCACTCACAGCCTTGACCTGACCCTCGGGCTCTCGCCCAAACACCATACCACGCACAACGCGGCTCTGCGAGAGACTCCCGCCCATGATCTTGACCACGCGCACGTTGTCGACGCTAAAGTCACGGAGCGTATTCGAGGGCGACGTTGGTATCACTAGGCTCACGGCCTGAGCCACAAGAGGCGCGAGAATTTCCTCATGTCCGTACTGCTTCGACGCCAGCGTCGGCCGCAGAGCAAGTGCAAGCGACTCCTGCGTTGGCGGAGTCGAGAGCGTCGCGATCGACAGATTTTCCAGCAACTCGAGAGCTCGATCGCGGGCGAGCTCGTATCCCTGCACGATCTCTGTCGGGTGCAGGCCGAGCGAGATCAATAGCTCAGCTTGGCGCAAGAGCTCGCCAGCCAGAATGATGACGAAGTTGGTCCCGTCACCCATCTCAGCTTCCTGTTGCTGCGAAGCATACACAAGCAGCTTGGCCGCCGGATGAACCACTTCCATCTCGCGGATGATGGTCGCTGCATCGCTCGTGACGAATATGCGGCCCAGGTGGTTCACGACCATTTTGTTTCGCCCATTAGGGCCAAAGGAAGTGCGTACAATGTCAGACAGTTCATTTACAGCTTGGATGTTGCGAAGGACTGCCTCTTCGATACCTTGCAAGTGCTTGTATCCATCCTTGAACAGATGAGGACCGCCTGCGCGTGGCACTTTCAACGCCATGAGATGTGAATGCAGCGCAACGAACCACGATCCGTAATTCTCTCACACTCTCGAAGGCGATGGAAGAAACCGACACGCGCCTTCCTCACGCTGGAGACGACGGATCATGCAGAATAGCCACGTGGTGGAGCTCCGTGGAGCTTACTTCCCGTACACCTGGCGGAGTGCGCATGGGACACATATATATTTGCGCCCACCTTTTCTTGAGCCACCGACACTGGCCTTACGTGGAAACCTGCAATCTACACTCACGCTGTTGCCACAAGAGTCAAGCATGGCAGCCCCTGTAAAGTACGATGTTGTTTTGTACGGTGCGACTGGCTTCACTGGAAGCATGGCCGCACAATATCTTGCCGCGCACCCACAGCAGCCGCGTGTGGCGTTTGCTGGCCGGAACGAGAAAAAGATCCGTGGCGTGATCGAGAAGCTGACGGATGTGTCGAAGGAGCGTGTTGAAAGCATTGGTGTGATCGTCGCGTCGGCAGAAGACTTGAATAGCATCAAGGCGATGGTTGCCCAGACGAAGGCTGTGATCAACATGGTTGGTCCGTACGCTTTGTACGGTGGCTTTGAGTTGGCGAAGGCCGCCGCGGAGGCTGGCGCTAGCTACGTTGATCTGACGGGTGAGTCCAGTGTGTACAAGCGTATCAAGAATGAGCTGCATGACATTGCGAAGCAGACGCACGCAGACATCGTCCCGTCGTCGGGCTTTGACAGTCTGCCGTTCGACCTGACTACGTACCTGGCCGTGCAGGCGCTACACAAGTCAAGCGGAGGCAAGGCTGATGTGGACTATGCGCTGTGTGGCTATGAGTTCAAAGGATCGCTGTCTGGTGGTACGGTGGCTAGTCTAGTGGAGCAGGCGAAGGTGAGCCCGATCACATCCAGTGACGCGTACGATCTTGCCCCGATTCGTGGCCGTCAGAAGGCAGAAGCTGTTCGTCTTCGCAAGTTGCCACAGTTCAACAAGTATGGCGCATTCACTCTGTTGGCGCCGCACAACACAGGTGTCACGAACCGATCGTGGGGTCTGCTTCAGGAGGCACAGGACCCAGCAAGTTACGGTGCCGACTTCCGGTACTTGGAAGGTCAAGTTGCGCCCGGTATGATCTCGGCGTATATTATATCTTCCCTAATGTTGTTCATCGCATGGTTGCTGAACAATGTGTCGTATGCTGGTGATCTGCTCCGCAAGGCCGTGCCACAGGGCACCGGTGCATCGATGGAGGAGCAGCTAAAGGGATTCTGCAATGTTCGCACATTAGCGTATGGCAAGGATGGCAAGTCCAAGGCGATGGCAACGCTCTCCGTTAAGGGTGACCCAGGCTACTTGCGCACGGCCATGTTCATCTCGGAGACAGCGCTAACATTGTCACTAGAGAAGGCACGCCTCTCGAAGCTCGGTCAGCAGGGTGGTGTTTTGACTCCTGCGACAGCCGGTGGCGAGGTGCTGGCGGAACGTTTGCGCAAGTACGGTGGTGTCAAGATCGAGACAAAGGACGTGTCCAACTCGACGGACCTCAGCAAGGAGCTTCCTGCGTAAAGCCAAGATGGCCAGAACGGCCTGGTGCATGAATAGCTGTCAAGATGTAGTTTTGTGTGAATCTCACTCTATGATACAAGGGAATGATGTATAAGTATGAGCTAGCGATGAGCATATGTGGCCGCTGTGATTATATTTCCATCGTCTTTCTTGCCTTATGCTTTCTTGTAACTCTCACAGGGAGCGTGTATCGCACTTGATTCCCGTGCAAGTCTACGCCCAATTGTCCATCGTCCAACGGCAAAGCAAGTTGAAAGACTGTGTTGCATTTTGGAATGCCTGTGCGTGTGAGTGGTTGCGTCTTGATTCGCAAACGCGGAAAGGACTTACATTTCGGTGGGACTACCACATCAGTCGGCAGGTTCTTTTGCACTATAGCAAATGTTTCGTGGGTCTCTTTCACGACAATGCCGCTTGTATGCACGAGATTCGGCTGGGATGAGCGCACGACTGAGGCCATGGTCAGCTGCGGGATGCCATGCAGAGGCGGCGTACCTGTGATGTGTGCGCCGGTCCAGTCCATCTTCAGCAGAGATGTTTGAAGGGCATTCGCCCATGACGCCTGTCTGAGTTGCTGCTGAGCAGAACAACATGTCATACCGCGCAGATGAAGTGCATCTCGGATGTAGGCTGTCCATAAATGGACCAAGGGCTGCACCTGATCCAGGGACAGCTTTTCATCGTGGTGGATGCGCTGATTCTTTCTTTTACTGTTTTTGGTTTTGGGTTTCCTGGGAGGAGGAGGAACGTAGGAGGGGAACGCATGCCGCTGTGTACGTCGTAGCGCCTTTCTGTATTGTTTCTCTAGGAGTGGTGTGGCTGGCGGTGGCGCAGCTCGATCGACGTTAGCTAACTGTAATTTCCGTCCATGGATGCGGGCGTCATACTGGGCGTCTGAGCCGGCTTCGGCACCCAGTAACGCATGCCAAACATGCTTGGCTGTATGTGTGGCACTTGAACTAGCACCTTTGAGATTGCCTGTGTCATCCGTGGTCGTCATACCTGACGTGTTGAGCATAGCGCGCCTTGACGACAAGCCATACACGCTGATCGAAAGGACAAGGCGCGTGGCCAAAAACGGCGCATGTGCGAGCGATGGAGGAGTCGCGGAGAGACACACGTATCACGTGCCTCACATGATGATCGGGTGCGGATGTTGGGAGTGGGTGTGTGTGGCTGGCTCTACGCGACGCGTGTCGATCTAGCTGCTTTGGTGAAATCAAAGTTGGCACGATGGGTGGCACAGCTCCATGGGGCCGAGGTACGTTAGAGTGACACTCACAGCAGTGGTTCTATGTGGGCGTGTCGCGGCGGATGAGGCAGGGAACGAAGTGGTGAATGCGTACGCAGTGTAGTAGACTCACAATAGGGGCGACTGTTTGTATGCGCCGCATATTTTGCGGTCCGTGTGTCATGTCCGGACACGTGCCGTGGTGTCCTCATGCACATCTGATCATGCGGTCATCCTTTCGGTGCATGGCGATGCATACTTGTATGGACGAAACGCAGAGGCGCAATGCGGTGTGCCAGTGACGTCTACAAGTGATGCGGCGTCCTTATGGCTCTATGACGCTAGGCGCTTGGACAAAGAGCATGACTTTGTGCCGCCGATAGCGCCAGGCGTGTCGATCCATACAGGCGCAACAGGCGCGATGCATACGCTTCTAGTCACAACGCAGGGCGAGCTGTATGCAGCAGGGAGCAACGAGTTTGGGCAGTGTGGACTCGGTACCCTAGCGACGTGCGTCCCGTTCCAACTTGTTCCGATGACGGAGCGTGTGGTGGATGTGGCATGTGGACGTGCAGCAAGTGTGGTAGTGACCGAGTCCGGAGCCGTCTATACCATGGGCTCAAGTGAGGATGGCATGCTTGGCACATGTGCCGCCTCGTGGCATCATACAGGACCTAGTGACGTCACGTACGATCTTGCTCGACATCCCGTGCGGATTCCGAACTTGGGCGGCATTGTGCGTGTAACATGCGGCGAGCGGCATGTAGCTGCGCTTGATCGCGACGGGTATATGTATGTATGGGGCCATGCGAGCCTGGCGCGCCTAGGATGCGGCACGCAAATTGATCAGCCATTCCCTGTGCGCATTCCGCAGTTTGTGCGGAAGAACAAACAAGATCGGATCCGGGATGTCGTCGCAGGAACTACGTGCACCATGTGCGTGGACAACCAAGAGCGATTATGGATAGCAGGCACATGGCGCCTAAAAGACGATGGCGGACCGGATCAATCGTTCCTCATCTACAAACCGCTCGCTGAGCTGGCCGACTATGACGTGCACGAGATGGCGGCAGGCGCAGACACGATGCAATGTCTTGTGAAACCGACGGATGAGCATGGGAATACACACATGCAAGCGTGGGGCTGGGGAGAAGGGGCATGGCATGCTGAACTGGGCAGCAGCGGGGGGACCACAGCGCCTGTGCCTACGATGCTACACATACTGGAGCCGCTGAAGGTGGTGGCTGTGGCTAGTGGTCGGCACACATCCTATTGGCTTGTCCAGCCTGACTCTGTGTATGCAGAGCTGCCTCGATACCCGGCGACGATCGAGTCATCGAGCGTGTGTATGGTGTGTCGTCGCAGTGGCGATGACGACGATGCGACGCTGCTTGAATGTGATCGTTGCGAGAATCCATACCATCTGTCGTGTTTGACGCCACCGTTAGCAGCTGTGCCGGAAGGTGAATGGCTGTGCGTAGAGTGCAGAAAAGACAGTGGACATAACGACGACGGGAACGACCATGAGGGTGCCAATCATCCAATCATGGACCAGCAACACGAACGATGACGTAGGAGTGTGCTGGCTCTTGAGCTTGTTGTATGCGACGAGGCGATCGCGTATGTCCCATGGCGAAGCAGATGTCGACTTGCATGCGATGAGGACGCTGCATGCGCGCTGTCGGCCGGCATTCTGCGTTTCTTTTTTTTTTTTTTTCTTCTCCCACACACTCTTTCTCTGCTCCTTCCAAGTCGTTGGCAAAAGGCACCCTCCGAGGTACGATTGGCTTGGATGTTTCATATTTTCTTTTTTTGAGGGAGGGGGAACTAATAGTAATAATAACAATAGTTATAATAATAAGAATAAAAGGGGGGGGGGAGTCTGGGGGGAGGGGAACATGTTTTCATTGCGACTGTTCACACGCCCATGACAAAACGCGTTGTTACGCCATTCACCCTCGCCATGCATTCACACGTAGCCGTTCATTTAGGCACCCAAGTCCTGCGACTTGTCCTCCAGGTAGCGCTCGTAGATACGACGACATTCCTGCAAACCATAGCCAACGATCGCAATGCTGATGAGATATGAAAAATCGTTCAAGCCCAGGGCCTCTGTGAGGAAGATGGATTGGAGGATTGGCACGTATATAATCAAGAGTTGCATGCCAAAGCTGAGACCCGTCGTCCATAAGAGCATATGATTATCAAAGAGGCCTGTGTAGAGGCCACGGCTCTGGATTGCACAGACAAGGGCTAGCATGACGAAGCATGTGAATGTGACAGTCGATTCGTGTTTATCGAGACTGCTCTCGAGAGCCGTGGGCGTGTAGCCGGTAAGGAAAACGACGTAAGTGAGAATGATCATCACAGCAGCCGAAAAGGCAATGCGCAAGAACAGGCGAGATGTCAGCACAGGCGCATCCTTGGCACGCGGGGGCCGTTGCATCACACGCTCGTGTGCGGGATCGACACCGAGACTCTGACTAGGCGGGCCATCCATGAGGATGTTGATAAATAGGATTTGCATCGCATTGAGGGGAAAGCGCAGCTGCAGGATGGTGCTGAGAGAAATGAGCATAAGCGCCGCAGCACTCGTGCTGAGCTGGAACGTGACGAAGTTCTGGATGTTGTAGAAAATACTCTTGCCTTCACGCACAGCACCCATGATCGTGGCGAAGTTGTCGTTGACAAGAATGACATCCGCGGCCTCCTTCGTCACATCTGTTCCGGACCCCATCGATATGCCGACGTCAGCGAGCTTGAGTGCCGGTGCATCGTTGACGCCATCGCCCGTCATGCCGACGACCTCGTTATTGGCCTGCAAGGCGGACACAATGCGCAGTTTGTGCTCGGGCTTCGTTCGCGCAAACACCGACACATTCCGCACCCGCTCGCGAAGCTGGCGCTCTGACAGCGACTCAATGTCGGAGCCTGTCATGACGTTGGGCGACGAGGCAAGGCCTAGCTGTTGTGCAATAGCACGGGCGGTCGTCTCAGCATCGCCCGTGATCATGATCACATGGATTCTGCCGCGTTGGAGGGTCTTGATCGCGTCGTGGACCTGCTCACGCGGTGGATCCTGCATGGCTTGCAAGCCACAGAATGTGTAGTGGCGTCCCTGTGTTGACACAGCCGTCGCCAAGACACGCAGGCCGCGCTGCGTGAGCTTCGAGATTGTGTCTTGGATGTCAGAGCGCACCTGATCGGTCAGCTGCGAGGGCCTCTGGGCCATGTATGTTGTGCAGTGCTTCAGCACCGCCTCAGGAGCCCCTTTCATAAGCTGTGCCTCGCCAGGCGTCTTGTCGGCGTCACCGTGGCCTGTGACTGCCATAAACTTGCGCTCCGAGTCAAACGGCACCTCGTTCGTGCGGGTCCAGTCCTTGTGCGAGAGGGACAGACCAAGCGACTCGGGCGCCTGCGCCATGGCGACCTCGGTCGCCTGGCCGACCAGCTGGCCTTGCTCGTTCATCGTCGCATTGTTGCAGAAGAAGCCAGCGTAGAGGTTGCGTGTCATGGCAGGCGACAGCTCATGTCGGCGCGCGTCCTTTCCGACTTCGACGATGCCGTCCGGCACGGTGAAGAGCTGGATGACACGCATGTGACCCGTCGTCAGAGTACCGGTCTTGTCGGAGCAGATGACGGACATGCAGCCCAGCGTCTCGACGCTCGGAAGCCGCTTGACGATGGCTTTTCGATGGGACATTTCGAGAGCGCCAAGAGCGAGTGTGACGGTGACGACGATCGGCAGGCCCTCTGGGATCGCAGCAACGGCCAGAGACACAGCAATCGTAAACATTTCAATCCACGACTTTTGCTGCACAAGACCCACCAGCAGCAAGAGGGAAATCAGGCCGAGACTAAACACACTGAGCCGCTGAGCCAGGCCCGACATGCTGATCTGGAGAGGCGTCTGCTTCTCATCCACACTGTCGACCATGCCGAAAATATTCCCGAATTCAGTGCGAATACCCGTGCCATAGACGATGCCAGTCGCTGAGCCCTTTTCCACGAGTGTGCCCATGTAAGCGAGGTTCGTCGGCTCCTGGTCCGTGTCGTCCGCCGATTTGCGCACGGCGCTCGTCTCGCCCGTCAGCGCACTTTCATTCACCTCAAAGTCCTGCGACTTCACGATGCGCACATCGGCCGGGACCCGATCGCCCGAGCTAAGGCACACGACGTCGCCCGGCACAAGCTCACGCGCTTCGAGCGTGTGCGTACGTGCGCTGCGAATGACGCGGCACTTCGGGGGTACAAGGTTGTTGAGCGCCTCCAGACTCTTTTCGGAGCGGTATTCCTGCGCAATACCGACGGTAATGACAATTGCGAGTGCAAGCGTGATGCACACAGCGTCGTCGGTCTGGCCCACGAGCACACTTACGACGGCACTACCGACCAGCAGTGCGTTCATGGGCTCCTTGAACTGGTAGATCCAGCGGAGCCACAGAGGCTCAGGATCATTGGCCTCCAGCTCGTTCATTCCATACTTTTCTTGGAGCGCATCGATCGACTGTGTGTCAAGGCCTTGGTCCACCGACGACACGTCGAGCGCTTGCATCGTCTCGTCGACACTCATGCGCATATACTTGTCGCCCAGCTTGGCTTGTCCACGACTCGGCCCGTGGTGGGCACCGTACGGCACTGCATTAGTTACCGGAGTGCGGGATTCGGCCTCATACGTACTGTCACTATTGGCATGTCTCATCGTAGGGGTCGTGGTGCGCACAGGCGAAGATGTTGGGGATGGAGGTGTGTACGTATTTCTACAGATCGTCGTGGACGGGTACGTACGATGTGGAGGTCGACGCCGACGCCGACGCCGACGCCGGCGTATTCGAAGCGTTGTTTTGGGCCGACGACGCCTGTGACACGTTCGGACGGCTGGTGGAGTCGGTGCGAGCGCCACTACTGGTGCTAGCGCTCGAGCTAGACACTGGGCTTGACGACGTGCTAGACGAGGATGCCGTCCCGTTCGCGGTCGCGTTCGAGGTCGTGTTTGTGTTCGCATTGGTGCTGCCACTGGCACGTCCGCTGCCACTGTTTTTGTTGCTGGGACGCGTCTTGGGAGCCCGGCGGCGACTCAGCCGCTTGACACTATCGAGAATCTTCTTTTCCCGTGCAAGAATATCATCCACGAGGATCACGGGGTTCTCATTCAGCTGCCGCTTCGACTGTGCGCTGACGCCATCTTCGAGCCAGACCGCCTCCTTGCGAGCCTGAGCCTCGAGCGTGTCGAGCTCAGCCGCCGTGTACTTGCTGCCCGTTTGCTGCTTCACGGCCTCAGTCAGGTTGGTGCGAGCATCATCGACAAACACCATCGCACTCTTGAGCGACAGACGCATGCTCTTCACAGCCTCCGGCCGCCTCTCTGCCTCGGACATGCGGCGATGAATCGGGTCCGTCAGCGAGGCAAGCTCGCTCTTCTTCTTGTTCAGCGCCTTGGCGTCGGCCTTGTCCGCTTCCTCGATGAGGTACGCGCTCAGTGCATTCACTTTCTCGAGCACACGCTCCGACTCGTCCTTCGTGTGCGCAGCGTCGAGCGACGTGTCGCCGATCATGTCCCGTGCCTGATACACAGCCGCCTCAAGCTCGTTGAAGGCCGTGTCGCGAAGAGCACGTTGCTTGGCCTCGTACACGATCAGGCGCAGCCGCTCAAATGACTTGGCCTTCTCCATGCCGGCCAGCGGACTCACGAGACCCGTCGATGTCGAGTTCGGGAACAACGGGATCCGACGCTCCACAGGTGCGGCGTTCGTTCCATTCTGCGGCTCACTGGCGTTGATGCCGAAGAACGACTTGAGCGAGTCTGTCATGGTCTTGGGCGGCTCCACAGTCAGCAGTGCATTCTTGACGAGGATCGTACCGACTGGCTCATGCGCCAGAGAAAAGTTGACCGTCGTCTTCAGCGTCTTGAGGTCCGTCGTCTTCGCCAAGTCCGCCAAAGCGTCATCGACGCCCTGCAGAACGACCTTCCGCAGCGCGTCAGAGTCGCCCATCTCCAGGCGGTCGAGCGTCGGCGTGTACAGGTGCATCTCTACGTTGGAATGCACGTCATGCAACGTCTTGTTCCACACGTTGTCTACCTGAGGACCAGATGCAAATACCGGCTCGTCACGACCCTGCACCTTGATGTTCACCGCGTACATCATGGCGTCGACGACTTCCACGGGCTTCATACGCAGCTGCGGCTGCGTGCTGGCCACAGCCAAGGCAGCACCCATGACAGCTGCCTCGTCAGCGTTCACGTTTTGCGCGAGTTTCTGCTGGGGAACGCCACGTGCCATGAGCTCGGCACGTACCGACGGCACGCGCGTGGTGCCACCGACCAGGACGACCGACGCAATGTCATTCCACGACAGTTTTGTGCGCTTCATCAACTCATCGATTGGCGCACCGAACCGCTGGAGCAGGCCAGCCTCCTTCATGCGCTTTTCAAACTGCTCACGCTCAATGTACGTGCGCAAGTCAATGTCGTCGACAAGGCCCTCGATATTGGCTGCAGCACCGGCATTCGCCGACAGCACATGCTTGACCTTGTTTGCCTCGCGCAAGAGACGTGCCATGGCACGCATATTTTGGCGCACAGATGCATGGGATGGGTTTTCCTTGACGAATGCATCAGCGAGCATGTCACGGATGAGCATGTCCATCGCAAGGCCACCAGCGAGACGGTCCCACGCGGCATCGACGATCGTCACGCGATTCGCATCAGAGCGCTTGTTGTTGGGCGCTGGCCCGATTTCCACCAGCGTCGCTCGCACTGCGCCCGAGCCAGCATCGTAAAAGATGTAGCGTTCCGTCTTCCGGATGATGCGGCTGTGTGCATAGCTCGCGGCCGCCGCTGCCGCATCGCTGATGAGATGCGGTCGGAAGCCAGCCAGGACTGCCGCATCGAGCAAGGCCTCGCGCTCATGCAACGTGTAGAACACAGGCACAGTAATGACAGTGTCAAGGCCGTTGGCCGCTTGGAAGAGCGAGGAAAAGTCGCGACCGATGCTCAGAAGCTCACCAGACGTTTCCTCCGCTAGCTCGCGCATGTGATCGAGCTGCATGCCTACAAGCTCTTCCGGGCGCCAAAAGGCCGTCGAGTCCTCGCTTGGAAAAACCACGCACGTCGAACCAGACTCGAGCTCATCAGGAAGTGGCTTCACTATGTTGCCGTACACAGCACGGTACTGCGACACAGCGGGCGACTCGCCCTGCTCACACGACTGGCCAAGCAAGAGCTTCGCTGCATGGTAACTCTGCAGTGGGATTCGGCTTCCAAACGCATAAGCGTCGCCACTACATGAGACGATCCATTGTCTCGAGGCGCCCGTCCGAAGGCACCTTGCCCTTGAATGCCACGCTAGCCTGCACCTTGCGCTTCGAGTCGCGGCCCAGGACCACATCAAATGGCATGCCTGGCTTCACGAGCGCAGCCTTGATCCACTCCGTGCCATAGTCAATACTCACAACGCCAATAGCACTACTTGGCGCAGCAAGGAAAACTAGCGCAAGCGCGGCATATGCCACGACCCACGCTAGCATGGATGCACTCCGATGCATGGGGGGCAGGAAAAGACTCTGTGGTTGAGGAAGAGCAAGCTTTTGTCGCCCAAAGATAAATGCAGACAGACAGCGTCGTCGTCGTCGTCCGTAGCACCACTCTCCACGCTGGCGGTCGAAACAACGGCCGCCATTTGACTCGGCCGATTTCCATGCAAGGAAGACGACGCTTGGGCCTCCAGACGACGTGGATGACGTGGAGAAACACAAAGGCTCCGACCATGCGACTATGTACAGCTGGTGCTACTTTCACTGCGGCTAGCTTGATGAGAAGTAGGTCATCGTTGTGCCTGCCCATGCTGTGCGTGGAGATTGATCATGCGCCGACGAAGCTGGTAGCGGATGACGGCAAGGATACATAGAGCTGTCAAGCCCACCAGAGCGAGCATCGTGTCGTGTGAGACACTAAAACTGAATAACACCATCCATGGCGGAAGGCGCATTTGGGGAGTCAAGGACCTGAGCAAAAACTGGCGAGCCGATATATCGCCATGAAGCATAGCCATTATAGCCCTTAGATACACACGAAATTGCATCCATACCACGAAGCTCAGGAAAGAGTTCTGCCCAGACTTTTCCATCCTGCTCCACACCCAGTCATACATGCGTATGGAGGCGAGAAAGTCCGGATGTAGAACTCCATCGAGTCCTGTTTCGTACAACTCGGCCAGACGCAGGCTGGCAAAGCGTTCAGATGGTCCAAAAAAGTAATAAAAATTTTCTTTCCTTGCTTGCTTCCGATAGCAAAAGGCCGCTTCTTGACTATTTTTGGCCAACGGAACGCCATGTCGCAGGTAATCACACACCCTGAGTATGGCCCAACTGCTTTCTTGCATAGCACTACGTGACCAATAGTGAAAAGCAAGATCGCCAGTGGGCCGGCGATCAGTAGCACTGTACGTTGCCAAGGAAGAGAGCGGGTCGAGAAGGTATGCCATGTTTTCTTGAGCCTCTTCCATACCTGCTTCTGCAGCGATCGACCATGCACGTAAGGCTGTTGCTACATCGCCTCGCTCCCATGCAGCTTCACCCCGGTGATAGATGGGGTCAATCCAATCACCTCGGTGGGCGATAGACTGGAAGGAGCCGATGCTCCAAGTAGGACAGCCCTCGTAACTCCGTTCGCGATACAATTTATCGACACTGAGTCTCGTGCTCAGATATACTGCTTCAAATTTGATTGAGCTTGAGTACTCTCGAACTCCCTCAACTTTCAAACTAGAACTTTTGTAGCGTGCGCCCTTAAACAGACTGTGGGCACTTTCCGTGTTGTTGTTACCTGAGTCAGACTCTCGAGATGTTTGTACGTACGAAGTTCGTGCTTGCCCATTTCCAATGCTGCTAAGTCTGAAGTATGTGAGTTTTTCTCAAATAGTTCCATTCCTCGAGTAGTATTCGGTGCCATACCCCCATATCCATACATGTACATCATCCCAAGATACGTGGAACTCAGTAAGTCCCCATCTGCATGTGCACGTGCTAGCCATACTTTCGCCTTGATAAAGTCTTGTCGATGATGTTCACCACGTAAATACATTTCGCCTAGCATTTGAGCGGCTGACCTTGCAGCAAATGCAAGTTGCTTCGAGTTGTCATTGTTGGGTGCCAGATCGAAATCGCTGACTTCTTCATCCACATGACGTAAGTGTATTCCTTGTGGCCAGCGTTTCTTGGCCAGATGTAACGCGCGGTCAAAGGCCAGGTCTGCAGATGGAATCACTGCACCTTGCGCCTCACTTTCAACGACTGTGCTTCCATAGTAATGCATGCGTGCCAGTTCATATTGGCTTAGTGGATTTTCTCCGTCATCAATAGCCCAAAACCTAATTAGGTCTTGAAGAAGATCTCGATCCACTAGTGACCGCACTATTTCATTAACATGTTCACCAAGCGGATGCGCGATCGAATGTTTACTCAGGGATTTTTCATATCGCTCTGACACAAAGTGACGCCAAGTCGTCAAAAACCAACGCCGATCAGTCAGTCGGACCTTAGAATATGGCAACCGTCTCCCGAATGGCGGCACATCGAGAAACATTTTGTACGTTTGTTGTGCAAGCTGTTCATATAGTTCCAGACTTTGCGTGCAGTTTTCAGGCACATCAATGGCATATCGCAGTCTGTAAGCCATGGCATTGGATGCGTGCCAGTCACCCTTTTGCGAAGCAATTGTGTAATGAAGAATCGCCTCCGTCGGTGAGCCCTCAAAGCCATGCACCTTGGCAAGGAACGGACTCGAGTGCATGTACCCTAGACGCGAATGTGCCGTGGCATTTCCTGTCCTTGCAAGTCGCTCATACGCTTGATACGCTTTTGTCATGTTGGGCGCGGCGCCATGTGTGCCCCAAAAATAGTGTTCGCCCAGGATCCATAGCGCATCAGACTGTGCTCGTGACGTCTCATTGGAAAAAGCAAAAGATGCACGAAGCATGGTGTCGACACTGGTATCGTCATCGGGCGGGTATGCCACCCATTCGAGCAATTGAATCGCACGTGTACGAATAGCGAGCAAGGCTGGCATAGGCGTTTGATGCTCTGTGTATTGAAAACGAGAACCGAGCATGAATTCGATAAGCGCTTTGTTCGTGTATGCATTCGTTATGTTTTCTTCCATGTGTTCTATAAACGGCGCGCGGGCGTCGTGAATGGGACCAACAAAGGGCCCCCACATGGCTTGCTCCCATCCATTGATGATGGGCCACGGCCTATACTGCAAGTAAGGCTCTCCGTGCCAATCATCAAATAGTCGAGCTTTTTCTTTATCGACGTCCCAGTCTGGCCACAGGCGCACGGGTGGACTGTCATACAGAGTATGTGCAGCTCGTGGTCTCTTGGGGTGCTTATTGATGATTTTATCGAAGCTTGATGCAACCAACAGACGGAGGCGCTGTACTAAGGAGAGCGAGCTGCTCTCACGCATCTCTCTCGTATCACATATGAATTTTGTGGGTCCAAGAATGTTCCAAGCTAGTCCGCATTCCCCTGTGTCGGGTGCATCCGCCACCAGGGAATGTAACAAGCGTAATGCCACGTCAACTGCATCTTGAGTATTCGTATACGTTTGAGAGAATGTATGAGAAAGTTCTTCAGCACTAGCGAATGTTGCTTCGACCGGTGCTGCCGCTGGAACTGCTCGTGAGCAAATCAGGACATGCACGATACCCCAGAGCCACACCAAGCGCATGAAGCGTAACAAGTGGGGGATAAGGACCCAACGTGCATGGGCCTCATGATCACGTGCACATAACGAGCGGATGGAGGAATCGTTCGTCCCTTGAATTTCTTTACTTTGGGCTCGCTCAGGGATCCGTCATTGGACTAAGTGGTGGAGCAGGGGCCAAAACGACCACCCCTATAGCTCGTCAGGAAACCAACCAGACAGCACCAAATAGTCTTTGGCGTATTCTAGATGTTATCTCCGTTACTCGATACCTACTCACCTATGGAACCAAAAAAAAAAAAAAAAAAAAAAAACAATAATTAAGGTGACATGATATGTCAATTTGGTCAGTGCAATGCACGTGCCCGTTGAAATGCCTGGTCAGCCTCGGCCATGCGTCCTTGCATGTGGCGGCGCATCAGCAGAAGCGCAACCAGACCACCGGCGCCAACAAGAAAAAGAACCATGTCGAAAATCAGGTCAGCAGAAAAGTGAACCGTAGGAATCAGAGAAAAGGTAGGCAAGTAGGATGTAAACAAGCGCTGCGCAGTGATATCGCCCGACAGCATAGCCCAAAATGCTTTGACATGCAATCGGAACAGTACAAGCGACACAGTTAATTTTAACATGTCGTGATGCATTAGAATGACATCATACAAGCGCTTCGCGAGTGGAAAGTCACGCTCAAATCCATCCGCGCCATCCTCATACAGCCGTGCAAGGCGCCACTTGTTTGTCAGATCGCTCGATCCATCCACCTGAGAACGGTAGCAGCGTGCAGCCTGAGCGTGACTACCAGGCACAAGGCCGAACAGAATGTAGTCACATATTTTGGATCGTGCGAGCGTGCTGCCTTGCAGAGCACTTTGCGCCCAATATGTGAGTGCCAGAGCGTCAGTCGAGCGTTTCTCCGGCTTGTGAGCCCAAGTGGTAAATTGGTCGAAAATCTGCGCCATATTGTCTTGGGCTTCTTCTATGCCAGCCACAGCTGCCATCGACCAGGCATGCATCGCAGTCGACAGATCGCCGCGGTCAAACGCCGCTTCACCCCGATGGTAGATGGGATCGGCCCAATCACCACGATGCACAAATGCCTGGAACGCTGAGGCTGTGGCGCGGCAGACAGCTGTGTCGTGACTCTGGTATAGTTGGTCAGCTTCGAGACCTGCCTCCCAGTACAGCATTTCGAATTTGCTACTGGTCATAGCAAAGCTGGACGGCATGCCAGTCTGCGTCGAGGCTTTCACGAGAAGAGGCAGCGCCAATTCGGGTCGCTGCGTGGCTGAAGGTTTGTGTGAGTGAAGCAATCCTAGCGACCATACGTACTGATGTGCTGCTTCGCAATCTCAAGCAAAGAGAGCGTTGACTTTTCGTGGGAGTTTTTGAAGAGATTCCAGGCTCGCGACATATTAGGTGTCAAGCCTCCGTATCCATTGGCATACATCATGCCCAGGTACGACATGGCAAGTGGCTGCTGCTCGTGAGCAGCACGCGTAAGCCACACTTTCGCCTTTTTAAAGTCTTGGAGAACGCCTTCACCACGCAGATACATCACACCCAACAGAACCGCAGCATTCCTTGCTGCATATGCATGAGCGGAAGACTGAGACATGATGGCCAGCATCTTGTCGGGATAGCCATCGCGATAGAGTTCATCATCGATATGAGCTAGTTTGATGTAGATTGGCCAGCGAGACGTGGCCAAAGACAATGCATGGTGCGCAGCCAGTTCTGGGTTCGGTCGAATGGCGCCGAGAGATTCGCGGTAGCCATAGATGCTCCCAAAGTACAATGCACTTGCATATTCGAATTGCTTGATCGGATCTTCATGCGCCAAATAGCTGTATTGGTCCATGAGTTCGTCCAGAGCGGCCTGGTCGAACATTGCATTCATGTCCTTTTTAATTATTGCTTGCGTTCGATAGTACGAAAACGGAACAACTGAGAAGAAAGCCTTGAATCCTTGTCCCGATGCGAGCTGATGTGAAGGCCCCGAAAGCCGCATGCGATCACTTAGACGCACCTTCGAGTATGGAAGTGTCCTGCCTCCAGGTGGACCTTGCTCAAAGACTTCATGTGACCGTCTTGCCAAGTGGTCAAAGATGACCAGGCTTTCTGTACAGTTGGCAGACGTTCCTATGCCATGCATCAGCCGGTATCCCATGGCATTAGATGCGAGCCAATCACCCTCCTGAGTGGCCAGCGCTAGATGCACAATAGCATCGGTATCTGAGCCCTTAAAGCCGTACACTTTCGTAAGAAACGGACTCGAGTGCATGTACCCCAGGCGCGAATGTGCCGTGGCATTCCCTGTCTTTGAAAGTCGCTCATACGCTTGGTACGCTTTTGTCATATTGGGTGCTGATCCATGTGTGCCCCAAAAGTAGTGCTCACCTAGGATCCATAACGCATCAGCCTGTGCTCGTGACGTCTCATTGAAAAAAGCAAAGGATGCACGAAGCATGGCGTCGACACTGGTATCGTCATCGGGCGGGTATGCAACCCACTCAAGTAGTCGAATAGCGTGTGTGCGCACGGCGCGAAGGGATGCAGAAGCGGTATGAAAATCAACATCGGGTGATGGATTGGCCCGGGCCAAGTCCACCAATGCACTTTTTGTATAACTACTCGTGTAGTTGTGCACGATTTCATGCATCAAAGCATGCGGAGCTTCACGAACAGGTCCAATAAACGGACCCCACATCGCTTGCTCCCATCCATTGATCACAGGCAGCGTATCTTGTCGTTGAGAAGCATGATACGCTTTGACATGATCAAAGTCCCAATTGGGCCACAATGGTTCTAACGGCATATCATAGTATGTATGGGCGCCACGCTGCTTGTATGTGGGCTTTTCAACGAGAAGTTCAACGAAACGCGCTAGAAAAACTCGCAGAGTGCTCGTGTACGTGTTATAGTCACCACGAGGAAACATAGCACTCTGCCGCCGAATCCAGCGATGCACAGACTGCCGCAATTGTGACATGCCTGGCAAGCCAATCGATTCTAGCCGACTTGTCATACGTTCGATCCAGGTGGGGAAAGCCTGATCTTTGCTAGAATCAAATTCAATACTTGGCTCGCCGATGAGCGAGCGAAGAAGGATCAGAGCATCATCTAACGCTTCCTGTGGTTGACTGTAATGCTGCATGAAAAAAGGCACAAGCTTCTCGCTCGGCAGCTGGGCAACTTCAAGCGACGAAGCCGCCACCTTATGCGCTGCGTTCGCATATGCGCAGAATGCAGCATGCGCTACACACCAAAGCCATGCGGCGCGCATAACGTTCGGCAATCGACACCGAAGATCTGGCTGGCTGGCGTCGCTACAGCGCTGCCGCTAATTCTTACTTACGAAGGCCCCTCGTTGGAGCGTGCGTTGGATCACGTGAGAGAACGCTCGCCGCGGCGATGCAGGATCGTAACCAGCCACGATGACATCGGTGTTCGTGCGGGTGCGTGGTCCAACAAGCCACGGCGGCGTGTGGCGTCTCGGGCCCCAGCACATGGTAGCAATAATGTCATACTTTTCAAGGCAATGGGGCGATTTGGAGTATGCGTATTTTCCTCGCGTAAGCATCTCAAGTGCGAAGAATGAATGACTGACTATTATGTGTCTTATAGGCCAAGGGACAAGGGCGATTGTTAGGCTATGGAACAATTTCGTTTACTGAAAAAAGCACAGTGCAGCGCGTTCTGAATGCCGCCATGCAAAAACACGGTCTATTGCGGGTACCATTCGCCACGACACTCGTTGATCCTGAGGCCATAGCCTGTGCAAGCATGGCAGACTGTAAACGAGCTTTTCGAACTTCTCCTTCATTGCGTGATAGCGTCGCCGCAAACGCGCCATTAGCACCCAGCACGAAGAAAGAAGCAAGTCATGACTACTTCTTCGTCAAAGTGGAGCGGAGTGAGAGCCCATATCCAAGTGCAATGAGACACAAACACACTAAGCCTGACTCTGCTCTTATGCGCAGATTTGACGGCTTTGCGGGCGGCTGGGCACAACGAGCTGCTGAGTACGCACGCGAAGACCGAAAGTATTTAAAGGAAATGAGAAAGCGTCGCCCCTAGATGCTAGGGCATCATCAACCTCAATATGTCTCACTTTATCGTCCTATTCCTGCTAATTTCCTTCTACCGCTTTCGTGCGTTTGTTGGACTGCCGCTTGTCACGGTAGTGTGCATGCTTACGTTTTCGACTCTGGTGCTTTGCTGCATTTCTTGAAGCGCGCCGCTTCGCCGCGCGCTCAGGATCCATGACAGTCTCAAAGAGGCGCTCATGCTTCCGTTCACGGCGTTTATTGAGACGTGCTTGCTTCACGTGTGCAAATGCGCGCGTAAAGACAGTGGGCCCCACCTGGGCTTGGATGAGGTCTTGAACCTCAGTTGCAAGCATACTCAGATCTTCGGGCGCCTGGTCGTCATCCATGACACGCTGTATGGGCGAGAGAATATGGACCAAGAACTTGGAGATGATGGATGCACTGAGCTGTGTGGCCATGGCAGCGAACCATTTAAGAACAGCGCCGACTCGCTGAGGCGCTGTGTCTGAGCGACCGCCGCGATGGCTGAGACGTGCAGCATGGGACAGCTTCGTAAACAGCCATGCCAATTGTGGTGATGGCTTCTCGGAGTCGTCCACGTGCGTGTCGTCATGCTCGTTATCGTTATCATTAGCATCGAGAGTTTCTGCTGCGTCAAACTCCACATCAACTTCCCCATCGTTCTCCACATCACCCTCGTCCTCGTCGTCATCACTGTCTTGTTCATCGTCATCAGCCTCCATGGCATCGCCACGAGCAAAAGCCTTGCCGAGAAAAACTAGGTTGCGCACCACTTGCAGCGTCAGTGCATCGTCCAAAAATGCGCTGTACAGTTGCGACACCAGTTGCCTGGCTGTTCGGATCAACTCGTTTGCTTCCATGTGCATATCTGCTGCAAAATAAGCGCCCATCACACGGGACGCAGCAACTCGGCACCAAGCATGAGGCCACGTCAGCAATGTAACAACATTTGAGATAGCCGAGTCGAAGCGAGACCAAGCCTTTGGATCGCCCAGCACGATCGTTTGCATAGTCTGGAGCGCCTGGTACGTGAGCTGCCAGGAGATGGAGTCCGGATCGGCACTATCGCTACTCATGGCTTGTGCACTGTCGTATAATGCCTGAGAGATGGCTTCCGAGGCATCTTGAATAGCCCAAGGAGGACAAGCGGATTGAGCATGTGCAATGTCATAGACACGCAGCGCGACAGCTGCGAGCTTTTGGGCTTGGTCACTGCCATGCGCCATCGCCCATCCCTTGGCCATACGCAAAAGAGCGTCGCGTTCTTTCTCATGAACGGTGCGAAGAAGTGTGCCCAGAACGTCAGCCGAGTGTCGTCTTACATGCGGCGAGTCTTCGTTCGCGAGCTGCATGACGAGCGCAACAAAAAACAGCTGCGAGTATTGCGAAATGACATCGGTTGAGAACTTCGACATGATGGCGCCTAGGATGTCTAAAACGCTTCGACGGCCGCTTTCGCTCTCGTAGGCAAGGTGCTTTGCAAGGAACTCGAGCTGGCTCCTGAGCCGGCCTTGTCCTTGAGGGTAGTCGAGCAGGAAAGAGAGGTATAAAGAGCGACAGATCTCACGAACTTGCGCGTCGTGACTTGTCACCAGCAGCTCAGCAATGCGATCCATGACATCGTAAATCTCAGGCACCACAAATGCTCGCGATACGATGGCACGCAGCAACGCAAACACACTTGTCTGGGCATCGGGTGCATCAAGTTCAGACGAAACTAGGTTCAGGAGCTCCGTCAACTGCCGGGCAGGCGGAGCTCTCGCGCGGCCTTCACGCAAAACAACAGAGAGTGAGCGGAGAGTCGTCTGAGCCATGGAAGAGTGAATGCCACCTGCATGACGGAGCAAGAGAAGCATTTGCTTTTGCATCACAGGTAGTGTTTCATCAAGATTTGGTAGCGGACATCGCGCTAGAGCCGCCACGGCCCGTAAGCCGCGCTCAACGACAGGCGCATTGCGTGCGTACAGCGTTTCGCCAACGGCTTTGACCAACGGCAACAGCTTCGACACCGTCGCTTCGTCATGGATGTCAAAGCGCGATCTCCGCAGGGCGGTCGTCAAAAGATCCAGGCCCAGCTCGACGAAGAAATGTGCATTTTGCGCAAGATGGGGCGCTTCTGATGGTGGTGTTTCAGCAAGAGCCTTGGCACCGCGTGCAATGAGTGTATAACACAGAATAAGATAGGAACTGGTGTCGATGTGAGGATTGGCACTGACGCCTGAGGCAATGCGGTGCAAGCATTCATTTACGGAATGCAACGTCTTTGGGTCAATGGACGTAGCCAAAACACCCCGCAAAGGCAAGAGAAGTTCCTGGAGGGAGCGCGGATCCACAAGTCGCGCAAGATGTTCGAAAGAGTCAAGACTCTTGCTTTGACGGAGCTCGCGAACCTTGGTCTTATACTCAACAGCCGCACGGTCTTCGCTAGTGAGGCCGAAGAGGTCTTCCATCACAGCTTCTGTCATATCACGCACGCCCCGGTCAAGCTTCGTCAGTAGGGGCGCGGTGCCTGGCACGGCAGGCACGGCCAGAGCAACAAGCAGCGTGTGCAGGGTGTATGCACATACGGCGAGCTGAGGACCACGAGTGAGGATGCGCCGAAGCTCATGCACGACATCAGGAAGATACGAAGCCCCGATAGCACGCAGCATTTGAACGCCCATGTCGCGGCACGTATCGCGAGTGGACTGGAGTTTGCTACGAAGAGCAGAACCAAGTTCAGAGAACACTTTGAATAATTCCACATTCCGTCGATCACTCGGAAGGTACATGGCAAGACGTGCAGTCCCTATAAGGAGGGGCAGACGAGCAGGAAGACGGTCTTCATCCTTTGTGGCAAGGGCCTCGTACAAGGGCGGCAAGACGCGCGTTGTCAGGGTTGTGGCAAGAGCGAGACGCTGTGCACGTGGCAAGCTCCGTGCGTCAGCTGTATCGAGCGTCAGATCATGCGCGATGGCGTGTGGCGGCGCCTGTGTCGAACTCTCATCAGCGATGGGGTCGTCGGACATCTCGACATCCTCATCCATGGGAAAATGGAATGCCTCCAATACACCCACAATGCCGCGAACATGCAGTCGCTCAGACGCCGATGTCTCGTCCTTGCCTGCATGTTCCTTGAGCTGACGCAGAAAGCGCTTGAGCCAATAGTAATAGTGGCCCCATTGTAAGTGCGTTGCCATGCGGCGTATGCAAGCAAGTGCCTCGTTTGCCATGTTCATATCAATGCCGCCAGACTGATTTGGCAGGAGAAAGAGCCAGACGAGAGGGACAAATAGCTCCGAGAGTGTGCGACTGCGCAGTGAGCCAGCCTCAGCAGCATCGCCCAGACGATGCAACGCACGAACTCGACGATGCGTCTGGATATGGTACAGGTTCGTGAACACACTGGCCTCGTCATCGCCACCAGCGCGCAGCACTTGCAGCTCGGTGAGTGACGGCAAAACGTCGGCCCAATGGGCCACAGCGAGACCCAAAATTGTGAGCAGTTCTTTGCGCACCGTTTCTACGCGGGTGTGGAGGCGCTTGTATACACCTGGCAATAGCACGTCAGTGGCGAGTGACAAAGCCTGTTCGCTTTGCGCCTCGCTGACGAAGCGCTGAATCAGTGAGGACGCGTTCGTGCGCAGTACTAGCTCTTCATCCATGACGAAGAAGAGTGCCTCGTACAAAAGTGCATGCCATTCACGCACGTCGATTTGCGTGTGAGGATCGAGGATCGCGTCAAACGCCAACAGACGCGTCTCGAGATCAGGCTCGTTGAGTGTGCGCGCCGAGTAGGCATTGAGCCTCGATACCCATGAGGTGATGCGCTCGAGAGAGGCATCTTTTTGTGCAAGCTGTGCGAAAGCTTGAGCATACTGCATGCGAGCTGGCTGCCATCGCAACTCGGCGCCGAGGCGACAAAAGAGCGTGTACAAATCATCGAGGGCAGCGCCTTCACAGCTGGCACGAGGAAGCAGCAACGACAATGTACGCAGCAGCTCTATTTTGACGCGTTCAGGCACTGCTTTCGCACCGTGCTGCATGAGTGGCACAAGAAGCGAAAGCACAGCCGCGGCATCATCGGAGCTTGTCAAATGTGGCGCAAGCTGAGACAAGACACTGAGCTGCTTGCGCAGCATTTCATCACGGACCTGCGTGGAGAGAGGATGCGCAAACGAAGAGTGGATCGTATGGCGTACCAGCGGCACAATATGCTCGAGCAATGACGAAGAAGTTGGCACAACGACACGACTGTGGATAGCTTGTGTTGTGTGAATGTCGCTGACATCGGCCATATCGTTCTGGTCACCGTGCAGACCTTGACCAGCATGCAAGATGCGCTCAGCCATGTCGAGGATTGTGTGCACGACAGATGGCTTGATACTAGGCCGGCTAAGACCCGCATAGACAGAACGCAGCACGGATGGATCACTCATGAAGCACAGGAGCGTGTCCGGTCGCGACACCCAAGCACAGCATACATCAAGCAACGAAGATGGGGCCTGGACGCTGTCGTCCGCAAATGTAGCCAAGCGTGGATGAATGAGTTTGGACAGGATCGCCGTACGGAATGGATGCCAGTCGACATCGGGTGCCAAGCGTACAAAGTCAGCGAGTCGCCGAAATGCGGTACGTCGAATCATCCGCATCGTTGCATCGGATGATTCGCTCGCATGAGCATCTATGGTCACCACGACTGCCACGAGACGCGGCAGGCAGAACGTGAGGGGCCGCCCTAAATGCCGCAACACATCACCCATCGTCGCCAGCAGACCCAACTGCTTGCGAGGCAAGGCCTGCGGGACCTTGGCAGGTACAACGAACACGTCTGAATGTGAGAGAGGAGTAGCGTGAAGGTCGCTGAATGAACCAAGCATAAGATTCACGAGCAAACCAATATCGTCCTCGCTGCTCTCGTACAGCGACGCAAGGATAGCTGAGCGGCGCGCCGTCTGTCCTGCACCACTTGTCCGCGCACCACGACGCGACACCATCATGCCGTACAGCAGACGCACAAGCACTTGCATGACATGCGGTCGGTCAGTCGGGCTGAACTGCTCCGACGAAGCGGCTAAGTTGAGGTGAGAGAGCGTGTCGCGGAACTTGGCGGGGTCGAGCAGCTTTTGCAGCGTGTCTTCCTGCAAAACAAGCCATTCGTCTTTCCAAGCAAGAAGACATTCGACGGCGCCTCGCTGGATCGCCAGCTCCGGATTCGCGCACAAGGCAAGAAAGCGGCTCTTCATCGCAGGTGACTTATACATACTCGCGGGATGACGGAATTCAGCAAATATCGCGAGAAAGCGCCTGAGTCGCTCGGCCCGCATGACCGCTGGCATCCGTGCGCCAGTTGTCGGTGTGGATGCTGATGCCAGTTCCAGCTCCGCTTCGTCGTCCACCAGTGACGACCACTGTGCAATGACAGCCGACACAAACGCCTCGCTGTGTTTCTCAGGCAGCATCGCATGCTTCTCGTACACACGCAACAGCTGATCGGCATAGTGGCGCACGTCGAGACGCACATCACGGGCATTCGACCTTTCCGCAAGTCCATACCTTGCATGTTCCACAGCCGTCACACTTTCCATCTGCATGCAGCGCAGAATCCATCGCACACGTTCCTGCCGCTGGGCATCGTGCAAAGAAAAAGCATCTTCTGTATCCGTGTCGACAGTGTCATCAAATGCGGAGTCAGACTTCATAGCAGTGTCCAAGATCTCACCCGCTTGGTGATCCTGGATGTAAGTTGTCCCTGCATGGATCAAAGCATCAGCTGCCTGCCACTCGGCAAATGAGACACGCCACACCTCTTCCGGCACTCGCGAGCAAAGAGCCACCAGTGTTTCTCGACTGGCCGCCCACACTGGCTGGAAGTTGATCTTGAGCGTGCCGACTGTATAATACACAAGCGCCTGCATCTGGACATCGTCGGCCCGCAGGACTTTGCATGCTTCGCGCTGGATATGCCGCAACTTGACATTGCGCGTAGCAATCGTCTGTACCTCCAAGCCCATGCTCTCGACGTCGACAAGCATGTCCATCACACGCACAGGCACATCACCGATCGTCAGTGACATGATGCGCAACGCTGCGAGGACGACAGCTCGGTTCGCATCAAGCACAGCCGCCGACAGCATCGACCATGTTAACGCAGCGCCGGGCAGTCTGACGCTCTGCACATGCGCAATGCACGCAAGATCAGCAAGGGCGGGAAGCACAGCATGGTTGGACGCACATGCACGCAGCAACGTTTCAAACGTGCTAGGCATGCCGTCAAACAGAAAAGACAACGGCTCTTTTGGCACGTCGCTCGCCTGTAACAAGTGCACGAGACCTGCCACGAGTGCGCCCATCACAGCTGACATGTCTATGACAGCCGCTCCAGACCTGGCTCCTAGTGCACCTGACTCAAGGCCCATCGCTGCTGCGGACTGGATGCACTGAACAAGAAGCGGCACAAACTTGGCGGCAAACTGTGGGAATCGGCATGCGAGCTGGACAGCCGGCAGGGATACGGTCGCCTCATCTGTCCATGAGCCTGTCTCAAGGCGTCCAGCAAGCTGCTCGAGCCGCTTCTGTACAATGCGGCGCGTGCGTTTGATCCACCGAAGCACGATGGTCGTGGGCGGCGCATGGAGCATCGGGTCCAAATGGCCTTGTGTGTCAAGAACGGACAATAGTGCAAGAGCTGAGTCTTGATGTGCGTTAGGTGCATCGTCTTCAAGCACACGCGAAGTGGCCTCCAATGCATGTGGCAGTGCAAAGGTGGAAAACCCATGCCATGCAGTTGCTGGATCACCCAGCACTCGGAACATGCCAGCCAACGCGGCCCATGGCATGTCAAAGTACTCTTCCTTGGGTCGCGCCACAAATGCTTGCAGAAGCCGCTTACCAGGCCCCGTCATGTCCCGTACATGAGCCTTAGGAAGTGACAAGCACACAAGTGTAATGTAGGACTGGAGGAGCGACGCATGGGCTTCTGTCCATGGCAAATGTTCATCCAGATCAGCCAAAAAGACCAGCACCTGATGGAGTGAATCTTCAGCAACACGTTTACCTTTCCGCGTGCCAATAGCAGCGATGAGCCATTCGAGCATTGATTGCAGTGCGTCGCCTGGCTGAAGAGACGATGCCCGCTGTAGAAGAAAGTCAAAGACACACACCATGCCTGGTGCTCGTGTATGGTGCACAAGGGACGTGATGATCCAACGGCCAATGCGGCGAACCATCATAGCACAAGGGGATTCAAGATCCATAATACACGAGAGAAGCTCAGGTGTGCGTGAATGCAATGCATGTGACGCTGTCTTGCAACTGTTAGCCCATGTAGCGGCTATTCCGTGCTCCAATGCAAGCCCATAGCAATTCGCGTCAACTAACATGTGTGAGACTAGTTCTTTGAGTTGAGCTTGTGGGGCCTTGCGAATCAGGTATGACAATGCTTCAGTTGCGAAGCGCCTAGTGTGCGTCGTGGGCGAAAGCTGCGATGTATGGACAAGCACTTGATTCTCACCCTCTTCAATATTTTCTTCCCTATCCTCATCCTTATCTTCTTCATTCTCATCGGCCACTTCATTGATATTTTCATTAGCACCTGCCGGCAACGGCTGACTAGGTTTTTCAGCCGCAATAACGTCCCTCACAATCGTCCAGCTTGTGATTAGAAGCTCAGGACTCTGGCTTTTAAGCATCAGCGAAGTCACAGCGCGAAAAAGCCAGGCAGCACTGTGGAACGCTCGTTCAACGAGACGTGCAGCCATAGCATCGTCTCCATGTGTCAAGTTCTTATTCATTGATGACGATGCACGCAGTAGCGCAGTCAAGAGCTTTGGGTAAACGGGTAAAAATTCTGGTCCTAGATCAAACGCCATACGAGGTACAAGGTCAAGAAGTGCATCCCATGCAAGCCAACTTCGATCATCTCGTAAGATCAGAGACGCATCCAATACAGTTGCAATTTCGTCGCGGTGATGCAGAAGCAGGACAAGGGACTGCGCTTTAGGCTTGACAAGCGCGTAAAACTCCTGGAATGGCAAGCTTAAATTCAGCTCGTTCCATTGCTCTAGGGCTGTGCCGAATGCTGTACTCTGCAAGTCAGATGTCTCGGCAATGGTCGTTGCAGTACCAGTCGCCTCAGCAAACACACTCGCAGGCGCATCGAGACCGGCTACTTGCAATCGATTTTGCCCCCAGCTATGGCTTGCATCCCTTGAGAGATCAATAGTCACATTCTTCAGCCGCTCGTGGAACGACACATAGCGGTGTATTCCCGCACTGTCGCCCATCGTGGCGAATGGATCACGGCTTTTGCAAGGCGTTAAGGTCAGACAAAAATAAAGTGGAGAGCGCAAAATTCTGTTCGGCCGAATAAAAATTCTTGTGCACGACCATCCTTAGACCACGATGATGGATCTCTTTGAAAACGGGTCAGACGCGCTAACTGAGCAGCAGCTCTCGATCAATCAGTCCTATGCTGAAAGGTACCATCATAATAAGCGTCGCCAGCAACTAGAGCAACTGAAGGAAAAGTATGGACCCAATGCAGATCTCGAGGAAGATGAGGACGAATCGGATTCTGAGGATGTTACCGAGGATGAAGATGGCGAGCAGTTGACACCGCAAATGGACGCAGCCATTCTTCGTACTTTACAACGTATCAGAAATAAAGAAACAGATCTTTATGATCCGAAGAATCGTGTTTTTGACACAGAGCAGGCAGCTTTACAATCTGCTAGGATGAGCTCCGACGTAAACCACAAGTCCAATTCTCGGAAAAAAATGACGCTGCAAGACTACCAGCGTAGTCGTATGCTAGACGCCATGAAACATTCATCCGATCCAGCCAAAGATTTTGCTGAAGCGACGATGCATAATGGAAATAACGATGATCAGCCCATTCCTACAACGCATGACGATGAACAAGAAGCGATTCGTGCCGAGTTCCTCCGTGCAGCGCAAGACTCAGAAGGCCAGGATGACTTGTTCCAAGTACGAAAAGCCGAAGGTGGGGATGAAAGCACGTATCATTCTACTCTAATGGGTGCTCTTGGTAAAGATGCAAGTGAAGATAAGATCCGCGAACTATTACGAGATCACACACATGACGAGTCGCGCTCGAAAGAAAACGAAGACTTTTTAATGAACTACATTTTGAACAGGGGCTGGGTCGAAAGTGATATTCCGTCTTCCACCTCCGAACCAGTTCGCAATTGGGATGCTGAGGCGGAAGATCTTGACTCGGAGGCATCGTTCGATTCGGCTGCCGAGGCGTTCGAGCATGCTTATAACTTCCGCTTTGAGGATCCCTCGCTTGCGCAGAAATCATTTGCAATTGAAAGCTTCCCGAGGCACTCAGAAGATTCAATCCGACGTCCTGATGATAGACGTAAGAAAGCTCGTCATGATCGTGCAGCTCGCAAGAAAGAGGAGAAAGATTCAAAAATGCGAGAACTCAATCAGCTGAAAGCTTTAAAGCGTCAGGAAATTGCCGAAAAGCTTAAGAAGCTTCGTGAAGTTTCTGGTAGCGATAACCGTATGGATGGTCATGCGTTTGATGGCATTGATTTTGATGCGGACTTTGATCCGGCTGAACATGATCGTTTGATGCAATCTCAATTTGATGATGAGTATTATGCTATGGAAGACAGGGAAAAACCTCGCTGGGATGGAGATTGGGAAATCGATGACATTATTTCTTCTGAAACCAAGCCAGAAAAGAAAAAGAAGCAAAAGCCTGCCTCAGAAGAAGGCATGGATGCCGATTTCGTTGATAATCAAGATGCAAAGCTTTCGAAGAAGGAGCGCAAAGCATTAAAAAAGAAGGAAAAGAAAGCGGCTAAAAACAAAGGAAAACAAGAACATGAAGTTGATGCTGATGATATGGATGCTGACAAGACTGAAAGCCAGATAACTGAGACTGACCGGAAACAGAAGGCGCGTGACCTGATGGACGAGTACTACAATCTAGGCTATGAAGATATGATTGGCGACACACCCACCCGCTTCAAATATGCTTCTGTACCTAAAGATAATTACGGACTCAGCGCGGTTGAGATTCTTTTGGCTGACGATGCCGACTTGAACAATGTTGTGGGTTTGAAACATTTGCAGCCATACCGGCGCGGCCCGTCCAAGCCATCGAATCTGAAAAAACGTTTGAAGCGTTTCCGTGAGGATTTGGACGCACGTGAACAACCGGTGGAGCAAGAAGAACGTCCAAAGAAGAAGCGCCTCGGCAAGAAAGAACGTCAGAAGCTCAAGACACAAGATTCCACTCTATAGTAACTATTAATGTCCATGGAAGACTTTCATGTCATGCATGGTAAGGTTACCTGCCTCTGCAGATAGCTTGCTGTAGAAACCATACCAATAGATAGGGCTCAAAGTTATCTTCATCTCATGCAAATGCGAGCGAGCAGCCCTGAAATAATAGTAAATGAAGAGGGTCAACGGATCAATACGCCCTTCAATTAGATACCAAACAACCATCCAGCTGATATATCCAATTAGAACAATGACACCAGTCACCAAGAAGATCATCATAAAAAATATCCTGTAAACGCCCATCCTGTCCATTTGTTGACGCTGTGCCTCTGCCTCAGCATTCAGCACCTCTTCAGACTTCCCAATGGCACTATACCGTGCTTCACGATCACGAGCAAACACCCAAGATTGATAAGCATGAGATCGAATGTCTTCCTTCTTGTTACGTTGGACAGATAGTACATATGATGGGAAATTGTATTCACACCACGTCTGGATCCGACTGAGCTCCACGCACCAACGAATGTAATTTGGATCATCTGCCCGTAATTTCTTGTGAATTGAGCGACCCACGTCCAGAAAAATACCAGCCACATCCCTAGGATTTGTCGATCGCAAAATCAGACGTACAGCAAGTGATTTTCGAATCTTGACATTCTTTTTGTACACATTCGCATTATCGACCAAGACTTCCAGAGTCGCAATCGCCATAACTTGAGGAGTAGCACAGAAGTTGAACACACTCTGATCACGCAGTAAAATCAAATATTCTAATGAGCTGGTTACATGTGATACTGCGTCCAATAGCATCGTGGAGAGCACTTCCCTTGCCTTCCTGCCCTCAACAGTGTCCGTAAACTTGTAAGAATTGGAACCGGGATAGGTTTCGACGACGCCGCGCTGAACTTCAGTTTGCCTCGCAAACACGCCACCTGAACCCCAGCACTCTTTTGGCCAGAATGAGCGGCCCTCGCGACAATCTTCGGCATAATCACGGATAATGTTGGTTTTTTGCAGGAAGAGTCCCATATGGTTCGACAGCGAGAGTTGCAGGCCAATGAGTGGTTTTTCAATCTTTGTTTGGACAAACAAGCCAGACAACCCTTCACCAACAAGACCGGCCACAAAATGACAGTACAAGTCATAATCCCTCCAGCCCTCCATAGTCAGACCGTTGGGGGAGTCGCCTAGCTCGATGTAAGAAGCCATACCTGCGCCCATTCGAGCACATATATCAGCAATCACGAAACGACAGCCCTCATTAAGCATCTGGTACTCTGCAATTACCTTGTCAAACTCAACGAGTAGCTGACGGTCCTTTTCATTGGGACCACTGCCGGTGAAGTTCCATCCCGGTTCACTTAGCTTCTTGTGGAAGTCCAGCAGTAGAGGAATCTTGACATCGGGCTTAAGGGTCATATCATCTTCGACAGTATCAAGTCCACGTAACACCAAATAGAAAATGCAAATGACGCGGCTCAACTCTCCCTTCAGCTCCTTAATAACAGCAGCGAAACTACGGCTCGTGGCATCTAGGAACGACCAGCATTCCCGCATTCGCTCACGGTCCCAACCGCTGTCTTTGGGATTCCTTTTGAAATCGTGGACCGGATCGCGCCAGACATTGTAAGTGATCAGGGAACGGAGCTCAGAAGGGTGCGCAACTGCAAGCTTCAGATACTCCATGTTCGTCAAGTGCGTGAAATGGCAAGGAGTCAAGTCGCATTTGACTGCTGAGGAAAGTTGAATCACGTGGCGGGCGGACCTGAGTCGTTGTCAAAATTCTTATCTCTTCGTCGAAGCATGGATCCACTACTACAAACGCCCCTGCGTTTAGCTTCAGTTAGTGAGCCTATCGACATTTCTGTTCAGGATGCGAAACATTTAGTTGACGCTTTTATCGAAGACTTCAAACAGCGCGGAGGGAGCAATCCAGGAACCACTCAAGACGCTCAAGACGTGATGAGCTCAGGCGGCGTTTTGATGAGCCAGCTGATCCAATTGCGTAATGGTCTAGCAACTTCAATATGAATGATGAAAGCGCGATTTCTTCTTTATTAGGGAGTGTATGGCTCTATTTGCTATGCTGCTTGTTGAGTTACGCACCAGTTAATACTTGGCTCACTCTAAAGACCGTTTACCCTAATACAGTTTCGCTTCTGATCGCGGAACCCTACTCTATGAGCTGTTCTCTGAATTCTCCAACTCCTGAAGTATCTTGAGAAAATCTGAATGCGTTAGCTCTATGGCGCTCGTATGAACCATACCTTGTTCCCATTGTGTATCTCCGAAGTCGTGAGACTCCACTTTCTGCCGCGTTGGCGACTTTTGAGAAAAAAATGCTTCATACCAAGATAGATCAGAGTGGTAAGACTTCATAGAGCTCTCGATATCTGATGCTTCCGCACTATCGAACCCGAATTCAGACGGCTTCAGCCCGGCTAAAATCATTTGCTTGCAGATGCTCGACGTGTTTAGGAGTGTCTGTCGACGATTATTTTGTAGTTGTTCCAGCACCCTTACAATAAGTTGGCGTTGAATCACAAATTCGCGATTCCTTTCATTCCGACTGCGAAGCTGCATAGTAGTATTTAAAGCAAGTGAAGTAACCACAGACAACAAAACGAAGTCTGACGCTACCCTTACGATGCCATTGTGACCATGTAGCCAAGACATGATATATGTGCACAGTATGAGAAGCGGAGCGCATCGATAAAATATGTACCTGAACTTTTTTCCTAAAAATTCAAATACTTACCATTAAATAAATACAAAATACATTCTTTTAAATTCTGTGAATAAAATTTATTGTCTCTGTTGAAAACATTTTATTGAAAACACAAATCAAAATAATTTAATCAATATAATAACATAAATAGATGTGATTCTATTGCTATATTGTGCTTCAAATATATTATGTTAAATAATAAATTTGATTACATTAATATATTATTTCTTTTTTTACTTTAGTATAAGTATATGCTGTATATTATTACAATTCTTATGCTTTACTATTTAAAGGTTAAATAAATTTTCATTTGTCCACCAGTCACTATTTTCATTTTCGTAATTTTTATTTTTTTGTTGAGACTCTTCATTGGTTGGGAACGATTCACCCCAGAGGTCTTGCGCGGTGTCAGAATCGTTAGAGTTAGGCAATGTTCCTGATCGTTTTCCGAGAATAACGCTGGATCGTTCTTCTCCACTGCTCTTGTTTCTCTGATTTGGTGTTGACTGGTTAAATTCGAAAAACTTATCATGGCCTTGATTTCCAACAGGATAGGGTAAATTCATTGCTGCGAACACATACGAGGCAAAGCTTCCGTTCGGCCAAGCGATTTCATCGTTAAAACCATTTTTCAACTCACGCGCGTTAATTGAAGTTTCTTTATTTTGGGCCTCGATCATTATTAGCTCCTTCCATGCTTTCTCAACGAATCGAATTGGTGCGCTGTTCGACAAGTCTTGGTTTCGATTTTGCTCTCCGATCAGTTTCTGCACTGCCTGATCTGTTGCATCAGCAGAACGATCAGATCGCATTTTGTTGACCAGCTTGGGTGAAACTTCTGTATTGATGATTGATTTTTCATCTTTGCCATTGCTCTGCTCATCATGTCCGAAATCTTTTCCACCTGTTCTTATATTTGCAGCGGTGATTTCAATGTCATCATCCTCAGCTTTACCCGGAGTAAGGGTGTTAACTCTATTCTTCTTCGAAGACTCCAAGGGACTAGTTTCGTTTCTGGAGTTATCCTGGCTTTCATCAGGTCTAGCTTGGTCAGTTTGAGCAGATAAGGTCTTGGCAATGATTTTTTGCGCCAACTTCTCATCGTTTAACCTGACAAACCCAATACAGCGAGTCATTTGAACTTTGAGCTTTTCCAGATCTGCCATCTTAAGTATACACTGCTTCTGAGGGAGCAATGCCAACTGATCCTCAAAAATGCATATCATGATTTTGACGCGTTTTGCAGGTTCGACATTTTTTGTCATAGCCAAAAAGACTGGAAGTAAAGCCAAAACTGTCGCTTTCAGTGGTACCAATGACTGCACTTGTTGAAATATCATGGCTTTCTCTTCTTCCTGTATGCTCTCTATAATCGGGAGCTTTGGACGCGACATTGAAAGACTCAAGTCTATCTTGTTCAGTAGAGATCGAGCTTCCTCCAGCATCTTGGTAGTGACTTTAATGCTTGACTGCCGTTGTTTCTCTGGCGATGATTTATTTGGGGGCGCTTGTTGCGACAAATTTCCCAAATCTGTCGATCGTGGTTGAGATGCTTGTGGGGCGGGGGTTGACACCGACTGATCTATTGGCCACTTCATTTGAACAGAATGCATGTTCGGTGCCTTTGCAGAGAGTTGTATTGGAGACGAAAATTGGGATGTTTGCGGTTGCACCACATTAGATAAATGCTCGGGTGCAGGTGGCATTGGTGTAAGCTGATCACTCAGAAAAGAGTTCGGTGTAGTGGCTGGCATTGAGGGATTCTGCATCAAAGTACTGAAGCGAGGCGATTGAGTCGCACTGTTTTGGTTCATCGATGTCGAATTTGCTTGTAACGAGTCAGATATATTGGACTTGGCCATTGGCACACTGTTCGAAATGGAAATTTGATGAAGTAGAGCGCGATTCCATACTTCTTCAAAAAGTTCCAAATAGTTCTTATACACCTGAGATAACTGGAGCGATATAGCAACAAGTTGTGTTTGGTTCATAGAAACAAAACCCAGTGAAACAGCCACAGACGCCCATCGCCCATTTTGAGATATTGTTTTACTGCCTCCAAAAGATTGAACTAAAGTGAAGAGTTGATACAAGTCGACTTCACGCCCATTAACAACTGGATTCATCTGAATAGCTTTCCCATGGCGGTGCATGAGATCCATCAACGCACGTTTAAACTGCTCCGGTGAAAGAGACACATTAGAAGCTGGTGCATTCGGTGCAGTTGTAGGTATGTTTTGCATTCGATATGGTTGAACAGAGGGCATATTCATTGTTGCGCCGTTCATGAGATTCACACTGGATTTCGACGAAGGTGTGTTTACGTTCGTTTGAGCGAAGCTTGTTACCAAAGGGTTAGAAAGACCTCCGATTAAAGGGCTTGATGAAGTTGAAACTGGTTGCTGTATTTGAGACCCTTGCGTTAATTTCTGAATGAGAGTGGCTTGAACGCGATGAAGCTCCTGTCGGTTGTGAAGCAGAGATTGCCGCTCCAGATCGTTTGTCGACGACGCCAGCTTCTGCTCAATTTCGCTGATGCGCTGTTGAATTTTTTGAACAAACTGTAGTCCTTGTAGCATATTTGTCTGGTGCTGTTGAGGTTGTTGCTGTTGTTGCTGTGGCGATTGTTGCTGTTGTTGCTGTTGTAATTTTGAGGCATCCATGACAGGATTCAGTGCAGCTTGAGAGATTGCTGTTGGAGTGCCTTGATTCTGCATCATCATGGATTGTTTCATAGGCATTGCTTGCACTGTTCGCTGCATTGCAGGCATTGAGCCAGGAGCGGATATGTTCGCCGGCATCATAACTTTGGGTGTCATTGGCTGCTGGTTAGACTGGGAAGATTGCTGTTCGAGAATTGCGCGCAGATGAGATAACTGGACGGGGTTCAAAAGACCTGCTTTTGCCTTGTTGACCATATCGAGCATGACATTGTTCATACTAGCTTGTTGCGAATTCGTAACACCGGACGAAGAACCCGGAATAGGCATTCCCTGATTCAGAGTATTTAACATGGATGGCTGAGGATATTGACCCGTGTGTGTCCCAGGCTGCATTGACTGGCTCTTTTGATTCAAAAGAGCTTGCAGTTGTTGAGGCGTCAGATTTTGCAAGTATTCTTGCTGAGATTTGGGAAATGGTTGTAAATTATGTTGCTGTGTCTGGAAGGCCTGCTGCCTCGCCTGCATATGCTGTTGTTGCTGCGCCAACTGCGCAAGCTGCTGCTGGGTGTTCCCAAGAAATCCACCTCCCTGTGGAAACGACATGAAGCAGATTTCAAATTCAAGGCCGAGCAACCTTTGGACGTTCCTGAAAAGAATCGATATGTCGTGTCTCCATTGAAAGTGCATCTCTCCTCCACATCATGATATAATGTTGTCGCGACCTCGTGATTACATATGGGACCTGGTCGCGTACATGGGAAGGATTCAAGTCCTCCAACACGGCGTAGCAAAAAATCTGTACTTTCCTATGTGCATGGGTATGAAGTTTGGTAGTATGGTTGGCGAACTGTCAAGTTCATGACAAAATCAAAGCGTGTCTTCAATATCAACAGAGACGCCCATATCATCTACTTCTTTGTGCGTGCTTTCAGCGTCCTGTTCCTTACTCGCATTGACCTGGTTGCTGGAGGACGGTGAAGAACTAACTTGGTTTTGTGCGCCCGTAGGTGAAGATGCAACTGGGACATTTCGCACATCAGCTTCGAGTCGTTCGTACAGAATCCTGTCGTTAGCGAAGTCCTGCACATACGCGCGCTCTAATCTCAGTCGCTGAATGTTCCCTTTAATACGCAATGTCAAGGCCTGCAGCTTATCATTTTCCTGAAGATAAGTTGACCCAATAAAAAGACATACCTGTTCAATCTCATGTACTTTGCGCTTAAGCTCCTTGTACTTTTGTCGGTATTTTATGGCATCACTCTGGATAGCGACACTTGATAGATATGCCTTTGACTTTTGTTTCGAGGGTGCAGTTCCTCCAGATGATGCTGCACCACTTGCCATGGTTGTGTGGCACGAACGAACGCAGCGGCCGTTGATGATCGTGACAAGTCACGTGTAAGGTCTCCACGTGAACTCAGGTCCAAAGAATGAAATGTGGACAGGCGGTTTTCATCAAGATTCTTGTCGCACGATGTCGAGTGAAGGTCAAGCTGGCGCTGTCGCTCCTGAGCAACTGGCAAACGCTGTGAAGACAATGGATGTGAAGGACAAGTCTGGAAAGAAAGGGAAGGGAGATGGTGGTCATGTTCTTCCTCTAGAGGTAAGCATGAATGCAAGTGGACGGCTAACAACAGTTTGAGCCACGACCTGCCTATTTCCAAAACCGCATCGACATGTTCGAGCGGATCAAAGCCGAGCAGGATACCGCGCGTGCGAATGCAGAGCGCAAGAGTATTACAATCACTATGCCGGACGGATCGACCCCGCGAGGGCACATCTTGGGAAACTTCTCCGATGGACATTGCAAAGGCGATTTCTAAGAGCCTTAGTGAACGTGTCGTGATCTCCAAGGTGAATGGTATCTTGTGGGATCTCGAGCGTCCACTGGAGGGTGATGCTACGCTTGAACTGCTCGACTTTGAGCACCCGGAAGGCAAGCGTGTGTTCTGGCACTCGTCCGCACACGTCCTCGGTGAAGCAGCAGAACGACATTACGGATGCCACTTGTGCATTGGCCCTCCCACGGACGAGGGTTTCTACTATGAAATGGGTATGGGTGATAGTGGGGATCGGCCCGTGAAGTCAGAGGACTTCGAACCGCTCGAGAAACTCATTGGCATGGCTGTGAAGGACAAACAGCCGTTTGAGCGGGCCGTGCTGACCAAAGAACAGCTGCTGGAAATGTTCAAGTATAACAAATACAAAGTACACATTATCAACTCGAAAATCCCTGATGGCACATCGACGACCGTGTACCGCTGTGGCCCTATGATTGACCTATGTGTTGGTCCGCACATCCCGCACACTGGACGCATCAAGGCTATGACGGTGCTGAAGAACTCGGCCTCGTATTTCCTCGGCGACCAAAAGAATGATTCGCTGCAGCGTCTCTATGGCATCTCGTTCCCGGACAAGAAGCAGATGACCGAGTACAAGCATTTCCTTGCCGAGGCTGCCAAGCGAGACCACCGCCGCATTGGAAGAGAACAAGAATTGTTCATGTTCCATGACCTTAGCCCTGGTAGCTGCTTCTGGCTCCCGCATGGTGCACGCATTTACAACACGCTTCAGGACTTTATCAAGAGCGAGTACCGAAAGCGTGGCTTTGATGAGGTCATTTCGCCTAACATGTACAACTCCAAATTGTGGGAGACGTCCGGTCACTGGGCAAACTACAAGGATGATATGTTTGTTCTCTCTGTCGACAAAGAGACATTCGCGCTAAAACCAATGAATTGCCCTGGCCACTGCCTCATGTTTGCTAGCCGCGACCGCTCGTACAAAGAGCTACCTCTGCGCTTCGCCGATTTTGGTGTGATCCACCGCAATGAGGCGAGTGGTGCATTGAGTGGACTAACACGTGTGCGACGTTTTGTGCAGGATGATGCGCACATTTTCTGTCGCGCATCGCAGATCGAGGATGAGATGATCAACTGCTTCGACTTCCTGCAGACGGTGTATGGTCACTTCGGCTTTTCGTTCAAGATGGAGCTTTCGACGCGCCCAGAGAAACATTTGGGTGATGTGGAGACATGGGATGCGGCTGAAAAGCGTCTTGCCTCTGCCTTGGACCGATTTGTACCAGGCCGATGGGAGTTGAACCCTGGTGACGGAGCATTTTACGGACCAAAGATCGACATTACTATTAGTGATGCTATGCGACGCGAGCATCAGTGCGCGACTATTCAGCTGGACTTCCAGCTACCGCAGCGCTTCAACTTGGAATACAAGACTCCACAGGGCGGAGCTGAGGCTGACAAGCATACGGAACGCCCGGTTATGATCCACCGAGCAGTGGTCGGCAGTCTTGAGCGCTTTATTGCGATTCTGATTGAGAACTTCGCCGGCAAATGGCCATTCTGGCTCTCGCCCCGTCAAGTGCTGGTTGTTCCCGTCACACAATCCGTGTATGAGTATGCGGAGGAAGTGCGGGCCTTGCTGTGGGACCGTGGCTTCTTTGCTGATGCCGACCTGTCAGACAACACTCTCAACAAGAAAATTCGGAACGGCGAACTCGCCCAATACAACTTCGTGTTTGTGGTGGGCCATGAAGAGAAAGAGACCCGCAGTGTCAACGTTCGCAACCGCGACAACGATCCAAAGGTCATGAAGGGCAAGACGGATACCATCAAACTAGACGATATTTTGGCTAAGCTGCAGAAGCTCAAGGAATCGCGTGCTATAGAGAATCAGCTCCCGTAGTGAGAAGACTTGATGGTGTTGCAAGTCTGACATAACCTGTGTTCACTCTGTACCATGACGAGTGCTTGGCGCATGCGCCGCGGAATGTGCGTGGTGGGTGTGCAATGGCGGATGGTGGTGCATGGGGGCAAAGGACGACATTGCTACGCGGTTTGCGGGCAATTTATGCGCCAGCATGGATTTGCGAGTAGGCTCATCGGGCCAGACGTAACCCACATTGCCGAAGACGAAATGCTGGACGACTGGCCGCTTTAAAAGACACTCGGCGTCGTACATCTTAAGCAGGCCCGTAAAGACTTTGGGCCAGTTTGTCACATTGTGTGAAATATCGTACAAAAGAGGCGAGTGTTCTGAGAAGGGCCCGCGCTTCAAAGAGTGGATACGAGCGAGCGCGGACGTATACATGTTGGGTAAGGGTGTGAGCGACCGCGGCGGTTTGTAAAAAAGTGTCGCTTGCGGCGTAAGGCGCGGACCGACCCTCGGCTCTCGCTGGCGACTGTGCGGATAGAGCGATACATCTGTCATTTCGCTAGGCGTCATACAAGTATCACGTAGCTGAGCAGCACCCAAGATGTATGGCACAAAGTGGAAATCGTCCAGGCCCCAAACTCCGTGACTTCCTGCTGGTTCGAGTGAGTATCTATCTTGCAAATGCCATGAAACACGCAAATACGCCGGAATCACTTCCAGAGCGAGACGTTGCTCCAAGAACTCTTCTTCCTGAAATGCACCCAGTCGATACATGTAAGCAAGCCATGCAATAAAGTTGAGTTCATGGCCCGTGCCATAGTCAATACGTATGAAAGAGCCAAACGCATCCATAAGATATGAGCACAGCTCAATCGTATATATATGCAAATAGTCTGGCAAGCAAGACTGATGAAGTTCATTTATGCGTTCAGCGAGTCTAGCACCCCACGATCTAAAGGCCAGATTTCCAAAGCGCTGAGGGCCTGAGAGTGGTTCGATTTCGTCGGTCCATGAATCCAAATGAATGAGTAGGGCAAGTACACGATCCACGATGCTTTTCGACGTCGAATACGTTGTATAATTATCCCAAACAACATCGCGAGTCGGACAACCTGTGCATGCCTCGCTCAAGTGCATTAGAAAGAGCAGGATACAATCGTGCGCTTGGCTCCGTTCCCACACAAGCATGTCTAAATCACTTAGAATGCATTTATGCGGCCTTGTCAGAAGCTTTTGAACAGACTCATTCCGGGCATCAATCGGCTCAAGTTTGGGCAAAGCATGCATTGATTGTGCGTTGGTATCTTGAGTGCCAGTCGACATGCTGAACTGAAGTCGCAGTACTTCGAGTTGCCGGTGGTCCGTGAAGTGCGGGGAACTGGTCATTTGGTCGAGGTGTTGAACCTCCACGTGACAAGAATTGGGCCCTATTTTGTAGTCGAGTGTGCATAGCAACCATCATGATGTGGGCTTGGCGAAGTGTACGAGCATTGCATACGTCTCTTCGACGAACTAAAGGCACAAAAGCACTACTTCCCACAGGTTGGGAAGCCGTGATTGGCATTGAATGTCATGCGCAGCTACTTGCACCCACGAAGCTCTTCAGTCGTATGTGTGGATAGCCCGTTGCATGTTCTTACACAACAATGTTTAGCGACATTGCCACCGACCTCAAATGCCGCACCTAATTCATGTGTTTCGCCGTTTGATGCAGGATACCCAGGGACGTTGCCTTGTCTGCAGGATGGGGCTGTGGCAGCAGCATTGAGGGCGGCACTTGCGCTTCAATGTACGATCGAGTCTGTGTCGGTCTTTGATCGCAAACACTACTTTTACGCAGACTTGCCCGCAGGATACCAAATCACCCAGAAGCGAAGTGAGTGCATTTTCTTGCATGATCTGACCTGTTCCAGAGCCATTTGCACATTCAGGTACGGTGTCAATCCGGTTCGAGGACGGCTATTTGTCAACGCCGAACGATGCAGTCGATGTCCCGATCCTTCAGCTCCAGCTCGAGCAAGACACTGGCAAATCGATGTACGCAGCTACAGATGCAGATTCCCACGTTAGTCTAATTGACTACAATCGCGCTGGCGTTGCGCTTGTTGAAATCGTTAGCGCTCCAGTGCTTCGCACGCCTGAACAAGCTGGGGCTTATGTCCGCAAACTTCGGCAACTCTTGCGTCATGTTGGTGCATCCGATGGGAATATGAATGAAGGGTCACTGCGATGTGATGTGAATGTGTCGATCCACCGCATCAACGAGCCGTTTGGCACGCGCTGTGAAATTAAGAATCTGAACAGTGTCAAGTTTATGATGCACGCCATTGACTATGAGATTCGCCGCCAGTTCCGTGAGCTGTCCCAAGGCCGCATTATCGAACCATCGACGCTTGGGTTCAACGAGGCTACCGGAGAAACCTATGTGCAACGACAAAAGGAGGAAATGCTCGATTATCGATTTATGCCTGAACCCAATGTGGCTCCGCTGGAAATCTCACCCGAACGCATTGAAGCACTCAATTCAAGCTTGCCTGAAATGCCAGACGCTCGACACGCACGCTTGCGAGAGCAGTACGGGCTCTCTATTCGCGATGTGAATGTGCTCACGCGCCTGAATGCCGAAGACGATGCGTCAGAGATCGCCGTACTTGGACCCGAGCATGCGGGGCGAACGTCGCATCCGAACGCAGTCGACTACTTTGAAGCATTAGTACATTTTGGATGCGAGCCCCAAGTGGCGGCGAACTGGACCATTCATCTTCTGCCAAAGTATCTTGGACAAGCCCAGTTGACTTTTTCCTTGAATCCTGTCGGCCCTGCCGCGCTCGCTGAGCTGCTTCACATACTCGAAGAACAAGTCATTACGCGTACGTGTGAATCCACCACCTCCATCCACTAAGAACCCTCTCGTACTTACACTTGCATGCGTCCACAGAATCCACAGCACAGTCGTTGCTGCGAGAGTTTGTGCTGAATCAAAGTATCCCGCAGCGTGACGGTTACTTGTGTATTCGGGAAGTGATCAAAGAACGTGGCCTGCTTCGCATGCAGGATACAGAGCTTTTGCCGCTGTGCAAGGAAATCGTACAGGCGTGTCCAGAAGAGGTCGAGGCAATTCGCCGGGGAAAGAATAAAGTAATCATGCGCTTAGTTGGTGAAACACTTCGCCGCGCGAAAGGGAGGGCCGATCCTGAACATGTACAACGTCTGCTCACAGAATTGACATCCGTAGAAACCGCATCGACCCAGTAATTCTGAGTTTCTGTACATGCTTGGGTTTTGGCCAGAAATCACGAGATGGTGGTGGCCCAAGCGCACGCTCCACTCGACTTACCTGCCTAGCACGTGACCATCTCACGCGTTTCCCCATCGTCTTGCCTATCTAGCTCATTGTGCAGTGTGAGCACCCGACGAACGAGTTTTTACCACACGCGCGCAACATGGGAGGACCTTCGGCGGAAGAGCTTTTGAAACGTGCAGAGAAAAAGGCCTCGTCAACAGGAGGATGGTTCACTTCCAAGCAGAGCAAGCTTGAGGAGGCTGTTGAGTTGTTCAAAGAAGCGGCCAACAAGCTCCGGGCTGAAAACCGCATGGAGGACGCGGGTCGTGTGTTGGTCAAGACGGCCGAGCTAGAGATCGAGACGAATGAGCGGGACTTTGCTGCAAACACATACTTTGAAGCAAGCAAGTGTTACAGGATGGTGCGTCCTGACCAGGCTGTCATTGCGTTGGGTCGCTGCTCAGACTTGCTTGTGGAGCGTGGCCGTTTCCGCCAAGCTGCGGATCGACAGAAGAACATGGCTGAGCTATACCGAGAGGATCCAAGTCGTCTTGATCAAGGACTTGAGGCATATGAGCGTGCAGCGCACTGGTATATCCAGGAGGGTGCCACGGCAACAGCATCTGCTTGCCAGCGGGAAGCAGCCCAACTGGCCATTCAGCTCCAGCAATATCCAAGGGCCATTGAACTGTGGGAAGCAGTGGCCACATCAAGTCTCAACAGCAATTTGACCAAGTACAGCGTGAAGGAGTACTACTTGAATGCTGGTCTTTCTTACCTGGCTATTCCTGATCATGGCGCTGCCACCCGGGCTATGGCGTTTTATGCACAGCAGGATCCGTCGTTCCCATCGACGACAGAGGCGCAGTTCCTCCATGGCGTTCTTGAGGCGTGCGAACACAGCGATCTTGATGCCTTCGATGCAAGGGTACGTGATTTCGACCGGTTGAAGCCGATCACCGGCTGGCGTGCCACTCTTTTGCATTCAGTTCGTAACACGGTCGCGGATGGACCGGATCTATCATAACTACAACACGTCCTTCAGTGAAGTCTTTCCGCTCCCTGGCTTAAGCGGCTTGTTTTGATCTGGCGATGGCTTCCATCCAATCTTTTGCCGCATCGTGGTCAGTCGTTGAACAAATTCATCCTTCTTTCATAGGCACACGTACCATAAAGATCTGAGCAAATGTGGCGGGGATGTGTCCCTCTTGTGTTCCATGCAGTGCCTGATACGTCGCTGCAGCTGCCAAGAAAGTATCCCGGTGCATGTATGTCCGTCGATTGATGACAGCATTGTTCTCGCCCATGTCTCGAAGATCCTGCACGAGTTCAAACATGCTTGGATAATGCACTGTGAGCTCATCCATATCAACGGTTTGAAGCGTGAACTGGGCGCGTGTTAGGAGTGATGATATATCGCGTGAGTCTGTCATGGGTGAAACATGAATAGACAAACCGCCTTGACGTTCTTGCTCAGCTAGCATCAAGCTTGTCCGGAGCTCAAAGAGCGAGTCCCCACCGAGCAAGTAACCAAGGAACACGCCGTCTGGCTTGAGTGCGCGTTGGATCTGGATGAGTGCACCAGGCAGGTCATTTGTCCAGTGCAAGCTTCCAGACGCAACGATGCAGTCCAGTGAATTTTCTTCGAATGGAAGCATCTCTTCGTCGACAATGCGTCGATCAATCTCAAAGGGATAGTCCTTATCGAGATGTCGATCGCGGAAAAGCAGCTCTTCACTCATGTCACACATGACTAGTTTTTGAATCCCTACACCAGCCGCATCAATATGCCTCCGCAAAAGTCCTGGACCAGCACCCAGCTCTACGACTGTTGGAAATGGCCGTTGAATATCCTGTGTGCATGTTAGTCAATGAATCATTTTTTTTACCAGGTTCATATTTCTCAAATACGTACGAGCAGTCGCTCCGCCAGATTCATCGCCCCAATATCTCGAACATAGTCTGTGAGCCGCGACATTTCGCCACGCCGGCTCATATCCTCATATGCAGAGCCCGAGGTATTTACAGGGCGCCTGAGAGCGGCTCTTGATCGCTGAAGCCGCTTCGCCTCCCGGTCAAAAATATTGTAGGCCATCGGTGGCGGCTTTGAGCTTGGCGATGCTTGTCGGATAATAGCACTGGTTCGGAGTGTTCGAATGCACGAATCAAGTTTAAGCATGTCGCGCGTCGATCTCATGGTCTCTCTTATCTTTGATGCCGTTGATGGGACAGAACCAAAAGTCTTTCCTGCATGCAGACGAGTTTTATTTGCCCACAACTGGTATAGACACATTGTCGTCCTCCACTCCTGCGTAGTAGCCTCAACGGACGATCGTGTTGTTGACGACGACGGTCTGGAACGAGTCTTGGCCCCATGCAGGATGTCGTGCAGGATACGATACTAACTTGTCTTGCAAAACTTGTGCCACCAAGCAATGCGTTTGATCAGGTCGTCCATATTGCGCAACAACATGGAGACTCTGTCGACAAGTTGGTTCACATTCTGCCAGGTGCGTGTTGCTGTTGTAGGAATGCTTACTTCTCGGTTTAGACATACTGCTTGACGTAGCATGCATTTCTCAGCCGATGCCACCTATGCTGTTGGATTACATCGATGCTATGTGCCTGAGACGTGCGCGACAGAATGGTGCGAGCACATACCATGTCGGTTCCCTTCTTATTGCACTCTTGAGGAAAGTCGACGACACCTCCCAGCAAGCATCAACATCAGCATCTTCGTTGACCTATACATTTCCATGCTCCATTGATCAGGATACCTTCCAAGTCTTGTGTGAACAAATTCTTCATGCTCTGGGCGTGAATTCCCCGTGGGAGCATGAAGAACTCTCAAGCGTATTGCAAGACTCAATATCGTTTTTACAGTTCTGGAGAATGGCACTTCATCTCATTCAAGATGTAGAAGCTGCTGGCGCTGAGTTATTTACTCTACTCGTCTCTACCACTGTGCGCGATTCATGGCCTGAGATCGAAAGTGACGCGCCTCATCTTCCCTCTGTTCTGCATGCAATCCACATCCTCTTGACCCGCTTTAATGCCGTGAGTTCGCCGTCTCCTCGAGCCAAAGCGACGCTCCAGTCTCTTAATGCACTAAAGAATGGACTTACAACACCCTTGAACGACGATCTTTTCGGTGAGCAGCAACCTGCAGCATCGGTTCCGTCGCTATGGGCTTCACGCGCCTTCTTCTCGTACGCAGTGTCATTGCAGCTTGTATGGCGGCAGGTGGAGTCGTCTGGTGGTCGTCGGCCAGTCCTTCCACCGCCCGTATTTCCCGAACCTGAGACAATACTGCTTGTTCATGGGTTATGTGCGCCTAATTTGAATTGGTATCAAAAGTGCCTTGAAGCACTGGGCATTCTGAAGACGCGCCTTCATTATTCAAATGAACCACCCAACGACATCTGCTGTGCATATCTTATGGAAATCTTTGTGGCAATCACGCACGCAGCGATTGTGCAGCTGAAACGTCATCCCACTGAGCGGCATGCGCAGGTATGGCGGCATGTAATCGGCGGCCTTCTTCCTCCTCTGGCCCTGTTTCTGGGCGGCAGTGTCCCAGCTTCAAATAACGATGTGCTTAACGTCCAAGACACCGTCTCATCGTTTATCGCGTTTTACGAGCCAGTTAATGATTGGATGCATCTTGATGCACAAATTATGGCCCCATCCCATGCAGCCACATTACCCGATCTTATGCAAGACTCGTTTGCTGCGTGGCTGCCAGGGCATTCAAAAAAGACTACATCGATTGAACTCGAAAACTTGCACCAGTATGCAAGTACTAGTGTCCAGTCATTTCGACAAATCGTGCATACGTCCCTGCTGCACAACCCGTCCGCTTGTGGCAACCTGATTGAACGCGCAGTGAAAGAGCCTTGTTTGCAACTTGTGCTTGCGATGGAGTTGAACCATTTGCTTTCAGAGTGGACGGAGTTCATGTCTGCAGAGTTCATGCACATGCATGCCATCTGCTACTTATTACAGTCAGGCGCACCGCAAAATCTCGATATGCTATGTCTGTACATGGGACAGCAGCTGCTTCCCCACACACTTGTGCATGTGCTTTCACATATGGACCAGTCAATGTGGAGCCATCCCGACGACGCTCTTAACCTGGTGATCTTGTTCGTCGAATACCTGTCGTATTATAGCAAGGAGTCGGGTAATCCATCGAAAGGGGCCGCATACGTATTCATGAGGCGCCGCTTGTCGTGCTTCAACAGCCATGCACTACCTGAAGAGTACCTCACGCTCCTAAGCCGTTGGTGCCGCTGCTTGGTCGGCAGTGACGATATGTCGGAGCTGCTTACTGCTTCGCCACCATGGCTCTTATTCCGTTTAACGCCGAGTATTTTCAAACTCTTAATTGAGGCATTCTTATATGGGTTCTTTGACGAGTCAACGCTCCTAAATGCATTTGCATACTTCCTGCGCGTTCCTCTGCGCTACAACGTGCCCTGTGCAGTAAATTGGCTCGTGCGATACACGACTATGACACTGGCCAAGGCGCAATATGATCCGAAGCTTTGGTCCCTCATCTTCCTGCTGGTCCGTACGCTTCATATGCTGTTTATGAGCGACGCATGCCCCCCGCTTATTCGCTCCATGTTAGCAGGCGTTGTCTTACCATTGTTGCAGAATGAGCGTCTCGTGCTTATGACACATACCTCCAATGTCAACATACCCGTGTTCATATCCACATTGCAGTCATACACGGACCCCCACCTTCCCCAGAGCCCATGGATTGTCGATGTATTGATGATGTGCGAAGACGCCAAGCCATGGTATAGTCTTGTTCAACGCATTGGCATCATCACACTTCAGGGGCTTGACACTTGCATAGCACGCCAACTCTTGGGTGTTGCGCTTCAAACACGTGCCGAACAAGTCTGGACCATCAAGCTCCTCGCAGCTGTGTTTTCGCTTCTTCACCTGAATTCCAAAGCGACGAAACCTCTATCTCTTGTGCGAGTTATCCTCTTACAATGGGATGCCTCCAGCTCCAAGCCAGAACATATCCGCAATCTCGGCCGTATCCTTGTGTTAAGCGTGCTTCTGTCCAAAAATCTACCTGCCAGTGCTGACGCCCTCGAAACTGTCTTTGGGAGTCTACTCACACCTAGTGCTGAGCCGCTAGCGCATATTTTGCGGTCCGAGACATAGTCCTTGTTATAATAGTAGCAAAGATGACTTTCTATTGATGTAGGAGTGCACACAACCGAGCCTACGCCACGCCATCCCGTCCTTCATCCGTTCTTTCATAGCGGTGGGAATAGCCGCGCTCTGCGCACATTACCTCCACATGACTGCGGTCAGACCCCGAGCAAGATCTGAGTGAGGCCTCCACAAAGCGAGACATCTTTGAGAGGCTGGGCGGGCAAAAAGCATGCAATTTTTAGGGGCAAGCACAGCTTGGGCTTGCGTTCGACAACAAATAGATCAAACGCACTGACTGAAATATCACTATCGCTGGCTATTTTTTGTCAGGTCCATTCGTGTCTGCATAATTAGGAAAAAAAATCTCCCCTCTTTGTTTTTCCCTCCCACTTGCGTCTGTCGTGGCTCACACATAGTTGCCTCCCGCCCGTTCCTGATCTCTTCTTGTTGTTCCACGACTATCCGCTGACATGTCTCAAATCGAGTGGTTCGCTTCGCTCAATCCTATCGAACATAACTTCGAAAATGCTTATCTGCGAAAGACGTATGTTTGCTCGGACTGTGTACTGATTCACAAAACAGTTCTATCATTGCTACTATCGGACCCAAGACAAACTCTGTGGAAATGCTGCACAAGTTGCGAAATGCCGGTGTGAACATCGTGCGTTTGAATGCGAGTCATGGCGATCATGGGTATTTCCAGAGCGTCATTGACAACTGTCGTCAAGTCGAGCGGGAAGCGCCAGGCCGTCCCTTGGCCATTGCCCTCGACACGAAAGGGCCTGAAATGCGTACTGGTGTGATGATCGACAATCAGGATGTACCGATTCCAGCTGGTCATGAGATGATCGTCACGACAGACGAGTACTACGCAGACAAGTGTAGCGCTGAGTATCTGTACATTGATTATCCAAACCTGCCAGCGAAGGTGGTGCCCGATCGTTTGATCTACATTGACGATGGCATCCTTTCCCTACGCGTGCTTCGCATTGAGGGCAATAATGTCTTTGTGCGTTCTGAGAACCACGGCACTCTGTCGTCCCGCAAGGGAGTGAATCTGCCTCTAACTGAAGTGGACCTGCCTGCCGTGTCAGAAAAGGATGTCAAAGACTTGGTCTTTGCCGCAGAGCAAGAGGCTGATATTGTGTTTGCATCGTTCATTCGCACGAGGGATGATATCGTCAAGATCCGCTCGCTCCTCGGCAAGCGTGGTGGCCACATGCGCATCATTGCAAAGATTGAGAACCACCAGGGCCTGCAGAACTTTGACGAAATCATGGCCGAGGCTGATGGTATCATGGTTGCCCGTGGTGACCTGGGCATTGAGATCCCCGCACCGCAGGTGTTCCTTGCTCAGAAGATGATGATTTCTCGGTGCAACATTGCCGGCAAGCCTGTGATCTGTGCCACGCAAATGCTTGAAAGCATGACACAAAACATTCGTCCGACTCGTGCGGAGGTCTCGGACGTGGCCAATGCTGTTGTTGACGGTGCTGACTGCGTCATGCTTAGTGGTGAGACGGCCAAAGGAGCCTATCCTGTCGAGTCGGTGCGGTACATGGCTGAGACTGCTTACATGGCTGAGCGTAGTCTTTCGTATCAAGCCATTTTCAACCAGATGCGCAGTCTGCTGCGCCCATCGACGATGACGAATGAAACGATCGCTTTAGTCGCTGTATCGGCCAGTCTTGAGCAAAAGGCTGACGCCATCCTGCTCATGTCAACTTCTGGTGAAACGGCTCGTCTCGTTAGCAAGTATCGCCCACCGTGCCCAATCCTTGTTGTCACTCGCAATATATACACCACACGGACGTGTCACTTGAGCCGTGGCACATATCCATTCCATTACCCATTGCCGCACATTGAAGACATGTCTCGTTGGCAAGAGGATGTCGACAATCGTATCAAGTTCGGTCTTTCTGAGGCATTGAAGCTCGGTATCATCAAGAAGGGCGGTACTGTCGTGGCTGTACAGGGCTGGCGTGGTGGCAGAGGCTATACAAACTCGCTCCGCATTCTCACTGTGCCGACTACGTCGGAAGGATACATTCTCGAAAGCACTACGGCAAACTAATTTTTTTTTTGTATCGATCAATAGCTTTAGGGGTGTAATTCGCGTAGGAATTGGACGTCAAAGACCGAGATCAGCTCTCCCGCGCGCTTGTACAGGGACTGGAACTCGTCACTTGCCTCATGCGCCTGGAAAGCTGCCCCGTCCGCATATTCTTCATATACGATGAACTTGAGCGGATCTTTCAAATCACGCGACAGGCGGTACTAGGATACGTGTTAGTCGAGAAACCAATTGGAGAGGAATTTTTCTACTTCGAGTAATATAGATACCGAAGAGTTGCTAGATCACATACCGTCTTGGTTCCGGGCTCTTCCGTGTTGGCCTTTTTCGTAACGACTAAAAGAGCCTTTTCAATCTCGTCAGCCTGGCTTTCTCCTTTTGCCACAATGCTGCGCATGTTAGATGCCATAATCACACATACTGAGCCACGAGAATGAAAGGTCCTTGGTTTGGTGCGGAAATCATCAGGTGAAACGAATGGAAGGTATGTGGGGACACTAAGTCACACTTGCTTTGGTTCACATTACGCCACTGACTCGGGCCATTGCGCGTGGGGCCCATGCACCTTGTATGTATAGATCACGTGCGACACACACACCTCCATCCGACTGGCTTGGAGCAACACTCAATGCAGTTGTGATCGGAGAAGTGAGGCGAAGAAGTGGGTTGTTGTACAAAGGAGCTGTGCTGTGAACGAGCGAGTAATAAGCGAGAGTCTTCTATTCTTCAGTGGGGCGCCGATGTCGGAGCTTTTTGACCTGCTCAGATTCGATACCACGACATCACAAAGAGATGTGACAGATTCCGCTGGAAAACACCCAAGCTTATCGCCATCGCCGCGCGGTCGTATTGCGTGGGGCGAAAGTCAACCAAGCTCTTCACCTAAATGCACAGGCGGTAGTGCACCTCTCCTTGCTCCTGCTACACCTGCAAAACTGCCGCCTGATAATCTCTTCCTCGACAAAGAAAACCAAGTTCTGGCGCAAGATATACAAAAGAGCCCTAGTGCAATCCGAAGAACTCGTGTGCGACGTCGCTCAAGGACCCCGCTTCCCACCCCTTATACCTACAACATGTGTGCTATCGTACCACCGGTGACTAGCTCTGCTCGTTCTGATTATGAACCACGCAAGCCCCTGCGCAAAAGACATAAGGTTCACGGAATAACTCGTATAGAAAGCGATCTTGGACAGGACAGAATACCAACACCCAAGTCGCAAAATCTGCCTCCTTGCGCTATGGACAAGAAAAATTGCGAGCATCCTCAACCAAGCTCAGATGACAGTTTTTCTCGTGTGCTAGACGAAGATTTCCCTATCGACGCATACGCTCTTGAGCAAATCGCTGCACAACAGGGATGGTAATGGCTTGTTTCGTTGCTCACTATTCGTTCAATGCATGAGAAGCGCATTCATCCTCATGTGATTGCATTTTTTCTTTCGTGCCAAATTTGGTTCTTGACGTTTTGTGTATGTGCTACGCTGGTTGTAAGGATTTTGTGCACGTAACAGAATGTGCGTCATCCTGTATATCCTAGTCTGCTGGCTGCGAATACAGAAATCGAGCCGGACAGACTTATCGTTTTCACTCCAACATACTCACGCAAGGCGTCTGTCAATAACTGCACTTTTTGATCCAACAAATTTTGATTGAGACACACGAATCTCTTACTAGTCCGATCTTCGAGGCCGTCATCCGTATTTGCAGCAATGCCCCTCCTACCATCCGCGCATCTCTGTGGTGGGTGCATGTTTCAATCCAGCACCCTACATTTCTAGTGACATCTCATACAATTTTTACGCCCTGTCTATGCATCTCTAATTTAGAAGGCACTCTCTCCTACGCTTACACTTTGACGTATGCTCAGGCTCAATTTCTGCAGCTGCTCGTTATGTTTTGTCTAGATTACAATTATGTTCAATTACGATCGTGAGATTCAAATGCCGTACTTCCTAAAGCACTTGACAATGTCTGAAGCAAGCATGCAGTAGACTCAGATGTGAGTTCTTGAATAGTCAATTTGGAAAAAGTACGCAAAGCGGTATTCATGAAATATCCAAGACCAGGCAAAATGCTGTTTATATCGTAATAAAAGCATCGGGGCAGCATTTCGCACCCTGTGCAGCCGTGCATTTTCATGCTCTCTGCCTTGATCCCGAGCGAAGCTCCAGCAACAAAGGCGTCTGATTTGTAAATGAGCATTGCATGACCGATAAAGCCCATCTGTCTACTCGGTTCTATGGTATTCAACCTTCTCGGAAGTTGAGGCAAGGATCAGAGGCCAGTCGCGTCGGGTCAAAGCATTGTTCCTCCAAACACAAACCATAGGAGTAACTCATTTCTATCATATATGCATCATGATACTTTGCCTAGTATTGTCGGACAGTTTCAAACACGTTTTGCCCTCGAGAGAACCTGGCGTTAGTATGTTGACATGTAAAAAGTACTTATGAAATGCCTAGTCGCTGCCATTTGAAGGCATTGTGCACTAAAAGTTGTGTCAATCTTATCAATAAATTTGTCTAACTACTTCTGTCGTATTAACGTGCTAATGCTTTGTATTCATGATGGGCTGGCCCGTGGAGTGTAATTAATTCTTACGTAGATCTCGTGCACCGCACACAGCAAGGTAAACGTAGATTGATACAACCGCATTATAACTGCACGGCATCATACATTTTTTAATCTACTTCTAATGCTTTTCAATGAAGGTACGCTAACACGCGACATTGGTGCGATTATCCAATGTCATGAGTTGGGTGCGAAGATATCGTACCCACACTCGGCGAAAAATCCGTTCCATAGGCATTCGTCGGCCTTGAAGCAGGGCGAAGTCTTTCATTTGTGAAGTTTATAGTCTCTCAACTAGACGGAGGCAGTGATTTACCTGGCAGGGTAGCAAAGTGGTCTAATGCAGCGGCCTTAAGCCGGACGTGAGACGTCCAGGAAGCCATCCGCCATTCGCGGGTTCGAACCCCGTCCTTGCCAGCTTTCTTTTTCTTCACCACGCGCTTCCGTGGATTGTATCACATGTATACGTGAATTGTTGCATACGACTCGATTTGAACTATTCGACATGCGTTCGACGATGCCAGTACCAGGATGTGCCAAACTAGTATGTTAGCGGGAAGAAGTTCGCATGTTGCCACATACAAGCGTTGGCTGCGACGTGAGGGCTTGAAGAATGAGCAGGTATAAGTGCGGGAAATGGAACGAAAGCATTCCCAAGAGAACTTTGACCAAGAAGGCGCATATATCTTGCATCTGTCAGTCATTACCAGAACGCACAGAAAGAAATCATAAGTGTCGCTTTGCACATCGATCGAATGCTGTATATAATCGTCATTTTGCGATACTGTGTATGTGTATGAGTGTTGATACACTGTACCTGAAGTCGAGACGAACCATCAAATCCTTCTTTCTCAGCTGCATTCATGGATGTATAGTTCCCTTGTCGAAGAACAGGTGAAAAGATCGGCGGGGATTCGCCATTTTTTGAATCAAAAGTGCGAGAGAATTGGCTAAGTCTGCGGTCAAATGAATCACTGGAGATGTTTGGCGAAGTCCATCGTGCTGCTTGCTGCACAATGGACGTGTTTGCACTGGAAACACTATCGTTTCCAATATCCTCAAGTATATCAATGCGCCATTCACCCATCCGACTCCATGGGAAAAGGTCATCAGTTGTAGTGGGAGCATCACGAACACAATCTGCTCGGCCTATTTCGAACGAATAGTCGTCCAAATCAGGCACATCCGCAGATATTGACTGCACCAACTCCCTCCTTTGGTCTTTATTCCAGATTTCCCATTGCTTTTCAGCATATTGATTCCGACATACCACTGTCTGATTCTGGAAGTGCTGTTCCAGAATGTCGATATGTGAGCCCACGCAGTAGTTCCACAATGGAGCAAGTGCCTCGCTGGTGTACATGCACAGCCGTTTCACAGGGCTCTTTGGCCATATCAACCTCCATCGGCTGTACCAGCAGCGAGGTTGTCTCTGCCTTGTTTGAAACGACATGCAGAGCTCATTCCATTCGTGCTCATAATAGCCAATGCTTCTATCACACTGGCATTTACGCTTATTTGCTCGAGATTTTCTTGGCATGGGCGGTAATGGTGCTTGGAGTCTGTTGTGTTGTTCGAGATTCTCTCTGTGCTGTCTCGACAGCACAATATCATGTCTGTTATATGATGGTGTTACGTCCTTTGTAAAACCAATAGTTCGGAGTGGTGGGGAGGCTATCATGTCCGGACTGGTGCCATCAGGCAAACTTGGTATATCCAAGTCGAAATGAATCGAGTTCCCCATCCCCACGTCAAACATGTTATCGTCGAACGAGAATGACGGAAAATCATGTTCTACCCAATTGTGAGGATTTGTGATCTTTGAAGTCTGGACGGGCCGCGATTTACATCGTACGGTGACGCATGGATCACAAATGATTGATGACATGGTTTCCGTGTCGGGTAGTGTGAAGCTTGTTGGTAAAACATTTATGTTGAGATTATGCTTGTTTTGTCTAGAGGATTGGTTGACGGTTGATGGAATCTTAAGAAGCATCAATATGCGCTTAGTCTCCTGGACAAGAGCATGAACTTGAATTTCCCACAAACGGCATACGCCGAACAATACAAGACTTGCCCAATACATTGGTCGAGCCTCTTGGCATAAAGGTGCGATTGTGCTTCGCTGTCTTAGTTGTTTCTGTCCTTGCTTATGCAGGGGATGTCTAAGACACGTACCATACATGCGCAATGTCGACGCGCACATATTCATTTTTTGGGATGCGTGCATAGATCCATGGTGGGCCCATCGTCGCTGCGATACTATTTTGGTGAGTGACGTGCGCGTACCATATACTATATGCGGACATTGTGGTAGAGAGGACCGTTACATGATTGCGAGAGGTTTCGTAGCATTCCAACAAGTGTGCTATGTCTTAATCACATCAATCGAAAGCTGTTTCATAAACGTACGTTGCTCGTGCACCGCAATACATCATTCAGGAACGGCTCTCCGTGCTTTCATGCATATACTTATGCACGATGAAATCCAGCATGCACATTTCGTGGCGGGCCTCCACAGAAAGACTTCGGCGCCAACATGTAAAGCCATGTGGCTAGCTGAGTGGCCTCGATACGGCAGTGACACGGAGGGAGAAGGACTCCGTCACACGAATAGAATTGTTTTCCACGCTTGTGGATGCGTCTATTTCAGTCGTTAGGACATCGGCAGATATTCGCAACATTTCGTCTATTTAGTGCCGCACCTAATCGATTGATTTCAACTTCGACAAGGATGTGTGCGACTGCAACGTGGGCGCCCCCTGCGCCAACTACGATTCCACGACCACCGGCTCCTATTCGTGATATCCATTCGTGCGCCAATGTGGATGAACTAAAGCCAATCCACCTGTATCTTGACTGGCAAATCGATTGGGAAAATAAGCGTATTCATGGATCTGTGCAGCACGAGCTAGAAGCTCAGAGAGACACAAATAAGGCCGTGTTTGACACGTCGTACTTAGACATCCATCAAGTGCAAGTTAATGGCCAAACGACTTCTTATGAATTGGGTCCGCGGCGCGGTCCTCTGGGAGAACCATTGCATGTTACTATCGGTGCATGCAAGGCTGGTGAGCGCGTCACAGTCAAGATCGCATATTCCACGACGAACCAGTGCACGGCGCTAGGCTGGCTCACGGCTGAGCAAACGCATGCCAAGAAGACTCCTTTTCTGTACTCGCAGTGCCAGGCGATCCATGCGCGTTCGCTGTTACCATGTATGGACACGCCGTCTCGAAAGATTACGTACTCGGCGCAAGTTACATCGACTATCCCTGTACTGATGTCGGCGCTTCAGCAACCACAACAGACTAAGTCCTCATCCATTTACAAATTTCATCAGCCCGTGCCGATACCGACGTACCTCATTGCGATTGTCGGTGGCCTACTGGCGTTCCGCTCGTTGGGTCCCCGTACGGGTGTATGGGCAGAGCCGCCAGATGCGGACAAGGTGCAATGGGAGTTCGAACGTGATGCCGAACGATTCTTGCACGAGGCAGAGAAACTCGTTTCTCCGTACTCATGGACGCGATACGATAGTGTTGTGCTCCCGCCATCCTTCCCGTACGGTGGTATGGAGAATGCCAATCTCACAACATTGACGCCGTCTCTTGTTTGCGGAGACCGAAGCGCGACAGATGTCCTGCTGCATGAGCTTTGTCATTCGTGGAGTGGCAATCTAACGTCCTGTATGAACTGGGAGTCGTTCTGGCTCAATGAGGGTTGGACTGTGTACTTGGAACGTCTGCTTCTTCAGATGGTGCATGCTGATGACAATGGACCAGCGCACCGTGGCTTCTCGTATATTATTGGCGCAAAAGCTTTGCGTGATTCGCTTGAAGATTTTGCGGATGTGCCACGCTTCCAGCGCCTGATTCCATCATTCCGTGATGGCGAAGATCCGGACGATGCGTTTTCGTCTATTCCTTACGAAAAGGGCGCAAACTTCCTTTTGTATCTTGAGCGTGTGGTCGGTGGTCTTGATGTATTTGCGCCTTACATCAAGGCATATTTCGAGACATTTGCCGGTCAATCGATCTCCACGCAAGAGTGGCAAGAGCATTTGCTGGCTTTCTTTGCCAGCAACGATAAGGCCAGCGCGGCATTGCGGCAAGTTGACTGGGATGCGTGGCTTCATGGCGAAGGGCTTGAGCTGCCAGTCAAGTTGGAATACAATGAGACCCTTGCAGTCGAGGCATTTGCTCTGGCAGCTCGCTGGGAACAAGCCATCGCGCAGCAAGTGCCCGTAGGCGACAGCCAATTTAGTCCACGTGATATGGAAGGATGGAACACGAACCAAGTTGTTGTGTTCCTGGAGCGCTTGCATGCAGGACCTAAGGTGCCAGGCGCCTATACGTCATGGTTGGATGATGTGTATAAGCTCAGCACGGCTCACAACACAGAGATCCGACTCCGATTTTACGAACTCGCCTTGGAGGATAAGCATGGCATGTATGCGAAGCAAGCTGCCGATTGGGTACGTGTATTTGCCGGCATAGCCAGAAAGGGGTGGGGACAATGCCGACTAACGATAACAGGTCAAGTCACAGGGTCGCATGAAATACTGTCGAACAATTTTCAAAGCTCTGTACAAGGTCGAGCCGGATCTAGCGCGGCGAACATTTCTGGAGAATGAAAGCTTCTACCACCCGATTGCCGCTACCATGATTCGTAAGGTACGTATGAGCGTAAAAAGCTGGGTCCATCGTACCAACATTATCCAGGACCTCGGACTTTGATCGAGGCATTGAGAATAAGCCTGACCATAGGATTTGCATGTGGATGCACGTCGAGCACTTGTGGCAGTGATTGGCAGTACGGGCACTGGCAAGTCGCAGCTGGCTGTTGAGCTCGCAGAGTACGCAACCCAAGAGCTCGGCATGCCAGCCGAGGCCATCTCTGCTGACAGTATGCAGACTTATATTGGTCTTGACGTGATTACAAATAAGGCAGCGAAGAATGAAATGAGATCAATCCCACATCACTTGATGAGTTTTCTTGCGCCTGGCCAAGAGTACGACGTTACTCAGTTTGTCAACGATGCAAATGCTCTGTGTGACAGAATGCATGCTGCGCATACCTTGCCGATCATTGTTGGTGGAACGACCTACTATGTGCAGCATTTATTCTTTCCTGGTCGTTTGGTATCGCAGGTTGAGCCGATGGATGCGTCGTTGTACGCAAGACAAACCGCTGCACGCGTCGAATCGCTTCCGAGCTCACTTCGCTCTCTGTGGGACTTGCTTGGCTCCGACGAAGTGCGCGTAAATGCAGCGCCTCCGGCTGAACCCACAGAACTCTGGGTACTGTTGGATGCAATGGATCCTGAGAGCGCACGGCGCTGGCATTACAGAGATCAGCGCAAAGTATACCGGAGTCTTCGGATCCTTTATGACACAGGCATCCCCCAATCGGCATGGCTCCATGCACAAGACGAGCAGGACCGGTCCTACAGCACAAGCACGGATGCACCTCGGCGGCTTCTGTTCTGGGTTTGGAGCGGTCGAGATGCATTGAATGAGCGTCTCAATGCACGGATCAAGACCATGGTGGATCGCGGTCTTTTGAGCGAGATCCGCGCCTTGCGCCAGATTGCGACACGGCATGACACCGGCGAGGCTGCTGCGGCCACGACCGATTACACACGCGGAATTTTCCAAGCGATTGGATACAAGGAGTTCGATGCATATTTAACGCATCGTGATGCCGGCGGGACCCACGAGGACGGTGCGGCTCTTTTTGACGACGCCATTACCTCCATGCAGACAGCGACGCGACGCTACGCGAAACGACAAACATCATGGATTCGAAATCAGTTGCTCCCGGAAATCTGTCGCGCACAGGCGCGAGGCGAGGACGTGTGGCTTTATTTACTTGATGCCACAGAGCTCCAGCATTGGGACGAGCGTGTTCGCGTGCCGGCGCGAGACATTCTTCGCTCATTCCTGCAGCACGAGAGCATGTGCGATCCAGCGTCACTAAGCTCGGCTGCTGCCGAGCATCTACAGCATGTTGTCCAGCGCACAGAGGGCCGCATTCAACGCAACAAACTTGTGCCTTGTGAGATATGTACGCATGACGAAGCGCAACCATTCTTGTTCCGTGAGAATGAGCGTGGAAAGCATGAGCAGTCACGAACACATCGATATGCTCTCAAGCGGCGCACAAAGGATGCCTACATTGCGGCCTGTCGAGCATCTTCCAAGGCCGCCAAAGCAGCGGACCAGGCAGATGGAAGAAGCACCGATGACTCAGCAGCCAGCGTCTATCGTACCAACAATGAAACCAACCACGCGGCTACCGGTCACACGAGTGTCAACGACTCATCTTCATCACCGTAACTGTATTGTTCCCAAACTATCTACGTGTACAAATAAGCCCATTTTCACTATACAACAAACCTTGATATAAATCGCTCTTCCTGTGGCCCATGCATTTATAGCCTCTGTGCTGTATCCAGCTCCATCGTAGGCATTATGCTAGCCATGAACTGCAAGAATAAAACCAGATACATGTCCACAGATACTTGATTGTTGGCTAAGTTGGTCGGCCTCATGCCTCTTGCGCGTTGCATCATTAGCGTTAAGAGCGATGAAGTCGTCGACGAGGAGGAGGGATGTTCAGACGAAGAGGTGCCGCAAGTCGCAGATTTTCCTTTCGAACTGTTCTCTGCCTCATGAAAAACCTGGAGCATTCTTCGCATCATGTTGGCATGTTTGCACGGATGGATACTCGCGACATGTACAGCCAGCGACTTCCGCTTGGAAGCTGTCCCCATTGCAACGGTGTCTAATGCTCCCACACCTGGAGTGCCATGCGGAAACGGCTCTGTCGTCACGGTCTTGAACGCATGGTCTGACGCCACATCTTCATATACATCCGACGGACGCAAAGGTATCCCATGTTCATCATAGCCTAGGAGCCACATACGAGGTGTCTGGTAGTACTTGTCGTATGTGATCATGCAGTCGTATGTACGTAAAGCCATTTGCTTTCGTGAGGAAGCCAAATGATCAGACAATGACGCTGTAGGACGCGCCACATATTGTGCTGGATCTTCCCGTTCTTTCACGCCCTCCGCGAAGCCACCAAGACCATCGAGCTCATCAGGTGTACGTAGCTGACTCGAGTCTTCGCTTTCTTCGTCCGCAACGCACCCCAGCACCATGCTACTAGTCGTGCTTGTTGGCACGCTCTCTTGTGCGGAAAAGGCGGAACCTGATGTAGCGACATGTAGCTTTGAAGTTGGCGAGGTTGTCATGGGTGAATTCTCTGCAGAGGGAGTTCCACTTGCACCATCAACGTGCGTGAGGATCCAGTCTTCATCGTCATTGGCTCCGTGAGCCTTGTCGCCACTCTCTTCTAGATAGATAGATTGTTCCGTATTATCAGAAACACCATGCAAGTCCCTTGCTTCGTTGTCGAGGCGAGATAAGCTCTTCGTGCTAGATGCACGAGGAAACCATGGACGACCTGCAAACTTGCGCGGGTGCACAGCACTCACACGACGCAGACACGGCACATTGCGAATCATTAAAAATTGCTTGTTCTTTGGCAAGTAGTCGCGCGTCTTGGACGGCTCGCCTTGGCACCACGACCAGGCTGGGAACTTGCTGGTCAGGTAGTCGCCTGCCACCACGAATTCATCAGGCGTTATGAGCCCACATTCCTTGAACTTGCTCTCTCGCAGAACCGGTGCAAAGTAGTCGCGCACAGCCCAGAATCGTGTCTGAACTGCATGCATATATCGTTAAAGGTACACCAGAAAGCAGAAATGCGAGTGAAGGGGTAAGTACAACTTACTTGCTTGTTGTAGAGGTGGCGGAGCGAGCTTACAAAAAAATGTGTCCAGGTAAAGGGTCAAGTGTCCAGCCAACACGCATGGAACACTTGCCACCAATAACCGGAAAGCTTTCATATGCACACATCTCACATCACGCCACATTCATTGAAAGGACAGAGCGCCCTCTTCTCCCTATGGGCGTGAAAATCTGTGTGGAGGCCTTTTATTCAAATTCATTCATGTGTCTCCGAGACGACCAGCCGATCCACTATCAGCTCACGTGCCACCCTTATGGGTGTGTTAATGACACAGCGATGCAATGGGCGTAAGTTCACATGCGTTGGATCGAACGCATTCAAGTCATCCATAGATGGTATTGGTAGCTACAAACGCTGTTTGACCCAGGATTCCATGCCGCCAGCCACATAGATTTCCTGGATAGACCGGCCTATGCCAGCAGGCCGCGTCGTGTAACGCTTTACGGAGCCATTACCAAATCTGAGCTCGACTGCACCTGTGCGGCTGTCCAGCGACACAGTTGCATCACGTAGAAGCACACTGAGCTCACCTGGCTGCCGGCCTCCAGCACCACGTTGTCCATCCTTGGCGTAGGATGACGTGAGATCATCCACTAGCTCAGGACACTGAAGACAAATAAGCCCATTATTAATGGCATTTCGCTTGAAAACATCACTAAAGGAACCTGCGAGCACAACAGGTACACCGGCATACTTCAGTGCGGTCGCTGCTTGTTCACGTGAGGAGCCCGTGCCAAAGTTGTAGCCGCTTACCAGCACAACAGCAGCATCCTCGCCGTTATCGGCTCGGCGCGCACGCTCCTGAGCAATGGAAGAGGCAAAAGATGGATCGTAGTTTTCCATAACCACCTGTGCCTGACGCTCAGGCGTAATGTCGTCTTGATACGTATACTTGCCTGGATACAAAGCATCAGTGTTCAAATTGTCTTGCGGGGCAAACACGAGGGTACCTGCAAACTTTGGTGGGAACTGCGGCTCTAGTTCTGCTGGTGCAGCAGCAGCTTGTGGTGTCGAGTCGATGGATTCCATGCTCACAAGAGGCCTTCCGTCCTCTGGTCGAGTGCCCTCGGGCGCACAGATCTTGCCAGCTGCCGCACTTGCTGCGACCACAGCAGGGGATGCGAGGTATGCAAGGGCGTTCGGGCTTCCCATACGTCCTTTGTAGTTTCGGTTCGTCGCGGAAATGCCGACCTCGCCATCTTTCAGCAGACCCATACCAAGGCCAATGCAAGGGCCACAGCCAGCTGGTAACGGCCGAGCGCCTGCTGCAAGAAGTGAGCCCCAGTCACCGTTGTTCTCAGCCTCGCGTTGTACGACGCTGCTGGCTGGTGCGAGATAAAATTCAACGCCTGGCGCTACTTTGCGACCGCGCAGCACATCCGCTGCTGCCTTGATATCCGACGCACGCGAATTCACACATGATACAAGGTACGCCTTCTGAATGGCAATGTCCTGCTTCTCAAGCTCATAGAGAGGCGTCGCGACTTTGACGCTATTAGGTCCGGACACGTGGGGCGACAGAGTCGATAGATCGAGGCGCAAGTGCTTTGCGTACGATGCGCCGTCATCTGAGTGGATGCGATGCTTTTCGAGCGCTTCGAGATGTGACCAGTTCAGCCGCGGGTGCGTGTCAGAGGGCCGCGGCGACGAGCCCATTTGGAAATGGAGCTTGTCCATTTTGCGCAGCAGTGCATCGTACCAACTGAGTGTTGTATCGTCCACAGGAAAGACACCGGCCAGAGCTCCCCACTCTGTCGTCATGTTACTGATCGAGAGTCGTTCATCGACTGTGAGTGCGCTTACACCGTCGCCGGTAAATTCAATCGCTGCATTCAGGACCTCGTCATTCTTAAAGTAGCCACACAGCGCCACGATCACATCTTTGCCAGTGACGCCCGGACGCAGTTGGCCGGTGAGCTCGACTTTCACCATAGGAGGCAGCTGCCACCACGTTTTGCCTGTCGCCCAGATGGCCGCTGCATCTGTGCGGACGATCGGCGTCCCTACAGCACCGACGCCTCCATACATGTTTGAATGGCTGTCTGAGGCGACAACGAGCGTCTGCGGAAAGGCATAGCCTTCTTCGACTAGAACCTGATGACCTATGCCGCGACCAGCGGGGTAAAAGTCCACGCCCTGTTCACGTGCAAAGGCCTCGATGCGCGCATATTTATCCATGTTTTTGGGCGACTTGTTTTGGACATCGTGGTCCAGAGCAAAGACGACTTGGGTTGGATCATGGATTTGTTTCGCACCGATCGAGCGGAACTTGGTGATGACCGGTCCCGTGTTGTCATGGGTCATGACAGTTGCCGGTCGAATCGACACGTAGTCGCCGGAACGCACACGCACGGCTGGGTCCCAATCGACAGCATACTTTTGCACGACTTTTTCAATGTATGTTTGTGGCGTCTCAGTGGACAGAAGACGGCGCCGTCCATATTTCGTAGTGATGGAGCGGTGAGCCACAGACGCTCTACCAGCTAGAATACGTAGCATGTTTGACGGCAATCTTGACGTATTCACGCTGACACACACCACAACTACGATGCTCAGGAGACCGAGCTCAGCGTGTGGTTTCTTGGTAGGTATGTGCGTGTGTGAAAAGCGTTAACAGAATTGATCATGTTGGCACTTGCATCCCCGATCGACCCCTCCACGCCACCGACCATCATGAACCACCGTGGTTTGGCCAACCAACGCGTTATCTTTTGGACCATTGGCAACGATGGCCATTAGTCACGCACCACCGATTTGCTCGATCGTCGTCTCAATATGCGCGCACTCTCGTTCGTCGTTTCTGTTAGATGATTTTGTGACTTGCAGATGTGCTGCAAGTCCCACGCAATTCGGCCGATATATTCCTCATCATGCGTCTTTCCTACGAGTCGGTCGACATCTCGCCCGGCCCCGCCCCTTTCATGTGCTGCGCGTATCCTGGCGCCATCGGGGCTGGCAGATAGCCACTTGCCTGAAAGCACTGAAAGATAGACAGGCGAGGATTTACCGCTGCGTGACTCAGCCTCCTCTTATCTAACATCGGCACAGTATCTTGTGCTTCCCCCACTTCCATCTTGTACCTATGAGCTCTCCGCTTACTCGTACTACTCTGCGCTCTGCTACTCGTGTCTCATCTACCCCGTTGCGTGCGCCTGTGCGCTCGCTGAGTGTACTCGCATCGCATGCTACACGCGCGACGCGTGTGATGCCGTCGTCGTCGTCTGTGCGTCCAGCGATGCCCTCGGTGATGCGTGGCATGAAGACGTTGGACTTTGCCGGCACACCGGAAAAGGTGTATGAGCGCGAGGACTGGCCTTTGGAGAAGCTGCATGACTACTTTAAGAATGACACATTCGCTCTCCTTGGCTACGGTTCGCAGGGCCATGGCCAAGGCCTGAACCTGCGAGACAACGGACTGAATGTGATCGTTGGCGTGCGCAAGGACGGCGAGTCGTGGCGCCAGGCCATGGAAGATGGCTGGGTGCCAGGCAAGAACCTGTTCACCATTGAAGAGGCTGCGACAAAGGGCACAATCTTGATGAATCTCCTGTCTGACGCTGCGCAGACGTCAACATGGCCCGAACTTCAAAAGTACGTCACGAAGGGCAAGACACTGTACTTCTCGCATGGATTCTCGATTGTGTACAAGGATCAAACAAGTGTCGTTCCCCCAAGTGATGTGGACGTCATCCTGTGCGCACCGAAGGGCTCAGGCCGCACTGTGCGTACATTGTTCAAGGAAGGACGCGGTATCAACTCGTCCGTGGCTGTGTTCCAGGACGTGACAGGCCAAGCGTTGGAAAAGGCGGTGGCCATCGGTATCGCCGTTGGATCTGGCTACATCTATGAGACAACCTTCGAGAAGGAAGTGTTCTCGGACCTGTACGGCGAGCGTGGCTGTTTGATGGGTGGTATCCAGGGTATGTTCAAGGCCCAGTACGACGTGCTCCGTGCGCATGGACACTCGCCGTCAGAAGCATTCAACGAGACGTGTGAGGAGGCACTCGAGTCGCTGTACCCGCTTGTGGCGCAGAACGGCATGGACTACATGTACAAGGCCTGCTCGACCACAGCCCGTCGTGGTGCTCTTGACTGGGCGCCAGAGTTTGAGGCCGCTTGCAAGCCGGTGTTTGAGCGCCTGTACGAGAGTGTGAAGAATGGCTCTGAGACGCGCCGCGCTCTTGAGTTTGGCTCCCGCAAGACGTACCGCGAGGACTACGACAAGGAGACCGATGCCATCGCGGACCAGGAGATGTGGCGTGTTGGTCACGTCGTGCGTGCTCTGCGCCCCAACCGAAAGTAACATACTCATAGTGGGATAGAGTGAAGAACGAAAGAAAGATATGTGTGTGTGTGTGTAAGAGTCATCTGCAAGGACTGCCGGGCATGCGTTGATCTACACACACCGCTGAATGCGATGCAAGACTTGTCGACCTTCAGGCACATACACGGCAGAGTACGTTGATGTCATGCACCATGTGAACCAGCCGCGCTTCTCAGCATAAGAGTCGATTTCCAGTGCACTAAGACGGCCGCCATAGGCGCGACTCATGCCTGTATCAATGATGAAGATTTGGCCATGAGCGCAACGTGCATGAATGCCGCTCATATGCGGTGTGTGGCCCATGATAAGGGATGACACGCCCAGTGCGTCAATGGCTCTGTTGGCCGTGGCACATGCGTGTTGATGCGGATCAAGCGCGTAACCACGGTACCAGAATGGACCATCTGACAGCCAGAGGGCTTCCTCAGACTTGGTAATATTGATGGAGTCTCCTTCGTACGCTGACAATGCCTTGGTGAGTAGCGAGTGTGCATCTTTGTTCATGGCATCGACGCCGATCTGCGCAAAGGCTGGCGTGATGCCGCCATGGACAAAAGACGCTCGCTGTGTCGGAAAGTATACCGCCACAGGATCCGGCAGCAAAGGAACGTTCATCGTAACGTTGTAGTGTTGCATCCACTCCATGCCAAGCCATCCATGCAAAGACATAGCTTGCCTACGTCCCACCGGGCCGCCGAATGATGCCATATCTCCAGGCGTCACATAGCGCCAATCCATCATAGCATTCATCATCTCATGGTTACCCAGTACGTTGATGACATTGCCGCCCACACGACGACTTTGCTCGCGCAAGTCTTGGAAGAGACGGTACAGCCGGATTGTATCGTCACCGCGGTCGACGGTGTCACCGGTACTTACGAAGATGGTCGATCCACCAGCCCATGAGTCATTTTCTGCATGGAGGATCCCAGCTGCACGAAGAATCGATGTTGCATGCTCGTAATCGCCGTGGATGTCGCCCAGTGCTACGATCCGCCGGTGCATGGACCTGTGCTGCAGCTGGACGAGATATTGGCGACCAGTCAGTATGTAGTCGCGAATGAAATGGCTCAGAAGCACCAGAGCAACAGCAGCTACAGCAAACAGACAAGCGCAGCCGCAACGCTGCGAACGGCGCCACGACATGCTACCGGTGATGTAAACTCGCCGGACGCACGAGCGAAATCAATGTGGAGTACGATAACCAACATGTGTGTCACTCGACAAGCACGGCGGATATCGACCTTGTCGCCGCGACACGCGGCGTGCTGCGAAGAGTCAACTGGGTGGAGGATGGAGAATGGAGTAATACACACCTCCATGGTCGCACGCCCTTCCCTCGCGCCTCTGTCGTCATCCGTGTGGGTGAACGGCATTTGTGAGTGTGTAACTTGTCTTTATACACCAGTCCAGCATGTCTGCGGCCGCGACGATCCTTCCACTTGAGCTTGTCGATCGTTGCATCGGAAGTTCCATCTGGGTCGTGATGAAGGGCCAGCGCGAGTTTGTCGGCAAGCTCCTAGGCTTTGATGACTATGTCAGTACGTAGCAAGCGGAACCTGCGTCATTGGCAGTACGGTAGATGACTTACGCTATCCTTGCACAGATATGGTGCTAGAAGATGCGGTGGAATAGTGCGTATGGTTTGTGCTACTTTCTTACCACATGTGCAGTGAAGAGACGCCAGACGGCTATAAAAAGACGCATTTATCCAAAACGCTGCTCAATGGGAACAATATCTGCACTGTACGTCCTTAAAAACGAAAGCTACGCATACGGCTCTGGAACCACCGCGAGTGTCTAACAAATGTACAGCTGATTCCGGGTGGTCAGGGCCCTGAATCTTCATAAGAAAGTGATCGCGACCGAATTTTTACTCTGATGCAGTCATCAACATGGTTACCTGTTTCATCCACGACAGTCTCTCTCTCTCTCTCTCTCTCTCTCTCTCTCTCTCTCTCTCTCTCTCTCTCTCTCTCTCTCTCTCTCTCTCCCTCAGCGCCTTTCTCCTCACTTTCCACAAATGCCCCCACATGCCTAACTATGCATTGCGAGCTGTGTTGCGCCATTGCATGTATGGCATACGTAGCTGCGTCGCCTGTTCAGACCGCATTCGAGTCGAGCGACGCGTCTCGATCGCTGGCTCCCGAACGCCCAATGCAATATCGTCGGTGCGGCGGCGCATGCCGCCCTCAATAGCCTCGCGATGCTTGAGCAGTTGCGCCTTCAGCGCATGCTCACGCACACCCTGCGGCCGTAACCACGCAATGAGCTCTTCGACCTGTTCTGGCTGACTGTAGACGCCCCAACTGCCATAGGACCACGCCTTCGAGTCCATCCGGTGCTCACCACTGCGTCGGTGCACAAGGGCATCCCGTCCATCGGCATACTCGACGCACAGTTTGTCCCAGTCGCGCCGACTTGGAGACTGCACAAAGATCCGTGCTGTCTGATAAGCCATGTGTCCACGCGCTGCTGATCCAATGCCGTCCAGCCAATAGTACCGATCAAGGAACCGATCCCGCCCCAATGGCCGAAGACGTGGAATTTGAGCATACCGTCGAAACTCGCGCTCAATCGCTCCCTCTCGCCGTATACACCGCTGGATCGTCTCGGCCAAGCGGCGACGCTCGTCACGAAGCTGCTTCGTCTCACGAAACTGTTCCTTGAACCGAGCCTGTTCGGCAGCGACTCTCTCAGCCTCTTCTTCCCGCTGTAGTGCCTTTTCGCGCAACACCTCTTGCCGCGTACCAGCCAAGCGTTTGTAGTGATCCGTTTCTTTGCGATCGATGCCATCGTCAGATCCGTCGGTGCCATCCGATTGCTCGTCCGCGTCCGATGCATCCTCTTCGTCTCGGTCAGCACCGCCAGGCTCGTCGCCGTCAGACGCTAGCTCATCTCGTTCCGAGTCCGTGTTGTCGTCGTCCTCATTCCCATTCTCGCCATCATTGTGATCATCCTCGTCGCCGGCATCTGTCAAGGCCCGGCCATGCGTGCGACGTTGGCTGCGATCGGCGTCATTAGCTGAGCCTGATGCATGTGCCGTCGCACCGGAATCGCCGTTCTCCGTACCTTGGCCGGCCGCGTCCTGCTCGCCGCCAGACTGTGCCGAGGTCTGCTGATGTTCAAGCTCTTGCTGCTGCTCATACGAGCGCTTTCGCTGACGCACCAGCTCAATACGTTCCTTGCGCAGTTCCGTCAAGTGCGACTCACACTCCTCGTAAAATGCCTTGACATCTCGTGTCAACACGGCGAGTTCGCACAGAAACTGCAGGATGTGCACCTTGTCACTCAATGGCAAATGTGGGTATCGCTCAGCGGCTGAACGTAAAGGACGCCCTGCCTGCCGCCCATTCTCGATCGAGTCGTCCTCATTGTACTCCACACCGGTCATGAATGACAAGATCCCTAGGTATCGCGGTAAGGATTCTGGCGTCGCACGGTCTACAAGGCAGCCGACCAAGTGCCGTTCCCAGCCAGACCGATGTTCGTCGTCCAGCTCACGGCGTTGCCAGCCACGACTCTGCTCACGCGCTGCATCCAGCACATCGCGCTCCGGCGAGTCGCTTAGCTCACTTAGATCTGACGCTGCATCCGACGTGGGCGTGTCCATGTCGCCATTCCCTACGGCAGTCGAGTTCTCGTCAGGTCCAGAAGCCGAAGTCGAGTGAGCGGCGGCATGGGCGTGCCGTTGAGCAATAGCAGCCGGCGCCAGATCACGACTGTGTGCACCGTCGCGAACAATAGCATTCAAAAGTACAGCGTGCACTTCTGCAAGCAACGCGCAAGGAGGGTCATTCACGGGATGTCGAAGTGCGCCTTCCAAATCGTCGAGGGCCATACACGATATGCCCAACGGCTCGCCAAGTGTGAGGAAAAAATAGTACACGGTCAAGAATGGCTCAAACACGTCAGCGGGCACATTGAGCTGGTCTTCGCCACCCAGTGCTGGTCGACATGCTAGGCGAGGAAGCTCACCAGGTATCTCAACCTTGAGCTCTTCGTGTGTCATGGCATCAAGGAGTGTGTCTTCACAAGGGAATTTGAGGACTTTGGGTGGTGTTGGTGGTGGTGCTGGTGGAGAGGAAGAAGACTTGGATCCCTTTTTCGTCATGGCAGCAGCCAAAGTCGATCCTGCTGTGGCCGATGTTGGCATGGCGCCCTTGTCGTCAGCTCGGCTGGTCTTTTTCGGCTCGCGCGCTTGGCGCTTGTTGGACGAAGAAGAGGACGAGGCCGCACCTGCAGCAGATGAATCCGCATCGGTTCCTGCCTCCGACCTCCGCCGCTTGTGCGAGTTCGATGCCTGCTCGATGCTCGCTTGAATAGCAGGTGGCAAGGCCGACGATAGGCCATGCTTGTGAGCGAGATGTTCTCGAACGAGCCAGAACTGCCCTACGTATGGATCCCGGCACAAGGCATCACGAAGAAAGCGGCGCAGGATCGTCTTTGTCAGTGCATGCCTCTCGCGGCTCAGCTGTTCAGCTCGGACGACCTTGGTCTTGGCGGGATGCTCAAACTCAATGGTATACTCATATGCTTCTGGTGGATCGGCATGCGCATCTGCTTCAGTCAGCGACAGATTCGCATGCAACGCTTTGGAGGAATTCGGGCGAGAGGCTGGAGCAGCCGCATTATCAGCATCGTGTTCATTGCTTGGCGCGTGCCTGCAGCACAAGCCCGAGCGGACAACGCCTGGATACCGCACGCCCTCATGCTCAACAAGCACGTCTTCGCCGACGAAGAAGCGCTGCTTCATGCAATCAAACACACGCTCAACAGCATCTGCGAGACTTCCACTGGGCTGGAACTGCATTAACTGGAGCACAGGCTTCTTGAGCGCCTGAGGAAACTGCGTCTGGATAGCAAGCGTGTGCTGGGCCTCGCTTTCTGTGGCCTCAAAATATGTGAGATTCGACTTGCCAGATGCCTCGCACTGGAAAATGCGCTGGTGATAGTAGCTGAGTCGTGTTGCATAATGTCTACGTTTCACAATGAGCCCCGTCAGAGTCACACGTACTCATAATCATCAAACACCTCGCCCGTTGCTGCCAGATAGAACACATCTCGGTCTTCATGCTGCGCGTGGGCGGCGGCCAGAGACGCAGGCAAACTCACTGGCTGTACGTGTTTCCGTTTGACGACCGGCATCCACAATACACCCGTGTCTTGGTTGTCGTCGCTCGGGAGGAGCGAAAAACGAACGACACGCACGCCTGGTTCCTGTTCGCGTAAGGCACTGAGCAGGTCATCCACAAAGCTGCAACGCGTCGTCGTGTGATTAAATCCCCGTTCCTCCACGCGCTCAACATCCATGAGAATGAGGGAGCAGCCCAGCGGGGGACAGGCCCAACGGGGGACAGGCGCTAGTTACACACAGGCCACCGAGCCCAGGCACTCTCTTGCTTTAAAGTTTGATATCGATCTCTCTTTCTCTCTCTCTCTCTCTCTCTCTCTCTCTCTCTCTATGTATATACACTTGAGCATGAACGAATAAAGCGGCAGCTGGCGCGTACCCTGTACTGTTAAGCCTACATTCTCGCAGATAAAGGCGCATCAAGAAACTTGATGATAGGTACGACCCATGCGCGTTCCATATCAAAGTAGTCGAACCACATGTGGGCGAATGCTTCCCGGTCATCGGGGCTAGCGACATTTGGATAAAGGCGCATCGCTTGCGGAAGAAACCGCAATATATCGTTCGACTCCTCATACAAGACCATCTGGTCATACCGGCCATGGATCACAGCTATGGGTAGATTCCTTGGCACATGACGCAGTTGATCGCGATTTGCATACCGACTGATAGCCGCTGCTTGATACCCAATGACCGTCTGCGGTCGCTTATGATGAATGCCTACGCGCATACGCTCATCGAACATAGGCTGCAATGGTTTTCCATCGCCCAGCACATCGGCATGGTACTGCAAGGCGAGTATGTAGCGAATGTAGGCCAAGCTGCGTTCTTCCCAGCTCGCATGCTCGGGCACTGGTACTTGATTCGCACGAAATTTCGTGCGAGGCGACTTTGTGAAAGTTGCCGCTAGCAAGACACGACGTACTTCGACGCCCTGTACAGACACACCAGACACACCAGCCTGATCCGACGTTGCGCGCGCATCGGGATGCGTGAGGATCGCCTGTGCAATGATGCCGCCCATACTGAATCCCAAGAGATGCACATGTCGAACATGCAGGGCGTTACACAGCTGCAGCACGTCTTGAGCAAGAAGTTCAATCGTGATATCCTCGTCTTGTTCTGCCGTCATCGATGAAGTCCCCATGCCGCGGTGATCAAACACAAGAACTCGCCGCGTGTGCGCGAGGCATTCCGCCAGCGGCATCCAGTCATCCATCACGGCACTCATGCCCGTCACCATAACGAGTGTTGCACCCGCATGCTCTTTGCCCAGCAGCTTGTATCCAATAGTAGCGCCATCTGGCATACGACAAACTTCGAACGACATGGTCTACCACTCACAGGTCTTTTGTTCTGGTGGGCCAAGGCAAGACAGACAAAAGTGAGGAAGAGGTATAGAGAACACGAGGAGGGAAGAGCGACGAGTGTTATTAAATATTGCGAGTCGACTTTCAGTCACGAATGGATCAATGAGAGTTGGAAATGACACAGCAGCCACAGCTTATGTCGTTTCCCCATACGAACTCGCTTCCTCCGCTCAACCAGTGTCAAGATCAATCAGCTGGAGTAGTGGAGGTTCACTTCATCATTCTCGTCCGCGGGGCGACGAAGAGGGAGGGGGTGGGGGAAAACCAGGCACATGCATTGTCCACATCGATTCGGCTTGCATCGTAAGTGGGCACTTTCATTCTAAGCCACATCTCGCGTAGTGGCGGCATCGTCCCATGGACTCGGAGTGCGTAGGAGAGCTCACACTAACACACACTCACTGCAGGCTCCGCACGTACGAGTGTATGTAAAGCGTGTCTCACACCCGCCCAGTTCAGTTGTCCCAGGTCGAGCATGCACTAGAGGCAGATCCCCAGAACGCTGAGCTCTCGTCCCTGCGGGATGAACTAGCTAATTTGATCTCGCTCACCAAAGAGTATCATGCGAGTCAAGAAGCGACAAAGCCAAAGACTCACACACATACGAAAGAAAGTACACACCACTACCACGCGGGTGATGAGTGCATGGCACGCCATCAGGCAGATGGTCGCTGGTACCCAGCAAGGATCACCTCTGTGGCTGGATCCGCAGAGAATCCCGTGTACTCTATCCTGTATACAAAGCACAGAACGACAGATGTGGTAACAGCAAGTGATCTTCGTCCTCGACAACAGCACGCAAATGCTCAGGCTGGCATGGCAGGAGAAGCATCTGGACTCACCACAACAGCAACGATGGCTATGGCGTCAACCAAGCCAAAAAACACCGGGGCTTTGCGGCCTATGACGAATGATGAGCGCGAGCGTGAACGTGAGCGGAAACGCGTACGCAAAGAAAAGAAACTTGAACGCGAAGCAGCAAAGAATATGGAGCATGATAGGAAGCAGTCATCCTGGCAAAAGTTCCAAGCGAAAGCCGTCAAGAAAAAGTATGGCGTGGCGGGTGACCGCAGCATGTTCAAAACACCCGACGATCCCTATGCCAAGAGTACGTACAATTGGTTTTGCACCATCACTCACACACTTTTTTTTTTCCTTGCGTGGAACGAATGGCAGTCGGATCGTCTGGAGGTCGCGGTATGACAAAGCAAGCGCCACGCCTGAAAAATACCTACGAGACGCCAGATGAGTAGGTTATAGAGTCCCATAGACAAAGCACCCACCAACATGCACGCATGCAAGTCGTCCTGCCCATGATGCGCGCTAAAGGAGTCTGACTCAAGACACTGACATTGGCACTGACACACACACACACACACACAGATATATACACACCACCATAGACACATGCCATTTTGTGCCCACACAAATGCAACGCATGCGAATGCGTTGATGTATTCACACTCGCACACTCACACACACAAGCAGAATGCCTTGTATACAGAGACGGCATGAAAGCGAAAGCCAACGCTAGATTTTTTTATTTTGGGGTAGCAGAGAGAGTATCTGGGTCATAAGAGCGAACGAAGCTACTGCAACAAAGACACAAATTCGCCGTGTCACTTTACTCGTCCTGCTCAATGACAGTGGTCTGCAGACCGTGGAAGTTCGTGATGCCCAAAACAGGCGTCGCGTAGGTGTACAGCTTCTCCTTCGCCTCCTCGTCGTCGTTGCGCTTGCGCTCAAGACGCACACGGATGCGGCGCGGCGCGTCCTTCACACCGAGCTTCCAGATCTCCTGGTTCAGTTTCGGGTCCAGGCGCACATCGTTCGTGCCCATTGTCTTCTGTGCGAACTTGACCACTTCCTTCACACCCCTCGGGGCGCGCTTCTTGAATTGCATGCGGTGCACGCGCTTGTGAAGATGAATGGTGTACTCGCGCTGGTCGAGTTAGCTTCTCATTGCACATGACGGCCATCCATATTGCTGCAACATACCGTCACCACGTCATTCAGAGCTGAGCGGGTCTTCTTGCCCTTCTGGGACTTGTCCTGCGGAGCCATGATGACCAAGTCGTGGATGGCACGTACGGAAAGAAGATAGGAACTCTACCTTACCAACGGAGGAGAGGGGCCCACTGGTGCGGCTGCACGCCCTGTGCCAACACGTTGCGCTGCCTATTGGGCGAGAACTGGTTTTGAGTCACGTGGACTATATAGTTCTCGCACGTGCATTATGCGAACGACCAGGTGCGATGCGCGCCGCAAGATCCCACCGGCTAGCGACTCTGCAAGTGGAGGAGAACCGAGTCACTACAGATCGCTTTCTTGTTGGGTAGTGAGCGTGTGTGCCTGTGCGATCCTGTGGGCTGGTTTTGAATGCAGCTGCGCCTAAGGTCGCTTTGAGTAGTTGCAAAGCCGCATAGGCCGTACGAGGTAGCGGCTCTTGGAGTTGCATCATGTAGAACCTTGACATGTCTAGACGCTACAGCTTGCTTGCTACATACGTGCATCGGGTCGGAACGTAAGGAACAGGCGGGGCCGACGTTGTCTATCGCCGCACACACTCCGACCAGTCGAGTCAGCGAGCTCGTCATAGACATCGACAAAGATCTATTTAGCCGAGGATCTTGGTCACGATACCCGTGCCGACGGTCTTGCCACCCTCACGAAGTGTGAAGCGAGAGCCCTGCTCCAGAGCAATGTCATGCACAAGGTCACAGACAAGCTCGACATTGTCACCAGGCATGACCATGGCTTCGTCAGCATTCTCGGTGCCAGGCGGGTGCGTGAGTGACACAGTCACATCCGAGGTGCGGATGAACAGCTGCGGGCGGTACTGTACAAAGTTAGATACGTAGAGAGAATAGGACGTACATTGTTCATGAAAGGCGTGTAGCGACCGCCCTCTTCCTTCGTAAGGATGTAGATCTGGGCCTGGAACTTCTTCACAGGCTTGACAGTGCCAGGGGCAATCACGACCTGACCACGACGTACCTGCTCACGCTTGACGCCACGCAGCAGAGCACCCATGTTGTCACCAGCCTCACCACGGTCGAGCTCCTTGTGGAACATTTCAATGCCGGTGAGGGTCGTCTTTAGATGACCACCGAGACCAATGATTTCAATTTCCGAGCCCTTCGTGATGGTACCACGTTCCACACGTCCCGTCACCACAGTACCACGACCAGAGATGGAGAAGACATCTTCAACAGGCATCAGGAACGGCTTGTCGAGATCACGCGGCGGCAGGTCGAGCCAAGCATCCGTCTCTTCCATAAGCTTGAGAATCGCGCCCTTGCCGATCTCGTCGTCGCGACCTTCCAGTGCAGCAAGTGCCGAGCCAGACACAATGGGCGTGTTGTCACCGTCGAAGCCGTACGTCGAAAGAAGTTCACGCATCTCCATGTCCACGAGCTCGAGCATTTCCTTGTCGTCGACCTGGTCAACCTTGTTCACGAACACGACAAGCTTCTTGATACCAACCTGACGCGCAAGGAGCAAGTGCTCGCGCGTCTGAGGCATCTGACCATCCGTAGCCGACACGACGATAATCGCACCGTCCATCTGCGCAGCACCCGTGATCATGTTACGGATATAGTCAGCGTGGCCAGGGCAGTCGACGTGGGCGTAGTGACGGTTGGGCGTCTCGTACTCGACGTGGGCTGTCGAGATGGTAATACCACGTTCCTTTTCTTCCGGTGCCTTGTCGATCGATGCATAGTCCACAAACTTGCCCTCACCAGAGTTTTCATGCAGCACCTTGGTGATGGCAGCTGTGAGCGTCGTCTTTCCGTGGTCTAGGCGCGCGCGTTAGTACCGCTGGACATGTCTGACCCTTGTTCACACATACATACACACGCGCACACATCCGTGCACGGCGCGTGGGTGAATGCGGGCAGGCAATCTGCATTTACGTACCGACGTGACCAATAGTGCCAATGTTCATGTGTGGCTTGGAACGCACATACTTGCCACCGGCCTCAGCGGCGTACGTGCGCACGGGACCAGCGGAGGCAGCTCCGCATGGGCGCAAGGCAGCACGCACCTGGCGGAAAAGGCCATTTGCCACTGGACCTGTGTGCTTGCTACGCACAAACGCTACATTAGGTTAGTTTGACGATGCCCATGCCTTTTTTTTTACGCCGAATCAAAAAAAGGGAAACAGCCGGCGTTGGTGTCCCATACACACCTGGAACAGCCACTTGGGCGTGCACGTTGCGAGCTGCAAGCGGCAACGACACAGCGTCCCGAACGGAGCGGATCGACACTGTCCGAGCGACGCTCATCACGGCAGATAGACAACCTTCAAACGAGGCGTTTCTTCGCCGAACGTCGGGTGCACACGTCGAGTGACCGGCTGACTAAACATGCACACACTGTCGACGATGTCGAGCGGCATGCGTCTCACGGACGTCGACGGCGATGGACGCGAGCGCGCATGACGGTGCGACGCGTGCGAACCAGGAAGACCGCGTCAAGCATGAGGAGGCAGATGCACAGAGTGGTGTGCCGCAGGTATCTGTAGATGGGGCACATGAGCATGCCGATGAAGAAAAGCAAGAGGGAGAGGGCGTGACGGAGATGGGCGATGCGGACAAGGGAGACCGAGGGAACCAAGAAGGAGACGGTCAGAGGGAACTTTATGAAGAGGAAGGCGAGGAGGAGGGCAAGGAGGGCGAAGAGGGCGAAGAAGACGACGAGGAGGACGACGAGGACGAAGAAGATGACGAGGAAGAGGAAGACGAAGACGAAGAGGAAGATGAAGATGATGATGAGGACGGAGATACACACCGACGGAAAAAGAAGCAGCGCCGGAATCGCTTTCTTGATGTCGAGGCGGAAGTCGACAACGATGACGAAGAGTTTGAGGATGAAGAAGCGGAAGAGCTTCTGCGAGAGGATGGCTTCATTGCCGATGATATCCTGGACGAGTCACGCGAAGCGCAGCTCAAGACAGCCGCCGACAATCAGCGTCTTGATCATGTACGCCGGCGTGAGGAGGAAATGAGTGCAGAGGCACTGGCGGAAGAGCTGCGTCAGCGGCATGCACGCAGTTCTCGCTACGCATCGCAGTCAGACTATGCTGAAGTGCCACAGCGTCTGTTGATGCCGAGTGTGAATGATCCAGGTCTGTGGCGCATTCGATGCAAGCGCGGGCGCGAACGCACACTTGTTGCGACGGTGCTACGACGTGCGCTGACGCGCGAGACAAGTGGGCGGCCATTGCGGATCTATTCGGCGTTCTGTCGAGACTCGCTCGATGGCCAAATCTTCGTCGAGGCACGCCGTGCCGATGATGTGCTGGATGCATTTGATGGACTCGCAGGTGCCTATACGACGAACACGAAGCCGTTCCTGGTGCCGATCCTCGAGATGGCCGATCTGCTCAAGCTCCAGAAGAAAAACACCGAAGTGCCGGTGGGCGGCTGGGTGCGTATCAAGCGTGGAAAGTATGCGGGCGATCTGGCGCAGGTGCTGGACGTGGCCGAGAATGGAGAGGAAGTGGGCGTCAAGCTCGTGCCACGCATTGACTTGACGCCTCAGGAACACGACACGTACACGGATCGGGGCGGGACGCAAGCGGAAGAAGCCCCGTCAACTCGGCGCTCACGTCGCTGGGCTTCCGTCCGCCACCGCGTCTTTTCAATGCCGAAGAGGTACAGAAGGCGTACCCGCACGAAATCCCCGACGAAGCGCGGCGGTGTGTGGGTGTTTGGTGGCGAGACATTCCGCGATGGCTACCTTGAGAAGGATGTGCGCATGAATGCGATCCAGGTCGAAGATGTGCATCCGAGTCTTGACGAAGTGCTCAAGTTCACGGGAGAGACACCCGCCGAGGGTGCCGGCGTAGACTTGAATCTGCTGGCTGATGCATCGAAGCAGACGTCCGAAGCGACGCTGCAGCCCGGCGACCACGTCGAGGTGTTTGAGGGCGAGCAGGCCGGTGTAGCCGGCATTGTCGACGCGATGAGCGGCGACGTCGTGACGCTCGAGCTGCCCAACGATGCGCTCGATGGCCAGAAGATCGAGGTGCCCGCCAAGTGTGTGCGCAAGCAGTTCCGGCCGGGAGACCACGTCAAGGTGCTGAGCGGGAAGCACCGCAGACGAGACGGGTCTCGTCGTCAAGGTGTGAGGAGGGCATCAAGACGTTCCTCTCAGACTTGTCGATCAAGAAGGTGTCGTGTGTTTTCCAAGGACATCCGTTAGTCGGCGGAAGTCGGCTGCTGGTGTTAATGTCATTGGCGGTTAGGAACTCCATGACCTAGTCCAGATCGATGCGCAGACGGCCGGTGTCATGTTCAAAATTGAGCGCGAGACATTCAAGGTGCTCGACCAACATGGGCATGTAGTCACGCTGAAGCCGCACCAGATCAGCATGCGCCGTGACTCGAAACGCTCTGTGGCGCTCGACTACAACGGACACGAGGTGCATGTGGGCGACATGGTGAAAGAGGTCGAGTGGCCACTGACGCAGTTCCGCCAGGGCCAGGTCCTACACATCTATCAGTCGGCACTGGTGTTTGTGCACAATCGCACGTACAAGGAGAATGGCGGCCTGTTTATTGTGCGTGCGAATCACATTGAGCCACTGGCGCCGACCAATGTCAAGCCACGCACCGATCCGTCGCAGATGAACCCGGCGCTCAAGGCCATGGATGCCGATGCAGGAGCGAATGCATCGGGACCACGGCGCGGCGGCCGCGACATTTATGCAGGCAAGACGGTCGCGATTGTGCGAGGCCCGTACAAGACGTACCGCGGCATCATCAAAGAGACGACAGGCGGCATGGCTCGAGTCGAGCTGCACACCATGTCAAAGATCCTCACGGTGCCCCTGGATCACATGGTGGAAAAGAACCCCGTCACCGGCGAAAGCCGGCGTCTCGTCGGCCCTGCTGCGCCCGCAGCCGCGCCGGCCATGGCGATGAACCCGTATGCGGGTGGTGGCATGACACCTGCGTATGCCGGCGCGGCCGCTGGCTTGGCAGGCGCCGCAGGTGGCAAAACACCCGCCTACAACCCGTACGACGGCAGCCGCACGCCCGCGTACGGGGTGGGCATGGGCCAGACACCGAATCCGTACGGCAGCGCTCGGACGCCAGCATACCCGGGCATGGCTCACACACCCAATCCGTATGGCGGCCGAACGCCAGCCTATCCTGGCATGGCCGCGACACCCAATCCTTATGGCGGTGGCTTGATGGGCCAGACGCCCAATCCGTACGGCGGAGGAGCTCCCATGGGGCAGACGCCCAATCCCTACAGTGCGCCGACACCGAACCCGTATGGTGGTGCTGGAGGCCGAACACCCGCCTATGCTGGCATGGCAGCCACACCGAACCCGTACGGAGCCCCGCCACTTTTGGGCCAGACACCCAATCCGTACGGCGGCCAGACGCCCAACCCGTATGGTGGCGCGGGCGCTGGCGGTGCACGCACACCAGCGTATGCAGGCATGGCTGCGACGCCCAACCCATGGGCGGGCGCGGCAGCTGGCCCTGCAGCAATGATGCCGCCGTCGTCACTGATCAACGGCATTCGCGTGCGTGTCGTTCGTGGCGTACAGGGCATGCAGTACCAGCGCGGTGCGTACGACAACTCGACGGGCCACCTCATGATGCACAATCCCTCCGTATGCAAGGTCAAGTTGGAGTCAGGCACAGAGCTGTCTGATGTGCCTGTGACGTGTGTCGAGACGATGCGTCCCAAGGCAGTTGGCGATGCATGCATTGTCACGGACGGCGCATGGCGTGGATCACATGTCACGATCGAAGACATAGATGCTCAGCGCTGTGAAGTGCGTATGAGTGATGGTCAGACATGTCCATTACCGCTGACGCTGCTTGCCTTGTCATAAGAAAGACAGACGCTCATAGAAGAGAAGGAGGTAAAGGTGAAGAGGGCCTAAGCTGGGAGGTGTGAATTGTGGAGGTGTGAAAGGACGAAAAAAAAAAAAAAGGTGGTGGTGGAGTTGGAGTGAGTGAGAGGCCCAGGATCGATGAGTCGATGGATTCCATCGTGTGGCGAGTGACCCAATTTTTCGCCCTCGGTTCTGCCGAAACCCATACGTCCTGCGCCGGGAGTGAACGGTCCAACGCGCCGCTTTTGTGCTTGAGAGTGAGTGTTTCTTTACTTGCACATGGACAAGCACTCGAAGGATGCACGCTTCGCGCGTGTGCACTCGGACCCACGTTTCCACCGCCCGCGCCGCGAAGATACCAAAGTCGCGCTGGATGACCGGTTCAAGGATGTGCTGAGCACAAAAGGGACAAAGCAGCTCGATCGCTTCGGGCGCAAGGGCCATGTTAGTGAGGCGAAAGAGCTGCAGCGGATGTACAGACTGGATGAGCCCGGAAAAGACTATGCACGTGGCGAGGTCGAGTTGGAGAGCAGTAGCGAAGAAGACGAGGACGACGACGACGACGACGACAAAGAGGATGAGGAGGATGAAGACGAGGAGGATGAGGATGAGGATGAGGATGAGGATGAGGATGAGGACGATCGTGGAGATGTGGTCGTGGGAAGTACAGATGCTGTAAGGCGTGCTGCGCGCCACGAAGATGCGTACGAGTCCGATGCATCGATCGACTTGAATGAGGACGACCTCGACGAAAGTGTCATGGCAGAACTCGATAAGCAGGCGAAAAAGGCACAGCGACGTCAGCCATCGCGGGATCAGGACGTCGCGCGTGGCGATGATACCAACCGGACTGGCCGTCGTCAACATGGACTGGGATCATGTCCGAGCGCTCGATCTCTTCAAATGTTTGCAAGTGTCGTATCGCCGCAAGCGACTCGTGAGCCCTTGGAACCTGTCGCGGCGCCGGCAGTGACGAAACAAGCCGCGCACATGGCCCTCGCACCCGTTCGTGGACAGGTGCGCTCCGTCCGCATATACCTCTCGGACTTTGGACGGGAGCGACTCGCTCGCGAAGACGTCCAAGGACCGCCGCGGGAGATTTTCCAATCGCGCGGATCGGGGCACCGTGTGCAGGAGTCGGAAGCACAAGCTGTGACAGTGGATGAGGGCGAAGACTTTAATGAAGATGCACTGCGAAAATACCAGCTGGAGCGACTACGGTACTATTATGCAATCGCTACGTTCGACAACGCGAAGAGTGCTCGGCATGTGTACAATGAGATTGATGGCACGGAAATGGAGCGATCCGCCAACATGTTTGATCTGCGGTTCGTGCCGGACGACATGGTCCTCCCTGATGGCGAGGAAGGGCGCCCAGCCGAGTTCCAGGACGAAGCGACCGAAGACGTCGCGCACTACGAGGGCCTCGACTTCAAGACAGATGCGCTTCGGCACTCGAAAGTGCGTCTTACGTGGGACCAAGACGATCCTCGGCGCACGAAACTTACGCGTACGAGCCAGAAGGGCCAGCTGCATGAAGATGACCTTAAGACATACCTGGCGTCGAGTGACGAGGACGAAGATGTCGACCATACGTCCAGTCGTAACAGACTCCGGTCTCTGCTAACGGACATGCCTTCGAAGAGTGCGTTTGATGATGCAGATGATCAAGATACCATGTTCACGAAGCCCGAAGGCGATATGGAGATCTCATTTGCGCCGGCACTTGCGTCGTCCAAGAAGGAGGCTGAGGATGATCATGAGGAAACCACCATCGAGAAGTACATGCGGAAGCAACGTGAGAAGCGCGAGCGCCGTAGAGCCAAGGCACAGGCAGCGCAGTCCGAGTCGAACGCAGAGCCCAAGCGCAAGCCCGAGCAAGAACCAGAGCTGGAGCTGGAGGACGAGCCAGGCGAACAAACGAAAGACGCGCCTGTCGTAAGCGCTTTCGAGGACACGGCCAAAGAGCCCCGTTGCCGGCGATGATGATGTCGACGATCACGATGATGGCGATTCCGACCGACCAGCAGCACTTCCAGCTCCAGGACATTGTGCGCGCGGAAAAAATGCAGTCGAAAAAGATGTCCAAAGCACCAGCCGCAAGCGCGAAGCGAAACGTGCATGCAAGCGGCAGCCATTGGTGCAGCCATGCTTTCGTCATGGACACACAGGACCCACGCTTTGCGGGTGTGATGCATGACCACCGCTTCGCGATTGATTCCCAGCCATCCAGGTTCATCAAGACAGCTGGCATGCAGCAGCTGATTGACGAGGGCAATCGCCGGCGGGCCAAGGCATCGTCACATACAGACACACAGCCAGACGTCGCGTCCCTTGTGTCGTCCATCAAGCAGAAAGCAGCTGCCGCGCCGCCAGCTGCAAAGAAACCACGACGAACTCGCTAACAAAGCAAGCTTATTTTCGTCGATTCCGGTATAGATCCGTCGTAGATCGACGCTCATTACGAAGAGAACATGTATGGTCGTGAGCCGTGTCTCTTTTGTCCCAGCCCTTGAGCGGAACACATATCACTGTGGCATTGTCATCACTGCCCAGATCGTCCGCATATTTCATTACTCGCCGCGCCGCATCTTGCGGATGCCTTGCGCCGCGGCATTCATCAACGACCTCCTGGTCCGACATGACGCCGCTAATACCATCGCTAAAGCCCACGACAAATGCAAAGCTCGAGCCTCGCAGTATGTGTGTGTGTACGTCAGGCTCAGCTGTCATCCCATACCGTTTGGTCTGGGTATCGCCGAACGACCGCGTATTGGCCAGTGTGCCCATGAAGCGCACCTCGCCAAAACTGTCCGTCACGACACCCGCTCCCTGCCGACTCAGTCGCTCCAGCTCCGTCGGCTCGTCTGGATGATGCAGTTGCGTGAGCGGATGTGCTTGTCCTGTCTCGGCATCGCACAGTACGAAGCGTGTGTCACCCAACTGGATCGTCGTTAGCGCGAGGTATTCACTCGAGTACCACGGCTGCGTCGGTACATCCAAGCTGTGCAGCAAGAGGACGGATGCAGTCGAGCCAGCGCCCAGGTACTCTTCATTCTCCTGCACCTCTCGGTCCATCATGAGCCACGCAAGTGTCGCACGCTCTTCCATTGTCATGCACGCTTGCTTCATATGGGAAACGTCGTGCCGTTTCGTGTGGCGGACTGGTATGCCTGCGCCCTGCGGTCCTATATCATCGTCCAGCGCCATGTACCGCTCCAAATCGACTGACCTAGCCGTCGATGTCGCCGATGTCGTCGAAGACGTAGCTGACGTAGAGGTCGACGTCGTCGACTCCGCCTCCACCATATCATCGGACGACTTGCCGTGCACGAATTGGGCTAGCTCCGACAACGTGCGTGCCTTTTCCTGTGTGCGTGCAGCTGGTGGCGGACGTGCGAGCAGCTCTGGCTGAACCCACCGCTCCATAGCGCCGCCTTGGAACCTGCCAAAGTAGCCGCCAATGGAGCGTGTGTATTGCACCGTGTCCTGCACCATGCTTGGATCGGCCGCCTCAAACACATAGTGCAACTTTTCCTTTAATAGCTGCGATACCTGCGGGCCGCCGTGCCCATCGAAGCAGCCAAACCACACGACCTGTGCCGCCAGTTCGGCCCCGCCAGCCTCGTCGCACGTCCATCCAAACCAAGGATCCCGTGTGGCACCGCTCTGTACATGAAGCAAAATGTTCTGTCGAAGCTGCTCGCACGGCAGCGTCACGCATGCGACAGACATGGCATCCTCTTGCTTGGCACGGTCGCCGCGACTCATTTCTGCGCCAAACGTCACACCGGCGAGCAGTGGAATGCGGGCATGCACGCCCGTCCCAGAGCGGGCTCGCACATAGTTATGGACACTCCTTCGAGTCCATAAGCATGTGCTCAAGCGCTTAGCGCTCGCATGGGATGCCGCATACATCGCGCTGGCCAGCCACCGAGGAAGAAGTCAGATCGTATGTCGCAGCTATGTGGATCACTCGAAATGCACGTTACGTATGTGTTGATATTTTTTTTTTTTCGACAGCCACCTGCTTGGACCGCTCAGCCAACTGGCCACGCTCCTGCACGTGTCTCCACCTCCACGCTCCTACGGCGTGTCCGTACGTACGTGTCGATCCATGATCGGTGTCACGGACCGCTCACGCGATGCATCATGACGCGGTCGATCTTGAACGTCTCCGCGTTGTTCATAGTCACTGTGCTCTTGATGGATAGGCTGTTCGTCCCGGCGGCGCCAGGTGCGCGAATCCTCTTCGGTCCGGTGCACATGATGGCGCGAACCTTCTGGGCCACCATGTCGGTGCCGCCGTTCTCTGTGGTGCGCCCCGTGATGCCTTGATCCTTGATCAGTGTCATCTCCATATGCGCCATCGTAGTCACGTCCGTGGCGGTGATGTGAAGGTAGTTCGTTGTCGTTTGCACGTCGCTCCAGGTCTTCCTCCCGTCGGTACCGGGCATCTCGCTCCTCGGAACGCCCGTCCCTGTGCCGCCTCGACTCATGCAGATCGCTTTCCTTTCTCCGCCGTTCTCTATGACGACGTGCAGATGACCGCTCGTCGTCGTCATGACGCCGCCGCTTTTTGCGGCGCTCACGGTCACGTTTCTCGGCAAAGTAGGCCGCCATAGGATCTTCCAAGTCTGCATCTCCATCACCATGCTCAGGATCCTCATCTTCATCGACCACTGTCTCAGGTGGCGCACAGTTCAAAATCTGCTCCTCCGGTTCAACTAGGTTGCCCTCAGCATCGCGCACTCGTTCCTGCTTGAAATTCGCCACATGGTCCACACGCAGTGTGCGCCCAAGAACCTGGGAACCATTTAAATTGTCTACAGCCAGCACAGTCGAGCGCTGGTCTTCGTACATTAAAAAGCCAAAGCCTCGGTTTCGCCCATGACTTTTCTTCGACTCCTGGGGATCGTGGGCGCGGCGGTCCTTGTCGCTAGGACCAGGCTCTTCGCGTGGCTTCGGCAGATGAATGTTCACGATTTCGCCATACTGTGAAAAAATCGTGAGCACATCACCTTCAGTCAGGTCGTATGGCAGACCTCCCACATAAATGTACGCCGAGTCTTTGTACTGATCATGCCACGACCCCGATCCATGGAGTCCCAACTCTAGCTCACGCTCATTGATGCGCTGGATTTCACGCACAGAACTTGATAGCGTCAGCTTGTTCCTGACTGTCTTGATACGCACTTCATCGACGTGCAGCGCACCCACCCTTGGACGTCGTCGCTACCTGGGACGCTCGTGCATCTGCAGGAAGAGGTGATGGAGCTGAAGCTGGAGGTGGACGCATGTGCCACGTGGCCGTCGCTGCCCCTATCCCCTTGTGCACCCCTCATGTCCCCCCTGTTAGGAACGGCTGGTTGGCTGACCCGTCCGTCGCGTGTACGTACGCTGGTTGGTCTGTTGCGCATCATAGACTCTGTCGCACGGCCGTCCCACTTCACAAGAGGTTGTTGTATCCCTAGCCCATTATGCCGTCCGACACGAGCAACTGGATCATCAGTGTGCCGGTGCAGGAAGAGAAAAGCCAGGAGCAGATGCTCCAAGACATGGTGACGCGGCTTGTGCGTGATTCGGCTTGCGATGAATCAGACGTCGCTCCTCTCCGTATACCATCGCTGAAAACAGGCACACTCGAGTCTTTGATCATCATGGCTGAGGATCTGCCGAAAATCGACAATCTCTTTGCAGCGATCGTCTCGCGCATCGTCGATGCTCTTCGTGCACTTTTGAATGATGACGAGGATGCGCTTAATGAGAACCTGAACATTGATGGCATGAGCGTCGAGGACTATGTAATGTCGTGGCAGTGGAACAGTGGCAAGTACCGCATTGAAAAGTCACTCAATGAGCTGATGGAGCTTTTGACAAAAGTACGTGTGTGTGCGTGTGAAGCTGGGACAAACGCTTACAAGGCCTTAGGAAATGCAGTCCATCGATCACATCATGAAGCAAAAGTTGTCATCATACAGCGCCGCGAAAGGACAGCTGCAGCAGCTTGAGCGGAAGAAGCAGTATGTACAGGTCCCTGGCACGTCGCCTACCCTCCGCCTGCCTCTCTTTTGCTAACGACTTTCAGTGGCAACCTTACTGTGTGCTCCTTGGCTGACATTGTGCACAAAGACGACATGGTAGATGCAAACTCAGAATTCCTCGTCACGCTGCTCGTTGTTGTGCCGAAGAACCATGCGAAAGATTGGCTGTCTAAATACGAGCGCCTCACGCCCATGGTCGTCCCACGCTCGTCGTCAGAGCTCGCACAGGACGACGAGTATATCTTGTACAATGTGACCCTGTTCAAGAAATTCCAAGATGAATTTATTCAAAAGGTGCGCGAGAACAAGTTCCATCTCCGTGAGTTTGTATGGGATGAGGGTCTCCTTGCACGCGAGCGTGAAGAACTGGAAGAGGCTGGCGCATCAGAAAAGGAGCTCTGGACAGAACTTTTGCGACTCAGTTGCATCAACTTTGCCGAGGCATACCAGGCCCTCTTCCACTTCAAGGTCATCCGTACATTTGTCGAGAGTGTGTTGCGATTTGGTCTGCCAGCTTCATACTTTGTGACGGTCATTGAGCCGACACCTCGGAAAGCCAAGACCATCATCAAGTCACTTGTGAATCAATTCAGTTATCTGAACGAATACATATCCAGCAAGGAGAAGAATGCCCCTGCACCTTCTACACAGCAGCATGAAACGCCTGGCGAGTTTGTCAATCTTCTCGAGCAGGAAGTGTTCCCATTCGTCCTCACTGAGCAGTCCATGATCATAGTATAATAAGCTTTGTTGTTGTTGTTGTTTTTTTTTAAAAAAAAAAAAATCCTATTCATCTCTGTCGCAGGTCTAGTAGTGCAAGAGGTATCCCAGGCATCCTTTACGGCCATACGAGTGCACCTTGTCTATCTGTTACTCGCCGAACATACTGCGTAGGAAGCGTACCCGTCGACGGTGCGCCAGGTGTGAGGATGACGCCGTTCGATGACAGCAGGAATGGCACGCCATCTTGCAGAGCCGCACTAACATTCACATATAGCAACCTCGAACATGTAGTTCGCATGCCTGTGTGTGTAAGTACCTAAATATTGAGCGTACGCATGTGCGCGTGCGCGTGCGAGGAAAGATTAAGACGTACCACTTATGGTGCCTGATGAGCCTGGGAGGCCCTTGGCTAGGTGAATATGATTTCTGCCCATGCGACGGAGCCCCTTCGTCGCAAGAATCTGCTCCCATGCATCGGTATTTGTTCCGTGGATCGCCATGCGCGCGCCATCCTCGTCCACTAGAGGCAGAAGCGAAGCGACATTGTCAGAATCCAGGTTTTGATGAGACAAGTCGTGGATGCTTTCCAATGAGTGTCCTTGAACTGCTCGGATCCACATGACATCTTCGCCACTTGATGCATCACTCGACTCGGCTTTGCTTGGTTCTGACAAGGTGCCCCTGGCAAGCTCAAAGCGCTTCTTGTCGTTCGTCGCAACGATGGTCTCGATATCTTGGAACGTGGGTGCACGGCCCTCTTCCATCTCGATCTTGGCTATTTTGGGTCGCGCTAGAATCGCATCCACACGCACAAAGCCGTCAGGACGAACTTGCAGTTGTTCTTTCTGTGCGCCATGGCGCAGGATATATGCGAGTGTCTTGGACAGCTGGACAGTTGGCGGGACTTGCGATGGCTTTTCACGCCCACCTCCTTTCCGTGGCGGCGCAACATCCGATGCGTCCGTATTTTCTGCCTTGGTCGCGGCCTGCATCTTGCGTTCTTTCTTCCATTGCTTTGCTTGCTCGCGCGAGCGAGGTTCTGACGGCGCTGACATGTACACTTTACGTGATCCAGGTGCGTTCAGCAATGTTCGTATCAGAAATAAAATAGGTCCCTTTTTTCTTGTCCACCACTCGAAGCCAGCTGATCGCCTCGTGAATCTCTCCACATTGATTCAGTCAGTCTACGTGCAACGCTCTTAGAAACGGTAGGTAGCCAACCTGGGAACTATACGCATGTGGATCGGCGCCAACACTGGAACTGAATGGCCATGCCATTGTCATCGAGTATGGGGCCTAGTAGAGCAGGTAAAACGCATGGGTAATGATGTGCATGCCATTCGGGTGTAGCCTGCTGCCAAGCGCCAAGACCGTCTGGATTCGGGCACACGAGCGCGTCTTTCTCGGGCTGCGGCGTGCGCCCGGTCCATGTATCAGCACGCTCGATTTCCCATGCTACCTGGGCAGGTGAGCGAAACTCAGTAAGAAATACATCGCACTTTTCATGCAGATCCACAGGAGTGAAGATCCGCGTTACGAGCAGAGAGTCAAGCGTCCACGCCTGACTTGTGCTCGTCAGCAGGTGGCGATAAAGAGCCGCCCCCCCAATGACAAATGCATGCCCCAGGGCAGAGCCACGCAAGACATCACTAGAATCAAGCGTAGCATCGCCTTCCGCGCGAGCACGGTAGCGCCACATGCGTCGCTCCTGCAAGAGAGCGACAGCCTCGTCAAGCGAGCGGGCGATCAGGGTATCGTGGTCATCGCACTCAGATGAGCCCAAGTGCGCGCGTGTCATGGATGTGCTCACGACGACATTGATTCGATCGCGAAGAGGGCGGAACTTTGGCGGTATGCTGTCCCACGTATGCCGTCCCATGATGACTGCATTTTTCATGCAGACAGGTGTCCGCACACAGCCTGCGCTGTCCATCACCTCGTCGTCATGGACAGGCTCACCCACGTGCATTGTGACGGCGCGGAAATACGCCATGTCTTTGGACAATCGCCAGGGCAGCGTGCCCTGTGACCCGATGCCATTCCGCAAGCTGGCAGCCACAATGGCCGTAAGCGGGAGTGGTCCTAGCGGAGACGTGCCGCCCGCAGCTCGCATGTCGAATACGACCGCAACGCTCTAGGCTGCTCTAGGGTGCACAGGGTTGCTGGACTTGCGCCACAGCGACATCGCACGTACACGCACGCGCCTCGATGTCGCCATGTGACTGCCGGCCTCCACATCACATTGTCACATGGGCCATGGGCCTCTGATACAACGGTGAACGTTTTCGTAGCCAATGAATGTACGGCCGTGTGCCATGACGAAACTAGCTGCCTACATCAATGGACGCATCGAATACATGCTAGCTGTTCCGCGCGTTAGTGGATATGCGCTGACCACGCACAACGAGTGCACGCTTACGTACTTTTGACAGGCACATCTGTAGGTTGTTGGATGAGGGGGGCCGCGTACATGTTGATGTTCTTCGTCCCCTCGTCAATGAGCTGTTGCACGGGATCCGAAGACGACGACGCAGGCTTGGATCCATTCGCAGCCTTCGCCTCTTTTTGCTTCTTCTTCTCCTCCTTCTGAGCAGCTTTCTGCGCACGAGCAGCGGCAGCGGCAGCCTTCTTCTGCTCCGGGTTCTCATCTGGCGCGGCTTTGCTGGCACTAGATGCAGCACGACCGTCAGGAATCTTGATAAATTCACGGCGACCGTCAACACCCTGCGCCTTGTCGAGAATGTAGTAGCCATTCCGCTCGAACTGGATTTGGTCGCCTTCTTTCAACGCAGCGACATTCGCATCCGCCAGGGCAGGCGTCTCAAAGCGGGTCTGCGGCGTCAAGTAGTCCATAAAGTTGTCCTCCTCTTCGAGCTTCTTTTTCGTGATCAGGTAGTCAAAGTCCAGGAGCATCACTGGCGTGAGGTGCCGCGACTCGCTTGGTTGCGCAAGCCATGTCACTTTCTTCTTCGTCGACTTGAAGTCGCCGTCAAAGTGTGCCTCCAGCTCCAAATTCGTGACGACACCATCGGGAGTCGTCGTTTTGCCACGAACAATCACATTGCCCCAGTCCATGAGCGTGATTTCTTCCTGGTCCGCAAAGCTCGCTGCATCAGCCTGCTCAATGAGGATGCGGCCGTCATACACGGTGGTCTTCATGCCGAGCTCAGCATTCTTCTTGTGCTTGGGAACCTGCTTTTCGTGTGCAGGCGGCGCACCGGCGATCGTTGCCTTGACCAACTTGTCCTCGGCCAAAGCGACGAAGCGTGGCACGACCGGGTCGATCAGGCGCTTGTTCAACGCCCAGATATTGTCCCACTCCATGTTGATGATCTGTTGTGACGGCCCCTGGGACAGGATAAACTGCTGGATACAGTCGATCGTCATGCCGCGCCGGCGCATACCACGCACCGTTGGGAACCGGGGATCTGACCAGTCATTTACGATTCCGTGGTCCACGAACCACTGGAGCTTCCGCTTGCTTAGCAGCGTGTAGACAAAGTTCATGCGGCCATAGTCCCAGATCTCGACGTTCCGCAAGCCCAGCGTCGACAGGAACCACGCATACTGCGGGTTCCGGTCGTGGTACTCGTTCGTCCGGAGCGCATGCGTGACACCCTCCAAACTGTCGACGACAGGGCATGCAAAGTCGTACGTCGGGTACGCCTTGTACTTTGTGCCGGTGCGTTGGTGCGGCACATCCGCATTGCATCGGTACATGACTGGGTCACGCATCGCCTTGTTCGGGTTGTCGACACTCATTTTGGCTCGCAGGCACCAGGCACGGCCCTCATCGGTGCCGTCACACATCGCCTGGAAGTGCGACAGATTCTCCTCCACGGATGCATCGCGCCGTTTCGATGGAATACCATCCATTCGTTCCGCGCGCATCTGCTCCTGTGGCGTGTCATCTGCATATGCATGTCCCTCTTTGATCATGCGCACAGCGAGATCCCGCAACTGGTCAAAGTAGTCTGATGTGTGTGTGAGCACATCTCCTTGGATGCCTAGGAGGGCCAAGTCCTCGATGATCGCATCTTCAAACTCTTGCTTTTCCTTGCTGGGATTCGTGTCGTCGAACCGCACGATAAGACGGCCCTTGTATGCCTTTGCAAAGTACTGGTTCAAGATCGCCGCCTTTGTGTGGCCGACATGCAAGTAGCCGCTCGCTTCCGGTGGGAATCGCGTCACGACTTGGCCCTCTTTCGCACCCTGAAGGAACAGATCGAATCCTGCGGCTGTCTTTTTGTTCTTAAACATGTTGCTCTTCGCCTCGGCCATCATTGTCACGGCACTCGAGAACGCCACGAGTGCGTCCACATGAGCATACCAGCGAGCCAAGTGGGCGTGTGCATGCTTTTTGATAATTCCAAGCAACGGCGATGAAGAACGAATCGCACCCCAGATCGCTGCATCCGCGGCCGTCACACGGAATCCAACTAGGTACGTGCGCAATGCTAGGTGCTGATCCAGGTCATCTGCACACTGCATGGCGGCTTGGAAGGGCGCTGTGGCAAGCGCGTCAGACTGCACAAGGTAGGCATCGACGGCGTTCGACTCTGCCTCATTGGCGCCCATGAGCCCCACATTTGCATACATAGATGCCAGGGCGCGAAGCACATCAACGGCACCTTGGATGGTGTCTGCACCGTTAGACGATGCCGCCTTCTTCAAGGACGTGGGTGCGTTCACTTCAAAGGACAAGTCAGGTGTCTCCGCACCATGCTCCTTGGCCAGGTTGCTGAGAACAAGTGGCGTTACAAAGGGAAGCCGCGCACTCGGATCGAGCACGAGCGTTTGTCCAGCCGACATCACAAATTACGAGGAACAGAAAAAACCGAGTTGGTCGAGCCTCGCATTTTGCCTGGAGCGCCGACTTACCTCACATCCACTCTGGCTGCACACGCCTACAGGGTAAGTGGAGGAAATGTCCGGTCGGGGTAGGGGCAGAAGGACAACAGGGCGACCCTCGAAAGCATCACGTGATACGAACGCACACTTCCCTCAGTGTGGGTCGTTGTCGTTGTCGTTGGTGTCGCCAGCGTTTGTATCGAAGTCCGTCGCTGCAGGCTTGTGCGAGCTGATTGTCGTGAAAGAGCCAAGGCTGGTTTCTTCTTGTGACGCATCGTATATACTCCGGCGAAATAGTGCACCATGAGGTATGTTATTGTGCTGCCGTGTGAATGTTGTATTGCGCTAACGACAAAATGCAGCCAATACGTCAACGTGCCCAAGTCTGACCTGGACGAGGGACAGATCCGTGAACTTGAGCAGTATGAGATTTCCCAGGGCCCACTTTCTGTGCTGCAGCAGTCTGTGCGCAATCACTCGCAGGTGCTGATCTCTTTGCGGAATAACAAGAAGCTTCTCGCACGCGTCAAAGCATTTGACCGCCACTCCAATATGGTACTGGAAAATGTCAAGGAAATGTGGACTGAAGTGGTATGTACGCCAACATGTGTGTGCCTTGAGCTGTGATGACTGACTTTGCGTGCGTGAATTAGCCTAAAAGCAAAAACAAGAAACCTGTTCATGTACGTGTGTCGTAGTCGCTACGACGCCTCACTCACTCGCTCACTCACTCACACTCTTTGCAGAAAGATCGGTTTATTTCCAAGATGTTTTTACGTGGTGACTCGGTCGTCCTAGTTCTGCGCAACATTGCATAGTTCCGGGGCAAGCTCATCTCGGCCCGCCACGAGTTAGCCTGTGTATGTATAGTCGCGTCCATACCAATTTTTTTTTTTTTTTTGCCAGCCTTTCGGACGTTTCAAGGTAGCGAGACAGCGATGCAATGAATTGCACCTGCCAAGCAACGATTCCATTGGATATAACTAGGTGCTCTCAGTCACTTCACAGCAACCTGCTAGACCCCCGCTCCTGATTAACACCACACCAATCCATCCCAAACATGTTTACACTCCTGTCGACAATATACAAACACGTCTTTGAGCCATATCAGCCTACTACGGGCTATCATCATCTATTTCTTAGTTCGCGAGCGTCACCGCAGCTGCACCGAGGGCTTGTGTGCCACGCTCCACGACCTTGTGTCACAAAGATGACCTTGTTGCCCTCCTTCCACATCGACGTCTCAAGCGTCTCACCAGGGGAACCACGTGGCCGGTGAAGCGTACCTTAATGTCACTGTATGGACCAAAGGCACGGTACACCTGCTTACCAGCAATGCCGAATGAGCACAGCCCGTGCAAGATCGGCTTGTCAAAGCCACCCACAGCTGCGAAGCTCGGATCAATGTGTAGCGGGTTCAGGTCGCCGCTCAGCCGGTACAGAGCCGCTTGCGACTCGGTTGTCTTCTCCGACACGACCTTGTCAGCCGGGCGCGAAGGCGGCTTGTTCGCAGCCGAAGCATTGCCGCGGTCACGGCCTGTCTTTTTTCCGCCAAATCCACCAGAGCCACGGATGAATGTCGTCATCTGGTTCTCAAACACAGGCTCACCTGTGTTCTTGTTCACTGTCGTCGTGAGCGTCGTGACAGCAGCGGCCTTGCCCTTGTCAAGCACCTCGATGACACGCGGCTTGTTCACCAGCACGGCCGACGTCGGAATCGGCCCCTTGATCGCTAGGTACTGCTCGCCGTGGAGGAGCATCATTGGCGAAAAGTTCGGCAGGAACGAATCGAAGGGGATGCTGCCGCCAGCCGAGAAAGGCGGGATCACACCAAACGTCGGGAGCGCCTTGAATTCGTCGGCCTGCTCATACACAAGATCCAAGTCCTTTTCTGTCGCACCCACACCGAGGTTGTACAGGATGACGTCGCGATCCTCGTACGCAAAGTCTGTCGATTCGAATTCTGTCTGTTTCGCTTGCTTGATCTCTGGTGTATCCTCTGGGTCGACATAGTCGCCGCCCGCAGCCGCATCAGCGCCGTCATCGTCCTCTGGCTCTTCGTTGCCAAAGTTGGCGACCATGTCGCCCAGCGACTCGCTAGGCGCCGTTGGCCAGCTCGCACGCTCGGGGTCGAAGTCTGTGATCTTGGCCCACTTCTTCTGGATCATCTCTGGCGTCACTGGCTTGGCGGTCGAGAACGAGCAGCCGCCCGCACGCTCCCAGCGCACAGCAGCGATCCAACCACCCGATACCTCGAAGAGCGACTTGGTCGTCTCACATTCGTTGCTGCCGAGGTATGCGACAAGAGGTGCGACAAAGTCGGGCTTGAACGCATCGACCATTTCCTGAGGCCAGATGGTGGCTGTCATGGATGTGCCGGCGTTGGGCGCAATGGTGTTGCACAAGATGTTGTTGCGCTCACCTTCCACAGCCAGTGTCTGTGTCAGACCTAAAATTCCCGACTTGGCTGTCGAGTAGTTGGCCTGGCCAAAGTTGCCATAGATGCCCACCGCGGACGTCGTGTTGATGATACGGCCGTACTTTTGCTGCGAGAAGATCGGCCACGCAGCCTTGCACACCTTGTACGTACCGCGCAGGTGGACATTCATCACAAGGTGCCAGTCCTTCTCGGAAGCGCCGGCGAAGGACTTGTCGCGTAAGATACCAGCATTGTTGACCACCACGTGCAAGCTGCCAAACGCATCGACGGCATCTTTCACGCGCTGCTCGCCGTCTTCCACGCTGCCGATGCTGGGCGCAGCCTTACCACCGGCCTTTTTGATTTCGTCAACCACAGCGATGGCGGCTTTGTCGCTCATGTCGTTGACAACGACATTCGCACCCAACTTGCCAAACAAGAGGGCGTATGCACGCCCAAGACCGGCACCAGCACCTGTGATGAGCACTGTCTGGTCCTTGTAGTTGATCTTGTGGTCGCCCTGTGGGTTCTCCGGTGCCTCCTTAGCACGTTCCAGCAGCTCCAGGTAGTTGGCATCGGTGATGCGCTGCGGGTACTCTGGACGCTCGTCAAAGTCAAGGATGGTGTTTAGCTGCTCACGCACAGCCTCCGGCGTGAACGAGGCATCCGTGCGGAACACGTGGCCGTGCGAGCGCTCGCGACGGAGCATCGCATAAAAGCCTGCACCCATCTCGAATACCTCGCCATTCACGTCTTTGTTCTCAGCAGACGTAAGGTACGCCACAATCGGCACCACAAAGTCCGGCTTCAGGTTCTCCAGCATTTCCGGCGGCATGACTGTCTCAGTCATCTTCGACGCAGCGACTGGTGCAATCGAGTTGGCCAGAATGTTGTACTTTTGACCCTCAATCCCCAGCGTCTTGCTGAATGCTACGAGCGAAAGCTTGGCCGCCGAGTAGTTGGCCTGGCCAAAGTTCCCGTACAGACCAGCCGCTGATGATGTGTTGATGATACGTCCGAACTTCTGCTTACGCATATGTGGCCACGCGGCGTGTGCGCAGGCAAATGACCCATGCACATGGACAGCCATAACTTGGTCCCACTCCTTGTCGCTCATGGACTTGAAAGAGCGGTCACGCAGGATACCGGCATTGTTGATCAAAATATCCACACGGCCCCACTTGTCGATAACTTGCTGAATGATTTTGGCGCCTTCACCATTCGAGTCATAGTTGGCCATGGCCTCACCACCGGCCTTCTGGATCTCTTCTACGACCAAGTCTGCGGCCTTCTTGCCGTCCGGTGTTGACCCCAGGTCGTTCACGAGCACCTTTGCTCCACGCGAAGCGAAGAACAAGGCATACGTTTTACCGAGACCACCTCCAGCACCGGTAACGACAACAACGCGATTCTTGAACGAGATCTTCCCGTTCTCTGTAGCAGGGAAATCAGCCATGATGGCGGTTGAAAAGATCGCCTGCTTGCTTCGCACGCCCCCACTCACTCGTGTCCCCGGAGTCTGGACACCCCCCCCCGGTTAGATTGCCGGTACACTTGCCCAATCAGGGACACGTATGACTTTTCCCCGCTGCCTCCACATCATTTCATCATGTCAATCCACAGGCGAAATGAGGTCGTTGCGAGAAGGATTTCTCACATTTGCCATAGGGCCGCCGGTGGCAGCAGCGGGACACAAGAGCAGTTTTTACGCGGTGTCGGAGTATGAGTCGTCCCTTTCAGCTCGTGATATTACTCTGCTCACAAATCTGTGGGTGATGAGTGTGTAAGTGCAAGGATGGAGCCATCCCCAAGAGTCATGTCCATTGCATGCCGTCGGACTCTCTCACAGCTCGGAAGGGCTGGTAAAGCCTATGCATGTTCTGGCATCTTTAAATACTCTATCTAGCTTTCACATAGGGGTCAAATAACTCGGAACAGTGCTGTACCTGAAACTTTTCGGCTTTGTAGTAGTATGCGACTACTTGTACATGTATACTTGCTACCCCAGTCATGCGTGAGCGAGTCGCATACAAAGGCTTTAGAATAAACAGCCATAACCTACAACTTGATGCTGGTTCTCATGTTTGTGATTGGAATCACGGCTTTCGTGGGGACGTACGTCAGCTATGGAGAAACACAAGGCCGTCGACCGGGAAACATCGTTATGAGCACGACTCGGGTCTTCCACATGAGAGTTTCCATGTTCATCGCATGAATTATGGAAAAAGCAAGTCGTATTATACGCAACCGTTCCCTACAAAAATGACACATCGGCGATCGTGCAAAGAATAACATTGTTTTGTCCCAACCGAGAAGGTGTCACTGCATTCATAGTGCCATACCGTCAAAAAAAGGCAGAAAACAAACGACCTAACATGTAGAATCTCAAAACGCTCTAACACCAGATTATTGTCATATCAAAGCGCATGCTATCTCTCGACGCATTGTGACGTCTGCATGAGCCATTAGGACAGACCAGATGTATGTCACCCCCAAGAACGACGAACGCCCATCGACTCACGTGATCACGATTGGTCATCAACAACGAGTCTAGCCGCCGAAGACAAACGGATGTCGCCGCGGGTGAGTCGATACAAGCACTTCATCGCTCACTTTCGTACTGTTGCGTGCACCATGTCTTTAGCGCGCACTATCAATCATATCAAGAACGGCGGCTTTGCCAAATACTGGCGCGATATGCAATACATTGGTGATGCCAAATGGGGTCGCATGGTTGGCATTGACAGGTATGTTCGACGTGTATATTTTTTTTCTGACGCACCACAGCAACGGGAACACGTATTGGGAAAACAATGAAGAGCAGCCCGGCCGTACGCGCTGGGTTGACTACAAGCAGCATGACTTTGACAGTACCCAGCTTGACCCGATTTGGCACGCCTGGCTCTCCCACACTCGCTGTGAGCCACCTAGCACAGACCGTGTGGCCCAAAGCTTTGAACGGTCCTGGCAAATTCCTGCATTCGAGAACATGACAGGCACTCGCGGTGCATACCGTCCGTACAACACGACGAAACCGAAGTTGTACGCGTGGGAGCCGAAGATCGCTACCCGGCGAGGCTAACTGAGTAGGTCGTTGTGTGTGTGTGTGTGTGTAGTCATGTATAGAAGAATGCGCAAGCACAGTATGGGGATACATGCTGTGGGTACCATCTACGATCGTCGAACCATTGACCCTTGTATGCCTTACGCTCCCTTCGCTGATGCCTTGGCCTTGCGTGCTTGCTCAAAGACCCAGTCGTTCATGCCGCGGCGGCATCGCGCAATCTCAAACACGTAAAATTGGAAGCGAGTCACTAGGTGGTTAGTGCAGCAGGAGTCAACGTACAAAAGATCGTATTGTTCTGCGTGTATTCGTCCGATGCATCCATACGGATCAGTGTGCCGAAGTTGAAATCAGCCACTGCGTATATCGTTAGTTTTGCATTCATTTTCAGGCTCTTGGCGATCGGGGTCACGTACCCTTCTTCTCATACTTCATAATAAAGTTGCGCCACTTTTCCTTGCCAGCTGGGCTCTTCATTGCATCTTCATCGATCTTGCGCACTGCTTCATCATTCGAAGCCACTTCAGGGAATGTTTCTTCAAAGTCGGTATAGATCTCTTGGTCCAGTCTCTCGTCAGCCGTTATACTCCCAAACGTACTTGGTCAGACGAAGTGCTGAGCCACGCACTTTCTCCAGCAGACTCCAGTACGTCTGTGCATGCTCAACACATCGCACGGCAATCTGCTTCTCGATTTCAGGCAAATTTTGCGCTTGGTTTGGATCAAATGTGCTCATCGACATGTTTGAGAAGCTCTCAGATTCGCTTGGGCTAGTGGTGCCTGGGTCCTTTTTCCGACTGCTTCACTGGCTGCTGCAAGACTTCGAGCGTAGCCCTTCTACCAAGCGAGGTCGAGAGTCACGCACGTGACAGCGCCGATCGTGATCAGCGTGTGACATGGAAGTCGGTCGCCTCACCCCGCATTGGACGAACGCTGGGCCGACCGCGAGGCTTGACGACGCATGTGTGGGATTGGATTCCGTGCATGGCGCACCGAATCTTCTCGTACCTCAGAGGCATGGGAATCTGTGCTGCAGCAGGTCCGACGCCGCGGCATGGACTCCCATGATACAGTTGCGCGCGACATGCAAGGACTGCATGTGGAACTCTTTGCATCCGTTCTATGCCTTCGCGGCGCTGGTGATATCACGAGCCAGCCGCTCAAGTCTAAAGATGAGCGCCTTTGGCTTGTGTGGAATGGGCAAATTTTCGAGTGTGAAAATGATGACGATGCGCTCGTCGATGCACGCGTAAATGACGCGCGTGTACTCATGGATCGCCTTGACGCGCCAGGCCAAGATATTTTATCCACTCTCATGGCGACGCTCGGCTTGTTTGATGGACCATATGCTTTTGTACTTGTCGATGTATGTGCGTGCATGACCTGACTTACGGCAGTGTCAGGACCAATGCGTGTACTATGGTCGTGATCCCGTCGGTCGTCGATCACTGCTTCACGGCCAAGACTCTCGAGATGCCCTCTTTATCTGCTCTGTCGCAAGCCAAGAATGGATACAACAGGGCGCGCAACTCACTGAAGTAAGCTGTGATGCTATATGGCGCGTAAATTTTGCGCAGCTCGCTATGTCTACCCCGATACCTCGTCGACAAAAGGTACGTCTGCCGGTGTACACAAACTTGTTTGACACACGTCTAGAATGCAACACGGCTCATCCTGTGCGAGCCACATGCACCTATATCAGACGAAGCTGTGCTATTGCGCGATTTTGATCGGATCCTTAGCGAGAGTGTTCGTTGCCGGGTCCAGGGCATCCGAGGCTCACGAGTCGCGATTCTATTTTCTGGTGGGCTCGATTGTACGGTTCTTGCCGCACTGGCTGCGCGTTATGTCAAGGAGCCTATGGATCTACTGAATGTGTCATTCGAGAATCCACGCGCGATTGCTGCCGCCTATAAGTCCATGACGGATCCGGTCGACGCACACACATTCCCCATCGATCCCTACGCCGTGCCTGATCGCGTTACAGCGCGCGATAGTTGTGCACAACTGGCTGCTCTGTTTCCAGCATGCCAATTTCGCCTTGTGGAAGTGAATGTACCGTATGCGGAATATGCAGCGCATCTTGACATCATTCAAGCACTGATGTACCCACAAGCCACAGTCATGGATTTGTCTATTGCAGCGGCGCTGTTCTTTGCGTCGCGCGGTACGGGCATTGTGCACAATATTAATTCTGACACATGTGCATCGTACACATCAACGGCACGCGTTCTTTTATCTGGGCTTGGTGCTGATGAATTACTCGCAGGATACGCACGGCACCGCCAAGCATGGCGCCATGGCGGCTATGATACCCTGACGCAAGAGCTGCAAATGGACCTTGATCGCATCCCCACGAGGAACTTGGGCCGTGATGACCGCATATTTAGCTCGCATAATCGCGAAGCACGATACCCGTACTTGGCACGATCCGTCACGACGTTTCTGGCATCGTTACCAGCTCAGGCGAAAGCGTGTTTTGAACAGGACCATGAATTGGGTGATAAGCACTTGCTGCGTTGCTTAGCACGTTCGCTAGGTCTCACATATGCAGCTTCCTTGCCGAAACGCGCCATCCAATTCGGCGCGCGCAGTGCCAAAATGGACACGCAGGGTGCCCAAGTCAAAGGCAACGCTCCTCTTGTTCGGCGATCATGACTGGTGGAGGGGCGACCAACACACGAAAGAACATGCCCGATCGCAAGGGTCGCCATGACCACCACGTGACTTGTTGCTGATGAACACATTCGCGGAGATCTCTTTCGTCGACCTCCATCCATTTCCTACTCTTTGCTCCACAGACCTGACGGAGTGTTGCCTGTCGTAGTTTCGGTCGCCCGTTGTGCGTGTGTGTGAGATTCAGCAGTGGATTTGATACCTGGATCATTTTCAATTCGTTTACACCTATGCATTCAATGCTCTCATGCGTTCGAGGCGCTGCTACTCGTGTGAGCATTGCGCCAAAGCACATGCCCCCACGTTGTGTGCGTTTGGATGTTCGTATGCTACACCACACACCTCGTTGGCACGAAAAGTCAAAAGCCATTGCACAATACATTGGTCCCATGAGAACTGCGTACTACCGGATCAAGCTCTTCTCGCTTTCGTCACTTAGTGTGGCAGCGGTATTTGCGCCCGTGTTCTTAATGTGCTCACATAAGATGGAGTTGGCAGCCCGTGTCGGGATTGCCGCGACAACACTTGGTGCTAGCTCTGTGAGCACAGCGCTCATATCATGGATTGGATCGCCATATGTTGGCCACATGACACTGCGCCGGACTAATCCGAACGCGGCGCCACTTCATTACATATCTGACGGTGCGCAAGATGTTGTCCTAGACGACACACCGAGTGATCCTATGCGCCATGCCAGCGACAAGTACTACCTGGAAATAGCCACGCTTAGCTGGCACATGCGCTCACTGAAAACGACCGTATACGCGCCATCACTCTTACGTGCCACTTCGCGTCCATTGGCAACGTGGGAGTTGCCGGATCTTCCTGCGCCGCTGACGGTAGACTCTTCGGATCGCATGGGTGATCACACTGTGTCGAGTCTCGTGGCCGAGACAGTCGATGTTACGAGTGGCAAAGTAGTTGGCCGCTGGTGGGCTCGTTGGCGGATCACGAGCACCGCCAGCACTGAGCCTGTTGCTTTCGAAGGCACGTGCGAGAGTGAGGGCCACCCCGTGCGCTACTTTTACGTTGATGAAACCCAGCTCGGTGACGAATGGCGCGTGTTAGAGTGAGTGGTTGCGACTCATCTACGATGACGTTTTTTTTTTATTTTATTTTGGCATGTCAGCAGCTGTGTCCAAGGCAGCCAGCCAGACGACCCTATTGCATCTATCTGCTTTGTGGAGATGTGTCAATTGGTCCCTATGTCATAAGCTTGTCTGTCTCCACAGGATGCTAGAGCCAGCGAAATAGCAGAAACCAAAATTTATAGATTACGATTCAACAAGATACACACACCTGCCGTGCCTAGTCTCGACGGTCGGGGCAAAGGTAGCAGCAGCCTCGGAGTAATCGGTCTACAGTGATTGCGTGTGCATGCGATCGCGCGAGACTTCTGTACCTGCAGCTACGATTGATCCTCACATGGCATCGGGCACCGTCCATGATTACGGCGCGTGTTCATGGACGGCCCTTGCGACCTCGCAGGCATTCACAGACGCATTGAGACGTGACGTACACATCCTTGTACATGCATTTGCGCTCACATGGGAATGGCTTGATGGAAAAGACATGCCAAATCCTGCTCCAGCCGTTTCGCCGCTCAGGAAATCTTTGCGGTATGAGTACGGTGCTCTAACTGTGTTTGAGCGTGTTTGGACACGAAACCAATGGAAAAATGCCAGTGATGTATTAGGATCAGATCTCGCTACAAGAAGAGCCTTCAGCGACATGGTCATACGAGCCTTCCTTGATGAACTCGCTCCTGTGTCGCCTCCGACACTTTCTACCACCACCACAACAACTCTCAATGCTGTGGCAGCCACCTTTGCTCTCGCTTGTTGGTGGCATGCACAGCCACCGGGGACACACGACGCTTTGTATGTAGATATGCATGCGTATCGTGCTCTTCTCGAGCTTCCTGAGCGTGCAAGGCTCGTGCTAGACGACATGCTCACACACTCGGTCGTGCCAGATACGCCCCCGCCCTCTGCCGACGTATACTACACGGTCCAAGAGCTGGTGAGCTCGGTGCCTTTGCGTGTAACAGTTACACCCACCACAGTGCCGCGATTGCGAGCCTCTACGATGCTTCTCCCGAAAAAGACGACAACCGTTTCTGAGCGGCAGAGCGCAGCTGACATGCAGATGCCGCTAGCATCGGCGTCTAGTCCAGCGGATGAAATCAGCCAGTCCATCATAGATGCACTGGGCATTCCAACGCTAGGGACAATGCCTCGGGCTGGAGCCAGCTCTTGTACAGCACAAGCCTTGGAGTCTCTCACACATTCACATTGGCAATATGGTTTGTCGCAGCAGCAAGTGCTGGAAGCCGCTCATTCATGGGACTCACCACTTTGTGATGAAGATCCACAGGAGCGCATGTCACAGATCCTTGCTCATTTACGAAACATGTCGTAATATCTGTTCATGTGGGCTGTTGTTATCACTACTTGCCGATGCAGAAACGGGCAAAGATCTCGCCCAGCACTGTGTCTGACGTGATCGTGCGGCCCGTCACTTGTGCAAGGAGATGAGCAGCATGCCGAAGCTCTTCTGCAACAACCACAAGATCGGGCGACTCTCGAGTCGCGAGCACAGTGTCAAGACATGCAACGACGTCCATCAGGATATGCCGGTGCCGTGCTTGTGTGACAAGGGGCATAGTGACTTGGTTCGTGTCGTACATGCGTGCCACGTGTGATCCAAGTTCATTCATAAGTAGATCCATGCCCACGTCATGCAGCACGCTCGCATGCCATACATGGCACTCGACACCTTCATGGTCACATCGGCCTTTACTCAGGGGACTGCTGGTGTGGTCCCCACCGATATCCCAGCATTCATCCATTTTATTGATCAAAATCAACACAGGCTTGGCTTGCATCTGGACGCCGAGCCGCTCCAATGTCGCGGCGGGTATCCGACAGGGACCCGCTGGCGGAAGATCATGTTGGAAATCCTGCGGTGTGCACACAAGCACGCACATGTCGGCTTCGGCAACATAGGCTTGGGTTCGTTCGACGCCAATCTGTTCAACTGCATCCTGAGATGCTCGTACGCCAGCTGTGTCGGCCAGTGTGACCCGATACCCTGCCAGCTCCATGCACACTTCCAAGACATCACGCGTCGTGCCTGCATATGGCGTAACAATAGCTGCATCTCGGCGCACCAGACGATTTAGCAAAGACGATTTACCGGCGTTCGGACGTCCATACAAAGCAATCCTCACACCCTGCATCACTGCATCAGCGTAAGAACGCCGCGTGGGAGGCGTGTTAAGCTGGAGTTCTGACGCCAAATACTGACGCATACCATGTATAGTTTCGTGGACAGAGATCCACAGGTGCTCATTGACATCGTCTTCGTCGCTAAAATCCAGCATGGCTTCCATTTGGGACATGGCCTGCACAAGCTGTGCGTACAGTCGATCATACAGCTGCGCTTGGTATCCTTGCGCTGCCCATTGTGCTAGGCGACGCTGCTGAGATGTCTCTGCATGAAGTAGTGAGTCAAGTGCCTCACATGCCGTCAAATCCAGACGGCCATGCTCGAATGCACGTCGCGTAAACTCGCCTGGAAGGGCTGGGCGCATATCGCGCGTCGAAAGAACGGTACGCATGGCATCTAAGGCCTCTAGCACATCACGTACGACGGCTGGGCTACCGTGTAGATGTAGCTCCAACGTAGCCTGCCCTGTGAACGACCGGCCATGTGGAAAATACACTGCCAGTGCATCATCTAGGAGCTCTTGCGTTTGTGGGTGAATGATGGATCGGCGCATGACACGATGTGCTATAAGCGGCTGTGCCTGTGGTTGGCACATGTATTTATACACAGACGACGCATGAGATCTTTTAGCGCATATGTAAGAACTCATCCACATTCATTCCATGTCATGTACGTACCCAGATACACGGACGATCGCTACGCCACACGGTGGTCGTCCACTAGCGAGTGCATAAATTGTCGGTGTATGAATGGAATAGCGCTGCTTGCATGTATGCAGACGGCGCCCCCATCCTTGAAAAGCTTGTACGCCCTTGCCACTGTTCACGAACCAAGACACCATGCAAGAAAGGCCAGTGGCACATACGTGTGGAGAATAGACTCGCTTCAACGAAAAAGAAATGCAGCGCTGCCTGTGATACTGTTCTCGGCAGAGGCTCCAAGGCACTCCTCTCTACACTCATGCACCGGCTCTCCTATGAATGACAAACACGAAGCAGCCTTACATCGACTTGAGCATGCGCTGACAAGCACACCTGCTGCAGAAGAGCTTGCGTCCATGCAGCCTACACTGCTAAATATAAAGCGCGCACTGGATGCAGGCAGAGCAGTCAGCCTCGCGCCATCGTCCGGGAGACCGCGTGGCTTGCCGCTTTGGATGGTCGTACGTGCGCCCACATGACTGACACAAGGTCAAAGCGCTGAAAGCTTCATGGCATAGTGACGGATCATGGCCATTGATCGGCTTCGATGAAGCTCAGCACCACGAGGAGTGCGACCCCGAGCTCTGTGTGGTTCCAAGCATGAGCGTTTCACAACACAAGCACGCGGAGATTGTGCGGGATCCGAGGTATGAGCTTGGAAGAAAACAGCGCACGATTCTTCCATGCACACAGCCACCTCCAGAACCTGTCCTGGTCGAGCCAGATGCAGATACAATTGCTATGGCATATGCAGCACGCGAACAGCAGCAGCTGCGTGCACCAAAGACGTAGTTCAGTGTATATGTATGTATATATACGATTGTGACAGAGGCATTATCGAGACGCTGGTGTGCCAGGACGCGAAATATCTTCATTTTTGGATCCTCGCCCGCCCATGAAGCCACGCTTCTCTTGCTTTGCGCGAGCTGCAACTTTGTTAGATGCGCCAGCGACAAGGTCGCGGATCATTCCGTGATAGACTTCACTATCTGTGGAGAAAGTTTCGCGGATCATTAGATGGTATTGCAGTGCATCGCCCATTCGTTTCGATAAAGACTCCATCTCGCGGAAGAGTTCGCGAAGTTCTGGTAACGTCAGCAGTTTGATGTCATCTTCAGACAGCTGTAAAAGTTTCTCGATCCTGCCTATTGGCAAAGATGGCTCATGTAGACCAATCTGGCGTCGTCGATGATCGCCCCAACTTTCTTTCGATGAAACTTTCGGCGCACCTGGCCGTGCAGGGACCGACAGGGACGATGAATCATGATCTGATGTCATAAGGTTAAGTTGAAGTGGTGGAAGGGCCTCTTTCGTGGGGCCATTTCCTAGTACCTCGTCCAAATTGATCGGAACGCCCAAGGATATCAAGTATTGGCGGCGGGTATGTGATCGGCGCCAATCCAGTGGCGCACTAGGCATATCTTTGGAATCAAGTTCACGAAACATGGAGCGACTCTGTTCAGAAACAAGGACTTGCGATAGTCCTTCCACTTGACGCATTCCTTCTTCGACAACGTCACTTGCACTGCCATCGGACATGGAAGCATGCACGTTTGTGAATTCGCGCGGCAGCAGCTCACGAATCGCCTCACGCATCGAGATATCATTCGAATCAATACCCAATGGCAGCTGTTTCAGCGTCGATGATACATGACTCGTGGACGTGTGCTTTGTCACATTCGAGTCAACATGTGCTTCGCGCTCGTAAGTCGCACTTGGTGCATCGCCTTCTTCGAAATCACCAAAGTCATCCATGTCCTCCTCGGCAGATTCTGTCGTCGCATCTTTCTGCACATCCATGTCACAAGTCCCGTCGGCTGTATTGGTTGCTTCAACACCCATGTCATCCTCACCGCTCGCAGACATGTTGTGCAGTTCAAGCGCCAGGCCAGCCCAGCCCCGGCTCCACACCCACGTCGAAAACGCGTTTCCACCTACCTCAACGCCTACGAACGCCTACGGCCGTGTCAATGGAAGTGTGTATCTCGTCATGACGGGCCTACAGCACGCAGGCCAGGAGGAAGTTTGTCGTTTCGTCGCCAAAAGTGAAAGAGCGTGTCGGCAGTACTAGTTGGATCGTCTTCTTGTACACAATGGCCAGCATGTGGATTAACGACCAATTGGTACTTGCCTTGCATTTGTCCTATCATTAAAGTTCGGTCCAGCCGATCGGTTTCGGCGAGGATCAGCAAGCGTGCAGCATGGCATGCCAGAAACTTGGACGACAGACCCTTGAACCAGCCAGTCCAATAAGGCTCTGTCTCAATCAGCTCAGCGTTCCATCGCCATGGGAGATCTCTGTAGCCACGCATCAGGTGTACGAGTGAAGGCACACTCCTGCGTGCACTTTCTGCATTCCGAATCGTGCGAGTCTTGATATGCCACTGGATCGCAGACTCCAAACTCGCAAACCCCAGTGGTCGCTGGCGTACAATGCGACTCATATCAGGTAGAAGTTGGAGTGATGTGTCTTCCACAATGTCGATCATGGCCACACCCGCTACGCGGATGTCATGCTCACGTTCAAGCGCGTGTGCAGCTTCGACGACCACAGCGCCTCCCATCGAATGGCCGACAAACAAAAAAGAAGGTCGCTGATTCACATCCCGGAACATAGTCCTTAGCAATGCCAACAAGTCGCTTGTGAGTGCTTCCAAAGACATGTTTTTCTTCTCTTCGAGGGGAAATGTTGTCTTTCCATGTCCCCGACAGTCATACGCTAAAACACCCAACTCACCCTTGCTAATTCTTGAAACTTCCTTCGCCATGAGTGCAAAAGAAAGTGCCCCAAATCCTGCTCCATGATGACACACCATGACCGTACTAGAAGGTGTTAATCCAGAGCAAGGTGGTGTAAAATAAGCACGGATCGTTGCATGCTTCTCGGAATCCCCAGGACTCGAAACAATGCATGGTATATCAATTTCCAATGCGCTCGAGAAGCAGTCATCACAAGAAAGTGGTGCATAAGCCCCAGGTGCTCGTGCAGGCGGAACGTGGTATTGTTGTGCACGCACATTAGGGAGCTCGCCCACCTCATCGTCATCCTCTTGCTCCTCATTATAACCATGGTCGTATGCATCTGGCCTGTATTGTCGCTTCAAAAGCGACGTACGCAGGTCTTGGGGTAATGGCATCCTAAAACACTTCTACCGCGCTCGCCGTCCAGATACGTCAAGTTGAGAAAGTATCTGTTACATCATGGCCTGACCTGCCCCAGATTGGAGTACTCTCCACATCCGCTGGACTGGCATAAGCGAAATTTGTGCTCCTAATTGCACTCTGAGGATTCGATGTTGAAAGAGACAGAGCGTAAGGACTACGAATTACAAAAGCATCGCTGCGCCAATTCCTGCTAGACAGCTAATCAGTAGCAAAAAGATGGGGTGACTCGCTTTCGCTTGGAGCGCAGAGCCCCGTTGTGTGTTTTGGCCGTTGCCAATCCCGCCTGCAGAGTCATCGGAACTGGAACCATTCGTAGATGAAGGGCCTGCCGCAGGTGCACCAGTTGCACCCGAAGCGCTTTCACCATATGTGTGAAGTGTGCCAATCGCTTTACTATACGACTGCTTGGGATTTGTCGCCGTTGCTGTGGGGGAGCCGCAAGAGACTAGGGAGTGAGAGCTAGTCAAACCACGTACCACCCTTGCATACACCTGACTTGACATCTGAGCCACCTTTCGAGACCCCGGAAGCAGCAACATCACCACCCTTTTGGATGCCGGAGGCTGCTGTAGAAGCAGCGCCTGTCATATTAGGAATTCTTTCGTTTTTCCGCATACGTACCTCCGCCGAACGATGTCGCGTCACCGAACACAGATTTTGCGCCACTTGCCACGACATCCCCGATATCAGCATATACCGTATGTGCAACGAAAAGCACCAGTGCTGTTAAAATCAAGAATCTCATGAGCGATCGAGTTCGACGAGAACACTATCGCTCGGTGCCGGCGCAGCAATTTAGCGCACCTACCCAACAGTGTTAGATGTCTACACTGCCACAAACGCAAAAGATCTAATGCTACGTAAGCCTTACGTACATACCCACCCCACATTCATGTGACTTGCGAATAAGATTCCGCTGGGGATCAAGACATGTCGCGCAAAATACGCCAAACCGCTTGCCCTCTGCAAGAGTTTCTCACTTGGTCGATTTACGGACACGTTCGGCCGCCTCATTCTAAAAAGCATTTAGCGTGCATCGTTTACAAACGGCTCAATGTTTAATAGCCAGCCACAGCCTTGGGCATGTAGGGCTGTTCTAGGAATTCAATTTCATCTTGCGTGAGCGATACTTGCAGTGCGGCGACTGCCTCATCGATGCGATCCATCTTGCTCAATCCGACGATAGGGTTGGCCCCTTTAGACAGACACCAAGCAGTGGCAACCTGTGCCATAGACGTGCCTTTTTTCTTTGCAATTTCTTCCACACGGTTCACGATAGCTTTGTCAGCTTCTGTTTCGCGGGATCGGATGAGCCTGTGCAAAACCGCATCCGTTCCCTCGCGCTTGGTAGAACGAGCATCCCACGGGCGGGAGAGAACACCGCGAGCTATCGGTGACCAGGGCACAATACCGACTCCCGTTGCTTTGCAGTAAGGAATCATCTCACGTTCCTCCTCACGGTACAACAAATTGTAAAAGTTCTGCATAGAAATAAACTTATGCCAGCCATTCTTTTCCGCAACGTGCTGGAGTTGCTGGAACTCCCAAGCCGCCATTGAACTTGCGCCGATATAGCGGACCCAACCTTTCTCAATCACATCGTTCAGAGCACGCATGATTTCCTCTTTAGGTGTCTCTCGATCAAGTCGGTGGATCTGAAGGACATCAATGTAGGTGCCAAGACGGCGTACGCTGGCTTCGACGGCATCTAGGATATGCTTCCGCGACAGACCAACACGATTCACCATATCCCCGTCGTTGGACGCCATCGAGAGGATTGGTGGCATTGTGCCATCCGTTGCTACTCCAAAGTAGCACTTGGACATAATCACAACTCGTTCTCGTGGGATGTTGAAGACTCGAAGTGCCTTTCCGAGGATTTCCTCAGACTTGCCCATGCTGTACACATCGGCAGTATCCCACGTATTTATGCCCATCTTGTAAGCATGGTGGACGAGAGGGAGCGACTCCTCTTCGTTCAGAACCCACTCAAACCACTCTGGTGTACCATAGGACATACATCCCAGAATGATGCGTGATATTTTTAGGCCAGAATTTCCAAGGCTGTCGTAAGTAACTCCTGGAACACCCTAGTGCTCACTTTACGTATTCCATCGTTGCTTTATTGAATTGTCGTTACAGTGACAGTTACGACCGGACATACAGTCCTCTCACATAATCTTGAAATACACTCAACTACCAAAAAAATAATCTAATTATTAAAACCAATAAAAACGTCACATTTAAAATGATACCGCATCTCCAGCCAACTTAGTACGTTACACTGAAGATCTTGAACGTCGTCGCATCCGAGTCAACCCAGTTGATTTCGCCATCCTTGCTCATGGACAGCGACTTCTTACCGTTCTTGATCTCATGGCCCTTGCCATTACCCTTGTCCTCGAAGAACAGTACAACGCCATCGTCCTTCTTTGATGAGAGCTTAAGGTCCTCAGTAATGTAGCTTGAGTTCTTACCCTGCGTCGAGATCTTGAAGCCCTTGTTGTCCTTAGGCTCCTTACCTTGCCAATGAAGCACAAACATCTGGTCCTTCGAGTCCTTCTTCGACTTCTTCTCAGTTGCCTGCAACTTGCCATCTTTGGCCGTCAGAGCGTTGTTGTATGTTTCAAATACCAAGTGGCGACCCTCCGACAGAGCCCCGCGCACTTGCTTGTGACCCTTCTCGACTTCGTAGCCATTCTTCAGCTCAGTCTGGTTTCCGTAAGGAACTGGTGGCTGGTTGTCATTGTTGTAGCGCTTTTGGCAAAGTGCCGCGCCATTCCACTTGTGAGTGACTGGGTCCTTCGACGCGTTCTTCATCGTGGGGATGTTAGGAACACTCGTGTCACGGTTCGTGAAATCAAAGGCGCTCAACAGGTCACTCATGTGCTTGCGACGCCATGGGTTAAGTTCGTGACTTGTCCAGTTCTTCCCGTGAGCAGCTGACCACTTCTCAAGGAAAAGAATTTGGCTGTCATGAGAAGCATGTTCCGTGAAAACACCTCCTTTACGGGTCCAAGGTGAAACAATGTAGAATGGCACACGGAAACCAGGACCAACAGGCTGCTGGCCAAGATTGTGGTCAAATGGATCTTCCATCCATTCACCGTCGGTCCCCTTTGGCGATAGAGGCGCCATCACATGGTCAGCAAATCCACCAGTTTCGTCATAGCTCATAATCAAAACGGTACGGTTCCAGTATTGGCTGTTCATGAGCGACGTTACCACCTCGCGCTGGATCCAGCCACCATCGTCTGGCGTGTACGGTGGGTGCTCCGAGAGTTCGATAGGTGGGACAATGTACGACACTTGTGGCAGACTTCCGTTCTTCAAATCAAACATGAACTTATTGAGGCCCGGGCGGTAAATACCCTTCTTGGCAAGTGGTCCTTGCTTGATGATATCGTATTCGTACTGCTGGAACTGTTCCAACATGTTGTGGTAGCCATTGTCAGTGTCTTCATAAACCATCCATGTGATGTTTTGTTCCTCAAGGTACTCAGGAATTGTCTTCCACTTCAGTGGGAGACACGCCAAAGGGTTACCACGGGAGTCTTTCTCACAGCCCGCAGCGCGGTGGTCATCAATAACTGGGCCACCCTGCTTCTTCGGGTCACCACCCGGAGGCGAGCCGGGTGAGTTAACTGTGCCAGACATCCACACAGCACGGTTCGTATCCGAGGCGGCGGTTGTACTCTCGTAGTAAGAGTCGCCCACAATAAATTCCTCAGCGAGAGCAAAGTGCACAGGGAGTTCCTTGCGCTTGAAGTAACCAAGCGAGTAAGGCGTGTTTTCGATGGCCCACTTGTCATTCTTTCCATTGTTCCAAGCAGCATGGTTCTCTTGCCAACCATTCGAGCCACCGACCATACACTGCGTGGCTTTGTTGTAGTGACCGCCAGCTTGGTTGATGTAGAAGAACATGAGTTCATCTACATCCTTGGGCGGAGCTGGCTTAAGTGAAGAGTTCAGTGGCTGTGAGAAGACAGATTTGCTCTTAGAGCGCATCTGCACGTTCGGGTCCTGGAAACCACGGATACCAGCCATTGTGCCAAAGTAGTGATCAAATGCACGGTTTTCTTGCATGAACAGGACAACATGCTCAACATCCTTGAGAGAGTCAGCCGCGCTGACGCCAGCAACAGCAAGAGCCGCTGCAACGGCCGCGAAGAGCGTCTTGAAAGCAGCCATGGTCCCGGTCGCTAAGTTGGGATGGAGAGAGTCTCGGCTTCATATATAGCGGCAGCGCATGTTTGGCCGTGCGAGTCGTTCCCTTTCGTCTATTGCAAATAATTCTTAATTAGGTAACAGTGATTAGTGTGCATGTTTCACCGGCGCCCAAACACAGGCGCAATCGCGAAACGTGACGAATCGACTGGCTGCGACTTCATTTCAAGATTAGATTACATGAGCGACGCCTCATCTCGTGTAAATATTATCAGCACGTGCATGCACTGCAGATCAAAAGCTGCGCCCCAAGAATAAACACATGCGCATTTTCAGCCGTGGTTGAAAATATGACGTAAACGAAGACACAAAAGAAACCGTACCTTGGGGCGAACCCAAGTCTTGGCTAAGTTTTGTATCTGAGCTGGGCGTTTAATAACCTCGTGGAAACTATACCGTGGAGAAAGCTTACCATATAAGCATCGAGCTCGTCCATGAATATTGGAGTTGTGACGAGCGTTTGCCAAGTAGGTGCAATCTCGGTTCGCAAAGGTCTTCGATTATACATAGATTTCCTCATAGTATAAGTACAAATATTTTATCATCCTCTTACGGCGCTATTCTTGAGCGAGAAATGCGGAACAAAATTAATAGACTTCACACATGTGTTAGCTCCAATTTTTTTCAAAATGCCAAATGAACTGGGCTCACCCATTCTCGATATGGATTTTTGTCATATACACCGGTCATGACGAGAGTTGCATCTTTTTGTTGTGAGATCCTAGTCAAGTCATCGTTACCTTCCCAATGTCTCGATGCATTCCGCACGATCATGAATTATACCCCCCATAATTGTTTTTGTTTCTCTTGAATATGGCCAACAGTTTACCTTAAACGATGGTGTACATTCTCACTTTCCGTAATACATTTAAAAGATGTAGCTAAAAAAGGAGCCGTTGAGCTGAGAAAGTATCTTCGCATTCATATCTGACCAGTCCACACGGAAAATTTACTAGGATTCCTAACATTTAAATCGACTTTAGTGAAAAGCTTCACGTCGGTTTGTTTGATCCAAGCCGCCTATGGTCGGCATGAGTCGTACCTGATACGAACGTGAGGTTTTTGTATTCAAAAATCTCGCTACTGACAAGGTCCAAGCAAATACAAAAATTTGACAATGATCATCTACCCTAGCGTAGCGCATTGCGTCTCGGTCTATCATATTCTCTTTCTCAACAAACATGGACGTGATGAACGATACCTCATAACTCGTCATACTTACGTTAGATATTGTATACGTCTTCCAATTAGTCTTAATCAAAAGTTTGACATTGCCCCTGAGAACTTACTAATAACGATCAGGGGACAACAGACAGGATCGTGTCACTACTTACAACTTTAAAGATCTTTCGTCCATCGATTTCAAGCATCATGTCTCATAGCCGTCTCTTTCAGGTTCATTCAGTCCAATCATTGGAATAAGTATAAACCACCAATTCTGCGTTAAGTCAATTGTGAAGGTTTCAAGTCGAGACCCATAGCTCGATTGCGGACTGTAGGAAAGTATGTTGCTGATTACCGGGCTAGTTAAGCCAACCAATCCCATCAAAAGCTAGGTCAAAATCTAGACAAGCTTGTTACCTCTTAGGCTATTACCTTAAACCACCTACACCAACTCCCATGGTCATAACATTAATGCCGCGTATGCTAATTTGGTTCATGAAAACAGCCCTTGACACAGTAGGGCGATAGTAATCCAAGCAGGAACTCTCTTCCATGCCGTACCATGATTTCGGGTGCGGGGGACGACGCTCACTAGTATATATGACCAGTCGAACAAGGAAATGTCGAATAAAATCAAGATACAAGTTATGAGTCCCAAGTTAATCTGTCCCTAATCAAATACAGCTGATGGCCAGGTCATGAATTTCTGCGCCAATTAGCTTTTGCAGGTCACCCCTTTATAACTTAATGGATATTCTCAGCCCTTTGAAATATGTCATGACATCAATAGCAAGCTTAGTTCTAGGTATTAAATCGATGCATTGCATTCAAGCGTTTTTACTTATTCAACGCGACGCCTCGAACAAATTAAAATACACCAACGATAAGAAAGCAAAAGGAACCTAAAACTAAAAAAATTCTCAAGTTGAATTTTTACAGAGGACCATAGCTGGTATATGATGCGTATGTTTAAACACGGTTCACATACCCCACTAGAACTAGAACATCTCGCAGATCAGTCTCCATAACATCCAATGAATTCAAAATTAAAACTTAGGTACACAACAGCGCTTAAATCTTTTAACGTTAATTCGAATATAATGTTTGACACGTGATCGTAATACACATATCGAATAATCACCCTAGTGAATTTATTGCATCGGTGTGAATAACACGACCTCACTTGTGCAGCTTATCAAAAACATTATCTGCAAGACAAGCAAATGTCTTAAGACATTAAACCTGACAAGCCAACTTAATTCTACCAGACCGTCTTATGAACAATATGCGAGCTAACATGCAACTCGCGTTCCAATTCGAAATTTTTGCTACTTCGAACCGACAAACTCTATTAACTAGCTTTGTCGTTCGAGCTTGCTGGAACAAATCGTGCTAATATGCTGGAATCGAACTCAGCTTGAACAACACAAACGCGTATATCATTGCATCGTGAAATACTTACAAAATCTGAAACAATTTAGCCGGACAAAAGAAATGTTGCATTACAGTTTGATGTTCCCACATTTTCGACTGGAACCTCGACTATATCTTTTTCACCTTTCTACTAACTGCGCTTATCGTGTCAGTCTGAATTCGAATGCATACCCTTTTAAGTACACCAATCTCAGTATATAAGCCCATCGAAAGCCATTCGCTCATAATCCAAGTCGAAAGCGACCTAAATCATTTGAAAGGTGCCACCAAAACCCCACTTACCAACGCCTTTAGAGCCCACGACGGCAAGTAGACACTTACCCTTCTATTCGCTCCTTGACATTGCTTACTTCCTTATTTGCGCTTCTTTCTCTGCAAACTAGATCTTGACCTGATATCGATCGTCACACTTATACCATCCTTGTCAGTCTCCCGAGCTCGACTTTGTACGTGAGCCATGAGTCGAAATGAATGCCTTTATAACATAACTTGAGATATTACCATTCGTTGTCCGTAGCAATGGCTGGGCTCAGTTGTAGTAATGGGCAAATTTTGAACCATGGCAATGGCATTAGCTTCAAATGGTTCCAATACATACATGAATAAGCAAGATCTACCGCGGCATGAAGTCAGAAACCCTCTTCCCCTCTGCCATAAGCTTGAATTTGGACACCGTGGCTAAATCTTGTTCCAATCTATCACTCTTGCTCTTGACGCTAGCGTGTGAAGCCAAGATACGGTCTTGTGTATCAACAACATAGCTAAACTATATGTTCAAATATGAGACATCATTCAATGCCGAAGCTATTTCAACAAGTTTCTGCGTCCATAAATCAATAGACCCGGATAGGTGCGCCTCTCATACTCCACACTTTGTCGGCATTCATTTAATTCTCTCAAATTCCACAAATATCACACACCGCGATATGCCCCACCGCGGCGAAAACCTCACAGGAAACCACGAATCCAATAGTGCTGCCCAGTATTAACTTTGAGAAACACACCGCAGAAGTACAATTGCAAGAAATTCAATTCCCAGTTCGATGCGAGAAAGTCCCTTGATTATAGAATATTTGGAACTATGTTCATGCTAGTCATGTCTACACAGGCACCTAAGGTGCTCAACTCTCGTTCCGTTACAATAAACCCAAGCGTAATATACAAAGACCAACAACCTTCTGCGTTGGTCGCAGTAAGAGAATCGTTTCAAGTCTGCTTGCCGAATCCAAGTCGCGTGTTGTCAAAATCAAACACAACCGACCCTGTCGCCAGGAATGTACTTCCAAAGATCCAATCATTGAAGCCGTTGATGCTGACAATCGAAATGCGGCACTGGTCACCATCCTGATCAGCATACATGGCATCCTCGCTCATTGTGGTCTCCTTGCCAGCCAACTTGAATTTGATTACTGGTGGATCGTCACATTTGTAATAGCCATTATATTCGCCATTGTCGTTCTTCTTAACCGTCAATTTGTCAATACCGCCAATGATCTTGGTGTATTGGTCAGCAGGGGCAACAACAAAACTTGTACCACTGTCAACAATCCCTGTGACTTTCTTGCCGTTGATTTGTAGATCTGTCTTCCAGTAACCATCGCCTTGGTTTACCTTCACCCAGCCAAGATCTCCGTCAATCTCTGAAGCATCAATCTTGCCGATGTTGAGCGTTGATCCTCCATTCATCCTTGCCGTCATATGATAAACGTTCTTCTGCAGCGCTTTCTGTTGCTTCGCTGCATCGACAAAGTTCGGCTCCGAAACATCCGACAGCCCGCTAAACCAAGGAAATGCTAGGCCCAGAACTCCATCCCTTTTCTCGCTGGTCAAGCCATTCATGACATCATTGTTGTCAGCGATCACAACATCCTTGACCTTGACCCCGCCTATAGTGACTTGATCCGTGTACACAGAGCCAGATGCGGGACCACCGACATAGTCCATGCTATACTTTTTGTTCAAGTCTTTCGATGTTGTCGAGTCTTCGTGGTTGTACATGCCTTTGTTCATGACAAGATCCGACGATCCGCTGTCAAAAATGACCCACCTAGCCTGAGCCGGTGACCCGAGTTCAATTTCTCCTGTCCACGCAAAGTTGTCCGCCAGATCAAGTCGTGCTGTGCCTGCTCGTTTCCGAAGCGTAGTTCCATTCACGGACTGATGGTGCTTTCCTGTGTTTTTGAAATGGGCCATCGCATGGTTGGCATACTTGGCTGCAACGTGTCGAATCTCAGTATCGTAGTCAATCTTGCCGTTTGGTCCCAGGCGACGCTCAAGTGGAATGGTAAACTCGGCAGAGACGAGATGAGCAATGAGAAGCACAAAAACGAGGAGACTCGTTGAGAGATTCATTTTGGGAAGCAGGCTAGAGCGGCGTGGTGATGAACAGGGCTGAACATGACTCTTATTTTATATCCTTCATCGTAAAGTTCAATCTAGGCCAGGCACACACGGCACAACGCCCACGCAGTGCCGAAATGAAAAACGTGTCCGGCGGCGCTTCAACCCATCGGGCAATATTTAACCCTACTAAATGTCCGACATGTGCACGTTATGTCTGGTAATTCCACACCAATCGCCCGAGCAGGCTCAGAATGGTAAAATCAGGACGAAACTCGTCAGGCATCTCCACCTCAGATGCTAACTTCTCCATCCAGCAGCTCAAGACATGATTGGCACGAAAAAAAAAAAAACGGCTATTCACCTAATCGCCCGATTTTGCATCCGGGTGGTGAAACGGTAAATCCCGCCCTAGCAAATGACGTGCTTTCTAGTCTGCATGTGTCGGATTGAAGGAAATTGGGTTACGTGTGTCGATATGTGGGTCAGTTTCCACTCGTTCTCCGCCCAGGCGCAAATTCTTAGGGTCGACATAGATGATACCAGGGCCAGAATCTTGAATGAAGGAAATTCACAATTAGCTTTCCCAAAAACGAGTGAGCGGCCTGGGTTAACCGGATTTGGGTCGAAGGAAACTGCCATTTTGACGCTCATGACTTACTGTCTTCGGTAAAGTACCCTGAGGCGGACATGCAGTTCGATCGAGGGTGATATTATCTCGTGTATTACTCTTGGGATCATCTTGTTCAAAGTCAGCAAAGAAAAAGGGCGTTGGCATTGCGTATGAAATGACAAGCTAGAGTACGCGTGGCGACACAAACTAGTATGTAGTAGTATGGCCCTAAGGGCAACAAGTTGGGCCGCAACTGTGATATTCTTTCAAGAAGCTTCTTGACACTAACCATGTCTTTCTCCTAAATATTCTCACTGGAGGTCAAACCCAAGCACCTGAATCGATTTTCGCCTTCGGTCAGTCGATAAAAAAAATGAGATAATAAGACCGACTGGTCGTTCCCTTCACTGACACAGTTATCAATGAAATTGCCGGGTAGAAAAATCGAAATTGAGGCGCTGCCAAATTTTCATGATTTTTACACGCCTGTGCAAGAAACCGTGATAAAGTCGAATGCCATCACCGCGGTGATGCTATGAACTATGTTCTGAGTAAGACTCGCGTACACCTGGCGTCATTAACTCGTATTGTACTTATTTGCTAGTGCTGGATGCTCATCGTCGTTCAATCATACAGCTCTTAACAACCCCGCTGCGTGCAGGATAACGCAAGAACTAGTTCTTGGTCGATGTTACCCTATTTTACACATTCACGAACGCTGACAAACTATAGCCGAGCAGTCACTTGCATATAGTTCATACTCAAAGTCAGGAACATTCAGGTTCCAGAAGTGAAATTCATGCTCTGGACTCCGAACGATCGACTGGAAATGTTCCTGCAGCAATTGTAGTGATCAACACAAGTCGTCCTCTATTCAGTGCCCTAGCCCCAAGACCTTTGTTCTAGAAACCCTAAGAACACACATAGACAAACCTTGTGTATTTTCATACTCAGGAAATCCATTTATATTGTTTCAGGCTACTAACATCAGCTAGGTATCAATATCCCGTATACAATAATGAAACATGAATTACATGGACGAAAAAAGAAAAAGACATCCCACTCTCTCACTCGACTTGCACCAGATAGACAAGGCAAGGCAAGGCAAGGCAAGGCAAGGCAAAAAAAAATTAGTCCTTCGTCTTTGCAAAGCCCATTCGCTCTTTACCAAAGTCGAATATAATAGAATACATTTCGAAAAAGCTCTCACCAAAAATCCACGAATTGACTCCATGTACACCAGCAATTGTGAGCTGGCATTGATCGTTGTCAACACCCGCAACCATAGCATCTTTTTCCATTTTCACTTCTTTTCCTGCAACCTTGATCTTGACCTCAGGTGGGCTATCACACTTGTACCAGCCTTGCCAATCACCCGAATCTGATTTCTTCACCTCCACCCCGTCGATGTCATCCAGGACTTTCTTCACATCGTCATTGTTTCCGAAAATAAATGTCGTTCCTGAATCAACAATTCCGTTGGCTTTATGACCATTCATTTCCACTTCCGCCTTCCAATAACCATCTGAGCTGTCCACATCAACCCATCCTACTTCACCATCCAGTCTTTCCTTGTTGACTTTCCCCACATTCAGATATGAATCTCCGTTCTTCCGGATAAAAAATTGATATACGTTGTCGTAAAAGATTTTCTGCTTTTTGGCAGCTCCGACGAAGGTGTGATCCTCCGAAATACCAAAATCTCCAATGCTAGGGAACGAAAGTCCAAAGACGCCAGCTAAGCTCTCGTCATCGACGCCCTCTTTATTCATAAAGTCTGCATCAGAGCTTCCAAGAACAACGTGTTTGGCCTTCACACCCCCCACATTGACCTCGTCAGAATACAGTGAACCTTGTACACTCGGGCCGAGAAAGTCAGTCTCAAACAATTTCCCCAGGCTCTTTGACGTGCTTGAGTCGTCGGGCCTGTACGAACCTCGCCCAATAATAATGTTGGGCGAGCCGGTGTCGAACGCAACGCCTTGCTTTTGTCCAGGCGAACCGATCTCAATTTCACCGACCCATCTCGATCCGTCCACCATCCCCATTCCCACCTTACCGGAATTCGATCGCCTGGCAAGTGTCGTGCCATTCACAACACTGTGGTGCTTGCCAGTGTTTTTGAAATACATCTGCGCATTCTTTGCATATTTTGCCGCCATCCGCTCGACTTCATGTTCCAAACTCCATCGCTGATGGGAGTCGCCTCGTGCATCATGTTGACGGAGCTGGATCGTTGACTGAGCCGAGACGAGGCTTGAGGAGGCAACTAGAGCAATGGCGACCGGGAACACTGAAATTTTCATGATCCTAGGACAAGGCACAAGGTACGCGGTCAGGTCTTCGGACCTGTATTTAACGCCGTCAGATCCATATTTTGTGCCTGCGACCAGGTCAAGAGACCACAAGAGTTTGCCCGCAAGTTGCACAACGATTGCACGTTTTATAGAACCCTGTCGGTAGGTGGACGGAGATTATTTCATTTTTCCGCAAATTAAATCAGCGTGATTCCCATCAATCGTGTCGAATCAAGGAATAAGGCGTACATGGGCAGATATTGAGCCCACTTTGTTCTGCATGTCGTCTTGGGCGTGCACATAATCTGGCACACAATTCGCTCGCTCGGACATTTCCTATTCACGCCCAAATGCAAAGAAAAAATGCAGCTTGCTGCGGCAATTTCAATTTTGCGGCCAGCGTCGCCAAACGATGCCCCTGTGGTCTGGCAAATGAACATATTCTATTGGCTCTCGAGCATCTGGAACTTGCCTCACAAGATCTTCATTTTCATACCGCGCGCTCCACCGAGAATCCCCCCCCCCTCCCTTGTAGAACGGCCCACACGAGCTGAAAGACAAAGTTCATGAAGGAATCATTACGTAAAGTTTTTCTGTAACAAGGTCAAGCACCGCTCGATCTTTCGTTGACATCATGACATCTCGTCTGGACATGCTTGCATAGCATTGCGACCCGCTCGTATCCTGTTGGAAATATTATGAGGAAACATTCGGTCTGGCCCAGCAACAAGGTTTCCACGGTTGGAGATCAACTTTCGTGTGTCGGAGATGCTTCGTAGCAACAAATGAATCTGAGCAAAGCTATTGGTGACCGGCTGGAATCCCTGTCCTCGGCTTTCTATCCTTGCAGATTCCTACCAGACATGACGAGATGGGAGAGGGGTTGGGAAATAGCATACGGATTGTCCAAGTAACTAGAGCGGACACATGCCCACTGCGGTGACAATTTCATTCTGAGACCTGGTAATGACTCCACCAACGGCAGCACGGTGAAACACAAATGCATTCTGGCACACACGTTTATTTTCGGCGTCTTTACGGGAAACATGCCCCGTTTGAAATGTACGGATCGATGTATCGAACACACACTAACCTTCGATTCATACGTATTTATGGGTTTTCTGCAATCTTTCATTTTCGTTCTGGATACCCCTCGACAAGTGCATGAAAACCAAGGCATACTTGGGCAACGTTTCATAATCACATCTCGTCCATAGAGTTGCCCACTACAGAACAATGGCACTTTCCATCCAATTTGATGCCTAATCCCGTTCCAATCATGTTGATGATCATCAAGTCAACTGACAGTGAATGTTCTACGGAGACCAAGTCAAGCGAAGGCGAGAGCATACTCAAAGGCGTTTTGATGTGTCTCGTTGCTTACTGAATGTGTATGGAAAATACAGACTGCCCACTATTCCGCATAGTCTCATTCAGTCGAGACAACATGCTGATCTGTTGACTCCCCATGTTCGCTTTCAAGGACCAGCGAGGCATGCGTTTGAAATAGGCACTGGGATACGATGAGCAAGTCCTTGCTTGTCCTTGCACCAGAGTGCCCAATGACAGCGAAGATGCCTGACGCGTGATTTACACCAGCAAACACGAGCACACAAGCACTTCGAACAAGCACTTCCCCCTGCCGAAGAGTCATTCCACTCAAGGGATGTGAATAGATTGCTAAAAATATAAGCAAATAGCAAATCGATTGACTCAAAAAAAAATCTGCAGGTCGATTTGCTATGCTACAAGAAAATAATTCGGATGCACGAAGCCAATGAAAAGTGGCTCTAACGTGCCTTGAACCACGTAAAATCACATTGCTCAACGTCGTTATTACCAGATTGGCTGAATCTAGTCGGTGCGATCGGACCAGCTCAAATCATGGAGGCCACATTTTGCTGTGAAAGCGCTAAAAAATGGGGTAGGTTGATAGATATAAAGCGGGCAAGCTTGATTGTACGAGTCAAAGATTCATCCACATTCAACCGACTGACTGTGCGAAAAAAGATGCGATTCCTTTTCAACCTGGCACTTGGCATTGTTGCAGCTTTCACTGTGAATGCAGCTGCTGTTGGTGGTGACGTGCAAGACGTTGAAGCTCGTGCGGATCACGATGGACAGCGCGTGATCAGGTACTCGACGTTCACAAGCATCCCACCGGGTGTGACGAACCCATGCCCAACGCCCAAGATCGAGAGAACGACGGTCAAGTCTACTACGACGGTTACCACAAAACCAACAAAGCAAGCACGCGATCAATTCCCAGGACAAGTCCAAACTCTGGGAACGAGCCCGATGACCTCGCTTATTTCGTTCAGGTGTGACGCCCAATCAACTTACACTCTGACCGACCGTATGATTCAAACCGAATACGTGTGGGAGGAATAATGTCCCCACATGCAGAGTGGCCTTGTAGTTCTAAGATCATGTAGAATGCCAAAGTGGAACGACGTCGAATGATGCGCGAGGGATTGAAATTTTTCATAGGCCTTGAACCACTGAGCCTTTCGCGCACACGCTACAAAGAAGTAATGTGATGAAAGGCATTTATGTAGTTGCAGTGTCTGCGCAATGGCTGCATTAGGACTTGGTTTGAAGGAGCAAGCAGTCGGTGCTACTGGTCTGTGCACAGGAAAGGCAGCGCGCAAGAGACGCACCAATGACCGGATTGGATTCAAAGTTTTGTTCTCAATAGGTGTAGCCCAAGTTCCCACTGCTTTCCTTTATCCTGCACTCACAAAAAGTCCCATGTCCAGTTGCGTGCAAGAAAAAAAAAAATCTTCCCATGACACTCCAAGTCGAGTCCACACGGTTCCAGCTGGATTCGCAGATCAGAGCTGAATGAACATACATGGATTGAACCTACTCACTCCATCAATTCGAGTTAAAGCCGGTCACCGCATCCTGACATGGGCGGGATTCTATGATTTATGCAAAGTAGTTGCAGAACGTTTCCGTCATTAGCAGCACGATACAGTGATCCATGAATGGCTGGCTGGGTCTTGGGTCCGTTACCCTGGCATGTACCGGTGGTGCCTCGTCCGACAGCAAAAGGTTCAAGTATCGATGTTTTTCTTTTCATTCGACAATCCACTACTTCAACTTTCCAATACCGATGCGCGGTGTATCAAAGTCCAACACCACGGATGCGACCTGGAAGAAGCTCTCACCAAGAATCCATCCGTTCAAACCCTTCATACCCAACATGCTCATCTGGCAATTCGTGCCATCAGTTGCCAGAGTAAGCGCCTCTTTGCTCATGCTCACTTCCTTGCCAGCGATATTGATGCTGACGCGTGGTGGGTTGTCGCACTGGAACGTGCCCTGATACTCACCCCGTTCTGACTTTGTGACACGAACATGATCGAGCTTGTCGAGGACTTCTTTCACTTCGTCGTTGTTTCCAATTATGACTGTTGTGCCCGAGTCCACAATGCCCTTGACAGCTTTCCCGTTCAGTTCGGCATCGACTACCCAATAGCCGTCCTGGCTGCTCACGTCGATCCAACCAAATCCACCATCTACTTCAGATTCGTCCGTTTTCCCGATGATCAGAGATGGATCGCTGTCGCGCAAATTGAACTGAAACACATTTTGGTCCATATCTTGTTCTCGTTGAAGCGCTTCGGGAAATGTGTGGCTGGATGTGCCAAACGCACTGAGACTCGGAAACGACAGTCCTATGACACCTTGTACATGGTCGCCACCAGGCATGAACTGTTCGGTTGCCTGCCCAATCGACACATCATTTGCTTTCACATGGCCGAGTAGCACTTGATCCGAGAAAATGTTGCCATCGGCTTTGCCGCCCATGTAGTTCGAACTGAACGTCTTTTGCAGATTTTTCGATGTGGTCGACTTTGCTGGATCATATGTGCCTGTGTTCATGGTCATATCTGCGGAGCCCGAGTCAAATACAATGTTGAACGTCTGTACGCTTTTGCCGATCCCAACCTCGGCTGTCCAGCCCGACTCGCTCTCTAGCGGAATCTCACTCGACCCCGCTCGCTTGCTGAGCATGGTTCCATGGTAGATCGGATGATGCTTGCCCGTGTTTCTAAAGTACGACAGCGCATTGCTGGCGTATTTGGCCGCCACGCGATTGCGCACAGACGCTGGATCTGAGCTAGAGTCATGCACGTTGCGCCTCAGCGACCGTTGCAAACGCACTGCGTTCTCGTCCAACGCCAGGCTGAGTGTCCCCAGGGCCAGGATAGCTAGAACGCTAGTCAAGACTTTGCTCATAGAAAGACACCGGGAAACAGGGCTCTACACACATTCCTCTTGCACTTTTATGTGCCATCCAACTGGCCCAGTCTTGAAACGCAAAGACGTGCGGATGGCCACATGAATGTCCATGGTGCGGAGCCCGTGCATGGCTTTCTCACAGCGTAGACGTAAAACACTCCGCAACCCAGATGATGCCCGCAAATCACAAGCAGGACACCGTCAAACTATGATGACACTTGAGGCGTTTTATGCGTCATTGTGTCAGAACTCTTTCGTTCCCAGTATATGATTGGATTTTCCAGAGCTCGTTTTCATTTCGCACGTCAGACATCGTTGCGCCGAGCTGTCACATTGGCTTCATGCGCAGCTGTGCTCGAATTTCACTACTAGTCACCGAACGCCCATGCGCAGTTGGATGTGCACGTGGTGGCTCGACGAATCCACACATGGAACCTGTTTTCAAACGCCCCAACTTTCAGGGTCAGGCACAGTTGTGTGTTCAAGAGTACGGATTGCTGCGTCTTGAAAGCGCACAGTCTAGACCTCCAGAAAAGACGGACGATGTAGGAGGAACACCTAGAGCTGGGTGTTTATCTGAAACCAGTGCGCATGATTTTCCCCATGCCGGTCAGGGTGACCTATTTCATCAAAAGACCCGCATCTCTCCCTTCTTCCTGCTCACCCCACTGGCCCCACTACCATGGCTTTCATCAAGTTTGCCGTGCGTTCATCGTGCTCCGTGCCTTTTACAAGAATAACGTTCATCAAGCTTATCCTACTTTCTTGCGAATAGCAAACGAACGATGATGCTACATGTCTTCGAATCGTTCCACGAACATGCTCGGTTCGCTCACACCGTCCATGCGGAGAAACGAATAGACGCTGACTCGTTCGAAGAGAGCGACCCAATCGGTGATCTCATCCTTTCACTCATCAAGCGTCCAGGATCCAATCGGAGAACTTGGGCCCTTCTCACCATCACGTGGAACCTGTTTATGCGCAGTTATCGCGGATCCAACGGAGTGCGTATTACAAGATTTGCGTGACCCAGAATCGCGTCTACGCACAGCCGTTCGCTCAACTTTGGATAGACACTTTCTTTTATGCGCAACGAGTCTGAAGAAGAATCAGCGATTCTGACAAGTGGAAACCTCGAATGCGTGAAACCTATCCGATGAATTGGACATGGATTAGGGTTATCTATGGCACGTTTCTACGCCCACTCTCTTTCCCCCCACCCCCACCCCACCCTACCTCACCGGACCTGATCGAGAGGAAAAGGCCCATTCGCATACGAGTCGAGGCGAGTCCTGTGCATACTACAAAGACGAATGTCGCACGCCCAGAATTCCAACACCACACCCTCACAACAACCTCCTATGCACAAGGCTCTCTTCACTCTCGCTGCTGCCTCCGTTGTCGTTGCGTCGCAAGATGTGTCGGTGAAGGGGCTGCACGGCTGATGACAAATCGGAGGATGACGGTACATTTGGGAGTGGCGACATTCTCGGCAGCTGCCGCACCTGTACTCAGAGCATCACAGAGTGCGCTGGATCAAATCCTAGCAACACGGCTTCCGTATGTATCAAGCACCTTGACAGCGTTGCCAAGGACTGCGGTGGCTGCAGTGTGAATGTGTTCCAGAGCCTGTAATTATGAACGCGCATTCTACTCGGAACACGGATGTGTTCCATGTATGGCGACGATTCTTTTTTGTAACAGAGACATGCAGATTTCGTATGGATTTATAAGACAAGGTTTTCATATCGGGCCTGAGGGCACTCTCAAATTGTGTGCCATGCGGGCGAAATTGTCTCAAGCTGCAGAGATGAAGCTTATGATAGAATGACTAGTGCCACCCAAGACCTTCACTAAGCAGACCATTTGTAGGCAGCCTGGGTCCTTCAAGTCACTCCACAATGACAGCGATGAATGAAGGCACGCATGGCAGCTTTCATCCTGTCTTTGCATCTGCCCGCCACTCACAAGACACATGGCACAGCGAAAAAGCCCGTGTGGACCAGCCATGTTGAGCCAAGGTCATCATTTGGCTTTGTCGTTACTGTGCTAAGATCCCGTCAAAAAGTCCATGTTATAGGTCCAAGTTTGCATGTCACTAGCGGCAACATGCACAACTGCTAGCAGAGATTTGGCTAGTCCAACTAACAGAAACCGATAGACACAAAACCCTTAACGCATCATTGGATAGTGCGACCTGGTCGGGCATCTCACTCTCACCCTTCCCCTCCTTTGCCATACATAATGGGCGACTGCAAAAGGCGATGCATTTGCTCGCATTGCTCGACGTATTGAGACTGCCACACTCAGCATTGTCCCCCCGATGGCAGAAAAAGACTTTCATGGCTCTCGACGAATACGCGTTCATCGCCTCTTGAAACAATAAATGCACCACAACACACACACGCACACAAGTGGTGTTCTCACACGGCATTGAGTACAGGGTGTACGAATCGCTCTCGCTGACACCATCATCGTTGCACAGCACCTGTATCTACTACGAGTGGAACCTTGCTCTACCCCCTCCTAATGCGTTACGACCATAGGTGCATTCCATAATTTGTGTTCAAGCGTATACTTTCCTTTCATTTCAACATTGCAAGCACATTCCATTCCATCTTCCCTCGTTTCTGTTGACATATCCTTCTCTACCTTCGGATTAGTTCGACGCCTGCTTCGCGATCTGCATATGATTCGAGTCAAAGTCGCACACATACGACACCTGGCGCAGGAACGGGGCCCCAATCAGCCAGTTAAACTTGAAAAACACCCCTACGTTCTTGAAACCATAGAATGGCAGCATGCACTTTCCGTCACCAACGTCGTACATCGTAAGCACATCCTCCGGGATTTCAACGTCTAGTTTCCCATCCACATTGATCTTTACCTTTGGCGGACTGTCGCAGTTAAACTTGCCTGTCACAGTACCAGTCTTGCTATTTGTCGAGGTCTCGACTCCGTCAAGGCTGTCCAAAAAACGCCTCATCTCCGAGTCCAAAGCCATCATACCAGGCGAACCTGTATCAATCACAAAGCCGCGAATCTCGCCGTTGACGCTCCCCTTGAAGCCACACATACCTCGAAAGCGGCCCAAGTTCCACACGCTCTTCAGCTCTCCCTCGTACAGCGAATCATCCACCTCGCCGATCGAGAACTTGCCACCATCCTTCTTCAACGTGACTTGATACTTGGCTTCATCCGTCACACCCTGGTGCTTTAGAACCGACACAATGCCGTGCCAGCCATGCCAAAGAAACGCTACAGCGGACTCATAGTGATTCGGCAGCGCAATGCCTAGAACACCATTCAAGTTGTCGTCACTCGAAAAGTCGTGCGAGTCCGTGTAGCCAAAAGCAAGTGCTTTCGCCGTCAACCCACCTACACTGACGTCGTCACGCAAGATGGTCCCTTCGTTTCCCGCACCAGTCGCAAAATTAGCATTAAAGTCCTCACCCGTTTTCTTCACAGTGTCCGAATCATCCGGATTGTAGCCCGAGTTCTTTGCAATCAGTGTGTGCGCATAGCCACTGTCAAGTATCATGGTCTGCTCTGCTTCGTTCGAACCAAACTTTGCCTTCACAGCCCACACATCGCCATTGCTGTTCGAACCAAGATCCATCGAAGCCGTCCTACTGCGCTTGTCTACACCAGTCTCGTTGCCGAGACCCGCGTAGACACCACTGGCAATGCGCTTCGACAAATGGTCTGCGACAGCAGCATGCCGCTCCTCCGCGCTCATGCCATCTCGTGGCGGAACATAATGAAGATCGAACGAAGCCGCTGACGCGAACGAGATCGTGCCCAACAGTCCAAGTAGAACGTTGAAAGAGAACTGCATGTTCTTTTCTCGAACGACCTGCCGTGTCTATGTGTGTGTTTTCCCCTTCCTTTATGTACTCTACTTCTATTCCCTTCCTCGATGCCACAGTTTCTTCGTCCGATCTGTCATTCCTCACTCTTGCCAATCAGATCGTTATTTCCACGGGTTGTCAGGGGGTGGGGCCGTTTTGATGAAGCACCCAAAAAAAAAAAAAAAATCGTTCGTTCACGTGCGAACGCTGATCGCACCAGTGCATTTTCGTTTTGTGCCTGCGCTTACATTTTGGACATGCGACCTATTCAACCCGTTCTTCATGTCATTGGCCTCGTGGACTCGAACCTCCCCTCTCCGGCCAAACTTTCCTGCGTCACAGAAATTCTTGACTTCATGGCAGCTGTTCCTATAACGCAGTCAAACCGACGAGCATGTGACCCTGGATCTCTACCCCACATATTCTTTCTCTCCGTAAGCCGATCCAATCTCGAACCCTGCGTCTTGCCCTGCGTCTTGCCCTGCGTCTTTTGTGCCTAAAGTGCCAGTCCACCGCCTTGTTCATCCTTCTCTCTCTCTCTCTCTCTCTCTCTCTCTCTGTCCCCCTTGTATTTACTTGATTGTTTGCACATTTTTTCTAGTTCCCTTATGTTGATCTTACTAGTCTAATATATTCACATCAACGATATCGTAGGCTCCCTATGGTGAAACGGCGCCGGGTATTTCACTTTCCATGCTCACACGCTGATCTTCGACTCGTTCCACACACATATATATTCACTCCTCTGTATCAGCCACCCTTCTGTACTGCCAAAGACCCAAGTCGTCGTTAGTCATAATAGATGTCTTGCGTCTATATAAGATGCTGTCGCGTTGTGGTCTGTTTCTGTGGAATACCTCGACTGATTCAGTATCAGCGACAATGTCTCCAGTCGCGCCAAGTGCCACGCACTTTTCGTGTGGATCTGAGTCAATCGTTCCCATGAGGCCATCGTCCATACTTTTAACACGCTTGGTAAAAATAATGATCATACTAAAAAGATTCGTCTTGTGGTGGCGGATATATGATGTTTGTATATCGCATGCACTCATAACCACGTTCCGCCGCCTAGCATTCCAGAGTCCTGCCAAGTGTTCTCATCATCGGCAGTTGTTCGTTCACACACTCCTATTTCACATCGGCCATCGAAACTCCCACCCAACAAGGGTGGATGAGCACGGACCATTGTCTCGTGCTTCGACAACGCCGTAGTTTCTCGAATCCTTTGACTCATTTCCTATCATGACAACAACGTAGACACACTCTTCATTTTCCCTCTCACGTTGTCCTTCTGCGTGCTTTGTCATGAAAAAGTGCCAAGTTATCGTTTCGTACAACCGTGTCCAGTCGCCGCAGAACGAAAACAATATCCCTCCTTGACTTCCAGCACCGCCTGTGATAGATGTGAGACTTTGGGCACAATGAAACTAGCTTCCGGGTTCAGGTTCAGCCTTTTTTTTTTTTTTCTTTTCTTGTCGCACGGAGCGATCCTTCTCTCATTGTCCTCACCGTCAGCTCCGGTCTTGACGACATAAGCGAGCTGATCCATACATCCATCGGAATAGCTGTCACAATCGAGTTGTTGATACCAAGTACACTCATCGATGTTCTTGTTCTTAGGCTGAACCACTTGGTCACATTCGACGAGGTCGACAACGCGATCGTCGCCACGGTCCTTGAGCTTCGCGTGAGACATACATACATCCACAAAAAGCTTGTTGGCACTGGCGACCCGGTCGTCATTCTATTTCACTCTGCCCAGCTTCATGAGCCAGCCACCGTCATCAACCTGCCCAAGCTTGTCGACTGTAACGTTTGGCGACACTGGAGTTTGTCCATCCACTCCAACACACTGGGCACGCTGTTGTACTGCTCATGTGTTGAAGGTTGTATCTAGATCGTGCATGGTCGCCTAAGTGATACACCTTTGCGCGTGCAGCCGAGCGATGGACAATACACTGCATCAGAGCTCGCACCCTTGATGCAACCAGTCGGCAGAACGACCTTGTATCGCCTCACCTCGTATGATGCGTGAAATGGCAAGTCCGTTATTGTGGGCCATGTATGATAGCATGCGCACCCGCTTTTTGCTTACACGCTTTAACCAACCTTGGATTGATAAAGGTATTGCCCAGTCCACCCAAATCTCTCACATCATTGATGCAATAGAGGTCGTACAAAGCTGATGTCAGAGTTGCGACTGGCAATACTGTCGCGACGTTGAGATGCAACCGTAGTGAGGTAGCCGAGCATATCTCGACAGAGGATGAAACGCCCAGTCCAACACCAGAACTATTATCCGTGCCCACATCCTTCCACGACTTGTATGTTCACTCTCGTACGCCTCAGACCAGACTCAGGCCATAGCACAAACAATGGCCTCGCAGCCGCCCAACGTTACAAGCGCACTAACAGCGAGGTCCCGCACTGCCAACAGGTGTGCCTCGATGCTGTCTCACTTCACATTGCACCTCAGTCTTAGATACAGTTGCCATCAGCTTAAAACCATCGCATTTGGAGGCCACTTCAAAAACGTCCGTCTAAGCACTCAATACATCTGGCTCCCCTCCACCCCCACCGCCCCCAAGCAAAGATCGAGCCCGCACTCAATGCCAGTGTTTCACATATTTCATTCGTGACTTTTCATTTCCATACACATTACTCTACATACGAAACATCTTTGGTTCATTTACTGCCTCGCGATCTGCATCTCGTTCGAGTCAAACTTGCACACAACCGACACTTCCCGCATGAACGCCCCTCCGACAATCCAGTTGTATGAGTAGCTCTTTGGCATGTTTGTGTAGCCATAGATTGGAAGCAGGCACTTGCCGTTGCCAAGGTCGTACTTCTTCATGACATCGTCCGAGAGCTTCACATCAAACTTGCCATCGACTGAGATCTTGAACGACGGCATGCTGTCGCAATCAACCTTACCCGTCACAGAACCACGCTTGTCTTCCTCAACCAGTTCGACTCCCGACATTCCCTGCAGGAACTTCTTCACCGAGTCGTACGAACCAGCAATGCCCGTAGTTCCCGAGTCGAGCAAGAAGTTGTGCTTCTCGCCGTTCAGCGTGCCCTTGAAGCCGCAGTGACCGTACGCCTTGCCAGTGTTCATCAGAGTCTCCAGGTCGCCCTCGTACTGCGAGTCATCGACCTCGCCAATCGACAGCTTTCCGCCATCACCCTTCAGCGTCATCTGGTACATGGCCTCATCGATCACACCCTGGTTCTTCAGGGTTTGAATGAATCCGCCCCAGCCATGGTTCTTGAAGCCAGGCACGTAGTCAACGTGACCCGGAAGCGACATACCCAGAATGCCACCAAGCTTCTGGTTGCTCGAAAAGTCGCGGTTCTTTGTGTAGCCGAAGGCGAATTTCGATGCCTTCAAGCCACCCACGCTCAGGTCATCGAGATGAATAGTGCCCTCGTTGCCACCTCCTGTCAAGAAGCCAGCAAAGAATTTCTCGCCCGTGTTCTCATTGCTACTTGACTTGCCGGGGCTGTAGTCCGAATCCGCCGCTACAAGCGCATGCTCGTATCCGGAATCAAGCAACATGGTCACCTCCTCTTCATTCGAGCCAATCTTGGCCTTGACTGCCCAAGCCGTTCCGCCGCCTACCGATGTCAAGTCCACCTCAGCGCCGCCGGCACGCTTGCTCACCCGCGTTCCATTGGCCACTTCGGGATACACACCGTTGGCAAAACGGGCAAGAACTTCATTTCCGTGCAACATATGCAGCTCCTCACCCGATACTCCGCGCTTCTCCGCGCCCAGGTTCTCCATGTCAAACGACACGGCCGTAGCTGCGGAAATAGTCGTAAGAATTCCAACAAGAGCCTTGATCGTAAGCTGCATGGTTCAAAGTCCTTTGTCACTAGCCCCGTTCACCGAGCCGCATCGCTTCCATTTATATAGTTGTGATTCTCTCGTTCTTTTTTTTTCTTCGCTATTCTTAGCCTCATCTCAAGATGTCAACCGATTAGTCACGCACCATGTCCGCCAATCAGATGATCTTGGCAGCTCAGGCACTTCCGATCAAGTGCGCACGATGAAATTCTTTTCCATGCGAGGTAGGATCGCGCGTAACTAGGCTCGTCTGATGCGTGCGATGTCTCACCCGATATTGGATAATCAGGTCCGTCACTCATGTCATTGGCTCGTATGCCTGAGAATCACTCTCGAAAATGGCCCTGCCCGACTTGGCAGCCTGTCTCACACTGCCTCAGCTCGGCCGCGCATGAGCTTGTCGGCCGGCATATTCAATCACGCCTCCCTTTCCTCAACCTACCTGGCCGGCCAGGCCAATCACGTTAAGACGCTACTCCTCAACCCGTGTACAAGGCACATGATATGTTGCCGTTTACGCTGCCCCTGACCGCGGCGACCCAACAAAATCGATCTTCTCATGCACAAATGTAATGCAACACCCCAATCGCATCAAACAAGATCTGACATTCAGTCCCGCACGTAGTCCGCACATTTTCTCCCTAATGTTGTTTGTCGCAGTCTGGAAACCCGCGTCATCTCGGCCTTTCAATGAATTTTTCAGTTTGTCCTGTGGCCGCAACCCAACAACTTGGCATACGAAAACCTATGGCCGTAGGTACATAAACGCTTTGCATTCACATGCAACTGTATGTCATGACACATCGCACTTGCACTTTTGTCTCTCGCTATACTACCTTGTATATAATGTCGATGGCCCCGGGGATGGTGGGTGCTGATGGCAAATCGCCATCGCAATTTTGTTTGTTCCCGTAAAATCCCCAAAATCGTTGGTCTGTGCAGCAGCATGTCCTTCCCCACCTTCGCGCTCATCATTTGTCTTCGCCGTCTTGCGTCGATAGTTCCCGGCTATCCAGTCTTCATACTATGTACCTGTTCTGTCCGAGATGGAATCTTTCACAGCTTTGGACAGGTACTTGTCGTGTAGGTGACACTTTCTTGACGATTTCTCGTTGCCTTGCTCCCAACAAGTCGCATCCATACTCTTCTCTTCATAGGCAGCTACCGTACATGCGCAAGTATCAGTTGCCAGGACTTGATTAGCGTCAATAGTCTCCGGTCCTTCCTTTTTCGCCATGAGGCCCTATAACACTTACACATCGTTCTTGCATCTTGCATGTGTTGCAACGAATCAAGCAAATGCCCAGTTCTGACTTTCCTAACAATTCGCGTCCCTCGTCCGTCAGAGAGCTGATACACCGTCGCGCCTGCTGCAAACGTCAGGCAGCCCTCCAAGTACTTTCATATTCGCATTTCAGCGACTGTTCCCCCGCCTAGTCCCTCAACCTTCCTCTCCCCCTCGAGCATCATCATCCACGCATTTTTATCAAGAGATTCTTCAATCTTCTACAAATACTCAAACTAAATGTGCTTCACATTATAGGTTAATGATCTCACAGTCCACGAACGACGTAGTCGTAGTGTGTTCGTATGGCGGCACGAATCTAGTGAAGACGGGCTGGAATGGCTCAGTGCATGACACCGTGCCGGATCTCCAAACAGATTTGCCACTCGTGTGCTTGCTCTTATTCGTGTTGGTTGTTGGGCTAGTGTTCGACGAACGCGAAGCCCTCGTCGTCGTCCTAGTCGTCGACGTTGGTGTCGTCGAGACACATGAGCTAGCTGGCACCACCGTCGTCTTCACCGTCGAGCTCGTGTGCGTGCTGCCCTTCGAGTCAATCGAGATTATATCCGTCTCGATCGCCGACGTCATCGAGCTGCACGACGTCGTCGATTTCTTCGATGGCTTCACTGTCGACCTCGTCGTCGACGTTGGCGTCGTCGACACACACGAGCTAGCTGGCACCACCGTCGTCTTCACCGTCGAGCTCGTGTGCGTGCTGCCCTTCGAGTCAATCGAGATTATATCCGTCTCGATCGCCGACGTCATCGAGCTGCACGACGTCGTCGATTTCTTCGATGGCTTCACTGTCGACCTCGTCGTCGACGTTGGCGTCGTCGACACACACGAGCTAGCTGGCACCACCGTCGTCTTCACCGTCGAGCTCGTGTGCGTGCTGCCCTTCGAGTCAATCGAGATTATATCCGTCTCGATCGCCGACGTCATCGAGCTGCACGACGTCGTCGATTTCTTCGATGGCTTCACTGTCGACCTCGTCGTCGACGTTGGCGTCGTCGACACACACGAGCTAGCTGGCACCACCGTCGTCTTCTTCGTCGAGCTCGTGTGCGTGCTGCCCTTCGAGTCAACCGAGATCACATCCGTCTCAATCACCGACGTCATCGAGCTACACGACGTCGTCGACTTCTTCGATGGCTTCACTGTCGACCTCTTCGTCGTGTGCGGCGTCGTCGACACACATGAGCTCGCTGGTACAACCGTCGTCTTCTTCGTCGAGCTCGTGTGCGTGCTGCCCTTCGAGTCAACAGAGATCACATCCGTCTCAATCACCGACGTCATCGAGCTGCACGACGTCGTCGACTTCTTCGATGGCTTCACTGTCGACCTCTTCGTCGTGTGCGGCGTCGTCGACACACATGAGCTAGCTGGCACCACCGTCGTCTTCACCGTCGAGCTAGTGTGCTTGCGGCCCTTCGAGTCAGTCGAAATCACATCCGTCTCAATCACCGACGTCATCGAGCTGCACGACGTCGTCGACTTCTTCGATGGCTTCACTGTCGACCTCTTCGTCGTATGCGGCGTCGTCGACACACATGAACTGGCCGGCACCACTGTCGTCTTCTTCGTCGAGCTCGTGTGCGTGCTGCCCTTCGAGTCAACCGAGATCACATCCGTCTCAATCACCGACGTCATCGAGCTACACGACGTCGTCGACTTCTTCGATGGCTTCACTGTCGACCTCTTCGTCGTATGCGGCGTCGTCGACACACATGAACTGGCCGGCACCACTGTCGTCTTCTTCGTCGAGCTTGTGTGCTTGCGGCCCTTCGAGTCAGTCGAAATCACATCCGTCTCAATTACCGACGTCATCGAGCTACACGACTTTGTTTGCTTCGGCGTCGTCATCGATCGGCAAGAGCTTTCAGGTACCATCGTCGTCATCGTTGTCGCGCGTGTGTGCGTCTCGCCACGACTATCCACAGACGTCGTCATTGATGTTACAACACTCGTCTCCGTCTTACACGACGACGTCCTGTGACTGTGTGGCATCGCGGCCGTCTCATGAGGCTTTCTCGGACTCGTCCTCGAGCGGCACGAGCTCTCCAACACCATCGTCGTGAACGTCGTCGCACTCGTGTGCGTGCGGCCGTTCGAGTCCACCACCTTCGTCGTCGACGCCATCACCGATGGCACCGTCTGGCACGACTTCTTGGGGCTTGAGTTCGGCGTCGGAGGCTTCGGCGTCGTCTTCGAGCGGCACGAGCTCTCCAACACCATCGTCGTGAACGTCGTCGCACTCGTGTGCGTGCGGCCGTTCGAGTCCACCACCTTCGTCGTCGACGCCATCACCGATGGCACCGTCTGGCACGACTTCTTGGGGCTTGAGTTCGGCGTCGGAGGCTTAGGCGTCGTCTTCGAGCGGCACGAGCTCTCCAGCACCATCGTCGTGAATGTCGTCGCACTTGTGTGCGTGCGGCCGTTCGAGTCCACCACCTTCGTCGTCGACGCCATCACCGATGGCACCGTCTGGCACGACTTCTTGGGGCTTGAGTTCGGCGTCGGAGGCTTCGGCGTCGTCTTCGAGCGGCACGAGCTCTCCAACACCATCGTCGTGAACGTCGTCGCACTCGTGTGCGTGCGGCCGTTCGAGTCCACCACCTTCGTCGTCGACGCCATCACCGATGGCACCGTCTGGCACGACTTCTTGGGGCTTGAGTTCGGCGTCGGAGGCTTAGGCGTCGTCTTCGAGCGGCACGAGCTCTCCAGCACCATCGTCGTGAATGTCGTCGCACTTGTGTGCGTGCGGCCGTTCGAGTCCACCACCTTCGTCGTCGACGCCATCACCGATGGCACCGTCTGGCACGACTTCTTGGGGCTTGAGTTCGGCGTCGGAGGCTTAGGCGTCGTCGACGATTGGCACGACTTGTTTGGAATGGTCATAAACGACAAGCTGGTACGAGTTCCCGTGAAGCTGCCATTCGAGTCTGTCATCATGAACTTTTGAGTAAATGTGCGCGTGCTGCTAACGCATGAGTCCCTTGACGTAACCGTCACATCACACGCTCGCCTGTAGGATTCGATGGCGCTGGGCCTGTCGTCACAGTCGTGTCACCACGCTCGCCTGTAGGCTTCGATGGCGCTGGGCCTGTCGTCACAGTCGTGTCACCACGCTCGCCTGTAGGCTTCGATGGCGCTGGGCCTGTCGTCACAGTCGTGTCACCACGCTCGCCTGTAGGCTTCGATGGCGCTGGGCCTGTCGTCACAGTCGTGTCACCACGCTCGCCTGTAGGCTTCGATGGCGCTGGGCCTGTCGTCACAGTCGTGTCACCACGCTCGCCTGTAGGCTTCGATGGCGCTGGGCCTGTCGTCACAGTCGTGTCACCACGCTCGCCTGTAGGCTTCGATGGCGCTGGGCCTGTCGTCACAGTCGTGTCACCACGCTCGCCTGTAGGCTTCGATGGCGCTGGGCCTGTCGTCACAGTCGTGTCACCACGCTCGCCTGTAGGCTTCGATGGCGCTGGACCTGTCGTCACAGTCGTGTCACCACGTTCGCCTGTAGGCTTCGATGGCGCTGGACCTGTCGTCACAGTCGTGTCGCCGCGTTCGCCCGTCGGCCGCGATCGTGGTGACGTCCTCGACGTGCACGAACGGTTCGGCACTACCGTCGTCTTCGACGTCACATGCGTCCTGCGCTCACCGTTCGAGTTCGTTGTCGTTTGCGTCACACGCGTCATCGATGTCTCTGACTGACATGACTCCGTCGGCGAGCTTGGCGATGGGCTACCCGTGTTCGTCTGGTCTCCGCGACCGCCGCCTGGGCTCGTCGGCGAGCTTGGCGATGGACCCGACGTGTTCGTCACATCTCCGCGCTCACCGCCTGGGCTTGTTGGCGAGCTTGGCGATGGACCCGACGTGTTCGTCACATCTCCGCGCTCACCGCCTGGGCTTGTTGGCGAGCTTGGCGACGGACCCGACGTGTTCGTCACATCTCCGCGCTCACCGCCGGGGCTTGTTGGCGAGCTTGGCGATGGACCCGACGTGTTCGTCACATCTCCGCGCTCACCGCCTGGGCTTGTTGGCGAGCTTGGCGATGGACCCGACGTGTTCGTCACATCTCCGCGCTCACCGCCTGGGCTTGTTGGCGAGCTTGGCGATGGGCCGCCCGTGTTCGTCTGGTCACCGCGACCGCCGCCTGGGCTCGTCGGCGAGCTTGGCGATGGACCCGACGTGTTCGTCACATCCCCGCGACCACCACCTGGGCTCGTCGGCGAGCTTGGCGATGGGCTACCCGTGTTCGTCACATCTCCACGCTCACCGCCTGGGCTCGTCGGCGAACTTGGCGATGGGCTACCAGTGTTCGTCACATCTCCACGCTCACCGCCTGGGCTCGTCGGCGAACTTGGCGATGGGCTACCAGTGTTCGTCTGGTCTCCACGCTCACCCCCTGGGCTTGTTGGCGAGCTTGGCGATGGGCCACCCGTGTTTGTCTGGTCTCCGCGCCCGCCGCCTGGGCTTGTTGGCGAGCTTGGCGATGGACCCGACGTGTTCGTCACATCCCCGCGACCACCACCTGGGCTCGTCGGCGAGCTTGGCGATGGGCTACCCGTGTTCGTCACATCTCCACGCTCACCGCCTGGGCTCGTCGGCGAACTTGGCGATGGGCTACCAGTGTTCGTCACATCTCCACGCTCACCGCCTGGGCTCGTCGGCGAACTTGGCGATGGGCTACCAGTGTTCGTCTGGTCTCCACGCTCACCACCTGGGCTTGTTGGCGAGCTTGGCGATGGGCCACCCGTGTTTGTCTGGTCTCCGCGGCCGCCGCCTGGGCTTGTTGGCGAGCTTGGCGATGGACCCGACGTGTTCGTCACATCTCCACGCTCACCACCTGGGCTCGTCGGCGAGCTTGGCGATGGGCTACCCGTGTTCGTCTGGTCTCCGCGACCGCCGCCTGGGCTTGTTGGCGAGCTTGGCGATGGGCCACCCGTGTTCGTCACATCTCCACGCTCACCACCTGGGCTCGTCGGCGAGCTTGGCGATGGGCTACCCGTGTTCGTCTGGTCTCCGCGACCGCCGCCTGGGCTTGTTGGCGAGCTTGGCGATGGGCCACCCGTGTTCGTCACATCTCCACGCTCACCACCTGGGCTCGTCGGCGAGCTTGGCGATGGACCCGACGTGTTCGTCTGGTCACCGCGACCGCCACCTGGGTTCGACGGATTGCCACTTGGTGCCGGACCATTTGGCTGGTTGTTGCCGCCATTGTCAGGACCATTGTCAGGACCGTTGTTAGAGCCATTGCTGCCGCCGTTGTCTGGACCGTTGCTGGGGCCATTGTTGCCGCCATTGTCTGGTCCATTGTTGGGGCCGTTGTTGCCACCGTTGTCTGGGCCATTGTCTGGACCGTTGCTGGGGCCATTGTTGCCGCCATTGTCTGGTCCATTGTTGGGGCCGTTGTTGCCACCGTTGTCTGGGCCATTGTCTGGACCGTTGCTGGGGCCATTGTTGCCGCCATTGTCTGGTCCGTTGCTAGGGCCATTGTTGCTGCCATTGTCTGGACCATTGTCTGGACCGTTGCTGGGGCCATTGTTGCTGCCATTGTCTGGTCCATTGTTGGGGCCGTTGTTGCCACCGTTGTCTGGGCCATTGTCTGGACCGTTGCTGGGGCCATTGTTGCTCCGTT